TGATGTCAATTCAGAATCTAATGATCTTAAGTTCAGAACTATACTGCTGCTTCTTGTCTTCATATGGACAAAGTATCCTGTCCCAAAATTGTAGCAGAGTTACCTGATGTCATGGACAAAGCATGCCGTGGAACTCCTCAAGGTCTTCTTCAAAGTTCCAGCCAAAAAAGTCATTCATGTAGATGAAAAGACCATCTGTGTTGAAGACATAGATAGTGATCCAACATAGTAGGCTTAATACTGTACACTATATGTGAGGAGAAGTGTAATTGCCAAACACGAGATGGCAAACAATGTGAAAGTGATTATCAATAGAAACAACTTAATGAAGCTGCCAGATGGGATGTGCCAGAAGATTCAGAAATGTGAAAGCAACATCTGATTTGAAGATATGAAATTGGCAGTTTGAAAAAGTGTGATGAATATCATGCAAAACTTGTCTGAAGTCATGCATGTCATTATATCAGACTTTTGCTTCTTATTGCAGAATGCCATCATTCAAGCCTGATTCAGTATAATCTGTAACAATACATAGTTTGACAGGATCATGCCAAATAACAAATATTGGAGACATTTTTATAGATAACAGGAAAAAAGAAATTGAATCAGACCAGCAATCAGCAGCAAGTTCTTTGTCTCGAAAGGCTTGTATGGTGTCCAAGTCAAGTTTATCAGCTGGATAATTTCTAATTTCATCTTCCAATTCCATCTTTCAATCACCTTCATCAAGAGGCCAAAAACCATTTTCTAATTCTCCACAAAACTGATTCAATAAAGAGTTGATTCAGATGAGAAGTTAGAAGTGAATGGAGCTCATCAATGTTAAAAGGTATTTTGACTTAAATCTTATTTCAGTAAAGTTGTAATGCTACTTGAATTAAAGAATCGGTAAGAAGGTGTGAGGAAGGTTGAGGTACAGGAGGAGCAGACTCAGTAAAGACAGCTGAAGACAAAATATGAGGAGAATCATGATTAACCTATCCATAGCCTCAATGAAACTTAGAAAGATTGAGAGAAATATTGTCTGCTTTTTCTTTAGTTGAATTCTCTATAATGAAGGTTTTAGGTCCTTCAGCTGCTTTGCAAACTCGAAAAGTCACCTCATCTCTCTCTTAAATGTTATCACTTTTCAAAGAGAGATGAAAGGTATAAGGTGTTATCTTAAGCTTGGTGATTAGCTTCACACTTAGAACACTTTTCATACTTTCGATTGTACTTGCAAGAATTGTCACATCAGCTCAGGTTCTAATTCTGACAAATGATTGCATTGCATTTCAAAGAATGAGGAACTGATCCAGCTTCAAATGAATGTTTTAAGCCATGAGGTGAATATGATGCAAGGTGCATGAGAGTAGGAAGATGTGAGTGTGAACAGTTATCAAGGTGGAATAGTTGCTTTATGTAATTCTCACGAATAGTTCTGTCAACCTTGATAGCAATTATAGGATCCATTGAATAAGAATAGAAGACTTCATTGATAATAATGCAATACTGATTAAGTTCAAAATCTCGATGGGAGTATAGATATATAAGTGTAGAGAACCATGCAGTGTAGGCTCACACCTAGTCAATCTCAGTAAGAATTGACTTCTTGACTGAGAAATAATCTTTCCTAACTAGCTGATAATTGCCTCCAATATCTTTAAGTTCATCTTCCTGCCTAAAACCAAGATTAAGGGCATCCAGAATCTTGTCAAAGTTAACAAGCTTGTTCTGAATAATATCTTTCCATAATGCCTTAGGTAAAAGATCCACAATAGATCAGCATTGCATTGCATGAACTAGGGCATCAATAACTTTGTTATGAGAGTAAGTATCTCGAAGTGCAAAAGTTTTCAATAAATGCAGATCAGGGTAAAATTGATTGTAGTGAGTGAGAAATGATGTAATAGAGAGGACAGATTGGGGAATATCACTAGAAGAAATAGAAACATCTTGAAGAAGAAAAGTGAGCTTTTCAAAGAGGAAGCCTGATAAGAAATTATGTGATGATTGACGTAGGGCAGATAAAGCTTCGAGCTTTGATATCAGTAGAGCCCAGTTAACTGCATTAGTATCAACTAAGGCATTGGATTGTCAATCACTTAGTTGATAATTGTCTGTCGATTTACTTGAAGGCTCCAGATTGGAACAATATCTTTGTTCTTCAAATTGCTCAATCTGATCAAGAACATCTCGAGCTTCTTTTGGCATGATATGAAGAAGTTCAAGCTGTGAATGGAGTTTATCCAGCATGATTTTACACTTGACTACCTAGTGCATAAGTCAGTCAATTTGCTCAGCTCGAGCTCAAACTTTCTCAGTTGAAGTATTAGCATATTCCTGCTGTGAGCTATCACCTACTTGACTATTGATAGTAGACTGGTTATCTTGATTAGATTCTGGCATAGATGCAAATTAGGTGTCGATATAGGAGATTGATAGAGGATGAAGAATAGAGTAAATTGAATAGGAGTTTGCACAAAAATATAAAATATGGATGGCTATAGTAAACAGATACTCTGCAGTCAGCACAGAGAGAAATAAAAGTGAGTCAATAGATCAATATGTGAATGCAAGCGTGATGCATGTACCTAGATTGGGACAGAGAGCATGGTCTGTCAGCAGAGGCCAACCTCAGATTTATATAGCTGATGGAGTGAGCAAAGCTCCACCCATATAGGGGCTGACTGACGGTACTTCCTCTAACTCAGCATCTGCTGGACAACACCTGCACCAAGACAGAGGCATAGTCAGCTGAATGTTTGGAGGATGTAGTAAGGAGATGGACCTCAAAACTCACAATCGATATTTGCAGTGTGAGCAGAGGCCTGTAAAATTGCTCCTTATCCTTGAAACCTGCAATTACTTTGAATAGTCTCAGACACTTTTCATTCTTCCAGTCAACACTCAGAGCAGAACTTGATATCACCCTAGAAAAATTCTTCCTTAATTGCATCAATCTAGTGATGTATGCACTTTTGTCATCTAAGCTCTCGAGCAATGTAATCTACAGGAAACAAGTGTTGACTCAAGGGCTCAGCACTCAGTAGTCAGAGCCAAAAGTACTTGGATCTTGTATTGTGGGCCAAGGTACTGTACCATTTTGATCAGTTCAGCAGGTCACAGATCACAGGCCTAGCTGCCGGTTTGAATTTTGACCTATGTCACGGTTACCTAGTCTGTTGCCAAATTGATCAAGTCAACTCCGGCCACATTGATGAGGTAGTGCCGGTGCTCGATGGGCATACCTGTTGAGTTTCTTGTAGCCCTTCACTGCCAATGCTCTCAGATGATACTCAGCAATGGAATTATTTTAGGGTTCATCAAAATTTCGATGTTGAGAAATGTACTATGGGTCATCCATCACAGAACCTCTGGCCAAAAACAACATTCTAATCTCCAGGCGCAGTTCTCCGGGAGGTGGAGAGGCACAAGATAAGTAGTGGGACGCAGCAGCACTGGGCTTGCGGGCGCCTCTGCTGAACTGATTGAAATGGTACAGTACTCCGAAAGACAATATCTAGCAGGGTCTGCAGGAGAAGATAGTTTGAGATGATTTTTTATTACCTATGTATGGCCTGACAAGAGCAGTATGACATGTACGGGTCCTAAGTATGCTGAGCCAAAGGCAACTCAATCTGAATATTTGAGCAACCCCAAATTTTATCCAGACAATGTCTGGAGAAAAGGCGGTAATAGCCGAGGCCCCGGTTGTGTTCCTTGCACAATTTGCGGCTTCAAAGCTTCATCCTCAGAAAGACTAGTGAGTGTTTCTTGCAATGATTTTCAGCTACACGAGACATGAGCCTGATTCGAGAAACAACAAGATGCAGCCCAACAGAATGAGGGTCAAATGTCCCTACGTGATCAGACAGAGGTATTAACATGAAGCCGCATCGGACGCGAGCAACGCCGAAAATAGATTCTCGTCCCAATCTACAGTTCAAGTATATGAATTGTCGTTGGTGTAACACGGGTCATTCGCCTTGCTCTCTAATAGATGTGTATCAACAGCTGCCTACGGGAGACTAGTTTGGTGTGACCAAGCATCGGAAGATATGGGCCGCACGCATGCACTGCAGACACGATGAACATGTCTCTTCCTAGCAACCAACTTGATAGCTGAAGGACCATGTCGACTTGCGTTGGACATATGCGAGAAGACCGAAGACGTTGTGTGAGAATTTGGCACCAGAGAGGCTTTCAGAGAGTATGAGAAGCTGAGAACAGATAAGACCTTGGCGGTGAGCAATGACGAGGTCCAGGCGCTACGATGTGACGGACGTCAAGGTTTACAGTGGATGGTCGGAAGGGTCAGTCTGTATGAGTGACTTTCCACGGTTGACGATCCTTGCAAAGTGATATCCACGTTGATGAACACTCTTGAGTCTGAGACCAGAAGATACCACGGAGAGGTCACCGCATGATCGATCTGCATGGTAGAGAAGAGTATCAGACGAACATCCATCAAACACTCACCCTAGAAAGGTACTTGTTGCTGTTGGCATCAAGAGAGAACATACGAATACGCATTGAGAGGTCTTGAGAATATCACGAACGCTATTATTGAGGTCCTACGTACGAGCTAGGATACTACAAATTCGGGGCGAACCGACGCTTCTATAATTCCGACGGAGGAATTAACAGTTAGGTGTGACGACAGATATACCCGTTTACTGGGTCAATGCCTTGCGGTCTGCTCCTGTAAAGTCAAGGGAAGTGCTTGAAAGAGGTGTGAATGGATTGAAAAGAGGTATTGTGCCGCCGGACTACACCGGTTGACGTATGTGTGCACCGAGTCCGATGTCAGGGTGTTCGCTTTGTACGGCGACACGTATGCAGAGAATATGCGAGGTGTCGGCGAGCTAGAGGATAGGTAGATGCTGAACTAGAATGATGGAAGAGGCTTTAGGCGAAGAGTCAAATTAAATTTACGAATGGGTGGGCCGAGAGTGGTCGGCGGGGATGACCAGAATAGGCAAGGAGAGGCCGTAGCAGGAGAGGCGGTGAGAAGGACGCTGGATACGGAGAGAGGGAAGAGAATAATACTAAGTAGCTCTTGTACTTTTCTCTGAGCTCAGGTTCTTCCTGGCTTGTCCATTCCACTCATTCTCGTTTCCTCCTTCCTCCTTTCCGCCGCGACATAACCACCCTGACTGTATGAAGAGTGTCGCCCCGTCCAGCTGGATTTCGAAGCAGCAGAAAAACTCCAAGGAACATCACTTTCAACAGGATCACTCCCACCCCCATCAGTTTCCGCTCTCTTCGACAGTACCCCCGTCTTCTCATCTCCTTCCTCCCAAGCACTCCTCTATCTCCTCTTCCTTTCGCTCAGTCTTTTCCAGACCGAGGGCGCAATCCGCCACCTCTCTCCAGTCTGCCTTCGCTTCATCATCTTCATCACTACAGCCTCATCCCATCACTTCCAGTGATCGTTTCTCGTCCACACATCCATACGCTATCATGGTCGCTGCGCCACTGCCTGTCGTTTCCAGTCATGATGCAACGGAGGAGGAGGAAGAGTGCCCCGTCTGTCTCGAGCCGCTGAGCTTCAGCTTCAGACTTCCAGGCGAGAAGCCGCACATTGTGCCGGAATGTGGTCATGCTCTTCACGAGGTAAGTTCTTCATAATTGCTTCAATGTAGTCCAAGTTGCTTTGCTGCATGGGCTTTTCGCCGTTTGCAACCTCTGGTTCCCCATGTCCTCCTCGACATCGATCTATTCTCTGCTGTGGTTGGATCATCTCCAGCACATTGAACGGCTCTTGTTTCGTGAATGACGATTCACCAGCCGTTCCTATTTCAAAGCCGTCATCATGCCACATATATGGTGTCTTGCTTGACGAAGTATCTACGTCGCCGCTTTCATCGCATTTGCGAGACACCCTTATTTGTTGCTTATCCGAGGCTCGCTCGTATCCTATCTGTTCGATGGGTCGATAGGCCTAGGTACCTGCTATATGTTGAACTTCCTGTTCGACATCTCAACTGTTGGACCCCGATCTGCGGGCAGGGATTTCAGAAGCGCCCTCAGAATGCGCGTCACAGTATTCCTACTACACCATTGTGTGGTTGCGACTGCTTTTGTAGTTTTCAAAATAGTGAAGAAATTTGCAATGCCCTGCCAGATTTGCTCTTGCGAGGAGCCTTTCGGCCTCGTAGGATCGTGGGTGTCAATTGACATCTCTCTACGCCGAATGGGAAGGTGTGAGTAGAGTCTCGGTGTTCCACCCGCTCGGTTGTGATGAAATAACCTCACAAGGGAGCAATATCTGTGCTGCGGAAGGTGTTAGCTCCAGCTTCGTCTTCCTCGGTAACTAGGAACTTGTCCTACGTTCAACCAAGGAAGGACGATTGTGCGAATCTCATCGTTGGTTGGTCTCACCAGTCTTGTTTTGAATTCATGCGTCGCGCTCTTATGGTCGCAAGGCATGGGTAACCTGAACGTCCATTACAATCTTCGTCTTTCTTATGTCTTCACCTACATTGGAATCCGGCTGGTGGACACCTACTCATCACAGCTTTTCTCTGCAGGCATGTTTTACAGCTGTATATGGCCCGCCTCCAAGCTCATCGAGGGCCGGCACCATTCTGCGTAAGTCAAACCTCGGCGTGTGCGGTGTATGTCGACGACCAATGAAGGTCGGCGATGGAGATGGAGGCAAATCCAACAGTACGCTCTACTCAAGCCTGTCTCCTCGCATTAGTGCTTATGCTTCCTTCTAGAACTTGCTGCATTGACTGGTATGGGCGAGACCAACGATACACTCTATCCCGGGCGCGATACCCCCTCTTCTATGCGAACTTTCAATAGCCATGGGCGACCACCTCCTCACGCGAAGCCTTACGATCCCAACGAAGATGACCCGGTTGAGAATCACCACCATCGTGATCATCACGGCGCCGCGTCCATCAAGTCTGGTCACTCGAACGAACAGCAACAATCGCATTACATTGTTTCCCCATCGATTCAAGTGCGATCTGAGTTCAGTTCCATCACAAGATCGAACGAAGCAAGTCAACCGTTGACTTGCATCGTCGTCGTAGAGCTCCCTGCGAAGAGACCGAGTGCACACGTACCGGGCGCGGTTATGCCTATGGCGCAGGACAACTACAGTCAGAGGAACGCGAACACGGCGACAAGTCCCCTGGGGAATGGACAAGGTCAATCAGGATACGCAAGTCCCAGGCCGGAGTATGCGAGTGCACGAGGTCATCAACAGCTTCCGTCTGAAGCCTCCCATGCTCGCTCGGAGCAGACGTACATGTCGCCGCCGCCGTCCCATCACGAACCCTCGGTGTCGTCACATGAACGACGTGATATTCAGGAGGAAGACTCTCCCTTCAACGCCATCACTGAAGACCTTCGCAATCGCATTATCGACTGGAAGGGTCACCCGCTGTCCGGACTGGGGCCTCTGCAAATGTATGATCTGCTTTCTGTTCGACGCGACTCACTGGTGCGGGAATTCTACGTCTACTTATTCAAAGAGGCCATCATTTGCGTGGTTGAAGAGCGCAAGCGGACACTGGGTCGACTGCTTTCTTCGGCAGGCGCAAGTTCGGCTTTCGGTGACGGAGCTGCCGGCGGAAATTCTCAGCATTCAAGTTCTAACCGAGGTGTCCTGCGATTGAAGGGTCGTATCTACATCCGTCACATCAAGCAGGTGACAGATACATCTGTCAGCGGTGAGATGAGTCTGACTATCGACATGGAAGACGAGCGATTAGATTCGTTCATTCTTATCTTCAAGGAGCGGTCGTCGCTGGAGACATGGAAAGCCAAGATTCAATCTTTGGTCTCGCTGTATCAATCACAATCCATCGACCCGCAACAACAGCAACAACAACAACAACAAGCGCAGTATGAACGGGCGCCGGACTTGGAAGAGTTTGGAGGGAGCCAGAAGGCTATGCGTATGTTGAGTGGAAGCACTGGGACAACGGTCAGTACTGTCGACAGTCTCTTGAATGGCGGGTCGTCGCGCTCGACGGTCTCGTCTCACACTTCGCATGGTTCGGGCTCGATCGCTCATCCGCGTGTGGGTCTCCACCAGAAACTCTCTACACTTGAAGAAGACGACGAGATGAGTCGGTTCAGTAGCCCCGCACCGCTCGTCGCTCCCCATATGTCTGCGGGACCTTCAAATAGTCTCTCGCCGTTGCCTCATCCGGCATTGGATCTCATTTTGGTCGTCAGTATCCCGGGTCCGATGGCAACGCCAAGCACGGCGGCGTTGAAGGTGAGAGTGATCAAGACTTCGCTTGATTTCATCATCGCTTCGCTTGGTCAGAAGGATAGACTCAGCCTTGTGACGTTTGAAGTCGGTATTGGCGGAAAGGTACGGAAGACGCCGTTCCTTAATGTTGGGAATCCCCAGAGTAGGGCTAGGCTGCAGAAGTTTGTTAGTGAGGTGGGAAGGAGGGATGATGGGACGCCTTTTGAGGATGAGTTCCTGACTAGGGGGTCACAGGATGATAAGACTGACGTTGTGACCGCTGTCAATCATGGTAAGCCTGGATTCCTGATATTGCTGGAAATGAATGAATGTGTTGATGATGCGTGTTTATCATCCATACAGGACTTGACGTTGTTCTGCAGCGGAAGTCGCGCAATCCGGTCTCAGGGATGGTTCTGGTTAGCGATGCTGCTGATACCACTCGTCGCGCTCAGATGGACCTCGTGCTCGCTCGTGCTGAAGCTGCTAATGTGCCCATCCACTCCTTCGGCTATGGCCGTTCTCATGACCCCGCTTCCCTCTGGCTCATCTCTAACCACACCAGTGGCACTTACACCTTCGTTAAGGATTGGTACGACCTACGAGATTGCCTAGCAGGCTGTATCGGGGGTATGTTGTCCATTGGCATTACCAGTATGAAGATGCACATCAAGATCGTTGATGGTCAACGATTCCGTATCCGCAAGATCTCCGGTGGTCCTTCAGCCATTCTTTCTTCCGACGGTCGCGATGTGGACGTTGAGATTGGTGAAGTGAGATATGGCGAACGCAAGGAAATGCTGGTCGAGCTGGAACTCGATAATAGCGATATGACGCACAGCCAAAGGAGTCCGATGAGTCCCAATAGTGGACGGGCACTTAACGCTACAGATCAATTCAACCAACGGATGGGTTTGGACGCATTGTCTATTGCTGATGTTGCTGACCTTGCGGACGGCATGATGGATCGTATGATTGACGAAGTGCCAGTCTTCGAGGTTGATGGCTCGTTCTTCGATCCTGCTGCAGCCAAACATGTATCGCGCCTTGCGCATCCAGTTCTCCTCACCGTGACTCTCCTTCCGAACACTGGGAGCCGACCGCGAACGCCTGCGAACAATACCTCGGACCCTGTGATCGTCCGACGTAGGATGGAGCTTCTGGCTTCCGATATGATCACTCGTGCGCTGGTCCTTGTATCGAGGAAGAATTATCCTCAAGCTCAAAAGCTGCTCAGCGAGACCAGACGTATTCTTCACACCGTTTTGCAGAATATTACTCAGTCACTTCCTCCTCCTAATCGGGACGGTAGCGCCACGCGGAATCGCAAGGACGCGCTTGGGTACTTGGCTGTTCGAGCTATTCAGGCTGTCCTCCAGGATATGCAAGTCTTGTCTGAGGCCCTGGAGGACAACGTTGAGATGTTTGCTCTTGATCAGCGTAACTTCGGCGCTCAGCAGGTAAGCATTGTTGCTGGTATCGCTATGGATTTTGTTAGTTGATGGTATATCTATTATAGGCGATGGTCCTGCGAGATCAGAAGAGCTGGAGCGGCCGAAGTGCTATTGAACGCTTGTTTTGGACAATCGATAATTCCATCGAGCTGGTCACTCGAAGCAACGATTGGGTCGCTCGTGAATGATCGACGTCTCTCGGCTTTAGTTTTTACCCCTTTTTTTACTTCGGAACATTGCCTCTCGTTTGCTATCCTTTTTCCCTTCCTGGTGTCGATGTATATATGGTTCGCGTTTTTCCTTTTTTTTTTTCCTCGCTGATCGTAATTGGGTCCCGGATCTCGAAAATTCTCCCTTCTCTACTAGCTAGCTCTTTCTTGTTCTAAATATTGTTCTGTGCCACCCTCCCTCCCGCTACGATTTAATCCTCTACCTCGTCTTTCGCTGGAGGATCTGTGTGTAGGATCATATACATTCCTTGGGTTATGTTCTACCACTGGCCTCGGGTGATTGTTCGGGTTTAATGGCGATGGTAGTCCTCGTCGTGGACTCTCAAGAATCGCTTTGCTTTCTGTACTTTTGTAATGTTATCTCGATAGATTGACGGCTATGGATACATTCTATGCGTTGCTTTTTTTTCTTTTTTTTTTGTATGGCGTCCGTTACCATTTCATAGTTTACACTTGTAATGAATGAAATACCACCGTTTCGTTGATCTGGGGACCTTTCTATTCATTCAAGGCTTCTGGGTAGCCTCGTCGTGTCCTCTCAGAGCTGTCTTTCCAGTAATATCTTGTTTGCTTCACGTTCACTTCGAGGATATCACACAAATTTCACATGTGTGAAGTGCATTCGATCGTTGTGAGCGCTTATCCGGTCATTATTCCGCTCTAAGCACGCGTCTTCGAAGCTCTGGGGAAGGGGGAACACTCAGTGACTAAACTTTCTTTCTACTCTCTCGTTTGAACCTCTTCGAGCCTCAGTTCGACCAGCGGATAAGTTCTACGCGTTATCAACCAGACCAGGAGTGTAGCTGGTGGTTTCAGGTCTATGCCAAGACGAGCACAAATACATTGTGTCTCTCTTCGTTCATCTCTCGTTAATCTCCCGATATCAATATATGGTCCGTTGTTAGAACGGGGAGTAGTAAGTTCTTCTCAACGCCTCACTCCATGATTGCCGGTACTCAACGTATTCGAATGGTGTAGCGTCCCCAAGGACTCGCAGTCCACCTCACCCTCGTCTCTTCGTCCAAACAGCCCAATGGATCTGCTAGCAGTACTAATGGCATAATCAAAGGGGAAGCTTACGTAGGATGGACGGGGATGGCTTCAGCTTCCTCTCTGGCGCACTTCAACTCTGCATCCAGAGGTGCAGGTGGTGAGAGAGGTTTAGAGACGATTGAGATTGACCCACAGTTTGCTGAAGGGTTGGAGTTTAGAGAAGGGGATGTGGTATGTAATTTTACCCGTGAATGTCGCTTTACGCTGAGTCTTGTGTGTTGGTAGGTGGAAATTGGATTGTTACATGATCTTGGTTATGCAACTTCTGTTGCGACTGAACCTTTGACTTCAGATGATTGGGAGATTCTCGTACGTTTTTTGCATCTTCAGATGTTGGTCACTTTGTTCACGACCTATTTCAGGAAATACATGCATCCCATGTAGAATCCACATTACTCTCACAAGTCCGTGTCGCAGCTATAGATCAAGAAATTGACGTGTGGGTCCTTGGACGTACGCGAGTCCGCCTGAAAGTTGGTAAGCAAATATGCTCAGTTCGATAGAGGACCTCTCTTGACCGTTTGTGTAGTCTCACTCGAGCCCTCTAATGGCAAAGCACTCCTTCTGACCACCTCCACCGAAGTCAGCATTGCACCTAAAACACGTTCCAGAATGCCCAATGGCACCTCAAAATCTGGCATCCCCTCAAAATTGAACGGTCTGCCGACGGCAGTTTCTGCTCAACCCAGCAAATCCACCTCTGAGCTCAAAACCAAGCCCTTGGTCTTCCGAGTCCTCCCAAAACGCGTACTTCCACCCATCTCACCCAATTGTTCGGCACTCGATGATGGGTCTGTCGCTGCTATCATCTTCGTTTCTAGAATGGACTTGAGACAAATGTCCCAATTGCGGTTGCGGGAGTTTTGTGATTTGGTAGATGGCGGAAAGTGTTGGAAGGGAAATGTGAAGAGATTGCTTCCCCCAGAGGACCCTACACGCGCCCAAAATGACTCTGGCGCTGCAGGAAGTGCACCACCAGTACCGAGGATTCTGGTGCCAACGGATTCAAAAGCAGCTCAAGCGGCGGTTCAGCCAACAATACCCACGGATGAAGTCTTACTTGTATGGTCTCCGAAAGTACCGTTACCAGACGGCTATGCCCTGGTTCACGGTTCAGTGGCAGATGTTGAGGATTATGATAATATTGTAGTGATCATGAAGGACGTTTCTGAACACAAGGTGGAGTTTGAGGCGCCACATGCAAGCTCCATATCGAACCAGTGGGTGACTTTTGTGTCTCTTTCCATATTGGTGTTTTTGTGTCTGATACAATGCAGATAGGTCTGGCAATCCTCCTCCAAAACTCGCTGGCGTGGATAAGATTTTGAAAGATTGTGTCGAGTTCTGCGAGGCTACGTATTTCGCACAGTTGGCTACTAAGAGTAAGGTCCGCGGAGGTATGTTTATACTGTGATTTATAGAGTCGCTCTGACACTAAGCGGTTTGGTGTTGTAGTTCCCGGGCTGTTGATAACAGGTCGGCCTGGTGCAGGCAAGACCTCAATCCTCAACGCTGTGGCTAGACATTTACAAGATAGCGATCGAACGTATTCTTGTGAGTTCTTTTCTTATTTTACTACCGAATATGTCTCAGTGGTTGCTTTGATATAGACGTGCTACGCGTTGATCTGGCACAATATGTCGCGTCGCCTATACCCAAGATCAAGACGTTGTTGAACTATTGGTTCGAGAAAGCGCATTGGCACCGTCCCTCGGTCATCGTATTTGACAATATGGACAAGCTCATGGCGGCCGAGCAAGAGGTAAGTTATCTTCTATTTTTTCCTTCTGTCTTTTTCTCGCCTTGTTCGATATGCAGCCTCCATTGATTGAGAGTTGTTTCTCAGCACGCAGAATCCTTCCGCCAACGTCATATCACAGAACTCTTTATACACTACTATAGTTCATCGTTCCGAACTGTGCAACCAGACGCTACTGGTCTCGTCTTCATCGCCTCAGCAGAGTCAAAGGCTGCGTTACATCCAAACCTCATGGCTACGCATATGTTCAAGGAGACTGTTCATCTGCAGCCTCCAGGCAAAGACGAACGAAAAGAGGTGCGTATAATAACCCCCGAAGCTTGTCCAGGTTTCCCTACTTATTGCGGTATTGTTGTCATAGATGCTTACGCACCTTGTTCGAACCCACACTGACGTATCAGATCTCTCTGAGGACCCGACGCAACCTCTTAATTACACTGCATTAGCGATGGAGACTGAAGGGTACTTGATCACGGACCTGAAAGACTTGGTTGCCAGAGCGGTTCATCAAGCTGCTATTCGAATAGCTGAACATGAAGACGACGAGGGCTTCCAGGTGAATAGACCCTCGCCATGACTGTTTAATAATCATTACTGACATAATCACAGCCAACGCTCCTGCCAGACGACTTCACGAAGGCGCACAAAGGTTTTGTTCCATTATCATTACGAGATGTTCCGTTGCATAAATCCGATGTGATCTGGGCTGACATTGGTGGTATGTCTGTGGAGATGGTTGTGTTGAGGTTACACGCTGATGGATGTGACCCTAGGTCTTCGGGAAACCAAGCGTGTAATTCGAGAAACATTAGAGTGGCCCACGAAGTACGCTCCGATCTTCGCGCAGTCTCCATTACGACTTCGTCAAGGGTACATTTTACTCTTTATCCGCTGCTGGTCTGTATTGTTGATGTGATCTCAAGTCTTCTGCTCTATGGATATCCTGGTTGCGGAAAGACCCTGATAGCTTCAGCCGTGGCAAAAGAATGTGGCCTAAATTTCATCAGTGTCAAAGGACCTGAACTGCTCAACAAGTATATTGGTGCCAGTGAACAATCGGTCAGTTCGAAGATACCCTTTATTTTGGTGGGGAAACCTGACGTCCGTTCTGTTTCTAGGTCCGTGAACTCTTTGACAGGGCAAGTGCAGCCAAGCCTTGCGTTTTGTTCTTCGACGAGTTCGACTCAATCGCTCCGAAGCGGTAAGGTTTCCACTGTCTGTTGGACGATGCTATGTATGACTAAAGCATCTTTGTACAGTGGACACGATAGTACCGGTGTTACTGACCGTGTCGTCAATCAACTTCTGACCCAATTGGACGGTGTCGAGGGACTCGATGGTGTTTACGTTCTGGCAGCCACCAGGTGAGTCTTAGCAGTTAACGTTAAACTTTACCATAATTCAATCATGGACCTGCCTTTAGTCGACCTGATCTTATTGACTCGGCTCTGCTGCGTCCTGGCCGTCTTGACAAGTCACTATTATGTGATATGCCTGATGCACAAGATCGCAAGGAGGTATGTCTTTGTGTGTATCCTCGTACGCTTAGAACTTTAGGTATCAAATACCTTGTATCTAGATCCTGGAGGCGGTCAGTCGCAAAGTGAAGCTCTCGCCGTCTATCAACCTAGAGGACGTCGCTCGTGATACTGAAGGGTTTTCCGGTGCTGATCTACAAGCTCTCATCTACAACGCACATCTTGAAGTTGTACACGAAGCGATAGCTGCTTCCAAGTTGCATCCCAACGCCCCAAGTTCTCGGAATGTCGACGATGAGGATGATATCGGGCCCGTGCAGTATACCACACTATTCGGACGATCAGAGACCAAGAAGGTGATGACTCGAGCAGAAGAAGAGGCGATGCAAAGAAGGGTGCGTCTTATCATTTTTTTCTGGATTCTGTTGGTTGTCAATCTTGTCACTTCCTAGTTGCGCCGGATGATCGCCAACACCATTCGAAAACCTGCCGACTCAGCACGAGAAGCGACTTCTGCAGAAAGTAAACCTGTCGAACAGGTTAGTGGTAGTGACAATGACCAGTCGTTCCCCAACTGAGCCTTCTTCATAGCATGAGATACGAGAAGAGCACATCCAACGAGTGCTTAAGACCACTCGACCTTCCGTCCCTCCTCAAGAGCGCGAAAGATTATGGCGAATGTGAGGTCTTCCTATTCTCCTGTATTCTATGTGACTAATGATGTGGCCTTACGTGTAGATATCATGCTTTCGTCGACGACAGAAGTGGGGAGCTTCCTGTACCACCTGATGCGGGCGGTATTGGATTGCGAGCGACGTTGATGTGATACGTTCCGAGGTATGGAAGAACACGATACAAGTTATTCGATAAATCCGCTTCCTTCTGCCACTAGCACAAGTCGTTTTTGGATGCGATACTTGATACCATTAGCATGTTGCCGACGATGAAGATCAGAGATTCAGGTGTGCTTCAAGAGAGAAACAAACTGTAATAAACCATGTCCTCCTGCTGACCCAAAATACTTGGCATACTCCCGGGTAAAAGATTACCCTCTCTGCCTGGGAGTCGAACCCAGCTTTCGCGCGCACTTCGAATCAGTGACAGGCGCGTGTACTAAACCGATATACTAGCAGAGAGTTACACCATTTAAAGCGGTCATTTTAACATTCCATTTTAATCCGTCGTAGCTCTTGATCCAACTTTCGCTTGGCGGAATGGAGGTGCTTACTATATTCGGGTTGTTACAGTTGCTCGCATGCAGGCACATCCTCAGGCCTCATGCCTTAAGTACGTACCCATGACCAAGGGTGTTTGGTATGTTCTCATCACGGTTGACGTGCCTATGGCAGCGCTAGCAGCTCGAAACTCATGCAAGCTCACCCGCGATCCTCCTCAATTCTATGGTTTGGCGAAGGATACTTAGGTAACTGTGTGGAGTACTTCTTCTAAGACGCACGCACCGTTGAATAGAACCCTTAAGGGCATTTTACCCAAGGCGATATCGAGTTCTGTCACGGAGAACGAAATTGCCTTCAGTAAAGACTCGTTACAGTCGCGCGCCGTCTGGGAGTGTCCGGCCCAACGTGACCTCGTTTTCAGCATGGATCATCGAGATTCCTGCATATAAGCTCCTCTTCCAAAGTGTGCTCTGGACCCCCACCCCCCTCCTGTCTGTCCTTAGGTCACCGCTTGCCCTCAATTTTCAATGAACCCCAAGCCCACTCGCCCGATCCTGCTTCTCAGAACAATGTTCAAGAAATTCATTTCCGGAGGTATATTGTTTTGAGCATTTTCTGATGTATCACTTTATCTCCGGGTCATTCTGCTGCAGCCCTACCGACGACAGGCCTAGCTCACCATCACCTGTGTTATCTTAAATTGAAGGTTATTCCGGACAGTACAGTACTTGTCCCGCTTGTGACGTGGTGGAATGGTCAGAATTAAAGTCTCCTGTCCGTTATGTTCCGACTCAGGTACGTCTAACGCCTTACCTTTACGCTGTGGAGCATTTGAGGTCTCGTACTGGCAGGGGAACTTGAACTTTGGTAGGATCATTCCGCTATTGTATTGGTAATCTATCACAATACAGCGACCCGCCGTCGCTGTAGAGGTCTGTACTTACATTCAGCCATTGTTGTCACCACAAGTGATGGGCACAAGTACTTTAAGTAAACCTTAGCTAGTAAACGCTGCCGCTGCCATCTAAGCCGACCGCCACCAACCGTAGTTCATGTCGATGTGCGCCATAACTCTCATAAGTATATTGAGCAGGGAAAGAGAGGAAACAGCCGATACAGAATGCATAGCGATAAAACCCCTCGATAGCCATTTCCACTGAAAGACGATAAAACCTATTGAAACCTATGTAACAACCTTTACGAAAGCAAATCCAAAAGCAAGGATTGACGTGAGAATGGAGGAAGTTGACGAAAGTTCAAAAATGAATATCTAAGTATCATACTCGACGGCAATGAGACCAGATCAAGTAGACATCGGATCGAAACTTCACTCTAGGTTGACGACCTCAAACCATTCTGGGGATGGCCTCACATCTGCCAGGCACTCGTCAGTGAAGTGGACATCAGTAGATAAGAGGTAAGCTTACAACATGGCATGCAGCATTGCTCGTTCTGCCACTCGACAAACTCACTCGGTGCCAGCACCAGAAGATGCTTCAAGAAAGGCAATCGATTCCTCAATTGGTCTATACACGGCAATACATGTGACGTGAGATTCTTGGAGAGGATCAAGACGTCTGCAGATATTGTCTCGCAACCGATGTGAAGGTCAACAAGAGTTAGAGGTAGAGGCAAGTACCGGATACGTTCGCAGATCTAAAAACTACATCAGAAAGTGTTCAAGAAATCATCAATAGCCGAGACGCACCCATAGTACATCATCTTTGCTCACGAGTCGAGGCAACAGATAGAGTACCTTCAGATAACCGAAAAGCGAGAAATTGTGATTGAAGGCCTGAGGGGTATAGAACATCCCCTCAGGTCCATGGAAGATTATAGAATGCAGGTGAGGAAATTTCTCATGAATCACTGAAAGGGTACGTGGCGAATGCAAATCATTGAACCTCCAGTAAGTAGTGAAGTGTTGCAATGATCGATTATATGGACCGGAGAGAATTCGTGTGAAGTCGAAGGGTGCAGAAATAGATGTGAGGTGGGGCAGAATATGAGCCGGTAAGATATGAAGAGGCCCGCCTCCTAGTAGATATTCCCCAGGCGCGTCGTAGGATAGGATGAGTGACGTTACAAGGGCCGTCTTCGCGAGCACATTAAAGAATGTTTCACGTTTGATTGCAAAGGCGGCGGAACAATGAAGATGCAATGTGTGTAGTGCAAATGCTTTCTTCTCCGCCTCTAAGGCCGAGAACCCAGCTTTACAATCATCCTGAGTCGACAACCGAAGCTCCTGGCATTTGTCCAATCGGACCAATGCAGCCCACCACGGCGTGGAACCGCAACGTCCAACAGAGAGCTTCTCTAGGACAAACCGAGGCGGATTACTAACTGTTCCGTTAAAGCGGCAGTGACGCAAATGGAGCTCAGTAAGACGAGATAGATAGCTCAACTGAGCGAGGTGTTGTGGGGTAAATATGAGCCATTCGAGGTCCAACACTCTTATGTTTCGTAGGCTAGAAAAGGCACCAAAGATCAAACTAGAGATTTTGGTTCCGTCGACGGTTCGCATTTGGCTCTCCGGTCGGTCACCCACCAGATTCTGCCGAAGGACCACCTTTCTTACAGAGCTGACGATGTGATCCGAAATTATGAAGGTGATCCGTTGTTCCAGCAACAAGGCATACTGTTCCGATTGCCATTCTAAACCATACATCTTCTTATGAACATAGAAGGTCGTAAAAAGGTACCGTTGGGCAATGGACCGGAAAACGTGAGACGTCAATGCCAGGTTTCGGAGATCCTGACGAGTTATGTCTGCGAAGTTGATGATATGCAGCAAGACCTCTGTCGGAAGACGACCGCGTGGAGGAGAAGGTAGGATTCGTAGAGGTGAGTGAACTTGGTCATGGGCGAATAAATTCATGACAGCATTCGGGACAATTCGCGGCTGTGTTGTTAGATCAGATGGTGATAAGAGTGTCGAGGCTGAAAGCATGCGAGTACAAGGTAGATAAAGACGAACGCCGACCGCTGTAGTACTACTAACCTAGTATGAATTGAAACCCAAGTTAGTGCCCGATGATGATCTCAACAAATAAGTATCTTGCAAAACGTCATATGCTTACCTTGAAAGACCTGGGTTGCAATCTTCAATCGTGATACCAACTGGATCTGCAGATATGTAGATAAGACTGGAGATGGACGAGAGGAAAAGGTAAGAGTGTTAAACAGTTGGGCGTTCATGCTATAGATTGCTTTTACCAGGAAAGCAAGTTAGTCTCCGGTACGCAGACCAATGACGAGTCTTTTGAGGGAGGGAGAGACGACCCGTATAAAGGTCTGCTTCAATACGCGCCCCTCATACCGTTGCAGTTCATTAAGGATTAGCGCTCGAATGCCGGGTGATCGCCAGGCTTGCCGGATGATCGCCAGGCATGCCGGATCAATGCCGGTGGCTGCAAAGTGGCTGAGGACACTTGATAGAATTTTACGAGCTACCACCATGTATTGTCTACAACCGCCTCAAGAAACAACTTGTTTCTACTGTCCCAACTGCATGGTTTTGCTCCCAGCATTTTTAGGTTCACCTGTGCAAGTTCAGACCTCGACTCCTCAGTCTTCGATCCCACAGAGAGATCTGTTCTCGCCGCAACTTGTCCATGGTTCGTTTGGATCCCCAAGTACCCCTACGGCAACCAATTATGCAACATCAAGTCTTTCAAGTTATTTAATTACTCCTACATCTCTTCAAACATGTCCCCATACCTGTGACACCAAGAAAGTCCTCGAATCAGCAGTTTTGAGACCCAGAAAATGTTGATCCATGCACTCCAACAAAATTTCCTATAAAGAAGCGCAGGAGGAGCCCATCACAGAAGTTAGATGATATTCTGCATACCATCAAAACTGCTCATTGGACTCTAGGCCAATTCTTGTGGTTTCTCTTCCATGTCTGAGGGGGAAATAATGAGAAGATATGCCGTTTTAAAGGTCATGCGAGAGCCGTGTCTTACTTTCTCTACTGCTTCGCTGAGCTTCGTCAACTGTATCTGCATTGATTACCAGTGTTGACAGTCCAACCAAATTGAACTTGTGCTCCTGAAAGTATTGCGACTGAATGATAAAGAGAGATGGGAAAATAAGTGTCACATACCATGTCATGTTCAAGCGCTTTTGTTGGGCACACAACAATCATGATTGCTCATTTCTTCATGCGCTTCTGTGGGCACAAAGAAGAGTCGGACGCAATGGCTTGCGTCCCGAGCATGTACATGGTGAGGAAACCAGTTTTTCCGGATCCCGTAGGGGTTCACGGCCAGGATGTCGATGCCATCCAACGCTTTGCGTACACCTTCGAGCTGGTAGTCATGTGGTTGGTACGGCAACGGTGTTTTAGCGAGAATCTCTAAACAGAATGAACGACGCGAATTTGAACACAGGCAGTCTGGGTATGATCGTCATAAATACATTGTAGTAGTTGAGAAAGTCTGCACGAAGCGCGGGTAAACGCGTCTGTGGCTGCAAGCCCTAGGTGGACGCGTTGCGGAGTCTGAATATTTCTCGGTTAAGCCCGAAAGTGGTTGCAACGGTAAGAGGGGCGCGTTTAGAATCAGACTAAAAGCAAGTACATGTTAGGCGGTTTCAAATTTTCTTCAGTTTGCTTTATTCAAGTCACACTGGAGCAGGTTCGTCGGTGTTCTACGCAGGTTTACTCAGATATATTTCCATTCAGACCCTATGAACACATCTTATTGTCGCTTCCCTTGAGTTGAGATGACTGAAACGATTCGGGCAGGTCACCAACCTTACCACCTCTGATGACCTACCTTTTCATAACGGTGGCGCAGAACATTGTGTAAGGGTCACATTGGGCTAGGAAGGATATATGGATAATAGAATGCAAAATGCGAACTGGTAAGATTATCATACCCAGTGATCCAGCCAAACGGTACAATGACTGTCATCCGTAACGCAATAGATTCCTTTTAGCATTGGTACCGACATCTGCCAATGTCGCCTTTCCGACGATAACTCCAGCATGTCCTATCCCAAGTTATGGATAATGCTGTACTGGATGTTGACGATCGTGAAGGTACGGGAGTAGCCTATGGACCATTCTGGAAGGAGTCAACATCTCTACTTCCCCCCCCCCCCCCCCGCCTGCCCCTGATGGCACTGGTAAGAGGTTCCGTATCACTTCCGCAGCTCATGTTTAGATGGTGCTGATCGAGTCTAATGTTGGAACACTAGATATGTCAATCGACAATATGCAGCCTTCTTCATGTCACTCTTCTTTTCCGTTGAAGCAATATATTATGATCAAATTCTCACCGCTGGGAACACGGACAAGTCTTTAGTTACCGTGGAGCTTAGGTCAGTTACCTGTCATCATCCTACATTACGCCGTCGTTATGAATTGATATTGTGATATCCTAGTGCTTAGTACTTCGTCCTTCGATAGCGCATTCCCCGAGTTCATAGCGCATCCGAGCGTTTCGGGAAGCCTGCATGACGCAGTCATACACCGACAAGAGTGGACCTCCGTTACATGGAATATAGTTAGCCTATGTACAGAGGACATCTAAGCCGTCCGTTCGCATCGGTGTGGGCCGTAAGGGGCCCATACTGAAATTGGGACGTCCAGTTATGGGGTATATAAGACCATCGCGACAGCCTCATCTACCTCAGCAGAAAATCTTTTCACTCAAGTTTACAATCTTCCAATCTTCGAGTGAAAATACTATGGTGCAGATCGCAGTTGCTAGCGCGTCGAGTAAGTCCCGTCAACTCCTACACCAGTGTACCAGCTCACTTAATGTCTATTGCAGACGTCGGCATGCAGGTCATCGAGGCTCTCCTCGCTCGAAAGAAACATCAGATTATTGTTCTATATCGCTCAGTATGCCCCGAAGCTCTTGCATCCCCACCTTCAACCTCGAGTACTCGTACTGATCGTTCAATAGGAGATACCTGCTGGTTCAATTCAACACCCAGATCTCACCTATGTCAAGGTGAACTTTCAAGACAAGAAGCAACTTACGGATGCCCTTCGTGGCGTTCATACCATGCTATCGTTCATCATTGCACACAAGGACCCTGGCAGTGTCTCGCAGAAGAATCTTATTGATGCTGCTATCGAGGCTGGCGTGAAACGGTTTGCGCCTAGCGAATGGGGATGGTAAGTTGACACCGTAGACGATTATGAGTCTTTTTACTCATTCCAGTGAAAGCTCCAATCCTGAAGGCATTCCCTGGTATGCGGAAAAGGTGGTTATAAGAAAGTATCTTGAAGAAGTGAACAAAGAGAAGAAGGTATGCTGAAACTCATGGTTGTGACTTATTGTCGTGACATTCGGCAAGCGAGCTAACAAGCATGATGGTTCATGAAGGTCATCGAGTACAGTCTGTTCCAATGTGGTCATTTCGCCGACTACCTTGCGTTCCCCCACAGGACCGCCAAGCAACTTTTGCCGTTAAATATGCATTACGACTTCCATAACTGTCGGGCTATCGTGGTTGAGGGCCGCGAACACATTGACTCTATCTCACTCATCACGGTCTTCGATCTTGCCAATGTGGTGGCCGAGGCTATTGAATACGAGGGCGAGTGGCCTGTTCAAGGTGGCGTCCTAGGTACCACAGTCACCCCAGCGCAGATATTGGAGCTTGGGGAAAAGATTAGAGGTACATTCCATGTCTATATTTTTGTGACCATCTAAACCTAACATTTGTGATATGTAGATCGGCCATTCACTGTGGAGAAGGTGACACTAGAGGACCTCGAAACCGGGGTGGTGGAAACCTCTTGGGTTCCTCTGATGACCCATCCTGCTATACCCACGGACAAAGTCCTGCCCTATTCAAAGTCCGCTTTGCAGCGCACTCTGATTGGTATGTCGAAGGGCGCATTCACTGTGGGGGATGGTTGGAACAAGCTCCTGCCCTCCTATCGTTTCATTCCTCTTGAAGGTTTCCTTTACACCGTGTGGGCCGGGGAAAGCAGGAAGGCTCTTAGTAGTACCGATTGAAACCCAAGTTAGTCGCCGACCTCCAAGTATCTAACAACACACTAGGAATGTATTCAGATATGTCTCCATTCAAATTTTGTAGATACCTCTTACCGCCACTCCCTTTGAGTCGAGATGAGTAAAACGATTCGGGATCGGAAGTTAGCAACAGTGCTAGCGATCTTCTCCCCAGTGATGACATATGACGTTGTGTACTGATCACATTGGCCCCTTATAGCAATCAAAAATGTTCAAGAGATGCGTTAGAATGGGCAACGTCTCAGGTATAATATCCGATTCCTTTGGAATAGTGAATCGTTCAATTCACCATACTTTACTGACAGGGTCCTTAACTTGTAAACCAAAAACAGCGTCCTCGAAGGGGTATTCGGGGCCGAGAGCATGAGTTCTATGATGGCTCAGCTTTTCTTTGAAGCTGGGCGTCTTGACGTGAGCGTCCGATGGAAGAACTCTAAGACAAGTGGTATATCGAGTCTGAGCGTCAGATGAAGGAGCTGGAGGGACGAAGGGCGTCTCTTGTATCAGTATCGGTGTCAGCAATGGATACCAGAGTGCTCTTCATGGACCTTCATCGTCTCCTGGCATGGACGATGGCGAGCTCTCAACAGGGTTGCGTCAATTGTGAAGAAGATTGTCGTGAAAGTACGCCCTACGTGAAAATAATTGGATCTAGCGACACAAGGCACTACGTCAAATGGTGCACAATCGGATCATGCGCAGGGTATGATGGGCACCCATTGCGGACCTTCGGATGCCTTGCACCTTCAGACCGACAAAGTGATACCAAATTTCTGGATTATGCCCCAAAGGCGCTGACCAGATGAATCTGGCGACGGTATCAATCCTTTGTCATCGTGGAAATGAGCTGCCTGAGCAACCACCAAGACATAGGAGGATGTTGGGTCCGTCGGAGAAATCAGCTGCCTTCGAGATGCTACGCATGACCGACCTCTGAATTGTCGATGCCGTGCGAGGCAGTGAGAATCCCTAATATGAAGCGACCGTGACTGCCCACATGCACTATTCGCTAAACGCATGGACTGTTAAGTATGAGCTTGCATGCGATTAGTGTGGCCTACATATCTATAAACGCGAGCATCGATGAGACCGTTACTAGCAACCTTTGTTACTGCCATCGATGTCGAAACTTAAGGGGTATGAAGACCAGGCACGACGTAGAAGTGCTTTAGGGAGCCAAATTAGTTACGAGAGTTAAGCTGAATCGGATATCGAGAACTTGCGAGCCTGTGGCTGAAGTGAATCGCGAAGATGACTCGTTGGGTGACGCCGCTATCACTTCGCCGAGGACTGGACAAGCAGTCCGCGGTCAATGAAGGTCGTGCTCTAGTGAGCATATGTGTAAGATGCACCTGAAACTATACAATCACTGTTTTCGGGGCATTCTTTGGGTCCATGACTTTCTAGACTTTAAGAGTTCGTCGTACCTTATTGCACCAGACAACGCATTCGCCTTAAATTGGAGCCAATGTGCATTACGCTTCTCTACCACACCAGAGGCATATCCAGTGAAACCTGTATCATAAGCCTCGTATTGTGTAAAGAATATGTGCCAATGAACAACGTTCGGAATATTGTTCAAGATGTAGGTCAAGAGAAAGTTAATAATAGCGTCAATCTAATTGCCAACTGACGTTTGACTGGGCTTGATAGGCTGAGTCAGTAACCAATGATTGCCGTGAGTTCCGATTCGCTGGAAGATCGGTAAATCCGCCCGACGAACAGGGCGCGCACACACCCCCCGGTGGAAGCTTCTCCAGATGCGATCATGGGTCATTAAGTCGTTTTAAATAGTTATGCTCAGAGCATTCCCAAGTTGATCGCCTGGTTCGTTCTCTCTCTTCTCAGCTGCACATCTTCCCCAGGCCCGTTGCTGGGATTTCACTCGATGTCTTCAGGAGATGAGTCAACCTTAACGGACCATAGCGACCATCTTGCCATTCGAAGTTTGGAAGATGTGTCGGAGCCAGTGGATCCTCGTATAACGCCTATTCATAGGCCAACGAATGACGTTCTTGACGAAAGTTATGTCCACCAACTCAGCGAATATGTCCACCACGAGAAGCACGCTCATGAATTCATCGAAAAGCCAAACGAAGAGGAACCTCTCTATGCAAGTACCTTCTTCTCGGTGTTTGCGACTAATGACTCACCGGAATCACAGATAGAGTTCGAGAAGGGTGATCCTCGGAATCCCATCAACTTCACTTCCCGACGAAAGTGGATTATCACTCTGACAGCATGTTTCTTCACTGCGCTCTCTGGTAGGGCTGTTCATCAATCTCTTTACAATTTACCTTTGGCTCTGACGTCGCTGATTTATAGCTGCGGCCGCTTCGACCTATAATATGGGCTGGCCTTCAATGATCCGTGACCTCAATTGCACCGAATTTCAAGCGACCATCGGTCTTTCCCTCTACTGTCTTGGTTTTGCAGTGGTTCCCTTGGTATCTGCATCTTTCAGTGAAGAGTTTGGTCGTCAACCACTTTACATTGCTTCCACCATCGGTTTCGCTTTGATGCACCTCATGATTGCCCTGTAAGTTCTCATTTATACCACCTATACATGGGCTGAGCCTTACGTTATGCCTGTAGCTCTCAGAACATCCAAACAGTGCAAATTGCACGATTCCTCTCTGGTGCCTTTGGCTCTACAGGTTCTACCATGGTATAGTTGACTTCTCTTTGCATACATTGGCTTCCATTCCTGACTCTTTCATAGGTCGGAGGATCTGTTGCCGATATCTGGCTTCCTCACGAGTGAGTCATGCATCTTGTGTCTTACCCGAGTATCCATCTGACCACATGTATAGACGCGGACTTCCGATGTCCCTATTTGCCGTCGCAGCCATCGCAGCTACAGGTCTTGGTCCTCTCGCGGCAGGATGGATGGAAATGAACCCTCGTCTCGAATGGCGTTGGATTCAGTGGATCCACCTGACGTGAGCGCTTTTCCTATATTCCGCCCTGCTTTCTTCCTCCTGGCAGTATGGAGACCCAACTCATCATCGTTATACAGCGTTACTGGCGTGTTTGCTGTGTCTATCCCCATTTTGATGAAGGAGACGCGTTCGTCGGTTCTTTTGACACGTATGGCTAAGAAATTACGAAAGACAACTGGCGATAAGCGATACCGAGCGCGAGTCGAAGATGAGCGTGCCAGTTTGAGGACTTTGATTTACATTTCATGCACTCGACCCATCTGTGAGTTTCAAAATTTGTTCACGTATGGCCCCGCTCCCTGATGATCATCGCTCGCAGACTTGTTGTTCACAGAACCGGTGGTGGCGAGCTTCAGTGTAAGCTTCAAACCTGACTAACGTTTTGTGTCTACGATCTAATGATCAGCACCACTTTCATAGTTATGGGTTGGCTTCGCATGGGGTATCCTATATGTTTTGATTGAGTGAGTTTCTTGCTTCTAGAAATACGATTGACGAACTCTTCATTGATCAATCCCGTTGCTCCATAGGTCCATTGCACCCGTGTTCAGAACTCTGCACAATTTCAATCAGGGCGAAATAGGCACAGTCTTTATCGCGTTCTTGTACGTATTCCTTCAATTTCAAAAGCCCTCTTTGAATTGCTTTTGTCATGCTCGAGATAGACGCTGACGTTTAGCTTTAGCATTGGAAGCATTCTGGGCTTCTTTACCAATCTCTATCAAGAGAAACTTTATCAGTATGTCCAAATATGACCTCTTTAATCCATATGGAGATCTGAATGTCATCCATTTTGCTAATATACATTTTACAGGAAGACTGTAGGACGTCGCGGGCCTGAGGCGCGGCTGTATTCTTCGATGTTTGCGGCTATACTGTTCCCCGCTGCTATGTTTATTTACGCCTGGTGTACATTACCTGGAATTCACTGGATCTCGTTGGCTATAGGCATTACCGTAAGCACACATTCCCTACGCCCCCCATTGCCCCACTTATCTGAGCTCATTTTCACAACAGCTTTTCACCTGGGCCTTATTCATTATCTATCTCGCTGTATTCACATACTTGGCTGATTGGTACGTACGCTCGTCTGTACACCAATGTATCCACACAACCTAACACACTACACCAGCTACGGCCCATTCGCATCTTCTGCCCTTGCTGGTCAAAGTCTCAGTCGAAACATTATGGGAACAATCTTCCCTCTGTTCACCGCTGCAATGTACAACAACCTAACATACAAATGGGCCAACACCCTCTTCGCGTGTATCGGTCTGATAATGATTCCTATTCCAGTCGTACGTTGGATTATTACTACTACCTCTTATCTCCTCGTTCTGAATATAGATAATTGGCAGATTCTGTTCTTCAAGGGACCTGCTATCCGGGCTAGGAGCAAGTTTGCGTCTCAGGTCATGGAGAAAGTTATCGAGGAGAAGTAGACTTCAAACCGGGTCAACGCTTTAGCCCGGTTTCACACACTCACACCTTCGTGGCACTCAACCGCTTAGAGGAAACGTCTTTCACGATACATGCACCCATAGACAGGGTCAACTTAGTGTTGCTTTCGCATTGCGAAGCTAGTCGAGAGCAGGAGGGTTCAAAAGACAGACCCGCTGTTCCCCATTGACGTCGAGAGGGACAATACAATTCTCGATATAGTTCCATTTCTTTCATCCTTCCTAGACCTTATAGACTTGCCGTAGTCGGACTCATCACTGTATACATGGGACTCGTAGAATCTCGCACCCTGGGTCTGCTGCAGCATCGCTTTGTATATAGTTTTTTCCTCTTTTCCTTTCTTCTTTGATTACATTAGGCCGATTACATCGTCATCTCTTCGATTTCTACATAGTTCAGATGTTGCGCTCTCTGCCAATCGTCTGCCAAGAATTCGCGTTCCCAAAATGGTAATTCCGGTAAGTGCCGGGATGTTTGTTTGGTCAGCTGGAGGCCGTAGCCAAACAACCGCCTGCAAAGTTCAAGCGAACATCCAAGTTCAAGTTCCTCGTTTGGGATCGTCAAAGCTTGAGGGAGCACGATGGATCCTTTAGCTGGTATGGACGATTCGTCCACTGACGATGATGCTGCATCACAAACGACCGAGGACGACCCTCAGGTTCCCGAAAGACAAGCACCTCCACCTCCTCCACCGCCCCAGCCTGCTCCTCCACCTCCAGCTACGAATGCGAGGGACGTGCCACATTATCAACTGCAGCATACTATGCAGGGACATACGTCTTCTATATCTGCTGTCAAATTTAGCCCAGATGGCACACTTTTAGCTTCTTGTGGTACGTATGTTCGACATTCAGTTCCAGACTGGAATAATTATGTCAGCGAATAGCAAACGACAAGGTGGTGAAAATCTGGTCACCATTCACCGGGGAGCTCATCCGAAATCTCAATGGACATACCAAAGGACTTTCTGATATTGCATGGTCTTCAGACAGCGTATACCTAGCTTCAGCGTCTGATGATCATACCGTCCGAATATGGGACGTTGAATCTGTGCGTGCAGTTTGCTTCTTTGTGCAAAGGCTCAAAAATAAAACCAGCTGACCTAATAAAGGGCTTGACCACGAGAGTGCTGAAAGGGCACTCTAGTTATGTATTCTGTGTGAACTATAATATGGCCTCAAACCTGCTGGTCTCTGGTGGGTGCGACGGCGACGTACGAATATGGAACCCTCAAAAAGGTAGGATGAATAAGGTTTCCCCCTCCCCACGCATTGCTAACGTTTTATACAGGGAAATGCATGAAAACTATTCATGCTCATTTAGACTATGTAACTGCTGTCCATTTCAATCGAGACGCCACTCTTATCGTCTCCTGTGCCCTGGACGGCCTAATGTAAGTGTAGTGTCATTTCCTCAGTAACGCTACGTATTCATCCTCATATAGTCGAATATGGAACACAACTTCTGGACAGTGTCTGAAGACGTTGGCTGAAGGTCATGATGCTATCTGGTTAGTCGCACAAATAACGTTCAGTAATCGGTGCCCTGAATCATTTTTGCAGTCAACACGTTCAGTTCTCCCCTAACTCCAAGTATATCCTATCAACCGCACATGATAGCGCAATCCGGCTGTGGGACTACCAAACTTCACGATGTCTGAAGACCTACACAGGTCACACGAACCAAAAGTATTGTATTGCTGCATGCTTTAGCGTCACTGGGGGCAAATGGATCGTCTCTGGAAGCGAAGACAACAAGGTATACCTTTGGAACCTACAAACGAGACAGATCGTTCAAACTCTAGAAGGCCATACTGGTAAGTCCTCATCTATTCATAACTATAGGCCCTGCTGACGTGGTTCATTACAGATGTTGTAGTCGCCGTTGCTGTAAGTGATGATACAGTCTACCTCCTACCGAGAGCATATTTTGAAACACTTCTGCAGACCCACCCACACCAAAACATGATCGCCTCTGCTTCCATGGAGTCTGACCTCTCAGTTCGAGTATGGGTGGACCGAGGTCCTCCACCTTTATGATGATTCTTTGCTGTACTCTTTGTATCCTTATCTCTCTTGTACTAGTTGTAACATAATTATTGGATTCGCCTGGAATAGAAGTTCACCCTCATGAAGCTAAGAGAAACGTAATCCAGAGTGCGTCTTTATAGATAGTATACAATGCCAAAAACGACGAAAACATGTGTAGATGCAAGGGAATTTCATTGTGAGGCTGTGGACGATATGAATATTACTCTACTATTTCACCGGCTCCGCGTTTATGAGGTCTACAATCGCGACATTAGATGCATGCAGGACATACACATCGTGTGCATGCTTACCTTTCGCAAGTTCTCTTTCTGCTTCAGTCAGACCAGAATCGTGAGCTTCAAGGAATGCATCGACCTGATCGGCTCGTTAGTAAGACGTCATCTAAAAGCAAAACTGACTCGCCTCGTCCATCACACCGTCATCCGCAATCTCACTGCCATCATCACTTTCTTCGTCATCGTCCTTCGCATCGTCAATTGCAAATGGTGTACGTTCCATCATCGCTGCAGCGTTGGCAGCAGCTTGGAAGATAGAGGGCATAGGTGAGAACTCTGACGATGAGATATCTGATGCGAGGCTCTGTTGATCCACCGTAAGGGTGGATGAGGATGAAGTTTGCAACGCCGATGGAGCGGCAACGCCTGAGGAGCTCTCTGTTGCGGTCAAGCTTGACTTGGAAGCAGAACGACGCATTGTACCCGTGAGAAGTGATTCTCGGGCCTTAGGTTCCTCCAGATGAGTGAACTTGCCAATGGCTGGACGGTGGAAGACCTAAACAACCGTGTGTGTGAATGGAGACAGTAGCAGATAATTCACATAAACACCTACCTGGTGCTTGCCAATGGTCTTGCCGATCTCGTCTGTGACTTTCTGGAATATCTTACGATTATCGTCACTCGCGATATTCTGCCATAGACCACCCAAGAGACCAGTATTTGAGTTTGGAATCTCCATAATGGGCACTGGTTCCAGTCGGAAAGTGCTTGAGAAGTCGGTCTCAAAGAACGACTCTAGTATCTCGTCAGCTAGCACAACCATACGGAAGCTGCAAGTGCGTCAATCAGCACAGAAGTCGGGTGCAAGAATAATGGGACTCACGTAGCCAAGTTCATGTATGGTTGATTGGATTCAACCGGAGGTGGCTCATCATCGAGGTCGCTACCGTCGGGTCGAGGTAGCAATGCATCACCATATTCAAACGCGTTGGACATGAAACGGCTGACAGCACCGAGATAAGCATCACCTATCTCGAACCGGAAGATAAACTACGCAGAGCAAGTGAGATCGACCGTCTGCGAAAGAAATTGTGATCACAAACCAGTAGGGACTCAGACAAGGTCAATACTTCGTCTTTCGTAAGGTAGCCATCCTTGTTCTTGTCATGCAAATTGAAGAACCACTCGATGTTCTCCATGAGGTCGTTGAACATCACGCCGTTTAGGCCGGACACGAGATCCTAGGAACCATTTTAGTGCATGCGCGGGAATTGTGCCTGTGTCTATGAATACTCACCTGAAGAGATAACGCGCCTCTATAAGAGGTGTCCCAGAAATAGAAGAGACGGTCGATGAGTTCGTGTTCAGCAATCGTGCGATCGACCCTTTGCTGACAAGAGATATTGATTTGGACAAACTATGAGCAACATGGGGGCAACGCACTTGGAATCCATTCGAGACGATCTTCTCTGTTCTTGCCCAAGTTGCGATCTCACTTAGGAACACCCTGAAAGTCTTCAAGCCAATACGAGTCTCAGGTCTCTCTTCTCCCGTATCTTTCGTAGTCAACAAAGCGACAGGCGGTAACGGGGCAACTGGAGGTGGTTCGACACAGATGGCCTTGAACAAGGCATCGTAGATGAGACCTGCTTGCTCCTTAGTGAAGCGCTCCAAAGTCTTGAGGTTCCGAATCGCCGACCGTTTGGAGAAAGACTCGATACTGGTAACGATCTCGCTTCGGAACTTGCGACGTTCGTTGAGAATGGTGTCATCCGTAATAACCGCGAACTCTCGGAAAGAGACTAGGAGAAGTTCTTGGAAACGTGTGATTGCGCGTGCACGGGGATCTGAAGACTCCGGATGTGCTGAATCACCCAAGGACGCGAAGTACTCTCTCATCAGACTGATAGATTGTACTGAGTCAAAGACAGGATGAATGAGGAACTTTTGACCCACTGAATGAATCCACCGTCATCCTGAATCTGGAGAAGCTTTTCTCCGTTGATTTTGAGTATAGCTGTTTGAATGTGAGTAAGGGGAGGATACGTCGTGATCAACGATGAACTTGCCAAGTCTAAGAGATGCACGAAATCAGGATGGTAGAGTAAGACAATGTAGAGCCACTCACGCTACTTGGAATAGTACCTTGGGTCCCATGCAGAAGAAACAATCTATTATCCGGAAAGCAAACACCATAGGCATGCTGTTGATAAATCTGTGCCATGATAATGAGCCATGGTTACTCGGTGAACGAATGCTAGTCTGCATACAAACTCAGGAACCAAGGAAGGGACGCGACCGATAGTTGGACGTCGACTTGCGTGAAGTGGTCGTAGATGACAGGAAGACAGCGGTGTACCAGTGACTCGAATACGCGCTGATCGAGTAGAGTTCCATGCATTGAAGGACTGAGATCCAGATACCGTTAGCATAGCTCAGTTAAACGGCATGGATCGGCGCTACCTGTAATAGCCCGGTAGCAAACGATCACAAATGACTTCAAGTAACCAGAATGCCTGCTCTTCAGACATATAGCTATACGCGAATTAGCACACAGACATTTTAGAAAGCAAGAAGTTGGCTTTACATCAGAATTGCGGCCGCAAGTATATTCATCGCCTAGAATGACTAAAGCTATAGAAAGCATGACTCACAGCTAGACTTGTGGCTTACCTGACAATAACCAGTCTCGGTGTTCCTGAAGGAATAGGCTTGGAGCACCCTTCTGAGAGCACCGATACCTTCTTCACTCTGATACGCCGAGTATTCAGGCAAGCTCCGGTGAAGGTCCTTCTCAATTTCTTCCGTACTTGTACTTGTCCGTCCTTCGTTATCTTTCAGTATACGTTCGTACATTCCAGGGTGGGCAAATCGCAGGTATATTGAGCCAGAGAGGGTTTCCCACATCTCCCCACGGAGCCGATTGGGTAGTCCTACCTGAACCAAACGAGTACATTGTGGATATCGAAGGAGAGTAAGATTTCGTCCGTGGCCTTGCAATCGGGTAAATGGAAATCCGTGACATATACTCAGTTGACTTACATTTGAGGTATGTAGTCCACAGTTTACTTTTCGAGGCCTCTCTTAGCCTAATGACTCGTAAGTTCCATTTTATGCAGTGAGCACAATCGGACATCACTCACTTCTTGGGGTCACCGGGGAACTTGAACTTGAGTCCCAGTCCCCCGAGATACATGGACTCGGAGCTATCAGAAACGTCCCCATCTGCTTTGCTAGCCGCACTATCCTTGCTGTCGTCCCCGGAACTGGCAACAAGGACTTCAGAGTAGCATGTCTTGACAAAGCCTTTAACAGCCTTCATTTGACCACGCTGAAGTTCTGCCTTGAGTGCATCCCGAAGCAAAGCACAGAAGAGATCGGCAGTAGGCCTTAGTGATGTCAGCTGTACGACCTATATGCACGCGGGTCAATATTTCTGAACAACCGGTAGGTAGAGTGCACTTACGATCTTCATGCCATGCCATAGCGACAAACTCAGCGCATAAATTCCCGCACGAGCGTTCAACCTCTCAACTCGGCGAATTGTACATAGCGGAAGCGTGAACCGTACGGACTTGCGATCAAGTGAACTGAATGTCAGATATGGCGGGAGCAAGTACAGCTTCCCTGGCTATATAACAATAGTCAAATGACACTTCTTTGAGACTGGCAGCACAACATGGATCTGCTGACACTCACGTATGGATCCTCCTCCGCATCCTGACCCAGTGTCAGGACCGCACTGATGTCCATTCTCTCCTGCTCATTTACCTTCTCTCCTACACCGACCTGGGCATCCAGAGGTAAGGAGAAGAAAAGCTGGGTGAGCTGGTCCTTCGTAGGTTCCCTGAAGTTCCTCAATTGTGTGGATATCATCGCCATTGTGCAGTGTTCAGTGTCTAGTGTTCACTGAAACCAGGATGAGACAGAAGCCGAAAAGAAGTGGCCAGCGTAACCTTATCGTCGTGAGGGTAATTCTAGGAAATTGTGCGAGATGTCTGCACCGAGTCCAGGAAGAGAACAGACGGTCAGCTGTTGCGACCTCCTGGCGGTGTATGGTATGGATGGTCTTCCACTCAAGGCTGTGGCTGGGCGACTAAGTTAGCCCGCTCTGACTTCGATCGAGCGGGATGCGTATTTGATGGCAAGTGCTCAATTATAAGGAAGTCCAAGTAGTTGGGGTCCCGAATCGAAACTCGGCCCTACAAAATATGCAGCAAGGACATCGAAAACATATTTCATATGCGATAACAATTGCGAAGTACAGATACAAATTGGATGAGGCACAACTGGGGATTACTACCTAACCGTCGTATAGCAGGCATCTATAGATAATGACAACAACACTGTAAAGGAGGGCGGGCGGGAGAGCGTGGACGGTGACAGAGAATAATGTTACTAATATACGGAGAGTCATTTCATTGTCATTTGAGGTCGTAGTAATCGTTTTGTGGGTCATTCTAGTCGTGATCGGTTTCCGGAGGGTCCCAATGAGAGAGAGAAAGGTGCATCAGAGTATCATGAATGCTGTTGTCGTTGACGATAGAGCATTCGGGCGCGCTCCATAGCTTCCTGTGCTTCAGCAGATATGAGATCCTCTTCGTCCTCACGATGGCTTGTCGTGACGAAGGATCGAGCGTCGGACTCAACAGAGATACCTCGACCAGGCCGTCGAGGAGACTCTGTAACTTGCCTTGAGTAACTAACGTCGAAGCGCTTCTTGCGCGGAGACGACTGAGGAGAAGGTGTATGGGCGCCTCTCAGAGGAGAGAAGCTGGGCAGGGGAGCGTGTCGAGGACGCGTTCTCCCTCTACGCATGGAACCCGTCGAGGAAGATGTTGGCAGTAGCTCGTCTTCGATCCAAGCACCGGAACCATCATCGACTTCGTCTTCTTGAGCTTCACTCATGACGACGATCTCTTTACCGAGTGCACGCTTTCCCTCCTCAATCAATCGGTTCAGTCGATCACTCATCCAATCCATCTACAGCATATTTGTCAGGACGATTAAAAAATTAATCCACTGAAATTCCCACCTGCTCATCAACCTCGCCATGAGGTTCGGTCTCGTCGGGACCTGAGGTAAAGGCATCCGGAATGAGTGCGTGGCGTGGGGGCGAGACACCACGGGGAAGAGTGTGGGTATGTACATGAGAACGAGAGGGAGTTTTGCGATGGCGAGGGACTGTGCGTCGACCAGCAACATATTGTGGCTTCTTCGATCGCGGGGTAGCAGGAGTGACCTTCGTCTCTGGAACTGGCGAGGTGTTTCCTTCCTGCTATAATTATTGTCAGATGATTGAAGTCGCAGATAGGCAAATAAAGGCGTACTGGTTTTGGTACCCATTCCCCTTGTTCGTATGGAGGTGGAGGTAGTGCTTCAGGTTGTCTGCCACGATTCCGCCATCTGATCATGAATGAAGATTAGCATGTTATTCATTGAGTAGATTGGAATTCCACGCACAGGCGATACACAGTAAGGCCGACAGCAGTGCCGATAAGAGCCGCGCTCAACGCGGTCGATACAATAGAGCCAGCAAGCGTTTTACGCCGCTTGGGAGCGGGAATGTCTATGGATACATGAAGAGTGAGTGTCGTTGTCATTGTCAGGAGCACCACAACCCAGATGAAGGTAACATTTATAGTGTCGCAGAGGCTCTGCAATCGTGTCAATAAGCAAGGAGGTGGCATGTACGCAGGAAACACGCTGATAACGTGCGTTCAAGCACCACAGCCCTTTATCCTACCCGGATGCGGAGCCCACTCACCTCCAACCATTTCCTCTATTTCATCGTCCTCGTGTGATTGGGCCATATCTCGGTACTTTGCGGGCGTGTCTAGATAACCACTCGTGCTCGTGGGTATAGCGGCAGCCTGACTTGGCTCAGAGATGGACGGTACCCAACCTCTCTTTCGTGATAGTGGTTGAGAAGATGATAGACAAGGAGAGGGGGCTCTGCGGCGAATAGGTCCCACTTTGGCTTCGGGCTTGTTATACTTATCATGCTTGTCATTGCTGGAATGCACAGATTCAGAATGGGAATACGGCGCCTTAACCGGCCGGTAGAATGCTGAGGATGAGAAAGGGTTAGGAATGCCCGGTACTGAGAAACTGAAGCTGAATGGGAACGGCATGGGCATGATGATGGACGAGGTCAAGGAGAAACGACGCCTCGAGTCGTTCGACCGGCCTGGTGGTCGTCGGAAAACAAGTTCGCGAATTCCCCAAGCGGAAGCGCCCGATCGCGATGAACTTGTTCAATCTCAACTTGCTTCAAGTTCAAGTAGCATTTATAATACTTAGCATCTTCCATCATTCAATCTAGTTCATAAATATTCTGCTCTCGCGACCAAACATACTGGCGTTCGGGTAGGGTAGATTATCTATCTATTCGTGCTGCTCAATATTGGCAACTTACATGCGTATCAAATCACTTCAGGAAGTTCTAAGATTTACGTTCAGCCTCTAGTTACGTTGTTGGATCCAGACAGTCCCTTTCTCACCTTGCTAGATATCCGGCTACCGACGCTCAAACTAGGCCTACGACATCGGTCGATACAGTTTCCATTACCAGTATTAACATGGATACCGATGACAAGCACACATTGATCATGACGAAGGAAGTTTTCCGCAAGATCTTGGTCGAAAGCCCCCGTGATGTTTCCCGGCTCGTCAGGGATGCTCATATGACGATCGGGCACGAAAGTCTCTGGTGCATGGCAGATCTTGGTCAATTCTTGAATGCGAAACCTCCCATGGTTGCACAGCTAAATGTGCTCTGCACAACATCCCTGCCACTAGAGTTACTCAACATACTTTCTGACGATCATTTGTATGTCACCTCTTTGTCTGAGGCCACTGCGGAAGAGATCCTTGATCACTATGTATGTCATTGCCGCATTGTCTCGCACGTTTCCTTACCGACATGCCATCAGAGTTACTCTATGGTTGTGCTGTCCTGCTTGGTTATGCTCGTAGCTTATATGAGAGATGACATCGAAATCGGCCCACATAGTGTAGCTTGCACGACACAAATAACCACTCTTTTAGACAGACTTCCTCGGTATTTTGAGGTTGTATATAGCCTCCTCCTCAATCCAGCCTTCCGAGCCAAGGCTAACGCAAGCAGGGATTCCAATGCAGTCTTTCTTCAAGAGCTCGTCCAACTGGCTTCGCACATGATTTATTTGAGCAGCATAATGAGGTATGTACAATTTGTCTGTCTCTATGCAACGTTTGCACCAAATGGTCATCTGGTAGAAAACCCCGACCCCCTTCGCGCCACTTGGGAGTTGTTTTGTTGTTCTGTTGGAAAGGAATCAGGGAACCCGAGACCCACAACGCATGCATTCCAATGCTCTTCCGGCTAACAGATGGCGACCATGCCGAATACGCGTTGATACTCGAGGATGCGCTGTCATGTGTGTCTCAGTTCGACGAGATGCTGGACGACGTATTGCGAGCTCTTCGTAGTCGAAAAACACCGGCCTCTGCCATTTCTGCTCTTCTGGTGTTCGAAAAGGCCATGTTCTTATCTCCAAGAACTTTGGAGCGCACCTTGGCCCTCGATAGTCGACTAGGCACACTCCTTCGCTCGCACACTATACTCCATCGGCGGATGCACTGTTATTCCATGAATTACCCCGACGTCTTTGCTGCACGGCATCTTAGTTACAGTGTCCTTAGGTTCATATCCATATGTCAGAGTCATGCTTTAACTAACGCAATTTCCTAGTCTGACGTTCCAGTTCATCCGGCCAACGAATACGAAGAAGGAACATCTTCTTAAAAATCCTGGATTCCTGCGTGTCCTTGCGTGCGACATTAAACAAGCCGTTTCTGAACGATGGGACGTGATAGTAGGTAAGTTGAGAGCCTTGAGTCACATAATCCGATGCACTTCACCACAACGATACACCCAACTAGACAGGATCACATCCATTATTTCGGTATATAGGACGATATGTAGCAGGGCGAACAATGCCTACAGAATGCATCTCTGCGCCCTTGTTGGTCCTAGTGTCACTGGACTAATCGCGTATCTACGCGAGCAAATGTTCAGGGTCACGGACCATAAAAAATTAGCCCAAACAGCGTTGGCGTGCTGGGTCAGCCTGGGGGAGACTCTCGGGATAACTTCAATGCCTATTGATCCTCCGAGCTCGAACTATCGGCCATTATTGTGGAAATCATGTCATAATCTAAACTGCATTTGCCACGACGTGAAAGCTTGCCATCCTTTGAAGATCTGTAAAGGTTGTTGGCAGGTATATTATTGCTCGGAGAAGTGCCAGAAATTGTGAGTAATACTACGTGCGTTGTGTTTCCTTCGGTAACTCTTCTGACACTCTACGCTAGGGATTGGAAGCAAAGACACAGAGCCACATGTCGCTCTTGAATATGGCCAAGGTATACCTGTTCTAATACTCTATGGATGCCATATCTTGCTATCAATTTCACCTCTTTTTCCCTCTCGCAAATTCACTATCTTTCCAATGACAGAATATGGCATTGACCGTTATTTCTGATACGAAAGTGTACTGAAGACTTTGTTACGATGCGATACGAATTATAGTGCTATCAGGCAGCTTTTTGCAATGATGTATACTCTTTGAAAACTTATATGAATGATCATCCTTCTTGTCCTACGCCACTTCTCGTGACCAGGTTTCTGGTAGTCTTTCTCACAATGATCATGACAGAGCATACTTCGCACGGTTGGGTTGAGACTACTAGGCTCAAACGAACACACATTCACAGCATTTCATGAAAAAGTGGGCTCGAGCATTATCTATGAATTTGAGCGACCGTTGCTTTAAGTGTAGTTGCCTTTTTTGTATTCGTTGGCAATTGCCGAAGTTTCGATCACTCTGATCAACGCGTCGTTTCAGGGTAGTCTGAGCTTCCATTCCTTGCCAGTTATACGGTGGCTTTATGATACTCAGCAGGGGATGTAGCGTCTCATTTGCCAGGGCAATATCTAACTCTGCTGCAACAAAAGTCTTTTCAGACGCCAAATCCGCGGAATTTTTGGCCGCTGCGGCGTCGCCCTCCTCAATACCGCCTCTTCATGGTCTACCAGAGGTGTGTAATAAGTCTTCGTTACCAGTTCGGGTGTTGATTCGTGCCTATATCTACAGGTTATCGTTACAGGTTTGCACATTTTGTAATCCCAGGCACAGTCATCATTTACAACTTCATATTAGGTCGTGCCAATGTAGGCAAATCATCTTTGTTGAATGCAGTGCTGGGACGAACGAACCTCTTGATCACTAGCAAGAAGCCGGCAAGTCAATCCTTCCGTTGTTCATTTGCAGAACTCTAATATAGCATGTGACGCAGGGACGCACGCAAACTCTCAACTTCTACCGTGTAGGCGCACCTCCAGGATCGCTTCTCCTCGTCGATGCCCCGGGATACGGGTCAAGAGGACGGCCGGAATGGGGCAAGTTGTTTGACTATTATGTTGCAAACCGGGAGCAGTGCGTTGTTTTTGATCTATCATACTGTCGGAATCTCACATGCAATTTCAAGGTTAAAGAGAGTATACATCCTGTTCAACGCGAAGCATGGCCTAAACGATGTCGATCGCATGATGCTTCAGTCCCTGGATAGTCAAATCCAATCATCCAGCGGGAGCAGGTTCACTCTACAGGGCATCATAACGAAGGTGGATACTGTGGGCGCTGGCGCAGCGGATGCCGTCACAAAAATCCAGAAAGACATATTTGAGGTGGCTCCTACATGTCTTCCCGCTATTGTGACGTCCGCCACAAGGCGTCCTCTCTACGGAATTGAAGATGTCAGACGAAGTATTGTGGAGGCTTGTGGATTGGGGAACATACAAACTAAATCTATTCGCTCATGATGTATCGCCACAAACTCATCTTCCTGTACAGGTTTCTCCACTGAGTAACGAACGTCTTGCAGACTTTTCCACGCCATAACTTGCGATTCCAACATGAAAGTTCGGTAAGACTAAGATCGATTTGGAATCGGTACCTCCAGAAGCTTTACTTTCTCACTTGCCTTTCGGGGACCGGCTCGGCGTTACCCGTAAGTAATAGTTTTGCGAGATCCAGATCGCGGCAGGAAGCCTTTTTCTCTTCACTCGATCGGGATGGCTGCTTTAACTACAACAAATCTGCCTGCTTTAAAACTCGTATCGCGGGGAAAAGTGCGCGATGTCTATGCTACATCTTCCCCAGAACATCTTCTATTTGTCGCGACCGACCGCATATCTGCATACGATGTGATCCTACGGAATGTCCGTACACCTTCATATTCCCCCGCATTGAACTGGAAATGACTTGTCGTTTTGTTTGTGCCTTCTTATTTTCTCATGCTATGGCGCTGTTGTGGGTTTTCGTCTCAAGGGCGTCCCTGGCAAAGGCAAAATCCTCACGAAGATCTCGCTATTCTGGTTTGACAAGCTCAAGCATGTCATGCCGACCCACTTTGTCACTGCGAACGTCGATGAAACGCCAGAGGAAGTAAGACAGTACAAAGAACAGTTGGAGGACCGCGCTATGCTCGTAAAAAAGGCTACAGTGGTACCTTTGGAAGCCATAGTCAGGGGTTATCTTACTGGTTCGTGATCCCCCGAGTTTAGCTTTTGTCCTGAAGCACTGATATGCGTATGACGTCTGTACAGGATCCGGATGGTCGGAGTACAAGAAATCTGGGACTGTGCATGGGATCCCTCTTCCCTCAGGACTTGTAGAATCACAGAAGTTGCCCGAACCTCTGTTCACGCCTTCGACCAAGGCTGAGCAAGGTCAACACGACGAAAACATATCCCCCCAGCAGGGTGAGCATTTTCTAGTCTCTGAGCCCTACCCTAGATACTGAAGACGTCTTATAGCTGCTTCTTTGATCGGCCAAGAGCTCTACGACCAGATCTCAGCGAAAGCCATCCAGCTCTACAAAGAAGCTGCAGACTACGCATTGAGCCGAGGAGTCATTCTGGCCGACACCAAATTCGAGTTTGGCTTAGTAGCAACACCTAATGGAGACGAGCTCATTCTCATCGATGAGCTCCTCACTCCTGACTCATCACGTTACTGGCCCGCAAGCTCGTATGCCCCAGGTGGTCCTCAACCTAGCTTTGACAAGCAGTATCTTCGCGACTGGCTTGTGAGCTCTGGATTCCGCAAGGGCTTGGAGAGTGGTCCGGAAGGCCATGAGGGGCAAGGGTGGATTATGACTGAGGAAGTGGTCGAGGGTACCAGGAAACGGTATGACGAAGCATTGACGTTGCTGACTGGCGAGACATCGAAGTAAAAGAATACCAGAACACATTTAAAGCTGTAGAAGATAGAGAATAACATATATACTAGGCTATTGTGAACGTTCAACTCGAGGAATGATCTTAGCTGAGGTTCAAGTTTTGACAGCTGCTGAAGTCGGAAATTTCAGACGCAGTTAAATGTGGTCCAGTATACGAAACCACAGGTGAGTCACTTGATGCTTAGAGCATTAGTGATCTACCTTGCACTACACGAAAGAAGACCGCAGGAGAAGACTCATATACCTATGATATCCAAATAGATCTAGAATTAATCAGCAATCACTATGTGACTACGCCAGGCATCGCCTAGTTCTTCCAACTGCGAACATTTAGAATGAGCTCTTTTGTCTTGTCATCAAGAAAGACATGACTTACATTTTGACAGTCCTATCTCTACCGCCGCTTACCACCTTATCCGCTACAAAGTCAACACAGTAGACTTCATCTGTATGACCTGGAAGGTCAGTTTTAAGTTTGTACGTCTTCAGGTCCCATATCTACAAAAATAAACACATGTGAATGGTTCATTCCTCGCACATATATGCTTGAAGAAATGCATACCTTCAACGTGCTGTCTTTACTTGCACTAACGAGCATCCTCGAATCCGCACTCCAAGCGAGCCTATAAACAGCCCCAACATGGCCTCTCAATGTTGCTATGAACTTCCCAGTCCGTCCATCCCATACTCGCACACTATTGTCGAATGCAGCACTGGCGGCCCACCTTCCATCAGGACTAAAGGCAACATGTGAGACTTGTCGTTGATGACCAGTCAATCGGGCAATAGGTTTGAGTTTGCCTCCACGTTCAGCAGCTGCGGCTGCGTTTTCGGTGGTTGTAGTTCGGGAAGGGAAGAGGGACCAGAGGAAGAGTGTGTGGTCGTCTGAACCTGTAATGAGGAGCTCGCCGTTGGAAGAGACAATGTTGCTGTATCGCGCCAGGGCTTGCGCTTGTGCTAAACCGACTCAAATCAGGCTGTGATAAGAAAATGGATATGTGAGTCCTCACCTTCATCGTCAGAGACTGGCTTCTTGCCTATATGATCGAAGGGACCTGTTCTAAGCACAAAGTCGGTATTGAGGGTGAGCGTGGTCACCCAATGTGCGTGATCTTTCAGAGTGTGTAGAAGCTTGCCCTAAGGGTCAAACAAAGATCAGCTTGAAAGACGTTGTAAGTGTGGACTCAGATCCTGACCCCTTCAGCGTCCCATATCCGTACAGTACGATCACTTGAGGCTGTATACAGCACGCCTTTGCTATTCAGACCACCTCCACCCCATCTAACGACATTAACACTAGCAGTGTGACCACCAAGTGTATATTCGCATCGACGAGTAGCAGTATTCCAAACGCGGACTGTGCCATCTTTTGACGAGGAAGCCAGTCGAGGGGCTGAAGGGTTTCTGCAGACTCTCATTAATCAGGATGCATGACATGCGGGAATAGCACATACAGGTGTATAGGTTCCCAAGCAAGGGACGTGACCCATTTTGAATGACCTTTAAGTGCATCGCCAAGAGCCTTGCCAGTTTTGGGATCCCACAAACGAACCTGCAAACAATTATTTCGACATTTGAAGACCTGATAGTATAGCTACGTACATGTCCATCATGTCCTCCAGTAGCGAGTTTCCGTTCTAATGCCTCCCACTCCACACATAGGACCCAACCCTTATGACCGGACAGGGTGTGCGACGGCATTTCAGTGAAGAGGTCCCATAGACGAGCATTGCAATCTCCTGAGCCTGTTGCAAGAAGATTTCCCGTTGGAGAGAATGAAGCGCAAAGAATTGGAGAGGTATGTCCAGATAGCGTTGAAGAACATCTCGTTGCAGGTCGAACTCTGAACACCGCTTGAGGCGAACAATGAATAACGAAGACGTCTTCCGGTGTGAACGCCTGTGAGGGATGTGACAGTACGTCCTCTTCTATTGATTTTGAGATCGTAATCCTGGTTGGTGCTCCTCCATTTGAAGCATCCGGGGGCAAAGCGATGTGGAAGGCGAATGGGACTGGATCCTCGTCCTATCAGTTGATTACAGCAAAGGTTACTGTCATCGAGATGAGCGGTTTGTGATACGATACAAAACAACTAACCTTTGTGCTAAGCTTGTTTACCAATGCTTCCAAAGCACTCCGAGAAATGTTAGAAGGCAAGTTCACCGAAGGTGCCAATGGTGTCCCATCCTCCTCAGACACAAATTGGACCACAACATTGGGCGAGGGTTGTAGTGGTTCCGGCTCTGGTTCTGGTATGCCGTGGTACACCTTTTGTCGTTTTGGAGGGGGGAGCTGACTGGCCATAATGGCTTAGAGAGAGCCGTATGTTTTTGGATAGTGGAAAAGTACAGTGTGGTAGCGTGGGAGTGCGTGAGAATAAACTAGCCTGGAAAGGTAACTCTCTTCTGTCATTCGTTGCCTCAGCAGCTTTACTGTACTCAACTGTCTTAACAAATATTACAAATGCCCGCTCAAATATTCAGCACGAATCGTTGTCAGAGCCCAATCGGTTTCATTCTAACATGATATGTAACGGAGACTTCATGTCGACAAGCATACGTCCAGATGACTTCTGCCGGAGTGAGCATGCGATATACTTATAGCGAGAAGACCCACAACCCCAAATTGAAACAGGTCCACTTTTTGCAAATTTGCCATCTTACCCCGTAATACTTCAGTTGCTTCGGTTCTCCGTTCCATGGTAGTATTTCTTCTCAATTTTTTAATTCTGCAGGACGTTTGCACAGAAATCGATGGTTGGGTAAACATAGTACCTGTTAGGCTCTGATGGTTTCATGGAAGGGAGAGAGGCTCTAATACTAACAGGTCTCCGTGCATCCTCCTCTAACTTACTGCGCCGTCATGCTCTCGCCTTCCCAGCTTCGCTCGCATACGCTTTCTCAGAGTAGAACAGCCCCTCGCCCAGACCTCCGAGTATAATGCGGAAAAAATTCATGGGAGCCGTATGAATGTGATATAAATGTGACGAGCTCAGATTGTGTAGTGGCGCTGCTATTACTGCCGCACCCGACGTAAGTAGAACTGAAGGTGGAGGATGATATTGTTGGAGATCGGGTTGCTGAAGTCCTGTTGCTTGATTTAGAGTGATATTTTGCGGTTATGAATACGGAGCTCCATCATCTTATATACCGTCTGTATCACAGGAATTAGTGAATGACTATAAACCTGTTAGTCCCTGCTGCTTCAACTGAATTCGAACATACACATTTCCCAAAACGGGTCTCGTTTGGATCGGCTGAGTAGGGGGAGATCATAGACGTCGTGCTCCAAGACAAGCTGCAATCCCCGCATTAACAGTCCTTTGTTTCAGACATTCCTAGGTCAACGGTCCTGTAGAGTATCGAGAATAAATTTAAGGTAGACGTAGAAGGAAAGGCATAGAAGTTATCGCCGCGTGCCAAGACTACGTGTGAGTTTAACGACTAAGAAAGGCAAGGGCCTCTGTCATGCTGGCCTTTCTTGTCTTAGCCGTCTTACTGATTTGCTTTAGCACGGGGGTATGTCAAGGATGAATCATGCACCTTCTATATCTTGCCTTTGTTCCTACACAGAGGAAGTGTTTAAAGACTCCTGTTGAGGCATTTTCAATTTGACAGATCTTAAGTCTGCATTTCTTCACACGTTCGCGTTTCGCTTTCAAGTCGCTTCTACCGTTGACAGAAGGCTCCTGTGTTCAAAACCTCCCATTCGCCTACCTAGTACGTCTATACGAAGCATGTCGACCAAGATCGTACCTCGCCGTAGTGACGAACGAGGCCATGCCGACCATGGTTGGCTGAAGACATTTCATACCTTCTCATTTGCGATGTGAGTAAACAAAGATATGTCATCTCAAACTTATCCTAATACATCTCGTACAGGTACCGAAGTGCTGCTCATGACCAATTCGGTTCACTCAGAGTGATCAATGAGGACCGCGTCGAGCCTCGCACTGGTTTCGGCACTCATGGCCACCGTGAGTTCGAGATCTTCTCCTACGTCGTATCTGGAGAGCTGGAACAGTAGGTTCTTATCTCATCCTTGCACGAGTATATGTTGATTTCGCGGTTGATTTCAGTCAAGACTCTATGGGGAACCTTGAGATCCTAAAGAGGGGCGATCTCCAAATGACGTCTGCCGGAACAGGCATCCGCCATAGTGAGAAGGCCCATGGCACAAAGCCAGTCCATTTCTTGCAGATCTGGAGCATTCCTTCCACGAAGAACCTTACTCCACAATATTTCACTCGGTACGTTTCCTTCTCCGTTGTTGCGCGGAAGCTGACTAACTAGCTCTTGTTTGGCGCGATGCAGGCACTTCACCGATGAAGAGAAAAAGGACAAGTGGGTATGCATTGTTGCGCCGTCTGGATCAGATGGCGTCACGGAGAAGAGAGAGGCGACGGGACCAGCACCCGTCCATTCGCCTCTCACACTCTACGCCACTCTACTGTCGCCTTCGAAGTCCCTTTCGCATACACTTTCAAATACCAAGGCCTACTATCATGTCGTCCAAACTTCTGGATACAATCCAGACAAGGCCAGCGGAGGTCATGTGAAGGTGACCGGTGCAGACGGTGCGGTTGTGGATCTGAGAGAAGGCGATGGTGCATATATAACAGGAGATATTGGTGCCGAATTGAAGGCGGACAATGTGGGGGATCGCGTCGCCGAAATTCTGCTGTTCGACTTGGAATGATCTACTTCTGGTCGAGACTGATGAGTTTCAAGACCTCACTTTTCACATTCTGTTGCCCATATGATATAAATGGATATCTCAGCTGAACTTACTCGACTTCCAAAAGCGGTTTCATAGTCTGATCAATGGAATAGTTGCCTCATGGCTATCGCTACTCACCACATAACCCCGCAAAACTTCAGGCTTGGACGTCTGAATAGTGACATTCTCATCTGATACCTGACCGTGAAATTGCTTCGCGGAACTTTCTCCGCTTGATTGACACTTCGCATTGTTCGTCGGATCCTCCATCCGTACCTATATTGGTATGGACTGTTCCTCCTTTATTCCTGATAATTGCATCGAACTGAGATGCTATGTCTAGCTTAAATCTAGGTGTCTCTTACCAGAACTGCTGACGACTGTCAGCTCTCACGCTCATCCATGCAATTCAAATTGCCTCCTAGAATGATTGTGAGAGTATGATGACTCGCACGTTCATCCCATCATCTCAAGGCATACCTTCATGCTGCCATTGAGGACTCCGTCTATGGGAATTCTCAATTCTGAACCTTCTCTGGATCTGACCTTCCCATAGGGCGCCGCTCCGACCGGCGAATCACTGTAAGCCCCGTCTGGGACTGAATTTGCTTTATAGGGCTGCTCAGTAACACTTCATTCCTGGTTATTACAATGTCGGACCTAGACAAGATCCAATGGTGGTTGGAACCTGGGGCCGACCAGGCTATGATCCAGGACCAAATTGTGAGTGAATTCATCTAAAGCGGGCTCAAAGACCCACTATATGCGCTACGTACTTATGAACATCATCAAGGATCTTTCACTTTGACAGTCTGCGTGATTACATCAAGGTCGTCGGCCAACATTGTTATATCCGAATCATGCAGCGGAATGGCAGGAAACTACATCACACTTGGTTTGAACTTACGTAGCAAGAATGATATTCACTCGCTGTTATTTAGGGTGAATGTGCAGCAACTCTATTCGGCTCTTCTTACGGGTCCCAGATGTGCCGTTTGGAGGCCCTTCTTGACCGGAGTGCATTTTCCGCTTGGGAAATCATCTCACCAAATTCAAATCTTTGTTTCGTCCCTGCATTTTAGACCATGCGGTGCCCATGTACAGTAGGTCATGGGTCTGAGGACTAGCTTACTCGCTGCACTATAAAGAAGATCTGGACGGCTTGTAGAACTGTAGGAACAAGAGCTCCTCTTTCAGTACCCATTTCGCTCCCCCATAAGTCGATATGAAGTTCTTCAAGTCTTCCTTTGCTGCTGCTCTTGTGTCAACTATTATCACTCTGGTTTCCGCTGAGACCCATACCGTCATCTTTGACAATAGGTACAGTACCTACAACTCCGTTATATACATACATGCAGCTGATCAATCTACTTGTCTGATAGGTGCGGTCGCGGGACCGTAAGCTTTCCTTGCTTGCTTCACATGCATAGTGTCAGCTCAGCTGTTGTCGATATAGCCCATACTCCGGGCCCAAAATGGGGACATACTCTCTACAGGTGGACCGTTCACCATTGGCGGGCCTCTCATTGGCGCTATAGCGTACGTCCTAGATTCTACAAATTTGCGAGCGAGCTGATATTGACCATGATCCCAACCAGTTATCTTCAAATTGGTAAGCCCCTTTTGACACAATCATCTTCCTTCGAATATTAACACTCCTTCGCATTTCGTCTGAAGGTAGCTGCGGCAATAATGGCGAAGGTTGTACGTTGATCGAGACTACACTGCGCAACCCAACGTCGCCTGGCTCCGGTTCTTCTACCGATATCTCTCTCATCCCCCCGTATGTACTGATTCTGTCACTGGCAATCATGCCGTATGTCATATTACTTATACGCATTGTATTTCACCAGCCATACATTCTCGGTTACGAGTGGATTTGGGTAGGTCATGAAGCTTGCTGTCACTCTGCTGTTTGCTGAGCCTGAGAGCGGGTTAGTTATTTTAATGGTTGCGAGCCTGCGGGCGCAGATTGTACGCCTACCTGACACTCATTAAATGGAATGAGACTAACTGACTGCCCTGTAGGTGACAACCCAGACTGTCCTACCGCATTCCATCAACCAGGTGATACGAATGTCCAAGTTGCATGTCAAGTCAATGATGTTAGTACCTTCGTCACCCTCCTCACAACTATCGATACTCAATAGCCTCCTGTGAGAATAGGTCAACCTGGCCATTACGTTCTGTCTTTAACTGGGCTACCTCAAATGCGATCCTACTAGTCAAATAGGACAAACAAGACATTTTGTATTATAGGCTTGAGCTATATAAGAGAATCTGACTCGGAATCTGCAACCCACAGTGTAACTGGAATATTGAGATACATTCGGACGCCGTCTCATGATCGTAGTGCATATGTACAAGACAGGACCATAAATTTTTCATCAGTATGGCGTGAAGACTAGATACAGTTGTAACGTCGACATTCCTCCTTGTGTCCACCTTTCGTCCAATCCCTATCCCGAAGATAATGTATCTTTATCAGGTGCTCGTCTTTTGGAGCCTAGAAATGGTAGACTCACAGTCTCTGGCATTTAGTGCAGCAGTATCGTGCGTTCCAGCATCCTTTACAGATTTTCATTGGATGCCTCGGGTGCATATTGTGACAAAGACATTCATCCCAGTGACAAGCCTTCCATGATGGCGGGAACAGACCCGGCCGAATTTGACTCTCAGTATAAAGCTTGAGATGATTTTCCATGTTCATTTCACTACCGAAAATGTCCCAGGCGTTGCAAGCCTTCTTCGAGAGAGCAGTACGAAGTCTGCGGTCGAGTGACTTAAGAACATGCGTCGTTTTCACATAGTCCTTCAGAACGATGTCGCGGAGATGGGTGGAAGTGGTAAATCGGTGTTGATATTCACCCACATTACCATAGGTTTTCAGCATTTGGGCAATGGCATCTACGCTCAACATTCTGTCAGTAAAACGGGGCCGGAAAATCCATCCATGTTACTTACGGAACAAATCCTCATCGCCACGATTAACACAGGACGGTAGTATGTAAGTTACAATCTGCAGGAAATCAGCCGATTTGATCATCTGAATTGCGAGTCCACCACTTGGCTCGACAAAATTTAACATTTCGCTATGATCCGAGGTTCAATGAAAACACATGAGGTATTTGGAATTGAACACCTACTTCATAGAAGCGAGAGTCATTTTGATGACAGTATCAGAGGTTTCTTCGTCATCGAGGCAGAGCACTCGTTGACACAAGGTGGTCAACCCACTGATGCACTTCGCTACCATAGATTCCAGTGGCTTCCGAAAATTGCGTGGCCTGTGTTCCATCACCATGAAAAAGAGTACCAAAGAATGGGTCACGAAATCGCGTTCAATCTTATGGTCTATGAAGACAGCCACGAGGCCATCAAGGACATCTTGAACAATGTCATCACTCGGGGCTGCCTCGCAAAGAAAAAGCTCCGGAGTGGCTGCGTCTTTTAGAACGAGGCAGTATTGCATGGACATGTATACGATTTGCATGCAGCAAGCACGTGTTTGACGACCGAGGCTCACCCGCCAGCAGTAGAGCATGACGTGTGCGAGGCGTTCAGTGAAAGGTGGTAACCGGTGGCTCCACGTCAGCAGATGTTAGCTTTGGCTTTTGAAACATCTAGTCGTGACTTACACAAATTTCTCGTATAGTAGTGCGCTATGATGGCAAACTGTTACGAGAGTCATTCGCAATTGAAGATCATAACCGCCGTCTACTTTGTCTTTTTGGTCTGGAAAACAACCTTCTAGCATACCAGACGGGATTAATGTGTCCCATAAGAGATTCCAGAACCTTGGTAGCTTCCCCAGATAGTCCTCGATTATATCGCGATACTTGCCATGGCATTCATCAAAATAGGTATGGAGATACTTCGCCATCTTGAACATGGAACTGAAGATAGAGATTGGATAGAAGGCTTCCATGTGTGCAGCCTTAATGAAGGAGAATCGATAAAACCGACTTCATACGAAGCAAAATAACATACTTTTGGATCCACACCGAAGACATAAGACGTCTTATCCGAAACCAAGTCTGCTAGAAGACCGAGCACGCCAGTAGAGAGAAAGGAAGACATCTGCATGCGAGTGGGACCAGCAAGTAGTACATCTCTTATCTCTTTTGCTAAGGCCATTCGTGCAATATCGTTCTTTGAATGGAGTTCGCGCAGTGTATTGGCAACCTCCCCCGGTGCATCCCGTAGCATATCCTTGAATATCTTCGAGTCCCTCTGGTACGTGTTTGATTCGAAATACAAATATTTAGACGGCATGTCAGTATAAGGGAGTTCTGAGCCATGTTCCACGGTTTCATTTGACGACGCCATTCTTGGTCGGTGAGTGGCGTTGACACGGGGAGGGAATGACTGAAATAGTGTAAACACTAAGCATTGTTGGAGTCATAGAAGAATTACAGCACCTGAAGAAAGTGTTCGACGATCCTTTGTTTATTTCGATTGTACGATGCCGGTTGAAGGCAAAGAAACAAGAACAAAGACAAGGAGTGTTGGGCGCTCCGAACCTGCAGACCCATATGGAGTGGCCAGCCGTTTGCTAGTTAACGCTCACAGATAAGATAACGAGATGCTAGTGAACGACGCGGGCCCAAAGACGAAATCATGGTAAACAGGATGTGAGTATTTGGCCGGTACCGTTAAATGGAAGTAGTCAGAACGGCGACATCCTATCTTGTGTGCCCCTTCTTCCAGTTGCTACTGCGCACAGAAGCGTACCGTAATCGGCTAGGTGCAGCGCTCCTGATCCTACTGCTCCCGGTCCCCCTCTTCTTCTTCAAGCTCGGAAGCAAGCTGGAAAGATTAGCAGTGGATCGCGTCCCTCTATACTGGAGTACGTCTTGTTGAGAAGAAGTCGAGACAAATCACAGCGGCGTCCGAGAGTGGGATTGGCATCAAGCAGTTGTTCGAAGTAGTCGACCGCATACAATACCAATTTGTATCCTGCGCCGAAGCAAACAATACACGAGCGATATGTATATGTTCACCTAGAGTGCGCACTGCAGGACCACATTGGATATCTGCCGCAGCGATCTTGGCTACGACTTCGGCCTCACTAAGTTATGATCGGCGTACGAAGTAGGCTCAAATGAAAACCTTAGGATATCTATGCCTGCTGGCGGCACAACAACCGGATCTTCGGTGGTAGAGGCTGTGAAGATTCATCTGCTTTCTTGGCGTCAGTTGTTTGGAATCGTTGCAGCTCTTCGTGATCAAGGCAGCGATAGTGACCATGGCACGTACGCGCTGGTTTATAAGGTTTTGGAACGGCTCGTCGGTTATCCCGATCCCAAGTTCGCCCGTAGTCATGGCGTGCCATTTCCCCAAACACCCGTGAAGAAGACCATCCAAAGAGGCCGAGCGATTGAGAAACATTTATTGAATGAATAGCGCGAAGCCCACACTGTCCCAAAGAAGGCTGTTATGATGGTATCGCAGAGCGCACTTGTTGATAACATGCACAAATGATTCAATTTTGTCTACAAGTTCGGAATATTCCTCGGGGTACTGAAGGCGCACGGCACAGATGAACTGCCAGTGCCTTGAATCATCATGAGACAATTAGGTGAGGCATCATACCTGAGAGTGATAGAGAGGCATACCGATATGTTTTTGTGAGTCGCCTTGCGTTCTTGCAGTTCGGATGCATACTTGCACAAATTCCAATCTATGAGCGGGCCCCTTCTTCTACTTTTCGTATGGAAAATCAGGATGTTTTCGTTGCTAATATCCCAATGTGGTATCCCGGCTTCCGCCCATGCACCTTCATGTGCTACAATGCGAGTATGTCGGTTTCTGTCCGTAATAAAAAAAATTCAAAACGACGAACCTTGAAAGATACATAAGGTATTATATATCAAATCGTGACTTGTCACGTATGTTTCCAGTGGACACCCAATTTCGTCGATGACGAGATGAATAAGCTGTAGCTCCAATGAATGGTGTACGGGCGTCGTGAAATATATCTTGCTTATATGTAATGCCGATTCTGCGGAGGCCTTGTGAATCGATAAGTCGAGACATTGTCGATTGTCGCAGTCTTCTTCCCAGACCCTTGTATGTTTTATTTGGAGCAGGTCGCCGCCAAGATCTAAAAACGGTTTGTATCAAAGAACACTACCTCGTTTCCTACTTCAGTAATCTTCGAATGCATGAAATAAAGTATTGACATACCAGAACCTTGTTCGGGTCCTTAAGACAGATCTTTGTGGGTTTGTCACAGCCAGGCTCAAATATTTCCAACGTCATTAAAGTTGAACGCCTTGTCGCGGAATTCTTCAGGAATGATGGCTCGCGTCAAAGTTGAGGTCTTCGTTGTCGTTGCCTGGCAACCAGTCCGAGAACCAATTGTTGAGTTCTTCTTGATAGAGAAATGCATATATGGCCTCTTCAGCCAAGGCGCGGTTTCTTGTCGGTGGCAAGTTGGCGTTGCCACTTGCAGAACAAATGAAGTCAACCACGAGAGCATTACATGTGGATGTTAAGCTGATGATGACAGAAGAGGTACAAACGGCCAACTCGAGTGTGAGTGCGAGCACCAAAGCCATCAGCTTCAGTGACTTCGAAGTCACCTACGTTGCATCCACGTAGCATTTGTTCCGCATTATGACATCAGATGTATACAAGTGTTTCAATTTCGTAGGCGTCTCAAGATAGTGTTGGGATGGTATCAAGAAAAGATTTCTTCAATGTGTCCTATTTGTCTTACTATTTGCGGTTGTTGTTTGAGAGCTTCAGTGGCTTTGCCGCTTTAGGCTTCCTCATTTTAAGACTTAAAAAGACTCCTCCCTATCTCGATATCAGATGTATTATGGGAAGTATAGACAGGGCAGAGAGTGGTGCCGTGCCTAAGGTAAGTATATTGCATACATTGAGCTCCGGAACAGGTATAGGGCATGGCACACTGCAGCCTGCCTACCTCTACTTCTCATCGAGGCTCAGCGCTTCATCGGGGTGCTGGTGAGCAATCAGAGCAGACCCTACTTGCATTTCACCCTGCAAATCTTCAATCACACCATCATCGGCGGCGGCAAGACAATCCACATCATCCTCTTCCGATACGGCCGCGAGCTCGGAAGTAGAAGTGGCATTCCCGCCAACCGCCCTTGCACCTGATCGTGATGTGCGCGACCACTTCGTCTTTTTGTTTTCCGGGACTTGAGGAGGGCGTGATCTCTTCTGAGAAGAAGTCGTGTGGGATTGCGTACCAACAATTGTGCGTCGTCCAGCAGTCAAGTTGACGTCAAGTAACTTGGCGAAGTAATCACGGTCGATTGGTTTAGTTTCCTTGCTCCAGCCGTCTGAGTCTTGAATCGCACCAACTAATACCTCAAAAATGTGCGTGTGGTTGTCCAAAGTGCGCCCACAGTACGTCGTGGTGGAACCAGGACCTGTGCCATCAGAATGGGTGTGATTGTCGTCGACAGAAGCCGCCGAAATGATCGCCAATAAAGAACCCAGATCTTGCTTCCTCAGTTCGGAAGGCCCTTTCGACCCGTTCTGCCCTTCGGGTGCCGTAACTGCCTCACGAATGCTCGGTGGTCGGAATTTCTCCAGCTCGTCCAAGTTAAGGCTTTGATAGTGGCTCTTGCAGATACGCATGAGTTTGTCGATGACCTTCTGTAATTTCTCATCAGAGATTAGCTTGAACCCAGCCTCGCCCGAGCGCATAGACTCCCACTTCCTGTGACATCCATAGAGTAAGCCTTCAGGAGATGTCGAACACTGCAAGAACATATCGTGAACAAAAATGGTGAACGAGTCCTCCATGCCAAGGAGATCGTGATGATGGTAGCGGAGGGCATGCCAGGTAATTACGTGGACGAATGACTCGATGTCGTCCGCCACCTCGTAGTACTTCTTTGGGTATTGCAGTCGCAATGCGGAAATGAATTGCCATGTGCCCTGCAAAGGCCATCAACATGTAGACTGCAGCGATGAAACACGAAAACTATCACTTACAGATCGATTGACATTTGTAGCAGTGCGAGCATTCACCTCGTCCTCGTACTTGCATAAATCCCAATCTATGAGCAACCCTCGCGTGCCGTTCTTCCCGTGCAAGATCAACATGTTGTTCTTGCTGATATCACGGTGAAGAACATGGGCTTTCTTCCAAGCCTGTTCATGTGCTGCATGAAATGACTTAGTACAAAGGACACAATATTGAGCTGCGATCCAGCTTACCTATGAAGGCGCTGAGAACAATGAAAATAAGCTCAAAGCTCGTTTCATACGTTTCGAGGGGAAATCCTATCTCGTTGATAACAAGTCGAGAGTGAATCCTTCCTTTAAGACGACAGCCGGTAATCAAATCCTGCGAAGACGTAGACTGAATTGTGCAATCGTGTACGTCGCCACCACATCGTATCGTAGCAATGTTTTGGACGTTGCTACTCTTTAGCCTTTCGTAAACTTCCCATTCAGGATGCGAATGTTCGGAGACCACTCGCCAACTGTCTTTGAGCCATACGAAGTCGTGCTCGACCAAATCGAACGCAACGAAACCTTTCGTCGCACGGCCAAACATAGAGGGACCCGGAGTTCGAGGCTTCCCGATGAGAAAATACGACTTCTTCTTCAATTTGTGATCGCACACTTCGACTTTGTACAAAGGCCAGAGAGAAACCAGGTCGTGGTTCAATGCGCCGTCCACAGCATCATTGATAAACGTCTGAATAGCACCGTGGTTCAACTTGTGATCTCTGAGGATTGAGATGTCACTAGGGGATGCAAGGACAGCAGTAGGATCATAACCCAGCCCCCAAGCATCTGCTTCAGCAAGACGATAGAAGAACTTCAATAGCGTCATGGGTGTTTTGATGTAATCAAAAGGCGGCGTCATGACGGCAGCAACCCTGTCCACTACAAACAGTCGGGCCAAGTTTCTGTAAATATAGAACGCGAAGGTGAACCGGCGATGCTGTCTCGAAAGAATCTCAGTGACGTATTCAGCGAATTGTCCACGAGTTTGACGAGCGTCATCGGTGTCTGGAAGGTCCAGAGTGGGTGTAGTACCAAAACCTTCTTTGGACTTGTCAACCTTTATCTCCCCAGGAAGGAGGGTCCATGAGTAAGCGGTACGACCAACGAAACATTTATGGGCATCAACGACATTCTTCTTGCTTTTGTCGTCAAGGCAGAAGGCTTCAGCCGCGGAGGTCCGGTGAATTGACAAGTCAGGACATTGTAAATAGTCACTTTCTTCTTTCCAGACACTGGTATCTTTAATATGTAGTGCGTCGTAATCGGCATTTCCACTCGACCTGTGAGCCGCAAGATCGAAGACGTTCTGTATCACGGGACACTGTCATATGTTACATATCAGTAGCTGTCGAAAGATAAAACCAATACAAAGGCTTACCAAAACCTTGTATAGATCTTTTTCGACACGGATATTAGTGGGTCCATCACTCTTCTTTTTAAAAGTAACATCGTCGAAGTTGAATAGCTTATCTTTGAAAGCTTCAGGGAGATCCTTTGATTCAAAGCTGAGCTCTTCACCATCTCTGCCAGGCAGCCAATCGGAGAACCACTTGTTGACATCTTCTTGATGGAGAGACGCGATCATCTCTTCTTGACCGATGATACGATATTGAGCGTTGGTCCTGGCCTTCCTGAGTGTCGCGTTCGTGGCTTTATGGGGAGACGCTTGTAGATGAGGATCAGTTGAGACCTCCGAGTGGGACTGCTTAGGAGTAACGGGACGTTCTGTAGATGTAGATGTAACGGGTGGGAGCTCAGGGTCTGTGAGAGCCGCAGAGCCGCCGTCAGCCTCGGGTAAACTCATCGTAAGGAATAAGGTAGACGAAATGTGGACTTACGGGTTACAAGAGGGCGAAGCTTTTATATGCGTTCAGTCAATTCTCTCAACCACACTGAGATGAAACATGTTGAGTAGTCCATTGTCCTTGACCTAATTGGGCGTGTGTGTGGACCACACTCACCTTTGTGCTTGGTTCCGATCGTCGAAAAAGTGACTGTGGTCACTGTGGATAGTCCCGTTTTAGGGCACAAAGAAGGTTGAGACTGGGGCGTGGGGACCGTTATCAAATCACTAATGGGAGCAATGGGAGCACGCGCGCGCAAGTCGAACATCAACCACAGTTCTAGCACGTGATCTTTACACGTGGACCGCAAGGCAGTGGGTCCCTGCGTACGCCCCTGCGACGCATGTGATCTATACTTTATAAATTTATTAGGAAGCGGTACGACGTATAACTATATAAAAGATGAGATTTCACGTTTCGGCACATAGAGGATTGGTGACGCGAAAATTGAAGCATGACTTACTGACAGCTTACACGGATAGAATCTATTCTGGATCAAGAGAACCGGTGTGGAATTAGGCTGTAAGCCAATCGCGCTTACGCACTGCCTTTGATTTAGAGATACAGTGTGGTATATCAATACCTGGTGAAATGCTTTCATGGGCCGAGTTTGTTCAATATATTTGCGCTTGTTTACTACGGCCTTCCACCAGTTTACCTTTTTAGGTACCAATCTATGGCAAGATAATATTGGTCCCGCAGCCGGCCGCTGCTGCTCGCAGTTACCCCAAACACCGTAAGAGGCAACAAGTAAGCCCAAGATCCGGGAAAACTCTCAGTGAATTGACACTGCCTTGAGAGTGAAGCACAATTTCGAAACTGAGTTAGATAAACAGGTACCTTTGGGCATAAAGCGGTTCGACGAAGATAACCATAATTACTCAGGTTTCCTGTAGCAGCACGGCCGCATTTGAGCTGCGCTTCTGGTCGCTGGTAAGTGTAGCCATCAAGTTCAAGATTGGAAGTCTTGACTTGTATGTTGGATGTGTAGAACTTACTTATCGCATGTCGGCATCACTTGGGGTTTCTACGGCATATCTAGATGCAGTGTTTCAAAGGTCAGGTCGCGAGGGTCAAGATCGTCATGACCCTTGACGGCTTGACTGTCAAGGTCAAGGGTCAGACGTTGGGTCAAGGGTTTCCGAGGCCACGTGGAAAGTCCTTCGACGGAAGGACGCCTGCCCCGTTTGTCTACGTGATCCACTGTGGATCATACAATGTCTTGAGCGAATTTTGTTCACCCAATCTCTTACACTACGGAACTACTTTAATCAATGATACACAAATTGTTTTGATTCATTTTAGGGAATAAAATAGGATGCAGGGGTTGATTCCTCATTCCAAGCCCTCTCTTCTCCCATGCACGCTGTCTGGCAGTACTACCGCACGCTCAAGGATGCGGAAGGGCATCTTGTCAAGTACAAGAATGACAGGACCCATAATGCCACCTGGTGCCTTGCATGCTTCAACCGAAAAGTCGAAAGCATTGAGATGTCAGAGAGGAATAGGTACCTTCTTGATCCCTTGACAGTGGTACGTGATCGCAAGGCTATCGAGAGTGACGGTGAGTATGAATGACGGACTTTGCATGTACATCGACATCTCTGTTGACTTTGCATTCCAGTGTACAGTTCCGTAAATCCTGTCGCGGGAAAGATTGATGATCTTCTCCATCACCTGTCAGAGTGTGAGAAGGCGAATCCAACGATACAGGCATGGGCACATCGCGAGTTGAACTTGCGTAAAGGAAAGGAGAACTGGGCTCCCACTGCCCCCTACTCCATTCTCGATACTATCAGCGGTACTCCCATTGTCCTCGGTAACACACCTAAGCGACCGCGGCTCTCAGGTTCATTTGACGACCTGGATGTCTCAACAGTTCACAATGGTCAACCCTTCCCACCTAATCTTCAAAAGGAATTCAACGCCGATGTCTGCGAGGTGTTCATTGCAAATGGCTGGGCCTGGAACGGTGCAGCTAATCCGGTCTGGATGAATTTCATCCAGAAGTGGATTCCCAGTGCAGAGAGACCCTCTCCATACACGTTGTCAGGTCCAGTGTTGAATGGGAAGGTTGCGGAGATTGAGGAATGAGTAAAGGTGTCAGTCTCAGGAAGGGTCGGTACTGGTCAGTGTGATGGGTGGAAGAACCGATCGAGAATGAATGTAGTCTCAACTTTGGTAACAGTCCAGGGTCAGGTAAATACTATTTTCATCTACCTTGCAAATGTCTTGCTCACTTTGCTCGGTTTCAGCCACACTTGGTTAACACGCATGATGTGTCTGCAAAACTGAAGACCGCAACCACCTTATTTAATCTTGTTCTTAACGACATCATATACCTTGTCTGCAATTGGAATATCAACTTGATCGCTTGGTGTTCTGATGCCGGAGGGGACTCAAAAGCCATGCGAAAAGAGCTTGCGCGGAAGCTACCTTGGCTTATTGTCCTGGACTGTTGGGCTCACCAGGTATGCTGTCATTTTTGATCATCTAATTGCCCTCCTGCTGACTTCATCATTGGAAGATCAACCTGGTAGTAGGTGACTACTTCAAGCTCAAGCTACCTTGTTTGGAATATGTCGATATGGCCCTCGAGTTAATCAAATGGTTCAATAATCACAGTTTTGCACTAGGGAAGCTTCGAGAAAATCAACAAGCAGCCGGGGCCTCTGTAGTTCTCATTCTTATCCTTCCCATTCTCACGTGATGGACATCTCATTACCTAGTGATCCATCGACTTCTCGAGCTCAAGCGTTATATTCGGGCATGCGTAGAGCTTCACATGGAGGCCCTTATTGCATGTGCAGGTAGCAAGGATGATGCGAGGGAGAGAGCCGAGTTGATACTAGGATATGTCGGGAATTGAGTGTTCTGGAAGTCTCTTGAAAGGTGAGTTTTTTTCAAATATCATTTTCTTGCTATCGACACTGATCCAGAGGCACCACTTCAGGGTCCATCAGGATCTTCAACCTCTCGCGATCGCAGCCAATATAGCGCAAGGATCAAGCACGCGAATGGATCACATTCTACTCTCGCAAACCTCTTTCAGATCTACAAAAATGGATCATACCCTGAAGCAACTCAGATTGGAACACAAGCAAGCCTGGAAAAGTGATGGCATAGAAATGCAGACCATGACGCTTTCATAATGGCTGTATTTCTCAACCCTTACATCTGACACTACCTGTTTTGCCAGCGAAATCCCGCACTACTTCCCATATCACTCTATGCCATGGCGATACGACTGTACACCAAGATGTTCCGCAAACAGGGTCAAACTATTGACGCGGGCTTTCACAGTGCATTTTGGAATTACATCGCTGGAATCCGTGAGTTCTCTCCTGAGCGAATGGCCCTTTCGGCTTTCAAGATGGCACATGAAGACAACGTAAGTCCTCTTACTTTGAATCTTAGAAACTCATTGCTGAAAAGTGATTATCACAGCCACGCAAAGTTCCTCTTGACATCGTTGTCATTTGGTCAGCTCTCGACAACCAATCATTCACAGGCCGTAACAGTTTTATCAAACTGGCCATTCATGTCCTTAGCATTGTCCCCAACTCCGCCGGTGCTGAACGTACCTTCAGTCAGATGGGACAGGTGCATAGCGCCCTTCGTAATCGGACCAATGCTCAGCTCATTCACAAGGAAGTCATTTTCAAGATGGACCTCAAGGTTCGATACGACTTTGGCACCTCTCGTTCCCAAAGGAGGTTCAAGGATTTCGCGAATGTGCAGACTCTCAGGCCTGCCAACATCTCGACTGCTATCACAGCCGTTAACTCAGAAATGGCAAGCTCAGCAGTACCGTCTCCTTCTGGTTCATCTGCCATCGCTGCTGTTCGCCCCTTTGCACTTGAAGCTCTAGCAGTCCTTGCGTCGAACAATAGCGAGCCTGACAATACTGAACCGCAAGAAGCGATTCCCTATCTCATGGAATCTGAACGACTTGAAGCCATTTCCGGTCCCTTGGTTGCTTCGGCAGAAGAAGACGACAACGCTAACTCGCACGATGCCGAGCAAAACTGGCCTCGTCGTAATGAAGACGGTGACTCGCCAGGTGTGCCTGAAGGCGAGTCCTCCACTGGTGATGGTCCTGGCGAGCCTGAGCGTACTTTGGCCTCTGATGACATAGCAGTAGAGGAGGGTCTTCTTTTGCGGAATTTGTTTGACTATGAGACTGAGGAGAGATTCGGGACTTTCTGTTGGCAGAAGGGGGTCATCAGCTTAGAGGCAGAAATGGACCTATATGAGTTCCTGACAGTTGGTGGAATGGAATAAGGGTCTCTTCATTTTTCATCATATTTACAATCTATTTTCTTAAATGAGCTCGAGTAGTACTCTACGCTATATACTTGGTACAGCGATGGCGGATACTCTGCGCGCTATTGGTGTGACCCGACGCGTGACCTGGGTCAAAAAGGTCATGACCGTCATGACCCTCGACATGACCGGGTCATTTCGAACACTGTCTAGATGTAACAGTGTCGTACTCAGAAGCGAGGCATGTAGTAAGACAATGGAAGAACAGACGGTTGATGCAGATGTCCCTTATCGGCCCTTTGCTTCCGCGCCAGCTCTCACTTAACCGGACAGCGAGCGCAGGGACGATTCGTCCATTGAAATAGCTGCTCTCTGCGGTAAGTTTTAACATGAACCCCCCAAGCAGCTTCCTTGGGTTTCGTGCTCTCAGGTAGCTCCACTTCAAGTATGATCACGAGATTGTCAAGGCGTCCTTGCTCCCCGTGTAAATATGCTTGCTGTAGCACCAGGACCGTCAACAAGTTTACCACTTTAGGCTTGCTCAAGAGGTTCCGTATTCGGGCAAGCACGAAGCCAGATTCTCCTACTTTACGCGAAAATAACTGAAAGTCTGAAATGGAAAAGCATTGAAAAACAATATTGACTTCAAGGCTTGGACATTTATGGTTACAGCTACTGATCCAACTAAAAGCTTGGTGGAGGCTGCAGCATAGGAGAAAGACGCTGTTTATGTCTACTTATCACTGGAGGAGATGTGTGTGAATAAGGACGGAATAATACACAAGATACTGACTTGCCTCTAGCTCAAGAACTTGGACCACGAAGGGGCAGGAGAATATGAGATGTGTATATTTCGGCTAACGGACGAGGGAAACGCTGTCCACAGTGGTATGAAAATATCGTGATACTGACTCGAGACGTCTGAGATTGCTACATCGCCAAACATTGGGTAGGAAGGCATAATAATTCCCCTTCACATAGTCGGGGCGAACAGTAGTTCCCCGAAGGAGATATGATCTTATACATCATGGTCGTAAAGCCACATGAGCATTCACGACTTCTCCCCTACTGAAGTAGTAGACGGGTCCGCAGCGGGCAGCAGACCTGCTCGTTGAGCGAATAATCGAAAGGATAGCCTGGGATCAGATTCTTCCTTGGCTCTAAGCAGGGGAATGTTAAGAGAAATGAACTTTTGAATGTGCAGAATACGAAGAAACAGTGTCGCACCTTCTTTTCATTTCACTGCGCCACGTAATCTCTCGCAACTCTGGGGTGCGCACTGTTGCACCAATAATACCAATCACGAGCGCGACTAGAGCTTCCGCAATGATCTAAACAGAGTTAAGTTGATATTTCCGTGACAATTGGAACGTAGTGACAGGACTTACATCTGCTGGTAGAGACCCTTCGGGTCTTCCGAGAGCTTTGAGATGTGATAGGTCTGAATCACACAGTTCAGGGACCGCGCAGTCAGCATACACTGAATTAAGAAAAGCTCACGTTCGTATGTTGAATATGCAGCTATAAGGATCCAGTTATCTATGATGCAGAACAGACCTGGCTCCGTCTAGAACTACGTACCATGGAGGACCGCTACGCAGGCCAGGATGATGAGCACGTCTCCAAACATTCTGCGAGCTACTCAGTTATCAACGCTGCCTAATATACAGAGGAAAGTCGCTGTATTTTCCAAAGGTGCAGGAATGAAACAAAGATACTTCAGCGTAGGGGATTTCACGAGGGGAATTGGAGAAGACGCTCATGTTTGATAGATATCGCTTACGTAATATCGCATTGCTTTTATGGGCGTTCAGCGGAAATCCCACCTTCGCCATCGCCGTTGACAACGACCGGACAGAGCTCACTGCTGTCCTCCACGTCCTCCTCTTTATTCAGGAGCCCTCAACGTCGTCTCCAACATCCTTGAATGTGCTGAACACTTGCTTTCTTTACATATTTGCTAATCCCTTCTAATCGTTGGTGCTTGTGGCTACCATGAACGCAACCCGGTATGACCACCCTCCACATTCACGACTACAGGGGCCGACCACGACAGGATGGTCCGTCTACGATGCGTATGATGAGAAGCAGCATCATGTGTCTACAAACGCCAGCTGGCTGGCAAGGTCACACAGTACTTTACCCCTCAATTACCGCGACCATGAGAAGCATCGCTCATGGATAGACGTCGACCCTACTTCTCCTCTTGCCCCTGCGATGCGACGTCTTACCCACCTCCGAAAATCCATATTGCGCAAGCTATCGTCTGCGGATGGCTTTTTTGGCTCAAGACGTGGGGGTCTTACAACCTCAGGGTCGTCATCGAATTGGGTAGTACCATCAGGAGATACTATCCGTTTCATTCTCCTCTGCAGCTTATGGTACATGTCATCTGCGCTCTCATCTAATACTGGAAAAGTCATCCTAAACCAATTCCGCTACCCCATTACTCTCACATTCGTACAATTTGGGTTCGTGGCGGCATATTGTCTGTTGTTCATGAGCCCTGTTGTTCGGTTCTCCACCCTCCGAAGACCCACAAAGTCTATTCTTCAGAGTACATTTCCGATGGGGTGTTTCCAAGTCGGCGGTCACATTTTCTCCAGTATGGCTATCTCACGGATCCCCGTCAGCACGGTGCACACTATCAAGGTCAGTGCTTAACACGGCCGTTCTGCCAACGACCTTGGAAGCTTACGATCTCCCGTAGGCTCTGTCACCACTATTCACAGTAGCTGCGTATGCACTGTTATTTGGCGTCAGTTATTCGGGAAAGACCTACTTTTCCTTGATTCCCCTCACCATCGGTGTCATGTTGGCTTGCAGCTCTGCCATGTCTGCGTCGAATTCTATAGGACTTCTGTGCGCTTTCGGTTCCGCCGTCGTTTTCGTGTCATCCAATATCTTCTTCAAGAAGCTTATGCCGTCCAACTCGAATTCAAGCTCCGGTTCAAGTCACAAACTTGACAAACTGAATCTGCTGTTCTATAGCAGTGGTATGGCGTTCCTCTTAATGGTGCCCATCTGGATGTACACGGACCTGCCGTCATTGATGTACCATACTCACATGCACGTCGACGACCATCACACCCATCCCGTGCTATCCACTTTCAATCATTTCGTCATCAATGGATCTGTGCACTTCTTGCAAAACGTACTGGCTTTCGTACTACTTGCCCGGACATCACCCGTAACATACAGCATCGCCTCGCTCATTAAGCGTGTCGCGGTGATCTGTATTGCTGTTGTGTGGTTCAAGCAACGGGTGCATCTGATCCAGGGGCTGGGTATCGGCCTCACATTCGTTGGCTTATGGTGTTATCATGGGGCGAAGGCAGATGTCGAAAAGGGGGAGAAGAAGGTTAGGAGAGTTGAGAATGCTCGAGAAGGCATGCTACCTAGTACGAAGAATGAAATCGAAAGTGAAACCGAGGAACGGGAGAAGGTTCAGGTACAGAGTACGAGTATCCCAGTTTCGTTGATATACTCTCGACCACGGGCGAACTCAGCAATGCACCACCATGTTGCACCTCCGCCCCCGCCATCGTTCGTACACTCACCTGCAAATGCGTATGCGCGCCCGCCTCCTCCCTCTCGTCATGCTTCAACCTATTCTCAAACGCACCCGCATATGAATCCTAATCTACAAGTCCACATTGCTCCTCACGAATCGCATCATGTTCCTGTGATAGTGAAGCCAGAGATCCCACCTTCTACGACGTCTCCCATAGATTCTTATCCCTCTCCACCTCCGTCAGACGCTTCTCCGCCCTCTAGTCCGGAGCTTGAAGGTCAGGAACGGTTAATAACGGCCGCGAAGTCCGGTGATAAGACGAGACGAGCGACCATTGCTGGACATACCTCTCATGGACCTTATGCTCATGGACATAAACGGATGGGGAGTGCAGTAAGAACGGAGATCGCTGTTGTCGCGTGAGATCCCAGAAAGGATGTATTTATCTCTATTTCCATTGTTGCTGCACGTATTCACTGGACCTTGCATTTAGTATGTAAGAGTTCCCTTGGTGCGTTTTCGCAGTTGCAAAATCTACGAGGCAAGACATGCGTCTCGGACATTCGTGCTTATGGATCTTGTTTGTGTTAATTTCTCCTCACGTGTTGGAAGCGTCAGCACATTTCTTGACGATGTACCATTCTTCACTGTGTTCTTTACCTTCCTCCTTAATTTCTTTTTTTCGCATCTTCTTTCATCGACTTTGAACGATCTTACCATATGAACTCTTGCACAAGTATCATCTGTAGACGTTTCTTGCAAAATACACTACGCTACCAATACCCGTTCATTCGTTTCTAGAACTCCGTAAACGTGCGGTGAATCCTCAAGCTTCAAGGCCTGAAGTCATATAGCCGATATAAGTACCAGAATTCTCCTGAGCACGTTCATGCACATGTATGAGGCGGCTAGGGACGATGGTAGAGGGACAGCATCCGAATAGAACATGCCACAAACAATGCATCAAATCCCAAAAATAACTAAACAAGAAGGGTAATATGAAGGAAGAAATGCAACGTGCAAGCAGCCTACACCAACAGCTCTACCGCCTATCATTGATACCATGCATGCCTCCAGCGCAAGAACTACAATCAAGGTCTTGTTCGACTCTGCTTTCGTCCATGATTACTCCCACCAACCGCTCGTTCCTCATCCATCGACCCACCGCTACCACTTCCACTCCCACTTCCACTAGCACTCCGACTGGCAGTGATAGTTCCCAAAATACTCGCGCCTTCATCTTCATCAAATAAAACTTCATCCACTTCCAATCCATCCGTCGTCTTGCTATTCGCAGGATTGAGGTTGGACTTTCGGACATTGGGGACTCGTCTTGAGCCTCTACCAGGTGCACTGACAAAGTCTGCGAAACTGCCTATGGATGAACCGCCATTTGAACCGGAACGGGCGTGTGAGGAACCAGAGGGCGTGAGTGGTGGTGGTGCAGGTGCTCGAACAGGTAGACGGTAGAAATCATCGACTTCTTCCTCTTCGTCGGGTAGTGCGGTGGTTGGATGTATAGGTTGATAATGTGATGGCAATGGTTGACGGGTATATGGAAGAGACCGATACGAGCCTTTGCGTAAGTGGCTTGCATAAGAATACAGAAGAAGAGCAAAGTATATCTACGGATGCTACACATTAGTAGACTCAGCATGGACGTGAAGGCGAACGTTGCGCACCTTCGCTATCCAGCCAAGCACGATCACGGTGGTAGCCATACCCTTCTCGTGATCCCACATTCTCATAGCAGCATATACTCTCTCTTCCTCGGACATATCGTTCTGGACTATATCAGGCGTACTCTTCGCCATTTCTTGTTGGGCGGGAGAGTTGGCCTGTTTCTTGCCATCGTGAGGTGTATAAACCCACCACAAGACGGCGAAGAAGACCGTCCATGCTGTGGAGAGTACGTGGTCCGCAAAGAATACATGGGCAAAGTACAGCGTATGTTTAGGGTCTTCCTATTGGCTTCATAGGTAAATGCATGTATGTTGTGGTAAATGTAGTAGAGTAACGCACGTGAGTGATGGCTCGTAGACCCCATGCCAAGGCTATGAGTCCTATTACAGAGTAGATGTACAAGCTCAGCTGAGCTGCAGATCCTCCAGCACCCGTAAGAACTGCGATCAACCCATATACACCTGCCACCTTGTTCAGGAGCTGTTTTGAAGCGTCAGTCTTAGAAGAAGCGCATAAATGTCTAGACATGGTACGAACGGCAAAGAGTAGGGCGATGGTCACACCAAGCTTAATATCTAGGAAGCCCAGAAACGAGGAGAGAGGTCTGAGTCGCCATTCCGGCCTGAGTGTAAGTTTCATGACAGTGAATTGAGAGTGGTTCAAGCCAGGAAGTCGGAATTTGAGTTACGAGTGCTTGGTAGCGGTGGTGTACATGTACAAAGTATAACAAGTCTTGAGTAAAGGGTATTCAATGAGTTTTGGAGGAAAGAAAGAGTGTACAGGGTTGGACTGCGGAAGAGACAAGTTATGCGAGCTGGTCGTTGGCGGGCAGGAGCAAGTCGGACGAAAAGGGATCGTTCTGCAGGCGCCCTTCCATTTCTGCACTCGACCACCTCCTCATCTCGTACGCCACCCGCTTCTCTGCACACTGTTATCTCATTATAACGCATCCCATCGCTATCCATCGCTGCTGAAAACTTGCTTTGTTTGTGCTCTCCGTCTTCCAAAAGCGTGTTTCTTCGTGAACAGATTGTAATTTCCGACAAACTCTATGGCCGGTTACTTCTCGAATCACTCTCAATCCCGCTTCCTCGCCAATTCCCAACCGAATGCCACTTCGGGGACTGGCAACTCCTCAACCACTACTGCTACCGCACAATCACCGTCAACACCTAACCCATCTACACCAACTAGGCCAACCCGTGTCCCGTCGAGACATTTCTCTACGTCCGTTTCCACCTCTTCCGACGAAAAATCTCATACAAAAGAGAAGTCAGGTAGTAGTGGGGCAGGATCTGCAAATGGAACTTCTGTCCATCCTCTAAGAAATACGTATGTTCGTAATGTCTTGCCTTCAGCTATACATCTTGTATTGACCGCCGATCATCGTTTTATGTTTGCAGTTGGGTGTTCTGGTTTAGACAGCATCGTGCCCCAGGAAATAAAATTACGAACTATGAAGAAGGTATCAAGAAGATATCTGCCTTCAGCTCTGTATGTGTTTGCTCTTTTACCCTGAATCTAGCCTCTGATTGACTAGTCCGCACCGTTTCAGGTCGAATCCTTTTGGTCATTGTGGACACACCTTTACCCGCCTTCAGGTCTCCTTCCTACAACTGACTATCTTCTCTTCCACTCTGGCATCCGTCGGCCTGTTTGGGAAGACCCGCTAAACATCGGCGGCGGAAAATGGATAATTCGCCTGAAGAAAGGTGTTGCTGACCGCTTGTGGGAAGACCTAGTGCTTGCTGTTGTTGGTGATCAATTTGACGACGTCACAGAAGGTCGAGAAGCGACTGCAAAAGATAAAGGTGGCGCAGACCCGAATGGGGAATGGCCGGAAATATGTGGGTGCACGATTAGTGTGAGGCAGAATGAAGACATTATTACATTGTGGAACAAAGTTGAAGGAGATGCGAAGGTTAAGGAGAGGATAAGGTAGGTTTTCCTTTGACTTCCATGGTTACGAAGTCTAACGGACGTCCTCCTAGTGCCACCATACGGAGAGTATTGAATCTCCCCCTTACCACACACATGGAGTACAAATCTAACAACGGTGAGATAATGTGTTTTATGATGAGATATTTCCACTAAGTCCTTTCGGTAGACTCCATGCAAGACAAGTCCAGTTTCCGCGTACCTGCTGCGGACCGAACACCTCTGTCATAGTATCAGGGACTTTAAATGTTTGGATATGGATGCCATTTCTTGTGTTTACCATATCATACCGTCCCGTGTAATATCAAGCGATCTCATCGTCCAAGGGTGGTCCAAGTTGTAGCCGTATTTTTCCATTGACTTCTGAACCAGGTTAGCCCGGCCGTGCGCATATCTGTACTAATTCGTGGGTTGTATGTTACAAGATGGTTTCATTTCGGACTCCCATGTTCTCTAGACATCCAGAAGAAGGCATTTAGGAGGCCGCAGTTGACGGTTCACCAGAATTCGAAGGCAAGCAGCTTCCTATTCGGGCGAGAAGGTTTCCTTATGTAGGCGCCAAGTCCTATATCAGGCAGTAGCCATCACGGCTAGTTTCGCGACAGCCTGCCACTCTCTTGCGTTCAACCACCATCTCGAACAGGATTAATCTTGACCATATGCTTTCAGAATATGCATGCAAGGACTGTATCCTGCTATTTGACTATTATCTGGCGTGATCTAGGCAACAACCACTACATGTGAATGGCTGCGTCCTACAGGTACGCCAGCCATTTGTCCTATCAGTTTTCAATATATACAAGAACACTAAACTCTATGGAAGTGCATGAGTGAATACACCCATAATCCATTGGATTTGTTGACTACAACAATGATTACAATATACAATCCCTTATCCAAGCACTGGGTATGGCTTCGGCCCCGGGGCATGGATGACGATCATCCGCACGTCCGTAAAGCTCTCAACGTCGAAGTGACCGTAACCAGTAGCACCACTGCAATCAGTCAACATGAGGTGTCAGTGTAGGTCTGGTTTATATGAGCGCTTACCCGAGTCCAGTGAGACCACGCAGGCCTTCAATATGAACTGTAGGACCATTCACGCTCGTAAGTCCTTGAATTGAAAGTTTGACCATGTGAGTAAAATGTGTCTAGTGAATAGCAAGAATAAAGCTGACCAGCTCGAATACGGCCTGCAACGTTGATTGCAGCATTAACATCCTTTGTCCAGAGGGCAGCATTCAGAGAATATGCCGAAGAGTTCGTCAACTCCACTATCTCGTCAATAGTGTCGGCCACAGCTATCGTCACGACTAAATCACATATCAGTTCCTGATAGCTGATAAGTGGGGTATATGCGGCATACCAGGTCCAAAACTTTCTCTGTCCCACAGACGCGTGCCAGGTTTCGCTCCCGTGACAACATGAGGCTGGACTACCGCGCCTTCCCTTGTTAGATCTCCCACCACGACTTCCGCTCCATCTTGCTTGGCATCCTTAAGCATACTAAGAACGTTCTCAGCTGCCGCCTCTGTGGATAATGCTGTGAGTGGGTTGCTATCGGCATCACCCGCCTTGAGAGAACTCATGATCTTGTTCACAGCTGATATTAGTGTTTCGGAAGCTTTGCGCTGCACGATTACTCGTTCTGTGGACATGCAGATTTGGCCCGAGTGTAGAAGTGCGCTGGAGACGATCGCGCGTGCGGCGTCCTCTATATCGGCGTCGTCGAGCACCTTATACGTCGATTGGGCAGGTAAGAATCTTTGTGGAATTCAACAGTTGCGAGTGATGAAAACGTACCACTACAGGACATTTGCCGCCCAACTCGAAGACGCATGGTTTGAGCCACTTTGCTGCCTCTGCAGCAATGATCTTTCCAACACGGTCGCTTCCCGTGAACTGTTGGTGCGATGCGATTAGCGATTTGTTCCCTGACCAGACTGCATGGTAAGAGTACGAACGTTGATCTTCCGGACCAATGGATGTGCGATCATCTCTGCAGTCAAGGTTGAGGCGTCCTTTCTATCCATAGAAATGAAGTTGAGTACTCCATCAGGGAGACCCGCCTATACGAACAGTAAGTACTAGGATCTAAACGAGCACGTTGGGACTGACTTCTTTGAAAAGTTCAGCAACGATTGCTTGCGACCTGGGAGTGATTTCCGAGCACTTCAGAACGACGGTGTTACCGCAAATCAGTGGAACTGCTACAGCACGAATCGAAAGTAATATCGGTACGTTCCAAGGTGAAATGGCTAGACTGTATGCGACTCGGTCAACTCCATAATCTTATGACAGGGCGAACGCTACTTACATAACACCTATGGCTCGACGTTGGGCGATAACGTGCCCACCAGGAATGTCGGATGGGAATGTCTCTCCTTTCATCTGCATAGCAAGCCCAGCAGCATCTCGAATCCAAGAGGCGGCCAATGGAACGTTAAAGAAGTCCAATACAGGATCCACCGCTGACGTTTCATCTTTCAACGCTGCACGAATCTTGTCCTTGTATTCATCCGTCAGGATAAGATCCGCTGCTTTCAAGAGGATGTCGCGCCTCTGGGACAAAGGTGTCTGTTCCCATTTGTCGAATGCTCTTCCAGCAGCTTCGATCGCGTCTTTGCAGTCCTGGCTTGTCGCTGATGCAGCGCGCCCGACGACGTTCCCGGTGTAGGAATTCCGCGTCTCAAACACTTGACCATCACTTGCAGCTCGAAGCTGACCGTCGATGAGGAGGGAGGTGAAAGGGAGATTCTCAGTGCTCATGGTTGTTCTGCTGAGCGATCAGTTATCGCTCAATGGGGATGAAGGTACTCTTGTACGTTGCGATCATTTGTATCTATTGTTCTAAGTTGTTACTCAGCTGACTTTCATTCAGCGTCAGGTTCTAGTATTGGAAGCGTACTACGATTATGGCAATCTAGTAATCGGTATCTTAACAATGCAGGCGCTGAAACGCCTGGCATGACATATCCCACCTTAGCATATTCTGTGGGTGTGAATGGCTTCACCTCTCAAATTGATGCCAATAAAGCTTCGTGAACGCGTCGAAACGCGTCCACATGGACTCGGAATCCTGAACGCGGCGTCACGTGCCATAGCGTCACTATGTGTCACGTCCGTCACAACGGCTTTTCGGTCTCGGGTTGTCGCGCGAGGGGTCGCGTATATTGCGACACTGAGTCACTGACCAGTCTTTTTGTCATTAGCTGGTCATTCCCCACCGGGTCCTCGATACCTCATGTTTTAATGACAGTTTTTTTACGACCTCTGGACACGTATATATGCCGCTGGATACAACCTTGTACGGAATTCTGGGTGTGCAAGTGAACGAGGAGTCTCACTATGCCGGCGAACGCTGTTGCTGAAAATGTCCTAGCAACTATAGGCAAGTTGTCTTTCTGCAGATCACACAAATTGGAAGCACGACGATACATCCGTGTTCAGTTGCGAATAAGTTTGAACTAATAGTTTGACACAGGTACGATATGTTGGGCCGTGCAAATCATTCCTCAAATATGGAAAAGCTGGCGGGAAAAATCTACTGAAGGCTTATCTCACATCTTAGTGTAAGGCTGCCTTGAAGCTGAGTTAGAAGAGAATATTCATGCTCACCGGCCTGACTACGTAGATTATTATGGGCCATTTCAGGACCATTTCTAGGGGTATATGCGATCGTCCAGAATCTGAACATTCCTCTCATTGTCCAACCTCAATTATTCTCTGTGCTTTGCTTGGTATCGTGGGCCCAGGTAAGTTGCATTACATGCTTTGGTTTTCATCAACCTCAAACTAACCACTCTATTCCCAGTGCCAATATTACGGCAACAAGCGACCGCGATCTACTACAATCACGATATTTATTGTCATGGTCGCTGTATTCGGTGGATTTGAAGCTGGGATGGTGTTTGCTATCAGGGTGTGCATATATCCTTCTTGGATATCCTCAACTCTGGTCTCATGTTTTTTGCTAGCCCGCATTCAACGCTGGAAACAAACGTCCTGTCCAGTTCTTTGGAATCTTTAGTTCAGTCTTGATTTCTGTCGCACTTTTGTGAGTATATACTGCACACGTACCCTCTCCATCCGTTGATTACGTGTGCGTCTGCAGACCGCAGTACTACGAGATTTACAAGCATCGTGAAGTCGTCGGCATTTCAATCTTGTTTATGCTTATCGACCTCCTCGGTGGCCTTTTCAACGTTTTATCACTTGCGTTCAAGGAGGAGCTTGATATCATAGCAGCTGTGACATATTCGCTGGTTGTGGTAAGTCGTTCGAACACTTTCGTCTTACCACTTGCTCACTAGTTGTTGAACACAGGTGTTAGACGGTATTGTAATCCTCCTGGCACTTATCCTCAACCCTATTGCCAAGCGACGTCGAAAGAGAGAAGCAGCCGCAGAAGCCGCGGTGGCATTAGAACAAATAGAAGAACTTCAAGAGACGACTCTCATAACTATAACTCGCAATCACAACGATTCGAAATCCTCTGAGAAACCTAGTATCTCAGAGTCACCTCAGAGTGCTAAGGTTTAGATTGTCATATTCGAAACTGTCTACCAATGATAATAACTTGTGAGTCAGGGTTCTTTACGCGGTATAGTTTTTGTGACTGACGGCTGGAAATCACCTAGATTTCACTACTGGCATCATTCAGCTTCTCTTATCACAAATTATGTCCACATTCCAAATATCAAGGGTTATGTATCTGTAGACTCATTCGGTTTTATCAATGTACTTGGGTGTCCACCAGAGACTCACTCTATTCGTCGATCATTATGAGCGCAACTCGGTTGTAGCATAGATGGCTGTATAGGTCTGTGGGCTATATATCGACATCACGGAACCTATTCCCTCAAGGCTGATGGCGGTTATAGCAGTGAACACCTTGCGCGAAATTTCGTTTTGATTTGCTGATGTTGCACTGCAGATCGGATGGTACGCATGTTATCTTAGCATGTGTGAACGATACCGAGGGTGGGCAGCATCATTGGTTCATGATCATGCAAATTGGGTCGACAGTAAGGCGCATTCCGCAGGTCAACGTCAGAAGAAAAGAGATTGATTCAGTCCGGCTAGCTATCAACAAAATCACAATCGAACGAGGAAAAAGTACAACACTACAAATTACAGAGAAAGAAGAAACGAAGACCAAAGGAGAACCAAAAACGAAACAAGAAAGAGAAAAAAGAAAACGAAGACCATGCTTTGCTACATGGTATGAAATCGCCGTTCGTGCATGCTATGTACAATAAATGACAGATAAAAATACAGACCGGTTCATGGAAGTTCTGGTACGGCAACGAGTCTTCAGTATGAGCGTCGTGTTCGTGTATGATGTATTGAGAGTTACTCACCGTAAGCGCGAAACATCATCAGAGACGTCGTGATAAGGTAGGTCCCCCAAAACGAAGCTCCTTTGGTTTACGGCCACGAGAGCCTAGCACGTTAATCAAGGGCTTGGGAGTATTGATGTTTTTCTGTCTGGTAGCGGTGTCTGCAGCCTCTTCCAAGGTGGGAACCCCTGCAACAGGCGCGGCACGCTCGTTAAGCTCCTGAATCGAGCACAGTTTGGACTCGGAAGGAGTAGGGATGGATATGATGGGCACTGTGGCTGAGGGACAGCCGGAGACGGGGGACTTGTCATCGACCTCGTAAACACGCCCAATCTCCAATGGCTGCGGCTCACGACCGCTCCCTGTCTTTCCTACGCATCTCTTCTTCGCCGCCCTGATGGGTCTGACGCCATTTGGCGGTGACCCGAGCCCCAAGCCCTCTGGGTACTTAGGCTTCATAGTCGCGATCTCGTCGCGATCGGAATACTCGTCGTCGTCGTCCCTACCGTCCCTCTTCCTGTTCTCTCTGCGGGGTTTAGGCCTCATGTGATCAGGAAGAGGACGATACGTCTTCTTGGACTGCTTGATTACACCCTGAACCATGTCCGTGAACTCCGTGATCCCATAAAGATCGTTAACCTTAAGTTTGAACGTGAAATCCTTGTTGTCTCCGGGGGAAGCGACCTTTGGCTTGCCTCGATTGAAGGCTCTCTGAAAAGTTCTGCCTCGAGGGTCGGTGGGGGAAAGAGGGACATGAACATGGTCGTCGTCGGAGCTCGACGCGTCGGAGTCATCGGACATAGTACTGAAGGAGAAACTGGACCTGGTGGACGTGGGGGAAAGTGAGAGGTCAGGGAGGGAACCGATAGATGATGTGGGGGACATGGGAGGAGGGACTGGAATTGCCCGACTCGCGGTAACGTCCTTGCCACCTGCTGCCAAACGTGAAAAGAGCTCGGACAAACTGGCGAGGTCAACAGAAGGGGTTCGTGCGTGCATTGTGAATTTTTTAATTTTTATGAGCGTTGAGTATGGGTTGCGAGGGTGAGGCGCATAAGACGGGGGAGGGGGATTCTGCGGGAGGGATGTGGATTGAGGGGAAAAAGAGGAAGGGCCGTGAATAATAGACTTTTGTGTACCTCGGCAGGCCCGAGATCCGCTAGCGAGGTCAAAGACGGCACAGGCCCACGCACAAAAGTCACGTTTGTGATAAGTTCGCTGGGTGTGCCATCAAATCGCATATCACGATGCATCATCAGTGTACCGCTGTGCAACCGTGTAGGCACTCAGATTGACGGCGATGGCACAGGTAGACTGCGAACCCTCTGTCTGTTCCATCATCATATCTGATCAAACAAATGCTAGTAAGACGATTTTAGGACGGTATATGACGAAACTCACTTGTCCCTTGGTGCAGGCTGCAAAAGATCGTGAGATAGTCAGGAGTTAAGGTTGAATCCAACAGCCTATATCCTTATCACTGATCAACTCGAAATCTAGAAGGAACTCCCAGGAACTCTATATGACTGTTGAGGTTTTCTATCGTACTATACAAGTCTTGAAAGCTGGAGGTGAAATGTCAATCAGACCGTCCATCCTCGCGTATCTTCTGCGAAGTTTCAAAGATAGTTCCGGTATGCTGGTCGCGATAGGGATACAAGTGAAATAATGCAGTAAGTTTGTGATCACCAAACGGCCCTCCTGACCTTGACCTTTCCATCCTTCCTCATCACCCAAACCATCGTTGTCTGTTCATCTGGGTAATCTCCAGGTTCATCGGCAGCGAAGAAAGAGCTCCAGCAAATCGTTTTCACACTGGGAACGTATCTAGCAAGTGCCGCACTAGCGAAAAGTTCCGTCGTCCGGACTTCGTCGGCGAAGTTCTGACAACAATGTTCGCAATCGTTCGGAGCATGAGGCCATACTCGGTTCATTGATGGTAGAATTACCATTTGACAATGGAGGATGTGATAGTAGAAGAGTTCCAGTTCCGATAGGTAGATGCCGAGATGTAAGTGTTCGAGGTGCTTAAGAGGCTTGAGTGCACTGCCGAAGGCATACTGGGTGTTCGGACAGTTGAGCATGGCAGCACTTTGGACGAGCCATAGCTCGACAGAAAGACATACCGCCATATCATCCGCGTCGATGTATATATCGGGAATGGGTGAGTGAATAGTACAGCTAGAAGATTCCTCATAGCATTCCCAGCAGCAGTCATTTATTAACCGTTCAGAACAAGAAAGTTTCAAAGCTTTGAGCATAGGAAATTTAAGAGCAATACGAGAGAGCAGATCGACGTCGATTTTCGGCAAGTAAGAGAGTTCTAGCGCAGTCAGTTTGGCAGGGAGGTACTTGAATATCTTTCTGGCACAAGTTTGTTGCGTGTGCAACCCTTCTGGAGAAAAATCAATATGAACTTCACGCAAGTTATGGAAGCAGAGTAGGTTGGAGAGGCCGGAGAAGAGTGAGACGGAGATGCAGTTGAGCACGCTAAGGTGATTATATGCGCATATATGCAACTCAGTTAGAGTTCGGGTATCAGTTTCGCCGGCCTACTGACCGGACCCAAGAGAAGACACCAGGAATCTGGCAAATATTAGACCATGATTCTCTCGAATGCGCATATAGTGTGACGAAGTATTGTCGGAGGACGATTTGGCGGAATTGGTACGAAGCGAGGGAGAGATTGGCAATTTCAGGGAACTCATGCTTGTCTGCCAGACACCAAACAAATATCTCGTCAAGCACTTCGACAGGAAAGACGCACTAGTCAAGTAGTCAGAATGTGCGCATTTCGTGTGAGTCCTATGAAGTCCTTACGGATGAGAATATGGGCGACACTTGAGCTGTTCGCCCCGCTGTCATGTCCAATGTCAAGGAAGGAATAGCGGAAAGGACAGATACTAAGGGTGAGTGCATTGGCGAGGACAACCTCAAACAAATCCACAAACACCTTGAGCTTGTCGGGAGGGGTGGTTCACTACGCTCGGCAACTACCGGCTCGTTTAGGCCAAGCTAATCCGAGCGTCTCTTTGCAGCGCAGCCGTTTGCCGACGGAGGTATAACGGAAGCAAAAGCGGAGGCTGTGGAGAACCACAAGGATATGATTTGCTAGATGAACAGAAGTACATGAGGGATACAGCACTGAGCAGCACATGGGATAGAGTCTTGAGAATCCAACGTAGCTGAAAGGCAAATGCAATAGAAAATAGAATGAGTGAGAACCGTCCATCCAGGAGCAAGGAGAAAGAAGGCATGAGGACACAGGGCGGAATACAAAGATGTTACAGTCGAGTGATAGCCTTCGCATCCAATGGCATTCCTGGCGAAAGAAAGAAGTCAGTAGAAACGAGGCACGGCGATTGAATGAACGTTACCTGAAGGATCAATGCCATTGGCAGCCAGATACTCATTGTGGCGTATCAGCCTCGCTTGGTCAAAGCTGATAAACAGGTTAGATGTGCTTAAGCTTGAAGACAGATGAATACTTACTTGATCCTATCCCTCCGCATGATCGCCAGGACCTCCTGTGTGCCCCGCTCATCCAGACCAGCCCTTGAATCACCCTCCCGAATATTAGCCTCAATGTCGAAGGTATTTGACGTCAACCCCGCATTTGCTTGATCTTCGAAAGTCGCAAGCGGGGTATAGTTACCCAGACTTGGGAACAGAGACTTTATTGGGTTGGGAACATGGGAAACGAGCGTTGCGCGGTATCGGAACATCACTACATATACCAAGAATGTGTTGTAGCGCTGTAAATAGGGTTTACAGTATGGATAAGGTGCTTGTGGACTTACACATTACCAGTAATGCTGATAGAGCGAAGACAGACAACCAGAACAACATCGTTTCAATTTATGGAGAGGTGGCAACGTGTGGTAAGCGACTAGCGGTGGTAAGATGCGGCTATTGGACAGATTGCCCTTCCTTTTGATGCCGCCCTTTCCATTCTGGGAACAAGGCGCGATGCCGGCAACCTCGTTACCGAAACTCATTTCAATTTGCAGCTCTATCTATGTACACCTTATCCTGTACAAACTGGTACTTGAAATACTATATTTTCAGACCAACTACATTATGGTATTACGTCGACGCTAGGAAATGTACTTGGATCGGGATCGAAAACCACGTCTGAAGGGTACATCCATTTTCCATCTTCCATTCTCACCCATTCGAATAGCTGAGAAAATGACACCCGATTGAGGGAAGGATGAAGCTCACTCCATGCATCAAGAACTTTTCGCTGCATGCTGCCCTGAAGCTTGTGTTTATACGGAGCTTGCTGGGGGCTCGCCGTCTCCTTGATCAACAGCGTAGTCAAACGAGGCAACTTAGGGAACACATCGCGTCCGAAGCTGATCAAAGACTCAGCATCCTAAGGCAATCGAACTTAAGCACAACAATGAATCTATGTGACAGTATCAAAACACTCACTATGAAATTATCTACTGTGCCAGGAACCCCACGATAGAAGTAGAAGGCACGGATAGTCAAGGTATTCAAAGCTGGCAGCTCTGGCAGACCTTTCAGTATCTCATTCAGAAATACTGGAGCGTGCGTATAGATTAAGGTCAACTCTTGTAGGGTGCGCTGGCAGTAAATCACGGGAGCAAGGCTATTGGCGATGTTCACTACTTTCATCCCAACCTCGTCTCTCATTCGTAATGTGTTCAGAGTGTGTGAATCATTCAGGAGCGCAGCTGCAGTCTTAAAGCTACAGCACAGAACATCGAGCTGTGGAAGGAGGGGACGCAAGTTGAAGTAACCCTCTTCAGGCCCCGCTCCGAATGCTAGACATTTGACATTGGGAATCTGCTCGGTATGCAAGCTGTTGATGCCATCATAGCTTCCGGTCAGTGACTCGAGGACGGGAAAGGACATGGATTTGGTGATGAGACGGGTCAACTTCTGCGGTTTGCAATGACCCACAACCGACAGGTATCTCAACTGAGGTGCATGATTGACTAGAAGGCGGTGCATTAGTTCCCAATGACCGGAATCCTTCTCATGCAGATGAGAGATGCGTAGATGAAGTTCGATGAGGCGTGGAAGGTGGAGGTGAAGCGAAAGAGCATCCAAGTTGGCGGTGGTAAATGGATCTTGACGGGATGCAGAGACGTTGCTCGTAAATGAGATTGTCAACGACTTCAGCGAGTCCTTCGGCCGCGAGAACAGACCAATGCATAAGTCCTCCGTCATGGCTTTCTCACATATCAACTCTTCTAATTTGTCCATCCGATTGAATGCGTCACGGAACCACCTCAACTCCGGCAAATTATGCTCGTCGTCAAACAGGTCTGACACCCATGATAAGAACTCAAAAGTTCGAACAAATGCTGCAAGGTTGGTCTCCGAGGTGGCTAGTGTGCAAAGACAGGAGTCCACGGCTCTGGGAGACCTAACCGCGATGTGTCTGTATAACACGGGGTACGCAAGATCTCGGCCAGCGCGACAGGTGAGAGCGAATTGTACCAGATCTCGGCGTTTTGGGACGGACTGGAGAATGTGCGAGACCACCTCGACAGGAACTCTCTGAAGTAGCTCGTTCCCTATTGTTCGCTCCACTGGCATTTAGAGGCTGGTTGAATATTGTGGATGAGACCGACTAGATGTAGTATGATGTGAAGGTGTCAGTCAACCATTTGCCGATAGCCTCGACAACGTACCTGTAAAAAAAAACCGCTGTTTGATAATCAAAACTAGAATGTCGAGCTGAGGGTGAAGGAAGACTAGGACGGAAGCAACGATAGAATTTGGTATCGTGGCTGTGCGGGGCGGGAAGAGCGATCGAAACTAGCCAAGATGGTGTTTTCCCATACGAAAGCAGTCTTGCATCGTCGTTCATAGTTTCGTTACAGTATAACCTGGATCCTCCGTACAACATCCAAACAGGCAAGAAATGAGAACGTCGTCAAAGACTACTGTGAAGCAATATGTAAGCCTGTTTCGTTTTGAACCGACAACGATCGATATGCAAAGGCACGCCAGAATTGAGGTCAGGTCTTGAAATTAAGGCCTCCACAGTGCCTCTCGCTGTGTCTATCCAATTTTGTTTCCATCTTGAAAGCAATCAGCGATCTTCGTGGTGGCAAATCCATCTACCTTCTTCAACAATTCCGTAGAGATGTTGCCACCCCAATGAGCAGATCCCAAGAGCTGCAAGTATGGGTCATGGCATCCTTGACGTCAACAAGGAATACTTTCTTTGTGACGACCTCAACAGATATCCAGTTAGCCAGTTATCATAATCTAAGAACATCTCCGGTACAGACATACCTCAAGTCAGTCTGACTGAAATCCTGACCTTCGGGTGAATCGGACTCAGTAATCGCTGAGGATAATGCAGTCAGCAGCGTTGTACATTACATGGCAACAAGGTTTGTCCTTATTGCAGCTCTATTCTCGCCATAGTATTACTCGTCCTCGCGAGAATCGTAGATGCGCGCATAGAGCCGTAGAAAAGGTCGTGTGACACGCGTTTAAATGCGTCGTCGTAATAAACGAGGCAACAACGTTCCCGCTTCAGACGCCCCTTCTTTCCTGCTGCGATCGTGCAAAAGCTGAGGCTCTTAATGGCAAGTGATATCTGTCACAGGGAAAGCAATTGGTCAATTATCAATATCGCTTATGTTATGTATCTCATGCTCAAAGCCTATAAGTACCACTCAAGGCTCATAAGGTGTGTACTTATACTTAGCCTTTTCGACTCAATGTAAACTCCATCATCCGAGCTCACCGTATCAGATCTCTTCAGGCTAGCAAGGCAGCCGCACATGGCCTTCCCCTACCGTATACATCTCCTGTTTAAACTCCTCATTGCTGCGGCTCCATGCTTCCAGTCAATGCATCTCGAAGTTGGCGCCAGGACTAAGCCAGTGGTACTTCCCATGTTACATGCCGAGGACAATGTTAACGCATTAAGTCCGCCTATCGATTTGGCGTGTAATAGAAGTAAGTGGCCGGTACCGGCCAGGCCCTGGTTCGTATGAGTGCTGTCTGCACTCCAGCCACGACGCATCTTTTAGGCGAGGTTGACTTGATGCAATAGCTCGTCCCTGCCGGCCATCTAGGGATGACATCCTGTATAAGAACCCTCTCCTCTGTTTCCATTCTCGATTGTGCTTATCATTGCTGCTTCAGCATCATTCAATTTCATCACGAACCTGGTCATTCAGCCACACTTCTCGTCCTTTCACCCCGCGCACGTCCGAATATTTTAGTTACTTCAGGATGGTCGCCCCAAATCCTATATTCTCAAACCAGGCTCCACGGAATGTGAAAAAGTTCCGTGCAACGGTGATCCATGATATCTGGCCGGAAGTGCTTTTCTTCACTTTGGTTGCCCTTAGTGAGTGTTTTTGTTCTCACCTCGACAAGGTACCAACCAGTTTCAGTTGTCACTCTCGTGTCAACTCACACTAACGCGTCGCTGGCCATTTCGAACCAAATGTTAACTGTACTTGGGACGGCTCTCGGTCTGGTCATCTCATTCAGGACATCCACGGCATATGAGCGGTAGGGTTCTGTGCTGACGATGCGTCCTATATACCTGAATATTTCGCAACAGATTCAGCGAAGGCAGTAAACTATGGACCAGTATTGCCAGCGCTTCTCGTAATCTGGCACAGGTCGTGAGTGATCAGTTCTTGTCATGATACTCATCGAGCTAAAACCCAACTTCTGAAGATTTGGATTCATGTTCCTTTCGAGCGTGATGACAATGCGACCGAGGGAAAGAATACAATGCTCGAAGTCATGATTGAGAAAAAGAGTATGATCAACCTGGTAAATCTTGCCCTCACTGCGGCGTACTCTACATGCGGATAATAATGGTGTGCTTCAGATTCAAGCATTTTCCGTAGCCGTCAAGGTATATTCTCATGATTGATCTCGGAGAACTTCCAACTCATGTATCATAGCATTCGCTCCGTGGGGAGCGTTCTGTTTACCATGAAGACCTTTATCCTCTCATTTCCTTCTTGCCGCGTTTCAGCCGTCCCCACAGCTACGCTGAGGATGATATTCTCCCACTTTGGTATACTTCCGGTATGGACATCCAGAAGTACCATGCTATACGTAGCATGATGCGGGACTCAAAGGACAACATCTTGCCTCGATCCGACTCCGAGCCTGTCTCTGGTGCTGACGTAGAGATGGGTCAACTTGACGATGAGACGAACAAGAAACGGTTCGACCCCGAGAGTGTTTTACCTATTATTCCAAGCGAGCGTCCTCTAAGACCTGCCAGAAATCCGCCAAAGACTTATATCTATCACTATCTGCCATTCCTCCATCTCTTCAGACCCCTCTTCCGACGCTTCAAACGAATGAGAGAGGATGATACTCCATACCACAGGTCACTCACCGGCAAGAAAATTCGCCCTGAGATGGTCGATTCCAATGTCCCTATTGAAATTACTCTCCATTTGTCGACATACTTTGCTTCGCTTATGAAACAGGGCCTTCTTCAGCCTGCATCTGCCACAGCAATGGTGAATGCTATCTCTGCTCTGCAGGACGCTGTTGCAAATTTGGAGAGGATCAAGAGTACGCCGTTGCCTTTTGCGTACCAGGTTCATCTGCGAATGTCACTCTGGTGAGTATACAGATTAGTTCATACCTGTCGGGCAAGATCGTTCAGTTCAATTTATACCTTCTTCCAGGCTGTATTTGTTCTTCCTTCCGGTGAACTACTATTTCAAGATGGGTTCACATGTTTTGTGCTAATAGTATTTGTTAGTTTCAAATCTATAATGCTTTTCGATGGTTGACTATTCCGTAAGTCCAACGAAATACAATTTTAGCAGTTCAAACCAAGCTCACACCTCATAATTAGAGCGACTGCACTCACCTCGTTCGTACTCATGGGATTCTTGGAAATCGGTCAAGAGATGTACATATTGTTTCATCCATAGTCAACCATGGTGACTGATATTGTCCTAGCGAAAACCCATTCGATTACGATCTAAATGACTTGGGTAAGTTATCCTCAATAACAATCAACCGGGAAGCGTTGCTAATATGTTGTGGCAGACCTAGATCATTTTTGCCTGGTCATCCAGCGTGAGCTACACGAAATCACTGCGGTGGGTCCACTTTTCATTGTCGTTGTGATCATGGTTCGCTTAGGAGTCCGGCGAATCCCCGCAGCATCATAGGCCAGACACCGATACTTTCCTCTTCTCTGAGTGGAATCAACCCTTCGCACCCGGAGATAGACGACACGCCAAGGAGATGCTGAACGATCGCAACCACCCATATCACCACAAAGAAGAGTCGATCCATTACATTCGTAAGACTCTTCTGAAGAGTTGGCGTGAAGTCAATCATGTAACAAGGAAGCCTTGAGGACGGATGACCCACAATTCCAAGGTAGCTCCCAAGCACAAGGTAGTTTCAGATCACTCTGCTTCACTCAGTCTTCGACCGAATGGTCCTTGGAAGTCGCTACCTTGATTAAAGGCTTGTCCCTTGATGGTTGGGTTGCGAATCGAAGAAAGCATCGTGTACAGGTGAATCCTGTTCGAGCTGGAACCCACATGTGCCAATATTTATCATGGAGTTTTTTGGGTGGAATCTGAGAGGCATGGATCTCGTATTTACGATATGATGAAACGTCTATGACATGTAGAACTACAAGGATACTTCAAACGAATATGGTTGTAATGGTTCTAAAGCTCAGTCATAAACTTTCTTAACTCTCTTTGCGAGAACATTTGCATACCTCTCCCCACCAATCACGATGAGACTCCGAAAAAGTCAGTCGTGTGGTACGGTGAGCGTTGCTGTAATTTCCTCACTCTTTGGACAACCGCCAGGAACTCCAGACATGACCATTAGATATATTGGTTAAAATGAACACGGGAAATCAGAATACAACATAGTGAGAATGCATTATCAAACCACCTCCCAACCGGCGTTCCGCCAATGCCAGTCGATAGAAGGCGTCAAGGTTACATGTTGCAGATACGAGTGAGCAGTTTTCCAATGCTGCACTACTGATCTCTGCCAGGAAATCACATCGGCCTTAGTCTGGGCGCGAAATACTTTAGCGTCTACTTCAGTATCCGCAGGCTTGACAACAGATAGAGATTGTAGGACTGGTAGACGGGAAAGGACTTGACTGCCGAATGAACGCAATTCTTTCTCGTGCTAAGATTCACATAAAGTCAGTCATTACTATGCTATTGCTAGAGGGGATAGTAAAGAAACAACGTACCCGATGTTCCCATGTACCACAATCTTCAGGATCATCTACGAAGACCGATGAATACAGTCGGAGCACCGTGAGAGCAGGCAAGCTCGGGAGGAAGTCTGCGATGGTATGAATACTCTCCTCAATGTACCTGAGCTCGATTTCTAGCGTACGCAAGTGAGCAGAGCAAACACTTAGCTGTGATATACATTGTATCACCAACTCCTCGTTGCGCGGGATGGAATATGGGTCCCCTGTCAAACGAATAACACGCAAAGTTGGGGGAAGCGTTAATACCTCTGGTGGCGTACTAAACGCTATCTCCAATGACTCAAGTTGTGGTAGTAAGTCACTGAGATGGAACAGCCGATGTTCAGCAGGTGGGCCGTTCAAGGACAGTGACAGAAGTTTTGGAAACTGCGAGGACGAGAATACAGTCAGGCTGTCCCAAAGCCCTTCTAAGTCTTTGAGAGATTGGAAGTTAGTCTCAGGGGGCATTACAAGACCGTCAGAGAGAATGAGCCAAACGAGCTTAGTCAATTGAGGCGCATGAACACAGAGCACTTTGAACAGCAACTCCAGGAGATCGGGAGGTGGGTTGTAGGCTCTGAACGAGAGCGAGGTCAGCGAAGGCAGCAGAGGAATTTGAAGGGATTTGATGCTGGTGGCGCTGAGCATAAGTATCCTTTCGACCGGTGGGTGACAGTAGCCGGGCAAGTGCACTACGCGCAGATTTGGTTTCGGACCCTTGAAGAGGCTCGCACAAGCTTCTACATGTAGCAAGCAGTCAGATGTGAACTCTCGCAATTCACTCATCTGCTCGAGTGCAAAGCAGAATGTACGCCACATCCTCTTCATCTCATTGAGGTGGTCGCGACCTGGGTAGCATGTCGCGAAATAAGTGGGATTGCAGTCTTCCAAAGGGATCATGCCGGTGATAGTCAAGATCCGTACCAACCTCGCTAGTGGAGAGGCCAAGGCGTCAAAAGCAGATTGGAAGTATAAGAGCGAGCGAGCAAGATCGTGGCTGTATTCGACGTCGTCGGGAGACGTAGGACGTGTGGAACTGCGATATAGTCCTGGGACATCTAGGGTGACATGAGCGTAGAGTATGGGTTCCGTGCAGCTTCGGAGCGTCCTAGAAGTAAGTGCAACGGGCGGCAAGTCCGAGCGTGGAAGATGGTTGAGGATAGCAAATAGGAGTTCAACTGGGAGTCTGTTCATCGTTTTTGTTTTCGACTTGGTGGGGATAAAAGGGATGGTAAGGAACAGCGGAGAGCAACGGCTTTGTTATATACCCATCTACAACAAGAAGCACAGCAAATTCGCCCAAATCTGGACAGTTATTGTTTAGGAACGAATCTTAGCCCCCATTTGTCTTGCTACTGTTTGGACACAGCCGTCACAACATGTATGGAGATATATAGCGGCGGTGTCATTTGCTATTGTGGCGTTGTTCCGTCAAGTAGCTGCAATAGTGACCGTTGGCAGATGAAGGGACAAACCAAATCGAACAAGCTAGATTCAGAGCTTCTTGTATTCGGACGAGTGCACTCTCATTTGGCACCCTTCCTTCGGTATTTCACGTTTCGTTGTTATAGAAAGTCAATAGGATCCAATTTAATGGGGACATACTGTAACTTGTTTGAGCCATCCAGCCATCGGAGCAGATTGTCCATTCGCTATCGCTCGTCCATCCCTGTGTGTTAATAGTAAGCTTAGCATTCTGCAGACCCATGGCAAAACTCTAAGGGGTGATTCGGTTGGCAAAGTGTTGGCGTTGAATAAACTTCAACTTCGGGCACTAAGACCGGCCGAATACGGTATTTGATGATAACAATTCTGAAGTACAACAAAAGCTTAAATATAGCATACAAGGATTTGTTATTTAGCGTTTGTATAAGAGTTTAACTTCAAATACCCAGCACAACGTTCCTTTGACCAAGTATGTGCGATTGGTGCACACACATTGCAATCTCAAATTCAAACGTAAGTCTGCTTCCAGTTTTGCTGTCAATTTCTAAGCTAATGACCTCGGTCAGCCTATTGCGAGGTTAACTTAGCCCGAATGGCAGGTCGCCAGCACTTGTATCATGTCAAATTAGGGTTTCAATGCATCACCTCCGATGATGATGCGTATGCTTCGACTTGAGGCTTGCTCCAGCGGCGCCTGCACGGGCTAGCAGTTGCTGTATAGAATCAAATATTCATTCAGGTGTTCAGGATGCCAAGCTTGGTACTCTGACGGTTTGGATTAACCCATTGAATGTCGGTCATCTTCAGGTTCATGAGAGAGATGAAGACGTATTTTGGGTTCCCGAGAAGATGTCCGATGACCGAGGCTGGTGTGGGCTGCAAGGACTCGGACTCGGTCACTCGGGCAGGGCTGTTTGATCTTCGACGAGCAAACCGAACGTATGCCAACGGACAGGCTGTTTGAACCTGCTCTTTTCTGCAAGGCCGGGCTGCCGATGGGGATAACTCTCTCCAAACGGGCTGTATCAGGCAATAAACATCTCCTTGACGCGAGTAATGCCTTTCTCAATCCCTGGGAACAGTTCGGTTGGCATCGTTCGATGATCCTGACTGTCACACCTTCCAATTCCGTATCTAGAGAGACATCGGGAAGGCTGTTTGAACTGCGCCCCTTCTCATATGGAAGCAATAAAAGCGAACCTCGCCGTGGGACTCTGGTCCAATCTCTTTTGCCCCTTCTCTGAGCTTTCAAAGCTTCATTCCCCCATTTGTTCTTCCCAGCTTGAACCATGCCGTCCTCAGTGCATGGCTCACCAGCTGCAACTGTACATGAAGATAGTCCCCAGCAGCTCACAGCCGCGACAGACGATGAGAATCGTTACCAGCGCACCTCGCGCGGGAAAGCGTTTTGGCTTTCGTTCGTCGCTATCATTGTTACAATCCTCTTGAGTGCTCTCGACCTGACCGCTATCGCAACGATTCTCCCGACAATGACCGCTGACTTGAATGGGGGCGATGATTTTACCTGGGTTGGTTCGGCGTATGCGCTCGCAAGCACCGCTATTCTTCCTTTGATTGGTGGTCTGGCCGATAGTTTTGGCCGGAAACCAGTCATGTTGGTTTGCATCGTTGTTTTCGCTGTCGGAAGTGCCCTGGCCGGATCGGCGCAGAACATGAACTGGATGATCGGAGCGCGAAGTAGGTGTCATTGTGTACCCATTGTTGAGGTTTGTATATGGTGCTGACTGTATCTTAGCTGTCCAGGGTCTTGGAGGAGGCGGCATCCAGACCTTGACAAACATCATCACTTCTGATCTCGTCCCTCTCGCGGAGCGCGGTACTTATCAAGGTCTTATCGGTCTGACGATCGCCCTTGCTTCAGGTATCGGCCCTCCGATTGTGCGTATATGCTATTCAATACATATATTAGTAAATTAATCCGCCATGTAGGGTGGTCTTTTGGCCCAAGATGCATCCTGGCGATGGTTATTTTGTATGTCTTTTTCTCCGTTCTTCCGCCCATACTCCCGTTAACCACTCATCATCACGTAGACATCAATCTTCCTCTGTGTGGTATATCATTCGCTCTCGTCCTGTTTTTCCTTCGAGTCCGCACTCCACCCGGCACCGTTTTCGAGAAGCTCTCAAAAATCGATTGGACGTAAGTCGCTCCAAACCACCCTTCTTCCTATTATTCATCTTCACCTTTCTACACAGTGGAAATGTAATCATTATCACCGGCACGACGCTCGCTGTCATCGGTTTGACTTGGGGTGGTACTCGATACCCATGGGCGGACGCCCGCGTCTTGGCACCTTTGATCATTGGCTTGGTTGTCATGGGTTTATTCTGCGTCTACGAATATTACATTCCCAAAAACCCAACCATTCCGTTCAGGGCCTTGGCCAATCGAACGAGTGCTAGTGGGTTCGCTACGGCATCCGTCCATGGAGTCGCCAGCATCTCCATCATCTGTACGTCATTTTCTTCGCCAATGTAGTCAACCCTGCTTCTGACTCTTTCCATTCTTGCATCAGACTACATTCCCATCTACTTCCAAGCATGTCTCGGAGCTTCCCCTATCCGTTCTGGCGTGGACATGCTCGCAACGGCTCTTATCATCTCGCCATTTGCTCTCATTTGCGGTATCGTCGTCAAAGTAACGGGCAAATACCGTCCAGTCAACTACGTTGGATGGGTGTTGATGATCATCGGCTTCGGGCTTCTCAGTCTTCTCAAGGCCGATAGTAACACAGGACAGTGGGTTGGGTATCAAGTCCTCGTTTCCGCTGGGACTGGTATGATCGTAAGTCATCCTTCTAAATTTATTCTTATGATGTCGGTGGCGGGTCGTCTGATCGCTTTTTTTGCTTTGTTTCTTGCGACATAGTTCTCTGCTACGGTGTTCCCGGTCCTGGCTCCGCTCCCCGTTTCGTTGACAGCCCCCGCATTGGCGTTCTTCGCTTTCGTAAGAACATTTGCCCAGGTTCGTCTATTTCCTTTTTGTCTGCGCTCCACACGTACTATTTATACACGGGCACTTTTTTCAATTTTACTTATCTATTTCTATTTCAGACATGGGGTATCACCATCTCGAGCACCATCCTCCAAAACGAACTCAAGAAAAACCTTCCCGACGCCTTCACCTCGCAATTCCCCCAAGGCGCCGAAATCGCATACGCCGCTATCCCCGCTATTCCTCAACTCCCTGAACCCTTGAGAACGGAAGTCAAAGTGGCGTTCGCATCGAGCATGGGGATCATTTGGAAGACGATGATCGGGTTCTCGGGGTTGGGTCTGTTGTTGTTGATCATGATGAAAGAGGTCCCGTTGAACTCTACGGTGGATGAGAGCTATGGTTTGGCTGAAGCTGAGGCGAATAAGGAGAAGAAAATTAGTCTTTCGGGGTCGGCGGATTCTGAGCTTGCGGATAAACGTGGGGATGTGGGCGCTATTGCATGATGTTGATGTTGTTTTTGAGCTTTCGAAGCTATACGCTCTTGATATGGAGCATCGGACTACTGTCGGGTCATTGTATAATAGTACGCAAGATATGTAGGATACCCCACTGCCAGAGACAATGGCATAATATTAAGTTTATAGTAGGAACCATTTGATGTCGTGTACTCATAATAGAGAAATATACCCTTCCTCCTGGGCGCATACGTATCTGTCCTCTGATGATTTTTGAGCATTGTATTAGGTGCATACCGCTCCTAACCTTCAGTACACTGCATCCAAGCAACATGCACCGGTCACTTGATGATAGAATGGGTGCCCGAGCGCTCGCGCGGGACGTCAATTCTGTTTTCCTCCGTTCCAATTTGACACCCCATCATGCATCAAGGGATGTATGATTGGTTGCGGTAGTTTACCTCGGGGACGTTAAAATTGAAGTTGTGCAGCCCGAGGGATGGGTCCGGCGTTGGAAATGATACTACTGCCCAACAGGAGAAGACCGACATTCGTTGGGAAAAATCAGATGGACCGGGATAGCCTCGATTGTGTCTACTTTCCGACCACTGTCTACGTGGGATGCTCAGTAATCAGCGAGTTTCCGGTATATGGATGCAACGAGCTACTCACTGTTGCTGACAGGTCGCGGAGCGAGGCTGCAAGTCCCAATGATATCTACACACTTACATAGCGTAATAGTGGAGAATCCATATGGTGGTATGAATGTTCACGGAAATGGCAGGGTCTTCATGGGATCACCGTCTCAATCGTAGACGGAAAGCATTCTTGGATGCTCGAGAGTGTGAGTCCATGTATGCCTCGTAGAAACCGACGATGAATTCTTCTGCCTTGAACCCAAATCGGTTGTATAGAAGCTATATAAAGGCGAAAAAGTCAGCAAATCAAATGACATCGAATCGCATGAAAATAAGAAATACTCGCCATGGCTGGATTTTTGATGGACACATGCAGAAGGATGTCTCTACCTGGGTTCATGGTGATTAGATGGTAAAGCATCTTCCTGATGACGAAAAGTTCATAAAAGCAATATCGAGTACGTCAGACTTGGCGAGTGGGGGGTCTAGACATGAACATACGTGGCTATCTGCGCATTTTCCCATCCTGGCCTGACAGCCAGATATGTGATGTACGTTTCCTGAGGGGAACTCAAGAACGCGCATCCAACTATCGATTTCTTGTAAGTCGCGATGATGGTGCATTTCTCGGGGCTATATTGCAAGGAGTCGCTGACTGAGATACCCGATCAGTGACAGTACAAAGACAATTCAGAAAGTCAAAGATACCATCTATGCCGTCCCAGAATGCGTGACGCAGAAGTTCGTGCACTTGGTTCAGATGACTTGCTCGAAGAGGCGCATATTCTATTGGGGCTTCGACTTCAATTGGATGATCGCGATCCGGACTAGAGTGGAGGTATGAATGAATTTGATTTGTTAGCGTAGACTGGTTGTACGCACTGCATGAAGGTGAAATGGTCCCGGATGTCACGCATAAGATCCATCCACGGCGCTCTGGTCTCCCAGTCTACATCAGTAAGACCGGGGTTGAGACTTGGTTGATAGCCTCGTATTCGAGAAAGGAAAGAACTTGAATAAGGCGTGGTTGTGATAGAGTACAGGACATCCAAGACTTGAGGATTAGGCTGTATGCTTTGCTTTGGTCGTTCCATTGGTACTATTGGACCGTCATGATTGTGAGCGTGGCGTGAATCTAGTACCGCAATACGAAGTGTATTCTGGACTAGAGTGAGCGACTGCAAGCAGACACGAAGGTTTCCTGCTTCAAGCGTACCGAATGGACCTTCAGCTTTCTTGCAATGAGGGAAGCATTGTATCCCGCCCTGCTTGTTGAAGAGGTCATGCTCGACTCCAGTTCATCCAGTATTTGTCTTGATTGAAGTCTCGAAATCGGGAGGATACTCGTTCCTCTTGAATGTATTTTGGTGAAGTTTAGCGCAGACACAAAAATCAATGAAACAACGCACCTTTGATCTCTTAGCTCATGATTCTGCTGTAGAGTCAAGACTGACTCGGTGTATTCGGTAAGCAGAGGTTCAATATATTGCTCAAAGCAACATTCGTCATCGGTGGCTTGAAGAACTTCTTCAAGAGCACTTATAAGAGGCTCGAAGGCATCTATACGGGCGATCGTTCCGTCGGAAGATTCACCATGCGTTGTTTTACGACGTTTTCTTCTGTGAACCTTCACGGCGCGAATGAACATATGCATTGCAAGCTATGGAAATGACTTACAGACGTTTGGCGAGTATATTCAGAATCACTGGATTGTTCCCACTCCGAATCCGACGACATGATAATTATACAGATCCACAAAGCCTTGTCAAAGCTCTTGTGCAGATGGAGCGGGTGTGATTTTAAGAATGTGTTCCAAGTTGGATTTACCGTAATTAGTAAATTTGAGTGAAGACTAAAATGCTAAGTCCCGGCAGCGCCGGCACGCCTCCCTGCATCGATTCCTGCTGTTTTTGGCGCGTGCACTGGTCAGCTTTCAATTGTCATCCTCTCTTCACGAAATAACATTTCTTGTTCGCGTGTCCGTTACGCACATAGTGTCCAAGTAAGCACCGTACACAATAGCGTGAAAAGCGACTCAACTTACTTGGATACCCATTGACAGACTTCCGCTCCAACCTACTTGCTCAGCAGCATCTTTCAGAGCGAGCGACATTACCACAGACTATCTACTTACTACCACGCTTGTATATACAAGTAAACATGGGGGCTCAATCATACTCGCTTGAAGAGAGATTACAGGTGCGGCACAAAGTTGTGGGCAAGCGCCTGCATACACTGAGCCCAACTCGTCGCAAAGGCGGAGTTCTGCCCGCCGCTCGACTCTTCTCTCATCGCAGCGTTCATAAACGATTATTGTCCACACGGTCAAGTCGATCCTTCATCACAAGCAGAGCAAAGCCTCCGAACCATTTTATCCGAACTCGCCACCCAAGCGGAGAAAGACGAAAATGCACTTTCAGATCGATTCTCTAACCTTGAACTTGGAACAAACTGTTCTGTCACGGATGATACCAGCAGCTCCAATGAGCTCTTTTCGAACGATACCCAAACAACATCCCCTACTACCTTCAGCTCTAATGTCTCAGAGGCATCCGGCGGCAGCCTGCAGCCGTTCAGCTCCCCTATGGGATTCTTGCAAACCGCATTCCCCGATATACCCACTCATAGACTCAGAAGCATTCTTAGCAGCATGGGCGATATAGAAGATCTAGATATGGAAGAGGTGGTCGATCAAATATGCTCACTAGAATTCGTACGGGAGTTGGAACAGCGAGGGTTGGACGGCTTAGATGGTGCAGATCAGGAAGACCTTACACCTTGGCTCCCTGTGGAATCCAAGAAGAAGCCTTCTCCCCCGGCGAAGAAGCAACCGAAGAAAGGGATGACGTTCACCTTCGGCGATATTCGTCAGAAGCAACACATCCGACGGGCAACTGCTCCAAGTACGCCTGGCCCAAGCAACGGAACTCCAGATACTTGGACTCAAGTCTCCTCTTTGGCCACTTATCTTGCCTCCCTTGTTCCCTCCTTGCCTGAATCCCATTTCCAGTCAATATTCCATTCCCCCGAGTACTCCACACCGTCAGCTGCTATTCGCGCTTCCCTTAGTACCATCAAGAATTTGGAGGAGTCGATCGAGATAGTCCAAGCCCGCAGTATCTTTGAGATTCTCGAGTCCTCTGATGATTTTGTCACTTTATCGCCCTCTGATCGCGAACAGCTCATGGCTGATACGAGACTTGCGGTTAGAGCGACGGGCGGTCAGCCGGACGCAGCCTTGGACCTTGTTCAGTGCCTCCGAGAACTCGACTCGGATGCCGTCTCAGGGGAAGTGGAATGGCGTTTGTATCATTCACCTGCCCCACCGCCTTCGCACGGTCTATCTCAATATGCCGCTAACGCTGCAAGGCGATCCATGTTGACATTGACCTTACCATCTGGTCCACCGGCCGTCCCTCCACCTCCAACAAGACAGCGCTCCGCACCTGTCTTGCCTATATCTTCGAACGCATGGAAGACAGTGACACCGACGCGGAAAGCTGGACCTTCTTCACACTACTTAGCTGAGTTCATACCTGCGTATAATCCTGCTAATGTACCGACGAAGAAGGGTCGGGGTAGAGGAGGGGTCAATGGGCCTGGGAAGGGTGCCAAGAATAGGACGCTCGCTCTGGTGAGGAATGAGAGGAGAATACATTCCTTGCGCGCGAAGGAGTTGATGCAGCAAAGAGCGGAAGCTTTGAAAGAAGCAGGTCGGGCGTGGCAGAATGGGAATGCGAAGAGTAGAGGGGGTGAGGTTGCATTCTATTACGCTGAAAAGGTGAGGTCTACAGATTCTATCTCTCGCACTGTTGTGTACTTACAACTGATTTACTTGTCAGGCACGTCAACTTCAAGAACGGGCTTTCCGCGAACAGTTGGTTGTGGCACAAGACAAGGTGGATGCCAGTCGGTGAGGCACTCTCTATTCGATCAATAGAATACATCTCGCTAAGCTAATGCTCTCATTTTCAGGCAGTATTCGAAGAATGGAAACACCATCGATCTTCATGGAACGACAGTCCCTGAAGCCATTCACATCGTCAAACGGACGCTTGAGGAAGATTGCCCATCTGCCGCGAAGCCACTTAAAGTCATCACTGGTCGAGGCAATCACTCTGCTAATCGTGTCGGTGTTTTGGGTCCTGCTGTCAAGGCCGCTCTTGTTGACGAAGGCTGGAATGTTGGTATCTGGGACGCAGGACTTGTTGTTCGAGGGAGGCTTGCGTTCAAAGCGTAGCACCTGCGGTTTTACCTCATCATTCACGACTGTACGACCACCATGACTATTCCTCCATCATCATGTCATCTCTGACGGACTTTTCTCCGCATCTTTATACACGCCGATCTTTATGATGCTCGTTTTGTATATTCTCTTTCTCCCCGCCTCGTCGTCGTATCATTGTTCGCCTGTAGTCTAGAGCATGTAGCGATTTAGATACCTCCGGTGTATCGAGTAGTATCGAGTAGTATATTTATATCCTAATCTCTTCTGTTTGTCTTGCGTCATACGGACTGTCCTCAAGGACAATGCACTTGAGAGAAATTGCCTTACTTGGACCAACATGTCCATATAAGGCAACGGCTTCTGCTGGTCCTCCACGACAAAGGATTTTTGTCGCATATACAAGGGAATATTACATGGTATAATTAAACTATACATAGACGTACATAGATGTGATAGATATTAGTACACAAAAAATCGTAAATGCCGTAATGAACAGTGATTACACACATAATCAGCTGGACTCAAGTTGTCCGAGGTTTCTTCGTCTTGGACTGGCCATCTTGGCTTGACGGTCTCGTGCTTGCATCTGGCGTACTTTCCGTAGACGATTCGTAACGTTTCTCCAACTCCCGTACCCACATCCCGCCTTCCGCGCCTTCAAACAACCAAACATGACTGGATATTAAGTGTTTAGTGAAAGGTCATTGGAGTGGAATGCAAGTATTGACATACCTATCGCCGACACGACGTGGTTCACTAGGCTCCACACCTTCAGACGGACGTTTTCGTGTGCGTATGTTTCCGGGTTTCAGGCTGCTTGACCCATTCTGCGCTGGTAGTTCTGGAAGGTCCCAGCCAAGCTTGCGTACAAGGTACTGAACGACTTCATCTGCATTGCCAAGAAGGACGATCTGAACATACAGGATATATCGTCAGTGACACTACACATAAAGTCACCCAAATCACAAGAGGTATAACATACATCTGGATTGATATGCTTTATTGGTGTCTTGTTGATCAGGATCTGAAATGTATCATTAGTTTCATATTCATGTAAATATTCCGGTTAACTGCTGACTTGTGGAACCGAGTGTCGAAGGTGTGCTATACTGAGGTGAGCATAATGCTTAGCTTTTTGAAACGCGGCAACATACTAAGGATATCTGAGACTGGCGACACTTTGAGCGAGGTGCCGATGACAAGAAGTAAATCAACCAACGGTCGATCTTCTATCAGCGCTTTATCGAATTCATTCGAGAGCTTCTCCCCGAAGAATGTGATGTCGGGCTATGTCTGATATCAGCACCCATAACCAAGATCACCTAACTCAACTGTACCTTCATGATACCAGGAGGATAGGCAGGAATATCAGGTTCATCGTCATCGTCATCTTGTTCCCAGACGGAAAGATTCTTCTTCTTGGGCTTCTTTTTTGCCTTGGGTTTCGTGGGAGGTTGTATAGGTGGACATCCTTTGCACAAAGGCACGCGGTGATTCATGATGTCATCTTCTATAGCGTTACCTGGATGGCGCGTATGACAGTTAATGCATGATGCCGTTGCGAAAGAACCATGGCATTGTAAAACACGTTGGACGCCAGCCCGGGTTTCTAAGGTGTCAATGTTTTGTGTATAATTCTGTGATTCCATAGCATGAGGGAGTTGAACGGTGAGGGTAAGATGTCTGAACTCACCCGTAATAGCTGCTCAAGAAGTCAATGAGCGGTCTGATCCACAATATTGAACAGTGTAATGTGATACTCACTTTGCCCTTGTCCTCTATCAGTTTAATAAATCTATGGCAGGGCGAGGGTATGAAGTTCGAGGGGTATATTTGACTTGAAAGCAGGTTGAGATTGCATTTTCTCAGTCGAAATCAGTTGACATACCTAGCGAAAGAACTGGACAAATGACACATAGTCAGTATTTGACAACGAACTAGTGACTGCGCGTCTCACTAGAATACTGCAGAAGGCCATTTTGTCAGTTTCGGTAATTATTACGCAACAGAAGGAGCTTACCAGCGGGGTTCTCCTTGAAATAGTGAATATCAAACCTAAAGTCGACATGATGAATGAACCAAAAGGGCAAAGAAGAAAGGTGGAACTTACATCTGTTGGGGATCGTCTAGGTTATATTCCCCATTACGTTGCAAATTAGCGTACAAGCCGTCTCGAGAACGGAAATCAGGAATGCCACATGATACACCTAGATTTGATGTCAATAAATGTTTGAATGAGGTATAAGCCGTGAATTCTGACTTATTCCTGCGCCAGTCAGGATGACTATACGTTTCGACTTGCGAATTAGGTCTACAGCATCATCTATAGTGTTGTACATAGGTAGCTTCTCGCGAGACTCCAGCCTACCAGGGAGCGTCAGCGATTTGTCAGGTCGGAACCAAGACGGAAAGAGGCATACTCGCGCGTCATGGCTACCTCCAGAAAATACAGAAGAGTCTTGGGACGTTTCTGTCGAAGCTGTTTACACTGAGTAGCATAGATGCTTAGTCGTAACCTCATGCATCAGGACAAGAGATGGTGCCAGTGCTTACCAAACAAATGCCGAACGCATAGAGTAATCTGGGTATCGGAATTGCCCTCTTCACAACATACTCGTTAATGAAATATCCTCGACCTGTGCGAATGCACATTGGCATCAACGTGAACACGGTACATTAGTCGTTATGCCATCCTACCATGCTCCTTCAGATCAGTCATTAGTTGCTTGACTTCCGCTTTCGACCAAGTGGTCTTTGCTATAACATGATGTCAGTATACACATTTAGAGAACAAACATGTAGCCAAGGCAACATCTCTCCATAGATAGACTTCTACGAGAAGGTTCTTCCATGCAGGACGCCACCGAAGCCATTCCGGCGTTGTAGCGCTTACCTTCCTGGAGATATTCACGGTCGACGTCAAAGGCCTCATCACCGGCCGGAGAGTCTTGACCTTCAATAGGTTCGACGCAAGGATCAATATCCTCATCGCCGTCATCATCTTCAAGGCCCATGAGACTATCAAAACCTTCCAAGATATCTTCGATAGTGTCCGGATCGGCTTCAACCACTTCTGCCGCCTCGAGGAAGCCGCGAACCTGGATCGCGTAAATACGAAGTGCTTCGGCGACATGACCATTACGGTTGTTCTCGTTGTTCGGAGGCTTGGAGGGTGACGGTGACCGGGTCAAAGGAGGCGGCAGGATAAGATGATGTTGGTCCATGGAAGACTTACGCGGACAAGAAACGCGGTCGAGATGGAAGTTCTAATTGACAGTTTACTCGGCGTTTCGGATCGCAATTTTCGACTAACACTGCCATCAAACGATCTCGATCAATAAGCGATTACAAGACAACGACAACATGGTTCTGGTAAAGTCATGGAAAAGCGAAAAGTATGCGAAGCAAAGCGAAGGGATATACACTTAAGTCCGAGTAACTGGGTATACTGTGCTGCGAAGGTATAGAAAGAAACGCAAACGAAACGATACAAACGGAAACAGCTGCAAAACATGATCTGAAGGTGAATGCGAATGAGATCGTCATCAACAGGAAACCAGGCACTTACACAAAACTTCTCACTGGCAGTCCTTCCAGGAGTCGTCCGTCAACAGTAACTCGTCATCTTCATCATCGGCAGGTGGCGGTGGAGCATCAAATAAGGTTGGTTTGACAAGTACCTGGCTGCGGCGTTTATGCTTTTTAACCTCGGTACGAGTACGAGTAAGCTTGCTAGGACCAGTTTGAGCTGCACTTCTCTTGCTATTGACACTGGAGCCGACGGCACTAGCAGAAGCTTGGACGGCAGGATCAGCTTGAGTAACTGTTCCGGATCGAGTTCGGCGAGTAGTTGTTCGGGCACGGGCAGCAGGCGGTTCGGTCGTGGTCGAGTTAACAGTTTTGGTAGCAGGCAGAAGAACAATCGGTGGACGAGGATAATCAGAAGCTCTTATAGTGTCGCCACGCTTCCTCCGAGGCTTGGTAGCTTCTCTATTCCCTCTGGAAGTAGAGGCTGAATCCATCGGTGAGGCATCATCGAACGCAGGATCCACAGGTTCTACGTTGAGATCCAGCAGAGGTTCTTAGGTAAAATAAGATGAAAAAATGTTCCAAAGGTATGCAACAACGACCATACCATTCAAATCTAGAGTTGATAATAAATCACGGACGTCATCATCCGAGTTAGGACTTGCCTTCGCTCGGATTGGTCGCTTACCAGTAGCGATAGGGTCATCGAGCGAGAAGGCAGGGGCAGGGGAAAAAGCGGCATCTAGTCCAACGCCTAAGTTCGTATCTGCATCAAGTACTTTGGATGCCCCAGGCTGTCGGGTTGCTACCGAAGAAGGTCGTTCGGTCGTTCTTCGAACATGGCCAGGGGATTCGTCATCCGTAACATACGTAGAGAAATCCAGGGCAGACGAGAAGATGCTGTCACTGGAAACATGCATAATTGTCCGCCTTCTTCTTCCGGGCACTCTTGGAGAGGCAGGTGGAACAAGAGCACGTACGATTGCCAAAGACTTCTGGGTAGGCGAATCCGAGGCGTCGGACAGATCAAGGTCACTATCATCTGAGTATATGCTGGCCTGGCGAGTCTTGCGCGGGTCAGGACGTGGTTTTTCTCTTGCAGGAGTGGAAACCTGCAAAGGTGTATCCAAATAGAATGAAGCGTGGTCGATAAAGGAGTTGTCTGGTGGTTCACCAAGTGCCTCTGGCGAGCGATGAAGTGCTCTGGAGGGAATATGCCAGTTCTGAGGAGATATTTGATCAAGAGAAGATGTCGGCAAAGCAGGAATGGAAGTAGTACGGTTGTGAGTGCTTGACTGAACTCCAGATGTGGAAGAAGGCATGTAAGCGGGTTGAGGTGCATTTGGGGTTTCATAACGATGCGGAGCATTGGGTGTACGACGTAAAGCAGGCATAGAAGACTTCTTCCTTATATTCGACGAGGAGAGAGTTCGCGACTTCACATGGAGACGGGGGCGTTTCCCAGGACCCTGATATTCAGGATTAGGGGAAGATGCTCGTGAGCCTGGTCTACTACTGAATGGAGAAGCCAAACTGCGGTTGGTAGTATTCTCCTTCATATTCCTGGAACTTGCGCGAGAGAGCATACGACGAGCGGTGGGGACCGGAGACAGTTGTTCAGGGAGTACTTTATCATCTTCACACTTTTTAATGGGTGTGTCGACCGGATGAGGCGTTTGGTACGATAGATCATTGACGTCTTGACGTTTCAGAGGGAAAGACTTCTGAGCTCCAGGAATATTATTAATATCATTCTTGCCAGCGATGGCATTTCCGCGAGGCTTTGAAGCCTTGCTTAAGGTCATATCCTCGAGGGAACCTTTTCGTGATATGTTGCGGGTTCGTTTCTTCATTCTGCGAGACATTTGGGCAACTGAGAGGTCCTCTTCATCGTCCAAGCGTTCCAAAGGAGAAGAGGGTCGAATATCTTTGACTCTTTCGACACCCAGTCTTTGGGCACGGGTTCGACGATTAGAATAAGTCTTAAGCGGAAACCTAGAAGATTGAGCCATGACCTAAAGAATTGAGCCTGACTACCGTCCGAAGAGCAGAATTCAAAGAAGATTAGAATTCGAAATTCAGACCTTTATGGCGAGGTGCTGACTAAGCAATATCCACGACAGAATTGCCTTTTCCAGACAGCCACGTCCGTCATGTCCTCCACTGCAACGGTTGTTGGCCCATTTCAAAACTTGACCACGACCGTCGTGTCAGAGACCGACGAACTACTCTACCTTCAGTCTCTAGTGCTCAACGTTCCTTATGGTTGTAACTCGCAGGGCGCCGACTGCGCCGACACCCACTTCACGAACAAGTTCCTCACAACCTGTACCTAGGGCAAAGAAGCCACAGGTACCACCTGTCCCGAGTCCTCTTGCCAATGGCGAGTCGAGAGAAGGCCCTTCACAAAATGATGCTTCCGAGACATACGCGAATGATGTGGTACGTAAACAATCATGCTGGCCCCTCTATGGCCTGGCTGCTCTCGTGACATGTTCAGGGTGCTAATATTGACTTGTCTTGCAGACTGGTTCCCCTTTAAAGAAGGGGAAGCACAAATCCAAAGAGAAACATAAGAAGAAGAAAGACAAGGTGAGCACTCTCTTGGTATAGCTAATGCTGCAGACACTGAGTTTCTTGATGCAGAAAGGGTCGGGCAAGGAGTGGAGTTTCGTGGACCTCCTGACGCGAATATTCCTCCTTTGGTTCACAATATACTCGCTATCAGTTTGTCCGACTGATGAACATCTGAAATCTCCGGTGTGTCGGGGTCTGAGCGAATATCGCCGTCTATTCCTAGAACCCTACGTTTTTCCTGCCTTCCATCGCGCCCTGGCCCACCCTGCGGTAGCGCCATATGTTGAACGCGTGCAGCCCTACGCAGACCGTGTTATCAATACCGCTAAACCGATTGTTTTCCGCACCAAATTGGAATTCAACAATCGCGTAGTGCCTCAATGGAATAAGCACGTCGTTCCTCAGTGGAACAATGTTGTCCTTCCGCTCTGGAACAAACACGCCGCGCCACATATACAAAGTATCGAGAAGCAGTTGCAGCCTTACCGCACCAAAGTCATTTACGAGTACCAGCACAGGGTCGAGCCCCATCTTCGTGTCGCAGTCAACAATTTGCAAAAATGGCAACGTCAAGCCCAACCATATGTCATCTTGGCCGCACACAAGACGTATAACGGCTATCAGAAGACCAAGCCGTATGCTTTACCTGTGTGGGAGCAGTTCAAATTGCTTCTGTCGCAGCTGGCTCAGTTCCTTTCCATCCAACGTCGTCAATATGTCGATCCCCATGTGAAGAAGATTTGGGAGCGCGTTATTGAGCTGAGTGGCGGGAAACCAACTGTTAATGTAGACAAGCAAAGTGCATCCGAGGCACCTGTCTACAAAGCTGCGCGATCAACGACATCTGTCATCTCTTCCGCCTTTTCGTCTGAATCAACTGTGGTCCCTAGATCCTCCGAGGTTGTCGTAGACTCTGCGTCCTCAGTTCTTTCGGAACCGACTACACAGTCTCAATCATTGCCTGCCTCCATTTCGCATGAAACGATCTCACAGTCATCATCCTCAAATGTGGCCCAAGCCAGTGAGACTCTGTCGTCCCTTGCATCTGTTGTGTCCTCCTCAGCCCAAGCCACTGCCTTGTCTGTATCCTCTGGGGTCAAGGATGCTGCATCCAGCGCTTCATCAGTTGTTTCATCGGTAACCGCCAGCGTCGTTCCCTCTGCGTCGACTTTAACCCAGGAACCCAGCGTGCCAGTGTCCTCAGTAACCTCTCAAGCCGGTTCATCAGCAACCGTTTTGGCAAGCTCAGGTTCGTTGACACAATTCTCATGCTACATCATATCTTTGGCGTTATCTGATATGTATCAAATCCACAGCTTCTTCTATAACGGAACAAACCTTTTCCTCGGCTTCAGAATCCGTTCTTGACGGGGTCACCGACGCGTCATCAGCTGTCAATTCGTTCGCTTCTTCGATCTCTTCTAGCCCTATCCCCACCCGTTCTCCTGTAGTGGATGACGATGATATTGACTTGGATGCTTTCTATGCCGAGCTTGGACTCGGCGATGATCCTGCATCTGATGTGGTGATAAGCACTGAAGCCGCCCCTCCTATCGAGACCGAGTCTGAGGAGGAGATCGCGGAACGTCGTCGTCTTAGAGAGATTGAGACCGCCAAGAAACGAGCCGACATCACTGGTCGCCACACCGAATGGGAAAGACAGCTTGAGGCAGCCATAGTTGAGAACCGCAAGGCTCTCCGGAAGGCTCTCGTCGCTTTGAGGAAAGCAGCCGCTGCTGAACTCAAAGAGAACGCTGAGATCAGGAAGGAGCTCGAGAATCTTGAGGAAGACGCCGAGAAGTACTTGAGGGGTGCGGAGAAATATCTGGCTAACCTCAAGCGCGAGTCCAGAAAGGAAGACGAGAAGAGGTCCATGTGGGCTCGAGTGGTAGACAAGGTAGATGCGAAGTTCGCCGAGCGGCTCGGCCAGGCCGAGAATGTTGTCAACAGCTGGTACCTCGAGAAGTTGAATAAAGAACTCGAAGAGGTACGATCATACTTAGCCTTTGCACAGCGAAGGCAGTACTAAATTCGTCCTGATAGGTCAAACGAGTCTCGGACATCGTTAGAGATATTGCAGACCGGGGACAGACCGACATCGGCTTGGATTACGCGTGGCTTGACGATGTTACTTACCAAGACTGGCAACGTTATCATGATCTCGTTCGCAGTGAGTTCTGTCTGTCGATATTTGCCAGACTATCGTACTAACTATTCGTAGGGAGTGAGAACTTTACGGCGCAGGCTCATGCCATTCAAAATGGCTCGCATCCTTCACCACCAATCAACCCCATCCTGACGGCGCTGTCTGACTTACAAATTGAGGTCCAAGACACCGTCCTTGGGTTCGAGACCCGTTTACGTCGTATCAACCGTCACGGCGAGCGATCTTTCGGCTCCAAAGATGGTCAAGACCCTATTGATGACGAGATCATATTGGACGAAACTGTCTCCATCCTCCCTATCGAAGATGAGGCTCACAGGGCTCCAGCAGAGGGCGAGACGCCTGTTGATATTCCACAAGTCATCATCGGGCGAGGCAAGGAAGAGGTCATCTCCGCCTTGAATCGGGCAGCGGAACAGGAGAGTGCTACTTCGGCCCCCAAGGAACATTTGAAGAACCCAGAACAAGTTGTTGAGGCCATAGCTCATGAGGTCGAAGAAGACACGCGGGCGTCGTCCTCCGTACATGAGGAGTTGTAAGAAGATGGAGTTGGTCCGATATGCTATGCCTACTGTCACGATAGTGGGTTACTTTGCTTTTTTTCACATTGTCGCTCATGTTGACAAGTGTTTCGTAGTTCTATTGTTGGATATTCCCAGTTACCCTTACTATGTTTATTCTCAATATGTTCGTTTTGGCTTTTTCATGTACTGCGTGTGCCTTATATATAGGAACACGCCAGATAGACGGCACCATAATGTGCCTGTACCTGCGCTTTTTCTTGGAAATTCCCTCGCACACCGAGAACCAGTAGTCAGCTCTGAACGTGGGAACAATGTCCATACATCAACGAACATGAGGACTTGGAGACATGCTTGAAGTAGAATAAGGGTAGCGTACAGGAAAGCGTGAAGCATGGCAAGACAAGAGGCAAGAAAATATCAACAAAAAGCAAGATTCATTGCGATGGGCTACTTAATTAGCATGAGCTCATGGCTCATCAGTGTCCTCTCGCCATCGGAGGTTACTCTCGTAGAAATCCAATAGCTGCTCCCGAAATTAGTTTCTCTGTCACGCGAGAAGACCCAAACACGCACCTTCATGGGCATTTTCTCCTTGCAAATCGCGGACTTCTCACGGCAACGCCTGAACCCAGATTTCTTCGCACTTTTGTTGTTCCTGAGAAGTATCAGTGAATAAGTGCATGCAAACAAATCAAGGAAATTCATACAGAGTAAAGTACACGTAGAGCTCGTTGTCCTTGGTGCGCTCCACAGTGTCAATGGTGTCGACAAGATGCTCCCAGCTTGCAGCATCCAACCACTTCTTCATGTTTCCCAATTCTTCATCCAAACCGTTCTCCTCCTCTTCAGCCGTCGGCTGGGACTTACGGCGCTTCGCAGCCTCCGTGCTCTTTCTGGGGGCAGCCTTAGGTTTCTTCGCCTTTGGTCGTTCCTCTTCCGCCTCCTCTTCAGAAGGAGTCTCCGGCGTTCTCGCCTTGGGCGGCCGGCCCCGTTTCTTTGGAGGTGGCTGAGAAGTCTCGACTTCCTCAGACTCCTCACGTGGAGACACAGCGGATTTGCGACCTTTGGGCTTAGGACCCTTCTTGTTTCGTTTCCAGTACGCGTCAATCAAGTCTTGAGCACCTCTGTGACGTGATGTAAGAGCTCTTCACTATCCAATGAGTTAAAGATGCTCACTTGGCATCGTTTTCGTCCACGTAGCTGTTCTCGCTATCAGGATAACCCTTCCATTTCACCAGATAGCCTATCCGGCCCTATGACGCGTCAGAGTCAGCTCAGCTACGCGTTTACGCGGTACAAAACGAGAGAAAAATGTTACCCCAAACTGAGCCATGTTATACTTGTGACCGAGAATGGCTTCAATCTCGTACTCATCCACTGGTTCTCCTTCCTCGTCTTCGCCTTCACTGCTATTCTCCTGTGGGTCGTCCCCCTCCTCCTGGGCTTCGGTCGCCTGCTTTTTAGTCTTGGGTTGATCCTCCATCTCCACGTCGCTATCCTCAATGGCGATTGCCTTCGCCATATTGGGGATGATTGGAAAGGATAATGAATATGAACGTGTCCTGCTGTGCACAAAGGCAAGTGAAGTGAGCAAAGAAGCACGCCCGAATAGCCGCCCTATCGTGAGGGTGCACGGTTAGCGCCGGATAAGGCCCTACGCTGGCTTCAAGTAGAAGGGCCTCAAGAAATTAGAATTAACTGTCAAAAGTATCGTATCGTCTTATAAGTAGAACATAATTTTTGGACTCTTATTGTCTGACATCCAAGGGCACCAATGAAAGTCAAAAATCTCAGGACTTATCGGTAGTCCCAGTTACGTAGTTCTGCAACCTCCTTCCAGCGTGCAAGAGCTTAGCATCAACGAAAGGCCGAGTGACCACAAAGCTATTGGGTGATAATGATAGAGCAGAAAGACACCAGAGCACAGATAGACAGTAAAGAACAAAAGTATAATACAGTGTCAATCTCCTCATCTTCGCGACGGGCTAGCACTTCGACCACGGCCCTCGCGGCCTCGTCCCTTCTTTGGGCCCGTTGGCGGCGGTCTGACAAAGGCATAATCGCATTGTAGCGGTTGCTCCAATAACGTGGTCCCTGATGCGCCATCTATGGCAGCCTGTGCTTCTGCCATGGTCTCATACTCGACCAACGCATATCCCTGCGCAAAAGTTGCAACGGTGAGAAATACGATCCGTGAACTACGGCCCTAACAACTCACCTTGACATAACCTGTCCTACGGTCAAGGTTCAAATGCAGGTTTTTGATTTCTCCGTACTCCGCGAACTTGTCAATAACATCTTCCTCTGTTGCCTCCTCATGAACATTCGTCACTAGCACAATCCAGCCTTCTACCGCTACCGATCCCGAGGAGACGATAGGTAAGCTCGATCATATTTCAGAAATAGACCTGACTCACATCGTGCAGCCCTCGTCTCCAATGCTTGTGTTGACTCGACTCTGTCATACGTTTGTTCAGAAGATAGGCCACCCTCTTTGCCTCCTGTTTGTTGCAAAAACTGCCGTGAGTGACTGAGATCGCAAGAGACCAAGACATCTTCTAACCCGCGCTCTGGAATCCTCGTCCTTTACGGCGTACAACACCTGCACCTGTGAAAAGTGAGTAAGATCCATATGTATAGAGTCACAGGCCTGTCGAAAATACACACTATCATCGATGTTCATTTCATCTTCGGACATTTTGTATGAAATTGGGTAGATAGATATCTTAGACGGATGGGTGAACCTGACGAAGCGATACTCATACAAGCGTCTATGGTTGTACCTCTGGTTCGGCTCCTCGGCATACGCCGGTTGGGTAGACACCTGCTGCTCAGAGTAGCCTCGCCACTTCCATCTCTTGTTTAGCTGGGTACGCAGCGGGTACCAGTGACAGTTCCAATGCATGTGGAGTATTATATCCAGCGGAACATTCTGTGCCCTCCTTCTGTCCATAGATGCTCCAATTCCTTCTCAGTCTCAAACAAAACCTCATCCGGCGAACTGCGCCCGGTTCAATCACCTCCAAGGGACCAAATGCTGCATGACTACGTGGATGCAAAGGTTTAGCTGACTCAGTCTGACAGTGTACCAGCAGCACAGTTGGTCGCGACTCATAGTTTGTTGGGGATCGTCGGACAATCGAGCTATTTTCTCATCGAGTTGCCGCATGCACTGCTCTTAGGGCTAACCTCGCAACATTCTGTTTACTCTCGGCTAGTTGGACTTCGCTACGTGTGGACTCGGCCAAAGTTAATCAATTTGCCGCCGAAAAGTCGTTAACATTCTGGACTGTGACCAAAAACAAATCACAGAGCACAGACGCGCGGAAGACATGCACCAACTAAACTGATGCGGTGTCACTCCATCTCATAATCACTTTCGACCTCTGCCCTACACGAGATTCATCAAACATCCAACACTAATTATCGTGCCTGAAGTTACGTTGTTCTCGCTCCAGTTTCATCCATTTGCCACGATGTGACTCGATTGGCTTTCCGATCTCACAGATGTACATACATTGCCGCTTCCTCACCGGGAAATTTGCCTGCGCCAGTGTCGGGTAGTCATTAAAAGGAAAGTGTACGCGCTGCCTCGCGTTTTCGTATATAATAGACTGAGTTCATGCTGTCACCCAACATTCTACACGGTTCCTTCCTCTCATCTTCATCTGTTTATTCCTCACACTCTCCTCACAATGAGCAGCGGCGCTGTCATTAATCACCCTTGTATCGTATGCTGCAGACCCACCTCGATGTGGTGTAGCCGATGCCAGAGTGCTTGGTATTGTTCTCCAGAACACCTCCAAGGCGTACGTCAGTGACATTGCAGGTTCTATTCTCTACTCACCTTTGTTTGGTGTCGTCTATAGGACTGGCAACGTCATCGCAGAGAGTGCATTCCTGCTAGTGCAAACCAGCAAACGGTGATTGCCACTCCCCCGCCTATCCAAGAGCAGTTAATCACTGTCTCTGCCATCCTTTTCGTGGCCGAGGAAGGTTAGCTAGTGCGCTCTCATTGTTTGACATGTCTACTGATCACTTCGCCATACAGAAAGGTCACGAATTGTGCCCATACAATGTCGACCAGCGGGGCCCGGATCGCCAAGCGCATGCCCTGTACCTCTTGTGCACGAGTACTTCCTGGAGGGGCCTCCCAGCACCATTGTTTTAACCACGGGCTTAAATGGCGAGCCACTCAGGTTTCCCCTTCACATATTCTATTGTCCAACTTCACTGCAACGTGGAGCGCCCATAAACCGAGGTATCTATCGCATTACCTCCGGAGCGGCCGCCAGACCTTGGTGCGGGACAGTTGTTGTCCTCAAATTCAACGGTACTCGCCGTCAAGGTTATTCCGATGCTGGTGGAAATGACCTGCCCGCCCTTTCCGCGTATTTCCTCGCTTTCAAGTAGGATGCCACTCACCATAGTAAGCTCTTTTGACAAGATCCACCGTATTTCAATCATCTCACGCTTGCCTAGGATGCTTCCAAATTTCGAACCTATTTATCGCCCCAAGCGCGTGGGGAAGCCGAATTTCTCATTCTAATTATCTTCTTGTGTTCGTATGACGTGTTGAATCGAATGACCCGTTTATCTACTTCATAGAGGCACATTAGCGTAGCTGTCGCAGTTGAGTTATGTAGGCACTCGTTATGTGTGATTGCTACTAGAGATTGTATTTTGTATTTACAAACTGGACTATATCATAACACAACATTTCGATTAATTTGAGATCGCCGCCGGCGAGATGCTTGTGCCTTACACATTGTCGCTCTTCGGCCTTGACATCATCGAGGAAATATAGACATATACCAATCATTGATAACTTTCGCCGGTCTTTTTACATTTACATAACGTAGGCAATCATACTTTGGATAGGCAGAAGCCGATGCATAATCTGTCAATTGCGGGTGAAACTCAGACGTAAGCACTGACGGTCCTCAAAGACCGCAGTATGAATACACCACATGACTTTCGTGAGACCTGAAATGCCACGAAGCTACTGAACAGCACTTTGACCATCAACCGTGTGCAGGAGTAGAAACGTGTATGGACGATGGGGACCCGATACTGACCGTCAACTCTTTCAAATTGGCCAATACAGTATTGCCCCGTTATCACGTAAAAGGTATTTCGAAAATATGGAATGAATCTGGGTTTCTACTCGGGCGATTTTGCCTCGCCTTGTATTGAGCAGAAGCAGATCATAATGGGAAACATGCTCTTGGAGAGGCCCTCCAAGAAGAAGAGAGCCTGTTAGGTCTACACAGCTTTGAGGGCGATCTCCACGGTCCGTCGGTCCCGATCTAATCTGGCTTCGCACAACTCTCGCGTTTACATTGGCGCCTGCAGGCTATACTCAAAACCATGATCACTTTCTCCTCATTTCCTGCTCCTCCACAAGACAACTATACTTTCGGAGTTCAACAATCCCCGGGACTTGATAACGATGTCGAAATGGACTTGAATCTCGATGACGACGAATTTGAATCATCGGGTAGAAGACTAACGTATCCTGGCGAAGCGATTACTTCATCACAAGCGTTCATGCGGTAAGCTGATGAGTTGCGGGAAATATATACTAAAGAAGTTGAGCATGAGTACATGTATATTTTAGTGGACATGGTACATATGTTGACCACGAGGAGGTCATAGCATCTGTCTCAGGGACTGTTGAACGTGTCAACAAGTTGATCTCAGTACGTGCAATAAGAACAAGGTCTGTAATATAATCCATCTTTCCCCAGAACTGCATTATTTATTTATTAACAGATACAATCCCGAAGTTGGTGATCTCATAGTGGGCAGAATCACCGAGGTACTTGAGGTCCTAAAGTTATGATCACATTTCCTCATGACTCAACATAGGTCCAACCTCGTAGATGGAAGGTCGATGCAAATTCTAGGCAAGATGCCGTTCTCATGTTATCCTCCGTTAATCTTCCTGGCGGTGTTCAGGTATGACAAGCGCATCTTCTTTGTCACCTGTTTCTCAGCCTTTCTTACTCAGCGACGAAAACTTGAAAGCGATGAGTTACAAATGAGAACATTTTTCGAAGAAGGTGATCTCCTTGTTGCCGAAGTACAGGCTTTCTTCGCCGATGGTGCCATGTCACTACATACACGTTCGCTAAAGTATGGCAAGGTGAGAATCGTTCGATAGCATTTCGTTGTGGTATCAAGCTCAAACTCTATTCTGCAGCTACGCAACGGTCAATTAGTGACCGTACCCCCGGCCCTGATCCGGAGACTGAAGTCACACTTCTTGACATTGCCCTGTGGTGTCGATCTTATTCTTGGACTGAACGGATACATTTGGATCAGTAAGCACGTGAAACAAAGCGAACAGGAGGGAGAGGAAGGATTTGATGCAGAAGCTGTGTATTCGAATCGCAATGATGTGAGTGATCATCGAAAGTATCATTCCCAACTTACCTAAACATTGAGCAGGAAATTGATGATGCTACACGGAGCGCAGTCTCTCGTGTGAGTAACATCATACGAGTTCTCGCAACGCACTTCGTTCCTTTGACTGATAGTATACTGTTGAACGCATATGAGTGGGCTGTGGAACAGGAAGGCGACGTCAAAGATTTATTGCAAGAGGATGTAAGCGAGTCATTGGTAGCTGCTATCAGCGCTCAGCTGTGATGATAGATTGTTCGCTGCGTGTTACTATGCAACAACGATAATAGTGTGTATGAAGTGTAATGATATGGACATTTAATCCTCTTCGTCCTCTTCGGAAGTTGTATCTCCGTTGTCATTGTCTTCTGTATCATCGTCGACCTCTTCATCGTCAGTAGGTTCCGGTGGTGGTGGTGGCGGTTGTGGCTCCTGGGGTACGGCGGCAGGGGCGTGATTCGCAGCAGTGCCACTGGCCATTTTACGAGCCTGGGCTGCCTTTTCAGCTTCTTCTCTCTCTTTATCAACGGGAAGGAGCAGATCCAAAGCTAATTCCTTCCATCTCATTGAGCCATTGACTCCGCCACCAGCAAAGCCCATGTCTTCAAATAATGCCCGAGAAGCCGGATCGTATGGTATCCTTGGCTTTGACGCGGGGTGTTTTGGGCTAAATGGGTTTCCATATGGATATGAGGGGTGCATTCGTGAAGGTAACACTAGGGCAGACGGTGTCAGAGTTCTGGTTGTTGGCAGAACGTAACATAATGTGGACACACCTTCGGTCTCTTCTGGATTGGGCGGTCGCATGTGGAGAGGTATATCGACCGCTATGTGCTCGGATCAGAAACATGTGCAATGAAGCCATAATTATTCATACCATTCTCCACATTCATTTGGAAGTCTAGATATTCGGAAGTGCCTATGGTATCAATGACTTCCAATTCGTGGTCGGTCATATGCAAATAACAAAATGTTAGGTCCTGGAACAAGCATTGTAATCAATCAGACATAGACGACAATGGTGCTCTTACTGTCATATTTCCAAAACTGTTCTAATGCTCGAGCTCGGCGAACAAAGACTCAGACTCAGTGAACGCGGGATCAAGGCAGCGTGGGAAATAAGCGGACCAGCAAACGCCCATAAAGATGCACCAAGTTCGCGGCAGGGTTGTTTTGCCCATTTGTCAATTTCCGACGAAACTGAACACCGACATAGCATCTAGGGGCATGACGATTGCTTATCCCTAAAAACTGTTCTAGGTATCATCAGGTATGTTTCCACGGAACATGCAACTCCCCGAGACGAACGGGACTTTACCTTCATGCAGCGGTCTCGATGAATGCGTTATTGTAACGCATATACTATAATCGTGACATTATTTCTCCGTAGTTGACGCGTTGGCGAGCGACGGTCATATTTACCATCCAAACTCATCAAACGGTGGAATCCCGTACGAAACACAGGTTTGTTTCATCTTGATTTGTGCTGTTTCAACGCATCTCCCATTGCGAGTTGTTCTCACTCGATTCTGACAAACTTGTGGACCAAAGCTGACGCGTCATTATACTGAAGCCGTCATGAATGAGCCTTTTATTCGCTCGGCGATACCTCTTCCAGGGGTGGCACCCTTCCCGTCTGCAAATGTTTTGCAATGGACGGATGATGGACAGGTCGTTGTAGTGACAACAAAAAATATATACATCTTGGTAATGTGGCACCGCTGTAACTTATTCATATGCTATCTTACGTGTAGATAGTCACCCAGCTCAGGTACTCAAGCTGACACGAGTTCGTTCGTAAAACAGAGCCTCCCCGACGGTACCCTTGTTGAACGCCAAGGTATACTGCATTGGCTGCGAACAGTGATTGAGTGGGACGCAGTTGGTGAACTGCGCCAATGGCCCATTGCTTGTCAAGGTGACTAAGTGTATGCACTAGCATTCCTTGGTATCATGCTAACAAATTAGCAGAATGGGCTGCCGTGTCTTTGGGCTCCCTTGATCCATGTTTTCGCAGCGTAACCTGTTCTCCCAGCAATATCAGTGTACACGCAAGGTATGCATTAATCTCAGATCTCACGATGTCTTCCATGATGATATGATGTATCTAGCTGCGTTCTAGCCGTGCTTACGTCCAACTTGCAAGTCTCCTTATGGTGCCCGGCAAAAAATATGCTCACGGGCAAATGGACAAAAGTCTGTCAGTTCGTACCTTCTTTGACCGTTGCGCTGATATTATGACTCAGATTGAAGATTTCACTGATGTCCACTATTACCCTTCCGATGCTGCGAACCAGGCACTGTTCAGGACTCTCCAGGAACAGATAACCTGTAGGCTCAGGTATTCCGGTGATAATTATAGCGTCGCTAAACCCCTACCGATTAATGCTTTCAGCAATTTCATGGTCTTTGCAAACAGACTTTCTGGTCTCACCGATGCCGGTGGTTGATGGTTCCCTTTTAGCGATTGGGAGCCGTGCAGGAATTTTGTCTTTTGTCAGGTATCCATCTCGCCGTTTAACCGATTTCAGAGTCAAAGTTGAAATACGAGTTAGATTAATCAGAAACACGGCCGCTGAAAGCACACTGAGGCATGTCACCTCTGTCCCCGTCAGCGACAGATGGATAATCCAACTTGCCTGGTCCCCATGGAAATCTTCATGTCCTGGACAATGTGTGTATGCTTCATAGCCTCCGGCGAGTTACATCCTAAACCTCCTTTGTGCCTATCAGGTCAAGCTTATGTGGCGTGCGGAGACCCTGCCGGATCCATCAAAATTGTGGAGGTCTCGCAGGTCCTTCAACAGAATCCCTCGCCATTCTCCGCAGATTTTGGAATTGCTATAGAATGCAAACTGCTTGACGTAGCGCCATCTAGCGTTGACGGAAAGGCCATGACGTCCATGAAATGGGTCCAGGCCCATGGTGATATAGTTAGTCATTTTTCAACTATCAAATGAAACTAGCACGGTAGCGTTGACGCATCCTTTTTGCACATAGCCGTATCTCGTGTTTGGGACTCCGGGCGAACTACACATATGGCCCAGCAAACCGGATAGTGAGCTGACTGGTGCTCGTGCACTTGCTCTAAGAACCCAGCGAATATCAGTAGGTTCCTCGTGCTTCGCCCCCTTATCGGGTTTCGCATACAACCATCGACATGATACATTGGTCGCTTCACTGGCTGACGGCTCTTTCCATGTGGTCAAAAATCTGTCCAAAGATCCTGCGCTAGCATCTCCAGCAGATGAAATAGGTTTGACTACCGAGGCGATGACAGCAATGGTTAGATCGGCTTTTAATAAGGTGGAGGGTGGAGATGCGCTGCGAAGAACTGACGTGAACCGGGTCGACGGCATGACCACGTATGACGGTGAATCCACATACACCTGGATACATGAGTGGGTCTTTGATATTATCATGAAAGCGGCATGTCGACTGATATCATGGCAAGGCATACTCGGCCGACCGATTTTGATTACAAACACGATGCCAAACATACCTCCACACTCATAGTAGCGGAGCTCTGGCCTGGGTCCACGGATGATTTTGTGTTGACCGAGCTTGTTCGAATTATAACAAATACCAGAGCTTGTGAGTGTCCATGATCACTGTCGTAGTGTCCTCCTATCTGAGTTTTAGAGCCATAGCTACCGGAGAAGCACCGATTGGGTTGCTTCGCGCAGTGTGGCTGCATCTGCAGGACCCTGAACGAGTCTCGCGCTTGCGAGACCAAATCGTGCAAATTTTGCATCAGCCAGAATTACCAGACCCTGGTACAGCATTGGTTTTACCTGCGTGGGCCGGCGAGTTGTCCTCTCAAGTGCGTGATGAGTTCGTTCGAAGCCTGAGAACCCATCTGTTTGGGTGGGACAATCTGCATCGACTACGTGTGAAGTTCTACATCGCAATGTTCTGCAAAGTAGGTACAATCTACATGGTACCGTCGAACACCCAAAACTGAGGATGGCAACCTTTCACAGGCTCGTGTGGTTCCTGAGGTACAAAACCAATTTGATGGTATCATGGCTTCTGTCACAACCATTCTTCGATTTCATGTACTCTTTGTACTCATGCGGCATATAACAGCAATGCCGGTACATATTTCAGGTCCGTCTTCTATTTGACTCGTTCGCGAGTGGGCGGCGTGTCCGTGTGCTGACGACGAATCCTGAAACCACAGAGAACGAAGTCCCTTTCGTGCTTCGCATCGTGGCACAAGGACTGGAGATGTCAGATCTGGCCACGGCTGTACAAGAGGTATTCGTAACATTGAACGGCCGTTTGCCCAGTCAGAACTTGGACGTACTCAGTGCCGATGAACTTTGTCCCGCTTGTCACGCGCCTGTACCTTTCAACGATATCAATACTGCAGTCTGTGCGAATGGTCACAGCTGGCGTAAGTGCTAAATCCCCTAACTCGGTCCTGAGTACTGAAGATAGCTATAGAGCGTTGTAGCATCACCTCCTTCATACTATCCACACCCATGGTCCGAACGTGTTTGGGATGCCGTCGTAAGGCGTTCATGCCTCGCCCACGAGCGGCTACGTCTCCCAACTGGCTACCCATCCCTGCGCGAAGCTGGCTAGTCGAGGATCTTCTTGAAGCTGTTCGACGCTGCTTGTACTGTGGAAACAATTTTGTGACATTGGTGTAGTTAAACGCATGCACACATATTTTGGTGAGAGTCCAAATGCGCGTGGACCCACATTCCCGCTTCTAGTCAGGGTTTTCAAGGACGCTCGTGATGGAAGCCTGATGTACATTTGCAATATGGAAACAAAACATGCGCACATAGACATCAAAAGACTGCGACTGTGATATAAAGTGTCTGGATATATGTCCGTGCTCAGGATGGCTCAGCCAATGAGAGCTTGCAACTTTCCGAAATCAGGGGTACCAAGGCCAGTAACCTGTGTGACGAGGAAAGGGCGGTCAATTATATCTGTTACCCAAGTGCACAGAGTGAAAGGAGCGTACGGGATCCCAACCAGCACGCGCAGTGAATCCATTTGTCCCACAACCGGGGTTCGATCCCGAAGTGATATCATTAAAGCCATTTATGCCTGTGGAGTAAATGATAGGGTTGAGGAAGCCAAGAGACGCCTTGCCCTGTGAAAGACGGAAGTCATTCAAGAGAGCGATGACACCCGCGAACGTCTAATTATAACATGAGCAATCAGCTGAGGTGAGCTAGAAGCCTGGACATACAGGAGAGCTGGCGCTGGTTCCACCAACAGAAGCAACACGACCACCAATAACGACTTGGAAACCTTGTCCCTGAGCAGCAACATCAGGATATGCCCGACCAGTCGTGCTAAAGAATTGTGGGCATCAACGATGAATTCGATCTTGGATCGACAGCAACGAGGATTTGAAACTTACTTGAATAACCCAGCGTTGGTACTGCCCAGTGTGTTTAGGAAGGTGGTAACGGCGGTGTCCTGGAAGCTAGAGTTTATCGATTAATCAACGACCCGTGTTCTTTCGGCCACGGGAAAACAAGAAATGCCTACCTTGGACGAGCGAAATAGTTCGAGAAGCCTCCCCCAGAGAAAGATACAGCGACTTCAGGGTTTACTCGGATTGTTCCACCGACAGTTGTAACGAAGGGACAAGATGCCGGGAAGTTAGGTTGGAACCGAACGGTCCTTGTACCGTCGTTATTTTGACAGTTACCACCACCGACACCATCATCACCGCTAGAGAACATGATACTGGCTCCACGAACACCGAGTTGTGCGAAAAGGTTGCAGACTTGAGTAGCATAATCGAAGGGAACCTGTGAATGACGGCCTTCATTATGGCTGTATCTGTTACTTTCTGAAGAGTACTCACAGTCTGCTCATCGTCACCATAGGATGTGGTAAAGGTCTGAGGAACGGAAGTCTGGTTAAGGACGAAGTTCAGCCAGTCGAGGTATGGCTCGTTGGTGTTGGTAGGTGTGTTTGAGTCAGGGATGAATGGCGGAGAGCCCCCGGTGCTACAGGCTAATGTCAGTCGTCCACCTTTTGCTCAAAACCGCCTCCAACCTACCTGAAGTAGACGTTGGGAGTGGGGAACGAGATACCCTCAGTGTATTGAATATCGAGGTTAGCCTGAGCGCAGAAGGTGAGAATACCTTCTACGCTAGTGACCCATGTTTACACACCTCCACTCCAGGGTCGTTCTGGTCATCACCCCCTCCATTAACCTGAACGGTTGTGAAAGTACCGCCAACGGCATCCGTTCTGAACCTCTGGAAGAAGGTCTAGGAGCAGGGAGTCAGTTGCAATGATTCGCATTAGACACATCAAATCGATTACCTGAAGATCAGCCCTGTTTGCAAACTCGTCAAGATACCCGGCAACACCAAGAGTGTTCTTATCGGTGGCCGTAGGAACGTACGTGCTAGTGTTGTAGAGCGCACGCAAGCAGGCGGGTGTTATAGTGGTAGAACAGCTTGATGGGACGGTAGCAAGAGAGCCGGGGTTAATTAACTTGGGGGCCACGTCGACATCGGAGTCGATGGGCGTAATATCGGGTTGCAGGAAACTTGTCGCCTTCATACTGCGCATCGTACCGAAGTATGTCGTTGGTGCGACGACACCGACGTGTTCATGAAGAACGGTTGGAAGGCTGTACGACATGGTACGGACGACGTAGTCGTCGGCCTGAGCGTGTCGGTAGACGTTGTAAGTCGTGTTTAGCATCCGTGAGGCCTGCTCAACGGAGACAGTGATGGAAATCCAACTTCCTGCGTTCTCTCGTTGAGCGGAGGAAGGTTCGAGACCGTGAGCAGACAACCAAGAGTCCACAACATCCACTGTATGCGGATGGGGAGCAACCAAAGCTTCAACTTCCTCCTTAGAGAGGTGTTGACCATACCTACAAGGACATGTCTAAGAACCAACAGTAATGGAACGGAACTCTAACGTACTTCGCGTGGAAGGGGTCGCTCACTTCGTAGAGAGCGGTGACGAGATCATCAAAGCGATCCTGCTTGAGGCCAATGCGCATATTGAACTTATGGTCTGGCGGCGCGGGTGCATGTAGTTCCCAGCCTCGTGGAATCTCGACCCAAGCATGCTTCACGTCGAAGTCGTCCCATCGTTTTAAGATGGGCTTCGCAACAGCGAGCTGCAGAAGTCCCAGAAAGAGGACCGACGAGAGCAACATGTTAGGGAGCTTTAGGACAGCGGCAGCTTCACGACCTACCTCACAACCTGGAGATCATATTTATATTGATACGGGCTACTTAGAAGCTTGAGAAGCATCCTTTCCGCCAATGGCCATCGTGCAGCTACAGCCACATGGCTCACCAGTCCTCGGATCTGTAAATGGAGAAGTACCACGATGAGTAGCAATACATGACTCAGTTTTCCGATAGGAAATAGTAATCCGCATGCAGAACAAGTCTATTCTTGAGATGGATGTAGTGGGAAGAGAAGAGCATCCGTGTGGAGACGCGTGCGACAGAACGCGTTACAGCACGCGTTATCGAGCACCACCATGCGAATCTCCTACGCCCCCAGCTCGCTCTCACGCTTTCCTCACTTCCTCGACGCGTTGGACTGTCTAACGTTTAATCTTGAGCCTAATTGAAGAGGAACATATAGTATTCGGTAGACAGAACAGCCGAACAGCTTTCTTTCAAGCCCGATCCGAAACCGATCAAGTCATGCTGACCATATTCATTCCATGCAGCTGTTACAGCCTGGCTTTATATACCCATTCCTGGCTGTTTCATGAATCCAAACGTACAGTATAGCTTGACGAAGCATATGGTTGCGGGAGGAAATGTCTGTCTACAATGAGGCGACTGTGTGCTCCGAATGATTTTTGGGAGGTTGTAGCCACACGCTGGTGCCTAAGCATCCTATAGTTACTCCGCGAAGTTCTGTACGAAACCCTTCATGAGGTCTTCATACACCTTATGCGGATGTTCTTCACCATACGAAGGTTTCCTGGAGCAGACTTTCAGCCCTTGCCGCGCTATTCTGCGGTAAGGTTGACGTTGATCGTATTCAAAGCGTGCTGTTGACCGCCTATTGTGTAGTAACACTCACACGACGCTATACCTGTTCGTATAGACAGCCCATTGCACGATCCAGTGAAGTACATGCGTCACTGGATGGGAGCTTACGGCATTCCACTGGCATACTCGACATCTTTACAGTCCGTCCCTTCCCGTACGCATGGGTTGCTCAGTAAGACCCTGTTGGAAAGAGGTGCGCAGAACTCGTCAGTGCCCCGCTTGACCTTCTCGCCTCCCGTATTGTGCTGGTGTTAGCTACAATCCACTCACGTTTATCGCAAATAATCTCCCCGCTGGTATCTTGAAAAGATACTTGCGGATTCTCCGAGGTTTCTCGCATACGATTGCCATTCGATCCCATGCGCAGCGTCTTGACAGTTTCAAAATTCGGATCTTTTCCCATCGACACCATGTCCTAGACATTAAGGAGAAAGGCTGCAACTTTTGGGAGCTCTATTAATACTCATTTCGGTCATTCGTCTCTATTGCCATGGAAGGTATCTCGGACATGCCGGCGGGCAACATAATTTGTCTCTAGTTTCGTCACTCCTCTAAAGCCTTTGCAGGTATCCTCTGATCCATTGCAACCGACCCTGCAACCACTTGGGAGCGCACTACGGCCAAATGAGAATCATTTTCCACCATGGTAACTGGCTTTAACGTTTCCCATTTCGAGACACTCAGGTACTGCTACACAATGACAAAGGTTACTCAAGGTTCTACGTTCCTGGACGCTCTGGAACCACTCGCGTACCGGGCAACAGCGGGCCATCTATGTTTGCTCTCAGTCTTCTTTGCCATTGTTTCTTTAGTGGTTAGCTTAGAACGGTCCGTCCTGATTCAGCACGGCCCGCTATCGTGGCACGATGATGTATGGTGCGAAACCTTTTCACTTCTTCGGTGAATTCATTGCTTATATGCATCAGTCCAGGTGATCGAGAGCATTACGCCGTCGTTGTGAACGATAAGATGTCAACTGAACTCTCCCTTGTACCTTGCACATCTTCGGAAACCTACCTGCCTACCATATTTTGAGCAGCTCAAATAGTTGCTCAAACGTTCACAGCATATCTTGTGCTGTAGACATCGTGAAGCGATCAACGGGGTTCATCCAACGTTTTGCTCCACTTGCGGCCATCTGCAGAGGGTCAACGGGGCCGGACTCGAACATTCTCCTTGATCAGTGGGTCAACAGACAGATCACTTGAACTTCCACCAGCGATGTGTCCCGCTTCTAAGATGTTTGTTGCATGCGGTGAAGCGATAGGAGCCGTGTTAAATGCCAATTCATCCCAGTGTTCCTCGATACTTAAAGCACCTTGGGTGCCCTTTAACCTCGGTTCAATTCAAACAGTGATGGGATTCCGCAAAGCCTTTCAAATTACTTCTGCTTTGCTCGCTTTGTTTACTGGAGTCACGCCTCAGACCATTGGGCGTACGTTCTCCAACTATCGTGTCCATGAAATACTGCTTAACAGGGACTTGAATTTCCAGTGGCTCCCAAGAAGTTTCTCAGCTTACCTCTTGGTGCAGTCAAAGCGTCAGGTTGGCTCCAAGATCAGGTGAGTTTCTTTCAATCATTACTTCTTAGTATCTCACACGTTCACCGTCCACTTAGTTGATAGTGCAGAACAATGGTCTTGCGGGCCATGAGCATGAGTTTTATCATTAGTTCGTCCCCATCTACATACATAAATTCACACATAGTCATGGCCGACTCCGATCTACAGTGTTTCTCAAAGCGATTGGATCGGAGGAGACTCCTTCTATTCAAACCTTGAGGAAGGTAAGCCCAAATGTGAGATTGACATCAGTGATGGTTATTCACAAGCGATCTCGAAATCCAGCTGGTTCATATTGGTTTGTACGTCCGACGCCATAACTATTGTCATCCTGCGCATTAACTGTCCCTGCATATATGTAGAATGGCATGGTACCACTTGGTATATTGCTCAATGACTCGACGGTACAATCTCAAACCCAGCAATTCCTTGACTACGTCCTCGATCATCAAGACTCCACTGGATGGCTCGGACCTGAGGTGAACACGACCAAACCTAGATATCTCTGGGGCCGGTGAGTTGCCTACCTATCAGACTGCATTCCTGATTAACGATACAACAACATTGTGTGTTCAGATACCCGTTCTTATTTGGTGCTATTCAAATGGTGGAAGCCAACCCTGCACTTGAATCTCGAGTCGTGCCCGCTTTGCACAAATTTGTCTCCCTGGCGAATGCGATGTTGCACAACGGCACAGGTGTAGATGATTGGGCGGCGACACGATGGGAAGACTTCGTCATCGCTTTGCAATGGTACGTCTCCTCGTAATATACTAACGGGGCAAAGCTAATGCGCTTATGAAAAGGCTATACGACTTTCATCCTGACGGTCAAGAAGACATCCTCATCGATACCATGAAGATGCTTAAGTTTACCGGAGATCCTTGGGAACAAGTGTTCGCTGAAGAAGTATGCTTCCTTTACCTTCAGTCTCATTATCTTATTTTTTCTCAATCGACTCGGATACTTTAGAATTTCCCTCAAGGACCCGTAGAACATATGAGTAACCCCTTTCCAGTGTTGACCTGGCACGGTGTCAACATGGCGGAAGGACTGAAAGCGCTTCCTTCCACATTCAGGTTCACTCACAACCAATCTGGTAAGCTATTTCGGGTGTAATGTAGTACAGTGAGTCTTCGTGTTACTGATCCTCAGCAGATCTCGATGCCGCTAGTTTGGGATGGGATCTTCTCTTCAAATATCATGGGAGACCATCTGGTATATATGCCGCCGACGAGTATCTTGCAGGTTTAGAGGCTGTAAGAGGGTAAGCGTATAAGATGTTCCTGCTGACATCGAGCTGATTTTCAATTCCTAATGTTGTCTAGGACTGAATTATGCCTGGTCGTGGTAGGTGATCGTCCTCGCTTTGGCATAATAATTTCTGAATGAAAGCGAATAACTTCTCAGGAAACGATGTTCTCGTAAGTACCATCACACGCACTCAATCGAAAACAGTATTGGGAGCATAAAATCAGCGGAAGCTATTTGTATCAAGTTATCGGAGACCCGAAGTTCGCGGATCGTGTGGGTGCCAAAAGTCATTCCAGAGTTGTGCCCTGACTTTCGATCCTAGGTGGAACGTATCACCTACAACGCACTCCCTGCTACTCTGACTGGAGGTACAGCATCCAATTTTGTTTCCTTCAGGCATAAAATATTGATTGCTAGGGGTTAGACATGTGGTCCAGACAGTACTTACAACAACAGAATCAGATCGCTTCCAAGGATATGTCACCGTAAGCAGAACCTTTGTCAGTTAGAACAGGGTGCTTTGGCTCAGAGCAATCCCTCTACAGCAATCCGTTCCCGAATGATGGGTGAGCCCGGTTCTCAATTATCCGAGAACGACTGAGATTGAATCCCCGTTTAGTTCTTACTCCAATGTCTTCGGTCTCGAGCCCAACTATCCGTGAGAAGCTTCCGGGATTCCTACAGGGTATACTTCATTGACCAGCTTCCTCCCATTTATAGCTGCTGTACTGTGAACCATCCCCAAGGATGGCCGAAGTTTGTCTCCAATTCATTTGTCACTACGCCCGATCAGAAGTCTCTCGTGCACGTCTATCTGGGACCTTTCGACACCAGTGTGACTTTGGCCGGAGGTATGCGTGTTCTTCAGTTGATTGTTAATGATAAGACCCGACTCAATGCCCCGACCGCTCCCAGGAAACAAAGTTACAGCGAGCGTCGATACATTGTACCCATTTAGTGACACTCTCACGACAACCATACATGCGGATAAGGCGTTCACTTACTATGTTCGAATTCCCTCGTGGGTCAGCAAGGGTACAATCTCAGTCGATGGTGCCGCTGCCAAAGCTGTCTCGCCTTCAAATGGCCTGCAGGCTGTTTCTGTTCGTGCTGGTACAACGAAGATCGTCTCGAATATTCCGGCAGACATCACTATCGGTACGACGTCGTTCCTTTCCCATCCTGAATTGGGTAGCTCTGATTCAGACCTGACTTGTCTATATAGAATCTCGTCCACACGGATCAGTTGCTGTTCACCGCGGTCCTCTACACTATGCCTTCGACATCCCACGTACTCAAAAGATCCTCGCTCAGAATGCACAAGAACCGCGAGCTGTCGACCTTGAGTTCGATGCAACTGATGCCTGGCAATATGCTATCGACCCTTCGAGTTTACACTTCAATGCCCGGACTCCGTCTGGTGGAAAGCTTCCTTCACCTGTGTTTGATTCTGGGCTTCCACCTTTTACTATCACTGCCACTGCGTGTCCTATCAATTGGAGTGTTGCTGGAGATACTTTCGCTGCAGCTCCGCCTGCAAGCCCAGTTACGTGCACTGGATCTACCAGGAATATTACGTTGTGGCCTTTCGGTGTAAGTGATCACTTTATTCTGGGAATTCTGGAATTGTCAGTCTGACTTGGAGTCAGGCGACGAAACTTCGTATTGGGGAGTTCCCAACATTCAATGTTACAGCCTGATGCTTCTGTCCGTAACATTGGCACCGTGGAAAGCGTTTTACGCATTTTTGGCTTCATGATGTGGGCAAGGAAAATAGTGTCATACAATTTTGAACTTTGTCACTACGATCTCAAAGGCGCTAGGTAGATGTATCATTCAGTTTGCTCATTCTGACTATCGGACGCCGATCGCGTTGACGCGACGCGATCGAGATATATCGTACCTCACGTGTGCGGAACTCCGGGCCGTCTGTTTGTTTGGGTAAACAATGCATTGTCTGGCAGATCAGCTCTGCTACCTGCTGCTAACGTTTCAAACTGAATCTCTACACTCATCGTTGGCCTTCTTGCCCTCTACATCTAAGTCTTTATCTTGTCTGTACCATGCCTCCGCAGCCGGGAGTATTTGCCATACCGTATGTACGATCAACCCAGTATTCACGACGCCTCTAACTTCTGTTCACAAGACACCATCCTGTAACAGGCCCTAGTAGAATACATGGTAATATACCATGCCCTTGGTTGTATGGATTATCACTCATTCACCTTGTAGGTACCCCTGTTGAAGACCCGAAGAGGAAGAGGAAGGAAGTTGTGGGAAGGCTTGGCAAGGAACTGAGTGAACATGAGTGAGTGACGACCGTTCAACTGGATTCGAAGTCGTTTACACGATTGCACCGTTGCAGATTCCATTTCTCTTCTGGCCGACAATACGCCGAAACCATCGCAGAGCTCAATACACTTGCTTATCACATATCGACACGACCAGACGTTGTCCCTGCGTACCAACTACGTCTATACCCTAAATCTCTGGAGCGTTCAGCATTGCTCACATCCTTGGTATTTCAAGAGAAGTTCTCTCTCGACTGTATACAAACGGCGTACGAAGAGGAACGCGAGAAAGTTGAGGAAGAGTGGCGGAAGGGCCGAGAGCGTATACGAGAAAGGTTATTGGAAGGTATTGAGGAACGGAAGCAGCGTGCAAGGGAAGAAAAGGACGGGGAGGGAACAGTTGGTGGTGCGTGTTCATCACCAGTCCGCTTTGGTCTTCACTAATTGAGCTTTATTACCCCCATAGACGGTGCTTTAGACTCCCAATCTCGACCACACATCACACGCAAGTTGCGAAACAAGCTTGGCGGCACATCTCCGCCTCCTACACCTCTATCCAATGCCACTCCGGGTACGAATGGTGGCATATCGTCCATATCCAACGGACCTATCACCTCTGGACCTTTCCTCAACCCACATTCACTCTCAGTTGATGAACTACCTTCACCATTCCCTCTTCCTTTGACTTCTACGCGTGCGAGTACTTCTACTAGCGGAAATACCGGTAACAACCGACGAAGAGCGAAGGGGGGCGGGAGGGACAACCAAGCAATTGGAGTTCTTGGCAAGAGCGTGTACTTGCTGGTTCCGTGCAAGGAGCAAGAAATTGAGTCGGACTTGGTAGAAATCCGCAGAGGGAATAAACGGCGAAGAGCGGCTGCTACAGCGGCATTGAATACCAAGGGCTAGCGACGCTTCGTTTTACTTTATCTGCTCTGTCAGTTATGTATCTCCTGGTGTATTCTTACCACTGTATGGTGTATTATATTATTGTTTTCGTCGTCTACCTTGAATTTCTATCGGGCCCATTGGATGCCCTAGCTTGCATGGCTAGTGTCTTTGAGGCTTGGGATGGCAATGAGGTCAAACAAAAAGAGCGTCACCTGTGCGATTCGAACACACGCGGGCATAGCCCAACCGCTCGCAGCTAAATATAGCAGGCGATCCCGTTAACCACTCCGGCAAAGTGACTTAACTCATGTATATGAGATTATCTATATATAACCATTTAAACCGCATGGCGGACCACAGTAAGCCGAGACTATGTCGGGATACTCCTCTTTGATCCTGCACTCATCCTCTATTTCGTTTACTGTAGAGTAGTTCTTCGACCCCAGTCTTTGGCGACGGGTTTCGCTAATTGGATCGTTGAAAACCGACCTCTCGACTGTCTCTCCCTTAATCTCACCCCATGCACATTAGCGACTAAGTACTTTTGCCATCAATAGTGCCTGAACGCTACTGAACGCTCGACCTAGTAATCGAAAGTGAGTAGTTGCCGATGTCAAAACATCATCTACGTGGTTACTGATCTGCTCTACCCATGATGCGCGGCTATGAAGATTCCGGGTCTTCTTTCAACAACGTGTTCCATTCCAAGTACACCAGTGCAGTGCCAAGACCATCATTCATCGTATAGCGCGCGCTCAGGAAAGACTTGTATCATCAATTCTTCTTACGCCTCCAGACAATTGAGATTGCTTCCGCTTCCAAGACACCGTCTTTAGGAAACAATAGCATGGTAAGACCATGTTTTAGGGTGCATACTGCAGAACATATTTAACGATGGTCTTCTCGTCGCAGAGTCACCCAGGATCTTTCCACAGTTCCGAATCAAGCCCACAGACAGAGAGAATGACGCGCCACAATGCCTCTGTGCCATGCAACATCCAGGAAACGGTTGCAAAGGTCGACGCAACAATCATTGATGATTGCCTAGAACGTGTCAGCAATTACATTTTCTGGGTAAGCCACAAGATTTTAAACACATCGGTTTTTTTCCTCACCTCGCTACTATAGACGGGAGGTCTATCCCTCTATGTGACATTTTTCTTGGCTATGTCACATAGGATCCTCCTTGAAGTTCCTGTACGTGCGTACACTCGACCAAATTCATACTTGCATTATCACTTCGAGGAGGCACCTATGGACTATGTAAGTAGGCAAACCTTTGGCCACTCGACAAACGTTGATTAGGGTCCCTTCTCAGTATGTTCCGGCGAGGGCTACCACTCAACTCGTGTCAAACACGATACGCGTCAGATTCTTCTGGCTTGCGAGCCTGATTTGCTGCGCAGCAACTCTCTTGGCAGGTTACTTTATGAAGCGCCGTTTGAGGCGTTACAAGCACGCTAAGATCACTCTCCCTGGAACGTTGACTCGTTTCGAACACATGCAACATCTCAGAATCATGCGGTGGCGTATCCTTGAAACTGCTGCCCTCCTACCACTTTTGTTCCTTTCATCCATGTTCCTTTTTCTTATCGGCATCTCCGAATATTTATATTCCCTACAACCGATCGCAGGCTGGTTTGTCCTCTTGTTCGTGGTTCTAGCTATCGCAGGATCCTCCTGGCTTACCGTCGGACTCGCCCATCAAGTTCAATTCCTCTTTGCTCGTGATTTGGATGTCCCTCCAGATCCCGCCTTTCCTGTAGATGATCCGAAACTTCGCAGTGAAGCCATGTTGCTTTACGCAGATCTGGAAACGAACATGCTCAAGAACCTAGCTTCCTCGGAAGGGAAGCAAGTAGTTGAGCGCGTACGACAAACCATGTCTCAGCTTCTGGTTCGCGATGTCCATAACCTTTATCCTGACAACAAAGAACTGTGGCGAGAGTTATGGCGGATGACTTTGCGAGGTCGAGCGTCGATCGTCGTGATTATGATTGAAGCTTTGAACCGCCAGTTGTCTCGCTGGTCACATAAGAAAGATGATGTCGTATGGGATCCATGGATGACCGAGGCCGTTACATGCATAGACGCGATGCTAGCAAGTGCGCCCGAAACTTATGCATTATCTCTCGAAGCGATGTCAGCAGGTCGGCTCCTGGTGAGCTTGCTGGCGCAAAGTGATGTAGTTGCTGGACGAGTTCTTGCATGTCTAGCGTCGCGAAAGTCGACGCTTATGGGTCAAGAAATTCCTTCAATCACAAGTACACAAGGTGAGACTCACAGTCGGGCCACGCTCTGAACAGACAACTCAATAGGTTGCTTTAGCACTTCGGAATCTGATAGCGGGAGCGAAACAGCTGGCATTTACGGGAAGAGTGGACCCGCTTGCGCTTCGACAGGTTATCTTGGTCATCTCAGAACATATCCAGGACACCGTTCGACGCAAGCAAGACGAGGAATTCAGTGGTCTGTTGTCCCAATTCAATATCCGCTAACCACGCTCGTATACACCGATCTTGGAGCTTGGCGACTTGATACTTAAATCGCGCTGTGACTAGATTCTTGTCTCTTATTCAGACTGTTCTCAGTGAATACTATGCCTTTCAAAAACACGTAAATCGATATACTATCTTTTGTGTGTGGAGCTTCCTGCTTGAGCCCTTTCTGCTCGCCAGTGAGGTCCCATGGAGGGCGCGGCAGCGTTATCTAGTCACTAGACTGCTGTAGTTATATATGCCTACTTTGAACTATTTATAGCCTGTTGGCTGTATCGCTGGACCCTGCGCCGACTGTCTTGCGAATGTATTCGGCAGGTATTCGGACCAGTTTTGCGATCGGCCTATCGAATGCAAAATGTTACTACTACCACAGGTTTGCAACTAATCGGACTTGCTAGCTTTCCCAGAGCTATACACTCTATGTAAAGTACCAGATGGTGTCATAAAAATGTCACAGGTAGGGTTTTATCGATACCTATAAATACGGCGTGCAATTCTCAAGGTTGAGTGCAATCACACCCTCTTGCTTTTGACCTCCCCGCTTATCGTAATGGCTTCCGCAGGAACTTGCGACGACTGTTTCAAAGGTCTGTAGCTTTGACTACATGTGGCGTCGAGCCTAACATAGTCATGTGCGAATACAGGTGTGCGTCATGAGGGTGAGCCGGAAGGTGAGCTTTACTGTACGCTTTCATGTGTGAAGGCCCATTGTGTTGAATACATTTGGATTGACAGGCAAGTTCGAAGAGATAGGCGGATTTAAGTGTTATGTTGGCACCCCTGCTGGTGACTATCCCAAGGACAAAGTCGTCCTATTTTTCACGGACGTTTTCGGCTTGAAGCTGAACAACAACCTGGTATTTAATTCATTGTCGCAAATACTAAACTAGTTATGACCCAACTGTGTTAGCTACTGGTGGATGACTTCGCTCGGAACGGCTTCAAGACAATCGCTCCTGACATTCTCAATGATGATCCAATCATCGAGATGGGCGCGTCATTCGACCGTGATGCGTGGTTCGTTAAACATGGTCGTGACTCATGGATCCCAGTCGTAGATGGTGTCGTTGAAGCATTGAAGACACGGGGCGTCACTCGATTTGGAACTACAGGATATTGCTTCGGTGCACCACCGGCCTTCTATCTCGCTTTAAAGAACGAAAGCCATGTCACGGTTCTGGCTCACCCTTCGAGACTGGAAGTCCCGGGTGATTTCGAGGTAAGGACTGTTTGGTTTTGGCTTACATCATGTGGAGATCACTAACGTTGGTCCTGGCTGATCAGAGATACAAAGCTGAATCGAAGGCCCCGCTCTTAATCAACAGTTGCGAGGTCGATAGAGCTTTCCCTCAAGAGTCTCAAGCCATTGCAGATCAGGTTTTGGGAGACGGGAAGTTTACTCCTGGCTATGAGCGTTTATACTGGAAAGGTTGTACCCATGGATTTGCTGTTCGTGGCGACTTGGTATGTGTCGATTCTGTGATCATCATCTAGCAGGGACTTATCACAGAGCAGAGTGACCCCAAGATCAAAGCCGGGAAGGAGGGAGCCTTTGAAGCAAGTGTCAAGTTTTACAAGAAGTACCTGTAGAAATAGTGGACCAAAGGATTGTGTACCGGATATGCTATGGAATCCTACGGTTTTTGCCATCTTGCACGATGAAAATCCCTTCCAGTAGTGAGGAACGTACATATGGCTACAACAGATCACGACGTTTATAGATATAGCTGGGAGCAGATTCTTTTACACTTCTTCGATTCGACTATCTTCGTCATCATCGGGTTGTGCATCTTGGGATACGACTGCGTCGGTGAATTCAAGACCATCCTTTCTCGACTCGGAGCTTTCGTCTCTCTGAAGGAAGTTGACGAGCCTTTCAATGTGTTCTGCAATCTACACACGAGCTTCAGCAATGCATGTCCCGTGAGAAAATCAATACATTCCACCTTATCGTCAGCCTCGCTCTCGTGGAGGGCCCGAATGATCTGGTATACGCCATTCGCACGCATATACTCTCGTCCCCAGAAGGTCGTGCATAGCAGAAGCAATGTCTCAACGTGAGTAAGGCGGATGACGGGATCTGGTTCTCTCGTTTTTGTAGGAGGCAAGAATTGCAGTGCCGCCGGGAGTAGTTCTTGATCCTGTCGGGGATGTGAGTATGCAAAAGAGAATTTGGAAGAAGGAGAGACAAACTTCGAGGTCGAACTCCTCTGGACCAGCCAATGGCATGAGAAGATCAGGAAGCACGGTTATTCCTGGAGCCTCAATCGTCGAAGGAGGTATGGTGACTTTGACAGTATCCGGGGATAAAATCGCCCGGTGAGCTTGGATCTGGAAGGCACAATTTCTGTACATTGTCAATTGAGTGAAACGTTACGATCTAGCAAGACTAGGGTCCTACTTCAGGGTGGATGCGACGCCTCCACGACGAATGACATCCTTATGTTCCGTGAAGACCAAAAGCTTGGACAATGGATATTCAGGATCTCCTGATGCTTGCAGGGGGTTGGCGGGTCGAGGAGTCAAGAAGAACATCCTTCCTACTGGTGTCTGTGATATGAACGTCGTAGATATAGCTACTAAAATATGGAGCTTATGCCCATGGGAACTCACTCTGCTGACGTTTGCGAACACACTTGACAAGAAGTGCAGTTCGGCCTTTCGCTTATGTTTTGACTTGTCTTCAGTATCTTCCACACGGGCTGCTTGCAAGAACGCGTCGAGGAGTAATGGAAGCGCGGGTATACTTTTCGGTTCTTCTGAAGGATACGGAACGGGCGCTGGGCAGGTCCCCGCGCGAGAGTCTACGGGGTAATATGAAGTGGGCGATTTTGGATCGGGAAGTATTGATACATTGAATGACAAGATCGCTGAGCAAGCGGCGGGGGAGGAGGTGATATTTGATAAAAGCATCGAGGCAAGGTCAGCCAATGTTGATTGAGCATTCTGCAATCATAAATCAGTGAGACATTGATAGCTGCAATTGAGGAAACCATCCTGACGAGAATATAAGACACAAGGAAGGTCAGGAAGGAAGGTTCTGAGAGGGCATTGATAAACAGCGAGTCATCTGAAAGATTGACCAGCGCTCGAAATGCATCGTGAGCGGTGGCCTGAGGAGCGTTGAGTTTAGGCCTTCTCTAGGATGCAAAAGAACCGTACTAGTTGATCACGACATAGTAACTTCAATGCGCGAATGATCTCGGTGTCCTGTGGGCGTTCAAGTCCACCGTGGCGCAGTCCATCAAGGAAGATGCTTCGATTGGGAGATTCCTTTGGTGTGTGCCCAAGAAGGTTCGCTAGGGCAATCTGGCGAACCTGAGGGTTTTTATCGTGCAGAAAGGGTATGAGCTACGTATGATGCATTTGGGTCAGTTGGGCAATCCGTGACATTCACTGAGAGCAGCCTTACTTGCCGTAGCTCACTTGCCGACATCGCGTATGGTACAGTAGAGGAAATGCAGGATAAGAAGTGAAGCAAGTTGAATGCACAGAACTTTTTGGTTTTCTGACTAAGTCAAAGAGAGATTCAGATGTCACGATGTTGATTTTCGTATGTCTCCCGTTACTTCTACTTCGCCGTTTTGGTGGACCGCAAGGTAAAGATTGCGGTAAAGGATATGATTTTTAGAGGTCCTTGAGACGTCTCTGAATGGCAGTGAATGTAAATTAATTTACGATCGAAGTAATTATGTCACCAGACCCTAACCTTACTGCCGCATGATCTCAGCCCAGGTAGTAACAGAAAACCAACAGTTGCTCTCATGGACATACCCCAATGTGTCCAATCTGACCCTTGTTATCTCCATTTACATATACCGTCGGTGTAATCAAGAAGGTGAAACCGCCAGGGACCGCATACGAACCGCATTGTCTCAGCCGCACTACAGGACTTAACAGCTTCGCTCGTTGCATATCCACTCTCACCAGCTCCATGGTATCTAGAAATGTCTGAGGAAATGCCGTCTTGGAGATCTTTGGCTAGTGCTGCTTCACGCTCTCTCAAAAGCTACGCCGCTCAGCGCGATCCCAGGAGAGCCCAATATACCGATAGGAACATCAGAGTAAACCCTCAAGCATCTGAGCCCTCTTTTCGACAAGCTTGGGGCCAATGGGCCGGGCAGAAGCTGCGAGGGCTAGGTCAGAATGACGAGACTAATGCTGGCCAGATAGAGAATCTCGCACTGTTCCCTGGCTGGGCTGCGAGGAAATACCAGACAATGAACGTATTTTCTGAAGGTGTGTAGGTCCGCATGCTACATGGTGATCGCTTTTCGGGTTGGGCCTGGTCATGAGCTCATTGCACGGCCGCTGCCTAGTCTCAGATTGGATTTCTGGCGTCGTCTGATAGATGATGGTCAACTGCTGCGGAAAGATTGACCTCAGCGGTGCATGACCTATTTATTTTACAGACAATGTTCATTATACTATATATGTTATTCTGGACATCATACTGACACCTTTGAACATACAGAGGCACCGTTTGACGTTGAAGTGTTCGTATCTGGCTTCTCCTCCCGTGTGAGCGGTCCCGGATTTGGGACTCGCGCGGGAAAGACATTCCTACGTCTGGCAAAAAGTAACGTATGCGAAATTATCAAATGCGGTATCTTTTTACTCATGATGGCATATGCTCAGGATATGCCGCATTGCCAAAGCTAATGGCAATGAATGGTACAGTTGGTACCATGAATTCTGCCGTTGTCGACTCTCGGTCGAATTCACTCCAGCAAGAAGAAGATTTGCTGGATCTATCAAGTCTACCCCCACGTCCAGATGAGATAACGGAAGAATCTGAGCTGAAGGAGCTCGAGAGGCAACTTCAGGAGCTGGACACAGACACATCATCCCTGTATTCAAGCGGTTCCTCAGTATCTTCGATGTCCAGTAACAGCAGCGCCCAACCTCAAGGCGGCTTCTCTGACAACCTTCAGAGATTTCATGCGAACCTGGAGGCCCGATTACATCCTTTCTGGTCTTCTGCTCTTGGCAACAGGACTGTCCGCCTTTCTGTATTCTCCTGCAATCCGGACTTGCATGAGGCGTACAAGAGCCCTCCATTAGGGGCCATTGCTGATGACGAAGATGCGCCACAACGACAACCGATAGCGACTAGAGAAGTTCAGACTGCTGCCGACGGTTCATTCCAAATGAAGTTCAAACTGCGGTGGGAGGACATGTGTGTCCATCCTGGTGCTGTTCATATAGCGTTCGGAGATCCAAGATTAGAACACGAATTATATGTTCAAGCTCAATTGCTTCCTCCACCTTCACGTCCACCAACGCCTTCATCCTACTCCGCATATAATAATCCCAATGCCTCCAGTTCGCAATTCTTTACTCGACCAAGTGCGGATGTCATTCCTACAGTGGTCACATGTATCTCTGTACCCTTGACGCATACCACTATCCGACTCATCTCGGACATAGATGATACAGTGAAAATGTCTGGGGTTCTGCAAGGCGCAAGAGCATTGTTCCAGAATGTGTTCGTCAAGGATTTGGCGGACGGTGTAATCCCCGGTATGGGCGATTGGTACACGAGTATGTGGAGACGTGGGGTTCGCTTCCATTACGTCGTAAGTAATTCACTCTCCGTTTTCTTCATTCAATTCTCTCACACCTACGCTGCCCTTCATTTCAGTCCAACGGCCCGTTCGAACTCCTTCCCGTCGTGAATGAATTCATACAACTCAGCCACCTTCCCCCAGGCTCGATCAAACTCAAATCCTATGCAGGCCGGTCTCTCTTCAACGGTCTCCTCAGTGCCCCCGCCGAACGTAAACGAATAGGAATTGTAGATGTCCTCGACAGCTTCCCAGACGCTCGATTCTTCCTTGTAGGCGATTCTGGGGAACAAGATTTAGAATTATACGCGTCCCTCGCGAAAGAACGACCACACCAGATCTTGGCTATCTTCATTAGGGATGCTGGAGGCGATAGATCTTTACCATTAGAAGACCCGACTGGAGAGAAAGGAATGTTCGGCTGGGGCTGGGGGTCTTCGAATGGTCAGGTGTCTGCAGCAAGTTCACCCACGAAGATGTCTTTTAGTGAGAAGGACAGAGCGGGGTCCAGCAGTGGGTCGGAGAGTCCTCGCGTATCACCCACACGCTCTTTCTCAGATATCCAAACCCCTCGACCGCGCACAGCACCTCGTCACACCGGAAGAAGTTCTACCAGGACAGCTTCCTACGCAGATACTCCGGGACCTTCGGCTTACCCTTATTTCGCACCTAGCTCTTCTCAAACATACGGAAGTCCTCTTGATGTGTATCCTGGAGTGATGGATTCGTCCATACCTATCACTGAGGAACCTTCGGAGATGCCTACACCCACAATTCCCCTTCCTCCAGCAAAGGTTCCACTAATGGCTACATATCCTCCTTCGCCTTCGCCTCCGCCTTATGGAACTCACCCGACCCCATCACCGCTTGCGATACCGCCACGACCCGGTGCCTATGACTCTCGAATTTCGAGTCGGTCAAGTAATATGTCATCACGTATGAACTCGATTGGTACGTTAGGTTCAGGCCCACAGGGACAAGTACTTTCTGAGCCTGAGAAGAGGCAGAATGAACTGCAGACGAGGGTGTACAGGGCGAGGATGGAGGTTCCCAGACATATTCCTTTGAGAGTTTTCAGGAGTCCAGAGGAGTGTTTTGAGGACGCAGGTGTGATCTTGGATGGGTTGCATCTTGGTGTCGCTGGTTCGTGAATGTAGTACTTGGCAGAGGCAGCCCTGTGGGCTTAGCATTTTTGCACATGCTATTGGATGGATGGATTAGCTTATAATATCGCATATATGCACGTATGACCATGCACTCAAGTAGAATGATCCTGATTTGTAGCTGTTGTACAGTACTATAATGAACGGTGTAGAAATATGTACAAGTCACACTACTCGGGTATCCGTATCCTGCCTATCGTCACAAATGTCAACGCATGAGGTGTAAGAACCTAAGGGGTTCATGCAGCAGTGGGAACGGGTATAGGAAGGGGTTCGGGTGCGTTCTCTCGCTTGACCTGTCTCGTTACCTCACGAGCTTTCAACGTAGACTCTATATCTGCAAGTATCTGACCCATTTCCTAGTACCCGTCGTAACATATTCAGCAACATATTCAAATATGTGTATGGAAACACGACGTACCACATTTGACGGTTCAAACGAGAGCCCCAACTCGATCGCTTCTTTTGCCTCATGATATCTCTCCAACTTCATCAACGCTTTTGATTTCCTGAAGTGTCCTTTACTCCAGCCACGCTTCAATGTGATGACCGCTTCGGCGTCGACTAGGGCACCGACGTAGTTGCCACTCTCAAGGTAAGCAGCAGAACGGTTGGAGATGATAGTTGAGAGCTCTTCGCGCATGAGCTGGGAAGCTTCCCAAGGTGGACGCTGGGCTGCTACGTTGATAGCCATGGTGTACCGTTGGATAGCCTTGTCATGCTGGCCTGCTTTGAAGAGAGCCTGGTGATACGTGTACAGCTCAGTATATGCGGGCAGCTTCAAAGGCTTATAAGACTGACGTTGCCTTCTTCCTTGGTGTTATTGATCGCCATAGACAGTTTCTGAGAAACGATTTGAGGCGGGGGTGGACAGCGGAGGTTAGGATTCAAATGTAGCATTTTAGAAAGTCGGTTGAGGTTGATGAAGTCAACATCGCAGTCGTTACATTTCTCAAGCGAGTGTGCTGAACATAGTGCCGAGACATTCTCTGGGGGACCCAGAGCAATGTTGACTTGAGAGAAGCTGTCCTCAATGACTGCTTGCATGACGGGGTCTGGTGGACGCATAACCATAGCAGGTTGTTGAACGCCAGGCTGTCCTGCCTGTGGTTGAGGCCCATGGGTATGTCCTGGTTGTCCTGGTGCGTGTGAGTGCGACATTGTGGACAACGACGACGGTAGTTAAATGCTAAGTGATAATGAGCGGGTCAAGCAGGCTTGTCACTGCCAGCACGTACTTGGAACCCGACGCGACCGTGGGAATATCCCGATTTGGGCATGTGGGTTTGCATTTGTCAGCGGGGGCAAGGAATTTTTCCCTCATCGCCTTTTGGTGCACGACTACCATCTCGGATTCCAACTCAACAACTTTAGACGACACATCCTCTTTGTCTACTTCATAACTTCACATCTTTCTTCCTTCATTTTAATATGACCAATGGAATTGTAAACGCCACCGGTCTCGAGGGCCAGTTTGGTGAGTCTTCATCGTATTTCGTGTTACAGGAGAAATCGTCGACTGACTCTTTTCCCCTTCTTTCCGCAGCCTCTCTCGGTATCAATGGTACAAAATCTGCATATGTTCCTCCTCACATGAGGAGTCAGCAGCGGGCTGCGTCCACTCCCGCCGTGGTTCCTATCAACGGGTACGTCTCATTTTATTTTTGCAAGCATTATCCATTCTCGCTGGCAGATACATGTCGTCGCAGTTCCTTGAGGATGTGTACAGAATAGGCTATGACAAGGCATGGGTGTGGGCTGGCATTGGGGCGGCGGTACAGAGGGAGATTGGGCATCCCTCACATACAACGTCTAAGACCCTTCGCAATCTTCATGACCAAGGAAGAGTGCCCTGGGTTCATTCCGACGCTGATCGGATTTTACCCACAGTCCCGTTGACTGCGCTGGTGTCCAGTCGTGTCTGGTGCTTAGAAGGCAATCACGATGACTTTTATGGATTCGACAATCATCGAATTCATCACTTTGGGCAGAGATGCCTGGTGGAGCTTTATCAGTCTTCGAGGCTCGCAGAGAGCTCCCTGTCGCGCGTACACTTCCTCTATGTAGACACTGTATCTGATAGTTGGCGGACTCTTGCTTGCTGGGATCAGTTTCCGTTTGACATGATTACTGACACCGTTCTTTTCTAGGACCGGCTGGAACGACTCCCGCTCATCCACTCCTTCTCGCGGCGGTGGTTACGGTGGAGGTAGAGGCGGTTTTGATAGAGGCGCCGACCGAGGGGGCTACAGCGCTGGTCCCCGCGGCGGTGCAACTGGTGGAGGATGGAGCGGCGAACGCTCTGCTTCCACCAACGGGTGGTACGGCACTGCGACTCGAGTTGACGGCCAGCCCCGCGATACGTACGGCTTTGGTGTATGGAAAGACGGTGTGCACCTTCCCGGAGGGCGCAACGCGCGTCTTGAGAAGGAACTGTTTGGCGATGTGAACGATCCTTCCAAGCAGCACACCGGCATCAACTTTGAGAAGTATGATGACATTCCGGTCGAGGCTACAGGTGCTGGTGTGCCCGACCCCATCATTCAATTTACGAATCCTCCTCTCGATCCGGTGCTCCTTGAGAACATCGGTTACGCTCATTACAATACACCGACGCCTGTTCAAAAGTATTCGATCCCTATTGTGGCCGCTGGCAGAGATCTCATGGCTTGCGCTCAGGTATGTTCCTTTTTTGATTTGTCATTGAAGTTCAGGTTCTGACTCACCATTCTTCAGACTGGCTCTGGCAAGACTGGTGGATTCTTGTTCCCCATTCTTTCGGCATCTTTCGCTAATGGTCCACGCGCTCCCCCTGCTGATGCCCAGGGTGGTGGATTCCGCACTCGCAAGGCATACCCAACAGCGCTCATCCTCGCGCCCACTCGTGAGCTGGTGAGCCAGATCCACGAAGAGGCACGCAAGTTTTGCTACCGTTCGTGGGTTCGCCCCGCCGTTGTGTACGGTGGTGCAGATATCAACCAGCAGTTACGACAAATCGAGCGTGGTTGTGACCTCCTGAGCGCCACCCCGGGTCGTCTTGTCGATCTCATTGAGCGTGGTCGAATCAGCCTCGCGAATATTCGTTACCTTGTGTTGGACGAGGCTGATCGTATGCTTGACATGGGTTTCGAGCCTCAGATTCGTCGCATTGTGCAGGGAGAGGACATGCCAGGTGTCCAGGACCGTCAGACTCTCATGTTTAGCGCCACTTTCCCTCGCGACATTCAAATGCTTGCCCGTGACTTCATGAAGGACTACGTGTTCCTGTCTGTTGGTCGTGTCGGTTCGACTTCGGAGAACATTACCCAGAAGGTCGAGTATGTTGAGGATAATGACAAGCGCTCTGTCCTGCTTGACCTTCTTTCGGCTCAGGAGGAAACCGGCCTCACGCTCGTCTTCGTGGAGACCAAGCGCATGGCAGACATGCTCTCCGACTTCTTGTACACGAACCGCATTGCGGCGACATCTATTCACGGTGACCGTTCACAACGCGAACGTGAAACCGCTCTGCAGACCTTCCGTACAGGACGCACGCCTGTGCTGGTCGCAACTGCCGTCGCCGCTCGTGGTCTCGATATTCCCAATGTTACGCATGTCATCAACTACGATCTTCCATCTGACATTGATGACTACGTTCATCGTATTGGTCGTACCGGCCGTGCGGGTAACACCGGTATCTCGACCGCATTCTTCAACCGTGGCAATCGCAACATCGTACGTGACCTGCTCGAGTTGTTGAGGGAGGCAAACCAGGACATTCCTGCATGGCTTGAGACAGTAGCTTCAGAGTCCGCGTTCGGCGGTGGTGGTAGTGTTCGTGGCCGTGGCCGTGGAGGTGCTCGGGGACGAACTACGACCAACCGCGACGTCCGCTCTGGTGGCGGAGGCTATGGCGGTGGACGAGGTGGAGCAACCGCCGGATATGGAGGCCCGCAATACGGTGGGTATGGAGGAGGATACGGAGGTGGTAACACTGGCAACAGTTGGTGGTAAACACTCACTATTGACACCCATGCTTGACTTCATTGAAGTCTACTTTACGACCCCTATGACCATCTCGACGCTCCGTTCCCCTTTCCCTAATCCTGAAGAAAAGAAGAAACCCCGAATTTAGCTTCCACGTTCCCATCGTCTCTCCAGTACTCTCTGCTTTCGAATCTCTCGGACTATGCGCTGCTCTCAATGTCGGTCTTCTCAAGTCTCGTTGCAATACTGCTCATGGTTTACTGTATGGCCCAGTCTATCTTATTATCTCCATCTCTCGTCTCTGTTTCAATAACTTTTTAGGGCGCACTTTGCATTTTTTCCTTTTTCTTTCTCGGAATACGATCATCACAGCGCCCTTCATTCAATCCACTTACGGCAAATGCATGTTATCATAGACGTAGATGGGCCAACCACCACCCTTTCCCCCCTTCCATCTTCCGCACGAATAACCAGAATGAGCAGACTTTTGTAGTGTCTGTCTTCGTTTCGCGATACCCTGATTTATTGCGACGCGCAGTCGGACATTTTGGCACTATATCCTAGCATCACGAGACAGTATTAGAGCATCGCACATCTTGTAACGTAGTCTAGCATCCATTTTATCCATACTCTTTTCCTATTGTATTCTCATACCTAGAATTGAGCATTTTTCAGCTCCTTTTTGTGACTTTTTGAGAGAGAAATTACGAAAGGTATTTAGACAGCTTCCGGCCGCCACCGCAGTGCTGATCTGGCCGGCATACCCCACTCGGGATCCAATTCTGTAATTTCTATTCCGCCACCTATTCGTGGCACACACCTCACCCTCTTTCTTTCAGCTTGGATTAAAGCTCTTTCACTAGCCACTACCACCATTCATCACGTCAGCTTTGTCTTCTTTTCTCCTTACTTTGTGCATGTCCAGGAGATATTCACTTTGACCCGTTGCATCCTCAGGCATTCCAAATACACTCAATTGCAAACATCGTCATCATCATTGCCAGCACTCATACAAAACTTGTCAAGTAATACTCAAGTCGCAAGAGTATGTATAGAGCTTCTCCAGAATCCCCCATATTCGACGCCCCAGAAATACCTACTCTCAGGAGAGTGAAGCCCCTACCGAAACGTCGACGTACTTCCGACTCTACACCTCACGAAGACACAGACGGTGGCGGTGGCGGTCTTTCAAACATTCCAGGAATGTTGGCCCCAGACGACTTCCTCGCTGCCACAGAATCTTTCTCTGCTCATTTGCAGTCGTATTACCTCCCGCCACATGACCAATCTCTCACCGACCCAGACGGTCGAACGTCCACACCTGGTGGCATCGATTTTATCAACTCAGGATATGGGTTTGTAGATGGAAGGGGTCGCGGAGGTAACGGTCATGACGATGATGGTGGCGACGGGGATTATATCGATCATCTTCAGCAACCAGGAAATACCAAGAAACGAAAAGTGCCTGCAAACATGACTGGTGCCCCTCATGGGCCAGAGTCTGGTTCTGGGTCGGGTGGAGAAGATGAACCGACGGATCGTGCTATACCTACTGGAAGAACAGACCAGGAATACGATGCTATGGGCTTACAGTCTTCGGCAGCGTTAGGTGGGACAGGTCAGAGAAGAGGAAGGCTTTCGAAAGCGACGATGGCAGGTTTACAACATAAGGAGTTGCTGAAAAGCCGGAAACGACAATTGGCGGCGGTTTTGGGTGCTCTGTCTCATGGGGACTCACTCGCCCTCGACCAGGCGTTGTCTACGACTTACCCCTTTGCTCACAATCGACTTACGAATGACGGAAAACCTCCTGAAGTCAAAATTCGTCCTTCACGGCGGAAAGTAGCTCGTATCGCTCGTGCATACAAGACCTTCTACGATTCTCTTCACGCTCAGAACCCTGGCGCTGCGCGTCACTTTCCTGAGAAAGACTTCACCTTCGTCTGTCATTCTGCCAGTGCGTATCTATCAGCTTGTTCCGCTTGCATGCAAATAATATCTTACGTATGCTGAACATGTGTCCTGTAGCGTCTGATCGTCTCGTAGCGACGAAAGAAGAGGTCGCTGTGCTTCATGCACGTTTTGAGGCCGAACTTGCTCGCCAGACTGCGAGGGCAGCTGAAGCCGCGAAGCAGGCTGCTGCCGCAGCTATGAACAACCGTCAATCGAAACGTTCCGATCGTTCGAAGCAGTCTCGATCGTCTGTTGGGAGAACAGAGCATAGTGGTGGAGCTATTGAACAGAACCTTCTTGGCTCAACCGGTAAAACGGGCAAGAAGAAGAAACGATCAGCTTTAGCGAACGCATCGAATCCTCACCACCTACGCAATTACGTTCCTTCTCGTCTTCCTCATTCGGGGCAACTTAATGCTGCTCAGGCCCAGGCCAATGCACAAAACCTCGTGAGCCCACTTCCGCTCCGCTTCCTCTCTGCCGACGTGCCTCCACGCAGAAGAAGCAAAGCGAGTGGTGCCCCCATACCTAACCTTACCAACCCCACGGATGAATGGATATGTCCGTTCTGCGAATACGATCTATTCTACGGGGATGACCAGAACTTTCAGCGAGCTCTACGGAACCGAAAGAAGATTCTGAAACGGCGAAGGCGAGCGCGGGAGCGAGCTGCAGCTGCTGCTAGTGGCGCCAAAGCTGCTTCCGCGAAGAACTCTGCTCCGCTCGAGGAGGATGTGAACCCAGGGTTTGAGGCTCAGCATGAGGATGTTATTGCCGCCAATGCAAAGCAGGCTCGGTTCAAGGAGGGTGATAGGGGACCAGGGGTGGTTCAGGGTGTGAATCACGTTGCATCAGGACAGAATTCGATGGGATGATGTCAAATGGACTGAAGCATCATGATAGAATACCTTGCATTATATCCTCATGTCGTACTATCCCACAGTCTTTCTAGCTTTTGTGTTTTTGCAATTGAAACATTGTTTTACTGTCGAGTATTGTTTTAAGTCAAGGCAATTGACTTAAGGGCCAATGCGCGCCTGATATAGGCTTAGTCTCCGCTTCTCTGTGTTTGAATTTGCAACAGTTAGTCGTCTCATTGTTCACAACGGGCATGTCCGCCAGTCAGCAGCCGACAGCATCTTAAAGTCACTGTAAAGTCAGCTCTATCAGAGACAAAGCGTTCGAGCTCGAGGATGAGTGTGGGACTGATTTTCTGGAATTTTAGGAGGATCGGAACCTGAAGTCTTAAAAGCTGTTGCTCAAGAACAAGACATATTACCGGTGAACAGCGCTTGCATCTGTTCCGAACTCTTCCCTGGTATCTATCCTTCCAAAGGCCAGCAGCAGGCCGGGCAGTCAATAATTCCTGCGAAGCATCGAGCGAGGAGCCTGAAACAATGTAAGTGTACCTGCCATTTATGATTCGCTCGCCTATGGATCGGTAGATCTGTACTTTAAAATCTGCAATTATAAGCACCTCATATCTTGTTCCCTGACCGCCTGCACTCCCGACGCGGCCACTCTAATGCATCAGTGGCAAATTGAACTCTTCATGCCCTTGCACACCCACCGCAGGGCACGCTTTGCTCGTGCCCATCTGCTTGTTCTCTTACCGCTGTCTTAATTATGTTCTTGCCTTCCACTTTGCTATGAGTAGTTTGCTTGCCATGAATTCATCTAGTGTGCTCGCTCCTAAACCTCGTCCTGCACGCTCACAAATATCCCTCTCAGCGTACGGCACTGCTGAACCCTTCATTAGTGGTCCCTCCTCTACCACAGCTTACACGACGCTCGGCCAGGCGCTGAATACATCAGCAGACCCGCGTACCAATCACCAAGTTTCTCCAGATCCAACGCTCAACGCTCACAGGGCTCCTGCCAACATGGCCTCCGACAGTCGATACACGTACCAAACTTCGCAGGGACCAGTCCAGGCCCCTTATCCTTACCCTTATACTGGCGCATCGTATGAGGCGGCCTACACGGCGAATCCGCCAAGATCAGTCCGTAATGATTCTGCGCATTCGCAGTCTCCTCAACAGACACCGCCTCCTCAACCTCCTTATAATACCCCACCTACTGGATATCCGCCACACCCGAATTACCCACCTCCTGGTTTCGCTGTTCCTTCTTCATCGCAAGCTCAATGGACTACGGAAGGTTGGCAGTACCAGTATTGGCAGGCCGGTCCCCAGCCTCCAGCGACCTCGCCGTATCAACATAATGGCCGACCAGATGCTCCACCTCAACCTGCAGCTCCTCCCGAGCGTCGCGCGCCGTCACCACCTCCAGCTCCCAAGACGGAAACACGGCGAACCGAGCGTTCACCACGACCGCTAGAAGCACCGCCGCAAAACAGCAGAACACGTAAAGCGAAGGAATCAGAAATAGCACCTGCGCCTCCATCGCTACCGCCTGCCCAACCACCTCCAGGGTTGGACTTTGTTAAGGTAACCGTCTGCCTTCGCGAAAGTTCCATAATACTTAACGCTTCTTTCCTCCCAGTTATTGGAATCTTATCGCATTATAATTGATTCGTCTTTGGCAATATCGAATGATACTCCTCAAGTACAACTGGCCCCCAATCCCGAGGTTGTTGAGAAGATGTTGGAGGCTGCTCGGTATGGTTCCCAGGTATTGGACTCAGCTGTTATGCGGGCCGTGTCGGAAGTTTCCAGGGAGCTTGAGGACCGCAAGGAGAGTGTAGTTGAAGCTGATGCGGCTGCAGCATCGAATGTATGTTGCCCTTCGCATTGCTGCTATCCTTGTCCCAAAGCTCACTCGTCCCCTTAATCATAGGCCGATCAGGCAACCGAAGGACAAACTTGTCTTGGCTGTAATGCCACGTCTACTCCCGAGTGGCGTCGGGGCCCCATGGGTACATTTCCGTTATTTTGGTGTCATTCCTCGTGCTAATCCCAGCATTTGTAGGTCCGCGCACCCTATGCAACGCGTGCGGGCTGGTTTATGCCAAACTTGTGTGTCTTCCATTCCTCTTATGATAAAATCCAGCATGCTGACTGACGTTTGGCAGATTAAGAAGCGGTCTCGAGAACCTCGACGTTCTCGTGGTGGCAAGAAGGGCGGTAAAGCGACTCGTAATGAGTCTGGACAGGTGTCAAGCGGGAGCGGGAGCGACGATGATTCTTATGACTCTCAAGAACGACGTAGCGAAGCCGGAGATCATGGAGAAGGAGATTGACGAGGCAATGCGCGTGGTTTTATGTGATATTTATCGCCTCACTCGTGTGTCTCTTCCTACTCCCTCCTCCGCATAACTTTTAACTCGTTTCTTTCCGTGACTCGGTTTCTTGGGTGTATAACATAGGGCAGATACCATACCTTCCTGTCTATTTGATAATCCGCTGGGGAGTTTAGCCAACCCATAGGCCTGTAGGCTATCGCATTGCTCGGCACCGCATTAATCATAACGCGACTATTACGCTCTTCCCAAATCCAATGTCTCCGGACGATAACACACACGCCCTTCGTTGTCTTGCTCCCATCTTGTTATTACGCAGCCCCTGGTTTCTCATCCGTGGGCTCGCGCCGTATGATCATTTCTAGTTGCTTGCCCACTGCCCACACCTTCTAGAGGATCATGCCCCCTGTCTGTCATCAGCTTGGGAGAAAATGCTGAGCGAGACAATCATGATATTCTCCTGATGATGGATGGACACACGGGCCGACATGTTTCCCGTTGCGTGATTTTAATGTAAAGATCCCATGGTGCGTGCCATATATCCTTATATGCCTTCGTTTGACCCTTGCTCTTTCCATTGACTCCCATTACTAAACAAGAAGCCGTTCCTGGACCTCACGATAGGAGTTACGTTCAGGTCCGACTGGGTATTGTACCCTGGATCAGCCTGCCGTATTCATTCCCTTGGCAGCGCACGCTCAGGCTGCGCCTTCTCACCCACGCGCCGCAATGTCCTGGTCTGTACTATACTTCTTCTAACGTGATAGACAACCACGAGCAATTGCGTTATGAACTCGACGACCGCAATAACCAGAAAAGGCATGTATATGGTAGAGGGTGTCCCTTGTGGGCCGGTCGACGTCGATTAGGTTCGCGGAATCCTTCCAAGTTTTCTCTGTGCTGCATTTGACAAGTGTGGTGTCGTCGATTGGACCGGAAGCATCTGATCGACGTCCAGAAGCTCCTTGACGGTGTCATATAACCTCACCATTAAGAAACGCACAATACGGTAGACAGAAGTAAGTGCTATATAAAAATCGCTGAAACAAGAAATGAATAAGTTACAGAAACTACAGAGGATCACCAAGTCCCGACCATTATATGATACATACATACTCGAATAATCTATACGATACAGATACACAAAAAAAACTGAGGTTGCTTCCATGCGTCATGACCCTTGCATCCCTCCAGGTATAGCCCTGCCAGCACCTAGTGGCATCTGCTGCGGGTGGCCCGCCATCCCAGCCATTTGGTGTTGCGCATTCGCAACTGGCATACCTCTGCCCATCCCCACAGGCCAATACATTTGAGGGTTCTGCCGCTGCTGCATATTCATTGGGTAACCGTACATCGGGAATTGAGCCATGATAGCGGCCTGCTGTTGTGCTTGGTCATGCGTAGTCGGTGGGTGTTGCCCTTGCTGTCCACCCGCTGCATGACTTTGTGTTCCATTGTTGACAAGTTGATGCTGGACGAAATGTGGATGCTGTCGCATCTGAGCCGCGTATGCCTGCACATTGAAGTTATTATACGGCTGCTGTTGCGGATGACCTGTATGTGGTTGCTGCTGTTGAGCATTGGGCATCGGAGAACGTGAGACCAAATTTTGAGCTGTGACCATGGGACTGCTTCGTTGTTGCGGAGTTGCTACAGTATTCGGCATCATTTGAGGAACCGGTGTGCTAGAGCCTTGCGCTTGCGCTTGTGCAGCTAATCTCTGTTGGGCCAATAGATGTTGCTGAGCGGCGTAGTAGTTGTACACCATCGGCGTCTGATGCGCGGGTACCCCTGGAGTCGCGGGTGCTGCCGTCTTTCAAGAAGTGAGTGACATGTTTGATCGGGTACAGAGTGGAGCAAACGAATGAATTCATACCTTGACCTTGGCTTGCTGGACCAGAAAATTGGTAGCATTAACAGCAGTGACGTTCGCCTGTGCATGTAAAGCAGCATTGGATTGTTGCTGTCGAGGTTGCGGCACTGGAGAGGCATGTGGTTGTGTGTGAGGATGTTGAGCTTGCTGGGTTGGATGTACCTGGCCGTGCTTCATGGCTGATGAAGGACGCTTCTCGGCGACAATGGGACTGGAAGCGATTGTTGCCGAAGACGGTGGTCGTGGGGTATGAGATGGCGGAGTATTCCGACCAACCTGAGCATGGTAAACTTGCACATGTGGAGGTATATTAGGCGGCAATGTAGACGATGGTCTTGCCAAAAGAGGAGATTGGCTAGACTCCGATCTTTTAATCTTCCTCCTCGCCTCTGGGGAAGCTGTAGCAGCTGGTACAGGGGGTGTAGGGGTAGAAGCAGGCCCGGAAGGAGCTGGAGCTGGAGTCGAAGGAGGTCGTGCAGTCAGCGCCGGAGCTGTTGGTTGGGCGGCCACTGCATATGTTCCAGCATTGACTCCTTGCGTCGTAGCAGGTACTGGAGCCGCACCTGGTATCGGATGAGTCGCTGGTGCGGCGGTACCCTGTGCAGGTGCTTGAACGCGTTGCATTTTTGTCCGCTGTATCACATCCAGTATGCGGTAACTTGGACACCAGTAAATGAGGATAGATAATAACAATCCACATGATATGGAAAATACCTTGGTACCACAGGCTTGATCCTCGGGTTCATGTACTGCATGATCTTGGCCCGGCGCGCACGCTCGAGCTCGTCCTCTTCCTCCATGACAGCGGCCTTTCGTTTCAAGGATACCGGAGGTGTCGGAGCGGATACGCGCATGATGCTGTTAGCTATCCGAGTTAGGTGAGGATCAGGGTCCAAACATAACGGTGGCGCAGTCGCCAGCTAGAACAACATATGAATGAAATTGCGAGAAGCAAGGTCCAAAGTCACTAACAAGAATTTTGGACTCGACCTCGAGCGCGTCTTGGTCTGTCCAATGGAAACCGTTCTTCTGGTTCATAAGACATATTTCGGACCACAGTGTTTCCGCATTGGGGGTTAGTACGACCCTGGTCCGTTCGGGTGTTTCTAGTACTGGATCTTTGACTCTTAGTGGACGGTAATCAAGTAGCTCTACAATCATGCACCCTGAAGGCAAATTCAGGTCAATTTCAGACATTCAGAATGATGTAAGCGAGCGCACCATCATAGAAGGCGACTTTAGCCGAATCAAACAACTCAAGGAAGTCGTTGGGTATCCGCTGAGCCTGTATGTCGTCTAGTAGAGACTAATACATGCCTCGCGCAGTTAGTGATGTCTGACATATTATATTTGTACGTTAATTCCGACATACCGCCATCTGGTTGTTGTATAGAAACCTGGAACCACCGATTGTCCAGTGCTCGGGATAGAGACGAACAGTAAACGATGGTGGGTCGGGAGCATGTTTGTCTAGAAGCTCATTCATGTACCGCGTCGTGTTGTAGCTGACCATGGTGGCGAGAACATGTACATGGACCCGAGAGCGGTGGTGGCCTGTACTAACCACCACTACTCACAGGCGCTCAGGTTCGCGTTCAATGAGGGTCCAAGCGCCCTGATTCAGCCCTTATGTAAGCTTCCTTTTTGAGCTTCTTAAGCCTTAATAAAGCTACTGCCAGTGACCTCAACACTCTCAAACTTGATAGTTTGTTCGTATTCTTCATTCTATGGTCTTTAACGCTATTCTAATCGGCACTGAATGTTGAAATGCTACAGCTTGATCAATCTTAGTGGTTGTACATACCCATCTTCTGCTTACTTGACATCGACTCGCCATCGACATCTTCTGAATCCAGCAAGTTACTCAACAACCGCCGCTATATATCAGACCTATTCTCGCAGAGACAGTGAGCAAACAATTCCAACAAATAATCCACCTGAAACAAGTTCACGATACCTAGACATGTCATCAGAACAGAACGCTGAAAGGTGCTTCGGCTTTGACTTTGTCCGACATAGTTCTAACTAGATGCTAGTCCCGCAAACAATGGCCCTAAGACCACACTTGAGGAAAAAGATGGCAGAAAGCCACGGACGAAAGGCGGCCGTCAACAAGGCGGATCATCCAAGTTACGAGGACTTCCCAGAGATCCAGATGAAGTCCGTATGTCCAAGACGCTGTCTTGGGTCTTACGCCATGGTGCAAAGTCCGAGGGTTTATTCATGCGCCCGGATGGGTATGTGCGGGTGCACGACCTTGTGAGTTTCACAGGCATTTGCAACAATCGTGGTCAAGATTCTAACATTTCTTGAAAGTAGCTGAGTCTGCCTAAGTTTCAGGGCATGGACTTCGAGAAGATTCAGAAAATAGTAGAGGCCGATGCGAAGCAGCGATACGGCCTACTATTCCAATCTGATCCTTCCTCCCAAGACGCAACGGAAATTTGGTGGATCAGGGCCAGCCAAGGCCATTCACTCAATGTTCGTTGATTCTTACCTATGGAAGTTCGATCATTCTGACTAGGCGCCATAAGGATGTCGAACTTGACCTAAAACCGATCAATTCTGTTGACGATATTCCAACGCGAACAGCCGTGCATGGCACTAACCGTAAGGCATGGGAGACCATCCGTTAGTGTGACCACGTCTTCATTACACTCCAATTATTCACTGTCTTTGACTTCTACAGGTACCAAAGGGCTGAGTAAAATGCGCCGCAATCACATCCATCTTGCCCAAGGTGTCCCAGGCTCAGGCGTTATTAGCGGTACGTGAAGACCATATCCAGTGCTCAGATTGCCTCAGGTCGATTGATATGATACTAAAATCGCAGGTATGAGACAATCGGCACAGATACTAATTCATGTGGACGTGCAAGCAGCCATCGACGCTGGACTCAAGTTCTTCATGTCCGACAACGGCGTAATCCTCACATCAGGAAATGAGCGCGGCATCCTTGAACCTCGGTTCTTTGAGAAGGTAGAGCAGAGACAGGGCAAGGTGATGCAAACCATCCCACTTGGTCCTGCTACTGCTAAAGGACCTTCAACAACTGTGAAGAGCACCGAGGGCACCAGTGAGAATTCAAACAGCCAAGCAACGACAGAGGTGTCGGAACAAGGGGCGGAGCAGGCGAAAAGTGCATAACACCTTTCTCAATCATAATTATGATATATCTATTTGTGTGTCTATTCACGACCAAGAATATATGCTGTAGTATTATAACTGCAAGTCATGGGTAATTGACTCTAATATTTCGTCAAGCTGTACGTTAGGGGGGAAAGGGCTGGAGAGGTTGTAAGTGGTGTTCGTGTCTTCATGCAAGTGCATTATTATGCTAGCAAAGCAGGAGAACTGTCAGGTTGAAGTTCACGAACGTTTGGAACGCAATCGTCGAGAAGATCGTAACGTATGCGACGCGTCGGATTCATCAACGTCATCACTTTCCGAAATCACATCTCGCAAGTTACGTGACCATCCGTCGCTTTGTTGGCTGCTGAGTGAAGTACATTGAACAGCTGACCGTAGGCAACGTACAAAGAACTCACCTGTTACGCATCCTTGCACGTTCCAAAGGTGTGAGCTTGTCGTCGCCTTTGGCTGCAGCACCGACAACAGCGAGGGTGGAGGATGAGGCAGACAGTGTTCGGCTGAAGACCCTTCTTGGTTTCGGCGTCGCATCCACATCGTCCGTCTTTGGGGGTTCAGTCCAAGCGGTGGCAGCTTTATCTGCAGACGTATGAGAACCGGACCCAGGAAAATCAGACATGTCTGTATCAGTGAGTAGCAACTGCGCGCCATCGTTTGTGCCAGAATCAGACACCAGTCCTCTAACTCGCCTTCGCGGTTTGGGTCGTGGCTTCGGAGCTTCTCCTTTGGACATAGACATGCTGTCTGTGCTACTGCAAAGATCAACAACATCGTCGGGAAGTACGATCGAAGGACCGGGTTGGGAACTTCCAGGCATCGTCTCCGACTTGATGAGTTTACGTTTTCTGGGTTGCGGAGGTTTTCGCACATTCGAACGAGAGCTATCCGTCAGCATGACTACATCGTCATCTTCGTCTTTCTTTCTTGTCCTTCCCTTCCGCTTCCGCGCAGGATTAGACACGACAGCGTCTGCGACATCCGTGGTCTCCGAAAACTCCTCAGCTTCTTCAGCCTCCAACGCTTTTCTTCTCGCCTTTGCACGCTCCCTGACAATATCCTCCCCAGCTTCTACCTTTGACACGCCTCCTTCGACATGATCGTCTGGGAACATGGCTACGCCGTACCCTGCACTTTCACGGAGTGTACGAATGGCCTGCGGGCGGTTTTGTTGGAGGTCATCTATTATGAGACATACGGCTGCTTCTGGTACGAGAATAAGCTGGATGAACTCGGTTGGGGTGAGGGGTAATGTGGAGTCGGCATCCAAGGAATCCGGAGGAAAGAGATCGTAGATGGTTTGGTGAATTATCACGTAACCCAGTTCGCCGTAGCTAGAAAACGCCAAAGTGGAACGTTAGAAAAAGTCTGCACAGATGCATATAAGGGGAAAACTGACTAGCCCGGCTGGGTCTTGGAGAAGTTGGAGAACTGGTTCCGCACGCCAGCGGCTTGTCTGGACCCCTTTGTTTTTACGTTCCTAATAACATCCCTCCAGAAGAGACTTCCCTTCCTCGGACGCTCGCCCTGCAACTCTTCATCTTCCAGTTCTGCATCGTCTTCATTGTCCTCACCCTCGCTGGGCCCTGTCACATGCCCAGGTAACCAATCTTCGTCCACATCATCCACTATCTTCCTCAAGGTACCCGCCAGTTGTCTCACCCTATGACCAACGTCTTCCCACTGTATACTCATAGGCCAGCCTCTCTGCTGAGCCAAGGGAATCTGAACTCGTTCAAAAGTATGTCTTTGGCATACGGCGACGAAGACTGGTAAAGGGGCACGGAGACCAAGAGGATTGGTAGGTCGAGCATCGCGGAAGGAACGTTGGCGTGCGGCTCTGATGAGACTCTTCAAGTGAGGTGAAGGGACTGGTGGTAGTGGCTCATCGCACCACGGACACAAAGTGGAATGATCCATGTTTGGGTCCATGAAATCTATGCGCATATAGTCAGTATAGATAGATCATATGTTATATGGAAAATACATACGGAGATTGTCGTCGTCGTCACCTGAGTCCATAAGCTCATTCAGGCTAGGATGAGGAAAAAAAAAAACTTAGTAAACCGAAGCGGCAAACGAGAGAAGTAGATGAACCATACATCTCATGGCCTCCTCTCTTCCTTCGCTTCTTGCGAAAGACACCAGGGTCGTCATCTTCGGAAGTTCGCTTGAGTGGTGATGAGTTTATAGTTTCCAGCACCTGTGTACCCATAGGAAATGGTCGAGGTCGATAGCGTGGATGTCGTTCATCCTCAGAGCTATCAGTACATTCTGAAGTGGACTCCACTCTTCTTCCCGAAACCTTCACACCAGCTTTCGTCCGCCTGCTCTTCGCGGCTTTGGCACGAGCTGGAGATGTTAGAGGCGAGAGATTAGGAAACCCTTGCATTTCGGACATAGCTTGAGAACTTGTGCGCGACAGAGGATTGCTTTGTTGGGAACAGAGAGGGGAGAGAACAGGGAAGTTGTCAGCTCTTTCCTTTCCCTTGCCTGTCTTTTTAGCTTTAGGAGTACCAGCATCGTCCCTGGACACCGGTGATAGGGTCTCCATAGGGAATCCGCGAGGTTGAGGTTTGGTGGGGGCTAGAGCAGGAAGCTCATCATCGGGGTCGACAACCTCATTTTCACGGTCAGCCCTTCGTGGTTTAGGGCGGGGTTTCGGGCGAGAGGCTGTCTGGGATGCGTCTTTGCTATCGTCGTCTCGTACCAGGTCCTCTATAGAAATACTGAGCGTGGACAGACGTGACAGAGATGCTCTAGGCGGCCTGTCCTTAGCCGTATCTGAACTGGATTGTTGACGTGATGGGAGAGACTTGTCGCGGCCTAGACGTGATGGATTAGACGGCGAGCCAGAAGATGACGAAGCCACAGCATTCAAAGACGAAGATCCAGTTTCTGAACGAGACACAACACGAGAAGGCGGCTTGAATGGCTTCCTCAACTTGTCTGGAATGCGATGAGCAGACACTGGTTGCATCTTTGTAGGCTTTGTCTTCCTAGATGTCGCAGTAGAAGGTTTAGATTTCTTTGGTTGGACAGGTTCGCGTTCGTCCCGATACTCATACAGTTCACCGTCCACCATAATTTGCTCCGAAATCTCTGGGGTGCTCCTCGAGCCTTGTGATTCATCAATATCCTTCGCCTTGCTCTTCTTGGTGAATTTGAGATTCTTCAAGTCTCCTTCCCGAGTATGAACTTGGTAAAGCGCGATACCAGCTCTGCCTGTGGTCGAAGGCCCCGCTTTGCCGTGTCTAGATGACTCGTCCGGGCCTTTCTTAGACGTAGTTCTATCCCGAGGAGTGGCGAAACCGATGATGTCCAACTCGTCGTCGCTCGAGCTATCCGAGTAGATTTCATCAATAGGATTCCGCGACAACTTCCCAGACCTGGATGTCTGGGAAGACATTGACTTCTGAGAGCTACTCCTTCCTATTCTTTCCTTAGGACCAAGAAAAGCAGCGGTAGAATGTCCATTGACTGTGGCCTCGTCCTTGTCCTTAGATCCAAAATCACTTCCGAGGTCGACAAACACATGCCCTCTAGAGGAAGGAGGTACTGGTCGTTTGGCCATTCGTACACTTTCCGACTTGGCGGTGTCTATGGTTTGGCCACGAGACTTGAGATCATTCATAAGGTTTTCCATCGCCGAGAGTAGACGTGAACTTGCGTAAACGTCAATGTTAGCCAATCTGCGCTAAGATGCGACTTGGACCTGCTCTTGAACCCAATATGTGTGTATGAGTGGCTCAACAACGAATGCGTGTTTAGACCGACCTTTCGCATCGAGCACGGACAAGAGCGGATTGCGCCCGGCGAGGGTGAAGCTGGATGAAGAAACTTAGAAAGAGTCGCGGTGCAATGAACGGAGTTGGAACGCGCCGCCGCTGTTACGCGATCACGTTCACGCGTTTTGGTAATATTCCTGGATCCTGCATGAGTGCAAATTGTTTCACCAAAAATGCGCCGCATTTCGGAGTTCTTCAAGCAATCCAGTATCAGTCGTATACAATTATAATCCATAGTTCTACAAAGCCTTTACTGATTACACACCGAAGAAACAAGGTACAACATAAGGGTATAGAGATGTCAATGTCTATGACTTATGATAGCTCTGAAAACTGGTCCAATCTAGAATTCATCCATGGTATCGTCATCTGCCGCCAACTCTGCTGCCCACACCTCAGAATCTGTGGTCTCATAGTCGTCCTCATCCTCACCTTCCCTAATCATCCTCCAAGCTTCGAAAGTGCCGTCTGGTTTATCATGTTTGTCCCACCTGTCGTCTCGTTCATGGATATCCCTCATCACCCATTCCATGTAATCCTCGCCCGCATCATCTTCAGGTAAAAGTCGAATGTTCCATCCCAAGTAGATGAGGTTGCCGTCCACGGTTGCTTGAAGACCAGCGTCGTGAGTGTAGTGCATGTCGAAGAGCTGAATCATTTGGAGTGTGCACCCGCGGCGAAGCATGCTGAGTTCTTCGCCGGTCAAAGTATCAAGGAAATGGAGATCGAGAGGAGACACGTTTACAGTTGGCGGAGACCATCGCGGGAAGGTGTATTGGCCGTTATAGGGTTCACTGTCATCCGCTGAACCGTAACCATCTGCATCAGAAGACCATTGGTCATATTCATCATAGTCATCCTCATCGTCGTCATCGGACTCATCATCATCGCTCTCTCCGTCCTCCTCTGCAGGATCCAGGAAGATACCTGCCCAAGGATCGGAGTCTGCATTGGGAGGAGTCAACGCACGACGCGGACTATTGGGTTTAGTACTGGCAAGAGCATTGGCAATCGACTTGACAACAAAAAGAGGTATAGGTCGTGTGCGGACAACCGTGCGACAAACAGGGCATGTCTTCTTGCGGTAGAGAAGAGCTTCAGGTGTATCATCGTCGAACATGTCATCTTCACCTGCAGGCGCTGTCCGGAACCATTCTTGAAGACAGGATTGGCAGAGAACGTGGCCGCAAGGAGCAAGACTGCGAACATATCGGTCCATGACACGTTGATACAACATTAGAGCGATGACGACTTACCCGAATGGCTTCAGCATCAAATCCATACATATATTACAGCTCATGTGGCCTTCGATAGTTGAGATGGTCTAGAAAAATATTAGTTGAATACAAGATCGCCAAAAGTTTATGCCTACTTCGGCTGATTTCTTCGACTGCTTCCTGAGCTTGTCGAGTTGTGAGCAATGTTCTGCATTTGACTGGAAACTAGTCAGCGGGAGAAACGATGAAAGATGGGGTGAGCCTACCTGTTGAGACAATGCGAGTTCTTTGCGTAACCGATCAATTTCCTACAGATTAAATGAAATGAATGAACGTCTTAGGACATAGATTGCATTGATATCACCTTGCTTTGCTTGTGCATCTTCTTCTCAAAGCTCTTGACGTCCTAAACGGTAGAGTAAACCTCAGAAAGCGAAACTGCCATGATGGAATAGGTCCTACCTTGTGTGCCTTCTCTAAATCTGTCTTGGTACGCATATAATCCGCACTAGCTAAGGAGCCAGAATAACTCTTGCTTTCTGCGTTATCGTCGTCTGAGTCCTCTACAGAAGTAGCTTTCGTAGAAAGACGATTAGAAGCATCGCGAGAGCGGGAGCGCTCTTTCCGTCTACTCTTGCCGGTTGCGCGGCTTTGAATATCCTGAATAACCACGATTTCTACATCATCCGATGATGGCCTGTGTTTCCCCTTTGTTCTGCGAGGGCCAGAGTCTGCAGATGGTTGTTCAATGGGAGTGGCTGAGTCCCTCTGAGCTTTGGCTATTATCTTCGAGTGAGCATGAGAATGAGCACTAGATGTGGAGGGTTGAGGGTGCGGATGAGGGACTGTGGCCTTCCGCTTCCTTCGTATAGCAGTTGGTTCTGGTCGTGAATTGACGTCCTCGACGGTCCATGGCTCCGGGGAGCGCGACCTTCGTCTTCTAGATGCCTCTCCTATAGGTGTTTGTGGCCTATTCTCCCTCCCCCGAGTAACGGCTCCTGGGCGTCGTTGGTGCGGATGTGGAGAAGAAGTACCAGGCATATTATGACACTCGCTATTGCTGGAAACCAGGGGTTAGAATTACAGTAAAATGTCGGCGACGCGTTAGGAGAGATATCAGTCCAGTGAGCGCGTTTGAGGAGATGGTAGATGTGGTCAGAGCGTTGAAACCTCGCGGTATTCGGAAAGGAGGCCACATGTGGGGAATTTCATATTATGTATAGATAAGTATTTTAAGTGGAGTTATAAGAGGCTTACCAAATTATCAATAATAAATCAAATAGGAACTGCTGGGTCCCCACCGCTTGCTTGCTTACCTCCAAACTCTTACATACTTCACCGTTTATTCTCGTCAGGAATTACGAGCTCAAGGACCCTTGTCTTCGTCTTCTGAACGGAGCTACCATTCATCCATTCGTTTGACATTGCTCATGCAGGAGGAGCAAGGTACGGCCTGTCCGGTTATCACACTTCGCTCAGGACTCATGGAATTTCGAATGTCTAGATACATGTCGTATTTGCAGCGCACCAGCAGAGCCAGATCAACCCCTCTTCTATCCATGCAAGTGCTCGGGTACTATCCGTTATATCCATCAGGACTGGTGAGCTGTCCACTGTATTCATTATATCAAGCACCCGATTAACCTCGCGCTCTAGTCTCACGACATGGCTAGCTCATAGCAAGAAGAAGACATGCGATGTCTGCAAATATCCTTATTCCTTTACCAAGGGTAAGTTTACATTCTTTGTCTCAGAATATGCGCCACTAATATAATCCCGTAGTGTATGCCTCAGACATGCCTGCAAGGCTACCGATCACTTTGGTAATACGCAGGCTCATCCAGCAAGCAGCTTTGGCGGTTCTGTTTGCATTTCGCGGAATCCTTGTTGGCACTGTGTGGTTGGCCTTCTTGCCTTGGGCGACTGTGTGGACATGGAGAATGTACTTTGCCATGGGCGATGCAACGTGAGTAATCGTTTATCTACCGCTGAGTTACTGCAACTAAATCAACCTCGTGTAAATCATGTTCTGCTGATCTGTAGTGCTTGGTGGATTAGCACTCGTCCAAAACCAGAACCATCGCTACCTAATGGGACTTTTAACGCCAGCTCCAGCTCTGCACAAGAAACAGACGTGCCACCAGTCTCATCCAATGCAACCTTGCTCACCACTTTCCTTCTTCATCCTACTGTTCGCAGTGTCTCTGCAGACATCGTGACAGGTCAAATCATTGCTTCAGTTATTGTCCTGGGTTTTGTGGCGGTGTTCCTTCTCAGGGAGTGGATATCGCAGAATGCAAGGCCAGGCGTATTCGATGATGCTGAACTACCTCCTGAAGGGGAAGTACCCCAAGCAGAACCCGCGGAGGAGATCCCTCAGATTATGGAGGCTCAGCCTGAGCAGGTCCACGATCGAGACCAAGAGGGAGTTGAAAACGTCCCCGTTCCTGTGCTTCAACCTCCGGTAATCCCTCCACCACTGGCATCTGGCGAAGATACATCAAGCAGTAGTGACTCTAATAGCCCATCCCCTGTGGAGGACGATAATGGTCGAAGCGGCGGTAGGAAGGTCCGCCGTCGAATTGAATCCCCTGAGCGCATTGATCGTCCAAGAGCGAAGTCAGTACCCCATCGTTTGCCATCTTCGGCCAACGATTTGGGCTTCAGCGAGTCAAGGCCACTCGATTTGAAACCCGAACAGCAGGAATTTACTTTCAGTTTCCGAGTCTCTCCTCGAAATACGCAAGATCAGGAACATGACGAAGAACAGATGCAAAAGGCAGACCGCGCGCATGTAGGCTCGAGTCTCGATGGCTATCTTTCTGGTCCAGTCTTCCGGACAGAGTTCTCTGCTGCTGGTGTACCATATGCACCAATGCCTGGTGACTCAAACAACCATGCTCGTTATTTGCCCAAGCCATCTCAATCTTCAGAACATTCTGAGCCTGCTGAATCATCCCAGAAACCTCAAGCACCTCAGTTACCCCATCCATTTCAAGCATCCCAAACACTCCGTCGCCCTCCAATGCCTAGCATTTCCCTTCCACCATCTGCACTTAATTCACCCTCTATAGCCCCCAAAAGTCGTGGTCCTACTCCCATATCTTCGCCCAGTCTAGCAACATACAGTGCACCTGAGGAGTTCGAAGCTGGGCCTTCAACACTGTCTGAATACTTCAAGAAGGAGGATTATGTTATCCCGGAAGATTCAGAGGAAACTAAGAGAGAACATGATAGGTATTTCCGTGAACCTGAAGCTGGGGAGGAAGTCCATTCTGCGGTGCCTGAAGGAAAGGAAGATGAAACAACTGAGGTGGATAGCAGGGATAGCAGTCACGATACGATTGTTGCTCCTCAATGGAGTGATGATGAATACGAAGAGGAAGAGGAGGAAGATAATGAGGACCATGAAGATGCTTTGGTCCCCTTCGGTGAGCCGCTGCCAGATGAAAATGAAGAGCTATGGCGCGCAGCTGGGCTTGTGGTTGGGGACAGGAATGCGGATAGGGACGCTGAAGGAGACGGCGAAAGGGATGCGAACGGCGAGTTGCGAGCGGATGGAGAACCTCTGGATGCTGAGGAGATGGATGCGAATATCGAGGATGATATGGATGGTGCTCTTGAAGGTAGGTTCGTGCTATGATATGCTGGGGAGGAGACCATTAACGAATTGTTCGTTGCAGCAATTGGATTAAGAGGGCCGATATACGGCGTTCTTCAAAATGTATGTCTTTGACTGGTCTTACAAGACTTTGACTGAATAGAATTTCATTCAGGCTGCCTTCATGACGTTCGTTCTGGATGCAACAATAGGAATCCTAGTATGGCTTCCATTCACAATCGGCAAAACACTCGCCCTTCTATCAGTAGGTTTCCCCACCTTTGTCCGAATTATATCATAGATCACTCATGCAACCCCTCGAATTATCACAGCTCGACCCTGCACGATTGTTAGAAGTGATACATTCACCTATTCGCGCCATCCGGTTCATAACGGACCCAGTCGTAGACCTCGTATCGTACGTCCTGACGCAAGTAGTCTTGCTTCCACTTGCTCTCAGTTTGCAGCAAGGACTCCTTTTGGTTGTTTCCGGGCTTGGCAGGCTAGTTGGGAGTGATCAGGCTTCAAAGGGTGTTGAGGTTACCTCTGCATGGGTACGTGCTGCGTTGTTTCAATTGCATCTCGTCATTCAATTGATCGTCTGCAGTATAACCGTACTCTCGAAGCCGTTAATGTCGCTCTAGATCAAACTCGCTTTTTGCTGCTCTCCCCAGAAGCCAATGCAACGACTACAGCGACTCCCTCGCTCCTGGAACGTCTTGCAGAGAATGACTCACCCCTCATGAGGCTTCTTGAGCCATACTTCGCTCCCATCGGTAGCGTGGTTCGCACACAGTTCCAGGCTTTCAAGGAGACTTGGATACATTTGGCTACGAGCGACAGCACTAGTTCTAAGATCTTTGCCATCGCTCTTGGATACGCTTTGGACGTATTGATTATGGCGATTTACTTGAACGTTTTGACATTTGGGAGTGTGAAGAGTGCTGGAAAGGCTGTAAGGAGTGCGATGAGGCAACAACTGCTCGTTCTCAAGGTGAAGACTCATTCTTTTGTATCAGAATAATGTGTTGCTCAACTAGTCCACAGGTCGCAGTTTTCATCATCATCGAACTGGTGGTCTTCCCACTTGGTTGCGGGATTATGCTCGACGCCTGTTCGGTTTGGCTATTACCCCAGTCAAGTCTCAGATCAAGGATGGCGTTCCTTACTTTCGCACCCTTGACGGCAGCGTTTTATCACTGGGTAATCGGTACCATGTTCATGTAGGTCCATATACCTTCCCGGATCTTTTGATACATCCTGACATGTATGTTTCTTAATTGTCCAGGTACCAATTCGCCGTTCTCTTAGCCGGCTGCCGAAGCATCATGCGCCCAGGTTCAATGTGGTTTGTCAAAGATCCTCAAGACCAGAACTTCCACCCGATACGCGACATCCTTGAAAGGCCCACTTTAGTTCAGATCAAGAAGTTGCTCTTGAGCGCCGTTATGTACGGAATTGTTGTTGGTTTTAGTATCGCAACTTTCTCTGGCATTCTGAGATTCTTCAGTCGGACTATCATGCCACTCCGCTGGAAAGTTCTGTACGTTTCCTATCGTTGATTCCTGAAATGCTCTTCCCTGACGAGTTGATGTTTGATTTAGCGAGCCGCTATCCGAAGTCCCAATTGACTTGCTTTTCTTCCACTTGGTCCTGCCGTACACACTTCACTACTTCCGACCGCGGCGGGGCTTGTACAAGGCTTCAGTCAAAATCTGGAAGTTCCTTGCTCACCAGTTGAGGCTGTCTTCCTACATGTTTGGCGACCGATATCCTATGGAGGAATTCACACCAAAACATTGGTCTTGGAAACGGCTGATCCTGCGACCCGGAATAGAGCTCCTGGATGACGAAGCTATACATGATGGTACATTTTGGCGAGTCCCTAACCACGATAACATTGCTCAGGTTCGGAATGAGCGTGCAATTGTGGAGGTTGACGAGAACGGGCTGCCCAGAGACGCTGAAGGACATCGACTTATGGCTCTTCTCGATGTCGAAGCATCGAGGGCGAAGCGAGACGTCAAGACAGACTACACGATTGTCTATGTTCCACCAGATTTCCGCCGACGAGTCATGACATTTATCGTCTGTTTATGGCTTATTGGCGCAGTCATCCTAGCTGGGTCCTTAGCACTCCCCATCCTCATCGGACGCTCTTTCTTCGAGCTATTCACCTCCCGGCCTATCCATGACGGATACTCATTCATTGCAGGGTTCTACCTACTGTGGGCATGCTGGCTAGTTGTGATGGCCGCTGAAAGAATGGACAGACGTCGACAGCGCCGCGGAGGGGACGAACCTCGTGCTCGACTTCCTCTCTATCTAGCCAAGCGCGGTCTGCTTTGGCTTGCCAAAGTCTTGTATCTTGGGTTCTTCCTTGGTGTGGTCATCCCGACGCTCGTTGCGTTGGTCGTTGAACTTTACATCGTCCTGCCAGTTCGACATGCTTATAATCCTGACATGGAATTGAGGATTCGAATTGTGGATATGTGGGCGCTTGGGCTGTTGTATAGCAAGATTGCTTTACGTGCGCACAGGGTTCAGGCCGATGGACTTCTTGCTCATGGTATTGAACAGGTTTGTCTATGAACTTTTAGCTTTCTCTGCCTGTTGCTTATGATCACTGTAGATCAAGCGAAACGGATGGTCACATCCCGACCCTCTGCGTGCTACGAAGGAGGTCATCGTCCCTATCACTTTCGGTCTGCTCAGCATGATACTCGTACCACCGCTCATAATCTGGTTTATCCATCGGGCCTTCAGTCTGGAATTGGAACAAAGCGTACTATGTAACTACACTTTCCGATTTATCACAATCCTTTCGCTCACTATAATTCTCACTAGTTTTGCACGTATATCCCGGTATCTTTGCCATCGCCGGATGCATTCATGGATTGGTTGTTTTATCAAATTTAATGGGAACATGGTCTCAAGCTGTACGAGACAAGGAGTTCCTCGTGGAGATGCGGCTGCAAAATCTCGAGCTTGAGCAAGAAAACAAACGGAGGCTAAAGACGGCTGAGAAGAGCGTAGAAGCTCACCTGTAATCGTTATGGCATCGGACAATTTACTGTACTATCAATCTATTCAAGTCGTAATGTTATGTAGTTCGCCGTTCTTTTTTTTTCTTGGCCCTGATCTTTTCTTGTCTGATCCATGTCGGAGTGTTCTAACTGACTTGCCGCTTTTGGATTGGGTCGGGTCGAGTCAAGATCGAGATTTGAGAAAGTTTAGAGCAGATACGAGCTTGCAAGCTCTACAACCTTCCACCATCTACCCACCCGCGTGTGTCATCTGCGAATATGTCTGAGTCCAAAGGTCGCGTCCTCCTTGCTTACTCCGGTGGCTTGGGTCGGTACACCTTCAATTACAATCGTGTTTATTCAAATTAATTGATCGCGCGACATAGACACCTCCTGTATCCTCGCTTGGTTGATCGAGCAAGGATATGAAGTCTACGCGTTCATGGCCGATGTTGGACAGGAGGAGGTGAATGTCGAAAAAAAAAACCGTACTTGAACACCGGATCTAACGATCGAACAGGACTTCGAGGCTGCTCAAAAGAAGGCTCTCGCCGTTGGTGCCAAGAAGTTCTTTTTGGAGGTATAGAATAAGCTTGAAAATTCATGAAAACCAATTTCTTACGATGCTATATCAGGATCTCAAGCGGGAGTTCGTGACCCAATTGATTTACCCTGCCCTCCAGGCGAACTGCATTTACGAGGTGAGCACTTACCAATGAATTGCTGATAGGCCTATCTAAAATCGGAACCACAGAATGTTTACCTTCTCGGAACCTCTCTCGCGCGACCTGTTATTGCCCGTGGAATGATGTCCGTTGCCGACAGGGAAGGCTGCGAGTAAGCGTTCACAAATGTCAGCAAGTAGCCAGTGTAGACTGACTTTGGACAGTTATGTCTCGCACGGTTGCACAGGAAAGGGTAATGACCAAGTTCGTTTTGAGCTTGCGTTCTATGGTTTGAAGCCCGATATCAAGGTCATCGCACCCTGGCGAATTCCTGGTACGGTCATCCCACATACCTCAATTACCAGCGTAATCTGAACCATCTCTAGACTTCTACCATCGATTTGCTGGTCGACAGGCTCTCCTTGCATACGCCGCTGAGAAGAAAATTCCCGTCCAACAAACCGCTGCCAAGCCATGGTCAACTGACGAGAACCTGTTCCATATCTCATATGAGGCTGGTATCCTTGAGGACCCAGACATCACTCCTCCCACAGATATGTGGAAGCTCACCACCGCTCCCGAGGATGCACCAAGTACTCCTGAACGTATTTCCATCGAGTTCAAGGCCGGTCTTCCTGTCAAGGTTACTGTCCCTGAACAGCAAAAATCCTTTACTGATGCAGTTGAGGTGTTCACCACCCTTAACTCCCTTGCTCGCAAACACGGTATCGGTCGTATCGACATCGTTGAGAACCGATTCATTGGTGTCAAATCTCGTGGATGCTATGAATCTCCTGCAGCTACCATCTTGCGTGTGGCCCACGTGGACCTTGAGGGTTTGACTCTCGACAGGAACGTTCGTGCACTCCGAGACCAGTTCGTTACCATCGAGCTCAGTCGAATCCTGTACAATGGCCACTGGTTCACTCCTGAGCGGGAATTCGTCACCAGCGCCATCCCTGCTAGCCAGAGGACTGTCAATGGTCTTGTTCGTCTCAAATTGTACAAGGGCAACGTTGTCGTCGAAGGACGATCATCAGATGAGGTTGGTTTCCGTACCACATCATCGTTAACGAAAACGTAGTCTAACGAGAGTGTCTTTTCAGGGTCTCTATGATGAGAGGGAATCCTCCATGGATGAGCTCGGTGGATTCGAGCCCACCGACACTTCCGGATTCATCCAAATCGAATCCATCCGCATCAAAAAGTAAGTTTCAGTCTGTGATGCAGCGGAGGTTTGCTCTTATCGTTGTCGCTTCTTTTAGGTGGGCACAAGCCAACATCCGCAAGGGACAGGCCGGCGTTGCTCCCGAAGATGTTTATGGCTCCCGAGTCTGAAATGTACAATCATTGATGTCTTGCCTTACTGTATATCATTGCAATGTAAAAAATTATATGTAGAGCAAGTCCAGGTAAATTGCATGTATTGACGGAACATGAGAAAGCTGCTATGTTGTCGGTCTCGAGATAATGAACACAGGTTATGTTTAGATAAGCAACACTTCTCCATTTCGCGTTCCAAGGACGACTAATCCCGTTGACTCCGCGAAAGCGCAATGCGTCAGGTCATCTAGTTGTATAAGATATTCAATATATTAACGGAGCAACTGATGAAGCCTAACTCACCTCTCAAATCAAACGAGCTCACTTCGTAAATGCATTGCCCTGTAATGTACCTTTGCCCAGGCGAACCTTCATCTACCCTTTCCGAATTCACCTTGTACCCATATACTGCACGTTTCACACTATTTCTTTGCCTCTCAACCCAAATGCCGCGCTTCCCTTGAGCTCCCAAGCAACATGCAGAGACAAACGCTCTTGAACCTTGAGTGAACCCACTTCTCGTTCTTCGCACTCCTTCAAGCTGGTCAGTAAGAGGAATCGTCTGTGCCATCTGATGTACACCGATAAGCTGCACTTCCATATGAAGCGGCATATCGGAAAGAGAAGGTAAGTTTGCAGTGGCACGATACTGGTAGAGGCCATTGAGGACGTCGAAGGCCAGGAATGTAATATTTAAGACGCTATTTCCATCGGCGTCAAGAGAAATGGAGGGATCTGCGATGGAGACTGAGCGAAAGCTCGTTTCGGAGAATTCGTGTCGAACGATGGATGCCGTTTGATTCCATTCAGCGGGAGTGCTGCTGCTCCGCGAGAGAATATCTGATAAAGATCCGTCTGGTTGCAGTCGTGTCATGAGCTCTACGGAGCGCGTCTTGACACACAGCAGATGCTGGTCAGCAATAGGGATTGCACCTATCACGCCGTTCCACTGAATGACGTAAATTTCACTCAGGGTACTTGACGAGCTATTGACAGACATACCAGTGCTTCTTCGCCTTCATCATCTCCAACATTCCATTCTTGATGTGTCTCCATGTGCACGATGGAGATGACTTGCGATCGAGAATATACCAGAACGCTTGAGTTAGGAAGAATGGCTCTGAGAAGATGGGTAGGGCTGGGAGTCGAAAAAGTCGCCACAACCTCCGATCCTACGTAATTTCTGTCGCGGAAGTCGAGGGAAAACCGCAGCACTATAGTGACATTCGGTTCACTAAGGTTGAAGTGTTAGCAGTAGGATAGTCTGATAGCTGAGGTGTGAAGATCACCTTGTCACACCGACTAGGAGTGCATTGTCATCGTCAGTAAGAACAGCGGCACAAGACGTGCCATATGCCAGGTTATGATGTTGAGTCCGTGCGCGACAAATAGCGTCGTATCTCGGACAGTTCAAAGCGCTGACGTTTGCTTTCGATGAGAGCTCAGGATATAAGTCCCAGAGTTCCATCAATGCTTCGCGATAGACGATCAGGAGCCACCTGTCTTTGAAGACATTCAACGACAGTAATGTTAACGCAGAATTGTCGTTAAGAGCTTGCGGAGTCGTGCTGCGAGGGTCCGAGTTCTCGCGAACAGTAAGTGACCATGGCTTCGAACGAGTCTCAATCCAAGTCTTCTCGGTACGATGGACGAAACGACAGAGCTCCTCAACGTGGATACCATCAGGCCCAGCGCCAGACTTCAGGATCTGAGTGGCCAATGGTGGAAGAGGTTCCATGTCAGCTAAGCCTTGTAGCAGTCTGAGCCAAAGTAATTGGTCCTGCGTCAGACTATGCAGCTTCCTACAGGTCTGAAATACTCAGTGAATAGATCAGGTAAACTAAGATTTTTGCAATCACCAAACGGAGACATATGATATCTCTTAATCTCATGAAGGATGCGATGAGCAGCCATATTTCATCGGGAACATCCCCAAGAAAATCAATTCGGGGTACCTAATGAACATGTTATGGCAGAAGAGATCAGCTAAGATGGGGTGGATTTGAGTTCACGAACCATTTGACTATGTTCTCTTCTAACAACAAGATGAACCGATTGTCTTACGAATGCGACCCGTCATTGGTCGGCGTACCGGAGACTAACGAATGCCTACTTAAGCTTTAAGTAGAGTGTTGGGAGCAAGCTGGACGTCCTGCGTACTAGTGACGATTGAGTGATCGGTGGACGATCTCGGAATACCAATGCAGTACGATAAGATTATGATTAGGTTTTCTCAATGCAAATTGAGCAGCTAGCATCTTTCTTTCCTCCTCTCTACTACCATGTCTGCACCCATCGGTGGGCATTCTTGCAGTATTAATGAGTGAACACGGCTTATGCACTGATTTTAAGCGTTGCTATCGGTCTATAACAAGACTAACCTGCTTGAGTTGGCGACCGGGCTGCACAGTGCGGGTGTTAGGCTCCTGGGTTCCGGAGGGACCGCGAAGAAAATTAGGGAGGCAGGGATTCCTATTGAGTGAGTTGCCTAGATGAGCTTCCCAAGTGACTGGCTCTAAGTGAGGATGCAGGGATGTCTCTGACATCACCAAGGCTCCCGAGATGCTCGGAGGCAGAGTGAAAACTCTCCATCCTGCCGTCCACGGTGGTAAGTTTCATGAACACACTCACCAACTAATGTCTTACTCCATCGCATCGTTCAGGTATTCTCGCTCGATCTATTCCATCTGATGAGCAGGACCTCAAGGCCCAGTCTATTGCTCCTATCTCAATCGTCGTTTGCAACCTTTACCCGTTCACTGAGACAATCTCAAAGCCCGGCTGCACCATCGCCCAGGCAGTCGAGGAGGTTGACATTGGTGGTGTTACCCTTCTCCGTGCAGCTGCTAAGAACCATGAGCGTGTCTCTGTTCTCTCCGATCCTGCCGATTACAATGAATTCCTCGAATCATGGAAGAACGGTCAAGGAGATGTAGGACAAGCGATTCGTTCCAAATTGGCTTTGAAAGCATTTGAGATGACCGCGAAGTATGATGCTGCAATCAGTGGATACTTCAGGGAACAGTATGCCTCCTCTGATTTGCCCAAGGAGAAGTTGGCTGCCCCCGTACAGAGGATGCCTCTTCGATATGGTGCCAACCCTCACCAAAAGCCTGCTCAGGCATATGTTACGGAAGGAGAACTTCCTTTCAAAGGTGAGTTATCTTTGAATACATCGGCTCGAATTATACTTATCATGACTCGTACAGCTCTCTGCGGATCTCCCGGCTACATCAACCTTTTGGATGCTTTGAACTCCTGGGGACTTGTGAAGGAACTTCAGGAAGCTCTCAATCTCCCTGCCGCAGCTTCATTCAAGCATGTCTCCCCTGCGGGTGCCGCTGTCGGACAAGAGTTGAACGAAGTTGAGAAGAAGGTTTATGGTGTCGACGACTTGAAGGAGCCTTTGACTCCCCTGGCTTCCGCCTATGCTCGTGCTCGAGGTTTGTGACCTAACTCTCATCGGCATGAAGTACCTGTTGATTTACGCGTCGTTCCAGGTGCCGACCGTATGTCCTCGTTCGGAGACTTCATTGCACTTTCAGCACCTTGCGACCTTGCGACCGCTAAAATCATCTCTCGCGAGGTGTCTGACGGTATCATCGCTCCTGGGTACTCATCAGAGGCTCTTGATGTCCTCAGCAAGAAGAAGGGCGGCAAATATTGCGTACTTCAAGTACGTTCTTCTGCTTCCATTCACCAAGAAAGGTTACTTACATTGTTTTGCAGATCGACCCCAACTATACCCCTGCGGAACTGGAGACCCGTCAAGTGTACGGTATCCACCTTCAGCAAAGACGTAACGATGCCAAGATCGATGCGACCTTGTTCAACAACATCGTCACCAAAAACAAGGAGCTTCCAACTCAAGCTCTTACTGACTTGATTGTCGCAACTCTCGCCCTCAAGTATACCCAATCTAACAGCGTTGCTTACGCCTACCGAGGCGCCATCGTCGGTATTGGCGCAGGCCAGCAATCTCGTATTCACTGTACCCGTTTGGCAGGCACAAAGGCCGATCTCTGGTGGCTCCGTCACCACCCTCGTGTCCTCGAGCTGCCCTTCAAGAAGGGTGTGAAGCGCGCAGAAAAGGCTAATGCCATTGACCTCTACGTCTCTGGAGAAGTCCTCGAAGGTGGTGAACGTGCACACTGGGAGAGTCTCTTCGAGACTGTTCCTACCCCTTTGACTACTGAAGAGAAGGCCGCTCATGCTAAGCAGTTGGACGGTGTTGCTTGCTCGAGTGATGCGTTCTTCCCTTTCCCTGATAATGTTCATCGCGCGAGGAGGAGTGGAGTTAAGTATCTTGCTGCCCCAAGTGGGAGTGTTATGGATGCGGAATGTATCAAGGCTGCTGATGAGCATGATATTGTATTCGCACATACGTCGTTGAGGTTGTTCCATCACTAGGTTTCTTGGTTGTGGGATTAAAACAGACTATGTAGCAAGTAGTGTGAAAAGTCAATGCTAAGGGAAATTCTAAGTATCATTTTACTGGATGCATATGGAATACAGTAGTTTGCTCCCCTTTAAATAAGACGACAGCGACGGTGTCGGAGTGCAGCCACTGCCAACCACAGAGCATACTCTTTTGGGTTCGTTCGGTTCTCTCCGATCACCTTACGAATGTTTCCTAGACTTTCGATCATCTGCATCAGGCTCAGTCTCCCTACACTTTCACGACGACTTACTGGGCCCAACAACGCTCGTTTTCTGACGTTTCATACGTTTAATCACACCTTCGCCCACATTTTCAAGAATGGCTGGCCTTAGCACATTTAGACAAGCTCTCTCGCTATCGACCAAACCACATATCATGGCACGCCAAACATCGACTTTCAGGCTCTCGTCTACACATCCTCTATTATGGCGCAACTCACGGCTTGCACAGAAGAGACTAATATCATGGACTACACCAAGATCCAATTCCTCCAATTCTCCGCTTGCTTCGAATGAACCGAAACCGAAGACAAAACTCTCCTTCCAAGCCGAGCCACGACTTCAAATTTCCTTCACATGCACCGTTAAGGATTGTGACACACGGTCTACCCATGAGTTCACGAAGCGGAGTTATACAAGTGGCATTGTCATTGTCGAATGCCCCGGCTGTAAGAATCGGTACGCGACGATTTACAATGTCTTGCGTCATTACACGTGTGTTGATGTTCGTTATATCACCTTAGACACTTAATTGCCGATCATATAGGATGGTTCAAAGAGAGCACGCAGGATGGCAGGTTGAAGACAGTAGAGGACCTTGTCCAAGCGAAAGGCGAGAAAGTCAAACGCGGACGAGTAGATGGGTCAGGTGTCATTGAGTATTCACCAGAATAGCTTTGCTTCCCAGGACCCCGGTGTAGGGTAAAGCTGTCGTGTGTATGATTAGGGTGGGCAGAGGGTCTGAGAGGTGATGATGCCGTAGACAATACATTTTGAATAATATAATGCATGGATGGATGAAAGCGACTGTCAACATGGGAAGCGAATGAATCATGCCGAGGAAGTGCCCGTATTTGGGGATCCTGGCGCCTGAGATTCTTCAGCGACTGGGGGAATGACGCCTTTCTTCTCAAGTAGATCCTCGAGCTCGCCAGACTGGTGCACTATATGTCGTTCTTTTATTACTAACAGGGTAGCGGCGTATGTGTGAAATACTCACTACTCAAGAGAATATCGCAGCCGCCAACGAACTCTCCATTCACATACAGTTGGGGTATTGTGGGCCATTCCCTGTCATACATTGCGTCAGCACCTGACACCCTACTTCATCATGGAGCAAATAGATACTCACGAAAACTCCTTGATTGCCTGTCTCAGCTCGCTATCCTCCAAGACATTGAATGTCTTCATCTTTTCCGGTGGTACACCGTGCAAATCAAGCACTTGTATGGCGGCACGTGAGAAACCACATTGCGGGAAATCCGGAGTACCCTTCATAAAGAGTACCACGGGAGTTGCAGAGACAGCATCCTGGATCTTCGACCTGGTCTCCTGTGAGAGATACCTCCGTGCGAGTGAAAGTGTCGGTGAACTGAAGATGGGTAGTCTCGAAGAGACACGCTTTGTATACTCCGTCAGAATCTTGGGCAAAACTCTTGGAAATATTTAAAGCGACATACTGTGACACGGAAGGCCGACCGCAACATGGTAGACGTTGATAAGAGATTCTGGGGAAGGTGGAGGTTTGACTATAACATGCGCTATGACTGGCTGAGAAATGTGCTCGGAGGGTACACCGATCTCTCACGCACGTGGCATTCGGGTTAATCGCTCCTAACCCCATATTGTGGTTGATCTGGCTGTATGTCATACAATCATGTCTCGTCTCTTGACTTCCAAGTTACTTTCGCCGTCACCTTCATACACTGTATTTTTCCCTGTTGGCTGCTCACCAGCTTTCAGAGGACTGCATTGTACGAGGAAGATGAGCTCAACCTTAGACAAGCCCTCTCGCACTTTCCCGCCTCTCTACAAGTCCACTGGAGACGTTTCTGTGGATCAACTAGCTTTCTTCCATATCCTGGAGAAGTTAAAAGTATAAATCAATCAAGTTGTATTCCATAAATGTCATTGAACGTGTGGCCTACAGACTCAGAAGAGAACAGGATGGATAGATCACAACGTTCGTTCCCCCTATTATTGGTAGAGCCACCTCCGAGCTGAATGCGTCCGTCAGTAGGTTCCCGGCCCAGAAAGGTATCTATATACATATACACCAGAGAGGATGCATTTTGAATACTAAAGACTCTTTCAGTATATCTGATCATATGTATAGAATGGCCGTCATGGCTATGTGTACGTCCGACGCGACCTTAGATATGTCAAAGTGAGAACAGCTATATTATTCTTTGAGTAGCAAGCTGAACGTTTTGTAGATGCGTCATGATGTGCCTTGCGCACGACCTTGCAGGTATGTAACGTTATCTTGTTTCTTGAGACCACGTTTGAGATATCTCTCAGAGGCACAGGGTAAGATCAATCAGATAATTAATTCATGAATTTGCCTGAAATGTCTGTATCTAGTCGGCGATATAACACCTAGAGAGAATATATCGAGGGAGGAGAAACAGCGTTTAGAGGCAGTAAGTATTTTATTCTTGCGTCCTCACTACACTCATCCCATAACGGTGTGTGACGGTGCCCAATTACAATAGGAAGCGATGCATAACTTCATCCACGATATGTTGCACGACAGTCCTGCGGCACAAAGAATAGAGGCATTTTGGCGGGTGAGTGTGAAAACTGACTTACTGGAAAGCTGTCATCTAACTCTCGTTGATTTAGGAATACGAAGACGGTTCTTCTCCCGAAGCTCGTTTCGTCAAGGGTAAGTCTCTGCACTCTTCACATGCAATTCAATTCGTCTGTCCTTGACCTTGACATGCTAAACTTTGAATAAATCTACAGATCTTGACAGGTTCGAACTGGCCTCGCAAGGTTTGTCATTTGATCTGCAAGGTTTTCCAGGCTTTTGATTGAATGCATCGTAGCATTCGAGTACGAACGTGATCATGGCAAGAAGAATCTTCAAGGGTTCTTTGACAGCAGTCTACCCTATCTTCAACATCCCGAGGTCAAACAGTGGGGCGAGGATCTCGCTGCGGAAAGGGAGAGACTACAGGCGTCGCAGGCACAGTCTTCATGAAAGCGACACGCCGAGTAAATGACGTCCCGCCAAAAATGTACCGTATATCGGGAGTATGCAATATTCCTTACAGGACCCAGGTCCACTTGCAGGTCTTCTAGAGCGCGCAAAAAGTATTACATTCATGGTATGTGTGCATTGAATGTATGCGAGATCATATGATACAAAACAGGAAGATGCAACGAAAACAACGAAGGTGCGTGAGGTCCATAAAATGCTCATGAATCTAGAACTAAAAGGGGATATATAGGTAAGCTCTGTACCACGAACTCAATCAAACACGCCATCCTCAACCCTCGGCTCTACTTCTCTGATGGCGTCCTCGAGTTCACATCCCCAGGCGTCGGAGCAATGGTAGCCTCTTCATCCCCCTCCCTCTTCCTCATTGCCTCCTTCTCCGCCTCACCCAATCCAAAGGCCTCATCTGTATGTGCCCTCAACTCCACTTCCTGCAAGAACGGCAAAGTCAAAATCCCTGCGCCGGTAATTCCAATCATCGTCTTCCATATCGTCGACATGCTCAGCGCGAAAGCAGTCCTGACTTCCGTCCTCAAAGGTTCTTCCAGGTCTCTGATGATGGGTATAGCGGCATAAGCGATTTCGGATCCTTGGGGGAATTGGGAGACGAATGCGTCGGGTAGGTTCTTTTTGAGTTCGTTTTGGAGGATCGTGCTGGCGATGGTGATTCCCCAGGTTTGAGCAAAGGAACGGACGAAAGCGTAGAAAGCGAGTGCGGATGCTGTCCGTTCGACTGGGAGAGGTGCTAGTACTGGGAAGATCGATGCTGCCCACTGTAAAGTATGAATATAGATGAGCATTTCTGATACCATCGCGAGAATGTTAAGTTAATTGACTCACGATCATGCCAACACCAGCCGAGACGAGAATCTGGAATCCGACCCATTGGCCTGTGGTACTGTCGGCTCGGAGTAAGGTCAGAATACCGAACCCGATGATGCTTAGTATCCAGCCGACATAGTTGGCGGGGCGGTATTTTCCTTGGACTTGTACCATGATACCGGCGAAGAGACCGAAAGGTGCGATAACGAGGGAGGTGGCGAGCATGTCGACGCCAGAACGAATGGGAGACGCGCCGAGACATGCTTGGAAGAAGATAGGGAGGTAATCTATGGATTCCGAGTAAGTTATGGATCGAGTCCTCGGTGATGTTATTCGGGACACTCACAGAGAAGAGAGATACTAGTGATGCCGTGGATCAGGGTCTCCAAGTACCTATCGTAGACTTCGTAAGCAACCTCGTTTCCTGCTTCGACCATGAAGACTTACCCAGTAAGTGATGTTCGATTCCTCAAGATTTCCCAAGGAATTGAAGGCTCCTTTGGTACTTTGGCCTCGTAGAGGAGGAAGACACCCACGAGGAACATACCGATGATAAGAGGAGCCAACACTTGAGCTGAACCCCAAGGGAACCTGATTCCAGCAAAAGTCAAACCAACAATGGCTAGTGTGGTACCAGCGATGACGATGAAGTTTCCACTGCGAATCGAGGAATTAGTCTTGAGTAATTTGAAGGGTTTCGGAAGGAGCTTACCTCCAGTCTACTCGTTTGAACTTCTCCCACATTGACCCAGTTGGCGTACGAACTCGCAGGAAGATAAGGACAAGGAAGAATGCAACACCACACACAGGTAAATTGATGTCTAGTGAACGTGTCAGATTTCTGTCTTCCTAGAACGCGAAAGATGTACTTACAAAAGAGCCATCGCCAAGATGCATCTTCAGCTAACGAACCACCCTAAGGATAGAAAATGAAGTGAGTTTGTTTGGTTCGATGGCCATGTATTCGACTCACGATCGGAGGTCCAATACCAGCTGCGAAGGACCATACGAGACCGAGAATCCCTTGGTACAAACCACGCTCGGCGAGTGGTACCAGGTCAGAAACGATGATTTCGGTCATGTTGATGATGCCTCCACCACCAATGCCCTGAATGGCTAAACGGATGCACGTCGTCAATTTTACGTCACATATTGGATGTTATGAGGTGCGTACTCCTTGCAGCTATCAACATGTTCATGTTCTGAGCGGCACCGGCTAGTGCACTGCCCAGTGCGAAGAACGCAATACTTATAAGCATGATAGGTCTTCGTCCAAAGATGTCTGCAAGACTTCCTGACAGAGGAAGGACGGCGGTACTCGACAAAGCATAAGCAGATCCAACCCATACGAAGTTGTCGCCGCCATTGAGGTCAGCAGTAATAGTTGGCAGTGCGGTTGCGACACCAGTCAAGTCGAGCGCACTGAGGAAGATGGAAGTGACGACAGCAATATAAGAAATCCAGAACGAGATGCCTTTCTTGAAGCCCGCCTTTGGAGGCTCCTCTGCGTGAGGCTGCGTGAGCGAGCCAGGCTCAGGCTCGTTGGTTGACATGTTTATGGGGGACGCGGGGGTCGAAGGATGGGGAAGAAGAGCGCGAATGAGGTCAGCATCTTATATATTCTCGCACGGAGAGAACGTTCGGGGCGTTTCAGCCTCGATGGGGTGTCATTTCAGTGATTCTATCTTGAACGATGCTGGCATCCCCTCTCGACGTGGCAACTCCGGATTTTCCGGGCAGCGTCTACAACGATATTTCGGGCACTCGACTCTCCAAACGCTCATTCCGTATCTACCGGAGAGCTCTCTGATTGGTTGCAGGTCCGGCGTCTTTGCCGTTAATGATCGAGAACGTTCATTTTCGACTGCCTTGTTTCCCGATATCCTCGGGATCGGCTTTCCCTTGGGTCAACAAAACGAAAACAAGCTGGAAAGCATCACCGTAGCTTGACCGCAGCCGAACTACGGCTGGAGATGGCTATCCAGATGGATGCAGCCTGCCTGCTTTACCACCGGTCTCGGAGCTTGGTGTCTTGTGAACGGTCAAATACCTCACCTTGTGCAGTCTATTTTCCGTCGCTCGTTCACCACACCTTCCATGATCTTCGACGCGCCGAGTGATATCCCTTTCAGCGCCGCTTCGGCTTTATAACTAAGTCTAAGCATGCATCACGCACGGTGCTTGGAGGACCCGCTATCCTCCAAATCAGAGACTCGATTATTCATCGCATATCCCTGAAGCTTAATTTCAGCCGAACAAACTAAATCTCCATCGCGATACTTCTGACCTGTGTTCATCTATGTCGGCCCCACAGACAACAACAACGCTGAGGCGTCAATCTCCATGGCGTTGTCAGTTGTGGATTTGTGGATAAATGACTTTCACAGACGGTTGTGACTTTCGGTTTGGCTCCGACATCATCTTCGAAACTATCACCATCCCCTTCGAGTCTAGTTGCGTCCACCCTGAAAGAAGTGCAAGACGACTCGACTGTTTGACTATTCTAAGTACGTTCTCAAGTCTAGTAGGCAGGGTGCTTCGTATCAGACCATCATCTAAATGGGTCTAGCAAGCTCTGTCAGCGATCACCTGGCATTAGCTGCACCCTTCATGACCTTTCTCAGCTTCATACACACGGTGCCCATGCTCCTACAGTGCGGTTCACTCAAGAACCATAGCAGCGCTAGAAGTCTCTACACGTTCCTATCCTGAGGCAATCCACGACTGGGTAATTGCGAGACTTCGAGTGCGCATGTCTAGTGGTTCTGCCTCACGATTGTTTGTCGTGTTCTAAGTGAATGTAATGGGTCAGTCGAAAATCAACTAACAAACTTTTAGTTAGAGAGGCTGAATATATTTGTACTTTAGGTCATCAATGTGTCGTTTAATTGTGATCTTGAGCTCTTCTCAGACCAATAGCAGGCTCTCTTCCCCCGTCCCCGTGCTCCTTCTGCTTCCAGTTCTCCTCCTAGTTGTATGGTAACATGCTGGCTGATTAGCTGGTATCGTGGGATATCTAATGAAGCGTCGACATGAACCGCCTTATTATAGTATTTCAAGTTCTATCTTAGCGCACATCATCGCTTCCCTGGCACCGCCGTCTGCTATCTATTCTGCCCCGCTACCGACGTTAGTGTGGATCCGCTAGTATCTGGAAACGACCTTACTGCGAAGTATAGCTGCTATCCCCAAATTTGAACTGCGAGGAATGCGTGTACAACGACACGTTAAGTGAGTTTTTACAGAAGTTACCCAACCTATGGAACTTTCTGTGGAACATTGTGATCCCATCTGAGGTACTCGAGGGTTATTACGCAGAAGATGAGCTTGAGGATGGTGGCGATCCTGATTTCGTGCTTGTACCGCGGTGTTTTGCTCGCAAAGCGCCGTAGTATACGAACGAACGGCTTTAGTAACTGGATGATAATAAGGGTCCATTATAGCCATCAATTTCCACACCTCAACGAACCAGTTGCGCATGTTATGCTCTATTGTTGGCGAATGAGCGTGACGCCGAGCCTCCGTTTTCATTGTATGCTAATTACTTAGCGGAGTCGAGCACAGCACGTGAATCCTCTCATCCCGGTGCCTCAATGGAGACTACAAAACGTTTCATACGCGAAGCAATTCCAAGCGATGAAATTGCTACTGCAGTACTTCAGAACTTCTTCGAGGACTTCCTTAGATGTAACGTGGGCACCCGCGCTGCCATGGCGTCCTTGGCAGTATTCATAATGTTCTTGAAAACTCGGGCGACAAGCGTCCAGAAGATAGTTGAGGAATCTATGGCGGTAGATTGTATTGCGTCACTAACCACTCTGTATCAACGAAGGTTATGCGAAAAGAGACGGGTAAATGATTGATTACGTCCTCATAGTGAGTCTCACTTCTCTGTGGTAAGTGTTTTATCTTCTTCCACGTTGTTGCATTCTTATCTTTCTGCCTGACCCTCCAGGACGCTTCTAAACTCGCTCACACAGAGGAGTTTGAAAGTCGCGCAGCAGCTCACCCAGGCAGCTGATATCATACAAGTCATTGCACATGTACTGCCATATGCTATTGAAGGTGGAACACGACAGGACGGTCTACTTCCTGGACGGAATGAATCGCAAACTGGGTACTACTCTCTCTAAAAGAACGTGCAATGCATGCCAGTGGGCGGACTTCGGTCGAAAGCTTGAAATGGACACACTTCGGCTGAACCTGGACCGCCAAGCGCAGGACAATGTATGCCCGCCTTCGTGGAAGGCATGCTGCTGGAAGCTTTGTCTTGGCCGCAAAACAAAATGTACTCGAGACATTCAATGAAGATTTGCAACTGGTGCTGGAACAAACGTAATTACTGCACGAGATGCCAGAGAGAGTGAACTTTTCTGTCGTCTTTTGAATACTTAATTAGTTATAATATGTATTTCTTCGGCGCAGGGATTGGACGAAGGGCGGCCATAAGGAGGAATGCCAACAATATGACCTCATCGATCCTTGACAGTACTTACTCTACCGTTTCGTCCTATGTCCGTGTGTCGACTACGTTGTGCCAAAAAGTGCTCTGTATAGAGGATGTAAACACTAGTGAGTCGCTTCGGGTATTATTTCTCTGCGTTGAGCTCGCTGAACATCAGCATATTCAAATTGAATCACACCCATTGTAATTCTCTGCTTGCTCGCTGATACAATCTATCAATCCTAAAATTGACATCGGAAATCAGGGAATCAAGTCGGTTTATATAAGCACTGCTTATCGTCACTCACGTTCTACCATTCACTCTTGAACATAATGACAAGAATGTGGTTGGTTGGCTGATTTTTCAAGTTCTGAGACGCAGATAAAATCTTTACTGTCACTGTTGTCATGACATGTACCCGAGGTATCCAATGGATGTTTGTAAATGATACTGGAGTGCACGATATTGCTGTTCGAACTGTCAGAGGTTGTGAGTTCATCATAACCAGAATTGAAGGACCCAAATGATTACGGTCCGCTTCTGTGCGGTGCAACCCTTGGAAGAAGGGGTCATACAGGGCGGAATGTCGATGTTCTGACTACTTCCATTCAGAGGTGGGGCAGAAGCAAAGGGCAGATAGAGATACATCCGCGTCAAAGGTCTGTCCTTCCGTTGTCTCACTACATGCCTTGGTTCTGAGTCAGACATTGTTACCTCTAGACATGCGATACCGATGTGTGACATGGAAGTTCTACATATCCGACATACAGGTCAAGACTGCCAAGATTGAATCTCATGACTACGCTTACCAGCGAATAAAAGCCCAGCTCAGATACCCGTGTTGTTATGGAAAAGCTGAGTAATATTGTTATCCTCTCAAACCCCTTCATGCCTAACAATACCTATTTATCTAGCTCAGTTTCGGCCTTCTGCTTCACTCTCAAGGCAGTGCCCATTCACTGAGAATTTTCCTAGATCTTGCGCTTACTTATTGATTCGTGCCCTGGTTAGGGTACCTGCGGGGAAGGGGGGAGCGGCCGGGTACGGGACCAATATTACGATCTTGCCTTAGTAGGTTGGTACCTAAAAGGGTAGACTGGTGGAAGGCCGCAGCAAACAAACACAAATATACTGTACAGACTCGGCTCATGATGAAAGCATGTCACCAAGTACTGAGTCTACTGGCACACTCTGTCTCTAAATCAAAGGCAGTGCGTAAGCGTGATTGGCTTACAGCCTGAAGCCCACGTCGGTTCTCTTAATCTGGATTCTACCCGTATAAGCTGCCAGTAAGTCCGTCAGCAATCTCTGACTATCTGTCCTCTACTGTATGTGCCGAAAGGTCAAATCTTATATTTTATACAGTTATATATCGTACCGTTTCCTGCTTAATGCTTTGAAGTATAGAATCTATATATAACTGAGGTCGCTGCGGCGTATGCAGGGACCCAGCTGCCTTACGGTCCACGTGTAACGATCACGTGCTAGAATTTTGGTTGATGTTTGACTTGCGCGCGTCTTACCATTGCTCCCATTGGTAATTCCATAACGGTCCCCACGCCACAGTCTTGACCTTCTTTGTGTCCTAAAACGGGATTATCCACAGTGACCACAGTCACTTTTTCGGTTATCGGAATCAAGCACAAAGGTGAGTGTGGTCCACACACACGCCCAATTAGGTCAAGGACAATGGACCACTCAACGTGTTTCATCTCAGTGTGGTTGAGAGAATTAATTGAAGGCATATAAAAGCTTCGCCCTCTTGTAACCTGTAGGTCCACATTCCACATTCGGCCTTCCCCACTATGAGTTTACCTGATACTGATGGCGGCTCTGTCGCTCCTACAGACCCTGAGCTCCCACCCGCTACTCCACCAGAGACAGAACGTCCTATCACACCCCCGCAATCTGGTCCGGAGGTTCCAACTGATCCTGACCTGCAGGCGTCGCCCCACAAGGCCACCAACACAACACTTGGGAAGAGCAAGAACAACTGGCAATATCGAATCATTGCTCAAGAAGAGATGGACACGTCTATCTATCAAGAGGATCTCGACAAGTGGTTCTCGAAATTTCTGCCAGGTAAAGATGGTGAAAACCTCAGCTTCGAACCGGAAGATCTCCCTGAAGAATTCCGGGAAAAGAAGTTTCACTTTGACGAAGTTACGTTCGACGCGAACAGTGGCCATCCCAGGATCCAACTTGAAAAGGATCTCTATCCTATCTTGGTACGAGAATACATAGCCTCAGTCTCTTGATGATTGCTAATACTTAGAATGTGGTAGTGTCCTGTGATACAGAACGTTTTCGACCTTGCCGCTCACAGGTCAACGGGGGAAGCTCCTCGGGATCTGCTCAAAATCCGAGACACAAGTCTTTGGGAAGAGGAGAGCGACAATAAATTAAGTCCTGATTTCTTAGTTCACAAGGACTCCGTGTCCCGGCCCTTCGAGCTCGACGATGCCCGAAAGAAGACCGTTACTCCGAAATCGCATAGGAAATTCGTTGGACGCACCGCTTACTCGTGGAGTTTGCTACCCGGCGAGGCCAAGATTAAGGATGACGGCTTCGGTCTAGGTGACAAATTGAACCTTCCGGACACCGACGCTGGTCGTCAAACTCGTGGACAGTTCGCTGAATATATCTCTGAGATTCTCGCTCGACAACATCGTCAGTTCACCTTTGCGTTCTATATCTACAAGAATTGGGCTCGGTTCTTCATCGTCGACAGGGTCGCTTCCGTGACTACCCCGGCGTTCGACTACGTCAAGGATCCCTACACGTTTCTGAAATTCTTCTATCGTCTGGCTCAAGCTGACGCCTCAGCACAGGGGTATGACCCCACTGTCACGCTGGCATCATCTACCAGTATCTCTATTCTCAAGGATCATATGTCCACCGACCATGGGGTTATCCAACCGTTCATTGACGACGCTATGAATGATGCTTTTGCCTACGAATCGACTTCTATCTGGCCTTTCTACGAAGTACAAGTCCGCGACCATGCCACAGGGAACATTTCGTACTTTCTTATTGGAAAGCCGCGGACGCCATCCACTTCTCTTCTTGGTCGTGCAACAAAAGGCTACGTTGCGTTTGATCTAATTGCACATGATTTTGTCTGGCTGAAGGATACTTGGCGTCTGGCTTCACTGCATTCTCACCCTGAATGGGAAGTTTATGATAAGCTCAACAAAGCTGGCGTTCAACATATTGCTACAATGCGGACTGGTGGTGATGTGTATGACCCCAAGTTACAACGCACTCTTTCCCAGGAGTACCTTAGCCATGCACGTCTCAAACCTCGGATCCACTGTCGCCTCGTCATCAACGAAATTGGCTGTCCCCTGGAAACGTACCGGACAAGTCGCGATTTGATATATATTGTCTTGTGTGCCTTTCAAGGTTCGTCGTTTCCAATGCCTTATTACAGACATAATCTGATATGCTCGAATTGTAGCACATGAGGATGCGTGGGTGAAGGCCGGGACACTTCATCGGGATATCAGCGACAACAACGTCTTGATCTTCTTTGTGAACGGTAGAAAACGTGGCCTGCTCATAGATTGGGATTTGTGCAAGTATGCATCCGAACTGCAAGAACGCAAGGCGACTCATAGAAACAGATCGGTATGTCCCTCTATCTCTTAGGTATGGCCCCTCACCTGATATTCTCGAATTATCCAGGGCACCTGGCAGTTCATCTGTGCCGTGCGCCTTCAGTACCCCAAAAAGTATTGTGAAGTTGCAGACGATATCGAATCGTTTGTGCATCTTATAAATTGGTGCGCCCTGCGATACCATCATCACAAGGGTGTGAAATCGCAGTCTGGATTCGCTACATTTGTTCACCGAATGTTTCTGGATTGCACGACCTCTTCGGATGGCCTTCTCTACGGATGCGACGAAAAGTGGGCTGCTATGATGAGGGGTGACCCTGGCTTCAAGCTAACTTCCGATGAGAGGTTTCAGGACGTTATAAACCAGCTCATGCGTCTTTGCAATAGCCACTATCGCTGCTTTGATCTTGAAGAGCTGCAACGATTCCAACCAGCTGACGCCAAGGAAGCTGATGAATCTTCACACGTCTCTACGACCGAAGACCCAGACGTTGAAGCGCCAACAGACATAGATATCCTTAGGTCTCCATTTGAGCCTACTACGCAGGTCGACCATACCAAAGCCGATGTCGCGGCCGGGATCGCCGCGACAGACATCCAACGTGGCCCTGCAATGCGCACTCTGGATGAACATCTACACGTCGCTCGTGTACTGTTTGCTGCAGCGCAGGATCCAAATTGGAATTGCAAGCGAGACCCTAAGGTCGACTACTTCGAACAACTGCTCGATGTCAATCTCACTCTTGGACGCCGGTCGGTTGCAGGGACACGATCTGTCTCGACTTCTTCTCAAAAACGACCTCCTCCGGTTTCAGGCAGCATGCAGCTGAAGAGGTCTAGAGGGTCGCGATCTAATGCTAATGCTTCCCAGCTTGCTTCCTGGCCTGAAGAGGAGGACGGGGAGGACGAAGAGGGGGAGCAGCAGGACCAGGACCAGGGGGGCTGCACCCAGCTCCAAAGCCAGCAGTCCTACAGGGACGTTGAAGAAGATGATTCAAATTGGAAAGTAGAGGCGGAAATAATGGCTATTCGCAATGCTAGGCGAGATAACGTTATTGATTGGAAGGATTTCGATGACACCGAGCTAGAGTAGTGTAGTAGCTGCATCCTGCATGTAGGCTTATCGCCACGAACGACCTCTATACGTAACATGAACTCTGAGTATATACTGATGTCAAGTCTTCGAACCAAGAGGATTGATGAGCAATAACAACCACCCGGACTGAGAATGGCCGCCATGCTGTTGTCGCCCGTTATCGTGCTACCACCCCTCTCTCGTTAGAGCAAGCCATGTTTTCTTACTTCACCCTCATTCTATTACTTACGCTTATCATGCAGTTCTAACCATTAGCTTGCATTTATATCGCAGTCATGACATCCGTATGTCATCCATCATGATCCGTCTCGATCAATCTCGACTGTGTGAGACGATGCATAACTTATACCCACCACTTTCTCTGCTCTCTAACCTTAAGCTTCTTTCTTCCCTGTACTATTGGCAGTAGCATGGCTGGACCGCCTTCCGACCTATAACATCCGCCCTTATCCCTATGTGCGCTATTCTGCTTTTTGTTTCATCCATTTATAACTCCATTTGTTGTTCTTCCCCCAACTTGTTCTTCTGAATGACGTATTTGAGTTCAACACCTGTCCACACTCGGTTCTTCGTCGCATCTGACACCCATGCAACCTCCTTAATGGCTATATTCTGCGGACAACAATCCGTACTGCCCGTCATTGACGAAACGTTACAACACATGGCACCTTCTTAATTCCGCGGCGAGTTTATTAGTTTTCGTGTTTCAGTCTATTACAATAGGTTTGTTGATGATCGAGAAGGAAGTAAGTTACACATGCGACGGGCTTACATTATTCGTACCGAACGAACGCATCCCTGGCAAGACATGAAACGTTCATCTGGTAAGACATAAGAAGCTCAGATGAATGCCTATAAACAGCACGTTACGCCCCACATCCTCTTCAGCTACATCGCATTGCCACACAATGACCGAGAACAGTGACCTACCATTTACTTCTCTCCTCATAGATGGCCAATACTATCCCGCAAGCTCTGCTAAATCCTTCTCAGTCCGCAACCCGTACACAAACAACATCGTCGGCTATGCAGCTTCTGCCACCTCACAGGACTGCACCAATGCGTTAACCTCTGCAGGCCGAGCTTTTCCCTCATGGGAGGCCACACCTCACTCTCAACGTCGTGACATCTTCCTTAAAGCCGCCGACTTGGTTTCGACGACCCGGTACAAAGAGAAGATTACGAAGGCAATGAGGGAGGAAACCGCGGCTACAGATTCAATGGTGTTCATGAATATTCGGAGAGTGGGGGAACAGTTGAAGGACGCGGCGGGGTTAGTTAGCGGACTGAAGGGTGAGACGTTCGCGAGTGCTCTTCCTGAGGGGTACGTCGTTGTGCAGAGAAGAGCTATGGGTGTCATGTTCGTGCTTTCCGCATCCGTTGTTGACTTGAACTGATGATCGAGCCTCAGATTTGCTATATCGCCTTGGAACGTGCCTGTAATACTCACCATACGAGCGGTAGCGGTGCCTATAATTTGCGGCAACACCGTGGTATTGAAGTGTTCCGAAAAGAGTCCACGATCCCAAAGCATCGTAGCAGAACTCCTGAAAGAGGTCAGCATGATTCCCCTCAATCAAAATGAAACAAACACAGTCACTCACTTGACCATCTCAGGCTGGACTTCCTCCTGGCGTACTGAACTTCGTCTCCATGGACAGACAAGATGCACCTGAACTGACCGCAGAGATTATTGCCCATCCTCTGGTTCGCAAAATCAATGTAAGTGAATGAGTCCAGTGCTGCATTAACACGAGCATATTGATCGAATGAATCTTCAGTTCACAGGAAGCGATGGAGTTGGGAAGATCATCGCAGCGGAAGCTGCCAAGTACCTCAAACCATGTGTGTTTGAGCTGGGCGGGAAAGCACCCGTAGTGGTACGTTCTGAATACTCTTCCCACTAGACACTCACGCAGATCCGACCATTTAACGTGCAGGTCCTCGATGACGCAGACATGGAGAAAGCCGCGCGCGCCATTGCCTCATCCACAGTCCTTCATTCCGGCCAACTATGCATGTCAACTGAACGAGTGATCATCCAACGACAGATTTCCACTATCCTCATACCTGCTCTAATCAAACTCCTCTCTTCAGTGAAAGCCGGAGACCCGTTGACCGATCGCGAGGCAAAGCTGTCTGCTCTGTTCACGGAGGACAGCGCCCGGAACGTGATAAGTATGATCGAAGAGGCAAACGCTGCCGGTGCGACAGTTTTGCTAGGTGACGTGAAGAGGGACGGTGCTGTTGTTCAGCCACACATCCTTAACGGGGTGAAGCCTGGCATGAGATTGTGGGATAAAGAGTGTTTCGGGCCAGGTACGTTGAATTTCATCAGATCAGCGGGACAACGATTTGACTGTATGGAACTGTAGTCATTGTGATCGCTGTCGCAGATACGTTGGACGAGATTGTTGATCTGGCCAACGCGTCATCCTACTCACTGATGGCAGGATTATGGACCAGAGATGTAAATGTGGCATTGGGCGTAGCGGCGCGAATTCGAGCAGGTGAGGCCCCGTTCCTCGTTCAATGTCTGGATGAGGTATGCTGAACCTCTGTCTGGCGTAGGATGTACGAACATCAACGGACCAACGGTGCATGTTGAACCCCAGCGAGGATATGCAGGACTTGGGTGAGTCAAAATACATACTCGTCAAGGTTGACTGTTGAATGCTGAAATGCTGAGTGCATGTAGAGGTGCCTCGGGTTATGGACATTTCGACGTTGACAACTTTACCGATGCCCGGATGGTCGTCGTGCACCCGTCAGAGGAGAGGGCCTATCCTGTGGTAGGATAGAGACTGTTAATAAAGTGACTGTAGATGAAGGTCCTGTGAAGGAACATTGTTCCATAGAGCGTGGCTGTGCAAGTCTAGTGAGAGAATAATCCTAAACGAACAAGCTGAAATAAGTAACGAACGAGCATATATTTGGATTAAAGCGAGGTTTTGGATGGACATACCGCATTCAGACTACAGGAGTTCTATGTGAGGATCTCGCCTTTGGACTATGCCTACGCTTCGCGGACACGATTTTTACGCGATGAGAGTGGCCAATGTTGCATTCCAGTGATTATGCTTCTCTATATTCCGTCGTTTACTTCTTCAGCTCATCGACTGGCAGGACACGTCGTGTGTCAACCTAAGACATCATGCACATGACCGTGACTCACTTGACTCACAAGTGTATCAATCATCCGAACCTTTGCAGAATAGTCGACACATGCACATGGTATTCAAAGAAAAGAAAAAGAAGGCCTAGAGGACTGGCCCTTGGAGAAAACAGATGATTAAATTTGAAGACGGTAAGTGTACGCGTCAATAACAAAAAGCGCTCAAGTGTTCCAAAAAAAGGTAAGTTCATTGAGGGCAGCAGTAAACAAGCGCAAATACGTAGGGCCAAGAGCACGACCCAGTCACTGTGGACAGAGCGTCCTGTTACTCCCCTACAATTCCGTCCGAGGATCTCAACCAATTCTAAGCTACAAGCGACTTCCCCTCTCCCCTCCGAAGCTATTAACACGATAGTTGGGAAGATCAAAGGCAACGTTGAATATTGTATCGTCGGTGAAGAAGGGATGATCACGTCTATCTACCAAGAACCTGTCGACAAGTGGTTCTCGGAATTCCTTCCGGGAAAATATGGTGAAAACCTTAGCTTCGAACCGAAGGATCTCCCTGAAGAACTCCGGAATAAGCCATTCCACTTCAATGATATCAAGATCGACCACACTGGTGAAAAGTATCAGTATAGCGAAATGGAACTTTGTAGTCTTCTGGTATGTCTGTATATTGTTTTGGTGTCTTACAAGTCCCTCATACATTGAATGTGTAGTGTCCTGTAATACAAAGTGTCTTCGATCTTGCCGCCTACAGTTCGACTGAAGATCCTGGCTACAATGCGCTACAGATCAAAGATACTAGTGTCTGGGAAGAAGAAAGCGATTGTTCACAATGTCTCGACTTGTCCGTCCACAAGGTCACTGCAGCTCAGGCCTTTCGTCTCGACGACGCCAGCAAGGCCAATGTCACTGACGCCCACAGAGCTTTCGTTGGACGTACTGCCTACTCGTGGACTCTGCTTCCTGGGCAGGTTAAGGTGGGGAAATCTAAAGAAGGTTTTGGTCTGAACCCGAAAAGATTGAACCTACCAGATACCGATGATGCTTGCGAAACCCGTGGGCAGTTTGCCGAACATGTCACTGAGATTCTTTCGAGGCAGCATCGCCAGTTTACCTTTGCTTTCTACATCTATAGGAACTTGGCTCGGCTCTTTGTGGTTGACAGGGTTGCTACTGTCATGACCCCTCCATTTGACTACGTCGAAGATCCCAAGACCTTCTTGAAGTTTTTCTATCGTCTAGCCCAAGCAGATGGCGTCGCCCAGGGTTATGATCCTACCGTTACTCTCGCATCGTCTGCTCATCTACCAACTCTCAGAGAACACATGGCGAGGGACCACGGGCCGATCGAGACCCTCATTCATGACGCGATGGACGACGCATTGCTATATGGTGTATCGTCCATATGGCCCCTTTACACGGTAGAAGTCCACGATGACGAATCTGGTGAAAAATCGTATTTCCTTATCGGAAAACCTCGAACTCCCTGCTCTTCCATGTTTGGTCGTGCGACGAAGGGCTTCATTGCATTCGATTTGGTTCAACATGATTTTGTCTGGCTGAAAGATAGTTGGCGTTCGGCCTCGCAGCGCTACCATCCTGAATGGGAAGTTTACAGGAAGCTGAATGCTAAGGGTGTCAAAAACATTGCTACTATGCGCTGCGGTGGTGACGTACACGACCCAAAGTTACAATGTACCCGTACGCAAGAAGCTATTACTGACCGTTCTCTGAAGAGTAGGATCCACTGTCGTCTCGTCATTAACGAGATTGGACGGCCTCTAGGAACGTATGAGACAAGTTATGACCTTATTTTTATAATAGCCTGTGCATTCAAAGGTGAGGTTGCCGCAATCTGTCATGATTTGTCTATTCTAACCGTAAGTCGCTAGCACATTCACAAGCTTGGGAGATGGCCGAAGTGCTTCATCGGGATATCAGCGATAACAACGTCCTGATCATCCAAGAGAAGATTGATGGGAAATACGAGATACGTGGTATACTCATAGACTGGGACTTATGCAAGTACAAAAAGCAGTTGGAGGAGGATCGTGTTGCCACAAATGACGATCAATCTGTACGTACGACTTCATTTGCTTGCTGCGGCTCCTGCTAATATACTCTCCGTTCAGGGAACTTGGCAATTCATCTCCGCATTGCGGTTGCAGTATCCCAGGAAGTTCTGCGAACTGGCGGACGATATTGAATCCTTTTTTCATCTCATCACATGGTGTGCTCTCCGTTACCATCAGCATAGCCTTTTGGGCAAGCCAAAAGCTCTCACGATGCATGTTAACGATATGTTCTTGGATTGCGCGACTTCGCCGGAAGGCTTACTTTATGGTTGTGAGGAGAAGTTCAGACTCATGACAGGGAGCAAACTTGGTTTCAAAATCCTCCATGACGAGACTTTCAAGGACGTCATGAACAAACTTTTGCGCATCTGTCAAAGTCATTACCGCAGCCTTGACTGGCATGACTTGCAACGGTTCCGACCAGCTAGCATTAGGGAAGCCCAGGAAAAGAAGAAGTCTCAAGCGCAGACTGTGTCAATGTCACCGTCCTCCTACCAGCGGAGGCTACAGGCGGCTTTGCCGGACATTCCTGCGGCCAGAGTTTCTTACGGCTACAAGCCTGATAACTTAAACACGGAGCAAATTAGTGAACCCACACTGGCCAGCCACAAGTACTTTTTTCAAGTCTTGGGTGACGCTATCCAGACGCATGATGGTTGGGATCTCGAGCCTAAACCGCTTGGTCGCGACAACTTTGCCGATCTCCTCGACTTGAACCTCACTGTTGGGCGGCTCACGGTGACCGGAACTACTCAATCCAATATGACTTCATCCTAAAGGAGAAAACGCTCTGCTCTAGTTCGTATCTCTAGAAAAAATAAGGAAGATGGGAACATCATGACATGTGGTTAGCGTGGATACATTTTCGTCCCTGCTGGGGGTGCGCGATGTGGACGCCGACCTGGAAGACGAAGTGCGAGTGGAAACTGACTTTAGAGGCCGCTCATTAAGAGAAGATGCGAATCTATGTAATATACGAGTATGGTATAAGAAAAACATTCTGCTGGCAAGCCCATGTTTGTCTTTGATACATAGCTCATATCAGATGTGAGGTTCTACAACATTCTAAATGAATTCACGCCTCTGTGTAACTACCGTTATCGCCCCCGGGGGTCTGTTGGCGTGTGCTAGTAGTAGATGCCCGACACTGTTCCAGATTGTGACCATCGACATCAGTACAAACTCTTCACCTTGAAGGTCTTCGACATCATTCCAGAAGGCGTCCTCATCGAAGTGCTCGTGTATCGCGGGGCAAATTTAAACAAATTTCTACAATCCGAGCATGCGAGGCCCATTACACGTAGGACGGACTGTGAAGAAGGTACAGACAGTGCAGCATATACATGAGCAAAATCCGAAGATACGTTCCATACAATGAGAACAGTGACATAGTTCGGCATTAGGGATGACCAAAGGCAGACCAGATTCCAGAGTTAAGCTGCTGTTTGTGTTCGATGACTAAGAACCTCAATGGACCTGCCGTTTTTAAGGACGTGGACTAGGCGAGTTTAACTTGGCCTTCATCTAGACACCCGTAAACGCGAACGCAGACGCAGCCGTGTCTCTGGCATGCATCACCAATCTCGACGGCGACTCTAAACGTGGCATCAAGCATGAGGGATCAATTCGTGTAGTTTGTGATACAGAAATCTCGTACGCTTCGCGTTGTGACTGCAATGTTTGATACTCCTCTGATCATTATAGACACGGATTACTGTGTGGATTTGCACAAAGCGGTTATCGGTGGAGGAGCAACCTTTGATTGAGCCCGAAAACGGTAGGCTCATTGAAGGTCGCAGTAAACAAGCACAAATATGTAGGGCCATCAGTGCTCTTCGGCTCATGGAAGCACAGAGTCACTCTACCTATTGATATAGTAGACATTGCTTACAGGAAAGACGATTCATTTGTCCTTGGATTGAACATACCAGATTACCCGTTAGGTGATGTTGCAATTTTGATCATACCATCAAGCTGTCTTCCGTGGCACGTCTTCCCGTCCTCAAAAGGTTGAATTTTTTCTGTCATAGATCTGCGCGGTTTCCTTTCGAGTAACGGAAAGCTCATGAACATATAACTACAGACCCACTGCGGCGGTCCTCGTATAACGATCACGTGCTCGACCTGTGATTTACGCTATGTTCGACTTGCACGCGTCGTGCCATTGCTCCCGTAGTGACTGCATAACGGTCCCCACGCCACAGTCTCGACATTCTTTGTGTCCCAAAAACGGGATTATCCACAGTGACCACAATCACCTTTTTTGGTTATCGGAATCAAGCACAAAGGTGAGTGTGGTCCACACACATGCCCAATTAGATTAAGGACAATGGAGCACTCAACGTATTTCATCTCAGTGTGGTTGAGAGAATTGACTGAAGGCATATAAAAGCTTCATCCTTTTGTAACCCGTAAGTCAACATTCCACACCCCACCTACTCCTCATAATGAGCTCACCTGAGACTGATGGCGGCTCTGCCGCTCCCACAGACCCCGAGCACGTACCTGCTTCCTCCACAGAGACAGAACGTCCTATCACACCCCCGCAGTCTTGTCCGGAGGTTCCAACTGACCCTGACCTGCAAGCGTCGCCCCATAAGGCCACCAACACAACACTCGGGAAGAGCAAGAACAACTGGCAATATCGTATCATTGCTCAAGAAGAGATGGACACGTCTATCTATCAAGAGGATCTCGATAAGTGGTTCTCCGACTGGTTGCCGGGTAAAGATGGCGAACGCCTCAGCTTCAAACCGGAGGATCTCCCTGAAGAATTCCGCGAGAAGAAATTTCACTTTGACGAAGTTACGTTCGACGCGAACAGTGGCATTCCCAGGATCAAACTTGAAAAGGATCTCTATAAAATCCTGGTACGATATTATGTTGCCTCGGACTCTCGATGACTGCTAATGCCTAGAATGTGGGAGTGTCCTGTGATACAGAACGTTTTCGACCTTGCCGCTCACAGGTCAACGGGGGAAGCTCCTAGAGATCTGCTCAGAATCCGAGACACAAGTCTTTGGGAAGAGGAGAGCGACAATAAATTATGTCCTGATTTTCTAGTTCACAAGGACTCCGTGTCCCGGCCCTTCGAGCTCGACGATGCCCGAAAGAAGACCGTTACTCCGAAATCGCATAGGAAATTCGTTGGACGCACCGCTTACTCGTGGAGTTTGCTACCCGGCGAGGCCAAGATTAAGGATGACGGCTTCGGTCTAGGTGACGAATTGAACCTTCCGGACACCGACACTGGTCGTCAAACTCGTGGACAGTTCGCTGAATATATCTCTGAGATTCTTGCTCGACAACATCGTCAGTTCACCTTTGCGTTCTATATCTACAAGAACTGGGCTCGGTTCTTCATCGTCGACAGGGTTGCTTCCGTGACTACCCCGGCGTTCGACTATGTCAAGGACCCCTACACGTTTCTGAAATTCTTCTATCGTCTGGCTCAAGCTGACGCCTCGGCACAGGGTTATGACCCCACTGTTACGCTCGCATCATCTACCAGTATCTCTATTCTCAAGGATCATATGTCCACCGACCATGGGGCTATCCAACCGTTCATTGACGACGCTATGAATGATGCTTTTGCCCACGAATCGACCTCTATCTGGCCTCTCTACGAGGTCCAAGTTCGCGATGAGGAGTCTACAAATACTTCGTCCTTTCTTATTGGAAAGCCTCGGACACCTGCTGCTTCTATGTTTGGCCGTGCAACGAAGGGCTACATTGCATTTGATCTGGTCAAACATGACTTCGTCTGGCTGAAAGACGCCTGGCGTCTGGATTCGCCACATTATCACCCCGAGTGGGAAGTCTATACGAAGCTCAAGAATGCCGATGTTCACAATACTGCCACGATGCGGTGTGGCGGCGACGTATACGGGCTTCAGCTACAGCGCACTCTTTCCCAAGGGTCAATCAGTCATTCACGGCTCAAATCCAGGATCCACAGTCGCATCGTCATCAACGAAATCGGGCTTCCACTGGAAACGTATGATACGAGCTCGGACTTGATATTCATCGTCTTATGTGCCTTCGACGGTTCGTCATTCTCAATTCAGGGTTACAAACATGTACTCACCTGCTTTCATTTTAGCACACAAAGAGGCCTGGGAGAAGGCCGGAATACTACACCGGGATATTAGCAACGGCAATGTCTTGATTTTCTTCAGGGATGGTGAATTATGGGATCTGTGCAAATACGCTTCTGAGCTGCAAGAACGCAAAGCAAGTCACAAAAATAGATCGGTACGTCATGTTACCTGCCTCAGATACACGCCTCTGATCCATGACTCTTCAGGGAACCTGGCAGTTCATCTGTGCCGTACGCCTTCAGTACCCCAAGAAATATTATGAGCTCGCTGATGATATTGAATCATTTGTGCACCTTGTCAACTGGTGCGCCTTACGATACCACCAACACAACCGTCTAGCGTCCGATTCCGGATTCGCTACGTTCATTCACCGAATGTTTCTGGATTGCACAACCTCTTCAGATGGTCTTCTCTATGGTTGCGATGAAAAGTGGGATGCTATGATTAGGGGCGACCCTGGCTTCAAGCTAACATCCGACGAGAAGTTCCAGAAAATTATAAACGAGCTCATGACTATTTGCAGCAGCCACTATCGCACCCTTCCTCTTGAAGAATTTAAGAAATTTCGGCCGGTGGACGCCAAGAAATCGCAAGAACCTACCAGCTCCGGGGCTACTACCACGGATTCATCTGCTGTCAAGAAACGGAGAGCTATGCATCTCATCAACCTCTCATCTTATGCTTCTGTGAAGGCTGCCTCTGTGCCAAAAGCCTCGACCGTCCACCAAAGCCCTGCAGCGCGTACGCTAGACAGCCATGCACTCATCGGCCACGCATTGCTAAGTGCCGTAGAAGACGAGGACTGGGACTGTAAGCGAATCCCCGGAGTTGACTACTTCGAACAAATGCTGGATGTGAATCTCACTCTCGGGCGTCGCTGGGTTGCAGGGACCACCCAATCGTCCACGACTTCTTCTCAGAAACGCAACCGTCCTCCCCGGGTTTCCAGAAGTATGAAACAGAAGAGGTCCAGACGATCATCTACAGGTGGGACCAGCGTGAACGCATCCACTTCCGAGCTCGCTGCCTTGCCTGAAGAAGAAGAGGAGGCGGAGGAGCCTGAGGTAGACGAGGATGCTGATACCCGGAACGTCGTCAGTCTGCAGCCTTCTGAGAACGCTGAAGCTGGCGATTCAAATCTGGAAGATGAAGATGAAGCGGAAATCACTGCTAAGTTGCATAATGTCACGGATTGAGATATCGGATTGGCGTTACATAGTCAGTAGTACATCATACGTGCGATTCGCTATGAATGTCGTCGAGACGTGACCCGTGAATATTTAATATGCAGTACATGCCGTTATCTTTGAATGTTGCAGGTACCGCGGACGGTCAGCGACATAAATGTACCTTTTCATTCATGAATATCAGAGGGGATGTCGGAAGCAAAATATGAGGAAAAGCAATGAGCTCTCCTACCCGTGCACAGCATGGGCGGCCGCAACATTCACTGTAGCTCAAAATCATTCAAATCATCAGAGCATAACTTTGCGTCAATCCTATCGCTACCTTTCTACCGTGTGGAGGATATTGCAACAGTGCACGTCGTCCGTTGCATCATGGATGAGGCCTGAGGGTCTCGGTCAGCTCATGATCCCTCGCCACATATTGTTTGAGAGTTGGCATGTGAGGAATGAAATCAAAGTCACAATAGTGTCAATGGTACGTGAATCATCTAAGCTGCTGGTGTGAGACCCTGAAAACCAACTGCTCGTAAACGATCTTCGTGCGATTCAATAAACAATTCATAAATTTTCTTTGCATCTTCAAGGAGAGATGCTTCCTCCTTTCCGAAAGTCCTTGCAGCCTTACGCGCAAGATCTTTGTGAGATCGTATATCCTCCACAAAGAAATAGCTCCCGCTCAAAGGGATCGTTGCTACAGTGATATAAACAGGAAGATAGCGCACAACATTTTCATTAGTGAGTAAAATAAAAGCAAAGTAAAGTATGCACGAACCAGGAATCCATATGTCCATTCTTTCACAAGCACGGAGTACCTCCAAACAACTTACTACACCTGACTGCACCTCCCAGCCATCAATTCCGAGGTCGTCGAGAGTCACATGGGCAGATGGGCATTTATGCAGTCTGGCTTGGTCGAAGTCGACAATACGAATATTGTTTGATTCTCCAATTAAAACATTGGATTCACAGAAGTCGTCGTGTCTAATGCCGGCAGAATGGAGCTTCAGAAGTCCTTCCAGTATATTCTTCCTAAGGGAAAATATACCTATCAATCACCCCATTGAATTTAGCAGGAAGATGTCGTGACACAGACCTGCATGCCATAGGTTGATCAGAGAATTTACCCACTAAAACACGCCCCACATCTTCCAAGATCATACACGAGACAGGGAACCGTCTTTGGTTGGAGGAACGAGCCATGTCACCCCAAAACATACCATGGAAGTAGGGTACGATTGCGCCTTGGAACTTGTCAAGGTGTGTGATATACATGTCTTTCTCCCGCTCGAGGTTTACTTGGTCCTCAGAATCGATTGCTATCTTGCAGATAGCATTGAGCCGCACTTCGGAATTTGCCACCAATGCAGTTATTGTGCCACGGTAGACATGAGCGCCGCCCCCAAAATTGTGTAACAACAGGTCAGCTTCTGGGACGACCGACGCGAAATGGACAAAAGTGGCGGACTGAAGAGGAGACCTTGGAGACGCAGGCACGACTTGTTCAAGAGTGTAGACACCTGCGGACAGCCGATCACGAGCATTAGTAGAAAGCTGTAGCTCAAGTGTTTGCGACGACATCAGAAACGTTGGTAACGTTAGATACAGAAGTTGGAAAAGCAGGTCGTTGTTGTCAATTTAAGCGAGTGATAAAGGCACCTCAGGGATGGCTGAGCTTTACATAATCCGAATTGTAACTGACGTAAATTCAAAGCACATAGTAAAGATCCTACGGTCTAACACCTGCCAGCGGGCTACCAGCGGGTGTCAGCGGTTGTTTGCGCTTGTTGGCCATGAGCCTCAACGCGCCTACCGTTTTAGGAACACGCACCGCCAAAAAAAATGGCTCAGGTTTCGATCGCTGGAGCTACCAAAGTGCTCAGAAGGCTATCAGAAGGCCATCCGTCTATAGTTATTTTATGAATAGGATAGATTAACGATGTACGCGAATTATAGAGCTCGACAATACATGTAACCTGACAGATAATGAATACTTACGCTAAATACGAAAAGATACCAGCCCATCATGAACATCACGTATAGTACGAGCAATATACAGAACTGCAGTAGATTGTTGCGGGATCGTAAATATTGTCATCTTCTCATATGCCCCACTCCCCTCCGCGCTACTTGAATGTAGATCCAAGTCAGCCTTTCTTCCGTCCGTCCATTTGTTGTCGCAAGCCAAATATCCAAGGTACGTCGGATGTCCTCGAAGATGTCTGCAAGCAGCCGCAAGGAGCTCAATATGCGCAATACGCCACGCAAAGCAAGGGGAACCCGGCATAAAGTCCGATCCAGAAAACGACATTGCCCAAGAGCTTGTTCTTCTTAATCGCAGGCATCCTCCCAATAGCGATCAACGGGATCTGAGCGAGCTGCATGAAGAACAAGTACATCCTACAGAAACGAATCATTCAGTTTTCCTAATTCAAGCCTTCTAGGATGGACAGGTAAGAAGCATACCTGATTTTCTTGGTAACGACAGCCATGACCAACTCATGTGCTGCCGCACTCAAGAAAAACGTAAGAAACATGGCGCTTTGTTTTGATAGCTTGTAGGAGGCCATTGTTGATGCGTAAACGTGTCGGAGGAGGAAGGTGTGTACGGGTCTGTTCCATTTTCGCGAGAACTCGTCCCAAGAGGTCGAGTTCCACCAGTCATCGTAGAATTGGCGATCGGCGAAGCTACGAGAAAACGTAAGTTCGATGCTACGTGGAGAGAAAAACAGAGGGAAGGGGAAGCTTACTAGGAAAGTTCAGCGAACCCATTACAGATGCATTCTGCGTTAGATAGTATCCAGTCAGCTTCGAGCATCTGGATGTAGGAAAGTGGGAACGTACCGAAGATGATAAAGAATAGTAACAGATACGCGACCATGAACGGTAACGCGAGATCCAACAATAATTTGAGAAATGATTGATCATTCTGATCCGGAGAGGGTGTAAGCGGGAGAATGAAGCTCTCCGTAACAGTATACAACAGCGCGAGCGTTCCAAACGTCGCGACGACTTTCTCGAACACATATAACGGTCGAATCCTACAATCGACATCACAAACACGTCAGCACATACGCATTCCTACATACCATATAATCATGACAGACATACCGATCAGTCCTCGGATACTCCAGTTCATAAACCAACGTCGGAATCAACATATAAACCGCAAAGTTCTTCCAAGTCACATTCTCCGGCCACTTCACATACAGCGGTCCCATACTCACAAGCTCCGCCTCCATCTCACTAATCTCGTGTGCCAACGCACTCACTCTTGGATCTGGATGATCGACTAGAGGATGAGGCCCGGGTTTCCGCACAGTTGATGGAGAGAGTAGAGTGGTTCCGCTTGTATCGGGCTTTTGTGATGTCGAATTTGCGGAGGAGGGAAGTGTCGACGGTGTAGAATCAGTGTTCGAGGTAGAGGTAGCGGTGGAGGTAGCAGTTGGGACTGAAGGGGAGGAAGTGCGTTGATGTCGAGAGGCTACGTTGAGTCTTTGACGGAGCGCAACTGCTGCATTGATGTCGATGTAACTTGAAGTTGAACCTTCAGGTACAGTAGGTGTCCCCGTTCCCGGCGACGCTGTCATCGCATCCCCATTCCCCACACCAAAACCGCTCTCACTGTCCGATCTTGGAGTCGCAGTCCCCTGAGCTTCCGCTGCCAACTTCTCAAGTTCATCTCTGTGCGCTTGAGCTTCAGCCAGTGCTTTCTCCCATCCTCCAATTGTGGGATCGGAATCCGTGAGACGATGGAGTTCGGAGAGCGCTGATTGGACTTGGGAGTGGACGCAAGATAGGTATCCGTTCGTGCTGACGTAGGAGTGCATTTTCATTATCATGACCTGGAGTGTAGGAGATGGATAAGGAAAGGAAGGTATGTGCATAAATGTATGTGCACGTACTAAGGAGTGAAGGGTGAGGAAACCGGATTGGACCCATGGCCATTGACTTCAAGTATATCAGTACTCCGAATAGAACACACTATTGAAAAGCACAGATAAGCTCACCGGTTGAATGTCCATCTTACAGCGGCGGCCAATACGAAAAGTTGCCAGATATACTGCAAAAGGACGCCGGTCCAGTAATACTTGATCCAGCCATTCTTGACAGCTTTGATAAAGGGGACGCATATAGAAGTACTCAAAACTAGTACAGCATCACTAAGTGCCAGTGTAATAGCATCGCGAGAGAACATAGCGGCAAACGCGAAGGGGAGTGGGTATCCTGTTTCTTCGATGCCATGGATGTAGGATGATACAGAAAAAATGAACATGGATATCCAGAAAAGTGTGAAGAAGCCCTAACAAGAACATCATTGAGAACGGAAACTTAGCAAGAGAGATTACCAGGTACGCACTTTGAACTCGTTGTCTTTAGACGCGTCTGTCTCGAACGCGGATTTGCGAGGTGCAAACGCTATCACGGCTCGTAGCTTCTTATTCGAACTTGAGCGGAAGGGTTGAGAGACGTATAGTGTCCCTTCCTTTGTCTCGTAGCCTCCGCTGGCCGTCCGAGTCGCATAAGGTGTCTTGTTGTCCATAGCTTCTATGACAGCCTTCTTCATCTTTTCACTACATACAAATGTCGATTATTACAAAGAAGTGAAATTGCATGAGGTATGACGTACTCGTCTGTAGTACTCATCTTGACAGTTCGGAACAGTTAAAGCAGCGCAAACTTGATGTAAAGCAACCGGACTGAATGATTGTGGATAGCAATGTGTGCAACTTGGGAATTAAGATATGCAAGAGATGATTCGGGGAGATGTGCAGGAAACGGAGAATGATGCTTTATAATAGACGAAACACGGAATCTGAGTCAGGGTATCTGAGCAAGCAGCTCTGAGGATATAGGGGCAGGATGAGTGTATCAAAATCAAATGCCGGATTGTGACGAAGCCAGGCGCCGTTCAAGATGTCCACCGCGGGTGTGTCAACTCCGCTGACGTCATCATTTCCGACTCCCATGCCGAAATACCACGTTCCACGTCTAAATATACTGAACATTGCACATGTGGTTCTCGATTCGTAAAGCTGAAAGCATTCTGCAAGCCGGCGAGTAAGTACGCCATGTGCTTTCCACTTCATCTCGAACTTGAGAGATTATTTCCATTACAATTACTCTACAGCCAACAGACGCAGGTCTCAAGACGATGCTCGAGCAGATGAAACAGCTCGAGTGGCACGAGTGTGGACTCCCACACACGACAAACAGTTCGGAACATGAAGCAAAACCGCAAACTTCTCCAAATGCAGCATCAGACCTTCCATATCGGGCAAAGCCTTCAGCCCCGAGCCGCTCGGAGAATTGGAGCGCTTACTTAGCACACACGTCTTTCCTGCTGACATCTGATCCTGCCCAGACCAAACTTGGACTGTTAAATGGACCAAGTTCGTGGTCTCCTTTCCGAATAATCGGAGCCGATATTGAAATACTAACGACACTAGGACTCTTTCAGGCAACTTCTACAATCAGGTGGTTCCGCTGCAAGTTCACGTAATGTGCAGCCCACCGCGACGTCCAAGGGCAAGGCGTACGTTTCTATTTCACTTTCCCCTGTATGGATTCTAAACGTTGTGCTCTGCTAGGAAGAAGGCAGATTCTTCTCAACCAGCCTTCAAGCCCCGGACGATCAAAAAGTCCGCCGCGAGCAACTACAGAGATCGAGCATCCGAGCGTCGCCATGGTCTAGCAAGCGACTATGCTCAAGTCGAAGCTCTCGCAGAGGACTTTGAACGCAGAGCAGCTGAAGCTGCCGATGCTCTCGCTAAAAAGACCTTAGAAGAACAACGCTGGAGGAAGTTGCCTGTTACAAGGCTGCTTCGGATCAGTTCGCAGTCACTCGCGGCGAAGACACGCATGCGAAGCAGGAGATTGCTTTAGCTGAGAAGACTGGTCTTGAAAGTTATCACCAACGTCCAGAAAAAGCTTAGCGTATCTAACGAGGAATGAGATAGCCTTCAGGCCGAGCTCGCCCAACTCCGTGCTGAGCTGGAAAACAGCCAATCACATAGGAGCTCACTTGTACGTGAAGTTTCCAAATGTGAGTCTCTCGTGGAGGAGCTGGAGAAACATCAGACTGTCATTGCAGATATGCAAGAAAATTTGTTCAAACACTCCATAATGTACATCAGGACGGATATTAGGATTTAGAACGAGCACCTCTCGCACGAGTGACAAAGTTATAAAGTAATTTCACGTCGGAATCTTGAGAGGCGTCCGACTGAGAGCTACTGGAAGCAAACTCATCGGAGGTCCTCTTCACATTCACCCTCATCACCCAATCCAGCTGGTCTGTCAGCCGATCGTCAACATCCTTGATGACGCGTTGATTAACCAAGTCGCCCTTAACCCCTTCCATCTCGGCTGCAGTGCCAGGAAGTGCCCAGTCGTCATACGGCTTGCCATGAGATCCGCTTGTCTTCCACAACATACCAGTGTTGTCATTGAAAGCGTTGATCCACAATGTGCAACAGAGGCAGCTCCGTTTGCTGCAACCAATTGGCTGTTGTGCTTCCCGGAAATCCGTGCGCGATCCCGATAGCATTGATCGGCCGAGGTGAAGAATAATACGAATTTCGGCGTGAATGCATGTATTGATGATTCGCTGCCGCGCCCAGTTCTCCCTCAAGCGAGGATAATGTTTACTGATGGTGTCGATATCCCATGTCAGCTCACCTTCCTGTACCCGTTCCACAGCCTCCATCGGGTCCTCGCAAAGCTCAAACCTTCCCTCTCCCATTTCGGTGAACGTGTCCGCAACCCAACGAATCGGAATACTGGGCAATCGCCTCACCCTCTTTATAAGACCCCCGATTCTCATGTATTGACAAACCTTGCCCAGACGTCGCTCCAGTCTCTCTGCACGACATTTGATCGCCAGGTAGCGACTATTACTGGTGAGCTCGCGTAAAAAAAGAGAGCGCTGTAGAATGGTGGCGGAAAGGATAAGTTGAACAAAACGGATGTACGATGTCTTCTCATCTTGTATTTCGAATGCGGATTCATCTATGCATGTACGGATAAGGTCGTTGAGTATGCGATCGACTGTCGGTTGCCTATCTGGATATCTGACTTCGAAATAACGACGTGACTGGGGAAACTCCTTCTCCACCGCCCCGAATGGGTACTTCTCAATTGCCGACTGTAAGTCGTCAAGGAAATGTGTAATGGATTCATGTAGATTCCTGATTCGCTTGTCCAAGTTTTCCTTGCCGTGCCTAGCTAGGAACGGGAGGAGGTCTGTCCAACCCGTGGCCGCCGCCAAGTCCGAAAAGAATGTCTGTGCAGCCGCATAGTCTGCAGGGAGGACATCTCCGTTCTTTGCTAGAACGAGACTGAGATGCTCGCGCTTGTCGAATGCAGCAGCAACAACGTCGCCAGGTTTTCCAGTGGTTAAACAAACTGCAATGACATCGAGGATACGCATGTCTTCATGCGTCTCGGAGTGGCGGCTATCCTTGTTACTATGAACCCCAACGTACTTGTAGGACATGCCAAGGTCTGAGTAGCCAAGCTCATCCAAAAGACGCAGTTTCTCTGAAAGGTGTGTTTGGATTACGGATATTCCAGACATGATGATGGTGAGCTTCGAAGGTAGATTAGCTGTAGTCGTCTTTCTGATGCGGGGGAGTCAACAAAGAATTGATATTCAATCGGCGCTCGAATGTCTACAGTAAGGGCCAGTTTGGTGCTGCCATGAGGTGAGCTAGTCAGCCAGACCGATGAAGCTCGAGATGGCCTCGAGATACTTGCCACTAGGTGACTCAGTGATGCCATCACGTCAGCTTGAAGAACATTACACCGTATAGTAGTAACATGAAGCAAAAGCACCAACGTCTTTCAAATGCAGCATCCGACCTTCCATATCGGGCAAAGCCTTCGATCCCGAGCCGCTCGGAGAGCTAGAGCGCTTACTTAGCACACCGTCTACTACGTATTCTGCTGACATCTGATCCTGCCCAGGCCATACTTGGACTGTTACAATGGACCAAGTTCGTGGGTCTCTTCCGAATAATCGGGGCCGATATTGAAATACTAACGACACTAGGACTCTTTCAGGCAACTTTTGCATTCAGCTGGTTCCGCTGCGAGTCCGCGTAATGTGCAGCCCACTGCGACGTCCAAGGGCAAGGCGTATGTTTCTATCTCACTTTCCCCTGTATGGCTTCTAAACGTTGTGCTCTGCTAGGAAGAAGGCAGATGCCTCTCAACCAGCCTTCAAGCCCCGGACGATCAAAAAGTCCGCGGCGAGCAACTACAGAGATAGAGCATCCGAGCGTCGCCATGGTCTAGCAAGCGACTATGCTCAAGTCGAAGCTCTCGCAGAGGACTTTGAACGCAGAGCAGCTGAAGCTGCGGATGCTCTCGCTAAAAAGACCTTAGAAGAACAACGCAAGTATCTGGGTGGAGATTCCGATCATACTATCCTCGTAAAAGGATTGGATTTTGCGCTTCTGGAACAAAATAGGGCGAGAGTTGCTGCGAGTCAGAACGTGGAGGAGAATGAGAGCTTGGAACAGGCATTTTTGGAGGCGAAAGAGCAGGCTGTTTCGGCAACGAATGGAGCTGGAAAGAAGAGGACAAGGGAAGACTTGGTTAGGGAGTTGAAGAACAAACGACTCAAAGGTAGCGGGACGGAGAGTCCATTGTCTGCAGATTCAGGTGCAAGGGAATCAGCAACTGCGATCGATGATGTCGCGAAGTTGGAGGAAGCAAAAAAGGCAGGGAAGTTCAAGCCGATCGGTTTCAAACCTGTAGGGCAGGATAAACACAAGAAGAAAGTCAAGAAAGTCAAGGTTGAAGGTACTCGTACGACTACTATGACTACTTCGACAACTACGACAAAGAAGGTGAAACGCAAGGACATTCTATCTGTGGTTTCTTCCTCAACAACATCCGCACTACTCATTGCCGACCGCACTGCAACTTCCACATCTCGACCTACCCAACCCACTCCACCTGCTGTGCCAGAACTGGAACCTCTCGAAGGAGATTTGGACATCTTTGCTGGCGCAGGGGAGTACGCTGGCGTTGACCTCGGCTCTTCCTCTGAGTCAGAAAACGAAGACCGAAAGCCACAAAAGTCGCGATCTCCATCACCAATGGCAATGCAGCCAAAGGGATGGTTTGACGACGAAGGGGATGAAGAGCGTCTGGGGAAGCCGAAATCAGGGAGTCCGCTACAGGATATACAATCACGAAGTAGAGAGAAAGAAGGCTCGCAGGAAGAAGGTGAACTTACTGCCTCACGTCGATCACGGTCGCCTTCTCATCCGCCCCAACGCTCCCATTCACATCACCCAGAAGAAGGTGAAGAACATGAACAGTCACCGGAACCAGAGATCCCAACCCGTTTGCAACCTCTTAGTTCCTCTGCTCTTCCTTCTATTCGGGACATGTTGGCGATGGATGAGGAAGCTCAGAAAGCTCAGAAACGTAAAGCACGGAAGGAGAAGGCGGGTAAAGGGAAGGGGGAGAAGAAATTGGATAAGGAAGGAAAGGTTGAACGGGATTATCAGAGGTGAGTGTTGGATCAAAACATCCAAAGAGCTAAATGACTTCTGTCAGAATTCGACGTTGACTTACGTTCTTCGTTTTCGTTCTCCTTGTAGGTTGAAGTCGTATACGGAGAAGAAGGCTGCTGCCAAAAGTTGACCGGCACTCTTACCTTATGATTCTGTCATTTCGGAATATATACCTGGTCACAAACCTGGCCTGAAAATGCAAGATAATATTCATTCTCGAGGATCCAATATATACGTGGTGTAAGACTGCCTCATTGGCGGCTGGTTTGACTCCTGTGGAGGGGTTTGGATGAGGGGGAGATCTAGGGGATGAGTATGACAGAAATGTCATTTATTGTCCGCCGCACGACCTTGCAGCTGTAACAAAAAATGGTGTATATACATAGCCTCCAGTACGCAGACCAATAATGGACCTACTGAGGTAACGGCTCCCCACATGTATAACCGCGATTAGGCAACCCTCCAATTCGCATCTCATACCAGACGCCTCAGTATGAGGGCGAACACCAAGACAGCTTCATTTGGTCGTAATATGGTGGTAGTACATACAGTGAACTTCGTTTATACTTTGCTTCATCCTTCAAGAATCATCACTGTGTCAGTCCATCGTAATCATAATCATGATCAAAAATAAGTAATATCGTCCATAAACAGTCCGCATCCAACCCGCCGCCTCCAACTCCACGGCATAAAACCCAAATAGAAAGAAACCAAAAAGGGCGCGACCAACTTAACTTACGACTTGCGACCAAAGTCAATGCACACTCCTCGTCACTCGGCTGCGCTCGTGCTCCCAGTGCTAACCGCATACTCATGTCTCCCCATATCGTAATCCGATCCGGAAGGCATGCCAACGAACATACCCCGTACACCTGATGAATGTGCAGATGCACTGTGACTGGGGAGGTTGAGACTGGCTGATGCGGGGTGGTTCTGGCTCAAACCGCCTGCACGACGAAGACCGAAGCTTGGTGGGGCTGAATAGCAATCAGACTGTGCACGACGACTGTAAAGATATAATCTAGGTTGTCAATACTAGATAAACCAAATCGGAATGGAACGAAAACAACGTACTTGCGGAACGTCGGTCCCAGAGATAACTGGGCAAAGTTACTCGGGAAGAGCGGTCTCCCCGGTCCTCTCTCAAAGTTCGCATCATACCCTTCATCCCCACTTGTACTCCCAAACGATGAACTCCTGCCAATCCCATGAATAGGAGGTGACCTCGGCATACTAACGATATTGAGCGGTGAGCGAGGGATGCCTCCAGACACGCTCGCACGTACGGGAGAGCTGGACGCAGAATGACCGTGACTGCTCACACTTCCCGCGCTCGCCGTACCACTAGGACTGATATTGGGACTAATCCCGCCTAGACCAGAGACTATTGGGACAGGCGCTGGGGAGGTGCTGAAACGGATACCGACAACTTCGACATCCAGATGAGTAGAGTCTTTGTCCCGGGCAGGTTCTCCTAGTTCCTCTTCTTCTTCCTCCATTACCCCTTCGAGGGAAGTGTGAGTAGTAGAAGAAGGTGGTGGTGGATGCGGGGAAGGTGGGGCAGCGATGACAGGTTCAACCGAGATCTCTTCGATTGCAGAAGGGACCAAGACATCGATATCACCCTGGAATCCTGGTTCCTGAGGGGTCGCAGCGGTAATGGTGGGCTCTCCTGGAATTCGTGATAGCGGAACAGTGAAGGAAACGGGTGAATCAGGTTCAAAGACAGGAACATCCCATGCAGCCTCCCCTCTAGGTCTGGGAATGGCCATTCCACCGGTGGGCTCGATTAGGGGCCTGAGCGACGCCTCGAGTTCTTCATCGTCTACGTTCAGCTCAGGGGGTACGCCCAAAGCACCACGAACTCGCTCCCATATCAACTCACTCCTTTCCAATATATAGGCACGCGCTTTACGTACCCAGATGATGTCGTCCGCAACATCTCGATCGACGTTGCGCAACCACGAGATGAGTTGTTGGAACGACCATTGCTTTGGGTCACTTTCCACCGGAGGTGGAGGCACATCTGTGGTGAGATATTCTATAGGAGAGGTCGAAGGCGTTGAAGACGTCTGTCCAAGGAGCACGAAGAGTTTGTTTGTAGGTGGTTGAGAAATGAGCTGCGAAACTTCTGCTGGCCTCTCGATAAATGGAAGGTAAACCGAGTCAGGAAGAGGAGTGAAGGACACAGGTGATGGCTGCGACGGCACCACAGGTGCATTTGGACCTGCAATTGCGGGTCGTGGATTGACGGATTGTCTGGCAAGCTCGACAAGCTGCTCTGGAGACAGCCTGGGCGGCTGTGGTGGGAGAGAGAAGCTCTGGCGTGGCGAACCAGGAGTAGTAGGTCGAATGCGAGGAGAAGGGGGACTTGCGCGCCCGCTGATTGCGCCCGGTGGCGAGAACGAGGAGAAAGCAAAGCTCATTCGCCCAGGCTCGCCTTTGCCTGTGGTCGAAGTAAGTGAAGCGTTGCGGCGATGTCGCCTGCTCTCCTCTGGTTCTACAGGAGGAGGAACACGAACGATGGTGAGTCGACTGGCACACTCTCTAGTAGGGCTCAGGTTCACATCAGCGTGTTCGCCCCAAGGATCGAGGGCGGAGACTGAGCCCCGGCGCACACTAAGTCTACGCGTTGGCGCGGGACCCAAGGTCGGGCTTTGGGTCGGCGAGACAGACGGGTTGGACTCAATATTAGGGGAGGTTTGCATGACAGACGTCTTTTGGTAAAGGCTTCGGGCTGCACAAAGCTCAGAGTGAACTTCTTGGTTCTGAGAGTCCGTCCTTCGCTCGAAATAGAACGACGAACAATCTGTAAGACCACTTCAGATATATTTCTGCGGGGCCCCAAGGGAGATTCTAGACACGGTCCGAGGGGTATCAGATTCAACGAGCATCTAGGATAATCAGATCTGGGACTCTACCTCTTGGCGTAACGTTTAGCAAGTTGAGATCACTGCAGACGTCAGTGAAGCGGGTCGATTGAGGTCGTCGATGTCTCAGACGATGAGCAGACTAACGAGGGCAGATGGTGGTTGGATGGGAAGAAGATAGCTTGCATATTTTTTGAATTGGTACGAATCTGGACGTTCTTGGAGGCCGGAACCAGACGGGGCAGTTGACGCAGCCTTGACGTACTCGATCGAACCCCATTTTCTGCCATTTCCAGGTCTCGAACCGCAGTCCACAGACTCCCGGATAACACGGTCCGGCGTCTCATTGGTAGTCAAGTTGGCGCCTTCATACGACCTTGCTCAGAAACGTTTGCTGCTGAAGCTGCATGTCCAAAGTAGCCAAGGTCACGCTCGTCGGCGCTGTCCTTGCGTCCACCATCGTAGTATGGGGTGTTCACTTTCTCCAGAGGCGGGAGGCGGACGTGAGTAAATACACCCGATTCTCGAAACAACACATAAATGACCAGGTTATCAGACAATGCACCAAGGAGTATTACGAGACGATGAGCGAAGGAAGGAAAAGATGCGACAACGAGAAGCAGAGTTCCTGGAATCGCAGCGCAAACGCGCACTATATGAAAGTGTACAACACGTGCCCACGAAGGATAGCCAGCCGAACTCATAACATTGGCTTCCCCAGCGTATACCAAGTTATTAACACTCAAGGGAGCGTCAATGGCAGCAAAGTCTTGCACGAGTTTATGCAAGTCTCCGTTCGTTCGCCGTTGTTGTCTACTCACAAATACGTCTAGATTCTCCAGGCTATATCCATGTCCGATGAATACATGCACTGGATGTGCTTTGTCACATGTACATTCATTCTATAACAGTAAACGCTTTGGAGTTTGGATTCTAAAGGTGATCTACGATCGTTCGTGTATTTATATCCGAGTGTCCATATTCCAGGTCACCAGAAGCCCATACCCGAAACCGCTACGTCCGCCGCAGTCTTCAGGATATGTATTTGGCTCGCTAATGTTCCAGCTCATGCCAACTATGTAAAAGACATTTCATCAATTGTACAAGCTCAGCTTCTCAGGTTTCCAAGGCTACGTTAATGGTTTCGTACCCAGACGGAAGCCACGAGCACCGCGCGCACGTTAATAGCTTTCGTGCATGAGCGTTACCTATAAAAAGCATCATCTAATTCGACCATTCTTTCTATAGAGACGTGGGTTTGAGCGTTTGATACTTCAATCATAGCGATCTCCGCCGCGGATATCATTAACTTTCCCGAACGCCGTTTACCCAGTCAGAGGACCGAAGCTCTACCTACGTTAGGTTGTAAAAGAGGACATTATCTTCGCCAATATCCTCTCTCTGAGGTGAGCAGAAAGACATTGACTATGGGCAATATGCACTGACAAGTGGATCTTGTATTTCAATGATCGTTGTTGGCAACAACTAGTTCGAACATAGCGAGATTTATACCAGGTCACATACATAGTGAATTACATGTGGGACACACTAACTAAGCAATGCTAACTCACTAACTCGTCATGTAACTTAGCGGTGAAAATAGAGTTCACTTTCGCTTCATCTTCATCTTCCGATTCTGAATAACTGGCTTCAATATCCCCGGCGGGCTGTGGGCTCACACTCTGGGTATCAGCATCCTGCTCTCGACACAAGGCAGCACGCTCGAAAGTTGAACCATCCACAGGGGTCGAATTATGAGCGGACGATGACGCTCGAAACCTCTTCGGCTGCACAATGCTGGAGGCTTGCGGAGAACGGGCTCTTTTGCGAGGAAAAGTCTCAACAGATCGTGTCCCGTCAACCGGACGGTTCCTCTCAGTAAAGCTCACATGGAGCATTGTTTCGAAGTGGTCAACCCCCGAACTTCGCCAACAATTCCAGTCTTCATCTTGTATCGCCTTGTACAATATCTGACCGATGTATACATGTTCATCCAGTGTGCGTATTGCAGGTTCTTCATGGACATCCGGTGCTGCGATCTTGAAGGTGATATCGTCGTCTTCTTCAGGATCCTCATATGGTGACCTAAGGGCGTCCAAGTCTACTGGTAGTTCTGTGATAGTATAAGTTTGTTGTGGAGCCTTTATTTTCTTGAGGATGTCGGCCGGTAGGAACCTTTCCAGCTCTATAAGGTCAAGAGAGCGATAGTGGGATCTGCAGAGACGCATGAGTTTATCTAGGACGTTCTGGAACCTCTCATCTGATATTAGCTGGAAGCTGTAGGTGCCATACATTATGGCATGCCACTTCCCAAAGCATCCATATAGAAGGCCATCTGAAGAACAGGTGCAATCGAAAAATAGTTGGTGAACGACCAGAGCGAAGTCCCCAGGATTTCGAAGAAGGGAATGGCGGTGGTATCGTAGGGCGCACCAGATGATCACATGCACGAATGCTTCGATATCGTCTGCAAGCTCAAGAAATTTCTTGGGATAATGTAGGCGCACGGCGCAGGTGAATGCCCAGGTACCCTGAATAGTTATAAGTCAGTGAGAAAAATCAGAGAGGTATATCCACAAACCGATGCATTTTGGCGAAGTGGTTTGCGTTCTTGCAATTCGGAGGCGTACTTGCACAAATCCCAATCTATGAGCAGGCCGCGCTTTTTACCATTCACGTGAATGATCAGCATATTATTGTCGCTAATATCGTGATGAAGTATTCCGGCTTTCACCCATGCGGATTCATGTGCTGGGGCGTGAGCGGGTGAGCCCTTTCCTGCAGCATACAGAGAAAAAAATACGAACCTTGGAATGCACACAATACGATATATATCAGGATCCGACTTGTTTCATATGCGTCCAGTGGAAATCCGATTTCGTTGATGATGAGGCGAGAGTGAATCCTTCGTTTGAGCAACGGGGAACTGATGTAATCCTGGGAGAGGGTACATTGTAACTTGGGGTTGTAAACATCGCCACCACACCGCATCGTAGCAATATTTTTCACATTGGCGTTCTTCAGCTTGGAATAAATCTCCCATTCGGGGTGAGAATTCAGTGAATCCGAGCGCCATGCGTCCTTCAACCAGACGAAATCATGTTCGACCGAATCGAACCCGACGTAACCCCTCGTTGCACGACCAAACAGGGAAGTAGCCGGTTTCCGAGGCTTTCCAATAACAAAACATGACGTCTTTCCAGAGATGTGATCGTGAACTTGTACTTCATAGAGAGGCCAAGTGGAAGTTGGACCGTGATCCAATGCATCGTTCATAGCATCCAAGATGAGCGGTTGGATGACTCCATGGTCCTCCGACATATGCTCCCTGAGAGTTGAGATGTTGCATGGTGATGCGAGAGCGGTAGTGGAGTCATACCCTTGCGCACAGTTATCCGCGCGGGCCAGACGATAAAAGAATTTCAGTAAGGTGTTGGGATCTTTGACGTAGTCAAAAGGCGGAGTCATGATGGCAGAGTTCCTGTCGACCGCGAAGAGACGGGCCAAGTTCTTGTAGACATAGAATGCAAAGGTGAACTGGCGATGTTGTCGTGAAAGGATCTCAGTAACATGTCCAGCGAACTGTCCACGTGTTTCACGACTGCCTTCAGTGTCTGGTAAGTCCAGTTCATCCGCACTAAAGCCGAAGCCTTCTCTAGATGAGTCAATCTTGACCACACCGGGAAATATGGTCCATGAGTAAGCGACTCGCCCAATAAATGCTCTGTGGGAATCAGGAGAGACATCCTGCTTATCCGCATCGTCAAGATGGAAGGCCTGAGCTGCTGAGGCCTTATGAACCGACAAGTCTGGTCTATCTGGATCGTCGCTCTCGACTTTCGCGACACTTGTATCTTTGATTTGAAGGAAGTCCACTCGATCCTCTCCGGTGGACCTGCAGGCGGCAAGATCAAAAACATTCTGTATCACGGAGCACTGTACCAATTGGACATGAGTACTCGTCGGGGAAGTAAATCGATGCATGGTCATACTAAAATCCTAGAGAGGTCCCCTTCAGTCCGGATCTTGGTAGGCTTCTTACTCTTCGAGCGAAATGTAATATCGTCGAAGTCGAACTTTTTGTGGCGGAATTCTCTAGGGAGCTCCTTCGGGTCGAAGTTGATGTCTTCACCATCCTTGCCTGGCAGCCAATCTGAGAACCACTTGTCCATCCGTTCCTGATAGAAAGATTCGTCCGTCTCCTCTTCGGCCATTATATAGTAGTAGGAGCAGTTATTGTCGAGTTGGCAGCTTTTGAAGATGTTCCTCAGGAATGAAGTGCGATTGGGATTGTTGAAAAGTAACACGATGTTCTGCCGATGTGGATGTGGTGGGTGGTAACGAGAGTGGCAGTGGCCCACACACTCGGTGCTGACTCTGGCTGGATATAGCTGACTGCTGATTTATTGATCCGCGACTAAACTTTTGTGTGCTGCACAAATGTGGCGGAGACTTCAGTTTGGCGCCGCTCTGTAAGTTACGAATACAAATGTAGAAAATCATTTTCACCGAACGTAACCACGATCGGAAACATGGTTATCACACGTGGATCGCAAGATGGGTTAGTGTTGTTGGCAGGTCAAAACCCTTCTGCCAATTGCCATGGCAAATATGGCAATTGCCCGGCAACTGCCACCGGAGGTCTGGAGGGGGGTGGCAAAACATGGCAGAACTTATAACTATTCTACCGTCGGAGAGATTGTAGTCGATGCACGAAACATAATTGAAATACAATTTTTTGCCTTCCCATTTCTCTTTACTTCCTGTCGAATGTCCAGTAACAAAAAGGGCGGACGGCCGCCCGATGCCTTCATCACACAAAACTTCCGTGAAGCAGGAGACGTTCAAAATAAATCCAACAGAAAATACTACATCTGCAGACATTGCTTTCTGGACCCAGATGCACCCGAGGATTCTGTCAAGAAAATGGAACACCGGGATAACCGCCTTTACAACCACCTAATGGACAAAGGTACCTGTCCAAATGCTCCGGGGGATGCATGGAAGCAAGCACGGTTGGCCCTCCAAAGTAAAGGAAAATTGCAAGTATCAGCACCTGTTCTAGGAACAACTTTATCGGCACCTTCAACAACCGAGCATGAAGACGGCGATGCTGATGGCACGTCCAGACCTACTGCAAAGAAACGCAAAGTCAGTACAACCTTAGACGTGATGAAAATCGACCAGCAGGGAGCCCGGAGGATGAACGACAAAGTATGTTTGGCTTAAGACAGGTAACGGTAGTCTTGTTGCAAACGCATAAAGAAAACAAGTATGCTACGGATTCGTGTACGCTACGATCTACGTAAGGTTCATGCTCCGACCGCTAATCTCCATGAGTCGCCGAAGCGCCCAATTTACAACAAGACGGGTTTGTTGACCATGCGCTTTCTGAGAAAGCACAGTTCGATGCAAATGTTAACCTGCTGAGGCAAGTCATAACCATGACAGAAACAATAGTCAGTCATATTCACCATGATCTATTAATGACTCGCAGGTACTTGATACATACCAATAGCGCCTTTTCGCATTCCGAGAACTTGTTCTTTCATATTTTTGCACAGTCCATCAGACCGTCATACGTGCCTCCAACTCGATACATCCTATCGCATACAATTATGGACAAGGAATATGCACGGGTCGTGAGTGAGGAAATCAGTATACTGCAGGGTCGCAAGCAGTGGACATTCCTTATAGATGGATGGGACGATGCTTTACATTGGAGTCTGTATGGGTCAGTTGCTGCCGAAGTTGGGGAGTTCCCTCAGGTTCTGAGCCTGGAGGACTTGACGGGTGAGCGAGCTACAGCCGATAACCTTGTTGCAGTTGCGACAAAAGCCCTAGAGCGAAATGAGCTTGAAAATGCTCAGGGCGTCATCGCCGTGACCACAGATAATCCAACCACTATGCAATCATTCCGATGGAAGTTCCGGGAGAAATTCTTTTGGATTCTTGTGAGTTCCCACATTCACTTCGGAGCAATGTAGAATTTAGACTCACATTTGTAATGCAGACCTTCTGGTGTTTCCTACACAAACTAAATACAACCATTGGTCGCATCGTTGGTCACCCAGTAATAAAGAAAGTTATTGCACAGACCTCTCGTGTCGTCTCATTCTTCAACCAATCACACTACTGGGGTGGACAACTTGAAGAAGAAGCCAACAGACGTGGTGTGAAGCGATCACTGAAGACTCACACGGATTTGCGTTGGTACAGCCTCATTCTCATGGCAATGTCTGTCCTGTCATTTGCGTAGGTTATGAAGATTTTTGTGTCATATCACAATATACTGAACTTGAATAACGTACTAGCGATCTGCTCTCTGCAGTATGTGCATGTCTGGATGCCCGAGAGAAGACAAATGGTCTGTCTCCAATCAATAACAATGTAAGAACTACTGTTCTTACAGACACACACTATTGGGGTCACCTGCATCAGCTGGTCAAAATATGCAAACTGCTTGTCGATGCAATTGGAAACTTGGAAGCACGACAGACGACGTTAGCAGACTGCATGCTTGAAGTTATTCGCTGTGCTCGCGAGTTGATGTTCCGAGTCCCATTCGCTGAAGGACATGACCATCTTGGCTTTTGGTTGCATGCCAAATCAGTCTTCAACGAGGAGTTTCATCGGATGAACACTGATACTCACAATCTTGCCCTTTTCCTCCACCCACTGTGTCGCCGCATTGCTGTAGGCCAAGCAGGAAAGGGTCGGACATTTGATCAAATTTGCAAGGCTGCACTGGATATTGCTCGTCAACTGCGTTGGCCTGAGGTACAAGCTGTACGGCTTCTTGACAACCTAAAGGAATACTACAGTTGCAAAGGGCCATTTGTTGGAGGTCAATCAGATGCAAAGGCATGGTGGTTGTCTCTACCTATCCTCGCCACTGAAGGCTATCCTATTAAGGACCTCGCTGTGCGGTTACACTCGATCGTTCCTCACACAGCTGAAGTTGAGAGGCTTTTCTCGAACCTTGGTGGAATTCAAGGATGAAAAAGAATCAATCTTACAGTGCCAAACTTCAAGCGCGAAGGCAGAATGCGCTTGAACTACGAACATCTTATTTGGGAGCACAATCGGAAAGCGGGAAAGCCTCTCCATCGGAACCATGCTCATATGCATACTCGCAATACTCCTGGCATCAACACTGACCTTGCAAAGGACCTTGACATCAACTTCACTTGGATTCCACCTCTCGCAGTGACATCTGTTGATGAGGCTATGCAACGTGAGGTTCCGCTGGAAGGACCTGAGGGGATGATGGATGAGCAGTTTGCAGCTGAGTACGAGGAGTGGGAGAGGCAATGGGCGGAAGAAGTAGCGGATGATAATCGCGACGTTGATCCAGTCTTGCTAGATGTCATTCCCACTGCTGGCGAAATCTATGACTTCACTGAGCTTGACCGCATTGACAGGGGAATGGCGCCGGCCTCCTTTAATGAGGAAGTCCAAATGCCTTCTTCTTCGACTGAGGCGGTTGTTTGGAACGTAGATACACTCCTGCGTATGAACGGCATGGAGTTCTAGCTAACATACTACTCTATGATACAAATCTATGGCACTAATTTCTAAGTACACTTTTGCCCGGCCATTTTTGAACCGTACAAGCTCAGAAAAAGCCAAAAAATGAATTGCCATATTTCGCCAGACCTGGCAATTGCCATTTTGCCTGGCAAATGGCAGAACTCGGCCTAAACGAGTTCTGCCCCCTACACTAAGATGGGTTCCCTGGTTGCTATCATCGATAGTGATTAGCACACAGTAGAGAGATCTGCAAACCCCAGTCGATCTCTTTTAGGGAGGTTCACACTTTAGGCGCTGTGAACCTGCGGGGGGTTCACAGCATCTTTGTGACTTTGACGGTTCTCCGCTGGAGAACCCCCAATTGCCTATTTGGGAATGATTGCGCGAATGTGCAGCTGCTGCAGGCCCCTGAGCTGCCAGTTGGCTCTCTCCTCGACCGCCACCAACTGCTGCTGCCTGCGCGCGACGACCGCTGGCGCCATGCGAGTCGTCGACCCACCAAACCCTGCACCACCTCTCATCTTTCACTTCAGCAATATCGATCCTGCACTTCTCACAGACGCCGCAGGCCTGCCGCTTCCTTTCCAACCACAAAACCTGCCTTATGGGGCACCAGGGTACCCACGAGCTCGAGAAGACGATGCTCGCGCCGGTGGATTGTTCTTGCCATGTATGGGGTGGAATGCTGATTCACTGACAGGCCCTTCTGTTGGACAGGGATGCATCTGCAGTCACAGGCCGATGGTGTGCAAGGTGGAGATCGGCCGCCGGCAGAGATGGAGCCAAGCATGGCTGTTGGTGGGGAAAAGCGAGGTCGGGACAATGCAGGTGAGCATATCTCGATGGGTTTTTTGACTATGGGGGTGATGTAACTGATCTCGCCAATGTGCAGCTGCATCGGCTGATGAAGGTGTGAGTGCGAAGCGTGCCCGGAGAGCGGGAGGTACACTGATCGCACTGACATAGTATGTATCGGCCCCCTTCTTGAGCTCTGATCCTGATGCTAATGGAACTTCCTTGCAGCTCTGATATGCGCACAGAGGAGCTGAAAGCTCTCTGTCGTGAGTGCAAGCTCTGTGTCAGTGGTAGGAAGGCTGAGCTTGTGCAGCAACTTCAGATGGCTGACTCGACAGCCACCACTGCACCTATGCAAGTGACTGCTACCATGGGAGATTCCACGGCAGCCTCAGTGACCACCTCCATGCCATCTGACTGTCCTGCACCTTTGGTCAGTGAGCAAGATGGCGGCAGCTCTGACATCAATGACGCTTCCAGCATTGATCCCATGTGTGCCGGTGGACTCCTGGAGTCCTTCCGAGCAGGTTTCAATGGTGATGAAGAAGAGGAGGAGGAAGGGGGGGAGGAGGAGGAGGAGGAGGAGGAGGAGGAGGAGGAGGAGGAGGAGATTGAAGGTGAAGAGTGCGCCGTTGTCCCATATGTTGCGGGAACTTCAGAGGCCATGCTTGAGAAAGCGCAAAGTAAGTACCTCTCCTCACTCACTTCTCTTCACTCTGGCTGATATATATATGGGGGTTCCACTGCTAGAGATGAAGGATCGGATTGATAGCCTGGTTCTTGCCACCCGCCGCACCAGCGGTAAGAGGACAGAGACAAGTGTGGTTCGAATCTGGAAGGTATGTGCCTTGTCCCACTCGGTGAGTGTGTAGGACTTGCTGACAGTCATACCAATACAGCGCTGGGTCCCGTTGGCCATTGAACGAGGTGACATTGCTGATGAGATTGTTGATGCTCACCACATGTGTCAATATCTCCTCTACATAGCCTCACGGCCTCAGCTGGGGCACAGCGGAGCTGCAGCGACTTCATCGGACAAGCTCAGTGCTGTGAGTGTCTCTGTCCATGTGCCACTGCCCTCACTTCTCACTCATTCATGTCTGTATAGTCCACACTGAAGAAGACAATGACAATGCTTGGCCGCATTCGCCAACGTCAGTATGATAACAATCCGGCACTGATGCAGGTTCGCCCAGCAGAGTCCACGCAAATGAATGATCTGTATGCTGCGCTAATGGTGCAGGCTGAGCGCTTTCGTCTTGAGTTTGTCTCATGCTTTCCTCTCTCTCCTTTGTCCGGTGTTCGCTAATCTCAGTCTGTGTCTTCTTCATAGGCGCGATGACCATGATGTCACCAACAACACCATTCTTGACTCTCAGATGCAGCCTCACCACTTTGATGAGATTACGGAAGCCATCCTTGTGCGCTCAACTCAGTGTGCATATCTGTTATTGAGATTGTGAATGCTCAGAGCCTCCCTCGCTCACCTCCTTGCCTTTCTTATAGTGCCCACAATCATCAAAGCACACTGGTGCTGGACATGGCAGTGTGGAACCTTGAATTGTGGTGATGAGTTTCTCAACCTGCTGATGCGGTTCTTGCAGCCATTCCGTCTACGCATCTCAGACTACGCAAGTCCAGATGGGCGCCGCAGCGGCCATGGTTCCTATCATTTTGGTGTGCTCTCAATCTTTCATGACACTAAGGTTGCCAAGCCTGGTCAGCGAGAGCCAGACTACAACTTTGTCCTTCCCCATCGTGATCCCCTTCAGTGCACCATCGGCATCCTCGCCCTGCAGCTCTGGTACATGTTTGACCATGAGCAGCTGCTGTCGAAGGTGGATGGCTGGAATTGGTCAGTGAACTCATCATGGGGAGGTCAGAAGATCATGTTTGGGCGGTCGGTGACTCAACCATGTGCTCCGGAGACACTGGGTAAGATGTATGAGGCATTCCTGGACAGGACATCCATTGTTTCCAGCAAGAAGACTCACCTCGCTCATCGGGTGATGCCTGGGGTCATGGAGGATCTTGGGTGAGTGCTCTGGTTGCATTTCAAGTTTGCTGACACTCGCTGAGGTTCATTCATGCAGCGTTCACTCTGATGAGGTCGATGCCATTGGCCACTGGTGCGGAAACACCCGTCGCGAGGTGTACTCAGCTAAGATTCCCAAGACAGCCTGCACGGCACTGGCAGGATTCTTCATAGGTGAACAGTACCATGTTCCCTGGGCTGATGTTCCTGTCCCACATGATCTCCAGCTTCGGATCTTTCCCTTCGTTGAGGATGCGCTGGCTAACCTCAAGACCCAGCCCAAAGTCAATCATGGCACTGTCAACTTCCTCGAGCTGCTACAACAGCTTCGCCCATTCTTCTGGCGAGTGATCACTGCTATCAATTCCAAGTTCCCCAGTTCCATACTGCTGAGCCATCTGAAGTCTCACAGCATTCTTGCCGGTGCAGGAGCTGAAGCCTCCAGGTTTCTTGCTGACTGGTCCTCTGCTGTTGCCGCACAGGACCAGCGCATTCAGACGGTGTGTCAGATTAGTGCTGGCTTCAGCGAGAGTGCTACGCAGTCTGCATTCGTATCCATCGGTGTGCGGACAGTGGTACTTGAGGACACACTGAAGTGACATACTGAGAAGCTTGACAAGCTCACATGTCGTACTGCACAGTTCTCCCCTTCCCGTTCTCACCACCAGCCACTCACTTCGCTCACTGCAACACCTCAGCCTTCAGGCTCTCACCTTCCTCCTCTGTTCGATGCCGGCAACTCTGCACCTCGCCTGACCTCACTTGCTGACTCTGCAAGCCCTTCCACTGGTGCCCCACCTCCACCTTCCTCTCATCCCAATCCAGGCTCACCTTCTGTTCTGCCGCATTCACCAATCCTCATTCCCATCCACCTAGCGCAAGACTCTCACAGCTTCAACATCCTGCCACTCTCACCGGGGTTGAACCCACCTCGCACGGTCTCTGACCTCATCCTCCCAGACCCTGTTGCATTCTGCAATGCCTTCATCCCACCGTCACATGCTCAGTATCCATCGTTCACTGCTTGCACGTGCAATTGGCAAAGCGTCTTTCGGATGGTCAAGCAACCCCAGCATCTTTGGAAGGCCTGGGGACCTGGCAACATCGGGGACTACTCAACCCTTCAGGAGATGTGGGATGCATGGGCAGAGGGGGCAGTTGTGGAGGGCGTAGGAAAGAAGGCACCACTGCGAGACGTAGAGCAGCAGTGGGGCAATGCGAGGAACCAGAAGACGAATGCGGGTCGACATCCAGCATGGCGACCACACAACAATGGCCAGGTATGTGTTCACTTCCCTCCCATGCCAGACTTTACCTGCTCATTTTTCCCCACATTTGCAGGCTCGAAAGCAGTGGTCAAAGTTCATGTTCTTCATCGGCCGCCTGGAGGAAGCCATCGGTGAGGGAAAGACAAGTGCCGAGGCCATTTCTGACATGGAGAGGAAACAGAATGGATGCTCACTGCCGCAGCTGTTCAAGAACTTGCAGCCAAAGAAGGCGAGGGCAGCGGCCAGAGGTGCCGCCATCTCCATGCTTCCTGTCCCTTTGAATTCCACTTGATTCGATTCCCTAGTTGTATGTAGATACTCGGTAACCATGATACTCAATCTCATTCAATGCTTCTCAGTCCTAGTCTACATGCTGGTACAAAAAGGAACTGCTGTCCTCCCCCTCGGCTTCCCCTGTTTATGCCCACATCCATTGTTGTTGCCATTGTTGCTGTTGCCGCGCCACCGGCCACTCTCGTTGCGGCCAGTTTTCATCGCCATTCGCACCGCAGCCGCCGGCGTCAATGACGATGACAATGATGGGCACCCAAAGTGAGCGAGCGAGAGAGGCCAGAGGCACAGAATGACAGGCCAGCGGCCGCCCCAAAGAACGAGCGCCAGCCCTAGAGAGGCAGGCGCCCGAACCGTGCCCAAAATGGGAAGGCGTTGGGGCCATTGGCGCCGAAGAAAAGTTTCAGTGGGGGAGGAAAAGTGTTTGCGGGCGAGGGCCCCGCGCGCGCGAGGAAGTGTGAACCAAAGCGTGAACCCGGCCCTTGAAAGTGTGAACCAGCGTGAACCGTGAACACTTTTCCGTGCATCGAGGCCATTTCCCATGCGGCAAAGTGTGAACCGGCCGTGAACCACCCACCAGGCAGGGTCACGGGCGCCCGCGCAGTTCACGCAACTTTGCCTGAGACCTGGGATGACTACGATTGGAGTAATCGCGGATTCTGAGGGTAGGGAGCGATTTTGGAAGCCTCTGCACAGGCTCAGTAATAATTTTACTTATGTGGGTATCGAACCCACGCCTTCTCGTCTTTCGTTCACAACTGACTACGTCTCCTTTTGGGTGCTAGCGATGCCCTAGCAGAGGCCCTTTAGGAGAACGCAATCGTAGCCACTCAGTTGTCAACGGCCGAAGCTCCCCTCTGTTGGAGCTCCCCTCTGTCATCATACAAGCTCGAGCTTGTTCATATATACCTGGTGTCAGCTCTGTCGACAGGCAATGCTCCCTGTCCCAACTCCAGGTATGCATATCCTATTTCCGTGCATTAGCTATCATCGACGATGCTAATGCTTCCTTTCCCGACTCCAGGAGTATTCTTTCGAAGCCTCATATATCTGTGTTGTATTATTTCGACTACTTCATCCGATACTAGGCTTTTAACTCAAAGCCCCTATCTCCATCTACATATCATCCTTCATGCCTGATCATGGGAATGAAACCAATCATGAAGGTGATGACGAATCACCTTCCGATACATCTCAAAGACACACCATTTCCTCTGAAATTGAAGCATCTAAAACAGATGAAATTCGAGAGCAAGCAGAAGCTTTACAAGCCCTTGTCAATGAAGCTTTGCGAGGGGAACTTGATGAAATCATGCTGCAGTCCCAACTTGCAGAACTTCATACTTCTCCTGAAGAAGCTCAAGATGTTCTCGATCAAGTCATTCAGCAACGGCAATCTAATACTGATCAAGAGGCTGATTCATTTGGAAGAGAAACAGATGACACTGAATGGAATGATAGGCTACAAAATCAAGCCGACTCAATCGCTTGGGCCATCTTTCAAGGTAAACTTGATGCAGCCCGAAAACTTTCAGCTAATTCCGGCTCATCAAACCTTGATGCTCTCCGTTCTCTGTTATCTCTTCCCTCATCCTCTTTCGTTAACTCAGGAGCTATTCCTCCTGTGGTCCTCTCTGGTGCACCTTTTCTGGCAAAGCAATCCAAGCCTCCCGCAGACAGACACATTGCAGAGACTTTACGATTACGATGCCTTTATCGCACTGAAAAGGCCGCTGACTCCATTATCGACTCTTTGCAACAGCACTCCTCCCTTGACGAACTGCTATCTCGTTCAATCTGGAAGGATATTGTTGCAGACAAATATGTTGATTTTGAAGTTCTTTACGGATTGTTGGAGTTCGGGCACGACTATGAAGATGAACCGAAAGAGTTTCATGATGATTATGTCTTGGTTAAGAAAGAGAATTGTTCGAAGAAGAAATCCATTCGGAGTGAAGCTGATTGGATCCGTCTATATGGTGCCTGGGAAAATGCTGTCAAACTCGTTTATCCGCATTGGAATGAGGAGCTCCATGAGTATCGTCGAATCATTATCGAAATCTTTCGTGCTTGCGCAAATGAACCTTACATTGCAATCACCACTGACCAAATGGTTCGACAACTTTACGCTCACGCTCCCTTTCACCTCGATGATCGTCAGAAAGCTCAGGTACCTCTTATGTCGAATCTTCGAACACCTTCCATTCTGAAGCATCCATTTGACAATTCAATCCCGTTTCCTCGGCCTAGCAAATGTTCAATCATCCCTTGCGAAAATTGGAACCTTGGGAAGTGCGAGTCTCCTTGTTTCTGGAAATGAAGACATGACACTTGCTCTGAATGTGGAGCCTCGCATCGAGCCCAAGACTCCGCCAATTGCTTCGCCTCCCTCTCTAACCGACGCAGAGAAAGACAAGTTGGTGGAAGCTTCTGAACGCGTGAGCAAAGCAACAGAAGGACCTCGTCGTCTAGCGGAGAAACAAAAGGCCGATGAAAGTTTCGAGCTTCCAAGATATCATCGTGGGTATGGTTGGGCTAATTCCGTCAAGCCATTCATTTCACCTGCCGCCTTCTATTCTGAAACTGCTCCTCCATTACCTATGCTCCCCGATCATTTAATAAATAACCCCAAAATACGTGCTGCTCTTGACTATTACGCTAATGACATAAAAGTTGAAACACCATTCAATCTTCTGATGCTCGAAAAATATCTTGAAACTCATCCAAATCGCCCACTAGTCGATTCAGTTCTTTGGGGTCTTCATTACGGTTTTTGGCCAATGGATGAAGGAGGTTGGAATTTCGATGAAGACAGCATTATGGATAACTATCCCGCCGATGAAACTGACTTTGAAGTTATCAAACACTTTCAAGACAAAGAACTCGCTGCCGGTCGATGGTCTAATCCAATTCCTACCCTTCTCCCAAGCATGAAAATCTCACCCATGTTTGTAAACTGGCGTGATCCCGTGAAACCCCGTGTTGTTACTGATCACACCACTTCTGGATTGAATGACGGAATCCCGAAAACTGAAGCAAAAGTCCGTTACGATGATATGCATGACTTTGGACAAACACTACATGATATACATCAGCAATTTCCCAACATTCCTTTCATTCTTTACAAATCTGATGTCTCTTCCGCATTCCTCAATCTCCCAGCTCACCCAATCTGGCAATTATGCCAGATTGTTGTCGTGGATAAAGACATGCACATCATTCATCGACTTGTTTTCAGAAACCGAGCATCGCCTCGCATTTGGTGTGCTCTGTTCAGCTTACTCTGCTGGATTGCCATTCATCACTTGCACATCTCCGGCATTTTCGTATACATGGATGATTTCTATGGCTGGGACTTTGCCAATGATCTTGTTTCCTTTCACAACCAATTGCGCCCGCATCGTCAAGTCACTCTCCTCAAATTTTGGGATGAAATTTCCTGTCCGTATGAAGACAAGAAGCAATTACATGGGCCTGAACTCAAGATCATCGGATTCTGGATAGATATCAACCGTGGAACAATTACCGTTCCAGCCTCATCAGTTCACAATGCCATCAACGCTATAAATGCTTTCGTCTCACGTCGATTTGCCTCCCTTCATGATTGGTCCCACCTTGCCGGACACCTTAACTGGATTCTCAATGTTTTCCCTCTTGCTCGCCCAGCCCTCACTGAAATGTATCGGAAGATGAGTGGAAAGAAGCGACCAAAAGGCCTCATTCCACTTAATCGCGAAGTCATCACTGACCTTACCTGGTTCCGTGATGTCCTGCCTCAAGCAATAGGTGTCCATTTCATCGACAATGGCCGGTGGCCCGATTCAGTTGCAGATCTTACTATTCAGACAGACACGACCTTATCTTTAGGCATCTCCTTCGTATATGACAACCAAGCATTTTGCTATCAAATCCGGCCATCATCTACGAAGATCATTCCAGACATCTTCTTCTTAGAAGAGATCGGGGTTCTATCAGCTATTCACCATGCTGCCACACTTCCATCGCCACCACGGCACCTTCTCATCTACTGCAACAATCTTGATGCCGTCCAGTCGTTCAACGCTATGCGAGCTACTGAACCCATGCATAATGCACCCCTTCTCGCGACTGCTGAAATTGTCCTTCGTACTGGTCTTGACTTCCGTGTTCATCATATTGCCGGTAAAGACAACACTCGCGCCGATCTCATATCTCGCCTTATGTTTGACGAGTATAACCACAAGTTCCCAAATCAATGCGTCCGCTCATTCTCTCCACCTAGAGAGCTTCTGCCGGCGCGATGGAGGGAGTGCTTTTGAGCGCGCTCGGCGAGCAGGCTCCAAACTGCCTGTATCCTGCTCGCCGGCGACGTCCTTGTTCCTTACAGGCAATCGATCACTGTGTCTCATTCCTGCAAGCTCACTCTATCGAGGATTCCACCAGAAAAGGTTACCGCACTGGTGCGAAAGACTATATCAAATTCTGTCTCCAGCACTCCATTCCGCTAGATCCCACTCCCCAAACTCTCGCTCGTTATATCGCCTATACATCACAGTTTATCGCATCAGCTCCCAAATACCTTACTGGTGCCCGTCATTTTCTTACTGACATTTACCCTGAGTTCGATGAAAACCGTAAATCGGCCTTCGTCCATACTACAATCCATGGTTCTATCAAACTCCGTAGCGATCCCATTCATCGAAAACTCCCACTGCGTCTCTCCCATCTTCTCACTTTCCATTCCCTCGCCCTCCATTCATCGGCCACCTACGATGACCTTCTTCTATCGACAATTCTCACTGTTGCCTTTTTCGCTTGCCATCGTATTGGAGAACTCCTCATTCCTAACGACAGATCTCTTTTCGACTGGAAGAAAATCATCAAGCGATCCACCCTTAATTTTCCCTTCAGACGAGCCTCATATATTCTCCCCTACCACAAAGGAGATCCTCTATATCATGGGACTCTCATCATGCATATGGATCATGATGCCATAAACCCAGTCCACCTTTTACAAACTTATATCTGTCAGCGAGATCTCCGTCATGGTGGATGCCCCGCTTTGTTTATAAAAGAAGACGGTTCATTGCCAACCAGGTTGTGGTTTGAACAAAAATTCTTCTCTGTCCTCCCTCGATCTGAATACGGAGGTCACTCAGCACGAGCGGGCGGCGCCACATATTACGCCAACCTAGGACTCTCCGAAGATATCATCCAAGCCATAGGTCGCTGGTCCTCTGTCTCTTGGAAGTCCTACATTCGAGATAATCCAACCATTCATGCGGAACTTCAACTTGCAGCTCTCCGTCGATCATAGCCATCAAGCCGCGCCTTTCTCTTCACACCTCCACCATCCCCCACACTCACACATCCATAGCCTTTATAGCTATATCGCGGCTTGCAATGGTATTCTTTGGAACTGGCGCCCGCCAGTTCTGTCACGGCTTTTCCGTTCGTTCTGAGACGACCTAGCAGAGGTTGGAGTAATCGCGGATTCTGAGGATAGGGAGCGATTTCGGAAGCCTCTGCACAGGCTCAGTAATAATTTTACTTATGTGGGTATCGAACCCACGCCTTCTCGTCTTTCGTTCACAACTGACTACGTCTCCTTTTGGGTGCTAGCGATGCCCTAGCAGAGGCCCTTTAGGAGAACGCAATCGTAGCCACTCAGTTGTCAACGGCCGGAGCTCCCCTCTGTTGGAGCTCCCCTCTGTCATCATACAAGCTCGAGCTTGTCCATATATACCTGGTGTCGGCTCTGTCGACAGGCAACGCTCCCTGTCCCGACTCCAGGTACGCATATCCTATTTCCGTGCATTAGCTATCGTCGACGATGCTAATGCTTCCTTTCCCGACTCCAGGAGTATTCTTTCGAAGCCTCATATATCTGCGTTGTATTATTTCGACTACCCTCCCACCTCTCCCTTCTATTTAACTATTCTACTTACTTATTTTACATTTACTCTACTTTCTCTAATGTATATAAGCTATATCGCGGCTTGCAATGGTATTCTTTGGAACTGGCGCCCGCCGGAAAACTTGCAGGAGGAACAGCAGCCGTCTTGCGAGTCCGACTGGCCCTGATGACCTGTCAACACAAGTTGGCATGCGACTCGCGGAAAGAGCCACAGCTGGACTCATAGAAATGAGCGCAGAACTGGGGATTGCCACTTGATTGTGAGTCAGACGAGTAAAATGTGTTATATTTTAAGAGAACAAAGGCATATTTCGTTTTCAGACTCAATTCAAGTATGGGAGAGAAATGTTTTGTGTCACGTACTTACCACTCAGGCCACTGAGTGGCCGCACTGCAGCCACTGCCAATCAGTGCCTTTATCATATTTGTGCTTGTTTTGCGGAAGCCTCAAGTGTTTGCCATTTTGGGCAGAGTGAACGCGGAAGTCGGAATTCTAGGCGCCAACTTCCAAGCGAGTTTTGCATGGCTGCAGTGCTGCCACAATTTGGCACTATCCACATTTTTCTTGTCTCTCCTTTTGGATGTATCGAACTCCTGTAACGCACTATATGTAGGGTACAGTAGCGTAGGTGATTCCCCCACGCGTGTGCCCACCTTCGTACCTACTCTAGGGGGCAAGCCCCGGACCCCCCACTGGCAGTAGCACTTTGCTCATTACATGCTGTTAATGGCAACATGTCAGGAGGTGATTAGAAAGAAATCAGGTCACGGCGTTCATGTCTCAAAGTCTCCGCTCGTGTCCATTGATGTACAGTAGGTTATCCATTGAGTCTGACGGTGGTCGTCGAGACCTGGTAGTTCAAAGCTTAGCATACGGTACATCTCATAACTGGTTAGGCGCACTCATGATAGCGAGTCACATAGTACGATATACCTACTACGTAACGCTAGCTCGATATCTCAGTCCGCGACATCATGTAACTTGGCAATGGGGACAGACTTCACTCCCGCTTCATCGTCATCTTCCAAGCTCGAACCGCCAGCTGCAACAATCTCGGGAGGCTGCAGACTGGCGCTCCGAGCACTAACATCTTCCTCCTCTTCAGGCAAGTCAGCAAGCTCGGAAGTGGATGCGTCCACACTGGTCGCACCAGTAGGAGATCGTCTGGGCTTCTTCGGTTTCACGCTTCCGGAAACTTGGGGAGGACGGTTGCGTTTCTGAGAAGAAGTTGTAAAAGATTGCGTCCCTGCAATAGTTCCGCGCCCAATGGTGAGATTAACATCGAGCATTTTGTTGAAGTAGTCGATCCCGGGTATCCGTTTACACTTCCAGTCCTCAGGTTCTATCGCATCAAGCAACGCCTGACCGATGTATGCATGTTCATCCAGAGTACGCACTGGGGGCTCTGGATTAACATTTGCAACTCCAGATGGCACGACCTTGTATTTTGCTTTCGCCTCGGGCCCATATGACAACTTTAAGGCATTCGTTTTTCGTTTGGGTTTCACTATGATAGATGCCTCGTCGGTAGCAGATGCTTCCGAGTCGATTCGTTCTTGTTCTCTATTGATGTCAGCCGACCGGAATTTCTCGAGTTCCTCAAGGTCGAGGGAGCGATAATGGCTGTTGCAAAGCCGCATGAGCTCGTTTATAATGTTCTGGAACCGCTCGTCGGAGGTCAGCCTGAAGCCTGGGTCACCCGCCATTATGGTATTCCATTTCCCTGCACATCCGTAGAGAAGGCCGTCTGAAGAGGTGGAGCAACTGAGAAACATTTGATGGATGAATATAGAGAAGGCTTCAGGGTCCGCTAGAAGACTGTGTTGGTGGTATCGTAGAGCACACCAGTTGATAACATGCACAAATGATTCGATGTCGTCTGCGAGTTCGGAGTATTTTTTGGGGTACCGAAGGCGAGCGGCACAGATGAACTGCCAGGTACCCTGAATAGTCATTAGTCAGAAAGCATACCCAAGGGAAATATGTACACATACCGATCTATTCTTGTGAGTTGCCTTGGGTTCTGTTAGCTGAGATGCGTACTTGCACAGATCCCAATCTATGAGTATGCCACGTATTTCTCCATTCTCGTAGACAATCAAGATATTATTATTGCTAACATCCCGGTGGAGTGCTCCAGCTTTCACCCATGCATCTTCATGTGCTATAGTGCAAGCATGTCGGTTGTTGTCCGTAAACCAGAATTGAGAACGACGAACCTTGGAATGCACATAAGACGAAGAATATCAAGTCTGAACTTGTCTCATACGTTTCCAGTGGACACCCGATCTCATTGATGACAAGGCGACAGTGAATCCTGGGTTTCAGCCGCGCAAGACTAAGCTTCGCCTGAGAAAGAGTGCACTGTAACTTGTGGCCATGCACATCACCGCCACATCGCATCGTAGCAGTGTTCTTAACATCGGCGTCCTTAAGTTTTTTATAGACTTCCCATTCAGGATGAGAATCCGGTGAGTCCAGACGCCAGGCATCCTTCAACCAGACGAAGTCATGCTTGACCAAATCAAATGCAATATAGCCCTTCGTTGCACGACCAAACATAGAAGCAGCGGGTGTCCGAGGCTTTCCAATAAGAAAGGGCGACATGTTTCCGGACTCCTCATCGTGAACTTGGACCTCGTAGAGAGGCCAAATAGAAGTCGATTCGTGAGCAAAAGCATCATTCATAGCGTCGTCAATGAACGGTTGGATAGCCCCATGGTTGGTAATCATATGCTCCTTGAGAGTGGAGATGCTGGTAGATGATGCGAGCGTGACAGTGGGGTCATAACCCTGTGCCGAGGCGTCAGCTTGAGCCAGACGATAGAAGAATTTCAGAAACGTGTACGGATCCTTGACATAGTCGAACGCCGGGGTAGTCACGGAAGCAACCCTGTCGACGATGAAGAACCGAGCCCAATTCTTGTAGATATAGAACGCAAACGTGAACTGACGATGTTGTCGAGCGAGAATCTCAGAGATATACTCAGCGAACTGTCCACGAGTTCGACGACTGGCCTTGGTGTCAGGAAGGTTCAATTGGTTACCCAAACCGAAGCCGTCATCCTTGATTTTGGCCTCGCCGGGTAGCAGACTCCACGAGTAAGCAGCGCGTCCAACGAATTTCCTATGCGATTTCGAAGTAACAGTCTTCTTGCGGGCATCTTCGAGCTCGAAGGGCCGAGACACGGAGTCCCTGTGAACGAGCAAATCAGGACATAATTTATTGTCACTCCCCTCGGGCCAAAGACTTGTGTCTCGAATTTTGAGCAGATCCCCAGGAGCTTCCTCAGTTGACCTGTGAGCGGCAAGGTCAAAGACGTTCTGTATTACAGGACACTACCACATTTTAAGTATTAGCAGTCATCGAGAGTCCGAGGCAACATAATCTCGTACCAGGATATGATAGAGGTCCTTTTCCAGTTTGATCCTAGGATTGTCACTATTCGCGTCGAACTTAACTTCGTCAAAGTGAAACTTCTTTTCCCGGAATTCTTCAGGAAGATCTTCCCGTTTGAAGCTGAGGTTTTCACCATCTTTACCTGGCAAAAATTTCGAGAACCACTCGTCGAGATCCTCTTGATAGATAGATGTGTCCATCTCTTCTTGCGCAATGACACGATATTGGATGTTGTCCTTGTTCTTTCCAAGTGTTGTGTTGGTGGCCTTATGGGGCGACGCTTGCAGGTCAGGATCAGTTGGGACCTCCGGACAAGACTGCGGGGGTGTGATAGGACGTTCGGTCTCTGTGAGGGAAGCAGGTACGTGCTCGAGGTCTGTGGGAGCGGCAGAGCCGCCGTCAGTCTCAGGCGAACTCATTGTGAGGAGTAGGTGGGGTGTGGAATGTAGACTTACGGGTTACGGGAAGATGAAGCTTTTATATGCCTTCAACCACAACCACACTGAGGTGAAACACGTTGAGTGGTCCATTGTCCTTAACCTAATTGGGTGTGTGTGTGGACCACACTCACCTTTGTGCTTGATTCCGATGACCAAAAAGGTGACTGTGGCTTCTGTGGATAGACCCGTTTTAGAACACAAAGACGGTCAAGACTGTGGCGTGGGGACCGTTATGGAATCACTTATGGGAGCAATGGTAGGACGCGCGCAAGTCGAACATCAAACACAGTCCTAGCACGTGATCGTTACACGTGGACCGTAGGGCAGTGGGTCCCTACGTACGCCGTTGCGAGCTCAGTTATCTATACTTCATGCATTTATCAGGAAACGGTACGACATATAACTGTATAGAAAGTGAGATTTGACCTTTTGGCACATGGGGGGCTCGACGGATTGGTGACGCGAAAATTGGAGCATGACTTACTAGCAGCTTACACGCTTGGAATCTATCTCAGATTTAAGGGAACCGATGTAGAATTCAGGCTGTAAGCATTCCCTTTGATTTAGAGACAGAGTGTGTGTAGTATCGATACCTTGTGTCATGCTTTCATGAGCCGAGGAAGTTTGTACTCCAGAATATTTGTGCTTGTTTACTACTCCCTTCCACCAGATTACCCTCTTAAGTAAGTACAGAGCTGAGGGAGATATGGATATCAAGGCATCTTTGGAGTTGAAGAGAATAAGAAACCCCCAAATGAGATGCGACACTATGCAACGTGGTAGTAGACTCAGAGGAACAAAATGGCCACACTCCGGACTAAGCCATAGATGTCTCTGCAGCGAAGGATGAAGCTTCCAGTACGCAAACAGTTGAAAGGCCAATTTGGCTCAAATTCTTCTTTCGCTATAGAGTGTGAGGATTATACCAGTAGGATTCGAGGCTTTTATACGCAGTATACTAAGGGGTAATGTCGAGCCTTCTCATGTCGCACAGCCACGTAATGTCCATTCGTACGTATCGTTCATCCAAGTTGACAAAACCAGTCACGGACTACAACTCACTGCAGAGGTAAATCGACAATGAAGTGATAATAAAGCGACAGGACTTACATCTGAACGCGCGTTCATATGGTGAAGCTGTACCGGCGATGACCCAATTAGTTATAAAGCAGAATAAAACTTAGATTCTAGATCGTGTTGTGCACCCTACTCGGTGCTCTCCTTCACCCCCAGGACATCTTTGCCTGAGATCAACTCGCTACCTTGAAATCATGACTTGCCTTTGACTGAGTAGAATAACACACCACGCATCCTTACCTGCAGCATATGAGACTTGCGTAGAACGGGCTCGTTTGTGACGAAAAGTCTCGACAGGTCGTGTCCCGTCAACCGGACGGTTTCTCTCAGTGAAGCTCACATGGAGCATTGTTTCGAAGTGGTCAACCCCCGAACTTCGCCAACAATTCCAGTCTTCATCTTGTATCGCCTTGTACAATACTTATCTGACCGATGTATACATGTTCATCCAGGGTGCGTATCGCAGGTTCTTCATGGACATCCGGTGCTGCGATCTTGAAGGTGATATCGTCATCGTCCTCCGCAGGATCTTCATATGGTGACCTAAGGGCGTCCAAGTCTACTGGCGGTTCTGTGATAATATAGGTTTGTTGCGGAGCCTCTATTTTCTTGAGGACATCAGCCGGTAGGAACCTTTCCAGCTCTGTAAGGTCAAGAGCACGATAGTGGGATCTGCAGAGACACATGAGCTTATCTAGGACGTTCTGGAACCTGTACCACTTCCCAAAGCATCCATATAGAAGACCGTCTGAAGAAGAGGTGCAATCGAAAAATATTTGGTGAACGACCAGAGCGAAGTCCCCAGGATTTCGTAGAAGATTATGTCGGTGATATCGTAGGGCGCACCAGGTGATCACATGCACGAATGCTTCGATATCGTCCGCAAGCTCAAGAAATTTCTTGGGATAATGTAGGCGCACGGCACAGGTGAACGGCCAGGTACCCTGAATACTCATGAGCCAGTAACAAGAATCAGAGAAGTAGATCCACAAACCGATGCATTTTGGTGAAGTGGTTTGCGTTCTTGCAATTCGGAGATATACTTGCACAGATCCCAATCTATGAGCAAGCCGCGCTTTTTACCATTCACGTGAATAATCAACATATTATTGTCACTAATATCTGATGAAGTATTCCGGCTTTCACCCATGCGGATTCATGTGCTAGGGCGTGAAGGAATGAGCATCTGTCTACAGCATATTAAAAAAAAACGCATACTTACCATGCGTGCATTATGGGTGGGTGTCTTTTGGTATTTTAGTGTAAGTATATGTTTATCTGTCAGATTACATGTATTGTCGAGCTGTATAATCCACTTACATCGTGAATCTATCCTATTCATGAGATAAGGATAGTTGGTAGCCCCAACGAGCCAAACCTGGGCGATTCTTTCGAGGGTAAATGTTCCTAAAACGGTAAGCACGTTGAGACTCTGGGTCAACAGGCACAAGCAACGACTGGCACCCAGCCACTGGCAGCCTTGCTAGAGCATTGCATCTTTACTAAATTCTTTAGATCTACTGTACCTCAGCCACAGTTTGAATTACGTAAAGCTCAGTCATTTGTCCATGAGGGGTCTTTATCACTTGCTGTCCGACGATAGCTACCTGCTTTTCCAACTTGTGTATCGAACATAGCCAACATTCCGGATGACATCGCAAACACTTGAGCTGCAGCTTTCTACTAGTGGTGGTGGTCGACTGGCCGAAGGTGTTTACACTTTCGAGCAACTTGCGTCTGCTTCTGCACAATCTCCTCTTCACTCCGCTACTTCTGTCCATTTCACGTCGGTGCCAGAAGCCAATTTCTTATCACGCGATTTGAATGGTGGCATACATGTCTATCGTGGCACAATAACTGCATTGGTGGCAAATTCCGAAGTGCGGCTCAATGCTATCTGCAAGATAGCAATCGATTCTGAGGACCAAGAAATTCTTGAGCGGGAGGAGGACATGTATATCACACACCTTGACAAGTTCCAAGGCGTAGTCGTACCCCACTTCCATGGTATGTTTCGGGGTGTCACGGTTCGTTCCTTCAACCGAAGACAGTTCCCTGTCTCCTGTATGATCTTGGAAGATGTGGGGCATTCTTTACTGGGTAAATTCTCTGACCAGCCTATGGTATGCAAGTCTGTGTCGCTATATCTTCATGCTGAATTCAATATGGTGACTGACAAGTACACTTTCCCATAGGAAGAACATACTAGAAGCGCTTCTAAAACTCCACTCCGCCGGCATTGTACACGGTGACTTCCGCATACCCAATGTTGTGATTGGAGAATCAAACAATATTCGCATTGTCGACTTTGATCGAGCCAAGCTGCATCAATGCCCCTCTGCCCATATGACTCTCGACGACCTCGGAATTGATGGCTGGGAGGTGCAGCCAGGTGTAGTAAGTTGTTTTGAGGTACTTCTTGCTTGCGAAAGGATGGACATATGGATCCCTGGTTCGTGTATACTTGGCTTTGCTTCTATTTCACTCAGTGATGAAAGTTTTGTGCACTATCTTCTTTCCTATATCACTCTAGCAACGATCCGTTTACATGGGACCAATTTTCCCGTGAAGAATATACGATCTTACACAGATCTTGCGCGTATCGCTGCAAGGGCTTTCGGAAAGGAGGAAGCATCTCTCCTTGAAGACGCAAAGGAAATTTATGAATTGTTTATTGAATCACACGAAGATCGTTTACGAGCAGTTGGTTTTCAGGGTCTCATACCAGCAGCTTAGATGATTCACGTACCATTGACACTATTGTGACTTTGATTTCATTCCTCACATGCCGACTCTCAAATAATATGTGGCCAGGGATCATGGGCTGACCGAGACCTATGATGCAACGGACGACGTGCGGCACTGTTGCAACATAGTGCATCCTTCACACGGTAGAAGCTAAGTCTGACGAGAACTTATATTTCCTCGTTGGAAAACCTCGAACTGGAGCACTGTCCTGACGTGTCCGTGATACTTTACACACAGACTTGTTTAGAATGTCGTAGAACCTCGCATCTGATATAGGCTGTGTATCAAAGACAAACATCGGCGTACATGCAGAATATATTTACTATACTATGCTTGCTCACTGCATTAATTCGCGTCTTCCTCTGAACGAGCAGTGAGGCTAGCTTCCATTCGCCCTTCGTCTTCCACATCAGCGTCCACATCGTGTTCCTCTGGTAAGGCATCAAGCGGGAAAGAAGACGTACCCATACTAACCGCATGTCGACATGTTCCTGTCTTCCTTATTTTTCTAGAGGTATGGACTGGAGCCGAGCGTTTTCGCCTCTGGGACGAAGTCATATTGGATTGAGTAGTTCCGGTCACCCTGAGCCGTCCAACAGTGAAATTCAAGTCGAGGAGATCGGCAAAGTTGTCGCGACCAAGCTGTTTAGGCTCGAGATCCCAGCCATCATTCGTCCGGATAGCGTCATCCAAGACCCGAAAAAAGTACTTGTGGCTGGCCAGTTTTGGTCGACCAATTTGCTCCGTGTTCAAGTTATCAGGTTCGTCGTCATCGGAAACAGTGCCCTCAGGCATGCCCGACAAACCTTTCTGTAGCCTCCGCCGGTGGGATGTCGTTGAGGTAGTCTGCGCTTGAGACTTCTTCTCTTCCTGGGCTTCCCTAATGCTAGCTGCTTGGAACCGTCGCAAGTCATCCCAGTCAAGGCTTCGGTAATGACTCTGACAGATGCGCAAAAGTTTGTTTATGACGTCCTTGAAAGTCTCGTCATGGAGGATTTTGAAACCAGGTTTGCTCCCTGTCATGAGTCTGAACTTCTCCTCACAACCATAAAGTAAGCCCTCCGGCGAAGTCGCGCAATCCAAGAACATATCGTTAACATGCATCGTGAGAGCTCTTGGCTTGCCCAAAAGGCTGTGCTGATGGTAACGAAGAGCACACCATGTGATGAGATGAAAAAAGGATTCGATATCGTCCGCCAGTTCGCAGAACTTCCTGGGATACTGCAACCGCAATGCAGAGATGAATTGCCAAGTTCCCTGAACGGAGAGTATATTAGCAGGAGCCGCAGCAGGCAAATCAAGTCGTACGTACAGATTGATTGTCATTTGTGGCAACACGATCCTCCTCCAACTGCTTTTTGTACTTGCATAAGTCCCAGTCTATGAGTATACCACGTATCTCGTATTTCCCGTCGATTTTCTCTTGGATGATCAGGACGTTGTTATCGCTGATATCACGATGAAGTACTTCGGCCATCTCCCAAGCTTGTGAATGTGCTAGCGGCCTGCGATTAGAATAGACAAATCATGACAGATTGCGGAAAGTTCACCTTTGAATGCACAGGCTATTATAAAAATAAGGTCATAACTTGTCTCATACGTTCCTAGAGGCCGTCCAATCTCGTTAATGACCAGACGACAGTGGATCCTACTCTTCAGAGAATGGTCAGTGATAGCTTCTTGCGTACGGGTGCATTGTAACTTTGGAGCGTGTACATCACCGCCGCAGCGCATAGTAGCAATGTTTTTGACTCCCTTAGCATTGAGCTTCCTGTAAACTTCCCATTCAGGATGGTAGCGCTGCGAGGCCAGACGCCAACTATCTTTCAGCCAGACAAAATCATGTTGAACCAAATCGAATGCGATGAAGCCCTTCGTCGCACGGCCGAACATGGAAGGGCAGGAAGTTCGAGGTTTTCCGATAAGGAAATACGATTTTTCGTCGGATTCGTCATCGTGGACTTCTACCGTGTAAAGGGGCCATATCGACGATGCACCGTATAGCAACGCGTCGTCCATTGCATCATGAATGAGGGTCTCGATCGGTCCGTGGTCCTTCGCCATGTGTTCTCTGAGAGTCGGTAGGTGGGCAGACGGTGCGAGAGTAACAGTAGGATCATAACCCTGGGCGACGCCATCCGCTTGGGCTAGACGATAGAAAAATTTCAACAAGGTCTTGGGATCTTTGACGTAGTCAAATGGAGGAGTCGTGACAGTCGCAACCCTGTCAACCACAAAGAGCCGAGCTAAGTTCCTATAGATGTAGAATGCAAAGGTAAACTGGCGATGCTGTCTAGAAAGAACCTCTGCGACATATTCAGCGATCTGTCCACGGGTTTCGCGAGCACTATCGGTATCTGGTAGGCTCAACTGGTCTGTATTCAGACCAAAGCCTTCCTTGGACTTGTTGACTTTTACCTCTCCAGGAAGTAGAGTCCACGAGTAAGCAGTACGTCCAACGAAAGGCTTGTGGGTGTCGGCGAAGTTGGCCTTCCTGCTGTCATCGAGACGGAAGGCCTGAGCTGCGGAGGCTTTGTGGACAGACAAGTCGGGACATTGTAAACAGTCGCTCTCTTCATTCCAGGCACTGGTATCTTTGATCAGTAGCGCGTCGTATTCAGGATCTCCAGCCGACTTGTAGGCGGCAAGATCGAAAGCGTTTTGTATTACAGGGCACTATACAGTCCAGGTAAGAGCAATTTTCGAGAATGAAAACAACGGATAGACATACCAAAAGACTGTAAAGGTCCTTTTCGCTGTGTTCATACTTTTCACTAGTAGGGTTAACACTGATATCGTCAAAATGGAATGGTCTGTTCCGGAAGTCTTCAGGAAGATCCTCCGGTTCGAAGGTCAGGTTTTCACCATCTTTGCCTGGCAAGAATTCCGAGAACCACTTGTCGAGTGGTTGTTGATAGACAGACGTGATCATCTCTTCTTGTCCGATGATACGATATTGAGCGTTGCGTTTATGCTTCCTGAGTGTCGTGTTAGTGGCCTTGGGGGGTGTCGCCTGGAGCTTAGGATCGGTTGAGACCTGAGGACGAAACTGTGGAGGAGTAACGGGACGTTCTGTAGGTGTAGATGTAGCAGGTGGGAGCTCAGGGTCTGTGAGAGCGGGAGAGCCGCCGTCAGTCTCAGGTAAACTCATTGTGAGGAGCAAGTGGAATGTGGAATGTGGACTTACGGGTTACAACAGGATGAAGCTTTTATATGTCTTCAGTCAATTCTCGCAGCCACACTGAAGTTAAACACGTTGAGTGGTCCATTGTCCATGACCTAAATGAGCGCATGTGTGGACCACTCTCACCTTTGTGCTTGATTCCGACAATGAAAAAGGCGACTGTGGTTTCTGTGGATAATCCCCTTTTAGGACACAAAGGAAATAGAAATTGTGGCGTGGGGCCCGTCGTAGAATCACCAGCTTGGGAAATTGTAGGACGCGTGTGGCAAGTCGAACATAAATCACAGTCCGGGCACGTGGTCGTTACACGTGGGCCGCCGCGAGGTAGTGGGTCCGTATTTATGCTCGTGCAAGGTAAGCTTTCTGTAATCGCGCAGTAACAATGAAACGGCGCACATACTGTATATGGAAGAGAGGATTCAACCTTTTGGAAGATAGGTTTGATATCAAAATTGAAGCACCACCTAACGGGTATGATCTGGTATAATTCGAGAACAAGTGCACAGGTGCCAGTACATCTGTAGGAGATGTCTAGATACAAACCATGTATCAATAGCTAGCCTTGACTCACTTCAGATTTGGACCGAAGAGTCAGTCACCGAGCAAGTAATCACTGCTCTTTGCCCTACGTATAACATATTTGTGTTTGTTTACTGTGGCCCTCAATGATCTCACCGTTTTTGGAACTCACCGTTATTACTCGGGCACGTGCAACTTGAACGAGCGACTTAAGAGGCTAGAACTCATGGACATGAGTCGCTGTCCTCAATATTGTCCACTTTCTTTGATGATCAGAGCTTCACGTCTCTTGTTTCATTGAATAGCATGTACCTGTACCGAGTAGTCTGCAAGAGTTACGTGGGATGACTATTCACTTGTGAGTGAAGGCACGACATCCTCTTGATGCACGAAGCGGCCTGTCAGCTGCGGAAGAAAACTATGCAACAGCAAGAGGCTGAATTTTTGGAGTGCAAGAGCGGTAAATCTTATCGCGTACAAGCCGTGCCCGTGAAAGCACGATCACAAGTTGAATTCCTCGCATTGTTTTCCTGTAATCCGAGGAGCATATGTCCATCCCAATCTCGATTTCACATAATGATATGCTCATTCACTAATCATCAGGTTCGCACATTGCCAGTGCCAGTGCAATCTGCTGGGCGATATCGCGGCTTATGTTCTCTCTATGCGCTGGGTTAGTCATTTTCTTGTAATACTTACAATAATGTGGAGTCATTGCTCCATTCACGCATGCTAGTTGGATCAAGTAAACTGGGGTGAAATTACGAGAGCCAAGCCCACAAAATCATCACGAATACAGCCAGTCGTCCTTCTGTCTCTAGTACTCGGTACTCTCGTCGACCCCAAGGATATCTTTGCCCTCACTATGTTGAAATCATGACTTGCTTTTGACTTAGTAAATAACAGACCGTGCATCCTTACATTCACGGAGAACGTCTTTGCCTCTATACCCTCAAATTGCCACTTTAACTCAACCCCCTTGTCAATTTCAAGAAATTTCTGAACGGCTGTCTATAAGATACAAGGATTCTTAAGTTAGGTGCAAGGAAGGCGCGTAGAGACGAAGGGAAGGCATCAGAGGGCCAATAAGCAAGCTCAAGATCCAGGAAGGACTTCCAGCAAACGCATACTGCTTTGAGAGTAGATCATAACGTTGAAACGGGGCCAGACAAGCAGGTACCGCCGGGTATTTGAAAGCGGTTCAATGAAGGTCAACGGTAATTGCTAAGTTTTCCTACGACAGCGCGGCCGCATCTGAGCTGAGCCTCTACTCGCTGATAGGCGTAGGCCAAAGGTTCAGGCTTGGCAGTCTTAGAGACGATGTAGAACCCGTATGTTGGATGTGTGGAACTCCCGTATCGCATGTCGGCATCGCTTGGGTCTTCTACGCCATGTCTAAATGCAACATATTACTGTCAGAATCCAAAGCGAATCATGCAATAAGACACTGGAAGGACAGACCGTTGACGCAGATGTCCCTCTATCTGTCCTTTGCTTCCGCACCAGCTCTTTCCCGGGCAGCGAGCACAGGAACGAATTGCCCATTGAAACTGCTGCTCCCTGGCGGTCATTTCAAGATGAGCCACCTGAGCAGCTTCCTCAGGTGGAGCCCTTTCAGGTAGATCCACTTTATAACCGTGCTTAAAGGCAACCTCGTGACCTGCAAACACGTGTTCGAGCTAAGTAGAAAATGACACAGGGTGTGAAAAGCATCCAAGTTATTAGCACCACAGAACTTACCGCGGCCCTCCAAGACAGTATTAGTCTAGAGTCTTTGCTGCTGCACCCGGGGCAATATAGTCTAACATCCGTGCGGTCCATCTCATCAATGGTGGCCGTTCCAGGATCCTTCCCACAGGCGCGGATAATGTGGGCGGCCACCTTCACAGGTGTGATCCAATCTAGTCGTTTCATGGACCAGGAGGCTTCGCCCAGAACTGCAGACACGCGAGTCTCGTAACTGCAATTCTTTCTCCAGTCAAGTTCTCCATCCTTCACAAGATCGTTGCAACAAGAGTGAACGAGAGCATTCGGAACAGTAGACTCTCTGCATTCGCAGGCTCTGCAAATAAAAACAGCAGTAACAGCCATACTAAAAGGGTCAAAGTCATCCGGAACCTTGAAGCCTGCCTTTGATTTAATAGATCTTCGTACACGTTGGCCGATATTTTGTTGCCACCGTGAGACCAATTCGGGGAATTGATCGCGGAGAGCATCGAAGCTAGCGGCGGTGACAATCTCTCCAGCAGATGATTCAATTATAGCTCGAACCTCCGGAAAAGATGCCATGTCCCGAACAGAAGGAAATCCTCGACCAAAGTCCTGTCGAATTTCGCGCCTGGCTTCCTGAAATGCAAAAATGCGTGACTTGAATAGATTGTATTGAGCGAGAGCAAGGCGTTCTTGCTTCTTTTCTTTCATGAAGACGATCACAGCATCTTTCATATTGAGCCAGGCTAGATCACAGATTTGAGCTTGTTCGGTGGATTATGGAATAGATTACTAACCACGGTCGGTAAGCGGCCTCAACTGTTTTATTTGGTGTAAGGTTAGTAACGGGTGCGGTTGCTCCGATGCCATATGATCGAGTTCGTCACTCCATCCAAGTTCTCGCAAATTGGCAACAACCCTGCATACAGTACGTGAACCAATTCGGTCAACAAATGAGAACCACTTACGTAGTTAGCCGTTCTTGCTTTAAATTAGTTATCTCGTGCGCGCGAGCCTGTTGACGGCTGTCATACCATTGGCTGCAGGCGTCCGCCCACTGTGACCGGAGTGAAGATGCATCATAGACCAGGCCCGGAATTGGCCTCGCACCTTCTGAACTTTTTCTAGGGACGAACGTGATTGATTGATCCATTCATCGCGTTCTTCCACCGCAACCTTCAGAAACTCGGCTTTCGCGGCCTCTACATCCGAGCGCAGGTATCTCACCACGTAATCTTTTGACCGTTCTGGAATCGAAGGAGAATGCAGTAGGCGTATAAGTTCCACATATAAGAAATATAAAGATAGAGATAAATCACCCAGAAAGGTTAATTCGAGACTAGGTATAGCAAGTCTTCGCCAGTTTCCCAGGTCAACGTAAATATGAGATTGGTTCACTAGTATGCTGTGATAAAGTGTGAGTGAAGTCGCCGCGACACATAAGAGGATCGACGTACGGTGTCTTTTGGCATCTTCTACAATAGCGTGCCCTGAAAACCCATAAAACGCTGTGAACGTTTCCAGCTAGACATTCCTAGTAGATGACAACTCAAATGAGTAGTCAGATACAGAGATCACATGGCAGGAGTTTACATGGCAAAACGGCTGATAACATAGGTTGGCATATTCTGGCTCACTGAGGAAGTCAGGACATTCAGGCAAACCCTGCACGTTTCGGCGGGCGGCCCTCCAGTAGGGTGCAGACTCCCGACTCATGAGGAGGTTGCGAAAGGGCTTGCTGGTTCTGGCAAGGTTTAGCAAGTCCCCGGGGAGCATGTGAGATAAAACCTGCATGAATAGATGAGGTCTGCTTGGTGCTCTCGTGAAATATGTGAAATCTAACCTCGTCAATGATGTCTAAGGGCATATTGGGGAGTTCCTGTAGGCTTCCTCGTCGACCGCGTACATTTCGACGGCGAGGCAACTCATGTTTGTCGGCATTAGAACTATCGGTGCTGTCGTCTTTGGATGAACCTTTAGCGATTGGTTTGGATCGCTTCCTCGGTGGCTCGATTCGTTCATCTTTAGCTGGATGGTTGCGTTTAGAACGGGTCACTGGTGACATGATAACCGTTTCAAAAGGGTAGGGAAGCAATCTGGAGGTAGTTCAAGTAGGCGGCAGGAAAAGCAGTGGTCCTGAAGAAAGAAGTGGCTCAGTGTGAGACACGCAGAAACTTGAACAAAAGGCTTATATAGGCGCCTAAAGCTGTGATCGCGTCTCCCATGTTATGACCTTCGGGATCCAATTTGCATGAATTCTCTTGTATGCTGTGGCCTGCAACGTATTTTCAAGTAGGTCTTTTGTATCTTAAGTACCGGTGATAAGATCAAGGACTTGTAAGGGAAGAGAGGACTAAGGACTCACCCCTGAAGTCACCATTCAAGCCCGACACCTCGAAGTGTATTAGTCTCATACAAAAAAGTGCAGTGGTTTAATGTAAGCTTTGAAGTTCACTGGTAATTAACTAGAAATAAGCATGAAATGTCGCGAATATCGCGATATGCATAACGAGGGTGTGTTGTTTTGGAATCGTCGATAGTGGGAGGGGGTTAAAACCTTGCCCCATATGGAGATGCAGCTTGTCGTAAAGAAAGAACGGAGAACAAGAGGCTCAGGTATCTGTCATGAGTGCCGTACGCAAATAAAACGCCGTCCATCGTGTGTACATATTGGAGACTCCGGTCCTTACATCACGAAGATCAGCTTGTGAACGTGAAGACCAACAGTGCAAAATACTTACGAACTCCTTTTAGTGGGTCGAGAAAGCATTACAACAGAATACAAGGGCCGAGGAACGGCATAGCATTGGCACCTAAGAAACGATGAACGAAATTAAAAAAATTGACGTCATGAACAGCATCCAAAAGTCGCAAGCTTCTTTGATTGCTGGAGGAATTCCAAGCGCACGGTCATGCCTTAGCGATTTACTCCATGAGCTTTTGACTCGGTATAAGTGCAGACGTAGGAACGTCTCGGGTCATTACATTCTACGCTTACTATAAATATCTCGTTAGCTGTCGTCGCATGAAGATTTGTCTGATTATGCAGCACTTACACAGGGCACAAACACGCAGCGCATCTCAATCACTCACAATAGTATATGACTCCATAATGGGATGCCTAGTTTGCGAAGTAAATACTATCAACCTTTCTTTGGACAGGCACTTAGGATAGCTCGATGGAAATCGACGATCATAGATTAGCCTTCTAGAGAGTAGTAAAATTTCTCTCCTAGCGATCATGTCAATATTTGAAAACATAAAGCAAGAAAAAAGGCACAAACTTTCTATCCAGAGTCACAATTGGACGTTCTGCCTGCTAGCTTTTCTCGGCCATCCGTAAGATGACTAGTTGTGACTCAGGTCCATTCATAATCTCTCCCTTGAACACAGTTTGAAACTTGGGCCGTGGGTAGCTCCTTACTGTAGATGATAGCCCCAGAACCAATTCTGCGCTGAGCCGTCTCGGCCAAAGACTTCAGACACGGGAGAGCCATCATCAAGAGAGGCAGATAATTGAGTGAAATAAACAGTCATGTGTACTTGCGGTTTGGACTCAACACCCAGATTCTGTGGGTATATGAATGTCGAGCGTGGCGAGAAGTGAAGTTCCTTGATATGTTGTTTCTTACCATCGAAGCGAAGAGGTATAACAAAGTAATATTGAACATGGCAATGCGGCTCCAGTAGTTTTGAAACATTTGCGTTGCGTTGAAAATCAAGATACCAGAAAGGATGATCGCCTGTGGATATGCTCCCGTCGTTTTACGTGTCAGAATTGTCAGAGCGAGACACGACTTTAAAGCGTGCACCTATCTTCCTACACTACCCAATGTAAAGCGTTGCACCGACCATACATCGAATAGAGCACGTACGTCGAATTTTGTAACTGTAAAAATTGCATCTATCGCCGTACATACGTTGGCATGGTCACTGAGAAGACGGAGAAGCAGTTTTCAGCGCTTGCCGTCGAAGCCAAGTGGGTGGGTATCGAGTCTAGTCTCCGGTACGCAGACCAATGACGGGTCTTTTGAGGGAGGGAGAGACGACTAGTGTTGCGTAAGAAATTCCCGGGCCTGTAATTTACAGGTGTAAGATATTCCGACCGTTGGTTGGGTAAAAAAAGATGTTTTTTACGGTAATTTACTGGTGAGGTTTATGTGGTTAGGGTCACAATCCGAGAGAAGAAAAATCTCAGAGAAGGGACAGATGTGAGGTAGTAGAGGAAACGACGGTTCAAATTTGATGTGTTTCACACCGAGTAACAAGTTGTTATCTCTGTTATGCTTGTACTGATGGAATACATGTGACAACTAGACCCAACTTGACACTTCGAATGATCCTGCAGAGCTTCCCGGAATGAAAGAGTCAGACTCTGAGCAATCACCGCGCCCTGATTCACCTTCCTTTGGAGAGATTGGCTCATCAGCGAGGACCTCTCGGATACATGCCGAAGTCAAGTTCAACTCTGGTTGGTCGCTCTCGATGTCAAACAGAAGACTGCTTTCTTCAGTCTCGCGCGGCCCCTTCGTCCAATCATTAGGAGCATCAGGGTCATCTGGTTCCTCGTCATCAGGCTCACCATCAGACTCCTTTGGTAGCTCGCCTTCATGAAGTAGCTTTTGGAGCTCGTAGAACTTTAGGACGGGACGCGGGCATGACTTCTTCCGAGTCCGAGTCTATACATAGAGAGTTAGCAAACCGCTCGCGTTGATAGCTTACTTTTCAAATCTTAGCTTCGCCACGTCGATAGTGACGAATTTGGGCCATGCTGATGACGAGCGGAAGGTCTCCTCGAGACCGACGTGCTGAATTGATCCATGTGATTGTTGACGCAGTTCGTTCATCTGCCATGGAGTGCGGCGTGATGGAATAGAACTTGATAGCGATTTCCTTGTGAAATAAATGAGTACACTATTCAGCACGACGGGCGGTGGAAAGTGAAGCTGCACTCATTTTAGCACCCTCCAGTGGACGAAGTGGAGGAAGGAAAAAATTCTAATATTCGGTGGGTAATCTGGAAGCATCATGGCCAGAGAGGTTCTATACAATAGCCGTTGACTTCGTCGTCGATGATCTCCCGCCGCGCCCCCGCCTCCCGAATTTTTTACATTTCTTACCGACGGTCCTTGGGGGTCATGTAAAAATATGTATTTTACACTATTTTACCATTATTTTACCTTACCGTAAATTACACCTGACTTTTTCACGCAACACTAGAGACGACCCGTATAAAGGTCTGCTTCAATACGCGCCCCTCATACCATTGCAGTTCATTAAGGATTAGCGCTCGAATGCCGGGTGATCGCCAGGCTTGCCGGATGATCGCCAGGCATGCCGGATCAATGCCGGTGGCTGCAAAGTGGCTGAGGACACTTGATAGAATGTTACGAGCTACCACCATGTATTGTCTACAACCGCCTCAAGAAACAACTTGTTTCTACTGTCCCAACTGCATGGTTTTGCTCCCAGCATTTTTAGGTTCACCCGTGCAAGTTCAGACCTCGACTCCTCAGTCTTCGATCCCACAGAGAGATCTGTTCTCGCTGCAACTTGTCCATGGTTCGTTTGGATCCCCAAGTACCCCTACGGCAACCAATTATGCAATGTCAAGTCTTTCAAGTTATTTAATTACTCCTACATCTCTTCAAACTGTCCCCATACCTGTGACACCAAGAAAGTCCTCGAATCAGCAGTTTCGAGACCCGGAAAATGTTGATCCATGCACTCCAACAAAATCTCCTATAAAGAAGCGCAGGAGGAGGAGCCCATCACAGAAGTTAGATGATATTCTGCATACCATCAAAACTGCTCACTGGACTCTAGGCCAATTCTTGTGGTTTCTCTTCCATGTCCGAGGGGAAAATAATGAGAAGATATGCCATTTTAAAGGTCATGCGAGAGCCATGTCTTACTTTCTCTCAGGACGGGATAAGAATGGCTATACCCCTACCCTCATCATCCATGACTGGTTTCGTAGCGCAGATGGTTGTGTTGCGCCTGATTCTGAAGAGTCAGGACTCATGTACTCTACTACAATGCCATATACTCAGATTAAAGGTGTTCGGACTGGTCTTTCATCCTTTGCAGCACAAATTGTTCAGCGGAAGCTTGTCCGAGAGGCTGAGAATGCTGTCAATCCAAATAATGGCCTACACTCTTCTCGGTCAAGCCCAAACTGCCGGAAGAAACTCCAGTGGACAGATATTGGTGCTGCTACTCTGCCTCACATCAAAAAAATCATACGAGAGCATCAGCCATTGACGGTGTCACTCTTGCTTGCAGTTGCTGACAGATCTCATATGCAAGAGTCTTTAGTCAAAAGAGTACGGACATACCGTCCACCAAATATGGTCAGTTCAGGCCGGCATTCTTTTGACTTCATGGAGGAACTGTTCTAACAGAACATGCATAGGTCGTCACACATGCTATCAGTTTTCTCGATTATTGTTGGACTAATCGAGCCAACTTGCTTCCCATGACTCGGGGTCTATTGTACTTTGCTCTGTCTGCACCGATCGACCTCTTCCACTACAACTCACGAGTTGGAACAATGCCCAGCTATAACACTACATACAAGACTCTCGAGGACATGGCTAGATATGAGGCAGAGCTTGTCCGTGCTCATGGCTGCGACCCAAACACTGCAGGGAGCATATGCGCTGACAACGTCCAAAACTACTTGCTGCAGTGTGATGCTCGGATTGGACACAAGAATACAATCAATATAGGAATCGCAGCAACATACATCGAGGCAGTTGAGATGGATATGAAGGCATTCAGTTTGGAGGAGAAGCGGAGGTGTATTGCACAGAATCTACGGAAGGACGTTTCAGTTGAGGCTCTTCGTGACCTCATTGATAGATGACACTGGGAAAATATTGGCCTCCTTCACTGGCTTTGAGTGCTTACGCACTATGTGTTGAAATCCTGGGCGCCAAGCGAACTTGCATGGTTGCGCTGCCGCCACTATCTCGCGTTTCGGACCTTTCGGGCTCCCGTAGTAGCTATATAGTGTAGCGTAACATAGTCAGCTCCTCACGTGTTTGCCCGCCTTTGTACGTACTCTAGGGGACAGACCCGACGTATACCAACGTACTCATTCGCTCGTCACCCGACTCGCGCTGCGTGCTCGCTCTTAATTCTAACACTATGTACCGGAGGCTTCGATTCACAAGGAGCATGTCTCGCTTCTATTTCAGACACGATGTAAGAAGCAGACAGTCCCAGTTCAAGCCTCAAAGATCCATCCGCTCGCAACCAGTGGGAAGAATGAGACAATCATCACTGAGCTGAAGGATGCCCTTGTTGACCTCCTGGCGCAAATTGGCCAGCAGCGTGATGATCACCTGCTCGATCGTATCCTGCTCTTAGCTGGAGATGGTCTTACGTTTGAGAAGATTCTTCTTCTCAAACAGTTGCTGCAGTTCCATGATAACGACTTCGACACACTATCATTCATTCAGGCAGTACTTGCAATGTGGCACACAGGGTGGACTGATCTGAATCAGCTCATCGAGTCGCACTGGGGAAAGCTATCCTCACGCGATCCATCAACACTTGCTCACAATGCGGCAAGAATCAAACGTCCAACTCCTTCGAACCTGAAGAAGGTTGACTACAATTCCGGTATTGACCTTGTCTACCTTATTCTTGATGCTCGCATGCTGGATTGTTGGCAGTATGATGCTATGAACTATCCTTATGTTATGTCTCTAATTGTACTATCTTCTAGGTTATACTTCAGTCAACAAGATATATTTGAGTATTTCAAGAAACTCTCCGATGAGAAGAAAGTTCCCGCATTTGAAGATCTGGAGGTGGCTGCGAGGAAATTACACCGAGCATATTCAAGTGTTCGTGGAGTTGAATATGCCACAGCTTCTGTCGAAGGTACTCAGGGTCATCAGGCTGCATGGCATCGAACAGTTCCCCTTGGATCTCCTTGGACACCACCCACTGCATTCGACAAAAGTACGTGTTCCAACTCGGACAATACTCAGCAGAGAACTCGGAGCAATTCACTGCAACCAAGACCGCTTAAACGAAGGCGAACAGAAGATGAAGAGACTGAAACAGATGATTCGCCGTTCACAGGTGATCGCTGTCTTATGCAGTCAATTGTCTTCATGAGAGATGCCCTTGTCTCGCGCGAGTTCACATATGCATTAGCAGAGGGTGACATTGGTCGAGTGTACGAAGCACTAAAGGTGAGCGTTATGAAATGAGGTATCTTCAATGTCAAGCCTACTGAAGCTGGCATTACACTGCACTGTAGATCATGCTCTTCACATTTGCGGGATCAAGCCACTCAAAATATACGACATACCTCCTAGAGTTCATCATTGATCTGGAGTATGAATCTACTCCAGAGCTTCGAGCTGCTGTACTCAACAGTCTGGTGGTCAACTTATCTGGAAAGGGAGGACATTTCTGTGCTGCGGATTGGCTTCAGGAACGTAATAACAGAATCATCCAGATGATTGCAGAACGAAAGGGGGTTCAATACAATGCAAGATACCTTCGCAATGTCGTATCTCGCAATGTCCACCACCTTTCACGTCTCCTGGATGATATTCGCAGCGGTGTTGACCTAAAGGATCACTCTGCTAAGCACTGCAAGCCGCACGAAAATGCCGAGCTCACAATCCTCTTGCAAATCTTTCGTAGTGAGGAGATCCACTCACGATGCCCTGGTCGGGCATACGACAAAATCACGGATGCCCGAGATGTGGATAACTATCGCAGTGGCCTTGACAATCTACGTAATGGTCGGCTACAGAGGTTCATCACTGAAACCTTACATTTTCGACATTCCGATACCACAAGCTCCGATGGAACTGCATTGCTCGCTGACCTAAGTGAAGCTCTTATGGAGGAAGACTCGGAGGCTTCCAGTTTGCCGGATCCTTATAGCATGTGTTCTGTTCACTTGGAAGATGGAACACTCGTCGTTACGAATGACGCATTAACAGACAGAGAGATAACAATGATGATTGGTGAACTAGAAGGTATGCAAGCACAGGACGATGACAATGGTGATGCCGAAGATGAAGATGAAGAGAACGAGGATAGTGATGGATATAGTGACAGCGCCGATGAAGATGCCTTGGAAGAGGTGGAAGTGGACCCACAATCGATGGACCTCTCTGACAATGAAGGAGACGGGGCTTGACTTATTTGTGTTTCCGCCTTGTTCTTACAGGAATACGGATCGTCACCGCACTCACTTGAGCGGCAGGTTGTAGGGGTACGGTCCGTGCAGGTATGACAATTGTTCCTGGGCTTCGACCAAGTGTATTATTTTTTTTTCGTTGCTTGCGTGCTTCTTCAGTTTTGCATGCCAGAGTAGCTTTCCATTTTGTAGCGGCAGCGACCTTCGCATCTCTTCGCATCTTGTTAAAATCGACATCGAGCTCCTGTATTACTCCGTATAGCTTTCCAAAATGACCTTCGAGTGGCGGATAGTGTGATAGGAGCTCTGCAATGTTGTTAGCACTTTCGATGCTGGTGAAGTTATTGAGCAAGACCTTGACGAGTGTGTCCGGCAGGAACTCTTCTGAAGGCAGCATTGAATCCATACATTCATCGGCATCTTCCCATAATTCCACTCGAAAGCGAGTAAGGCGCGTACTTGCATGACGGCGCATAACCTTAGTGACCCGTTTGCTAGCAGGTATCTTGACTTTTGTTTTCGCAGATGGCGCTGATGTCATTTTCTCGATGACTTCGGGAATACAACCTGAACAATTGCATTGCTCTGGCTTTGGCACTGGAGGATTTACACGACAGGTGCTACAGCCACATGGAACCTCTTTGATGGGGTTCCCATAGAGCTTGTTAACGGCGTCGACCTTGCATTTAGCCAAAATGAGGTAGGCAATGCTGGGGTCTATTGTCGTCCTTGCATCCTTCCCCATTCTACCCTGCTGCCCTTCGTCGTCGAGAACCTTAAGGGCCGTCTCAACGGCCGTTGAAGGTAAATATACAATCACGCGTGAGTTCCTGCCTTTTCCATCACGGATGCGACCACCCCTCTGAAGAACCATATCAGACGTGGTTGGAATATCCCCATAGAGGACTACGTCATCGGTGTTTGCGACATCGATCCCTTGGGACAGCGTATCGGTAGCGATAGTGACAAGAGAGCTTGTGTCGGTGTGCATGAGCTCGAGAGTGTCAGCGTTGTATGACGGCCAGTTGAGTGAATTGTACATGCGGATGCATTTACGTCGATCGCGAAGTTCATACGCACGCCGCCACAGGTACGTCATTACACGAAAGCCCAGGGAGATCGTCGTACAGAAAATGATTATACGCCGTTCGCTTTCGAGTACCCAGTCAAGTTCAGGAAATTTCAGAGAACGTGGACTTGACGACATGGTGCGGAAGAGGAACTGCAGATCAAACCGTGCGTTGGAATGCCGTATGAGATGGTAAGAATCGCCGAGGCCGAGGAAGTCGCGAACATTTGATGTATGGGTGCCGACACGCAGAGTGGCTGTCAAAGCAATCAAAACGGGTGTTTGAGGTAGGCGCATGCGAACGTCGCCGATCTGCTTGAACACAGGTCGAAATGAGGCGCCCCATGTGTCTAGAAGGTGGCTTTCGTCGACTGCGAATGCCACCACACGCAGCTGAAACTCCTTATTGTTGAGAAGGTGCCCGAATTCGGACGACTTTAGCTGCTCAGGTGCGAGTAAAAGAATCGACACCTCTGAATGAGCTGTCGTCCAAATATCGGTACCGCTTCGCCGAGCTTCATCGACTGTATCTGCATTGATTACCAGTGTTGACAGTCCGACTAAATTGAACTTGTGCTCCTGAAAGTATTGCGACTGAATGATAAAGAGAGACGGGAAAATAAGTGTCACATACCATGTCATGTTCAAGCGCTTTTGTTGGGCACACAACAATCATGATTGCTCGTTTCTTCATGCGCTTCTGTGGGCACAAAGAAGAGTCGGACGCAATGGCTTGCGTCACGAGCATGTACATGGTGAGGAAACCAGTTTTTCCGGATCCCGTAGGGGTCACGGCCAGGATGTCGATGCCATCCAACGCTTTGCGTGCACCTTCGAGCTGGTAGTCATGTGGTTGGTACGGCAACGGTGTTTTAGCCAGAATCTCTAAACAGAGTGAACGACCTTCATTCGACGCGAATTTGAACACAGGCAGTCTGGGTATGATCGTCATAAATACATTGTAGTAGTTGACAAAGTCTGCACGAAGCGCGGGTAAACGCGTCTGTGGCTGCAAGCCCTAGGTGGACGCGTTGCGGAGTCTGAATATTTCTCGGTTAAGCCCGAAAGTGGTTGCAACGGTAAGAGGGGCGCGTTTAGAATCAGACTATATCGAGTCTATCGACTAACATTCAATGATTCCAGCTACATTCAGAACGATAGGCCCCTCCAAAAAAATCACTCATCGTAACCGAGGTCTAATTTACACAGCTTAGCAGGTGCCGAGCTCAGGCGAAGCTTGTGACCATTTTGTGACCGGAGACCAGTCGGGCCTTTCCTGGACATTTCTAGTCACAGTCGCGCCACGACAACGATGACCGATCCATTTGGGCCATAGAGTAATTGCATGCAGCAGTAGTACAGTACTGTAGTTTGTCAGATAATGGCAAGAGTCAGGCTACCTACGTTCACCTCAAGTGTGTCAAGAAGACACAGACGGCCGCTACAGATTGGAGGCCTTTCAACCTCTCCCGTTTCGAGGTGGTTCTTCGCCAAGCACCTTATTGCATGCATGCTTATGCCGGTATATATACTGACCATCTTGTACTTGAGACTATGCTCAAGGACCATGCTGCGAGCGATCTCCTTGTATTGCTTCGGTATGTGTTGCCTCATCCTCAGGCAAGTACCAGGGAGCACCATGAAAAGGTACAGATGGGAGTTACTCAGGTGCTACTACTACGGAAGCGTTGTACAAGACGGCAGTGTCTAGACAGTGGCCGCGAGGCTTGCATGGAAGAAATACGGCGTGACGGGGAGTGACAGAATGCCAGAGCGTCAGGCGGGTCTGCCGTCGAACCGGCATTGCTTCGCGTAGCGCAAGCGACTGAATGATTTTTTTGGAGGGGCCTATCGTTCTGAATGTAGCTGTCATGTCGTCTTACAATTTCAAACTCAAAAGGTGCCAGCTTTCATATCTTTCGAGAAAGATAAATTAATGATATATAAACAAAATGAATACAGTCAATCGTCGGGAAGATTATAGTACAGGAACAAGAATACAATCCCGAGCGCATGCGTTTACGGTTCTATGCATACAGTCATTAGGAAACAATATCAATGCGAGAGGAGGGTGGGGGATCAAGAAATACGATCAAACCTAACGCTTGACGTCTTTAAGGATAAAAGGTATGTCTTATCTTATGATGTTACACGACAGTCCTTTTTAGATACCAAGTCAATGGAGAAGGGTAAAGAGAAAGCGAAATTCGAACGGAAGAAGGAGGGTGAAACATCGACGGGAGGATGAGGCTGGGGATGAATGGTTCTGGTTCCGGGAGGAATTTCTTTGTCTCCATGGCCTCCAGAGAGACGATAGACGAGCGGTACGACTCTGTGTCCGAGACTGACTCGAGTTCTGCGTCGGAGGTAGTTGGGGGAGTGGTTGCGGCAGATACGGGTGGAACAGGAGGGAGGGTTGGAGAAAGAATGGGTGAGGGAACGGTAGTGACTTCATCTGAGGGCGCTGTAAGGCCGTCGATGATAGGTGGAGGGGAGATGACCTCTTCAGTAGGAAGCACGGGCACTGCAGGGGATTCGGAGGGAAGAGATGGCGACTCAACCTCCTCAGTCGGGGGTTCGGTCAAAGCAATGGCTTCATCCTCTAGCGGAAGAGGAACCTCCTCCGCGCGCCTCTGTTCCTGTACTTCCTCAGGTACTTCCTCAGGTACTTCTACAGTACTGGTGACCATCTCTTCAATTGTAGGGAGAACATGAACCGGCGTGATAGACGGTACCAATGGAGGCACCGCGGCTACATCCGGGGGAACTACGAGCACAGACGGTTCGACATGAGGCTCCTCAGCAACCTCGTGTGCCTCAACTACTGGCTCTGTTGGAGGCACCTCTGGAGACGTCAAAAGCTCAGCTTCATCGAAAGGAGGAAGAGGAACATCCTGAGGTGCCGATATGATCAATTCAGGCAGTGCCTCAGGCGAGGGTACCTCCTCGGGACCAAGCGCAGGCGACTCGGGCAAAGGCACAGCAACTGGTTCGACCACCGAGGACGGCTGGACAGACGAGGCTGAGACGTCTGAGTCGGCTTCAGCAACGGCAGGATTCGATTCTTCAGGACGGGAAGTGGCAAGAGTAGGTGTTTCTGGAGAATCCTCTGGTTGAGCGGGGAGTTCCTTCGACTTCCGCTGGGGTTCTGATTCCACAGCACCCTCCTCAATAGGTCCATTCTCTATTTGCCGCCGTTCAACGGCGTGCGCCTCGTTCTCGTGAATGCTTGTAGCAGGAGTTTCTGCAGTCCTCGATGAGGAGTATTCAGACGGGGTATCCGAATGAACTGAACTATGATCGTCGCCATGCTTCGCCCTAGATGAAGCTGGTACAGGTATAGCGAAGGGGACGGCGGCTGCAGCAGTGGCGGAGGAGATGCCGAGGGCTAAACTGCTCGTAGACGGTTGTGTCTGGTGCTGGTGATGCCCTAAAGAAGTTATACGGTGTCTGGCTCGGGTAACGAGCTTCTTGACGCCGTTGAAATGCATCGAAGGTGCCTTTTTCAACTCATGAGATGGAGCTGATTGTGTAGGTGCAGATGAGGCAGTGGACGCCGTGGATGACGAAGACGGTAAATGAATATGCATAATGTGTAGAGAGCGGCTGGCGGATGCAAGTTGGATGAAGAGGAGGAAGTGTCGAGGGCTTGGCGGGAGGCTTGATTTATAGGGGGGCGTGACCGGGGTGAGGCTGGCATGCGGTCATGCAGAGGGCGACCCGTTTTAATTTTGACGAGCGTAATTGTAATAATCTCGACTGCACCTCTTCGCTACCAGACAGCTTCTTTTGTGTCGGAGACCGTGGCTGGACGGCTTGTCCTGTCTGGTATGCACTAGGCTCCCCAAATATGGTAACATATGGTAACATCCTCATCGCTCCGTACCTGCTTCCGAAACTTCACGATTCCGAGCAAGGACCTTTGACAGTAGTTACCTATCTTTCGTGTACGGTAGTTGGCAGGTGGCATATGTCTTGTGAAAGCATCATTCAATGCCCGCCAGTCTTTCTGTCCAAAAATGTCGGAGAAAGGAGTCGCCGAAGACAATTCCATGTCAGCCGATTGACGTAGGCGCTGGCAGTCGAGCCGGAAACCTGAAGAAAACCGGATACAAATCGTCGCTCACATGTTCGCTGTAAAAAGGTAAAACGGAAAGCACAGTCGTAGTGAGCTCATCATAATTCACGAAGGAATTGCAAGAATCGTACTACAAGTCATACCACTTCTAAGAATTATTGCATACGTCCGACTGCGATCCGAAGCCTTCTCGAATCGGGACGACCGTCTGATATCATGATCCATATTCTTAGACTCCTGGATTTATGTTCCTAGATCTCCCCATAACGTCACCCATAGCTCTTGACCTTCGAGAACCAGAATGGTCTATCATTCTTTAAAGCCACAGGCGTTGATTCCCCGGTGTCCACCTTAACCGAAGCATATGCCTTCATATCTAACCTGTTCCATCTTCCCATGGTCGGGCGCGATCGCAACTCCAATGTCATTTCGAATGTGTATCGAGACGCAGCGGATGTGAGGCCGGTCGGGTCCGTTAGAGACGTAATGTAGATTGTTGTACCCTCAAGGCGCCATTGTCCGATGAAGAAGCCCTACGATATCAGGGAGGTTAGAGATAGCGTAAAGTCAGGATATATAAACGTTACCTTCTGTCTGAGTGAAGGCTGGAGGAGCGGTATTATATATTGCGGCGAAACCTCTTCATTCGCAAGTAACGAAAGGACTTGGCCATCAGGGTAAAAGCGGCTGCAACAAGCACACACTATGAGCACGCGACGCTAGTCAATTCAGTGTCTTACTCACAGGAAGCGGTTATATGTGATTAAATGGCTGACCTACACTCTGCCGTTCAGCATTAACGCTATATGTATCATAGAACGCTTACATTGACCCAAGCGTTCTCGCTTAATCCATTTCGACTACACAAGCACAGAGAAAAAAGAACTCAACTCAGTGAATCTGGCAACGAGAGATATATTCTCCACATGACGAATGTACGCACATATAGTGACAAACTGCGATATACACGCCATCTAACCGAACTCGGGGGTGTTCGATATATATCCGTCTGTAGTCGTTCATATAGTTGTCGACTAAGTCATTGATTTCTTCATCATAGCTGACTTGTGGAGGAATATACAATGTCTCGACGAATGTTCTACAGCACGAGATAAGGAACGGATGCTCGCTGAATGGTAAAATATATGGCTGACATACCGCCATAATCCCGAATCAAGTGTAACCACCCTCGCCTTTCGACTAACCGAAGCAAACCGTTCCAGCGAAGTTACATCGAGCATATGCATGATGTAAAGCAACACTTCATCCGGAACGTTAGCGATAGGTATTGGCTCGTCCTCATCTTCCGGGCGGAACTCCAATTCGGCGGGCCATTGTGCAATGATGGGTGTTAGGGAGACAATTTGAGTCTTGCGACTTCGAGCGTGGGTAGATGACACTTCCATGCCTTTGATACCTTCGATCAGATGGTGTACGTCGGGTCTGTGAGGTACGGCGGTAGTAGGTGCGTGTACGTTCACATGTTTCTTTGGGTGTATGCGCTCGTGAGTAGTAGGTGAGGTGCTGACAATAGCTTCTTGCTGTGCCTCCAGTGTGCGATAAACATAGTCGACATGGTCATGCATACGGAAAGCCTTCCTGTATAGGACCGTAGCTCCAGTGTGGTCACCACTTTGTTCAAGGGCAATAGCCTGATGGTAGACATCGGCAGCTTCGCGTTGCTTGGGCGTGAGTTCAAGAGGCGCATTGGCAGACGTACGCTGCTGTGGGACTCGAGCTCTCGTGGAAGGCGTGATCGCAGAGACAGGTTGAGCAACCGGGACGGGGACAATTTCTATCACCTCTTTCACCCGAGGTACAGAAGGTGCAGGCTGGTTGGTGACTGGCGCATGGAGAACAGTAGAACTGTGACCAGTTTCTCGCCGTTCCCTAGCTCGTTGTAGTTCTGCCTTCCATTGGTCTCTGAATCGTGCAAGCTGCTCCTCGAGGCCTTCTTGAGGAGCCGACTGCATCAAACTTGAGACCTAGACAGAGAATATAGTGGTGAGTGTATTGGCGGGCAAGTGAGAAGTTGTATTTGAAAGCGAGATATGAGTGCCGATACCCCGATATAGTTCCTTTGTATACGTGTAATAAGTCAGTCGGTATATGTGTAATAATAGAGCTTACTATGCTAGAATCATATTGTTACACGTATACAAAGTGTGTTGTACTCGAGTAGTCTTCAGCGCCTGCGTCATGTCTGCGTAACTTGGATAGCAATCCCACTCATATTTACCCACCCACCGCTTGTCTCGTCAACTCAATCTCCACGCCGTATCTCTCTACCATCAGGCGTTGCTTTGGCCACTCTCGCGCTCGATAGTGCCAGAGAAGGTTGCGAAAACCGACTTACAGCTCACACCTACTCTGTACACCGGTGCATTCAAGCTTTCGAGCACTGAAGCATGGAGAGCAACAGAGATGAGGCAATCAAGTGTCTATCTATCGCACAGAAGCATAGGAATGCGGGAAACCTACCATCTGCACGGAGGTTCTGTCAAAAGTCTTTGAACTTATTCTCTACACCAGAGGCTGTCAGGTTTCTAGAGATCATCGACTCAGAGGCCGAAACTTCAAGAGGCGAAGCTTCAAGTTCATCCTCTTCTACTTCAACGTCGACCTCTACACCAAACGGGCCTTCTTCTTTCACGTCTGCAACAGAAGCGCATCCATCTTCGTCTGGTACCCGACAGCGTCATACAGCTGAGATGAACGGGAACGCCAAGCCTACTGTCAATGGCAGTACGAAACCCTCGACCTCACGTGTGAACAGTGAGCAGAAGAAGAGGGAGTATACACCTGAACAGGCCGCTGTGGTGAAACGGATACGAACTTGTAAAGTAACGGAGTATTACGAGATCTTGTCGGTGAAGCGGGATTGTGACGAGACGGAAATCAAGAAGGCGTATCGAAAGGTATGTGGTTATATTGGATGGCTGAATGGGGTGTAATTTGACACTCTGGAAAGCTTGCATTGACACTACATCCTGACAAGAACGGGGCACCTGGTGCAGACGAAGCTTTCAAGCGTGAGTTTGCCATTACGATACCCATGGCATCTCTTTGACCATGTCTTTCTGGACGCAGTGGTCTCCAAGGCATTCCAAGTTCTATCAGGTTCATCTCCTTTCCTTGATACTTTGGATATCATTCACTTATTATCGTACATAGATCCACAGAAAAGGGCGACATACGATCGACATGGGTCAGATCCAGAGTCGCGTTTCAGCGGGATGTCATCTCCATCAAGCGGTCGTGCCGGACCAACATTCGCATCAGCAGGACCCTTTGGTGGTGGATTTGATGGCGAACTCAGCCCCGAGGACCTGTTCAACATGTTCTTCGGCGGGGCAGGTCCTATGGGAGCAGCGTCATTCGGTGGACCAGGTGGTGTGTTTCTCTGATTCTACGATACTACGACATTGGCTCATTTTGGCGATCTAGTATTCACCACGACGTTTGGGCCTGGAGGTTTCCGTACGACACGAATGCGTACCCACCAACAAGCACAACAACCACGACAAAACAACGCCGAACCGCGCTCGATATTCGTCCAACTCCTTCCTCTCTTCCTCCTCCTCGCTTTCTCTCTTCTCAATGCTCTCCCTAGCTTATTCTCTTCCAGTCCGACACCCGATCCTCGATTCTCTTTCAACCCTACACCGTTATTTAACGTCGAACGACGAACTGAAGGGCTTGGCGTCAGATACCATGTCAACGCAGCAGAATTCTCAGGGCATCCGATCGCTGCTGAGTTGGCTCGGAATGAGAAGAAGTCTGGCCCAGAGTTGCGGAAGTTTGAGGGCAACATTGAGCGGTTGTACAAGCAGCAGCTATATTCTCAATGTCAAACTGGGATGGATATAAAGGAGCACAAGAAAGATAAGGAGGTTGGATTGTTTGGGATTGGTACTGATTGGGAAAAGGTGAAGAAGATCGATCAGGAGCCTGTGCCAGCCTGCGATGAGTTGAGGAGACTAGGATTGCTGAAATGAGGGGCTCTGGCGGCTTTCATAGATGGCGCACTTTCGCTTTGGGCGTATGGTGGTTTATATCATGTGTATCTCTAGGACGTTGAGGATACCTTTACCTATTGACATGTTTTCTATGCTATATACTATTCACAGGATCATGACGTTCTTTAATGACACTTGAGTTCATGTCAATGCAGTCATGATCGAGGATGCGATATTCTCGCAATCCCATTGGTTTAAATTCGCACAACGTTATGAAACGAGAAACGGATTTTCGGAATGTGATTGTTTAGCGCATGAATACAATGCAACGTCCTCTACTGTCCCTGTTGCTTGGCTCTCTCCAATTTGAGGTAGTACTCCTCCTGACGTTGGACTGCAAGGGGTTCGAGGAGTCAGTACATGGAAAACGGATTCATAACCTCGGCGCGTCGCTAGCTCACCGTGCTTCAGGTGGACACCGTACCTATGGTTTGATCTCCAGTCAGGAGATGTCGGAAGAAATCGCGCGACTAAACTCACCAGAATGCGTAGCCAGCGGTGACACCGAGCCCGAGAGCGGTGCTGAGGTCAACCCAGAAACGCTTCCTGAGCTTGCCAGTGATGGGTGCGATGGGCATGGTGGATAATTGCGCTCTGAAATTGGGCTTGGGTGGTGGAGGTCAAGGTGAAGGGTAGGTCGAACTGCTCGTCTGGGCGCTACGTCAATTCACAGGCGCTTGCAGACGGCCTCCCATCATCGAGGCAGCGGCGAGGCATCGACTCGACTAGAATGCGAATGAACAGGTTGCATCTCACTTGCGGCACTTATGATGATTATGACCGCTTTATGTGCATCTTTGAAATGATCTCAACAGTCTTGTCTAGATGAACAAGAGTTGTGACGGTTCCTGTGACCGAGTAAGATGGATTTGTATTCAGTGTGACAAAGTCTATAGTGTGTGATATAAGGGGGTATAGTCCGCTTGTGACAATTTGTGACCAGGGATGGCAGTGAGAGGGGCCTAAGCCGTGACGGTACGGTAAGCCGACTGCATTTGCATCCCTTTGCCAGACTTGACAGACAACGCGCCACACCCGTGTTAGACTGCTGCTCTCACCTCCTACACCCATCTGATCTCCTTTGCAAGCAAACCACCATCTCCTCCAGCACCCTCAGCACCCTTAGAACATTGATAGACATCACCATCGTCCCACATACAACCCATGGAGTCTGACGCGTCCAGTTCGGGAGGTTGGAGGTTTGCACAATGTTTCGGCGACAAAGGTGACGTTGAGGATATCACAGAGGGTGCGTTTGAGCAACTTGTAGTAGAATAATTCATCGCTCATTGTCAACTCCTGTTGTCACAGCCGACATTATCTCCACTGTCGAGTTTGACTCCACGGGTAACTACTTGGCAACTGGCGACAAGGGCGGTCGTGTAGTCCTATTCGAGCGAAATGAAATGGTATGTGGTGTGTGATCGCTTGGTCATCCTCTCATCGTACCATCATCCCACACAGAAAAAGGGCTGCGAATACAAATTCTACACCGAGTTCCAGTCGCACGAACCAGAGTTCGACTATCTTAAGTCCTTGGAGATTGAGGAGAAGATCAACAAGATCAAGTGGTGCAGACGGCAAAATGCCGCACACTTCCTCTTGTCTACCAATGGTACGGCAGAATGCCAGACTACTGCTACAGACATCTCTCATGCTGTAGAATTATAGACAAGACCATCAAGCTATGGAAGGTATTCGAAAAGTCTTTGCGAGTAGTATCTGAATCCAATCTTCACGATGGTCAACGACCATTACCCCCCCCTACACATCCCCAACACTTACGATTGCCGCGCATGGCCCAACAGGACAACATCATTGCTGCCGTTCCCCGCAAGGTCTACTCGAATGCACACGCTTACCACATACACTCGATCTCCGTCAACTCCGACCAGGAAACATTCATATCAGCCGATGACTTACGGATCAACCTGTGGAACTTGAATATTAGTGATCAGAGTTTCAGTATGTCTCGAGCTTCTAAAACGATTTCACGTTGCTTTGGAAGCGCGCATACTGACCTGCTATGTAGACATCGTGGATATCAAGCCAGCAAACATGGAAGAACTCACAGAGGTCATTACGGCGGCCGAGTTCCACCCGACGCAATGCAATCTTTTCATGTACTCTAGCTCAAAAAGTAACATCAAACTCGCGGATATGCGTGAGGCGGCTCTCTGCGATCGACACGCAAAGTGTCAGTTATCTCAAAACTGCGCATGCTCCACAGATAGCTCACTCCATTTACAGGCTTCGAGGAGGAGGAAGATCCTACAAACCGATCATTCTTCTCAGAGATCATCTCGTCCATTTCAGACGTGAAGTTCAGTCATGATGGACGATATATTCTCTCGCGGGACTATCTTTCATTGAAGATCTGGGATATCAATATGGAGAACAAGCCGTTGAAGACAATCCCTATACACGATCACCTCCGAGGGAAGCTTTGCGATCTGTACGAGAACGATTGTATATTCGACAAATTCGAGTGTACATGGAGCGGTGACGACAAGTGAGCGCTTTATCTCCGATCCCTTTTGTCGATTGGGCATTTACAGACATACGTCATCAGGCATGTTCTCACTGGATCGTACCACAACTACTTCCGGATATTTGACGTCGAAACCTTGAATGACGTTGTGCTTCAAGCAGACAAGTCGGCGTTCAAAGCGAAGAAGATTGGCGGACCTTTGCCTGGGAACAAGCTTGGTGCAAAGAATGGCATAAGGCCGGGTGGCTTGCGTGAGAACATGGCGCTGGATACTCTTGACTTCAACAAGAAGATCCTTCACGCAAGCTGGCACCCGAGAGAGAATACTATTGCGGTACGTCGACCTTTAGCTTTCTTTCTTTCTTTGCCACCTGAACGTCTTCTTTACTTAGATCGCGGCGACGAACAACCTCTTCCTGTATAGCGCAGCATGAACACAGATATTCTCTCCTAATGCCATCATGCATCCGTCATTCCATCCGCATATCTATCCGCATCTGTATCGCTTGTCCCTCATTCTACCACCTCAGTCCTCCTGTCCACCCTCCGGCAGCGCAGACAGGGAAGTACCGACCGAACTCCTCGAGATACCATACCCGCCACGACCTATCTCCAAGAAATGCACGAATGAACGAACGCACGCAACGCAACGAACAGGCCATCTTTTCCCCCCCAATGTCATCCTTTACGCTCCCTGTTAGACGCTCGCTCTTTGCTCACGTTCACACGTTTGTTTCACGGATTCATCTCGTCGCACACGCTCTGTTCAAGTGTCTTTCATCACTTTTTGCCTACTTATTTTCCTTCGTGTCTCTCTCTCCGTCGATCATCTCAGTTCATAACCCGGACCTTAGGTTGTCGTACATCCCTCTCCCTCCCCGTCTTCCCTCACCCTCATACATATACATCACGCCGTTTCAATTTTTTTCTCGTTTTTCTTCTTTGTCCGTTGACTCTTTTTTCCCAAGTGTTGTTGGGCTGTGTAACGTATAACTCACCGTCGCTCGTTCTTTCGTTGATGACTGCATTTAGGAGAAGAAATAGTGTAATAAAGAGAAGCAGAATGAATAGGAAGTTTGAATCCAATTTCTGGTGTGTTGAGTATGTGCGATTTGCAAACTGTGCGCAAGTCGCTGCCCATTGGCCAGCGTAAGTCAAAAACATTTGGTAGTCTTTCAATCACTATACTGAACCAGGTCCGGATTTCTCGATAAAGCTCTTGCATTCGTATGGAAACAGCATAATATACAAATGTCAAAAGCTAAAGCAATGAGATGTAGGTATGTCCCGTCACTTCAAAGCGTCACCCCGGCGAAGGATATTGAAGGAAGACGTTCTGCGTGACGGATATGAAACTTTTGCCGTGTAGTTTAACGTCAACGGAGTGAGGAAACTTGTATGCGTGACGTAGATATTCACGGCGAGGATCAGACGGGGAAACAAGACAAAGACTTTATAGATGAAGATTCAGGAAGAAACACAGCGAATCCTGAGACGATGGAAGAATCTATTTGCTTGACTTTGAAGCACCAAGCTGCAGGTTTGCACCATGGCGGCTGGCAGGATTTCAGAGCAAAGTTTGCTTCGGGTGCCAAGCACTTATATAGTAACTTTTAAGATATGCTTATGTAAACACAAGCGCTCGCTTTAACCGAATACTTGCGGTACGGTACGCGGCACACCGGTGTACACTGTACAACGTTCGACACAACCACATTTGTGGCGGGTGTACTAGGATATGTCTGTTCGTCGACTAGGAAATCAGCATACACTACCCGATAATCCACAATGGCTAGAGTTTCCACGCTCCGATGGTAGTAAAGCGACTTGGCCGAGAAATACCGAGAAGGTGGTTGACCATGAAGGCCAAGTTAACTTCATGCGGACGGTAGGCATTGACGAAAGTCTATGCATTCACTGGAGGAAGCACGTTGGCACACAAGTAGCTAAGGCATTGGGAAAGCCTGGTGCGTGGTTGCTTCTAAACGAATTTACAGACGTATTCACACCGAAGTTATCAGAGGGACCCAATTATGTCTTGAAGGATTGGCCGACAGACTATTGCATGTTTGATCATAACAAGGGCAAGGAGAGCAACCCCAGACATGATCCGTATCTTTACGGTATGAATATCATCAAAGTATACACGGAAAGCCTTACATTTGTTTGCAGGCACCACTCTTGCCCCCAAATTCCGTTCTGCCAACGAATTCGTACCCCATGCGATATGGCTATTCACCGACGAAACCCTTAATAAATTAAACTGCGAGTGCAAGTATTGCTCGAAGAAATCTCAGCGATTGGTTTCAGAGAGCTTCGGTCTGTCACAGAAGAGGAGCGTTGGCTCACCGACCCCTAGTGCTGTTCGTTCGAACAAACTACGCGAGCGTCAGAAGAAGCCGCAGCCTCTGCCCAAGAAAAAACCATACACCGCTGTTCGTCGAGCTCTCAGAGCGCCGAAGAGGGTTCCTGGCCCCAAGCAGGTTGTCGTTCCAGAACGAAGCAACGATGTTCACCAGAGTTTGAGGAAGAGTGATGTCTTCAGACCTCGTCTATTCAGACAGGACGAGCTCATCTGGTGCGCTATTAATCCTCCAATTTCGTCATCATCTGGCGTTGCAGAATCGAGCATCCCATTTTGGCCGGGAATCGTCGAAGATCTCAACCTGAAAGCAGTGCCGATTACAATGGAGTCTGCTTCTGCCAACGGAGACTCGCCAGCATGGAAGGTACAGCAATGGACCATCTACAAAGTAAAGCTTCTCGGTTGCAATCATTTCTGCTCGGTGACCGACATGGAAGCGCTGCCATATCTTGCCTATGCTCCGTCAGAAGCTCTCTTACAGGGACTTCGTGATGAACTGGTGCACCTGGCTTCAGATATGCCTCTGGAGGAGATGGAAGTAGACAAACTCGATCAGCTTTACGATTTTGATCCTACCGGTTCAAACCTCGTCAACGATCTATCGAGGTATCGGAAGGCTGTTGCGCCGTACACTTTGGCAGTTCAGATTGCATCGCAAATTGCTTCATACTGGACGCCAACCGATGAGTGGGATTACAAATTCACAATACCCCCCTCGATACCTCAGCCAACTCCACAAGCTGTACCAGACCAATCCCAATCTCTGCATACACTTATCTCTGCCGCTATGGCAAGTAATGCTCATCAGCAGCCGCCACCGCCACCGCCTCAGCAATCACAACTCCCTTACCAACCTCCCGATGCCTCAGGAAACAGCAGTCTACCACCCGAGGAACTTCGCTCTTTGCAACCCGATTCGTTTGGGCAATATGCGTGGCCTACCAGCATACCCCGTACGGTGACTCAGCTTCGATATCAAGGGATGTGGTGGGGAGCAGAACGGATATGGACCGACGAACTTGTGCGTTTGAAGATGTCTCGCGAACAATTTGCACCCAATGGGTCGGCACAGGTATTTCCACCGTCTGGGCCATCATCGACGACCGTGCAGGAGGATCAGAATATGTTTAAAGACAAGATGGACGATACACGCTTGCTAGGAGCGAGGCAGAAGGGTTTGTTTATGAAGCTGGACGGTATTTTCGTCGTGGATGCACAAGGTCCAGACGGAACGATCCTAAAAGAGTGCCGAGCGAGTGGTATGCTGTATGAACTTGCGGATGATGATTGGGTGGAACCGTCACCACCTGGAATCACTCCAGATATCAAAGGAAAGGGAAAGGCCAGGGACGAGGGTGATGTTCCTTCGCCTGTGTCTGCTACTCCTGCTCAGGATCTAGTGTCCCAAACCACGTCGCAGACTGTGCCTTCATTTGGACCTAACGGCCAAACTGGCCCCGAGTTCATGCAGGGTCCGTCACCGTTGAAGCCGCCCCCATTGCCAAACCCGAATCCATCTGTCCCAACCTCTGAGACTGTGGCAGACGTATTATCTCAAACAACGAAGGTCGATACCGCAGCACCCCAACAGGATGGAATTAAGGATAAGAGCCAAGTTTCTCGCCCTGTCTTGAGCCTTACCAACGACCTTCCACCTCCTCCAGAGGGGTTCAAGTTCCGTTCTATCGTCCCGGACGGTAACGAGGTTGTCGTCTCTGTGTCTCTCATCAGCGGGCGATACTATCCTGGGTTGTTTGAACATCCCCTTCTGAAAAACCCTCTCGAGACGGCGTTGGCCGCACAACGGAATCAGGTCCCTATGATCGAGAATAGACGGCTGTGGGCGTTGGAAGGTTTGATGCCAGGCGCTTTCCAATCGATGGATCCCTCGGAATGGAGGCCCAACAGGAATTTGATGTTCAACGAGGCTATTGCTGATGCAAAGCAACACTTCGCACAGAAGTGGTCGGAGATGAAGAACACAAGAGTCCTTATTGAGCAGGATCACGGTGTTGATGCCGATGCTGAAGGTGATGTTGACATGGAGGATCTCTTCGGGGAGAGCGCTTCCACTGCGGGAAGGTGATTTGGATGTGGCGATCTGTTTATGTATGTTTCTTGGTCACTACTATCATATCGTATCTTGATTCTTGATGAGTTCGAAAACCCGCTTTCAAAGGTCGCATCCAGAATAGTGCGGTAGTGATACATTCGAACAGATCTCTGCGTCGTTGCCTTGCTCCGAAATGCTCATTTTTCTTCACCAACCGTGTTCCCTTCTTGCCTGCCAAACTGCCAGTGACTGGTGAAATAATCAGTAAATCTATGGGACCGTGTGGAGACGCTACCCGCCCCAACCCGTAGAAGCCACGGCAAGAAGGGCATCAATCTCGCCGACTTCAGTAAGCGGGTACAGCGTGGTTATTCAGCCACCGATTTTTAGGTCAAATTGCACCGGCACGAGGAAACCTTCCTTGTCGATCTCGAGAATGCCTGATAGCATCCTTGTCTCTTTCTGATAAAAGGCTAGAAATCCCTCCACATAAATAGCTGATTCACACTGTGCCTCGCAGCCGAGGATACCTACAACAATGTCCCCTTTGTGATAGGTGAACTTAAAATATTTCGAGTGTCATCATACAGCACGACAACCTGAGTTCCTTGTCAGTTTGAGCAATGATCCTCCTACATTGTTGAACTTTATTGATCCCGGTGTCTAGGAAGCACTGCGAACACTAAGTAATTTATGCGTATACGGAATTTCCTCACCCGTGTTGGTATCTTAAGCTTGCTAAATCTAGAGCTTTCTATTTACTACTGCGCATTTTTCCCTGTCATTGTTGTGATCTTTCTCTACAAAATCTCGGCATTTCTTGGGCTTTTTCAAGTGTCTAAACTGTATCCTCCACTTCAAGCCATTCCTGGCATCGTATCGCACACAGACGCCTACACTGTTGTCAACATCAAGTTCTTCTCGACTTTATCAAATTCTCACTTGACGAGTATGTTCCTCTATGATCACATTGTATAGCGTCATATCTCATTTGGGGGTTTCTCAATGTTCTCTCCAACTGGACGTAAGTAATCTCAATTCAGTATACTTACCTAAAAGGGTAAACTGGAGGAAGGGTGAAGTAAACAAACACAAACTCCTTGGGCATCTTCGGGCTCGTGAAAGCATGTCACTAGGTACAGTATACTGCAGGCTTTGCCTCCGAATTAGAGGGAGTGGGGAGGAACGATTGCGTGGCTTGAAGCCTAAAGTTCGGCCTTCTTAATCTGGGATAGATTCTACCCGCGTAAGCTGCTAGTAAGTCATGCTTCAATCTTCCCGTCACCAATCTTTGACGATCTGCCCTCTATGTGCCGGAAGATCAAATCTTGTCCTTTATACAGTCGTACCTCGTCTCGCACCGGCGTATGCAGGGACCCACTGGCGATTGCCTTGCGGTGGTCCACGTGTAACGATCACGTGCTACGACTGTGGTTGATGTTCGACTTGCACGGGTCCTAAGTGCAATTGCAACTACCATTAGCTCTATAGCGGATCCCTCGCCACAGCGCATATATCTTCTTTGTATCCCAAAAAAGGGTTTATCCGCACAACAGTGGAGGCCACACCCTGTCGGAATCAAATCAAGCACAAAGGTGAGAGTGGTCCACACACTGGCTCAATCAGGTCAAGGACAATGGACCACTCAACGTGTTTCATCTCAGTGTGGTTGTGGTTGAAGGCATATAAAAGCTTCATCTTCCCGTAACCCGTAAGTCCACATTCCACACTCCACCTACTTCTCACAATGAGTTTACCTGATACTGATGGCGGCTCTGCCGCTCCTACAGACCCTGAGCTCCCACCCACTACTCCCACAGGGACAGAACGTCCTCTCACACCCCCGCAATCTGGTCCGGAGGTCCCAACTGATCCTGACCTGCAGGCGTCGCCCCACAAGTCCACCAACACAACACGCGGGAACAGTAAGGACAACATCGATTATCGTATCGTTGCTCAAGAAGAGATGGACACGTCTATCTATCAAGAGGATCTCGATAAGTGGTTCTCGAAATTTTTGCCAGGTAAAGATGGTGAAAACCTCAGCTTCAAACGGGAAGATCTTCCTGAAGAATTCCGGGAAAAGAAGTTTCACTTTGACGAAGTTACGTTCGACGCGAACAGTGATCGTCCCAGGATCAAACTCGAAAAGGATCTCTATACTATCTTGGTACGAGAATACATTTCTTCGGTGCCTTCATGACTGCTAATGCTTAGAATGTGATAGTGTCCTGTGATACAGAACGTTTTCGACCTTGCCGCACACAGGTCAACCGGGGAAGCTCCTAGAGATCTGCTCAAAATCCGAGACACAAGTAATTGGGAAGAGGAGAGCGACAATAAACTGTCTCCTGATTTTCTAGTTCACAAGGACTCCGTGTCTCGGCCCTTCGAGCTCGAGGATGCCCGAAAGAAGAAGGTCACTTCGAAATCGCATAGGAAATTCGTTGGACGCGCTGCTTACTCGTGGAGTCTGCTACCTGGAGAGGCCAAGATCAAAGAAGACGGCTTCGGTCTAGGTGACGAATTGAACCTTCCTGACACCAAGGCCAGTCGTCGAACACGTGGACAGTTCGCTGAATACATCGCTGAGATTCTCTATCGACAACATCGTCAGTTCACCTTTGCATTCTATATCTACAAGAACTGGGCTCGGTTCTTCATCGTCGACAGGGTCGCTTCCGTGACTACCCCGGCATTCGACTATGTCAAGGATCCCTACACGTTTCTGAAATTCTTCTATCGTCTGGCTCAAGCCGATGCCTCTGCGCAAGGCTATGACCCCACTGTTACGCTCGCATCATCTACCAGCATCTCCACTCTCAAGGAGCATATGTCCACCGACCATGGAGCTATCCAACCGTTCATTGACGACGCTATGAATGATGCTTTTGCCTACGAATCGACTTCTATCTGGCCTCTCTACGAAGTACAGGTCTGCGACCACGACACAGGGAACATTTCGTACTTTCTTATTGGAAAACCTCGGACGCCTTCCACTTCCCTTTATGGTCGTGCTACAAAGGGCTACATTGCGTTTGATCTAATTGCACATGACTTCGTCTGGCTGAAGGATACCTGGCGTCTGGCTTCGCTGCACTCTCACCCTGAATGGGAAGTTTATGAAAAGCTCAAGGCGGCTGGCGTTGAAAATACTGCCACTATGCGGACTGGTGGCGATGTGTACGACCCCAAGTTACAACGCACTCTGTCCCAGGAGTATCTTAGTCACGCACGCCTCAAACCTCGGATCCACTGTCGCCTCGTCGTCAACGAAATCGGGTGTCCACTGGAAACGTATGAGACAAGTCACGATTTGATATACGTTGTCTTGTGTGCCCTTCAAGGTTCGTCGTTATGAATTCTCGATTACAGATAAAAACTCATGCTCTCATGTTAGCACACGAAGATGCATGGGTGAAAGCGGGGATACTACATCGGGATATTAGCGATAACAATATCTTGATTTTCTTCGTGGATGGTAGAAGATGCGGCCTGCTCATAGATTGGGATTTGTGCAAGTATGCGTCCGAACTGCAAGAACGCAAAGCGACTCACAAAAACAGATCGGTACGTGTTCCCATCTCTCAAACATATTGACTCGTCTAATTTTCTCATCAATCAGGGTACTTGGCAGTTCATCTCCGCCTTGCGTCTTCGGTGTCCCAAGAAGTATTGTGAAGTTGCAGACGACATCGAATCGTTTGTGCATGTCATAAATTGGTGCGCCCTGCGATACCACCAACACAACCATCTAGGATCGGCATCCGGATTCGCCACGTTCATTCACCGAATGTTTTTGGATTGCTCAATCTCCTCGGATGGCCTCCTTTATGGATGCCCTGAAAAGTGGGTTGCTATGATGAGGGGTGACCCAGGCTTCAACCTAAGTTCCGACGAGAGGTTTCAGAACGTTATAAACGAGCTGATGCGCGTATGTTCTTCCCACTATCGTTCCCTTGATCTGAAAGAGCTGGAAAGATTCCGACCAACTGAACCCAAGGAAGCGGAGGCTTTACGAGCCTCTACTGTCCGACCTGTCGCTCCACCAGTAAACATGAACAAGGTCAGGCCGCCGCGTAGGCGTACTAGGGGGGACAATAACAAGGCAGCGGAACCCGCTGGGGCGAATATCCAACGAGGTCCTGCAGAGCGCACCCTGGACGAACACGCAAATATCGCCGACGTACTGTTTGAAGCAATACAAGATACTGATTGGAAGTGTGCTCGAGAGCCTGGGGTCGATTACTTCGAACAAATGCTCAATGTCAACCTCACTCTTGGACGCCGCTCGGTTGCAGGGACGCAATCTTCCGCGACTTCTTCTCAGAAACGAAGCCGACCTCCTGCAGTGTCGGGCAGTATCCAGTTGAAGAGGTCCAGAGGGTCGCGATCCGGTGCTCATGCTTCCCAGCTTGCTTCCTTACCTGAAGCGGAAGAGGATCAGGAGGAGGGGGAGCAGGAGGAGGGAGAGGGAGAGGACCAGGACCAGGACCAAGGGGGGAGTACCCAGAGCCAAAATCTGCAGTTCCACGAGGATATTGAGGATGATATTTTTAATTAAAAGACGAGGAGGAAGGAATGTCTATCCTCGATGCTAGGCGAGATGACATGATCGATTGGAAGTACCTAAATGATACCGAGCCAGTGTAGTGTAGTAGTTATACCCATACACATAGGCTTGTCCTCACGAATGACGTCCATACGCAATATATCCTTGGCATACATGTTGATACCCTAAGGCTTCTATGAAAGTAACGATGCAGCTTGTCTCGTACGCTTCAAGTTGTGGCCGTTCAATCTTGTTAACAGAGAGTCAGTAATGGAGAGCCTTCCTACTCTTCAGAAAACAGTTGGTTAATACCTTCTCGCATATGAGTTCATTGCAACTTTCGACATTTTTGGGCTCTTGCAAATTTCCAAACTGTATGCTTCACTTGCCATTCGTGGCATCATATCGCACACAGACGCCCACACTGTTGTTGGTAACGTCAAGCTTCATCGAATTCTCAGTTAAGGTGCACCTTTCAACTTGTCTGTCATCTTTCTTATTATAGCTGCTTTGGAGCGCTGCGTTGCTCAAAGCACGGATGTCTGAACCTACTACATCTCTGCATGGGGAGTTCTTGGATGAGACGAACGACGCTCGCTCTGAACCCAGCGATGGCGATGTTCCAGATGAATTGGCTGACGGAGAATCCACGGCCATTGCTGAGGGTTCCATGATGGAAGGAAACCCAGGCTTGTCTCTCACAGAGACTGATGTGCCTGACCCTTTCCTGGTGGATGATCCTGACGAACCCATCTCCGACTCGGAGGACGAAGACGAAGAACCAGTCCCTCCAAGCGAATACGATGTGACTCCCGCAGATGAGATTGCACTCGCACAATCTACCATCTTTTCACCACCTACTGCCGCATTTCTACTGAATAAACCAACTCCTCCAACGCCTAATCCATCTTCTCCCAAACCATTCACGTCACCTTCTGCACCACTGGCTAGAAAAGATGAAGACTCTTCATCATCATCAGAAGAGGACGACTCCCCACTAGATCTTTACCTGCCAAAGCTTGTCCTTCCAACCATGTTTCATCCGCTGCCAAATGTACGCGCTTCATGATGCTGTATGTCTCGCTCTGAATCACGACTGAAATGCTTTTTTGTTATTGGCTCTCGCCTGTCCATGGTGTCTCTTGTATCATCAACTTACCCACATTCTGCCGCGAATATAATGCTATGATTTTCTTGTATGCAACAGACGGACCCACTTTCAACCTTACTGAACAAGTATATCCCACCTGAGAAGCGGCCTTACCGAGACCTCTCCGGCGACAACCCCCAGCGCCACGACTTTCACACTTTGGTTGTAAGTACTTTGAGTTCTGTATTTCACTTTCATTTCTTCGTGTGCATTACACGATTTCTCCCTGCCATCGTTTTCGTAACAAGCTCACTTTGTGGACACTTCAGATGACCAACAATTGGCGAGCCATTGCAAAAATGGCTCGCGATAGAATCGTTGCTAGTGATCCCAGCGAAGTTTCAGTAATCTTGAATGTATGTCTCTTCCTCTACTGAGTCCCGGTCGGCTGTGAAACATTATGAATGTTCTCGTAGTTGTGGTACATTCGTCTTGCCTCACTTGCAAGATTGCGACTCTTCTCGCAGACCACTGCGGAATGTAACAACCTCTTCAACGCTCTGCAATCCACAACCCTTTCTCCTTCAGCGTCGAATACCCAGATACCTGGTTCGCGTTCGGCACCTCCTACACCAGCTGCAGCAGGATTTCAAACACAGACGCAAGCATATGCGGACAATATGTATGATTACATTCGCACCCATCTCTTACCATTCGAACTTCTTGTTCTGAAGGCCAGGACGAAGTATTGGGCGGGTGACCATATGGGTTATTTGGATGAGTTGAGAGCGTTGTTGGGCTGGTGTAAGAGCATGTCGAGGAGGGCATGTACGGGAAGTATCAGCAGGAGCTTTGGAAGCGTGAAGCCTGGGAAACCAAAATCTAAAGCGAAGAGAGACGAGCAAGCAGTATCGATGTGGAAGGAGCGGGGTGCCCGACTGATTCTCATTATGGCTTCTCAACTTATTGAAATTAAGGTAAGATATACTACCTCTGCGAGTTGGCCGTCATTCTCACATCGACGATAGGACTATACTGCTGCAGTGCACCTTCTCAACTCGTTGGCATCTTCAAGTCATCCTGTACCACATCTTGAGGCGATCATCCTCCGCACTCACTTGCAATCGGGTCTCGTCCCACTTGCCGAGGGACATCTTCACTCTATTCTATCTGCCGATTCCACCCTATCTCCAGATGAATTGAAACTTACTTGCGAATCACTCGCGAAGAGTGCCGAAGGGCAATGGGAAGAGGTGGAGACACAGTTAAGAACATTTGTCGACAAGGAGAAACTCAAGGGATCCGCTAATGTGGACAAAAGTTATTTTGTGGTACAGTCTTCCATTCGGTTCCTTAGTACGAGCTGCCACCTGATGTTTTGATCGGCAGGCCGTGAACAATCTCTCGGTTGCGATGCTAAGTCAAGGAAAACTGAAAGAGGTATGCTGTTTCCCACCTGTCTGAAGGTCCGATTCTCATACAGTATATCGTGGCTTCAGGCGATCCAAGTTCTCGAAGATGCATTACATCAGTCACCGTCTACTATTGTCACTGCCGAACCGTTCCTGTTCAACCTTTGTATGTTCGATCTTTCTACGATTCCATTATGGTCGTGCTAACTAATATTGCCTCAGCAACATTATACGAATTGCGGTCCAACACAGCGGCAGATAAGAAGCGTGACTTGCTTATCGAGGTGGGGAAGTGGGCAGGGGATGGTGTCAGAACGTCATGTCTCAAGATGCCAGCTACATAGCGTGGCGTGAATTTGTGTGACGAATGGTCATATGTAATCCATACTATTCAAACGAGCGCAAGTTCCGGCTAACATGGACGGGATTAGCACACATACTACTACTGATACCTACCTAGTTTGTGAAGTGGCGACAACAGGGGTGACGGAGGAAATGGGTGAAGACATGAAAAAGGGACGGAGGTAAAGAGGAATGATGGAGGAGCAGTATGTATGGAAGAAAGTAGGGTATCAGGAACGCTAGGGTAGTTTGCAGTCCGTGAGTCGTGACATAACCAGCATATCTCGGGAAGTACAAATGAAAAGGGAGGGCGGCGAGGGTAGGCTGAACATGAAGGGAGCTCTGTGGGTCGGTGAATCAAAGGAATCAGGTACATATACAAGAACCGGAGCTGTTGCACAGATGGTCTAAGAGCCGGCATGTCTGTTCAGGATGTATAGCTGCAAGTCTTGCCAACCTAAGATGAATGTGTCGGTCACTCTATCGATTCGTTACGGAGTTTGGAGACTCACCCCCACCGACACGACACATCACTTTCTTCGTCGTCGTGCCTTTGCCCCCAGATCTGGACAGTGTGGTCAACTTGCATGTGATCACCTTTCTCGCAAGTGTATTAGCAACGGCGTATTGAGCCCTGATCTCTTCACCATCCTTGGGTACCGTCTTCAGTGGTGGATCTATTCGCTCGATGAGCAGAGCATGAGGTATGTTGTTTACCACCCTCGCTACTTCAGCATCTAAAGGATCCTTGTAGCTCGACGGAATGTATAGGTGCAAAGGTTTACCTTCGATCGACTGAGAAGGCGTAGAAGCTCCGGCTCGAGAAGAAGGACGGGATATTGGTGTCCGAGGTGCTGAGTTATCTTTGAAACTGGAAGGGGGGAGGCGCGACTGGGTCGTTGTGGGGCGAGGTGTTGACCTCATGGCTCCTCCGTCCATGGAAGGATCCCTTTCCCTCATTACTGACGGTGATCTGAATGACATGGCACTGTCTGGCCTATAATGGGACATCGCACTTCCCGGCCTCGAGGCACTCGAGATGTGTACGCTCGGAACAGGGATCATCGATCGACTAGGTGGTCGTGGCGGATGTCCGCTCGGTGTCATCGCTCGGGTGGGAGAGAATGCGCGTTGCATGATCGAAGTTATGACTTCCCTATCGTCGTCATCTAAATAGAACTCGGACGGCGAGGTAGACATTGACCGCCAGTGACTGCCCATGGAGGGTGCAGGGATATGACTTGGTGTCTTCGGTCTAGTGCGAGGAGAAACAGGTAGCCCCGGGGTTTGAGCACGGGAAGGGGGTCGGAAGAAGCCATTAGAAGATTGTGCAGTTGACACCGAGGAAGTCACTGGTGACCAAGGTCGCGAAGATGCCATGGAACTTCTGGATAGACTCCTCCTATACGGCGTACCTAATGGTGGAACGGGAGGAATGTCTTCCGATTGACGTATCCCCATGGCGGATGCTCGTCTTGACGAAGACGGCTTGATCGTCTGACCTCGCTCGTCCTCCACCCGTGTTGAGCTGTTCCACACAGGTCTCCTGACTGTGTTAGTGGATACAGATGCGGGTTCGGCTTTTCTTGGTGACGGTGAAGATTCAGGCGTCAGACTATGACTATACTTGTGGGATGGAGTGACCGGAGTCTGGGGTGTTCCACCGAGCAGGTTGAAAAGCGAGCCTCGATGTCGCAACTTCGGCGGAGGTTCGGATGTCGGTGTCTTTGAACTCGTCTTCTTGAGTGGGGCCGGCGTTGCTACAGGGCTCTTCGCCCCTTTGGTGAACCTCCTTGCAAACTTACGGAATGGAGAGATACTCCTCGAAATGGTGTTCATCTTTTGATGCTCGCTAGGTGGCGTGGCAAGGAACCCATTCTGTGACATTGACGCATTTCCCGATACGCTCGATCCGGCTTCGCTGGGCGTACCTTCCCCTGTTAAGAGCAGTTTGCGTACTCTCTCCATGTCGGCATCCGTTCGTGCTATACGCTCTTTCAGGTTCTTCCATCGTTGCGTGGATTCTGCATGTCTTCGTAAGCATTCTCCATTCTTTGTCACTCGGTCTTGTACGCCTTTGTCAATGATGGAGAGTACTTTAGTCGTCGCAGGCATGTAATGTCTGGATATGTTTTAATGTGAGGAGGCGCATATAAGCTGGCGCAACTTACTTCTTCTTTGCCTCAAAAGAATCCGCAAGTGTACTGAAGACCTCATAATTAAGAGGCGACTTCTCAGAACGAGTGGATCCTGAAGATAACGAAGGTGATAACGTATCATCAGGACCATGCCGTTGTATTCGATAGATGAAATCCTGCACTTGCGAGTCAGTAAACATGATCCTTGGGCGTGTTGCTCATGCATACCTGGCATCTGTTGACAGCTTTCTCCAGACTTGTCATCATCCCATCTGCTTGTTCGTTGACAGTTCGGAACACGGTCAACCATTTATCTTCTTTCAGTTCTTCCCTGAGGACCTGACTCTCCTTTTGCACAGCTTCCCATTCCGCAAGCATTGTAGCATGCTTCCGAAGCATCATAGCGTCTTCTGTGGTCTCCTGTGTTTGAAGGGCAGTAGGTGTTTTTGTAGATTGCAAAAGGGGTTCTATAGATTCGTTCACGGTCTTGATACCCTGAGAAACAGCTTCTAACCGCTCGTCGAGACTAGCCAGAGATTGGTCGATAATCCTAGAGGCGTCGGACGTATCCCCAGATTGCGTTCTGTGTCGTAGTTCCTGGATCTCTGTCAAATCAAATTATATAACATGCTACATGTATATGCAGGAAATAAGGGCTCACCAAAAATACGGCTCTGGATATCTGATATACTGTATGAGAGCTCTGTAATATGAGTTGATACCGCCAATAAGTGTAGATCCCTGCAGTAATCATTTCAGACGTGAGTTGTGTTTATAGTACTACTGTCCTCCAGCACATACTCGCTACTCTTCTGCTTCCCCTTACTTCTGGAATTCAGCCGATCTGCAGTAATTGTGACATTCTCTGTCAGACCAAAGCTTAGACGCAACCCCGAAGAAGAATGCATGGTATCGCACCCTCATCCTCGTTATTCAAGGAAACGTTAGAAGACGAACCGGAGCCACTTGAAACGGACGGAGCGGGAGATGGTAATGAATCATAGAAGTTCTGCGATGACGGAGTTGAGAGCAAACTAGACCGAGACGACGACACCGTGAGAGAGACCATAACAAGGAGAGAGACAACGTGAGACTGAGGACGACAGCAAGGAGAGGTTGAGATGCAAAATGAGAGAGGAAAGGGTATGAATAATTATGATACAGGATTGGAGGACCCGCCGAAGCCTAAGGCTGCTGCTTGAGGATTGACCAGGGTATACGCAACAAGTGAGGGGCAAAGAGCGACGGATCCTCCGTCAAAAGACGAGTGAGACGATTCCAGCAACGAGCACAACGGTCTGCACGACGACGACGAGGTAAAGGTTCAGGATGAGGCGGTTGCGGACAGAAGTTGCCAACTGCCGAGGGTGTTACAACCTTTACTACAACAATCGGTATAAATATTTTGTATAAGCAATACAGCCGGCTTATTGATCGGCGTATTGATAATTGCGTTCATTATCATTTATTGCATGCTTTCACCGGACTCTCTTCACCACTACCACTACTATACCCTCGCCTCATCTTCCGTTGTTGGAAACGAAGTGGTCATCCACCAACATATTCAATGGACGGCTTTGACGACCTTCTTGCACCTTCAAAAGCTCTTGAGCAAAATCCTTTTGCAGATCCTTTTGGTAGACGTTCTGGTTCTCCGGATCCATGGGCATCCTTCCATCAACCTACGCCCTCAGGCTTTCAGGATACCGATGACGGCAGCGAAGCTAGCGCAAGCAGTCGGCCAATTGTTGCAGATGAAGCCCTGCATTCAAATGCATTCGGTAGTGATGGACTCCGTGACGGTTCGACTTCTGCAGACTCAACTGCAAGAGATAATCCACTGGAAGCATCTGCCACTACTAGCGACAACCACTATGATGAAGTGGAAGCTTCACCAGTCACCCTCTCTCCAGGCGTAGCATCCCCAGGCTTTAGGGAAAGCATATCTCGTTCTCCGGATGATAAGTTTGGGTCTGCATCACAGCCGCCTCCACGAGAACCATCTCCTCCACCTGCGTTGTCGCCTCATGCTGAACCGAAACCTCTTTCTCCAACCTCACCAATATCTACTACGCCTACGCCCGCTCGTACGGAATCACCCACGCCCTCAAACAGAGTCCAATCACATTCACCCCGTGGATCTACTACTTCGCTCACCTCCTCTACAGCGGCAACTACTTCTGCTGCAAAACACACGCCATTTTACAACCCTCTAGACCAACCTGGTGGCCTTGGGATTGACCGATCGTTCGCGGGTCTTTCTTTGGGCGGTGAAACATTGGGAGGCTGGCAGGGAGCTCAAGCTACTCAGAACGCTTGGGGAAGCGGTAGTATGGCTGCAAGTGAAGAAGACGATGACGATGACGACAAGCCCATCCTACAAGCTAGGATGCAGGCGCAGGCTCAAGCCGCCGCGAAATCAGTATGTTTTCTCGTTCCTTACATGCACCAGTGTGTTTACGAAGTGATGTTAGGCTACAACTTCTCCGGCAACATCCACACAGCAGACAACTGGCCAGAATGGTATACATCCAGTATTTGCTATCACAGTTGACGACCCGCAACGCGTGGGCGATCCTATTCGAGGATACATAATGTATACAGTACATACTAAGGTAATGCGGCACTGCTTGCGTTCTGTGTTTCACCGCAGTTGACTAATCCTGGTCTTCAGACTACGTCACCCCTCTTCTCTAAATCATCGTTTTCGGTGCTTCGGAGATATTCTGACTTCCTTTGGCTATACGAGACGCTTTCATCCAATAATCCCGGTGTCGTAGTGCCACCTGTTCCGGAGAAACATCCTTTTGGACGATTTGATACGGGATTTGTGGAACGAAGACGGGCAGCTTTGGAGAACTCCCTGAAGAAGATGGCTGCACATCCAGTATTACAGAAGGACTCGGATTTCAGGTTCTTCTTAGAGAGCGATTCGTTTGCCCTTGATGTCGGTGTTTTGTTCGAACCTTCTCACATGAGGATACGACTGAGAACTGGTACTGTTGCAGATCAAGCACAGGAAGGCGGAATTGGCTCAAGAGAAGGGCGGCGTCCTGGCTTCTATCGGTCACAGTATCGCAGGACCTCGATTCTACGAAACGGACGAGGTGAGTGCGTCTGTTACCTGACTCCGACCCCTATTGATTTTGCGTCGCCAGTGGTTCGACAAGCAGAAGACCTATCTAGATAGTCTGGAACTGCAACTCCGAGGTTTGGTCAAGACAATCGACCAAGTCTCGAAACAACGAGCTGGTTGGTTCAATCTTCCCATTGCATGTTTCTGTTTTTCACTGAGGAGGCGTTGTAGACCTCTCTGCATCCATCGCGGAGTTTGCACAAGCATTGGCCGAACTATCAACATCGGATGTTGGTCTTGGACCTCAACTAGCCAAATCACTTGCAGGGCTAGCTGAAGTGGAACGCAAGGCTGAGGAGATACAGAAGATCCAAAGCACTGAGGATGTGCGTACGTTGATGAGTACAGGTAGGCAATCAAATGAACATCTCCCGAATTGAATGTTGAGTGGTTCTGTTTAGCGGATGAATATGCAAGACTTATCAATTCAGTTCGCGTGCGTCCTATAGTTATTGACATTTTCTTTTAAAGGACGTACTGATTGACTTCACAATAGCTTGCATTCTCGTCCCGAATACGTACATATCATAACTGGCAAAATGCCGAATCCAACGTGAAGCGTGCAAAGCAAATGCACGAAGTCAACCGGTCTCAAGGGCGTACACCAGGTCAACTGGGGTCGACTCTGGGTATAGTGGCTGATGTACATCTGATCCTCTGTGTCCGAATTCGATTATTTTTTACTAAAGATTCGAACCTAGGCTGAACGTCGTTCTCTCGACGCTAAACAAGAATTTGAGCAAGTGTCAAAATTGGTCAAGTCGGAAGTCGCTAGGTTCGAGCGAGAGAGGATAGACGACTTTAAGCAGAGTCTAGAGGGATTTTTGGACGGGATGATCAAGCGGCAGAAAGAGGTCAGTCTTCAATTTCAATGGCAATGTGGGAATCGATATTGACATGGCACAGCTCATCGCTGCGTGGGAGTTGTATCAGCAAGGCTTGCTGAAGCGAGTGGATCAGGGAAGCCAGAAGCAGAGGCCTCGTCCACCCTCTTTGGATGGACAAGCACTTACTACTTGATTTTGGACCTCTGTCGCATCTGACCAGACATGTTACGATACTGTAAATGTCTTACCCTTGTTATCTTCAAGACGTTTGATGAGAAGGCAAGAGCTCCATCCAAGACAATGGCGTCTCGTTTGCATTTGACATCAGTTTTTATGGTTTGATTACATTCATCGGTCAAGGTATATGCCATATGTAACCTGGAAAGCTAATGCCTTCTCTCATAAATATGACGTAGGGCGAGCTAGATGGAACTTCCAGCATGTTTCAATATGAAATCTAATATCATCATAATCACTGTGGGCTTTCTGTATACGACATAAATAATGTTACAACTAGGACATAGTAATGAAGATTTATGAACACGAGGGGCATAAAAAAAGAATTGGCATAGCATCGAAACATTTGAACCAGCTTGTTGATATTGTACACATCCTTCCTCCTTACACTTCGTTCCCTGCCATTCATCGGATCGCTGGGTCACCGAAAAGGGTTCTATACTCCGAGTCACGTTCACTGAGAGGCAGTTCGCATGCGGAAGAGGACATAAAAGACGTACGGAATACAAAGACCGGCCTCTTCTACGTTTTGCATGCGTTTCTTGTCCCAGTGGTCCATATGCTCTTCTAGAGGATGATTGAAGTTCACGTCCTTAATCCATTCCAACTCTAGTGCCTTCGCAAACCATGCATAGATGGCGATTAGGACGGCAGTCTCATTGTTATAGGTCGGTGACAAATAGTATCGTGTACCTCGTCGCAAGAAGAATATCGTGCCTTTATACCACGAGAGAATGCACATGTTGTTCTTGTAGGCATGCATTTGCGAAATCACCTGAAAATGTATCCATGTTAAGCTAGGGTCCAACCATAAAAAAGGGGGCTATAGATGGGGCTCACTTGAACGATGATCCGATCTGTAACTTTAGTAACATGGTCTGCCGTGCGAGGCCAGTTGAACCACATCAGTGCGCCTGGCCGATATGTGGAGTGTTCCTTCTGAAGTGAGCTGAAGATGTCATCTTCGCCATATGCGCACACCGTATGCACTTTGACCTCAACGGTCAAAGGCATAGAGAAACCTTCCTCTGCAGGTTTACATCCTCGCTTGACGAGAAGCGCATCGGGGATGGGAAACGCACCCCGGTTCGGAGCTGAAGATAGATGGGGTCTCTGAGTCTCCGCAGGCAAGGTACTGGGTGGGCACAGCTGTTGACCTTGCTCATGGCGAAGCACCAGGAGCGCAGGCTGCAGCAGCCCATCCATGACCCATCTCTCGCTATCCTTTTCGCTATAGATTGTAGGAGGCAGTTTCGCTGTAGTGATGTACGGATGAATATGTGCTATCAACGAACGGTGAGCTGGGTTGTCCCATTCGACAGGGATTCCTCGCAAGTGCTCCTCTGCTGTCTCGATCAGATCCGCAAGGAGGTCGGGGGCAAAAATCAAGCCTAGCCCTCGACAACGATAGAGCGGCGTAGGTGATGCTTTATCGAGGTTTTTTTTGACCTCGTTAATATCGTATCCAGCCGGCGTCCCTGTGCCCTTCAAGGCACTCACGTCATATGTAGAAGCCACGCGAGGAGTTTGAGTGAACAGAAGGTGATAGAACGTTGTCAAATTCGGAGATGGTGCTGTGCACGGCGGCGGATCAGGGATAACGGGACGTTGGACCTATAAGTTTACCGGGAGTGAAACTTCAATGCATGAGTGGGACAATGATTCAGACTCACTTCTGGTTGGCCAGCATTTCGTCCCTGAGGCTGAGGTTTGTTGCGGGGAGGCATGCTCTTGAAATTATTGTTTTTACTTCGGAGACGCGTATCTCCCTTGCACGTCGAGAGAATTCTAAGAGCTGAGTCGAACTTTGGTGGGGTTTTAGATCTTTAGCTTTATAGTAGCAGCAAGATCCGGCATTTTAATAGGCCACCTCGAAACGTACGGACCCTGAAGGTGGTATTGTCAGGGAATGATGGTCTATTGTCCTGATTGATTGGTACGTGATGAGTAATGGCTTGCCTGTGCAGGGAGATGAGGCGCATCGGCGGAATTCGACAGCGGCTCCATGGTGCTGGAGGTTGTGCTAGGTGTGAGTCCGTTAGAAATTCTTCGAATATGAAATGAATGCCAGTCCTATCATTTCTTTCACTCACAGCCATTTGTGAAATGATAGCTACACCATCTTTTTGAAAATAACCACCTTACTTCCGAAGGCTAATCGCAGTTGTCCGAGCTGGTCACGGGCAGACTTGGAGCGTTCGTGGAGCAGGAGAACTTGCAGTCGTTCTGATCCTTAGTGAGTTCCACCTTTAGCTAAGAGCTAAAGCCTGTATGCTATATTTTCACTTGAATGTGATTTATCGTTCCGCAAATAACTGCAACAGCCGGTAGTATTAATACCGCCGATCATAATGGAGATATGTCATTTTTTTTGTTTTTTTGTTTTTTTTTTGTTTTGGGAAGGCAAGACGGAGAGGCACGTACAAGCATCATACGGAAACATAACGGCAAGGCTTGCAACAATACCATCGATAAGGCTGGTGTCGCCTTTAATCATTCTGAGGCATAAATGGAGACATCCTGAGGCCTGAGGCACGAAGATCTAATTTTCATTGACCCTGTCGGAAGCCTCCCTTCGGACTACGGAGTTAGTTTCTTCGCACTTGAGATGGCAATATCACCTGAGCGGGCTTGTATCCATATAGTACCACAAGGCTGGAATATGCCCATACAAGACATATCGCCTATTATTCATTATTATCAATACATCGTCCTTGGCAGCTTGACTTCTTGTGAGGCGTTTCAAGTTACTTGACGTCTCCGTTTCTAAAGTCGAAAGAACTTCGTGTTACATAACGTGGTTTGCTATAGTGTATCATTGTAAATACCTGATGAACGGCGCACAGTTTGAACATCATAGACCTTGCCATATACTTACTAGTAGTAGCATTCTGAGTTCGTCATTCACTGTAGGTAATTTACGTGCCAATAAGTAGGCTAACCGCAATCGATGGTTTCGAACCTTAAAGAACTGATTTATATACGTACCTATTCCTGGAATGAAATGCACCGAAGTATGACTGATCGGAGAATTGGTACTGTTGCACTGCTAGGGTGTCTGACACCAGGCGGCGCTCGTCTCGATGTCGTTATTCTCTATTCTCTCGGCAAAATATGTGATTCTTTTTTGCTTTTATCCTATTGTTTCCACGGACACCCCGAGTCTACTTGCAGCGTATATAAGCCTATGCATTTGGAATAAAATCTCTACGAGTTTCGAGTTCACCTATCGTTCGACCTTCCAGCGCCCCCAAGCGTTCAACCACTTTCAGTATACTTATAAGTAGTACTTCATGGCTGCTACTACGCTTCGACTTGATATCCCTCAACTGTTGGAGGCGCCGGTAACCCTTACCGTGGTTGTACCACCATCTTGGTGCACCGGATCCCCTCTACCAGCTAAAAGCATACCCCACAAATTCGAAATATTCGAAGAATTGTGTCGTGATGCTGCCTACGTATTCCGTGGCCGGCTTCAACTGGAGGCGTCAGATGATGCGACCATTGATGCTATCTGCAAGCTCTCGTGGAATGCCGAAGAAGCTGTTAAAGCCAGCCTCGATGTTGAGGCAGGCTATTACACATCCCAGCTTCTCACGCTTCAAGGCAGAGCGGTTCCTCATTTCTTTGGTCTATACACTTGCGAGTCTCCGAATGATGAGGAAGATCAACCCGTGAGCTGTATCATTCTTCAAGACGGTGGAGACCGGATTCCGTATGCTATGTTCAGCATGAACGATGAGGACCCTGTATGCAGGTTTGTTGTACCTGCTTGTGAACGATAAAGTAGTCGCTGATGCAACGGATGATCTACAGTCGTCAGATTGTGAAGGCATTATTGGAAATACACAGCGTTGGCTTGTTACCGCATGAATTCAATGCTAAAAGTGTAGTCCACCGACATGAAGCGGCTGCTCCTGATGAGCATGTCCAAGCATTCATTGTCGGTTTCGGTCATGCTCAACTTCATGATTGCCGTTTCCCTTTTCAAGGCGGTATCGATCGAGTTCGAATGAAGGACTGGGAGCCAGACGTCATGGACTTTGGATGCCAGCATCTTTTCTACAACCTTCACCAACTGGGAATATGGATACCCCGTCAGTAGCATTGCATTCTTTGCATGCGCAACACCATTGACAGATTATTTCTCCTCAGGAACCATTTCGTTCCTTGGCCGGGGATTTTCAACTCAGATGTTGAGATCTGCTGAGATGCTTGCTCAATGTTCAGCAGACGTCATGAAGAGAGGGACAAAGGAGGACTATATGCCTCGAGCCACTACAGCCTATGAAGCGTTTCATGAGAAATATGGGCAACGCATCACTCAGTTTGGATGGCTCAGTAAATGAGGCAATCATTCCTAAACAATAGGTCTAATGGTGTTGCTTCGCTGAGTATTGGATCTGCCTACTTGTACTATATCCTTATCATCTTCAATGTTTCATTCCATATCCATCTATACAATTTCGCTTGAAATTGTGACAATGTATATATGCTTGAAGTTATTCAGCTGGTTGTTCTATGCCGCGCTTTACCTTGACACATACTTATTTGCATGAAAGTTTGATAGTTTTCAGAGTAGGTGGCATTCAACGACGATCAATCAACAAGGATTTTTGGATTTTTAATGTACTCTGGTACCAATGACGAAAGGGTAGGAGGAACCCCCCACTACATCTTCCTTCTCAAGTTAAAATGAAGAGTCCAGCCTTAGAAACTGCTTAGACGTCCTGAACGTAAACATCCTTTTCGACATGACCTTGTTCTGAACGTTCCTTATAAAATCATCAGAGACGGTTTAGTTAAGCAGGGTGCCTGCAAGGATGGCTTCGACAAAACTGCCTTTGCGCCGGAGTTTCTGATTGGTGGACTTGAGCTCTTGATCGACAAGGACTTCAACCGTAGAAGATTCCATGGCAGTGTCGGAGGTTAGTTTCCAAGAGTCGACTGTTCTGAACGGCATCTCCAGCCAAAGCCTGACAGGTTCGTATATCCTTTGCTATTCAATATGTCAGCGTGATAGAATGCAGTAAATGTCACGATACAGATGCCTCACATGAATTTGTACAGTGTTCCTTCCTCATTACGGATCAGCTGATTGTGTGTGCTCTGTCATATGGTTATACCTCAACATAGGTAGACAACCTGATCCATCTGCTTCACGAGTGATACTATCAGTCACAACCATACGTACTTTCACCGCGAGAAGACCGTAAGGTCCAATAACGTGGTCTGCAATTCACAACAGATAGATGTCAGTTCAGCCGCGAAGGAAGAATGAAGAGAAAACAAATCGCATCCAGGTTCACAATATCCCCACTTGCGCTACCCTTCAACCATTTGACAGCACAAGTGTCTTTTGAATAAATCGTCACCGCCAATCACATACTCTTCGGCACCCTTCTGCGTAAGTAGGTTCATGCAGCTGAAGAACCGCTTGCTGTGATTATCCGTGATAAGCAGAGGATATTTGTTGGAGCTGCTTGGAACTAGTTTGGGGCAGGGAGACTCCAGAACAAAGGCCCCGAGCTCGTAAAAGAGCGCCGCACATTTAGTATGAGCCCGATCTTGAGATGTTCGAAGGCAACGGAAGCAAGTGTGCATGCACATATGACAAGCGAAGCGGTGTATGCGATCCAGAAGAGCAGGGGTGTGAGGATGTGCGGGTGCCGTAGTGTTACTAGAAGTCACTGTACATCAGAAAGTGATCTATTGTATATGCTCAGATGATAACGACGGGCCTGTGGTTCGCTAGTGTGAATACGAAGTTGGCGATACTGACGAACAAAGCAAAGCCTATAATTCACGTCGGTCGATGACATTCTCAGAGCACATTCATCGCAAGCATGGGTCAATTTCAGGTGTCCAAAGTGCCAGGTTGAAAATGTTGTCTGCACATATTCAATCAGGGCGGCATCGGAAATATTAGAAGGAAAACGTACCGGAGCACCAGTGGCGTTCAAAGTATATGACACGAATCCAACCAGTCTTGCATCATATAGCTGCCAAGAAAATGACGGTAGCTCCAACCATGTCCAGCCTGAGTGCATTTCCGGTACCAAGGATATAACTTCATCCCGGTAAGTTTGTTTGCCAGTAATCCGTGATCGATATAGTTGATCATTCGATCACCTTGATCGGCACCGGGATAATTAATTGTCCCTCTTTTTATGGGTCGGCTGTTGCCATAGCGGTAGGTGACCTGACTTTGGATTTACTGGAGTCGGAAAGCTAGAGAATGCCGCTGCCATGACGTTACAAACACGTTGCCTAAGGGTCCTCAGGGCCTCATCACTAGGTGTCATGTTGACCACTAGCAGTTCGATAGATTTGGTCTCTAGACGCCAGTCATTACAATATAAAAATGCGTACTGCAATTGCCCATCCCTAGTTTCACTCCGAGTCCACACGTCTACCTTGCTGAGAATCCACTTCAAGCTATTTCTGGTCGCAGCTCAATGGAGAAAATCACTCTTCGAGCTTTCATACCTTTGCAATTTAAAACTGAAATCATTTGTGAACAGTTGGTCTCGCCTTCATCGAAACCCGAGTCCTTTGGGTCAGCCTCAGAGTTTTTTCTCGAAACATCACGAAGAGCGAAGGAAACCATGCTTGGCCGTAAACCTGATGGCATGAAGATTTTTAAGGGCACCCTGAGCGGTAGCCTGCCTGATGGGTCTGCTAGCGATGGATCTGTGCCAGTTGTTTGCAAAATGGCCGTGAATGACGCCGCCAAGAAGAACTTAGAAGTGGAGGCATCTTTCTATCACGGGGGCTTACAGGCGCTGCAGGGAAAATGTGTCCCACATTTCTATGGCTTATTCCAGGCGGAAGTCAGTAATAATCGGCATTATACATTTCTGCTGCTTTCGCTGGAAACAATCCTGCTAGGACATGGACACAGCTTCCCAGAGGTCGATCTAGAGATGAGGTACGCTCTTTATCATCTCACTGCATCTGACGCTTGACAGCAGCAAACTAACTCAACCCATAGGAAGAAGGTCTTATCTCAGCTTCTCGAGCTACATAGAGCGGGAGTGGAGCACACCAACTTCGGCTTGGAGAATGTCGTCTTATCTCCTGAGGGTGAACTGCTCATCATAGGGTTCCGTTTGGCCTGTGAACACAAATGCGAATTTCTCACAAAACGGAAAACCTTTGATGATTTGGGTGTTGGAGATTGGGCGCAGTCAATAGACGACATTGAGTGCAGGGAACTTCATGATGCGTGTTTCGACTTGATGGATCTGTGGGTTCCTAGTGAGTGAAGATGCCTGGAAAACTGCACCTCTACAACTCACATATGCATATATTGCAGGGTATCTGCCTCTCCTCGAACCCGAGTATCCGATCAGTGTTGAGGGGTTTCTATGTCCCGAGATTCTCGCAGACCAAGTCTTAGAGGACTACGGCATTCCGAGGGAAGTCACCATACCCGAAGTAAAGAAGATGCGGCGAGAGTTTGAGACACAATATCGCTTATTTTTGCGAGATCTTGGATGGGAGTTTGATAGCGAGTGAAATGGCACTCCACAAATGATGCCTCTAGTAATGTCTGTTCTTGTACAATGTACTTTTAAGTCCAACTGTATACTATATGAGATATAGCCTCTCGTACCAAGTCCATTATGCAACACTGTACAAATAACGATCAAACATCGGGAAGCGAGAGCAGGATGACGAAGCAGATGACTTCGCGCCAACAATAATGCAAGAGGGGACTGTACAGATCCTGGAATCTATGTAGATGAGCTGTATTTACGTATATACAACAATAATGATACATTGAGCTTCGGAGATAAGCAGCAGCAGTAGCAATGGCGAGAAGGAGGAGGTCTGGGAGGCCCGGATGCAGAGTGTAGGAAAGGAAGTAGTGCGACGAAGTACCGAGATGAGGAACCAGCAAAACGAACCATGTAGCAAACAAAGAAACCGAAACGGACAAAGGAAGATATAAGACTGTAGGCTTAAGAAAAGATGACGTAATATGGTACAAGAAGCAAAGCATGTTCGGATGAAGAAAGAAGAAGTAAAGTGAAATGAGATGAGATGAAGATGAGAAAGGGGTTTAGGGAGCGTCGGAGCAAAGCACGATGGATTGATAGAAGGGTGAATGATGAATGACGTGATGCATGGAGAAAAATAGAAGCAGAAGCGTCTGAGCAAGACTATATGATGGAGATAACGGAACCAACATCGCATATGTGCAAACCGGGAGAGTGAGAGGAAGTGGCGCAGGTGGAAAGGTGGAGATGACGATAGATGAGGAGAACAGGGAAAAGTGGGCTGAGGCAAGGTGGACCGAGGTGAGGGCGTGATAATCGGCAGTGCGTCTCAGCTCATGAGACGTTCACCCCAAACAAGTCTTTGTCGATGCGCGCGTATGGCACCGCGCAATGTGATCCAAGTGATCCATATGCAAGCGAGAAATACGAGCGCGAAGAGGAAACGCTATTTCGAGGGAGAAATCAGCACCACACGTTAAGAGAGAACAAAAGAAGGGAGACTTGCAATGAGTGCTTTCCACCGTGCATCAACCGGAGCGTCTCGAGTAAAGATGATTGCGCGCAAACGTAGCGGGATTGGAGTGTTAAGCCATTCTAAAGACGCTACCAAATCTTTTGCCTGAAGATCACCAGATATTTAGTACACAAAAGCAGAAAATACGCCAGATACTAGGTTGTAGCATACCTTGTCCCGTCCTCTATCGTAAATATTCCGAATGTCCCGTGTTTGGCGCCCAACATTAGGTAAATCATCACCAAGCTCGTTCAACGCCGCCAAGTCGTCCCCCAGGGAGTGGACGGTCTGAGGGATCGTTGAGGTTAATGCGTTGTGTGACCGACGATGTGTACTCTATCGGACAAGAGGGATTACGGTTAAGGAGCAAGCGCGTGCGAAGACAAGAGAAATACGCACTCGAAGACCCTGGATGACTTCGCTAAGTATGGTGTCGATGGCACGAGCGTTGCTCAAGTCCTGAGCGAGTGTTGACTACGGTTCATGTATAAGATTCGACAGCAAAGAGTTGCGGCTGACGTGTAAGTGCGTACCTCCAAGTCCTTCATTTGAACTTCGTACTGCAAAGCACGCCGCGAGGCAGATTCGCACATTGCTTCGAAATTCCTGCAAGAGGGAATAAAAACAAAGCATGAGCACTGTGAGCAGCCTTTCATAGGGAACGGAGGACAAGATGTACCCAGCAGAGCCCTTGTCCGATATCAAACTTGTTCTCCGTGACTCCATGGTATCTCAAAGGTCCAAACACAAAAACGCGAGGTATATGAAGCTAGTCAGCTCTGAAGGTGAATGTGGGCGAGTTGGCTGAACAAGCGGGAAGCCGAAGAAGTTAATATAAGCTTCAAAGTGGGGTATATATCGAGCACGGGGCAGTGTAGGCTGAAGATTGAACCGTACGGGGGTAATTGAAAGCCTCGGAAGAGGGAAGAGAGTCAAGAGCAGCAACTTCAACGAGATGAGAACAGGGAGGACACATGCACCTCAGCTCAGCTGAAAAAGATGGACAGCTGAAGCGGTCTCATTGAAACTCAATTTAGTCTTTCGCTAAGTCCGAGCCAGCCTCATTGCCATGATCATCCACTCTCGGCCCGCTCTTCCGCATCGGTCGCATTGCTCTCCGCAGGGACCAGCCTTGACTTCTACACATATTCCAAATATTAAACCCTTATTCTAGGTACCTCGAGGTTGTTCTCAACACATTTTCCGTCCTCCTGCCTCACTATTGTGCCTTGCTCAGCACATCGTGACCCCGTTTCGCATAACGCACACAATGTCCCCTTCCCGTTCGCAACTACTTACATCCGCGACAGGACTATGCAACGCTTTTGCGTCTGCTGCACCTCTCGATGAACTGCTTTCTCACTTCTCTACCACTCACCATGTCACTGCGAAAGAACACGGGGAGCCCTTTCTTGCTCCTTTCATAGGTCGTCAATTCAGCGGTCTTAGGGGCCGAGATTCCTTGGAGACATACTTCGGTCTCTTAGAAAAGTACCTTACCTTTGAGGACATGAGCTTTGGCGAATGGGTCATCGACCCAGAGTCTCGCAAGGTTAGCTGTAAAGGAAGGGCTAGGTTCAAGTGGATAGAGGGAGAAGGGAATGGTCAATGGTGGGATGAGCAGTTCGCATACATCCTGGACTTTGACCAGGATGCGAAGGTGACAGACTATCAAGTATGGTCAGATTCTGGAGCAGCATATTTGGCTAGGATAGGAAAGCTAAATGACATGCGGAAGGTAAGTAGCTTTAGTTACTTGCTCATTGTATGCATGACATTCAACTCTATTGCCTAGCACTACGAGAAAGAGCAGATTTCATGAACTACAAATTTTAGGACAAGAAGAAGCATCCATCTACAATTTAAATTACTGTATCTCATTCCAGGAATACACGGCAGTCTACCTTTAATTCAAGTATCGGCGTCGACAACCCCGATCTAGGAGACTTTCCATATATGGATACGAATTTCCAGCGCTTGACATTGTCAGGTCTTCGACCAATTCTCGCAGTATGCTGTTTGCCAGAATGTACTTCTACCGTGGTTTCTGGTGGTCTATTCTGAAGGTCCCTTGGCACGAAATCTGTGATACGCAATACCAGGTTTACTGCACATAATGCCTGGCCGCGACTTTAGGCTACGTCATTGATTCGCACGACATCTTTTGCCAGCGTCCATCCCTGCGAAATTTTCCTCGTCCTCTCTAAAGTCGCAATTAACGGGCACTCAGCTAACACGATTGCAGTAGACAACGGCGGCCTTTTTAAACATAACTATTACGTTGTGCAATTAGGGCCAACCGCGGCAACGGAAGAGCTTGGCGTTTACTTCATCACACTGTTATGATGGTGTTACCGTATGACGCCACCAAACCTAGTCCAAGGCCAGTATGTTCCGATATTCAATGAAGGATTGTTCTATTTGAAGTATCGAAGGATCATGTCCGGCCAGTTTGACAGGTTCGTCGACGGTCACGCTCGGTCTAGATAGCCTTGGTGCAGTGAAGATGCGGACAACGTGGGGAACGCATTGGATTGTTATGCTGCATCGAGTCCTTCATCAAACCCTTTCTTGTTGGAATAACTGTTCAAAACTGACGTACTGGTGGTCATGATGTATGTATGTATACATGCATCCATCGGCACGTCCGGAAGTGGTTAGGCCCTGCATACTTGCGATGCCTAACGTGAGGTCGTGTTCCGTCTAGATACTTACTCGTTCCGCATCTCGTCAGGATTCTCATCCAAGGGCTCTTTTCACCGTACCCACTCTCTCTCTCAGGTCCCTTCGTTTGTCCCCCATCATCTCCCTCTGCCTTGTACCTTGCACGTGACATTTAATTTCAAGGTCCACTTATCCGCAGCCTTCTAATTGGCCAAGCTCGTCATAATCCAACCCTAATCCACTCCAACTCTGTTACGACAACTTTTCTTTGCAGAAATTGGTCTCCGCGACGCCCCCCAAGATGGCCTAGTCTCGACCTTCGTCATGAATTATAGTAATGAGGGAATGTAAGAAGGGGTACGAGAACGAACGTGAGGCGATCGACCTGTCAAACTGCAAATTTTCGATATCGTCTGGTGCTTTATTGTGTACCCGACTCTCGGCCGATCGAGCCTTTCCCGACTATTTAACCTCCAGACCATGATTGGCTTGGAGCTTTTCGACGCCATCCCTTTGTTCTTCTATCTTGTAGGCTCAGGCTCAAACTCAGAGTCGTTCCCTCGCTCTTTCTCCCCAGTTTGTAGCCTCTTTTCCTTCGATCTTTCGATTCACCACGATGCGCATCCTCATCTCCTTCCTCGCCTTCCTCACTTTCCTTTCTTCCGTCTCCGCATTCGTGCTTCCTCGTTCGTACAATGCTACGGGGGAAAAACGCATGACCAACGCGGAACGTTTTAGACGAGGTTTGGGCCCAAATGCACCTGTGTTCAAACGTGTGTTACCTGGGTCCGGGGAGAAACCTACTGGTGTTATTGCGGCGAAGAGGTCAAAGACGAGCTCCTTGCCTGTGACGTATACGGGTCGGATTGAAGTAAGGAATTTGGAGGGACATTCGTTTGGTTACGTGTGGAACTCTGAGTCCGGGGTGTGAGTGTTCATTTTTTTCTTCCTTCGGTTTGCTGTCGAAATGAATGAGTCAGAATTGATTGAGAATGGATTAATTTCATTAGGAGCGGGGTGAACTTCCATGGTCCCGTCGATGAACTGCATGTCAAGATCTCCACTACCAAGTCTGGTGGACTGTTCGATATCCTGGCTACCAACCCCAAATTTCCCCCACCATTCTACATTGGCGCATCTTCCAACAACGCAGCGGCGACTCTCGGTCCTGGCCTTCCTGCGTATGTTTAATATACCCCCTCCGCTCCATTAGCGCCCTTTACTCACTTTCTATTTTTGCGCTTGCAGCGGTGTGGGCCTTGGTACTGTCGAGCAGAGTGAGCACCGCATACAACCTTTGCGTTGCAAACTGAAACTTATTCGCCTTTTCCTTCTCTCTTTTCAGCTCCTCCTGGACCCAGTGCCGCGCAATCCGCGATTTGGACGATTAATCGTGCTACTAAGCTTCTCACCCGTGCGTCCCTTCAAGCTCTGTTTGACTTTATTCCGTTTGGATATCTTGACTGAGACAGTTCTTGTTTCGCAGCACACTGGGTGAACCCTGACGGATCCAAGCCAACGACTAGCATTGGACTTGATCTGCGTAATAATTACTTGACGTTCACAGGCGATATTGCTGCTTATAACGCTGCGAATACCTGGCCCGTCGGTGAAGTGGTACGTCTGCGTTTTGCCTCTTCTTCAATAACGGATCTCATGCGGCAATTTCTTCTAGCAATTCTTCTTAGTTGACTTCTAAGTGATCGTTTTTTTTTCCGGTCACTCGTTCAATTTGGGACTTTCGCTGTTGATGATTATCTCGTTAAGGACTTAGGACTATTCGTTGAGTAAGATATACCGGACACTTATTTGTTTTATGCCTTTCTAGCTTGATTCCCTTGACATTTAGAACTTTAGAACAGTACTTTCTTCGCACATAGACGCTTATATCTACCCGCCGGACTCTCCACAACGACATCTGTTGTACTTGTGATGTTGTAATGTAATTTCTAGCTGTCCTTCGATTTTGCTGTTGCAAAACGATAGTGTATGGTTGACGAATGAACATTGGACATTTTATGACGCTATGTCTATGTTCCAAAATGCTAGCAATACAAAGGGTGACTTGGATACCGCAAAAAAGGCGAGAGCATGGGTCCTAGAACAAGGAAACATGATACAAATTTACACAGTTGGAGCGTGACGAAAATATTGAATAAGTTACTGCGGGAAGGCGGAGCCGCGGACAGTTTGGATCCAAGATGCAGCCGCATCGGGGAACTATAAGACAAGAAAGTCAGCAGGTTGCTCATTGCAATAGTATTCAAGGCAAAGCTTACCTCCCAAACCATGACACCAGCATCTGCAACAAAGGGAAATTCGTCAGTGTAACCACAATGACAGAAGCAACAATGAAACTCACTCCAGCCTTGGTTCTTAGCCTGGGAAACGCAACCTGCCAATGTCGCAGGAGCAATGAATCCGTTGCTAGCATCGCCAGCTGTGGCGGGCTTGCCGATAACCAGTTTATTTAGGGGAACGCCGGAGGCAGCGATCTGGAAAAGGGCAGTCTTGGGCCACACGGAAGATGAGGAGGTGAGGAGGCCGGCGCAGGTGGTATACTCAGTGGAGCCCTCTGTATAATGGATCAGATATGCAATATGAGAGCGCAAAAATAAAGGCGACTCACGGTTGTAGAATTGGATATTATACTGGTGATTTCAGAGATTAGACAGCATTTCAATAAGGGTATATATAGGAACGTACCCAGTCAATCAGGCTCCCAACTTCCTGGTGAACCCTGAGGTATCCTCCTCCGCCCCAGCCGGTAGGAGCGAACCTGAATACAGAGTAAGCCGGAAAATCATATACTATTTCTGGCAAACTCATACCAAGGCGCGACGGCTAAATACCGGGGATGTAAGCACATGATCTAAATCCATTTGGAAAGGGAGTACGCACGAGCATGGGTAAGGATGAACTGTCCTTGAGGAAGCTGAACGCGCAGTTGCTTAGTGAACGAAATTAACCATGACTCGGCACTGCCATTCCCCGCATCGAAAGCGTTGAAATCCTGAAATAACAGGCCGAGGCTGTCAGCACGTTTTGGGGCGAGTCTCTATTCAAGACTACCTCGTAATCAACGTCGACACCATCGAGATCAAATTGCTTCACCCATGCTGCGACAGTGTTTGCAGTAGCAATGGGGTCAGCACCGGTGGATGTGGGCACATCGGTAGAGCCGAAGACTGAGACCATGAGCTTGATTCCTGCAGCAGCGTACTGTGACTTGATGCTGGAGCGTTGAGATGCGCTCAGCTGTGTCCATTCCTCGGCTTTATCGAAAGGGCCTTCCAAGAGGAGGAAAGAGAGAAGGCTATTACATTGATTAGATTTGAGAAATACATGTTCGCAGTAACTTACAATGCATTGAAGCCCTACATACGATGCAAAAGCGTGAGTGCCAGACAGCTGAAGAGAACGCAAAATCTTTACCTTGACCTGAGCGGGTGGAGGTGGTCCCGTGAGGCCGGATACGAACTTGTCAGAGTAGACCACGAAGTGTGGAGCAGCAGGAGTGGCACGAGCTAGGATATCGCGAGCCTGCTTGTCGAGACCATCGAAGATGGAAGATGGTGACGAGCGGACTCCACTTCCCAGATAGATCAGAGAGAAAAGAGCTGTGAACGAAACCAAACGAGAAAATACATCAAAGACCATGATAACCGTGTGTATGTAGCCCCTGGTACCAACCGAAGAGGAGATTCTCCAGTTGTCCTTCGTTAGCCTCTTGAAGAGAATTTATACGTTTTCTCTCAACGGTGAGCTCGGACAGGACTGGATTTCCGTGCCGTACCACCATATGGAATACCTGGAGAAGCAACATGTCAGCACGGTAGGACATGAGTCCAAATGTTGCAGATAGACCTGTTTGAGTAAACCACTGCTACGTGACATACGATAACCAGGGAGAGTGTAGGAAGTGCAACGTGGTTACATGGTATACGGCGTGCATGTGCATCGCGTATCCGTATGGTCAAGAGCAAACCCCATTCGTAGAGCGCAGGGAATCGTGTCTTCGTCAACCTTCATTTCGTCATGTGGGTGCTTTGCAGAGAATTCTTGCCAGGAATCATTGTTCCCGAATATCTCGAAGCTGTTGCGAAGAGGTCTTGTGCATCGGAGACAAGCATGGAGACGGATGTGAATTAACGCCTTTCCAGAAATGACCGAGGGTACACATTCTCAGGGTAGTCATCCGAGCACATCCGAGCAACGGCAACAGCCACCATCGCTTGAAGCTTGCTGGTCGCACAGTCCCTTATAACGATCTTCGACCTGATAATCTACGCTTAGAGTCACAGGTCTGTTTGCCTTGCGAGCGTGCTGTTCTGGAGAATTGTATGTGAGAGATGACAGATACAGAGATTAGCAAGGGCTTCCTCGATGAGAACCACGTACGATAAGGCAAAGACCTTGCGGTGGTAGCAGGAGAACTATACAGGTGACCCTGTCAAAGTGTTGAAATAGTGAGTCAGTCAAAATGGAACAGTACTTCGTCAACACATGAAAGACTTAATATACTCCAAAAATCTTACTTAGCAGCGATCCATCATTCGCTTAATCACGAAGAGTTTAGAAATCATCATATCCCAAGATTCACATGCAGTGACAGCCCGTGATCGAAGGTTCTAAAGCAAGAAAAGTCCATGAGAAACAATACTTAATGCGGATGAGCGCAAGTTAGAAATAGCATGTGTAAGAATGAACCTCCTGACTTGCCCTTCCGAGGTACCTCGGTCGTGGCCAATACTCATAAGGAACGATTGTCTTCCGAGAATGTCATGCTCGAGCCTAGAAGCGAGCCTATCGTGTTCGTATCTTATCGCTGAAGTTCCCGTGCCTACAGGTGCCTTGACGCTTCGCTATCTGAAGGGAGCTCGTCGAAACTGGTTTGAACTGGCAAAGACAGCTCGTGGAATTGAACCTTTTTAAAGTTCAATACGTATTCTCCCAGTCTGAGTAGATCCCGAAAAGGAGATTTTGAGCCTGGTCCGACAGATGCTTGAGAGCGGAAGAGCAGACATCTTCCCCGAGCCCAAATGAAAAATTCATACACATCGTAATAATCGTACAACATTATACCTCATAACATTCATTCAGTCAGACTGTCTCTACTCCAATGCGCCATTTCCATTACAGTAGTCTACATTCCCCTGGGCTGGATTTCCGGCCCAGAATGGGAATGGTCGACCCACCCCAGATGCTCCAAATACGGCGAACGATAAAATGAATACCATGACCTGAGCGCCTCCGTCCAGTGCACCACCTAAGAGATACTAGTTAGATGGATTATACTTTGATTCAACTCGAAAGCCTTCACTCACCGAGGATGTAGTTGTACTTCCTGTACCAACCAGGATGATACTTGCGAAGGACCAGTTGGGAAAGGAGTCCGACAATGATCGAACTAGTGATAGTCGAGTTCACACCGACATACATCCAGGAGGAATACTGTGGGACCATTTAGTAACTACCCGTTCATGTGACCGAATAATGGAGACGAACCATATAAATGATTGGCAGCATGATTGTATCGACCTTGACAGGCCCGATCATAGGCCAACGCTGGATTGCAGGGTAGTTTATATGATAAGGGGATTCGCAAGATAATAACGATCTAACTCACTCTCCAGATGAGCCATTGTATAGTAGTAGGTACCATGCCCACAAGCAAACCCATCGGAATGATAAAATACGGCCCCTTCGGTCCATACAACTGATTTGCGAGTGACCAAGTTACGGCCGCACTATTCAGACTCTGGGGTTGCTGGCCGGACTGCAGGCACATTAGTGGGTTTTCTCTGTGTAAGATTCAAACATAAACGTACCCAGACGTTCGTCCCATGTGGACTCAATAGGACATCACGTTGCGCATCGACGATGGAAATCATGACAACTAAGATATCATCGCGATGAGTCTTCATGAAAAAGTGGTTCTGCAGCTCATGACATACCATAGTTGACGATAGCACCTATATAGAAACAAGAATGGTTGGTCAAAGGCGAACGCTGTTGAAGGTAGAAGATCACGCACCCAGAATAACACCCCATATCTCTGCGGGGAACCTGGTCAGCATGGCATTAACCGGAAATTAAGCAGCAACGAACGGGTAAGGAACATGGCACGAGGGGGGATCTTTAGGTATTGCCCCATCTTCAAGTCTCCCGCGAGGCCAATAGAGCTTGAAACCACATCGTGACTCCACATAGAGAACTGTATTCTGAAGTATTCAGCAGACATCTCAGACTTTTTGTGAGGACTGTACACACATATAGATTGGCTACTGGTTTCCCCGGGTTGACTCCTGCTGCGACCATCTTCATAAGCTGATTCGTCGCTATGCCGTTACCCATCCGAGCGAAAAGAAGATTGGAGAAGGGAGCAATAAAAGCTGCATGTAGACGATAACTTCAGAATTAGGTTAATGGAGATAGTCATTGCACGTACAGCCCAGAGCCAACGCTAGCAGGTATGACCACCATGGGAGTGTAGTCTGACCCTTCAGCACGACGATCAGACCTGTGAACGGCTATTAGCGACGACCCGGAGTAAGCTGCGAGAGCTGTCCTCACCTGCGAAGAAAGAAAGTACAAGAAGAGCACCATACCAGTACCAAGGGACTTCGGCGTATTTCTGCATTGCCTGTGAGTTTTCCCTCTCATCAGCAAGATTCAATTACAAAAACGTTGTTCATTCGCACCTGCCAATGGGGGTCAGGCTGGGTTCCTTTACGTGCCTGCTTGAACGATGCAATAACGTATGGTCGCCAGAACAGCACACAATGTGCGATCAGTCCTCCAATCTTGAAATGATGGAATCAGTAAGTTAGCTAACTGAAGACGAAAGCAAAACATACGGAAAGATTCTGAGTGAGATTCGCCCATGCGTTTGAACCTATGCAAATCAATTTGGTAGGCGACAGATAGCTTTGAACGATGTGTACTGACCTGTGAGTGCTGGCAAGCCAAGCTCATCCAAGGCGGTTTGATTTAGCTGGAAGGTAGTTCCGAAGACAGCAGACTGTCTATATACGGAACCATTCTGGGAGAACAATGACGACGAGAGCATAGGGAACTCCAATGACTGCGGAAACCCATAGTCCAATCACGATCCGACGCGACAACAAAGTCAACGAACTTACATTCCACGTATTGGAATAGTATATGCCCATGATGGCAATGTAGCAAAAAAAGAGACCAATCCAGGAGTTTGCTGAATAACACTTGGTAAACATGCATAAAATGATCAGAGTCATAGACATCTACACAATACCTTGTTGGATAAGGGGATAGCTCATATATCTATGATTAGTGGTATCATCAGAACACAGGGGCCATCCAAACAATGGAAGAGAGTATACGTACAACGAACCGATGTACTGCCAATCGAAGCTCAAACTGAGCAAGCCCAGACCTTCATTGCCGTTGCCTCCACCGAATAGGTTGGTGATAACATCCACTGCTTTCTGCGGCGCTCGCTGGGTTGCCAGACAAACAACGTTGACCGCATTCAAAAGCGGGAAGATGTACGCGGGGATGATCTCGTAAACAAACATCCCGGCGAATGCTGACCAGAAGAGCTTGAGTCGCTTATGATTAGCTTTAGTATCAAAGTGCATTGCTGGAAATAGACTCTTTATTATTCAGGATACAACTAAGTGAATGGACGATCATACCTTGGAATATAGAAACTGTCGGCAGATTCTGAACAATGTCTTAGTGAAGATATCGGATGAAAAGCATCCATACACACCGCCCAGTACACCATTTCACTAGGAAAAACCGTTAAAGGGCGAAGGATTCCTACAAGACCATACCTGTCAAACGTATAGGTCATATTGTCAACATGAGAGTACACCATGCCCTCACCCAAAGGTTGCAGTCGAGAAAGTTGCCAATACAGCGGTAGTAGCCTGCACATGCGTTTCGTAGTATAACTAGAATGGTGTCATAAGACTGTTTACCTACACTGTGCAAGGAAAACTTACTCGTTGTACGGCAAAGTTCATGACGGCAGTACTACCACCAGCTGCCGTAGACGCTACAAGCGATGCAACAACATGCTACAACCTATTCAGTCCAGTATGCCATTGACGGAACTAGAGCACGAACCTCCTTCAAGCCAAAAGGGCCTGGATTAATGAAGTGGAGGAAAGGTGCCAAACCAGACCAACGAGTGCCTTCTACGGATGATGCACGGGGAATGACTGCTGCCCACACAACGCCGACAGAGTAAATAAGCAACAGTAGGAAGACTGTTGATACAGACATCTGGACCGGTTTGAACAAGTAGATCTGGAGTTCTGTCAGTGCAATGATAAGGTCGTGCGGCAGCTGAAGACATACCTGAACTAGCGAGGCTCCCAGTCCGGCGAATACTGTGCCAAGAAATAGAGATCGAAATGTCAAGGCAGGATCGCCATCATCACGAACATCCACAAGGAAACGAGATACGTCTCGACCGGTTGTGATGACCGGCTCTCCATTAACGAGGACGACATCGTCATCTGCAACAGAGCCTAATTGTGAGCTCCTTTCTGAATGATAACCTTTCTCGGCTACGATGTCGACGTCGCTGCCAATAGACTTGACTGGACTTGTGAGAGGCCCGTATTTCTCATTGAGCTCTGCGCCGGGTTTCACAGTTGGGATATCCAACGCATGCAGGGCAGAAGCCGTAGTGCGTTCAGTCATGACGGTAAGTGAAGATACCTCGAAGTGGGCCTGGGTGGGAGCAGAGATAACAGCGGAATTAATGCTCTTATCAATAAGGAAGCGGTGGGATGGAGCAATCTGGCAACAGGTTGTATATCTCATGGAACGACATCTTGACAACTTCTGGTGTGACGGAGTCCCACCTGGCCATCTGGGCTTGTGGGTAAGTTTTCCCAGTAGCGGTGATCAGAAACACCGCTGGCTAAGGTACGTTCAAAAGCGTTGACCCAGACCTTGTTTGGTGCCTCTCATGATCCTGCACAACGGGAATGGCAAATGATAGATCTACTAAATTCAGTTCGCATCGGAGGCATAACCTCCTCTGCAAGCATGCATGCCATATTCAATGGTTCTGCGTGTATCTATCCAATGAAAATATGACTAGTGGTAAGCTGACGTAGCGTTGCATGCTTGCCCGAGACCGGACCCGCCGGCTGGTGAGGTCCATATGCACATGCAGAACGGTAGTACAGTACCTGTGTTGAGTTGCTATCAATCGCAAGGGTCATTCTCGGATAGTGCAAACGACATACCGGCGTTTCGCTGCTGTCTACAGTTCGCAGGTCAATAGATGTATTATTGGAAGATAACACCACTCTATCTCACTGATTATGGATACCGCCTTACGCTCGGGAGACCTGTAGAGTCGCCGTGTACGTCTCAGTGATTTCCAAGAGGATGGAGCGCGCGGTTTACTCGGAGGGCCTGGAGTATGTCGACCGCGTGGAGCAGGGGCGGAGCTTGATGAAGTCGACGAGCTTGCGCGCACGGAATGGACACAGCAGATGGCGACATTGACGAAATTTCAGTCTGGCTGCATGGGGAAATCCAAAAACTGAGTACAATTGCAACTGATGCAGAGGATTCACGTGTACTGCAAGACAAAGCGGGGTGAGGGTAGGATGATAGAAAGCTAACAAAAGCAAGCAGGGTTTCAACAACAAGGCGGAGAGACACGTCTGTGGGAGGTATTATGAGATGCCAGAAACACTAATAAAAAATAATGAAAGAACAGAATGCGGATGGAACGGATATGCCATGAAATGTAGGTATGTCCGTTGAGAGGAAAGGAAAGCTGCATGAGAATGGCATCGTATATGATACAATGATCAATGAGGATGAAGAATGAACAGGGAGATGGAGACGGACGTCCGAACCACTATTGCACAAGACAGCTGTTATTGCTTGACTTGGACTCTCGATCACGTTTGCGTTGGTCTCGAGGCATATCCCCTGGAATGGCAATGGAACGACCATCATCTCGTTCGGTGCCAGCGGTCGAGATACCTGAAAACGAGGTCATCTTTGAAAGGCGGAGATCAGACCGCTCAGCTAGCGAACACTCGGTCTCCGCCACAGATGCTGTGGATTGTCTTACAGTGTCAGGCCTGCTCGATAAGCTATCAGTCGCCGTGATAGCGCTCCGCATACTTGCAGAATGAGGTGAAGTGCTATTACTCGCGATTGAAGGCGGGCGCTCTTTCGACATAGGATTGCGCTTCAGCACAGAGCGTTTACGGCTGACAGCCTTCGAGTTAGCTAGAGTGCTCGACGAGTGGTTTGGATCCGACTCGTGGGTACTCAGCAAGGAACGCGAACGTTTGAATGCTGCGAAGACCTTGAACGCAGTAGGCGGATGAGGCGAGGAAGGGTTCGATGAAGGTGTGGGAGAAGAGGGAGGCACATCGAGGCTCGGTTTCGACGAGAAACCTCCATCCGATATGGGAGTCGATGGGGTTGCCGATTGCGCTGCGGCCAGGATTTCCATCGGGTTCGAATACGGGCTGTTAGGGGCACCGTTTTCGGCGTATTGGGCATAGAGGAGGAGTTGGGCACGAAGATCACAAGTAGGTGGTGCATTGGGCGCACACTTAGTATGTGCGATGAGACTGCATTGTTCGCACAATACAGCACTCTTCTTGACACTATGAAGGCAGACTCTACAGATCACAGCTGCAAGATGGCGTCAATAACAATCATCAGACGAAGCATGGGGAAAACGTACGCTTTCCGAAAGTGGTTTTCACGAATGAATGCTCCCTGGGCGAGATGGAATCAGGATCATTGGACAGCCGGCGGCGAGGAGGCGAACTTGGGGTCGCGGAATCCAAACGCTGGCGATGTTCCGGCGTAGACCTGTTGGGGTCCGGCATCTCAATTTGTGCAAGATAGCGTATTGCCTCTGATTTCTGCATATCAGCGCTCACGCGGCGCAAAAATGGTATGCTGTCCTGCGGCCGCAAGTCCTGATAGTTACTGTAAGTAGAGTACTACCGCCAAGATCAAAAGCTGCACACCTTATGAGGTGCCCAGTTCTGCTTCAACCACTCATGCTCGCACAGTGTCTCAGCGTCCGGGCGCTTGGTAGGATCCTTGTTAAAGCACTGTATAAGAAAGTCTCGCAGAAGCCTGGAGCACCCTTCGGGCAGAGGGGGCATGTCATCTTCCACGATTCGGAACATTACTGAACGACATCAAGGTGAGTAAAGTTTCTTTGTAAGGGGGGGGGGGGTCAGAAACGTTACCTGACATGCTATTGGGAATATCTCCATATGGCGGTCGACCTGTTAATAACTCTATCACAGTGCAAGCCAACGACCAGATGTCGGATTTCGTGGAAGCACCCTTCAGTTCGATCACTTCTGGGGCCATCCAATTGGGTGTGCCAGCTACGTCCTTCATCTCGCGTTCCATGGCGCGGAGATTTAGTGAGACACCGAAATCGGACAATTTAACATTGCCATTCTTCGTGGTGAGGATATTCGCAGCCTTCAGATCACAATGGACCACATCGCTCTGATGGAGATAATGCAACCCCTCGAGAATCTTCACCACATATCCAGCAACAAGCCGTTCGTTGAGTTTTCCAAAAGCCTTAAGGGTTTGTCCAAGTGAGCCATTCTCAGCATACCTGACTTTCTGTTAGATGATAATTGAGAAGGTGCAGATGTAAAAACATACTCTAGAATGATATTCAGAGTGTTGTCGTCCCTGGCCATGCCCTCATACTTCACAATGCTGGGATGTGAAAGGCTCTTGACAAGGTCAACCTCCTTCATGAGCTGCGCAATCTCTTCCTCTTTCAGGCCTTCCAGGCGAATACGCTTGACCGCAACCATTTGTCCTGTATTAAGATTCAGCGCGCGGTACACAGCACCGAACTGCCCACGACCAATGCAATTCCCGAGTTGCTAAAATGCAAAACATAAGCACGGGCCACGTCACTGCTATAAGAACACTCACGAATTGTGTAGGTGCCTTCCCATCCTCCTTAACAACCAAGGTCTGCCGTACTGTACTACCCTCGTACGAGTCGCGGTTCAATAAATCACTCGCGCTGGCGTTACTGGAAGGACCACCCAAATTGACCATGCTCTCAAATCTCGTTCGTCGAGGCTTGGCTCCCATCTCATCATATGAGTTTGGTCGCTGCTTTCGTCGAGAACTTGACCCATCTATCTCGCTTTGGAACCTCCCTCGAGGTTGACGAGGTCGATCAGGCACACCAGCAGACGGCGCCGATTTGGCAAGATCGAGGACAGGACCAGGAAAGTGTATACCTTGGGAAGGCGGAGTGCCATGCTCACCGGAGACGGTGCGTGGGAAAGGAACAAGATCATCGTCGGACGATCGCGGTTCGTCAGCATTGCGAGGAATATATACACCATTCCGGTGGGCACCAGTCCTTGAGCTATTCCTCCGTATCATGATCCTCGGCGTGGGTGAAACACTACCATCTGGACTAGTCTCCCTGGGACGCAGACCTGCTGTATCCACGCTGTGCCTTGCTCGATGAGTAGGCCGTCTGGGAAACTGTGGCAACGAGTCGAGACTCTCGTTGGCTCTATTTGCACCAACGATCGCAAGCTTGCGAGGCGGTGAAATCGACAATGGGGTATGAGTGGATGATGCAGGTGAATCGTCGTCGTCCAAGAAGGTCGCATTCTTGGGAGACTGGAAGGCATCAAGAAAGTCATCTGGCCACTTGCCTTTGCCTAAACGGATATTAGACAGTTTCGTACGCTCTTTCTCAGCCTGCCTGAATTTTCCGTTTGCACTTGCTCCACTTTCGTCTGCCTCTTCAACTCGTGATAGATCAACCATCGCCGTCTCACTGGGACGTCGGTCGCGGAATGGCTTGCTGACATTACCAGAGGAATCAAGCACCCGCTTTCGAGGCAAGTCTTCAGTCGGTGAAGAAGGAATAGAGCTAGCCTCAGCACGAAATACAGAAGGGGTATCAGATGGCGCTAGAGACGTTGCCTCTGTCGTGAATGTCCGAATCGTGCCGAACTTGTTATGTTGGCCGCTCATGCTACTACTCCTCTGAACATCTAGTAAGCTCGAGAAAGCCGAGGTCTCGGTCACACTGGTTGATGCCAAGGACTGTCGAGTATTGACCGAAGGCACAAATGATTCAGCAATAGAGCCCCGTACTGAATCGCCTACGTTGGCCCTTGTTGAGTCAGCTATAGACGTTCGGTCCACACTTGGGCGATTACGGAGCGGCGACCGTTGAGGTACCATGGGAGGTACCTCGTCGCGTTCTGCATCACTGACAGTGTTCGAAGGTCCACCAGCTCTCGCCGTATTGCCCCCACTTGAACCTTCGGACTCATTGGGACTATCAGAGCGAACGGGTGGCAGAGTGGAGATAGGCGGGCTCATTCGTCTTCGACCTGGTGATGGGATGCCGGTAGGTGACATTGACCTCTGGGCTGTATGGAGATTCGGTGTCGAAGCTGCAGCTCGAGATCCTGTTCCATGGCCATAAGGGCTGGGACTTTGACCCCCTTGAATGTACTTGGACTTTTCGGGAACAGGCGACTCCAACAATTGCGAGAGCGCAATGATGTTCTTAGCAACCCTCACCAGGCAATCGGGAGAGGCTTCAATAAGATCGTCTCGATTGAAAAGATCATCGGGTTGTACACCGAGAGAGGACGAAGCAGCGAGGAACTTGGTAACATTGGACGTCCGCACGAAACCATCTTCGCGTTTATCCACTCGAGCAATCGAACCTGGATGCAATTTGTTGATGAACCTATGATGTTCGGACATTAGAGCAGATCTACTGTATGAGAAACATCAATACACACTGGCAGAGGACGTAGCCATCCCTCAGTGCTTCGCAGAAGTGTCGCCGTTCTCTATCTTCACCACCGGCACTCAGCCCGCTTGAGCTCATGGAATTGAGTTGAGTTGTGCTTCCGTTGATCCCACTCTTCCCCCAAACTCTCTCCAATCGTGCCAAAGCGCGTAAACGCAGCTCAACCTCTTCGTATTGCTTCTGGTCCATGTGTGATTCCCGAACCTGCGATGGTGGCTTCAACATATCTCGAATGATGATACTTGAAGCGGTGCGTATCAGCTCGCGGTGTTCAGGACTGGTATATGCGGAAGCTCCTGCTGAAAGGGAGGTAGTGGAGGCATTAATGTTGTAAAACCGGGGTTGCGCCAGATTAGGAGAGTAGTTCCGCTGAGTGGGTGAGACTGCTCTAGTGCGTATAGGCGTAGTCGGCGAAGCGGCGCGAGATGGTATAGGTGATTGTCTTTGGGTATCCAGAGAGGGTCTTCTAGCTTCAATCGATGGTCGGCGCGCTGTATCCAGAGAAGGTCGTCTGGCTTCAATTGATGGTCGACGCGCTGTGTCAAAAGAAGGTCTTCGTGCTACATCAATAGAAGGTCTCCTCGCATTATCAACAGAAGGACGTCGAGCAAATGGAGTTGGTGAAGGTGAAGCAGGAGGAGTTAGCGGTAAATGTGAAGATGACGCCGAAGGACCTGGCCGTGAAGATCCTGGCGTGCGTGAAGATGATCTTGCACGAATGGGGCTAACAGCGCGCGTAGTAGGTGAGCCAGGAGGACTTCCCAGAGGCAAGTGGCTGGTACTAGCCGTAGCACGCTTATACACCGAACTACCGCTCTTAGAAGGAGGAGTGGGCGACGGTGGTGAAAGGTCTGGAGAACGACTCGCTTCCCGTGCTCGACGAGGAGTCTCAGGTGATGTAGGAACTTCATTAGTGGATTCCGAATTACGACCGGACTGAGGTAAAGGTACAGATATCTGTAAACCCTTGAGCTTGCCATTACTACGGGAGTCTCGTTTCGGCGTGAGAGGAAGAGGACCACTGATATCCTTGGGACTGCTTGGCTGCCCATTCAACTTTTTACTACGATCTCTCGTTGGTGATACAAGGGCCGACACATTGGATGACGACGCGGCCGGTAGGGCAAATGGCTGTGAATAGGGTGAAGGGAAGGCCTGTGAAGAGAGATGAAGTGCTGGCGAAGACATGGATGCCTGCCGCAACGATGGTGTTTCGAAACTAGTGAAGCCAGCCTGACGGACTTTTTGCTTGTCTCTATCTCTCTCTACCTTTCTGGTGCGGTCGTCTTCGACTGTGAGAGGTGGTGGAGGAACAGGTGATGGAGACACGGACTCTCGCCCAGCTGTCCGCCGGAATGAAACCTTAGATAGCATCTTTGATGACTTGGACTTTTCCTTCGTCAAAATCTGGTCCTCGGAAGCTCTCTCTTTACCCTTACCCTGACCACCATTGATGACAACCCCATGTTCCTCCGCACTACCATCTGCGTTGGCAGCTTTAGACTTTGTCGCTGTGCGTATACTCTGTTGTAAAGAGGTGCGAAAGCGTTTGAATGTTTTGGGCTGGGTCTCCGGCGGTGCGGGTGTCGAAAGCTGAGAACTGGACGGCTGAAGCCGAGATGAAGAAGCTGCGGCCGCTCGATTGGGTGGTACATCTTTGCCCTGGTGAGCTGCCATGTGAAAGGGGCTGGATATAGAGATGTTCAACTTGGACGTCACAGCAACAGCAGCCATGCGTGCTTCTGTTCATACAGCTCGGATGTGGAGCGCGTAGACGCGATGGCACTAGTGTCGACCTATAGAAATCAGCCACGCTGATGAGTTTATCGAAAAGAAACGGGACAATGACCATGTCAATTGATATTGTGATTACTTGGAAGGAGGACCGGAGGAACTCACTCGTACCAGAAAGGTGCTGGGATGCCGAGTCAACTCCGGAGCCGCTGTCGGTGATACAGCGAAGGAGTCAGTACGACCGTAGAGGAGAAGAACACCTAACAGGCATAGAAAAAGGTCCTGGCAGAGGGGAGAACGAAGACGAAGGTAGGATGATCGAATAAGGGAGGTTGGAAACGAAGCCGGGGACGCAGCGTACCGAGGAAAAAGTCGCTCAAGTCAGCAGATGAACCTTAGTGCTAAACTTTTCACTGAACACGATTGATACGGCAAGAAGGACGAGGAGTGGGAACGACAGTATGCTGTAAGAACACAAGCACTAGTGAGCGAAAGCGGGGCAAGGAGAGTGAGGCGCCCTGGATGACAGACGAATGTAACGGTTGGCAGAAAGCCGCGTGGTTGGCACTCCAATGGACGACAAAAGTAAATAGACAAAATGAGCGACGATGTTGTCGTCGATGTGCCGTTGTCGTCGACGTCGTGGTTGGAAACGAAGGAGACGAGACGCACGGCGAGGGAATATCAGCGGGATTTTGGCCGATGACTTAGGCGCGCGAATCTTGGGAGAGGGCAGCTTTGAGCACCCCTGGTGGTCAAATTGGAACGCTTAGCGTAACTATTTGGCTCGTACACAACTCTAAATACAAGGAGAAACTAACTACATATGTCGCTGCATTTTGTCGGATGGAGGTGGACCGGGCTTGATCAAGAGGAGAAACATTGTATCAGTGGGCTGCATTTGTTCAGGGCCGTGGATCGACAGCTTAATGTCGATGCGTCATGACAGGAGATGTTAGCTATAATGGCGTTCAAAAGCCGATGAACATAGCCGCCACACCAACAAAACGTCCGGTACAAGCTTCGGCCCGCATGTCTGACATGCATCTCACGGTGGTAGCCTCCTGTGGTCCCAATCATCCTCGAGGTCGTTATCATTGCAAACACCAGACAGCCCGTCTGATCGTTGCTTGTAAATAGACAGGATCACAGGATACCGGTCTCATGTCGATGACGCAGGCGATGAAATCCAATTGAATGACGCAGGCGGCGAGGAAGGCACAACATAACAATGTCAAGCAATACAACATAGCTGCAGTCATAGGTGGGGCTGGAGAGGATCTCGGAATAATCAGTCTGCTCGAGAACAAGACCACTTAGACAAGGAAGTTGATTGTAGGTTCCACTCGGCTTGATTCGGCGTAGGAAGAAGCAGCAGCGAAATATATTCGACCCACACAGATGCATGCAGCCGTCTGTGATGCTGAAAGTCTGGAAACGGATCACTCGGACAGCGTCCGTGGATTCAGTGCGCGGGCGTGGCTGCACTAGGCAAGTAAAAACGCGCCAAAAAAGCGGGACGCTACGATCGGAGACGCGATCGAATATGGTGCAAGGGATCACGTGTACGCGTTAAACACGTGCACGATGCCTCCCCTTCGCCTCCTTGAGTAGGCAGAAGCGGGAGAATACCCATCAGAAAGATGAATTGGTATAGACTCACAGAACGAAGATATACAATACTTGATTGGCGTGTAAATTCACGCACAAAGTCAAATCGTGCTATGCGAACTTTGCACTGTACAAGGAAACATCTCCATAGAGTTTCAAACAGGAGTGCCTCTCGGAGCTGTAAAAGGAGAAATGATTTGTAGAAGCTTGAGCCTTGAGGTGATTTCGATAAGACAACGGAGATCCGATGGATTTGAATCTAGAAGAGGCTGCGTTCTCGCATAAGCACTGAAGAAGAAACTCAAGCTACAAGCTAGTGCATAGCGCACACAAGAATTTCACGTCGTCTAGGAGTGATTGCAATGGATCATCCCTGTCGCAATAAATGCCAAGTAAGCAGTATCTTCGGTCCATAGACGGAAGTATTGTCCGTGAAAGCTGTATCAAGACATCGATTCCTGCGCAGCCCCTAGCTCGCTCAGGAGCAGACCGGGGGGTTCTTAGCTCGGAGGCGTCATGTATCGGAGCTGGGTCAAATCGGCCGAGCGATTTAAACATGTCTGGCTGTCCTAGTAGGATACATACATAAGATGTTTTCTCATATGGGCCCAAATGTTGCTGATAAAAAGAATTGGAAGAAAGGCAACGTAGGGTGATGGTTGAGGTTTAAGAGCAATTGAAGAGCCTCAAATGGCATAAAGTATTCTGGCGCCAGGCGCCACTGACGCGACGCGCAACGTTCGACTCCCGGTCGCCGCAATTCTTTCTTTACGTGCTTCTTGTCCACATGTACGGTGCATTTGAGCCGGGATGTTCATATTCCTAATCTTGTAGCATATATGCATCTACTCTGTGCAAAAACGGTCAACTTCCAGGCTACATGTACAGTATGTCATCTGAAGTACAGTAACTGCCTAATCAGATAGGCGCCCGCGGCGATTGAGATAATATCAATGAACTCCTTACATCCCTTAAAAATCTGTGTCATTTCTCGGAGGAGTCAACAGTGGATGGGGCTTCACCTGGGAGTGTGCAACCGATAACATGTTAGTAATTGACTTTGCTCACTTCTGTCGTGCCATTTCCGATCTGTGCACGGACCACACGATTAAGCGCCAAATCATATAGGAGTCATCATAGGGTTTTCTCACTCTCCCACGCTGGATGATTGCTGCAACCATGTCAACTCGCGCAGCAGCTCGTGCTCGGAAAGAGAGGACCAGTGTGTCCTCTCAACATGACAATCCTACTGACAAGGAAAACACAAAAGTGAGCGGGCATAAGCCCGAGACAAAGTCTACGCGAGCAAAGACGAAGGCGAAAGCGCCAAAGGTGTATTGTACATGCAAGAAGCCCGACGATGGGACGCCTATGATTCTGTGTTCCGAGTGTAAAGAATGGTATGTCCAATCCAGCTCACGTAGTCCTCGAATGGTTTTGTTGACCTATTCCGATTTATAGGTATCATTTCAACTGCGTAGATCTTAAGGAATCAGACGCAGAGGACATACGTAAGTTGTGCGTGTTGTTTCTTTCTCGTGAGTTGCCTAATTACGTTTTTCAGGACTATACATCTGCCCTGCATGCCACGAGAAGACAGGCCTTCACACCGTCAGTGAGTATCCTAGGATTGTCCCCCACTTCTATCTTGGACTTGTGTCTATCTTCGCAACCATTATGTACCTTGGACAATATCATGTTGTAGCTGTCGTACGCTTTCCAAGTCTTCTGTCCTACTCTGTCGATTCCTTCCGTGAGCAGCAGTCCATACGGCTGGCGTTGTCCGAGTGAGCAAAGCCAGCGAAATGGTACAGACAGACCGTGTCCGTCGTGTGACAACTTGTTGCTACGTTGAGCACATTCGTTGCAATGATTGAATCGACCGAAGTAGCTGCTGTTCACATATGGGGCGTATGAGTAGATCACAAGAGTTCGTGTAGATTTTCATATAGCCGACGTTGTCTCTTTGCGATTCAGACTCGGCATTATTTCTTCCGTCATATCTAATCACTACCACTGCTGTCAGATGCTAACGATGTTTACTGTTTAGTGGATTGGGAAGGTCCGGAGGCGATGGAAGATCGACAGGACAAGCCAAAGCCATCTACGTCTGGTCCCTCACCTGTCAAGGTCACAAAAGGCCCACCAAAACCCAAGAGACCGGAGCCCGAGGAGGAAGAAGAGTCTGCATCTGACGAAGGCAGCGAAGACGAATACATTGCAGAGCAGCACAAGACACAAGGAAAGGTACACTTTTTTGTCTACATTAAAGGAGCATTGACTTTACCTTACAACTCTCTTTTCAGCGTCGAGCACGTCGATTATCATTGTCGTCAGAATCTGCATCTAGTGATGAAGATGCGGAGACCCACAAGGCACCTAAGCGAATGCGCCGCGCAAGCACAGCTTCAAAGGATGTGAGGCCGAAGAAGGAATCTGAATCACCTGGACCAAGCAGTACTCGCAAACGACGTCAATCTACTACCACGCACCCTGTCCCGCCACCTAAGCGCCGTAAATCGGAATCCACGCCCGGCGAAGATGCAACGAGGAAATACTGTCTTACCAAGTTGGAGGAAGTCTTCACGCAGATCTTCCTGCGATATCCAATTCTTCCTCAAGATGAAACTCAAGAGGGCGATGAGATCACGCCTTCGAAGAAGACCGAAGAGTTGACGCCCGAGGAGAAAGAACTTGTTGAAGAAAAGGCGAAGCATTTTACTGCAGATTTGGAGCACTGTATGTTTGAGCTCTATGCTGAGCCGGACAAGACTGGCAAACCACACGCAGCTGCTAAGTACAAGTGCGTGCCGCAGCAGTATTTTCTCTAGTCTAATAACTAACTATCAATTTTCTATTATGCAGGGAGCGGTTCCGGATGCTAACGTTTAACTTAAGCAAGCCTGACCGTGTTATTCTGCATAAACGTATAGCATCGTCTCATATCTCACCCAAGGAACTCTCGACAATGTCATCCACTGACTTGGCGAATGAAGAGACAAAACAAATCATTAAACAAGCGGAGAAGGAAGCTTTAGCTCAGACCATTTTGAAGAAGACTATTCTGCCTCGAGCTAAGATGACGCACAAAGGTATTCAGGATATTGAGGATATTAATGATGCCTCCTCGCGATATCGCGAAAGAGAGCGCGAAGAAGAAGAAGAAGAGGACCGTATTGAACGAGAGCGGTTGGCTCGTCTGAAGGTACAGGCGGAGCGTGCTCAAGCACAGGCAAATCAGGGATCTGTTCCTCCTGAGTCACCAATAACACCGACATGGGGCGGACCTCCATCTCTACCTATGCATGGTATGCAGGGTCAGGGTGCGACGGGACCGCCCAGTATGTCGGCTCGACCTCCGGTGAACCCACTTTTTGTGCCTAGCGCGTCGGATATGAGTACGCCTGCAGTAGAAGGCGAATTGAATCTCGCGGACCTCATCAACATTGACGACGAACTATCCATGGAAGATGTGTCCCCCTCTCTTTCTGTTCCATCTCCCCCTGTTGCTCCTCCCGCTATATCACCACCCTCAACCGCAATTAGCCCAGACAGTACCACATCGAATGCCCCCAGCCAAAGTCCCCCTTCGCATGCTACCGGTATCTCTCCGTTCGCTGCCAAACCTGATTCATCGAGCCGACCATCGTTCGATCTGCATTCGCTCTGGACGCCGAGAGACGAAAGTCAGGCGAGTCCTGCACATGATGAACCTGTTGCAGAACCTGCTGTTGACCCTCCTGTTGAACATCGCGAGGAGGAAACGAAGTCTCAGGCCGCATTGGATGTGGGGGCATCCGGCAAGGAAGCTGATGATCAAGATTTCGATATGTTCCTGCGACAAGATGAGGAAGAGAAAGAGCATCCTATTCGCGTGGATAGTCCCCAAGCCAAGCGCATCGCATTCGACGCTTTGCCCCAAGTTTGGTCTGGAAAGGTTAGTTTATATTCGGATTCGTTTGATGACACACATTTTGACTTTTGTGTTTCACAGATTAGTATGCCGTTGGATTCGACTATTCCACAGGAGGTGGCGTTGGTTGCTCGTCAGGTTGGTGGACGAACCTTAGGTGGTGAATCGCCACTCTGGAGGACACTGTTCCCCGTCGATCATCTCCGTATCGATGGACGAGTGCCAGTTGACAAGTCTGCCGAGTACCTCACACAGACCAGACTCAATGCTGCAAAAGAGCTCATCGCTGTAGCTTTATCTCCTGCTTCAGAGTCAAGTAGTATCGCGTTCGACACGTTGACCAAACATCTCATTGCCAAGGGGTGCGTCCTATGATATTGTTTCGCATATCTCTTACTTACGATATGTTCATTTCAGACGGCACGGTCTAGTATTCCCGTGGGGCTCCAGGCCAAAAGAACACCATCCTGGTCGGGAATTATATATCATACCCTTGCTATCAACCGATAGTGTTCCAGAGTACATGGAACTCTTGGATGACCTGCAGCTTCCGAAAGTTAGGAGTAGCAACTTCCTCATTGGTATCTGGGTGCTTAACAAGGGCAAACTCGCACCTCCACCGAAAACATATACACCAACTTTACCTACTCCCACACCCGCACCGGACTCAGCGCCAGTACCAGTATCTCTGCCTTCCAATAACACTCCACAGATTCCAATTTTGCCTCATACGACTCCGAACTCCGCGATGTCGCCTTTCCAGTTGCCCACATCTGCCTCCACGCCCTCTCAAACCATTCCCTCCGACGCGCTTAGTTCAGAAATCGCTTCATTGACACCAGAACAGATTCAGCTTATGTTGCGTACGCTCCAAGCCACAAGCCAACCTCAATCCGGTCAGCCGTCGCAGCCATCTCCTCCCATAAACATCCCCCAAGTGTCGTTACAACCATGGGCATCTCCTTCATCTGGGTATCCACCATCATATCCCCAAGGTCCTCCGCCTGCAGGGTATTCACCGCCACGTCCACCCAAGCAGTATTCGCCTAGTCATGATTCCTATGCTGAGTATCCTCATGGGCAGTACGATTCATTTGACCGTGGCGGAGGCCGTGGAGGAGGAGATCGCGGTCCACGTCACCGCGGTGGGCGAGGAAGGAACACGCGTGGGTTTGAACGTTCTCGTGATGGTGGTTGGAAGAATCGAGGGCGGGGAAGAGGCGGTGCCTCAAGTCCGTCGCAAGATCGAGGGAGGTGGGGAGGTGGACCTCCGTCACAACAGTGGGGTTGATCGAGACGAGAAGTTTTCCGCTTTCTACTTTATTTTGTATCTTTCTTCGTAGTTTCTTTACTGACATTACTTCTGCTAATGACGCTGTATCAACTTACAAAGAGTTTATGTTGTACTTTGCTCGTCACTTCGCTAATGAATTGTTGAATGTTCCAACGTGAGTGCTGAAGCGTGCTGATGAGGGAAGTCATGAAATTCGTAACTCGTCGTAAACACAAAAGATCGTATGGTGGTATCAAATTAGATGATTGATAAGGCTCCAGTTCCTCCATCCAAATCCAAATAAACCAGAGACAAATGCAATTACTCGAAAGGCATACTTTCAACGGCATCCACCAGAGACGTCCAGTTAGCTGCGACACTCTCCGAGAATGAACTCTCTTCTCGAGCGAACGTCTTTACGGCTTGCGTGAGCAACGTATTTTCGCGATTGTGCAAGACAACTCGCAATTCATGCCACATACTAAAACATTAAGCATGCGTCAGCGCATCATTTAAAGGCAGTAGCGACAGGAAAAAATGACGTACGAAGCACGAATGAATACTCTACGATTGAGCATGGCGGCGATACTGGCTTGGTCCTTCTCAATTATACCAGCGATTTTGTCTGCCTCTTCTTGCCAACGTTCTTTTTTGGTCTGTTTCACGCCCTCCAACTTGAGCGAATTGGTCTCGACGCGTTTCTTGAGCTTCTCGACGCTGTCGCCAGATAAACGATCATGTCGGATGAAGAGGTCTCGCATTGCGATGTACAGATCTCGTTGGCCCTGAGTGAAGAGTGAAATAAATACTTGAATGCGTACAACACTGAGAAAATAGAAGCTTACTTTTAGGGCTTCGAGTGTGGAGTACAGTAACCTGCGGGACTGTGCATCATTGATCGTGAGTTGCAGGAGAGCGAATAAGTAAAGATAAGACGCACTCGTTCCTCCAAAACATCCGAGTGCCTTTGTGTATGTTGCGCAACACTAGACAATCCCTGTCTAACACCTAAGCAAAGTTCACAATCATCACCCCTCCAACACCGATCATTGACTTCTACAAGGGCCTTCAACGTATTTGTCAACCTTGCGGTATCAGACTGTTGTTCATTTGTCGTCGAATCCGATGAAGACCGTCGTAGGTGTAATCCAGAGAGGACCGATGAGGCGAGTGAATGGGTATCGCCATCAAGAGTTGCAGACGAAGTGGATGATGCAGGAGAGAAAGGGGGCAAGGCGAAGTGAGCAGGCATGAAGGTGCGGCCTGGTAAGGGAGGAGGGGAGACCCGTACCGCTGCTGCCTCGCGCCGTTTCATTATGCGCTCAGCGAGTATGCATATCTTTTGCCATTGTTCAATGAGTACGCTAATCTTGCTGCGTACGACCCTGGTCGATGGAAACACTGCTCAGGAAGCATTATGAAGGACGAGCGATAGGTGCATACGCGAGTTTGTCTTCAAGGTCACTGGGAATACTCATCTCTTCCACTTGGTCGACCCGTTTGCTTGCCGATTCCTCTTCATACGATATTGATGCTTGTTTGCGCCAGTGCTCGAATGAAGGTTCGGTGAGGAATACCTGCAGCAGGCCATCATCTTTGATGATAGGGTGGTTACTGCGATAAGTATCAGCATTACCGTCAATACACCAAAATAACAATACCATACACAACAAAATTGATAAATCGCGCAAGTCCTCGGCTAATGTATACTGGGTTCAGCCGCCACTCCATAACATCGGTAGTGCGACTCACCGTCTTTGTTCAAGGAAACCTTCATCAGCTGACGGAAGACACGCATAAACATACTGAAAACAGATAGGAACGATGGAACGGCTTACGTCCAATGCGCTTCGGTGGTAGTGATGGCAAAAGTCGGAAGGGATATCGCTTCACCAGGACATCCCAGAGGAAGACAAATTCGGAATAACGTCGCGGCACTGGTGCACCTCTCTGTGAAAGAACAAAGATTGTGATGAGGTTCAGGGGAAGACTCATAAGAGCAATTGGGTCATACGTTAGTGGAGACTTCGTAGACGAGATATCGCTTCAGAATGAATCCCTGTTGACCGAGAGTATTCACAGTGATAGATTCTTGCCTCTTCCACCAATCTTTAGGCAAACCCGTCCCACTGATACTGGATGTGATTCCGTTCGTGAAGCTGTCTGGACCTGGTTCGCTAAGAGTGGGGGCATTGACCAGTTTACCGATACTCCATGGATCCTCAGAAGTATATCCTCGGGTGGGTACCGGAGCACGAATGGGTGCTGGTGGAGGCGACGGAAATCCATTAAATGTGGACGCCGAGGTAAGAGAAGATAGATCAAGGTCTGGCACGGGAAGTGCGTTCTCTTGAGCAAGGGCAGCAACGCGCTCAATGCTGAGGTCTACGTTTATAAAGATTAACTTCTTCCATGACGACTAGACTCAGTCCGTGCTTCACCTTTTCCACTCTGTGCCAAAGCAACAAGAGCCAGCGCGACGAAGAACTCAAGCTTTGACACGCGAGAACGAGAGCTGACCAAACTGACAATCTACAATGATGCGATCGGCTAGAGCTGGACACAAAGTGACCACTGCACTCACTCGTTCAATGGTTGAAGCCGGCAGACCAGCCGTCCCAAGTACTCGAGAGAGGCCATTGACAGATGTCTCTCCTGAGCCTGAGCTGTCTACTGCGGCGAATGCCTGATGATATATTGGGGGAACGATAGAATCGGCTGGAACACGGTCAGAAAGCTAACAAACACCTCGTTCAATACAAAAGTCACCTATCACGGCACTGAAACCTGCCGGTGCTGCAACAGGGGAAGCAGCAGGAATTGTAGGAGGTGCAGGACTGGGAGCAGTGCTCCATGGATCGAGGCCATCTGAGTCGTAAACTGAGGAAACAAGCGGGTTGTCGACAACAAAGCTGGTCGTGCCGAAGCCATTGGAAGAACTGTACGGCTGCGCGGGTCTTGGAGCATTGAACATTGTGTTTCAAAGCTCACGGGATATAATAGTCTGGAGGTAGACGGCAGAGAAGACGCTTATGGCAGGAGAATGGTCGGTGGCAAGTTCGGAAACAATGGCCGGTCGCGTATCTTCACCGTGGTAATGGCAATGATTTGCCCTCGAAATCGACCGTCAGCGGCTTGGATGTCCTTAAACAAACTAGAAATGGGCGTTGCAAACAGAAAGAGGAGAATACGTTCTCAATATACCCAGGCCAGTGCTAAGCGACAACCCTAACCAGAGCGTTGCATCACGCCTGTGGCACGGCAGCCATATTTCGGACCCCGCTCGAGCTCCGCCAACACGCGTGGCGTGCAAGACAGCGCGTCGGCGCGTGAGACTCGAGCGCTTCCGCCTCCGCCCAAAGCCTCTGCTCTATTCCCGACAGCCAGGGCATCGCCGCCTCCCGTCTCCTGCCATCACCGCCAACAATGCAGGCAGCGTCCAAAGCACCCGGCCAGCAGGCCCCAGTCAAGATTTACAATGCAGTCTATTCTTCAGTACAGGTACAGCTTCAGGCTTGTAATCATTGCCTTTCTTCTAATTGCTGACGCGAAACACGCCCGTATCAAGGTGTACGAGTGCATGGTACGGGGCATCGCAGTCATGCGACGACGTGCCGACTCATATGTGAACGCGACACAAATCCTGAAAGTCGCTGGTGTCGACAAGGGTCGTCGTACAAAGATTCTCGAGAAGGAGATTCTCCCTGGGAAGCACGAGATCGTTCAGGGCGGTTATGGCAAATACCAGGGAACTTGGTATGTCCCCAACGAAAGCAGCATGTCTTCTGCTAACCCCTTCCTACTTTTTTAGGATCCCTCTAGAACGTGGGCGTGATATTGCCACTCAGTATGGTGTTGCACCACTCCTTGCACCTCTATTCGATTTTGTTCCCGTTGCCAATTCCCTCGGGCCCTCTATGTCCCAGGGACTACCTAACGCTCCTAGTGCTGCTTCCCCGCGGCCTCTCTCCGCTGCTTCTTCCTTTTCCAGTCTTGGTACACCCTCAAATCTTGTAGCACCAGGTCTTGCCCCACCACCCATCATGCCTGGCTCTGCCTTGCGCTTACTCAATCAAGGACGCGCTCAAGGCCTCTTTACACCATCTACTTCCGGTCCGTCCACGAATCGTCCACCTGGATACGCTTCACCTGGTCCATACTATCAAGGAGGATATCCTCAATCACCGTTCCAATCTATGCCCGGCATTTCGCCCACACCTCCCCCGCAAGGTCAACTCAATCTCAAACGTACTCGCTCAGATACTGATGTTGATCACAACGCGCCATCTTCTCAAGGTTTCCCTATGCTCGCAGCTTCTCCGGACATTCAGATGGCCGACAGGTCGCGTCCACCTTCTACAGCACCACTCGTTGACGGCGGTGACCATCCCTCCCCTACTAAACGTGCTCGTACGGAACCCTCACATCAAGCCACCGCCCCCTCTTCTCCTGCACTTCGGCCTTCGTCATCACAACAATCCCTTCCAGGTGCACCAAATGGCTTCCCAAGGGCTGACAGTTCTCAATCGCTCATAGCTAACGGCAAGCAGCCGGCAATGCAATTGGATATCGATCCGCACAGTGTACGCTTTGCATCAAAGCCTTCAATACCTCGTACAATGGATCCAACATCCCCATTACGCGACACACGTCGCGCCGTCATCATAGCCGCGATATGTCAGCGCGATGAGCCTAATCCCATCTTAGAGATTCTTCGCGAGATTCCTCCCGACAATCCAGGTCTGCAATCTGACATTGATTTGGTATTGGATGACCAAGGGCATACTGCTTTGCATCTCGCTGCGAGTATGGCCAGGCAACAAATCGTGGAGGCTCTCATCGCGCATGGCGCTGACGTATATCGAGGGAACTACAACGGAGAAACTCCCCTCATGCGCGCGATACTAGCGACGCACAACGCTGACACGCAGTCTTTCCATGTTCTTGTCTCACACCTACACGCATCTATTCGTACACTTGATACCAGTCGCAAGACCGTGTTGCATCACATAGTCGCGTCTGCGGGCGTGAAGGGACGTGCGCTTGCTGCACGCTATTATCTTGACCAGATATTCTACTGGATTGCCCAACATCAAGGAGGCGATTTCAGGAGTTTGGTAGATTTGCAAGATGAACATGGGGATACTGCGCTGAATATTGCTGCTAGGGTTGGCAATCGAAGTTTGGTCAGGACATTATTGGACGTTGGTGCCAATAGGATACTACCGAATAAATTGGGGTTGAGGCCAGGTGACTTTGGTGTCGAGCCAGAGGTAACAACTTATCCTTCCATTCTCGTCATTGATTCTTGTTGACTCATCTCGCGGTTCTACAGGAATTCGGTGGTCCAAGAGCGGAAGACATTCTGTCATCATTACGCGCTGGACCGTCAGCCCCTGCTCTCAAAAGTCAAGATGTTCTCGCAGGTGAGATACACCTGTATTCTCTACCATTTGTATTCTAATCCGAATCGTTCTATAGATATCGAGACTATGATCCACGGTCTCAGTACGGACTTTTCAGCTGAAATCAAGACAAAGCAAGAAGCTCTGGACGTGACTCAAGCCCATCTACGTGCAGCAACGCGTGAACTCTCAGAACAGCGCAAGCAGATCCAGACCTGGCAAACCAAATGCGGGGAACTCGACCTCGTCTGCCAACGGACACGCAATCTTGAGAAAGCCCTGGTAGAAGATGATAACTTCGACTGGACAGGCCGTTCAGGAGGTTATTTCTCTCTTCCTTCTGGTCAACCTGGTGCTGGGCCGTCTGGTGCCAATGGTGTCGTGGACACTACGTTCCAGACGTCCAAAGAGCTAAGTAGTTCAATGGACCTTTCGTTCAGTCTGGATTCAGATCCTCCGGTTCCGCTGTCTGATTCTCCTGCAAGCTTGGTCAAGCTTCGGCGGATGAAGATGTGGCATGAACGGATGGAGAGACTTCTTGAAGAGAGGCTGAAAAACTTGCAAGGCGCTAGCGCGGAGAAGGAGTTCCAGTGTAAAAAGATTATTGCACTGTGTACTGGAGTGCCTATAAGCGAGATCGAGGGTGTAAGTCATCCGTTGCGTCTTGAATTTCTCTCGAAAGACTGATGTTTTATGCTTGCAGTTACTCGATAATCTTGTTGTCGCGGTTGAGAGCGAGGCTTCTATCATAGATATTAGTCGTGTATCAGGATTCATGCAAAAGGTACGTTGTTGCTTCCTTCTTGACGGGTACATGTTGACGACTCCTTGGTAGGTTCGGAATGGTATCATCTAGCGATGCAGTTTTATTCTCTGTCGGTGTTTCCCTTTTTCCTCAGGTCCCATCATGTTGCATCTTCTACTTTTCTTACGCACTGTACAACTACTCATGGCATTTATTCCTGATGATTGCAGTTGAACAATGATAAGTATTCCTATAGATATACTGTACAATAGCACTCCGTCTCGTCGACTCAATCCACCGTTGAGGCTGACACATACACGCACAGACGCAATGAAGAACTAAATGGGCAGCTCCTCCGGTGCAAACATTTGGAAATTCCTGTTGTATGTGCCAGACGCGAGCAGCTTTGCGTCGCTGGAGAGGTCAACGGACATCACCTTTCCTCCATCTGTCGGCAGCGTTCGCAACAACTGCCAATCATCTGCACTCCAAATCTTCACAAATCCGTCGTAACCAGCACTTGCTAGGTATAGTCCAGATCGATACTTCCACTCCTCTTCTGCCGATATAGTTTTTGTAGGGGTAGGTGTCGCATCTGGAAGTCCATCAACGCCGTCCATCACGATGTCATTCGGTGTGGTAGGTGCGACTTGGAAAGGTGGGATCTCATCTGCTCGGAAGAATCGGACATCTGCGACGTTGGACAAATGTGCCGGGATGGTATAGAGCGCTTTCAGTGAGCGCATGTCCCATATTCGAATCGTGTCGTCTCCGGAACCTGTGGCGATCTGGTACCCGTTTGGTGAGAAGCTGATGGCGAAGATGGCTTGGACGTGTCCGTCAAGAACCATCGCTGTACGACCTGTTCGGAGGTCCCATACACGACCGATCGCGTCGAGTCCACTGAAAAGAGAGCATCAGACATGTGAAGAATTTGCAAGGTGACGTTACTTACCCTGACGCAGCAAGCGCACCATCATCCTGGAACTCTACTGAATAGACTTCTTTGGAGTGTCCCTCTTGAAGTAGTAGCTCTTTGGCTGTTGCCACATCCCATAAACGCCATGTCGTGTCGAAACTTGCACTTGCCACATAATCTCCTGAGGGATGGAAAGCGACGCGACATACGCGGTCCTGATGGCCACTCAGAGTTGCTAGAGGTGTTTCACTAAGAAAGCACAGTAAATAAGAGGCTTTTGAGTGTGTGAAGGTCGCCATGCTCACCTGTTGAGTGACCAGAAGTGTAAGTTCAAGTCACCCGCACCGCTCACCAGGTTCACGGCGTCTTCGCTCAGCGAGCGAGTTGCTTGGGGATGCCATGCTACGCCTCCTACACGATCGCTATGACCTGCAGTAACAGATGAAGGTGGGACGTTTCTAAGAATTGGAGAGACCTACCTCGTAACGTTCGTATTGGTGTACACGATGGTACGTTCCATAGCTTCACGTTACCAGACCAACTTCCTGTTGCCAAGATCTTGTTGTTCGGCGAGAACCGCACTTGTGAAATTGGTCGATCATCGCCAATTTGTGAACCCAGATTCGCAAAGTTCTGTGCAGGTGAATATGCGATGCGTAAGTCTGGTCTATGGATGTGAAACATGCAAACTCACCTTTACTTCAGCGAAGATCTTCTTTCGGATGTCAATGATACGGCCGAGAGGCATCCTCGAATCTGCGCGCTGCTGAGCGACCCGATTTTGAGCTCTACAAGGGGAACACAAACAAAGAAATGAAGGGGCAGTAAGCACCTGACTTGGGTCCACCTAGCGTTGAAATTCCAACCTGGGGAGAGAAAATTCTGCTATCCGTCTCCGAGTTTCCAGAAGCTCAAGCGTTCCGGGGGTATAAAACTCTTCGACCTATGATACGAAAAGTCTGTCAAAGGGGAATGGAAGCAATGTCGGGATTTGCATACCTCTTCTTCACTCTCTTCAGATGTAGTTTCTTCCTCCACTTGCATGCCCTCTTCCCCCCGGGCAGCAGTAATTTGTGACAAGACATAAATAAGACGGTCTCGTCGATCGGCAGCCTATGCAACATTACAATCAGATTACTTTTTGCCATGTATAAAGCACTTACTCGTTCACCGAATAATGTAATAGGCTCGCCGATCTCGCGAAGTCTTGCTTTGACTTTATTGTCATCTGTAGGCACAGCCAGGCTTCTCGCCTTCTTCTTCCGCTCTAACTCGTCAAGCAATAGCTTGTTTTCCTGTCTTGCGCGTTCCGACCCCTGGTAGTTTCCATCCTCGAGAAGAGTATCGAAAGTGAGTTCCGACATCGCGGCAGCAGGAGAAGGAGGATAGACACATAGGCGCTAAGGCGTCCCATTATTGACACGCGAGGTTCTCAAGTTTCAACTTACACGACATTGTTCTCATAACCTACCACCACCATCCACCACCGACCATGTCGGGCGTCCAGGACGTACGACAACGAAACAAGGGCAAGGGTATCAATAGAGACGCATCTGGCCCGAGTTCTGCTGTTGATTATGACGATCACAATGTTGCTTACCTGGTATGTGACACGTATCTTCGTATTGTATTGTCTCTCTGACTGTCCATATAATCCCAATAGCCCAGCCGCAGTTATATTGAATCATTCCTGAATACCGAGGAAGCAAGCGCAGCTGTCGTTGCAATACTCACGATCATCGCTTTCTTCACTCGCTTCTACAAAATCAACCATCCCGACCAAGTAGTGTGCGTTCTCACTGTTCATTGTTCGGCGGCGTGCAAGCTTAACTTCGCCATCTTGCCTACTCATTTAGGTTCGATGAAGTACACTTTGGCAAATTCGCCTCATACTACATCAGGCGAGAATACTACTTCGACGTACATCCTCCTCTTGCCAAGCTTCTCTTTGGTCTCGCTGGCTGGTTTGTTGGCTATGACGGACACTTTGACTTTGAGAACATCGGCGACAGCTACACAGAAAACCATGTCCCCTACGTTGGACTGCGCGCCTTGCCTGCTATTCTTGGAAGCCTTACGGTTCCCATCGTCTATGCCATCATGAAGGAATGCGGCTATTCAACCATTATTGCGGCCTTTTCAGCTATCATTATCTTGTTCGGTATGTATGGCGCTTCTTCGTTCTCTATATATGTCTGATATACCTGAACAGATAACGCTCATGTCGCTCAATCTCGTCTGATTCTCCTGGACGCAACATTAATATTTTTCTTGTCGCTAACAATGTATTCGTATGTCCGGTTCAAAAAGCTCCGCTATCAGTATGTGTTTATTCCTTTATCTTCCTCAATCTTGATCCTCAACTGTCGCTGCGAAATAGGGAATTCTCCCCACAATGGTGGGGTTGGCTGCTTGCAACGGGAACCTTCATGGCTTGCACTTGGGCGTCCAAAGTGAACGGTATTTTGACTGTCGTTGCCGTTGGTGTGGCAGTCCTCATCGACCTCTGGGACATCTTGGATTATAAAAAGGGACATAGCATGGTAATTCGTTTCGACATTGTTATGTTGCAATGTCTTGCTAACGCATGCTTTGGCATAGCAATACTTTTGGAAGCATTTCATCGCCAGAGCAGCTGGACTGATTGCGCTGCCTCTTGTCATTTACTTATCTGTCTTCTGGGTTCATCTCGCGATACTCTCGAACACCGGTCCTGGTGATGCTTTCATGAGCCCATCTTTCCAAGAAACACTTCGAGGAAACGAGTTACTTATGAAGAGTCATGGTTTGTTTGGTTGTACACCTCCTATTTTGCAGCATCTGATATCTGAACAGAGATTCGCTACTATGATACCGTCACTATTAAGCACAAGGATACCCAAGTATACCTTCACTCTCATCCTGAACGGTACCCTCTCAAGTATGACGACGGTCGTATTAGTTCCCAAGGTATGTCTTCTATAATCCACGCCGTATTCGCTGACTCACTAAACTCAAATCACTCAGGTCAACAGGTCACTGGTTATGGTCACGAAGATTCTAACAATCAATGGCAAATCATTCCCACCAAGGCTCTTCCTGAAACTGGTCGGGGACGTATTGTGCGACACGAAGATGTTATACAACTTCTTCACGTAAACACCGGAACCGTTCTCATGACCCATGATGTGGCTTCGCCTCTCATGGCTACCAATGAGGAATTCACGACTTGGCCTAAAGATGACCACTCGCGCTACAATGATACGCTTTTCCATTTGCGACTCTCTGACGCGGCTCCCGGTGAAGCGTGGAAGAGCAAGTCTGGACATTTCAGGTTAATTCATGTGCCCACTAAAGTTGCAATGTGGTCACACCCTACACAACTCCCGGATTGGGCCTTCAAGCAACAGGAGATCAACGGTAACAAGAATGCCAACGAGAAGGGAGCGGTTTGGTATGTCAATGAGATCGTCGACTCTCAAGGTCAGTTCACTTGTTGTTATGCCCGTCTTTCCCGCTGATTTCTTCTCTAGATCCGGACTTGAAAGCCAAACTCGAGGAGGTTGAGATGAAGGAACCCAAGCGTTTGAATTTCTTCAAGAAATTCGGCGAACTACAACTCCTCATGTTGCAGCACAATGCTGGATTGACTGCTTCACATCCGTATGCGAGTGGCCCCATCAATTGGCCGTTCTTGTTGAGCGGGATCAGCTTCTGGACTCAGAATGAAGGTCAGAAGCAGATCTATCTCATCGGCAACATTATCGGCTGGTGGGCATCCGTCGGTGGCATATGCATTTATATTGGCATTCTTGGTGCGGATTTGCTTGCACGGAGGAGAGGATTGGAGCCCATTCCTGACGGTGAGCATTCTCTGCAGTATCACAATAGGAGCATCATTATTAATCGTCCATATTAGACGTCCGCAATCGTCTCTGGAACTCCACAGGGTTCTTCATTATCGTATGGGCCGTACATTACTTCCCATTCTACCTGATGAGCCGTCAGCTCTTCATTCACCATTACCTACCTTCGCATGTGGCGTCTGCGCTCGTGGCAGGCTCCGTGTTGAGCTTCGTCTTGTCTGAAACAATCAACACACCAGTCTCCGCGTGGGGACCTTCAGTAAAGCCAAGGCCAACGACCTATGCAGACCATGGTGTAAAGGCACCAGTCATGGTGGCTGTTTTCGCCATCGCAATGTTTTCATTGTATCTTTTCATTTCTCCTCTTACATACGGAACACCAGGGTATGTTCATTCTTTCCAGTCGTCTTTGCGAACAATGCTTACTCACCTTCTTACCGTTTCGTGTAGGCTCACAGGAGAGCAAGTCAACGCGCGCAGACTCTTGTCGAGCTGGACTCTACACTTCGCAGCGAAGGAATCGGGCAACATCTAGGAGATGGGTGTGGACCTATAGGTTGTGTCTTTCCGTTAGACTTCGCTATGCTACGCATTGTGCTCTGTAAAACTATACCAAAATGTCTGGAGGCTATGACTTGTATTTATTCAGCTCACTTCTCTCCGTTTGAGATTGCCCACGAGTTTATGATTGAGTTTGCAACTGCACGTTATTTCCACAGTCGATGACCTCAGGGCGCTTCCGACATCACCTCCAACTTTTGACCACTTCCGTTCGGAACACTGCACGTAAACTGCTCATGATTCTCCACTTCCTTCCCTATTCTGGCTCTCTCGCCTTTACTTGAATTCCCTTCGACTGGGACCTCAACAACGTTATTTCAACCATGTCAGAAGCTCCGCATGAGCAACAGCCTTTGTTGCAGCAAGATACAGACACCACAGATGTCTATCCTATGATCCAAATGATTCGTTATGTACGTCTTTTCTGATCTATGTGCCCTTACCTTTGAACTTATCGGGAGCACAGGATGTCATTGTAAATGCTTACTTCATTGTGTATCAACAACTGAACTTGCTGACAACTTGCGGAATACACTGTTCGTAGGAGTACATTGGTGCGCCATATGTTTTCATCTTGCAACGCCTACAACTAACAGAATATTCCAGATACCCCCTTGTCATACGAGACGGCAAGTATTCGTTATGACAGTTTTGAAAGATGCCTGTATTGAACAAACATCTAGTTGTTATTGCCAGATGTAACGTATACTGTCGTACGGCCTCTTGAAGAGAAATACGTGCCTCTTCAACGCAGAGGCAACCTATCAGTTGTCTTCTGCTTCCTACTTAATCGCGCGTACTTTCTCAGAGACCGGAACCTCGCGACATCTTCGCTCTCGCGTTCAAGGGCAGCACTATGTGAATTAGTTGCCACCAAGGTGCTGAAGGAACACGCGTACAACATGCTGGAGCTCGCCCTAGTCCTCACGACAAGCTGGCCAGTATACTCGGGCGCAGATCCTGCGCTTTTGCAACGTATACGAGAAGAAAGAGAAGACGTGGAAGAAAGAGTGGGCAATGCTATCGAGATTGCTATCATTACCCAAGCCAAGCGATTCATTAAAAGCCCTGCATGTCAAAAGGTCATCGACGGGATCTGGAGGTGAGCTTTCTGTTTTTGTCCATATGTCGGACAATCTCATTTACATTTCTTGGGTAGCGGGAAGATCGTCTACCAGGCTGAGAGCAGTCGTTCTATTCTTTCCGACGTAAGTGACCATTGTTTTCTTAGACCTTGGTGGTGTTCAATCGATAATCCAGACCTACAAACGCAACCCAATTCACTTCTATGACCCCCACAAAGCTCCCCTGTTGGATCACTATCGACTGAAAGTACCAGCCATCCGTTCAGTGTTGGAATACTCTAAGTGCGTCCTCGAGTTCATATTCATGAATCATCTTGAAACAATGCGTTCCGCAGTTTTGTAATACTTTTCATCTTATTTGTTGTGGCCCTGGAGTTCAACGAGCGCGATCGGGTGAATGTAGCAGAAGCGATTTTCATGGTCTATGCCCTGGGTTTCACCTTGGAGAAGGTGGCGGCCATGCAGGAGCATGGCATCAAAGGTACGTTTCTTCTTGCGAATGTGTATTTTAGGGTTAAACCAGACACTGAATTGAATTCCAGTGTATTTCAAGGGCACATGGGTAAGTGTGATCAACTTCCATGCCTATCGACTTTTTCTCACTGAAGGCTCGGATACAGAATGGCTTTGATCTGGCATTTGGTATGTTTCTTATAGTCTATTTGGAGTAATTTGCTCATTGCATTTAGTTACTTTGTATTGCACATACGCCCTCATGAGGATCTACGGTGTCCATTATCACAGTATGTATTCAAGTACCAGTTCATTCACTGAATTCTATCTCACGCAATATCGTCAGAACTGTGGATGAGCGATGCAGGCATCGATATTCTTGCGGTCATTGCAGTTCTTATGTTTCCTCGGTAAGTTATCATTGCCAAGACAGCCGCGACGCTCATGGAATTCATTTTGAACATAGACTAGCGTTTGTTACCCTGAAGAACAACCTAATGGTCCTTTCACTGCGGGCGATGATTACGCAGTTCGTTGTACTGATGCTCATTGCCACATTCTGTTTTGGTGGCTTCTTGTACGCACTCTGGACGTGAGTCGTTTCCATAGCCTTACTGGATGACCTTTGAGACTCATTTATAATGTGCTTTTTATCAACAGCCTTAGTCGCAATGGCCCTGGGTATGTCGCGTTATATTCGATTTTTACTTGAAGTTACTAATCTTCTCATGCTACAGATACTCCTCGGGGTATGTTCTTGTAACACGCCACTGTGACCGTCTCATTGACGGCATCTTTCTTATAGGACTATCGCTTGGTGGATGCTGGATCTTTGGTTCGGTCTGGATTCGAGTGGATTCGAAAATGCATGTACGTCTGTCCTGACTTTCGCTAGCATCTTTTTCTTCTTAACGCTCCCTGTTTACGCAGCGAGGTTTCATCCGATATTCGGCCCAGTTATGATGATTACATACGCTTGCCTCAGTAACACTCTGCTGCTCACTGGTGTGTTACTATAAAATTGTATTTCTCCACGGTTCGCTGACCGATCTATTCTTTCAGTCCTCGTCTCCGTAAGTGTCGGACTTTGTTGATCACGTTGTCTCTCCTATATCTCGCCGATTAGATCCTTTCACATACCTTCTCCACCATCAGCGATGACGCCGCTGCAGAGGTGAGTCTCTTCCAAAGATATCTCATACAGTTTCTTATTGTTGTCGCTATAGGCCATGTTTCGACGAGCAGTATCAACCATTGAAGGGTGAGTTGATGTCACAGCAGTTGTGGAATAGCTGACATTGAGTCCCTGTGCAGAGTCAAGGCCGACTCCCTTTTTTCCTATCAACCCCCTATAAACCTGATTGCACTTTGCATCATGTTGCCCGCTAGTTATATTCTAAGCCCTCGCTGGTTCCATAAGGTATTGTGATTTATAAGTCCTGCTGACTACTGGACTGATGAGGTTACTATTTGTATAGGTCAACGTCTTCATGATTAGAGTGACTAGCTTCCCGATACTGCTCCTCATCGCAGGGTATGAACGACAAGCGAAGCGGACTGGAGCAATAACCTTTTACGACACCATCACTGCCGCGGCTGAGAAAGTTCTTGACACTCTCCCAAGGTCTCTGAAACGGATGACTTTGTTTGAAGGTCTCATGGCCGGATCTGACGCGGAAATCGACGCGGTCAGCATGTTTCTTAAAACATCACCATCCTTATTAATACTGAAATCCTTTCCAGATTTTCGAGTTGGAAGATGAGTTCGAGCAGGAGAGTGCCTTAGATACTCACTTTGACGCGGGTCCCGTTCCACCTGTCGACATGCATGCTCGACAGCGTCGTCAATCCACGGTATCTAAACGTCACGTTTCTGGATCCAGTACACGTAGTCAGGCCATTCAACCCGACCAACCTTCACCTTCCTCCTCTCCCAGAAAAGCCGAGACCTCGAATCTTCCTAATGTCCCTATCGCACGAGCACGCCTTAATTCCCTCGTCACTAATGGCGTGGAAAGTCTTCAACATTCTATAAGTCCGTTGAGGCAGGCTTTAGCGTTCCCATCCCTCATGGCCGACACACAACCCTTGTCTCCACTAGCACAGGATGCAGGAGAAGGTGTTCAGACAGGCCCTGCTGTCAGTTATGGCCCTGCAACACGTCGACGATTATCCTCCATGGTTCATCAACGTTCAACATCGATATCTGGTGGTCACCAGGGTGCGTTAGGCGTATCTGCGGGGGAACCCACTTCACCTCCGGGAAGGCGCGTTCCTTTGCCTACCAGTGGTCCAACCAGACCGTCGCTGGTTCACCAGACTTTGGCCGAAAGTCCCGATGAGCAGCGTGAACAATATACATCGCCCGAACCTGTGCCAGCCAGACGAGCGGAGGGTGACGATCCACTACTATTGACCAGGTTGGATCGCATGGAGGACAGGCAGAGACGGATGGAGGATCTGTTAGTGAGGCTGATGCACAAGTTTGAGCGATAGCTCTCATGACTTTGGTATTTATTTTAATTTTTGGAAGGAATGACGCTGTCCTCCGGATGGATCGATTCATGTATCATTACTGTAGCATTGCATTAGATATCTATGATAATCCCAGTATGTAATGCCATATCGGAAAGCAGTATTAAGCAGATCGGGGTATCTAAAAGCAAGTTCGTAAGAGAATGGGGGTCTTGAAGGATATCGCCAGTTTGGTCTGGGGTATATCCGGCTCGTACTCTAGTAGACGTATGGAATGAACTTGTACTTGACGATTTCGCAGTAGCGATCCCAGTCCTTCCCGTATTTGAGGGCACATCTGTTGAATGAAATCATCAATAAATGTATATCACGAAGATGAAGGGTAATAATTTGGGAAGTACCTTTCGAAGTCACGTCCACAACGATGAATGAGGACAACAATGAAGAAGACGGAATAGAAGTAGGGAATCGGCGTCGCAGCGCCAATGCAAAGACCCCAGGTCAAACTCATGATCCAATCCGCGACGTAGTTCTGAAATACACGTCAATTTAGGGTACTTATAAGACTAAATTTGAAGAAAGACATACAGGCTTGCGAGAGTACCTCCACCACCCATCGACCAAAAGGCGGTTACTGAAGAGTACAAATCACTTTGGTTCGCCCCTGAAGGCGGGAGATATAATAGTCAACTCACCCATGAGCAGTCTGGATATAACGAGGGTTCTCAACCGTACCACCGGGCAACTGAGGGAATGTCTTGCGGTATGTGAAGATACCCTGGGTCTGCATCTTGAAGCGACTCTTCTGCGACATGGCCGTATCCCAACTGCTATGAGTGATCAGCGCTTTACAACTCGTGCAAGCAAAGATATATGCACATACATGTAGTATGAAGTAAGGAGGGTGGCATATAGCGCAACGTAGGTTGTGGTGGAGAAGCGGTACTTGGAGGGATCGTGAGACGCCATGTAGACCACAGAGTAGATATAGGACTAGGAACGCAGATACCGTATGAGCTATGGTCGCTGAAATGGTAGTGAAGACGTACGAAAGGTACTCCGGCAAAGTTCCAGAAGATTACCAGGAAACCCCACTTCTCATGGAACATGTCCCAAGTCTGAGGGATGCATTCTTCACCCTTTCCACTGAAAGAAAAGGTTCAGCTCAAACACCGAGAAAGGCAACTCTTTGAAATCAGTGTACCATGCGTTGAGGTAAAGCCAGGTAGCCAAGCACATGAAAGCCATATTCTGTAACATGGTGAGGTGAGGATCACGACTGAGGCAAACTGTGTCTGCGTACGGGAGTGACGTAGCCATACAATTCATACTGTTTGCAAGCACCGGAGATGGCCATGAAGAAGACGATCACCCAAGGAATGCGAACTTCCAACCACATTTTGAGATCAATGGGGCCCAGACGAGGGTTGAGACAGGCACCCATGAAGACATCGTAAATGAAATTGCCTGACATTCGTATCTGGTTTCCGGTGGCGATAGAAAGGAAGTACATGCCAAAGGAGACACCAAAGCCGTAGATCATCGCGACAGTCATGAGGTGACCGAAATTGTCAATAATCTCGGTAAGTCGGAATATGCCAGTATAGTGCAAGACTGCAGCAGTAATCCAGGTGATGTAGATGCAACCGACGGCGTTGCACTTGTACATCAAGGTCTTATAACCCAGTGAAGGTACAGGAAGCCCTTCTTGCATGAAGCCAGGAACGATCCATGCAAGGAAGAGCTGATAGACAATCAGACCTGTATAGACTTTCCAAGCGTATAGGTTGGGGCTTGCATCCTAAAACGAGTTCAGAAACGCGTAGAATAAGATGATTTGAGCACATACCACGCTAACATGCTCCCACATACGCGTCAAAAAGGGACCGATATCGTCCGTGGACTTTGGAAACACTAGATGACCGTCATAGAATACCAAGCAAATCCAGAGGTAATACATGAGAATCGGGAAGCCAGTCATGATGGCAACGACACCCCAAGGTCCGCCAAACTCATATCTAAAGAATAAAATATAAAAAAGTAAAGGTCAGATAGTACATTGACAAACGTACTCGACATGTTGGTCAAGACGTTGATCAGACTTTTTGCCCTCATCTGTTGGGGCCACAATCTTATTAGCAATTCCATTCGAGTTTCCATTGACAGCCCGTTGCCGCAGCCCGTCAGACTGGGTGGTGGTGGATACTCTTGTGGCCATACCTGACGGTGGAAGAGAGCGACAGCGACCGGTCGTACGACGGTCACTTTGAAAACTCGGGGAATATGGTGTTCAATAGCCGCGCACGACAAATACGGCTGACGCGAAACCAGACGCTTATGTTTTCCTGTTTGGGCCAGGCAACAGGCGCGCGTCGTCTCGACTCTTTAACCACTCCCTCCACTATCTCTTCATCTATTCCCTTCATTTCTTCCGTTGATTAGTCTGTTCTCAGCACCAACCTGCACTCCGTGGATATACCAAGTGCTACATCCTCTGTACTAACGTTGTATTGATCTTGGGAATCCATACCTTGTCACGATGGCATCGTCTGTCTTCTATAAATTCAAGTCTCAGAAGGACGAGTCTAGGGTGACTTTTGACGGTACTGGGATCTCTGTGTTTGATTTGAAAAAGGAGATTATTCTTGCCAACAACCTGGGTAAGGCTAATGACTTTGACCTGGCTATCTTCGACCGTTCGTCCAACGAAGGTGCGTTGTCAGCAAAGTATTGCAGCTAGAAACATATTTCATACGTTCATGCAGAATACAAAGACGACTCTACGATTATTCCTCGTGCTTCTTCAGTCATTGTGAAGCGTGTGTTTGTTCGCCCAGGCAAGGGCAAGGCCGCTATGTATATCAGTGCTGGCAGTTCTTCCACAGGTGCATCAGATCAAGCTTCAAAATCTACTGCCAGTTCTGGCGGGTCATACTCATGGCACAGGGGTAACATGACTAAGAGATTCGATGGCAGGGAGGAAACCACGAGCACCCTGCCTAAACCTACTCCTGTACGCCGCCCGATGTTCCTGCTCTCTGCGATGACTAAGATTGAATCAGCAGGTCACTATCAAGTCCAACATCATCACGAAAGGCGATGAGGCGGCTGCTATGGCTGCCATGTTCCAAGCTTCGGCTGCCAACTGGGAGGAAACCCAGGAAAAGATGTCTCAGTCGGTGTCGCGCTTACGCGTTTTTCTTGTCTTAGTAGTAGTCATACGTTCTAATGAACTTATTTTGTCTTGGGTTCGTTCTTTTATTTCGAACTCTAGTGCGACACCTGTATATAGTGCTCGCGGGGGTGCTCCGGGACGTGGGCGAGGGGGTGCCCTGCATCATCGACAACCTGACCGACCCCTGCCCCCTAGTTACGTCTGCTATCGGTGTGGTCAAAAAGGTTAGAACTTTTGTGTATGCGTGGGAATAGGCCAGACTCTAATTCTCTCTGCAAGGTCACTGGATACAAGACTGTCCTACGAATAATGACAGAGATTATGACAATCGCCCTCGAATCAAGCGAACGACTGGTATCCCTCGCAGCTTCCTGAAGGCTGTTGAAAGTCCTAGCACAGGTCCGATAGGTCATGGTGTGATGGTCACACCCGAGGGTGGTTACGTCGTTGCCCAGCCTGATGTGTACGTCCCTCGAGTTTCGTATTTGATGTTTACTAATGTTCTATTCTCCTGCAGAGCGTCATGGCAGAAACAAGTATCAAGGCCAAAGGGACTCACTGAGGCCGATATTCGTGAGAAGATGCCATCGGATCCAGCTTTGAGTTGCCCAATAGACAACAAACTGTTCAAGGACGCTGTCAAAACACCCTGTTGTGGAAAGCTATACTGCGAGGAATGTATCCAGACTCACCTTTTAGAACGAGATTTCGTCTGCCCGAATTGCGGTGCCAAGATTCCTTCGTTGGACAAGTTGATTATCGACAAGCCGACGCGAAGCAAGGTTGGGGAGTATATTGATAAGGAAATCGAGAAGAGCAAACAGGAAGGTGCCGGCGGTGAAGAGGAGAGCAAGACGAATGGTCACGCTCCACAGCAGCCCGAAGAGAAGGTTCGTGTTCCCTTACAACTGTCTGTGTCGATACTGAGCTCTTTATCATTAGCAACTCGAATTTTCCACGGAACTATCGCTTGATCAAGAATATTATTCTGATCAACAACCAGGCAGCGACATGGACGCCCTTCACATGGCTGCCGATAGCATCCCCCATATCCAAGCCCAAATCAACCAAATATCTGTTATGCTCAACAACCCCACTCTCCCGATGCAAGTCCGTCAACAAACCGAGATGAAGCATCATCAACTCCACATGGAGCTCCAACAAGCTCAGATGGCTGCTGCACTCATCCAAGCTGGGAACGCTGCTGCGTTCAACGCGATGAACATGCAAGCACAACAGGCATTCGGCGTTAACGTAGGGATGCAGATGGGTGGACCACAAATGGGACCGCCGCAGCAACAGCAATGGACGAATCCGTTTTCGAATCAGCAGCCTGCAGGTCAGGACTCGGCATATCAGCGGTTGCCTCTAAATAATAGGAGGCGGAACTTGAAGCGTGAGAGACCATCCGATTTTCTGGAGATTGCAGGGAATGAGCAGGAGGCGAAGATGCCTCGGTATTGGGAGTAATGTAGCTCTGGTGCGTCTTCACGAGGCGTTGTGGATGGCATTTGGTGAGGTGCAGAGTTTTCAGCAGGACATTGGGGAAGTATTGGCAGGACTTGGACTGCATTTACATAATTATGAACGTTTCCAGTTATCCACTTACGGCTCTTACGTTCACTATCTTATACAGCATGTAGATTAATATGTGCATCATGGCGTTCAAAATGATATTGTTTGATGTCTGAATCAGAGCTTACAGCAGTATAATGCGGCATTCCACGTCATACAATGCAATCCTGACTTTCGAATTACTGCATTCAAGGCTAACGCTATACTGTGATAGAAAAACGGACCCGTCAATATGCAGAACTAGACCGTTATCCACAGTTTCGACGGCACTGGGCAGGAGCCACAGCAAGTTGTTGTTTGGCATTGTTATTCAACAGCGCCATGAAAGATTTCCATATCAGGTGTTCCGTAGACCCAACCCCAACTTGTTTGCCCCGATTGGGCGTGGGGGGTGATCGACGTCGATCGTTCGGTTCGCGAGACCTGCAACGTTCGGGGGGTTCAGATTCACATATCCCGAACCATCACCATGCCTTGGCCTTTGAAAATCTCCAGAGCTTTCGCCACTGTCGAACAAGAGGACCATGTCCCCCTTCTTGAGAACCAGTACTACGGCCCCTACAATAAACTTCTCTATACCCTATTCCCTGCGGACACTGATTTCATTGTCTCGCCCAACTACCTGGCGGGCAATGTGGACGGCGGCTTGGACTTCATCGTCTCGTTCGAGATCACCCTTCGTCAGCACCCTGTGCTTATCCTAGAGGTCCCCCCCCCCGCACTTGGCCTATCCTTCGTTGCGGGAGGCAGCCGACAGGCACGTTCGCCGCCGTTTGTTTGATGTGTCAGGTGTGTGCCGTCATTGCAGACTGCTCTAATGATCTTACTGTCGGCTTTTTTTTCTTAGGGCGTGCAATCCTCCCTGTGCTCTACGGCATCAGCGCGATAGGGACCAAGCTCTGTTTCTACGAGTACGAAACGGTGCAGAGGCGCATAAGTCCCCGACGCATCTCTAACGATCCCGATCTTATTACCGACGTTGCGCCGAAGGAGCTTCTTGCTGGGGCACAGGTTCAAAAAATCGGATCAGTGTGAGGCAGAGAAGAAACAAGGCAAAGAGGACCTCTAGCTGTGACACAATAGTCATGCAGCTGAGCCAGGCATTGGGATCGAATCTATTTGCGAAGGGAAAGGAGAAGTTCTGCAATGACAGGCTGACGACCATCATGATCGGCCAACTAAGTTAGTAGGACCGCACGAGATAGAGCCTCCTGCGTGTTTCATATTCTGGTGGCGTAATGGACGTCACACATCAATGCAGTCGGCAGGTGCGTCTCGCCTAACACCGACCATCTTCAAGTTGGCATCGCTCTAAGGCCATATGTTACTCAAGGTAAGTAGCATCTTAGTACGCAGAAATTGTCCGTTCCTCTCAGATTTGACAAGTCAATGATACTACTTTCGACGATAGATCCAAAAGGACCTCCGCTTTGGTCTACAGGCCAGCTGGCTAATGTAGACTTACGTCCGCCCAAGCCAGAGTGGGCCCTCTTCGGAAAACAGCGAAAGATACTGCTATACAGAAGGAATGTGCAATACATGAAGGCGGCGCTGCACCTCAGCAATGAAAGATCATTTGAACGATTCACTGAACGTTGATGAGGGCACGAGGAAGGATGTGTGCGTGTCGATAGTAGTTTGATAACATAACTGGTTATGAAGCTTAAGATCCTTTTGATTACTGAATGCGGGACTCCTGCTTAGCCCTCGAATATCGCAACATCGACAGAGGATAGCAAGCCAACTAGGAGGCTGACAACAGGACTCGAATTTGTCCAGATTCTGAGAGGCAGCCGAAGCTTAAGCAACCTGCCAGCCTCCCCGCACAGACATTTTGTCGAGCTTTTAGGAAACCGAAAGCTCGTCAGTCCCCTCGTTCTAACCTTCATCCACACCATCAAGACCGCCATCCAATAGTTGGCATCATGAGTCCAAACATGTTCATCGTACCATGCTCCAACTCATACCACGGGTTGCGGGGGAAGCCCTCCAATCACGATGCCAACTTCGAGACACAACGGGTAGAGGGGACAACAACAACCATCCCACCAGACCGTCGTATCGCCGCCGCACCCTCGAGTTCAGGACTGTCTATATCCAATATACAAACCACCACGCCCTCTATCACAAGCAACATTCCCCTTAACCAACGAGATTACACATCGATTTTTTGCGAGAGATTCTTTCGTCGAATCTCCGAAAACCGACCTGCAACATCTACATCCATGACTTCGTCGAAGATCCTGACCCTCGTTTCCTTTGGCAGCGAGGGATCCAAGTGCAGCGTCCATCAGCTTGCGACATCTCCGCCGCCGAAGAGGCGGCTGGCAAGCGGTCAGTCTGCACGGCCGAAGCTTGCCGCACGTTCCTTCGCGCAGGGATATGGCGTGTCAGCTACGAGTGTGAAAGTCATTGTACTATTTGCACGTCGCCCCAGTCCATTATCGAAGATATGTGCATTTCCCTCTCCACCTCCAACTCCACCCACGGAAAGTACGCCAGAGAAAAATCTGAGGAAGATTTTCAAGGAATTCGACTCCACCACGGTGAGCCTCGCAGTAATATTCTTCGTGGCACTTCACCATCTAAGCTGTATAACTTGAGGCTACTGACAAGCCCAAGCCGATGTCGAAGAGGATCTTCAGGACACCAAGAGCAATTGTCGGGTTTCCAAGTAGTGAGACGATAAGACAATGAGTCGAGCTTTTATTGACGTAACTTGGAACATCACAGGCGTACTTGTGCGTCGGTCAACGAGATATGAAGCACCCACTGCGCCCAAGAACCTTGAGGACAAGGAATGTAAGAAGGAATGGGTGGTGATTCCAGCTCTAACATTCATCAGTCCACCGAGCGAGATTGCACCTTCCGATGAGATCAGTCTACAAGCACAGCCAGTTGAAGACGTGAGGTCGATATCGTCTTAGCATCGTGACCTTGAGTTGAAAGTTATGTTTTTAGACGGTTGTTGAGGTTAAAGAAAAGTCGCCGCAGAGCACATTCCGAGACTACGATCTTGTCCTCCTGGCGAGAAGAGCCGCTGTTCTGATGCAAATCAAGAGCCGACCGTCGAAGGATTCCACGACCGATATTGCACACGAAGAGCAACAGAAGAGAGTCAAATTCACGTCTGGACTGAAGCAAGCTTTGAAGTCTATGGTACAGCCCAGGGACATGGATTCCAAAGCGTTCGAGGTCAGTCACAATGTCAGCATTGGTGGAAGAGCGATTGACGTTGAGTGTGTCATGATCATAGGTCCCCGTGATAAAGGCTTTAAAACCTTTGACCCGTACTCCATCTATTGCGAATGGAAATGGACCTCGTCCAGCCGGACATGTGGCTCTCTTCGAGGAATTACACAACAGAGTCAAGGCTCCGATGCCTGCGACCTCAGACAATGCCACCGACGACGATCCTCGCGCTTTTCATCGCGCAGTCTTCGCTCAACTCTTCAGCGGAGAAGGAAAGACATCGAAAAGGGAGACTGCAGAGGTGGAAGATGAAGGGGAGCATGGAGGGCTCATTTCTCCTCGCAAGATTCGCTCCAAGGCGGGCGAACATTCAGATTTCGTGAACGAACTCAAGAATGTTCTCAAGAAGCGAGCACAAGGATCGAGGCCCATCGAAATTGGCAATAAAGGCAAGATTTTTGCAATCTGTAAAAGCTGGTGAATAACACTTCGTACGTCAGAGTTCGGCAGCGTGGTCACAAATGAGTTGAAGGACGCCCTAGACCGCCGAAGGTCAGCTGTAGCAACGGAAGTTAACTCGAAGTCGAAAGAGTGTTTAGGTATTTCGAATCATTGTGCCTCCCGTGCTGAAGGTTAACATCATCCGTCCCAGATGAGAACGTGCCAAAGGTAACATTAAAGCCAAAGGCTCTGAGACACGCCGACAAAGAGAATGATAGGTGAGAGGCCTCCAATGGGCACGCGAATAATCATTCAACGTTCTGCTCAAGCCCAAGCCAAATCGATCTTTCCCTGTCGCAAGGCGAGAGTGTGGCAGCTCGGATCGCTATGTTCTCGAAGGGCACCCAGCAACCTCGAAAGGCAGCGCATGTCCGCAAGTTCAGCCTTCCACAGCTCCTTGATACCGATAGAGCTTCAAAGGACGAGAAGACCGAGAGGGAAGTTGATGGTCTCCGAACAATGAAGAGGGCAGGTACTGGAAGTGTTGCTCTCACAAGAACACATGCCTTCGGTGGTGATGGAGGTGCGAATGTCGTCAATGAGATAGACGAAACGAGGGCGGGAGTATCGTTACAGTGCTTGAGCATTTTGGAGCGGTATAGGAAGAAGAACTGAGGGAAAATGGACATCACATAGTGTTCGGTTTTGCATGCGTCGGTTTCAGTTCTTGGTACGATCTCTATTTCCTTTTTTGGGCTTCCGTCTCTTTTGATTCTGTCTTTCTTTTTCAATCTCTGCTTGTCTCAGGTTTCGGTTCCCGCATGGATTGGGTACTTGCATGGATGACTGTGTTTCATTTCCTACGTTCCACTACTGGATGGCTTGATTACCATATTGCAATGATATTCTTCAAAGACTGATCAAGGCCATAAACTGCACATAAGGATCGGTAAGAGAATTGAAACGATAAGACGGTGCCTCACCTACTCGAGACGTTGGATACGTATTTATACGCAACGATATCGTTGAAGTCGTCACTGCAAGGGCTTCCTCACCCAAAACAGGTAATTACACGCCTCAGTCAACGGCTCATTATGGGGCCCTAGCACCCATTCACCATTCCAAGGAACATATATCATGCCTCTCGTCTCAGCCTCGACTCGTAGCGGGCGACCAGCTACTAGTCTTGAGATCCACGGTTGGCTTGTCGACTCGGTTGATGACTTGGTAGAGGTATTTGAGGGTGATGGGGCACGATAATGATGGAAGAACGAAATCAACTCCGAAGGGTTGATGTACTTGCTGTACGTGTGTGTACCAGGCTCGACGAAGCGGAGTAGCTTCTCGGCAGTGAAGATGGTGAGTAAGTAGGCTAACGGTGTCCGTGCAATTGTCGACAGGAAGAGATGGCCGCCAGGCTATGAGGTCGAGGACTATCGAATACTGGTGGACACATGAAGACTTCGTTGACTTACCTTCACAAGTGCGGCGCAACTATGGAGGAAACCTCTAGGATTGTCAACATGCTCCAGCACTTCCATTGAGCAAACGACGTCAAACGAATTCGGTCCGTTGCGAGCAAGGAGTTCTTCCACCGATGTATGTTCGTATGTTACCTTCCCTTTTCCTTTGTGGCTTATCGCCGTGTCGTTACTGTGCGGCAACGAGTTTGACGAGAATGAGAGCGCCGGATCGGAAGAGGCGTGAAGAGACGCAATCGCTATGTTAGACAAAGACGCATCAATACCGAGCGTGTTTGCACCAAGACGAGTAAGACTCTAAAAGATAAGTTAGAAAGGGTAACGCATGACGTAGGATGTCTAATAACCTCGCTGAGAAGGCCCCCTCCACAACCCACGTCCAGCACATTCAGACCCTCAAGGACTCTTTGCTCGTCAAAGCTCTCATGACCATCTTCGTACTTCATCTCAACCTGAGTTACATGCTTCGTTAATCTTTAGAAAGCAACCGTGTGCGAAGATATTTACCAGCTTTTCTTGCACAAACTGAGTCCTAACAGGATTCATCTTGTGCAACATGCCAAACTCTCCACGTTCGTCCCACCAAAGAGATGAAAGGCGAGAGAAGTGAGCTATTTCATCAGGATTAACTGTAGAGCTTGATGAGGCTACATGGGAGTTATCAAGCGCAGTATGTCGGTACGCCGTTGAGTGCAAAGCTCGTCTAGTCCATACAGCGCGTAGAAGACTTCGAGCGCTGGAGAGGTTTCGCATTATCGAAATGAGTAGTGACTACGGTCGCAACAGTGAAGGATTGAATGTCAATATTACAGTAAGTAGTCGTAGTCTCCCCCAGGCAGTGTAGACAGAGACGCAACCTTTGAACCTCAGGATATCTCTGTCTGAGCGGCGTAGTCGAGGAGAACGCTTAAGGCCGCTTGAAGCCCATCGTCACACGCCATTTCTGTATCGAGCGTGACATACTGCCTTTCGTCTTCGACACTTCAAAAATACATACAAAATGGTGAGAATATATGGTGCTCCGTACTTGAATTCATATGAAAGTTAACCTTTGTGATCAATAGACAAAGCGCACTCGCAAAGTTGGCGTGACCGGAAAGTACGGTACCGTGACTTTCATTCAACATGTTCCAATGCGAGCTTTGCATTAAATATTTGGAGGGACTCAGCGTTATGGTGCTTCCCTCCGTAAGCAAGTGAAGAAGGTACGTTGAGAACACTATCGACTATCAGGTCCAAGAGTCTTGCTAAGGAATCTTTGCCATGGAACAGATGGAAATCACCCAACATGCCCGATACACTTGCACATTCTGCGGAAAGGCAAATCTTCCGCCTTTATATTCTTATACTTATATTGCTAACCGCACGCTTTCCTAACCTTACAGGATTCAGTCAAGCGCCAAGCGGTTGGCATCCGGGGCTGCAAGTCTTGCAAAAAGGTTGTCGCTGGTGGCGCTTGGACGGTTTCGACAACCGCTGCCGCTACTGTCCGCAGGTGCGTTGAGTTAGTCGTCCATCCGGAACTCGAGATGTCTGAGCAAGGGCATTCATAGCACCGTTCGTCGCTTGCGCGAACTAACTGAGGCATAAGACATACTCGAGTACTTGTCTCTATTCATGTTTGCTCGCCGTCGGGAGATGGGTACATTGTCTTCACACATGAGCTTACAATAGCTCACGAACATCCCTGAAGTTGAATGGATCACGGTGGGGAATTGGCCTTGCTTGTGTTGTTCCCTCCATGCGTAGCCCTGAGGGAAGAAAAGTACAGGAAATTACTTGTATTCAAATGCTGCAATAATACACTTCTTCCAAGGAAGCAGTACATGGCTACATAAATACGACCATACATAGTCCGCTCACCACACGCATCAGGCGTCATCATCATGAATAGCCATGTCTATATCTTCATTCTGCTCATCTGCTGCTTCCTCGTCCTCATCTTCATCATCGACACTATTTTCATCACTGTCGCTCTCACTTTCATGGAAAGTAAGAGAGATATACTCATCTCCCAACTGTGCATCTTCTGCGTAAACCTGATGAGAACCGGAAACACTGTTAGCCCCAGTAGTATCACCAGAGTCAACGTCAGAAGCAGCAGCAGAAGGATTAGTAGAACCGTGCGGGGTACCAGTACCAGAGGAGGGAGAACTTGCAGGAGGAACAGCAGCCGTCTTGCGAGTCCGACTGGCCCTGATGACATGCGGAAGCTTGCATCCCTTAGTCGTGCAAGCGCCGTGTTCCGCGAAATCTGGGCACTCGCGTACATGTTGCTTATCACAGTCTAAACCTTTCTCACAGTAGCCCAACACGGCGAAGTCACGGCAGACGCCATGACGTTGACCGACGCGAACATGTGGGAAAGGACAATTCTGACGAGTACAGCGACCATTGTTTGCAAAATGGACACAGAGGGGAGTACGTTCGGGCGTTGGATCATGTGAAAGATTGCAAGTCTCGGAGGTATTGGGGCAGTTGCCTTGGAGAAAGTTCCAGCAAATGGCGATCTTGGCGGGATCGTGTTGGTATGGGCAGGTGAGACCACGGTTGCAGGCACCTGTGAGGAGAAAACGATGAGTAGATATGACGCCCCGGAGGTGCCTTGAGATGGTTGTTGCATGGATCAATGAGCACGCACCGGTGGTGGTGAATCGAGGACATGGCTTTTCAATGTACTTCCGTTTGTTTGAAACTCGACGTCTGTAAGACACAGTTAGCAGGGCATAGGTCGAGCTTAATCGCTTCGGGTGAACGAACGGGAAGGGACGTCGAGAATTATTCAAAGTCATATTACGACCTCGACTTGACTTGGGCTTGTACGGTCGAACAATACTTCCACGAGTCTTAGCGAAAGCGGAGGAGCGGCGAATCGGACGTGTTGTTGGTGGCGGTTTCAAGCTCGCAGGAGGCTTTGGAACTGATTAAAAAAATGAGCGTTGACGGAGAACATCGAGATAGACCAGAGCTTACGATCTTTGCGAACTAATGACCTGCCTGACGATTCAAAAGCTACACCACCGATGACAACTTCCTTCGGGGTAGGATTCGCGGTAACTGCAGGTATAGGCGGTCCTGCTATCGGTTTTGATATGGGGACTTGTCGACTAGGAGGCTTGTAGTTAGGGTTGACGTAAACATTATGCCTCGGACGGCTTGGTGGGTATACACTTGAACTTGCGTTTGCTTGGGTCTTGCGTTGCTCAATGGCACCTAGATGCATGATGAGTCAGTATCGAAAAGTGTTATCTATAAACGAATCTTTACCTGTAAGTCTAGCTATTTCTGCCCTGAGGGCGGCGGCTGAGGACGAGGGATCCATCGTTGAGAGAGATGGCGGTCAAAGTTGGTGGGCGTGTGCGTATGGGCTGCAATGGTTGCCTTGAGCTATATAAGTTGCTGACTAAGCCAAAGTAGCTGTATTTGGTCAAAGCGGCTGCTTACATTCCAAGTTGCCGCTTTGGCATTGTCTTTTTAGCCACATTTATCTTATCCTTTGCCCGGCGGAACTATTCTGTAGGCTTGTTCCTGGTGGGGTCATCTTCTGGATGCTATGAGCAGAATTCCACCAGGATTGCTGTATTTGACGATATACAATCCAACACTTCGACCAGCAGAGCTCACGGACGACGAAGATGCTGAGGAACAAGCACATATTGTATTCTACACGGCTCGAGAAAGAGCGGTGTCTAGAGACAAGATTCTCAGACAAGTTGGGTTAGCTAAAGCTTTGATTAACTTCTCCAGGTGAGAGGAACAATGCGCATAAGCTATATGGTGCCCCATTGAATTATAAAAATAGTGTGTTCGACGGGAATTCCATTTGCGAGAATGTACACTCTCAGTCGAGACGAATGATTATGGTCTCACCGGAGCCTGATTACTGGATGCATGCTGTAAGTATAATTCCTCATACCCAAGCGCCGTACAAAATATGAAAGAGAGAAATTGATGCAGTAGATCCTCGTTAGTGTCTTGAGCTTGCCAGAACACCACGTCCAGTTATAACCAAAGGCAAGGATAAAGGAAAGAGCAAGATTAAGGACCCTGTTCCCTCGAAACCAGAAACAGTATACGACTATCATGACGGTTCTCTTCATGATCTGGCCCTCCGTAAACATCTCTTGCGAGGATATGAGCTATTCAAGGTTTGTTGCATTAACTGTCACAGTCAGAAGGTATTGAAACACCCAGCAGCTCACTCACGGGTCTTTTGCATCGATCCTGAGTTCCTTAGGACAGCAAGCCTTGGAGTTACAACTTGAGCGATTCTTCACAGTATGGGGATGGCGTTGGGACCCCGAAGAAGATGTAGACTTCACAAGTCATCTTGGTATGTTCTGTCTTCGCAATATACCTTGTAGGACTGCGTGATTAATATCATTTGTTGACTTCACATAGGCCCGCCCTTGCATCCTCAACATAAATTGCTGACTCCTATTTTGGATGATTTCACCGCCAATGTCGACTTTGACACCACTACATTTGCATTATTACCCCCTCATCTCATTCCATCCTCTACATTACTCCATTCGACACTGCCAACATGTCTTTCGGAACATATTATGTCACGTATACCCCCACCTCCACCCCCTATACCACTATCGACTCAAGACACATCAGATACGACTACTCACGAAGTAGACTCGCAAATTGAGAAGACTGTACCTACTACTGCGCAATCTGGAGACAAACATCCTGATACAAATAAGCCAGGAACGGCTTTCATGAGCATGCCGAACATGGGTGTCGAGATGCGAAATATCAAATGGTCATGGCCCGGGTACCTCACGTTTGGCAAAACGACTTCTGCAAAGCCGTCTGTTCCCCCGACGCCAACTAGTACTCCATCCAATCTTGCCAATGAACCTCCGACTTTGAGCGATGAATTTGGTAAGAAGGAAGATTCTGTTACTCCAGAAGGGGGAAGACTCTCAGTCAAGCCACCGGATATTGATACAGAGTCCTTGAATGAAGCGATCAACTCCGAAGTACATTCTCCGCAACCTTCTCAACTTGGGTCACCATCACCTTCTTCTCCGTCCCCTGCCGTCTCTTCCTCCCCCATTGCCTCATCCTCACCTGAGCCGCGCGAGAAATCAGCCTCAAAGGATGCGACGCCACCCTCGGCCGACGAACCCGACGCCGTTCAAGATGATCAAACAGAAATCCAGGAGAATAAGGAATCTTCAATTGACCATGAATCGCAGAGCTCTGTCGAAGAAGACCAAGGTTTGCCTGCCTCTAATGAACCCACGGTCAATACAGACCCAGTCCCCGCGCCTGTCGCTGAGCCCCAGGTCGAAGAAGCACTCCCTTCAGAGCCATTACCGAGTTTCCTGACTACTACTGTGTATTTGGCTGAAGGTGATGATCCTTGCGCCACCATTCGAAGGAAGGTGTTGCACGTAACAGTACGTCGCTCCTTGCCAAGTTATCCAATCATTTAAGAAATTGACGCGTAGGACGTTGTGCAATTTTGTAGATGCATCCGCTGACTTTGGCTTTGATTGTCGACACTGATCGGGACTCGAACGACACACTTCTAGTGGAGCAATGCCTGGCGACCATGCGCAGGTTACAGGAAATAATTTCTTCAGAACAAAGCAAGAGTCTTGAAGCGTCTCTTCCGACGGTGAGCAAGATCCTGGAGCCACAAGATAGATACGTCATATCCACGGGCTCCTATACTGTAACATCTTCCCAAGGCTTCACTTCTCGGTCGGAACATTTGTTCAATGGCCAGCAGATCTTGCACAGGTATGTCTTCTGTAATTGATTTCAGTTTGGTGATGCTAATCCTTCACTCGCTAGCGACCACGATGCGTTGGAGGTGTTCTCTCGTGGACAGAACCCACAACATTGGCATATATCTCGACGAGGTCTGGGTATGGACCGAGAAGGGCATGCAGTGGAAGGCGAAGTATACATGGAGATTGCGCGGAAGGAGAGTACTCTGACGGACGTCGACAATGAGCTTGCTGGGGTTATCAGAAGATTTGTTGAGCAGTAGACGTCGATATTACTAAGTCACACTTGGATCAGATGCTGTAGTTCATTGTGTGATGTCAGCTTCAAACCGGAAGACAGCACGAAAACTAGATCAATTCGATAGCAATCGAGATACAACTTGGAGTATAGTGTGCTACGCCACAGCAGGGATGTATTCTAACCAGCAAGAAATTGCGACAAAGCCACTCAACGAGTTCGGGGGTATTGACGTGAATCCCAGCACGTCCATAGTCCAGACATTATATTATTCCAGGACCACCTCCAGCCATTAGCGCCGCATAACTCTCAGTAACTGGACCCTTGGCCATAATGGTGCGCACGGTTTCGCGGGTATAACCCTTCGCGACCAACATATCCTCCATCATCTTCTGAGGATCTCCGACCTTCCTTAAATGTTCGAGGATGGTGGCGGTATCTGCATATTCCTCCGCATCTCCCTCAGGTTCTGAAGCAAGGTCCGTTGGTGGTTCCGAGCCAAAGTCATCTTGGTCCATCAACATGCGGATGTCTGCACGGCTGAAACCCTTGGCTACGAGGCGTTCCTCTATGACCTTTCGAGGATCATTGCCATGTTTGAGCAAACGTTCGCCGATATCAGCGAGATCAGGGTCTGCGTCTATGATTGCAGCAGCTTCCTCCTCGAGGGAGAGACTTCCCGGTATAAGGGTATCCACCGCGTCATCAGCAAACGCGGGCTCATCGTCCTTGAGACGTGCATATGACTCGAGTGCTGCTTGTTGGCTCCTCAAGATTTCAGGGTCAACAATGTTGTCGAGATCCATCTCATTGTCTTCAGTCGCAGTGTAATGCGACAATGCCTCATTCACGTGGCCGTCCTGTTCATACGGCGCGACTGAGGAGCCTATGTTCTTGAGATATGCGTCAGTGAAACCTTGCTCGCTGAGATACTCGCGAAGATGCGTTTGAGGGCCAGAGGGTAACGAAGAAGCCCCAATTTCAGACAACCTGCGATGAGCCAGGGCACGCTCACGCTCATTACCGAAGTCTGCCCGCAGTGGATCGCTCGTGGAGGAATTCGGGGTTATCGTACCAATGTCGTCGGGATTTTGCGGTTCCTCCATATCAGGTTCTGCGCCAGTAGAGGAGGGTGATCCAGGCGCAGCAATCGTTGGGTCTGGGAAGTCGAATTTCTTATCGTAGAGTAGCAAGGGATCCAGGGACTCATCCAAGTTGGTTTGCAGAACAGGATCGAATTGAGCAGCTTCAAAGCTGGGTGGTTCGGAATCATCTAACGGTGGAGGTGAAGATCCGGGCGAGGAGATGCCATCGGAGTAGGGAGTCATGAATGAAGAATCAGTTGCGTCGATGTCTGGTTCGGCGTCTGTGTACGAATTGGGAGGGGATTCAGCGGGGGGAGTAGGTAATTGGGAGTCCTCTATTTTCACCTCAGGAGTGGGAGTCGAGGGCTTAGGCTTGTTACGAGCCTCCTCAATCTTCAAATGGCTTTTCCCGCCCAATGGTCGTGATGTCCTGCGTTTGTAGAACAGCAGATATGCATTGGAGGACTGTCGAAGAACGATCAGGTGTGCATAAGCTTGAGGGAGAAATATCTGTACACTTACCACGGCTTTGTCTGCATTAGCTTCTGAGACGTACGAATCGTCAAAGTGATACCATTTGTCGTTGAGGTGGTTATGGGCGTATGCCCTGTAATGGCCACCACCGAGACCACCTAGATGTTCGTCCACGGCATAGAGATCATAAACCAAAGGCTCATCAAGATCAGTCAGCCCGAGCTCCTCGACGTTGACATTCTCGCTCAGGAGTCGTTTCGCCACTTCGCGCTCACCGATCATATCCGTCAAATCAAGACCCTGTACAGGGAAATCCACGAATGCATCGATCTTGTCTCTGAGCAATCGACTGTTGCTGAAGCGCTTCAAATGTACGACGAGTACGTCTGGCGTCTTCCACAAATCGAAGCGTTTGGTCGCCTGCTGGTGTTTCTTGCAACGAGGACAGTACCACAAATCGTCTTGACCCAGCGTCTCTTCCCTGGTGAATTCGTCCAAGCAGTCCTGCAAGGTGATCTTCTTGTCCTTCCTCGCTTCCGCAGATTTTCTCGAAGCAGCTAGGTCCGGATGAATGAATTCTTCCCAGTGCGACCATTTGGCGGATCGGTCATCGCCGAAGTAGTACGACTTCATGTTGACATCGAATTCGATAAAGAGGGAGTCTCCGTGACGCAGAAGAATAGGCTTCTCATCGGCTCTAGCGCGGTTCTTGCGCATTTCCCAGTCAACGAGACCCCGACTTGAAATGTTATACAATCCGCCATAATTGCTTCCTCCATACACAGGTCCATGAAGACGGAGGTTGTAAATGCCCTTTTTGGTGCCTACCCTCCTGGGGATTTCCGAATCATCCGGCTCGGTATCACTCATGGAAGCATCCTCTTGGATGACAATGCTCTTCTCGTCGACGATATCGCCTTCTTCAGGGATGGGTTCTTCGACATTAACGACGTCCCCGTTCACCTTGATCTCGGTCACAGTTTCTGTAGTTGGTGCAGGTGCACTAGTGATAGGGATGGGAACTTCCTCCATAGACGCATCTGATGGGCCTGCTTCCCATTTATACAAGTCTCTGACGTTGGCAGACCATCGCTCAAGCCTTTCGATGATAGCGTCATACATGGCATCAGGGTCAGTAGCCTGCTTCTCATCCAATACCACGAAGAACGGATACCCGAAGTAGCTGATCGTGTTGTTGTAGGAAGACGTGCGCGATATCGATTGGATGGTGTCGCACATAAAGACGGGTAAGATGAAGGGATCGCCTTCTTGCTTCTTGTAGTTACGACTTTGACGGGCATGGCATGGTAGTTCGAAGCACACGATGATGTCGTTGTCCTGCACGTCACCCCACGAAACATGGTCATCGAGATCTTTGAAGAATCGGTGATTGAAGATTTCAAGGGTGAGGAGCTGAGGAAAACATTGAGCTGAGATTTGTGAACACATGTAAAATAACTTACAAGGTCAGCGTCAGAGTTCATCCAACGTGCTAATTGTTGGCGGACATCTCGGAAAGAGGAGTCTCGGCTCATTTCAATAGGAACCTATGCAGCATGTCAAGTGTAAGTTGTCATTCCTCAATATAGAAGAAAGACAAATACCTTGACATGAGACTTGCTATGATCCCAAGGGACATAGTAAATATCATGGGTGAACTTCTTCTGAACTGGAAGTGGCAAGGTTAAGTACATGAAGGGATCGAAGGTAATCGACACCTATAAATTCAAAGAGAAGCTCATCAGTGGAAGCACAGATCGACTAACTCATTTAACTTGCCTTCTGGCACTCCGGACAAACCAGAGTACTCTTATATTGACCCTGGAAGAGATCAACAATCACACTATCGTTCCTTTTCATATAACCGTCCCAGCTCTCTTTCGCCAGCGCCACCATTTCTTTGTCACCTCCGCCCTCCCAGTCGGGTTTCTCCACATATGGTTTCTTCAATATGCGGTTCAAGTCTTCATGGAGACCATCCAACAAGAATGCGACCAGCTCCTGCGAGTCGTGCTGTTGATACCCGGCAAACTGAGGTGCAAACCTCTGAAGGACAGATTTGAATTCCCGTGGGGAATAAGATGACATAGAAGAGTTTGTATCCCAGATTCTGCGGAGAAGGGCACCAAATGCTTCGGCGATGGCACCACGCATGCCAAGCGGATTTTCTGGGTTAAGCTCATCCTCGAATACGCCAGCTGTAGGTGGAAAAGAATCGATCGATGTATAACAGAGTAAATAGGCCAACGGTGACTTACTCAAGAAGAACTCAGTGAGTTCCTCGGTATGTGCCAGACATTGGATCGCAGAGTTCATGAAACAGGTATTTCCCCTAGTGGGAAGGGGTGAGCACCTAGGAGGATGAAGTTCGAAGACGATCTCACATATTTCCAAGACCCAGCGTCCCTGGGATGATCTTGGGGCCCTTCGACCGAATATTCGACGAAGGGCCTACTTTGATCGTGACAGGTGGTTTTAATGTCAAGGCTTTCTTCTCAACTTTTGTCTCATTGCCGGCTATCGTCGCCTTTGCCTGAAGATTACTGAAGAAATCTGACGTACCAAACAACCTCGTGCTGGAATCAGCAGTAGAAAGTGGGGTCGTGGTCCCGCTGACGGCTGTCGACCTTGGCAAGCCATCAATTAGCCACTTGCCATCAGGTCCCGCTTCTTCGACAACGAAGGTATCGCCCGATTCTATCATCCCTTCCTCTAAATATTTCCTATTGTCCTCGAGCAAACTGGCGCCGTCTTCTTTCAGTCGAGTGGCGGGATAATGCAGTCTAGTCCAGTTACCGCCTTCGGTGAGTCTCCAGACCCGTCTTTCGCCACCATCAGATTTAGGGACAGCTAGCAGGATATGTTTGTGCAGGTCAGAAAGGGTGTCTTTGGAGGACATAGTAAGAGGAATCGATTCTTCCAGATCGTTGTCGATCGGCTGTGGCGAAAGTAGATGTATCTTAAATCGTGGAGGATATAGTTCGAGGCTAGCCTCATTGAACATGCCTCTGGTGATAACTTTTCGCTGTAGAGTGTAGGGAGGTTCGCCATACCTGCAAGATCTTCAATTATGCAGTGAGACCGTGTATTGATGAGTAGACGTACCACTGAACAAGGAGGTTCCATGCTTGCTCCGGGACGAATTCAACGTCAACACCTTCGGTAGCAGAGGAAATAAGGTTTCCACTGGCATCTACTAAAGACGAATTGTCTACGGGGCCGAGATCAGCTTCATTTACTCGGCCTTCTTTGTCCTCCTCTCCGGAGCAGGCCAGACGCCACCGTTTATACCATGGTCTGGCGACGAGATACCACATCTCGCCAGGTTGCATTGGCTTCTTCCTCAGTGAATCAATGGACTCTAATTTCGTCATTGGTGTGAGATTGGTGACTGGAGGTGGAGGAGGTGTCGACAGGTCGAGTGTCAGAGGAATGTTGGCCTCTCCTTGCTCGGCCATGTAGGTATCAATATCCTCATCGGCATTATAATCTGCTTTTGCAGGATGTTCGCGCGGAGAACTAGAGTTTTCCAAAACGAGGTCCTGAGAAGCTGCACGTTTTGGAGAGGAAGAATCGGCTTCGGAGTGCATGGAGGGTGAACGTTGTCTCTTACGGCTGGAGGTGTCGTTTACAGGTGATGAAGATGGTGACGGCGGGGTCAACATAGCATCGGGTTTGCCGTTGAGAAGGAAGGGAGGGGGGAGGAATACAAAAGGACACTCTAGGATACTTGAGTATTTAAATGTGCAGTGTAACAACACAGGTCCTTGCACGGGCGACGCGTCGCGTGTGATAGGCGTGCAAACTTATTCTTTTTTGATGTTTTACTTTGTATGCTGCACGCGTGGCCAGTCAAAGTAATTAATTTGACAACATAAGGTAGAATTACCCCATTTATTTTTGTCTGATATTAAAAACGAATATGCTCTATTCCTGTCTCTATTGGCTGCCACTCAGTTTCTCCGTCTGGGCACCAAGGCAAACGCTTCTATCAAGGAACCAAGGAACCTGAGAACGCTAGTAGTTGGTCTCGGCATAGACCAGAATATACATAGGTCATACCCAGGTCACCAGCTTGGGTAGATAAAGCGATTCATATGAGAGGAGCTGTCAGTAACCTCTCTCTTTCCACCACATTCCCATTACCTCCTGTTTGTGCATCATGTCAATCCAATGTCAGTACATGCGTTATCAACAATAGATCAAATGCATTGACATGTTCGCCTTAGCTAAACACTTTTTGAATACACCGGAATCGCTTGTCCTCGATTCATTGGAAGGACTTTGTGCAGTTAATCCGCACCTTGCTCTTGATAGTCAAAACAAAGGTGATCGATGCTTCTACGAGATCATCTCTGACCCCTCTCAAACTGCTGCTCGGTAGTTGTGTATCTATCTTCCCGCGATTCGTCCAAAGTCGCTCTCATCTGTGGAGGAGGATCCGGTCATGAGCCAGCCCACGCAGGATTCGTAGGTATGTTTATACGCTCCCTACGTAAACCAGACTCCGTTCAGATCGGCCTCGATTGCAGGCGAGGGAATGCTCTCTGGTAAGGACGCAGTTCCTGTTCTTCGGGACGCAATGATGAACATGGAAATCCCCACGATCAGCTGGTGTTTGCGGAAGTGTCTTCGCCTCTCCCAATGCCAGTCAAGTCCGTCGTGGAATCAATCTGGTAGAGAACGACAAAGGGCAAGTTCTTCTCAAACTTTACTGACGTCTCTAGGATTGACGTTGCTCATTTTAGAGTCGTGATCATCGTCAAGTGAGCTCAATTCTTCGCCGCCCCCTAATTCAGGGTTCACATAGGATTCTATGAACTACTGTCCTTGATAGAAACTACACTGGTGACGTACTCAACTTCGGCCTTGCTAAAGAGCAATACGCCGCCTTAAATCCAACCAAATCTGATCGGGCCAAGTTCCTGATTGTCGGTGACGATGTTGCTGTCGGCAAGACCCAGGGTAAGATCGTCGGTCGAAGGTCTGTGATTTATTCTTCGGTTCGGCCAAATCATCAATCTCTAAACATTGATGTATTTCGGTTCCCCGTTCCTCCATGTACCGTCTACCATTTACTATAGAGGTCTTGCCGGAACGGTCCTAGTATACAAGATCGCCGGAGCCCTGGCTCACAGAGGTGCAAGCCTCGAGGAGGTCTATGATATCGCTCAATGGGTCGCGTCCCGGATCGGCACTATTGGTGTGGGACTTGAGCATTGTCATGTGAGTTTACTCTCTTGCTTCCTCTGGAGCTCCGTCGGTCGGATACTCATTTCGGTCTCTCTTTCGCGCTGTTTATTCATATGCTTCCTTAAATGTTCATCACCGGTACCAACAACTCTATACTCTTAATCCCCCGACCTAAATACCGAACTCACCGACTTGACCTTCAACACGGAAACCCACGGAAAACCGAAAACCTGGACTCGTTTCCGTTCTTCAACCGTTCTCCATGGAACATACCGAATAACAAAATCGCTGTTCTGAATTGACTAATACTTGCCGTGCCGCAGGTACCGGGGACTGCTTCCTCAGAATCAGCTCTCTCGCCCTCGGAGATCGAGATAGGCATGGGCATCCATAACGAACCAGGAAATCGCCGAATCTCCCCGGTCCCTCCCCTCCATGAACTCATTCCTCAGCTTTTGGAACACCTTCTTTCGACGACTGACCCTGAGAGATCATTTTTACCATTCAAGGGTAAAGGCAATGGAGACAAGGTTGTGTTGCTTGTGAACAACCTTGGAGGGACGTCTGAGCTTGAGGTGGGTGCGATCGTCAAGGAAACCGTGAAGGGTTTGAAGGAAGCTGGGGTTGAAGTGGAAAGAGTGTTGTCTGGGACATTCATGGTGCGTTTTGATGCTCTTGTTTCTCTGTAGATGATTAACAATTCGTCATCTAGACAAGCCTAAACATGCCAGGCTTCTCCATCACCCTTCTTCTTCTCCCCTCCTCAACAGACACCGACGCACCACAGACCTCCCAGATCCTGTCCCTCCTCGATGAAGCTACGAACGCTCCAGGCTGGAAATGGTCTTCGGGCCTGCCACCTTCCACTATCCAACAAGCTGCAACTACCGTCCCATCCGCCGCCGGCGCGGCTCTCCCATCAGAAGGCGAGAAACTGGCAGCTTCGGATCCGAGTGCATTCATTGACGCTGTGAAGCGTGCATGCAAAGCGTTAATCGACGAGGAACCGGAGATCACTCGTATGGACAGTATCGCCGGAGATGGAGATTGTGGATTGACTCTCAAAGCTGGCGCTACTGGTATGTATTGTTCCTGATTGTTTATCTCACCCTTTTCCGCTCTCCCGAAAGAGCGTCTTCTCCCTTCTCGCGGGAGAATGGACTGAAGCGAAGTGTGCCTGACTGACTTCTATAATTTATAGCCGTGTTGAAGGAGATCGAGGAAGGAAGGATCGTTGGCGATGACGTTGTGGGCTCTGTCATTGCGGTCTCAAGAGTTGCGGAAGAGCAAATGGGTGGAACCAGTGGTGCTTTATACTCGTGCGTATGATAGTTATTGCTCAATGTAAAGACGCTTACATGGCTACTATATCCTAGAATTTTCTTCTCCGCGCTAGCCCAAGGCCTCCAATCCAATCGCTCTCCTAACACCACCTCAGTCGATTCAACCCTCTGGGCATCTGCTGCCTCCTCCGCACTCACGAAACTCTATACATACACCCGTGCCCGACCTCCCTCCCGCACTCTTGTTGATCCTCTCGACGCTTTAGCCTCCAAACTCTCTTCTGGAGATACTGTGGACTTCAAGGCCGCTGTAGGTGCTGCAGCTGATGCAGCTTTGAATACGAGAGATTTGGAGGCGAAGGCTGGAAGGAGTGCGTATGTGGAAGGAGATAGGTTGAAGACCGAGAGAATACCTGATCCTGGAGCTTGGGGTGTCAAGGCGATCTTGCAGGCATTGGTAAAGTGAAGTATACTCAGTGGAACGTCTGGGTGAGCAAATTCTTTCGTTTTTGGTGCCGTTGTATTGGAATGCGGACAATGTTGTATAAGTGATAATTGGATGTAGGATTATTTGTTTGAATATGACGTTCACAGTTGGCTAGAACCGTCTGCTCATCCTCATGATTCTATCCTAAGGAGTCTGAAGGGACAAGAGATTCGGCATAAATGTCCGACCAATCGTTACCCTACCGCTAAATTACTTCCTATCATCTAAGTATATCAAAAGTATACCCTACCAGGGGGGAGGGCAAATCAAAGAAGTCTGACTGGCGTCTGGATTCTGCTAAGTCTGACTGCGTGCTGATCAATGTACAAGGGAGGGAATCAGGTGGAAGTAATGGTGACTCCATTGTGGGGATTACCTTTCCCGGTGGAGGTGTTTCGTTTTAGCAGGTATGATTCCATGTTTGGTATAAGTATGGGCCGCATATGCATAAGTTTCCTATAGGCTATACCCAGTCACAATAACCAAAAACACTGCCTGAGTTGGAACCGTCAGACTAGTTTTATGTTCCCCCCGTAATGGAATACGCGCTCTGTGCCGAGCGTTCTAGGTTCATTTCGAATATTCTGAGTGGCAATCGACGGATTCTCTTGGGTACGGCAAATTGTAACGTGGTCCGTGAAAGTTGGGTAGTTCGTAAGTGGGGCGCGGGGAAGGGTTTCCGCGAAGCTGAATCATTTGGCTTTCGTTCTATCAATGTGAAAAAGGAGTACCTTTTCTAGCTGTAGCTTGCTTCACCCTTGCTTTATCTCAAGTGTTGATAGTTTAGCATTCGAAACTATATAATAATAACGTTCTTACATGGTCCTGTAAGTATATGCCGGCGCCGCGAGAATAGGATTGAACATTTGTCAATTATAGCTCAACGCAGGATAGAGTACACCGTTCCAAAACGCTCACGTTGTCATTGTGACCCTTGACTTCGAAGCTTCCTCCAGTCCGGGAGCAATACGAAGACATAGCCAAAGGACGTGTGTTCACCGTGTTCATATAACAATGTCAAGGCGTATCTTCGCTTCCTACAATGACAGATCGAACTCTATCCATTCTCTCATGTGATGATTGGTCTTTATCCAAAGACCTAGAGACCTCCAACGGCGACTCTCGGCTGATGGACAGTGTGAGTCTCGAAACCTCTCGACTCTCGACCCTGCAAGCCAGGGATGCGATGTATATGTTATGCGCCTTCGAGCATGAGGCTTCAAACTTCAAGTGCAGAAAGAGGGGACGACTAGCCTGGGAACCTAGAAGCCTATCTTACCGAGATCTGAACTCGAGAACTCTGGTAACAACATGCACGCACTGGGTTCGGAGTGGGTAAGGCAGAGACGTCCCTAGAGCTGTAAGTATACGAAGGTGGGTTATTCATACAAGCAGGTCGATTCCAAGTTACTCACCCGCTTCTGTTTATGTCTTTCAGTTTGACTTACCTGCCACTGGACATTAAAAAAGCATCGGCGTACAATGAAGATAGCGACTGACATGGACAGACAAATCCATCAACGCGCGTATATGTGACACGAATGGGCACTGGAAGCCGTCTGTATACAAACCGACGCCACCGCGCGTCGGACTGCAAAGGAGCAATTGGGGTACTGTATCAACATATTGTAAGAATCAGTTTCAGCGCATTCTGCACAACCTTGGGCCGTCTATTTCAACGACTCCACGATGAGCGCGTTTCTTTCTGCTCCAAAGTGTCTGGATGGTGGAGATTACTCTACTAAGGGTCTAGACACTCGAGCTGTCCCATGTACTTAGGGTTCGTTGTGCCGTAAAGTCACGCGCCCTAAACATAAACCGAAACTTTTGAATCAATCACAATGCAGATGCACTGACACAGCGCGCTATGATGGCGCCTGGATATTCGCCTTCTCAGAATTCGTAACGTACCTGAAGTACGTTCATGTGTACATACGAAACTCTTAAGCTCCGTGTTGTGTTTCGAAAGACATCGCCAACGGACCGATTTGGGAGGGACAGAGGTACGGTAGTTGGACGTTCGGTACGATGTCCCGGAAGTTGAGTGATTTTACGGACAGGAAAGACCACTCATCTTGGAGCACCGACTCACCGTGAGTGGGACATGCATTGGAAATATGCGAAACGGCTTCGGAAGAAAGGTGAATGGGGATTAAGTTGGGTCCGACGTTTGGGCACTTTTGTTATTGTGATTCGAGCCTTCGGCTGGTTTTCTGGCCGCCGAGTTTTTTTCCCTAGCGGGAGTTGTGATCCTAGGGAAGTCGGAAGCGACGTCTATATAGCGCGTTTGCTTAATATGTCCCAGGGGTCCAAGGCACTGACACTTTATCACAAGCGAAAGCTTTATTATGAGCTTAAACGACAGAAAGAAAAAGACGCAGTGGAAAATGGGACACTTGGGCGTGTTGAGGAAATTTGAAATCGATTTGGGATCTTTACCTAATGAGATTGAATAGCAAAACGATATCACTCTGGCTTCGCACGGGATGGTATCAAGTGCGATTCTCACGGAGAGAAAGGAGACTTTCCTCTAGAGCAAGACTCGAGAGGAAAAAAGTTGCTGGCCTTGGTGGATGTTTCTCGGACATGGAGCGCCAAGGGGAGTGGAGAAGGAGCGACGGGCGTGAGAAAAAAGCTCCGATCATGATCACTTTGTGTGAAACTGTGTCGCATTTCAGACACTGACCCAACGCGGAGAAAAAGCTTTGTACGCGTAACTCATTCTTCGCTTGACTTTAAAAATAGGAAAACACTGACAGCGTCGAGACAGGTTGCAATGAAACCCTAAAGAGGGAAGATGGAAAGGTAATTTGGCCTTAGGGCGGGCGGGACAGAGAAAGTTTGACAGAAAATCGGCAGTGGATGGGAAAAATCGAATGATTGATGTGAGCATGCGGTCGCAGGACGCATGAACATTTGTTTGCAGAAATGACCAGTCTCCAGAGTCCTTATTGTCTGTGTCACAAGGATGGCTGGTCGTCAGGCTTGCGAACATACAGAGGTGCGTCGTGCTCTTCTTGAGAAAGAAGTGCAGCTGAAAGAAGGGTGATGTGAAGCAAGGAATGAATCCGGCGACATCGGGGTCGAGGACTTAGAGCCGGGACTCTTGAGAGACTGAGAGACCGTGACAGAGGCGACGCTTGGCCGGAATGAGAGCCGGCGAGAAAACAAACACAGCTTGGGGAAGTGCCTGGCATCTCCCCGCATGGCAGCCTACGCTAGCCAGATCACCCTCCGTCTCTCCCCCGGATCCTGGCCCCGACGTCTTCGTCGTAACCGCCCAGTCCGCTACTCGAGCAAGTATATAAAGTCCATCCCTTTCACCGCACTTACTTTCTTCTGCCGCTCTTCTCCCACATCCCTTAATCCATTATCATCACAATGGCTGGTGGTCCTGTAGCAGCTAGTGGCAGCGTCGGTGCCAATGCACCCAAGTCCAAACTCGCTGGTATCCTCATGGTCTCCTTCGCCTGCTTTGGTGGTATTCTTTATGGTTATGACACCGGTACCATCTCTGGTATCACCGCCATGAAAGATTGGCTTCGTCTTATGGGCAAACCCACCAACGATCTCGCTCAACATCCTACCGGTTATATGATCACCTCTTCCCAGCAGTCCCTCGTCACCTCCATTCTCTCCCTCGGTACTTTCTTCGGTCTGTTTCCTTTTCTATATCCATCCAATTACCCCCTCCTCATACATTTCTCCAGGTGCTCTCTTCGGTTCTCCTCTTTCCGATACCCTCGGACGTCGCGGTGCCATCTTCGTCGCATGCCTCGTCTTCGTCTTTGGTGTCTCCATGCAAACTGGTTGCCATACCTTTGCCCTCTTCGTCGTCGGCCGTGTCTTTGCCGGCCTCGGTGTCGGTATCGTCTCCACCGCCATTCCCATGTACCTCTCCGAATGTTCTCCCAAATGGATTCGTGGTGCCGTCGTTTCTGGCTACCAATGGGCCATCACCATTGGTCTGCTTCTCGCGTCTGTGGTCAACAATGCCACTCAAGACCGTGATGACCACTCCGCATGGCGTATTCCCACCGCTGTCCAACTCATCTGGGCTTTCGTCCTCTCTGTCGGTATGATTTGGCTCCCAGAGGTACGTGTTTTGATGCATCGCAATAACGATTTGATCGTGATCTCATCTGCGCGCTATTTAATTTCAGTCTCCTCGATTCTTGGTCAAGAAAGGCCGATTAGATGCCGCTGCTGCATCGCTTGGACGTCTCACGTCTCTGCCACCCAATGATCCCGAGGTTGAATTCGAATTGAACGATATTCAAGCTGCGTTGAAGGAAGAAGAAGAACTCGGCGAGAGCTCTTATCTCGATTGCTTCAGACCTACGCACAACAAGATCCTCCTTCGTACCCTCACAGGTATCTTCATCCAAGCATGGCAACAACTCACCGGTATCAACTTCATCTTCTATTGTACGTCTCCTCCCTCATATTTCAATCAACTATCTGGATATTTACACGTGCGTGTATTATAAGATGGTACGGCGTTCTTCCAGAACTCGGGCATCAAAGACCCCTTCCTCACCACCGTCGCAACCAACATCGTCAACGTCTTCATGACCCTCCCAGGAATGTGGGGAGTCGAACGTTTCGGTCGTCGTACCCTCCTCATTTGGGGAGCAGCTTGGATGTGCATGTGCGAGTTCCTCGTGGCCATCATTGGCGTCACCATCTCCGTCCAAAACACCTCTGGCCAAAAAGGGCTCGTCGCCCTCGTTTGTCTATACATCGCGGGCTTCGCTTCGACTTGGGGTCCCATTGCTTGGGTGATTACGGGGGAGATCTTCCCGCTTAATGTGAGGGCGAAGGCGATGTCCCTTTCTGTCGCGTCGAATTGGCTTTGGAATTTCGGTATTGGATACGCGACGCCGTACCTTGTGAATACGGGTCCTGGGAATGCGGGCTTGCAAGTGAAGGTGTTCTTTATTTGGGGATCGACTTGTGCATGTTGTGTTATCTTTGCGTACTTTTGTGTACCAGAGGTTCGTACGCTCTCTATCTCTCTCTCTCCGTTCTCTCTTTCAAGATCAAGCTTACTGATTATGGCTGTCTTGTCTTTTCTTTATGTAGACAAAGGGACTCTCGCTCGAACAGATCGATATTCTATACCAGAACTCCACGCCACTCACCTCCGTCAAGTACCGTCGGGAACTCCTTGCCAATGACGTACATGTATCCGATAAAACTGGCAAAGTACATACGGATGATCGTGCGTCGGACGAGAAGGTGTAAAAAAGTATCTGCTTTCCTCGAGCCTTCTTCCCTACTCCCTACTCTTTACGCCCTGACCCTGCTTCTTTTACGACGTCCTATATACTCTACACTCTACGATACCTCACGCGCACGCTTTTTTTCATGTCAACAAACCATATCCCCCTCCCCTTTGTACCACTAGTCAGGCCTTCAGAATTGCATATCTTTACGTTTTTTGGCGTTTTTTCTTCCGATAGTGTAATGTTGTTTTGTGGTTCCGAAATGCTCTAGTGTTAGCCTATATGCTATTGGTATACTAGTGTATTTAATGGGATCAGTGTTCCTCGGAATATGTTCTTTGAATGTGTGAAGTTCCCAAGCTCTGAGGCATGAGTGCGAAGTAAGATGGAGGTACGTTGGTGCGTTGGTGCTTAATCGAGCTTGACGTAGGACCTGTCCAATTGCTACATGTTGATTGTTGATTATCGAAGAAGGTCGACAGACTCTGATATCGCAGTAGCGTTACAGTCGTTTCGGAGGTCCTCGATAGCATCTCTCCCATCTTGTAAAAGAATACACTTACTCTGAGCATCCTCCTCCTCTCCACATTCAAACTGTCCATAGAAATATGGAAACCCGGTGCCTTGGAGTAATTTCAGGGCATGCGTATATAGAACTGCACATCCCGTAGCAGTTGAAAACCTGCAAAAGCAGTGAGAGCAAAAATTGCAGATGACGTTTAGTATTACTATAATGCCTATGCTCGTCTTCGTTTTGTGCATCGTTACTATATAGTGCCGGGGGAAGTGACCATGATATATGGGCATATTGGGCGTAGGACAGATGAACCTATTGCGTTGCTCCGAACTGAATTCGAGGATTTTGGTGGCTGGAAAGACATCTGAGACACAGGCGGTGGGGATAGATTCGGATCGGGAGGGAGGCATTCGTTTGAACCTGAACGGTGTCACAGACAGTGTGAGTTTCAAGGTCATATTCGTACTAGTGCTAGGAGAAAAAATGGGGCAAGTCAATTGAATGGGACAGGATGACGTGTCTAACTCAAGTTGCGATGTTGGTGTAGTACTGATGTGGGGCCCGGGAAGTGGTCCTAAGGCAGAGTGAAGGCTTTTATATGCATCATCAGTACCACGAAGCTCGTCAGATGAGCACAAGGAGGAAATCCTCTCAGGTTGTCGCTTTAAGACTTTGTTTTGTCGGACAACTTAATGTCGGCCTCCAAGCAGCATCGAGTATTCTTACTCACCTCGATCACTAGTAAGTAGGCTGAACTGAGATCCCATGTTTAGACCCGATCGCTCGTTGAAGGCCGACTTCCGTTCCGACACTGCTGGTGACTGACTTACCGGTGGAAGTCTAGACTTGGTCGACTCGGAGTTCCGTCTCTCTTCTTTGTTAATGTGGGTCCCTGTGGTGGGCCTCATACACAATTTTGCCGTTTAGCAGCACTGTCAACATGTACAACAGCGGCAAACGGCATTGAGAGTGGTATGCGCAAATGTAAAGGGTTGAGATCCTCGAGTTGCTCGAGGCAAAGTTGAAAGGGCCGAAGGCTTATGATACTGTAGCTCAGTGGGGCATGAAAGGCTCCTCTCTATTCCCCCCCCCTTTCATAGATACTAGCGAGCTATTTCAAGCGATCCTTGAGTATCGTCATCATGCCTATGGCTACCAAGTTTGTATGTCGAAGAAAGATAAACTTCGTCCGAGTCATCCAAGATCTCGTCTTCGGGTTTGTCCAACCGAGCGTACGCGCTCTCCCAACGTAGCCATGGTTCCTGACCCGGTACGAATCTGGCCTTGAAGAGGTGAGAGATCCATTTCTCCAAGAACTGAAGAATGAACAGTAATGTGAGGATGAGCAGCATAGGCAGATCGAATTTCGAGGTGGGGTTGTCTGTGGGGTTGTGAGGCGGGATGGGAAAATGAGGGTCCGTGAGGAGGGAGGATGGGAGGAATGTCATTCGGAGTCGCTGTGCGTAAGAAGTCCGTACTTTGAGATCAGGGCTTGTATCAGAAGGGCATACGCGATAGAAACCCGCATGGCCAAAAGATATAGTGTGAGGAGACAAGAGCATCTTGAAGGTTTCTTCAGATGATACCTGGAATGGACCTTCGACGTTTTTCCGCAACAGTAAGAGGTGATTCACTGAAGGAGCTAGCAACCACGAAATGAAGAACCGCGAGGATTGGTAGGATATGATTAGGTCCCAATGGACCACTTCTCTAGGTTCACAGGAAGGTAGGAACTCTTTGGGTTTCATGTAAGGCACCATAGGTATCAGCTTGATAGCTGCACCAGACATGGTAGCTCGTGATTGCAAAAACGACTCGACGCGGAGCCGAGCAAAGCTTTCGAAGATGGTCTCTGGGTTCCATCCTACCCCACCTCCATTTTCACCATGCTCAACAGCCGGCTTTTGTGAGTTCCTTTGAGGCACAGGTAAGGGATCTGGACGGGCGTAAACATCAAGACGTCTACCGTAATGCAATATCCATGCCTGGTATAGAATACGGGGTAAAGACATTAGCAGAACGAATGGTTGATGAGCAAGCGATTTGAACCAATTCCCAGAAGTGAATGGTGTAGAGGAAACGGGGTGGAGGGAAGCGATCAGCTTCAGTGGCCCGATCTTGTTGGGCGCATTCGGATCTTCAGTGTGCAGATGAATCCGGACGATTGGGCAGGGTGGATAATGATCTTTAGCTTGAGAGTCGCCGAGAATTGTTGATGACGGTGCATGGGAAGGGGAGGTTATGGAGACTTTATAGGATCCCGAGCGGTCGTTGAAAGGGGAAACGTGAAATTGACGATGGAAGGTCCATTGATGATCATAACTGTATTCAAACAATTAGTTCTTTTTCTAACTCACCCACGAAACATAGTGAGGAGCAAGCTACCCTTTTGCACAGTCTCCATCTTCGCCTTTCCCTATTTCGAGGATATGCACGTGCTGCTCCCCAAATGTGTTATGAATCTGCAAAAAGCTAAACATCAATGACACCATGTTTGATTCTGAACAAATACCTCCAAAACAAGCAGCCAAAGCGCATCGGGTACTGTATAGCAGTAATACACGGTTAGAGGATTTATACCTTCGTGTCCGAAATAGCTTGGCATAGTAAACATCCAAGCGTCGTGCATCGGCGATGCGTCATAGCCCCGTGAGTAAAGAAGGGCGACGAGTTTCTCTTTGATGCTTGTCTTACCACCATTACTCATATTAGGTCCCAGGTAAGCATCTGCCCGTAAACCGGATATTCTCCACGACACTCCACCGTAGCCGAATAACCAGCCATGTCCCAGATCAAGCTTGTGGTCTTCGAGCGCGCTGAGTGAGATAAACAACGAAAGGGTTTGATAGGTGAAGCGATGTGCAGAATCCGCTGGAAGAAGTCTTGCGTGTGTGACTTCGTTTGACAGGATGTATGCGCGAACTTGAGTACCATGAGTAGGTGAAGTTTGGTCTTGCGATGCATATAATCTCTTCAGTGCGAATGCCAACGCGACAACGATGACGGCAACGAGCAAAGCGGAAGGCATGAGGGGAAGAGGGGAAGAGGGAAAGAAAGACGATGGAATAGGAACCGAATTGCTTAGCTGAACGTCGCGATGAAAAGAAGCTATAGAGCTGCCAAAATGCCAAATTTTCAAATACAAGGCCTACGAATGGAAATCCACAGCCTAAAGTCATTTGCAAACATGTCCAGAGCCGATAGATGGACCGAAGATTAATATTAAGCAATTGTAAGAGATCGAGCTGACAAAAGAGCCAAGAGTTAGAAAGTACTTCAGCGCAAAGATACCGTCGATGAGAACATGGATACATTCCGTACCGCTACATATTTCACAACACTATCAAAAGGTATTGTAAGCAGTGCAATCCATAGGGGGAGAGGCTCGCATATATGCCCAATCCCACAGAACAGTGGTTTCCTGGAACATAGCGAGGCCCAGAGCACGGAGCAGCATGAGAGATGCGCAGCTTTTCCAAAAGCCTAGTCGGTTCGTTAGGACCGTCCTCAGGCTTTGAGGCTGGGCCATCGAGTACACCACGGCTCGGTTAACAGCAATTGCTGTAGAAGTTTGAGGACGACATGCAAACTTGAATGCATGATGGCCTCAAAGCTGACAAAGACAGAAATCATCATCGGTTCTTGCCTTTCTTTTTCTTGTCCTTTGCTGGCGGAGGCGTCGAAACCTCAAGAGATCCCCCTGCTGCCTCTGTCTCTTGGAGTTTTCCGCGGGCTTCAACGAAGAACATGATGTCGCGAACTTGATCCTCCAGCTCAGTCACCTTGCAATTCAGTTCCTCCTTCTCTCCTTGCATCTTTTCTGCGCGCTCCTTTAACGCGGTAAGATTCTTCACTAGGCCTTGACTTAAGGCTCTTTCACTCTTCAACTCATTTTCGAGCGCGCGAGCAAGCCCATTAGCCTTTTCAGCACGTTTCTCTGCCTTGATCCTTGCCCGATCAATCTCAGCAATCCGTTCCTCTTCCTCCTTCTTGAGCTTGTCTTCCTGGTCCTTTGCACGATGCTTCGCGCCGTCGACTTCCGTCTTCAATGTTTCAACAATGTTGCGAAGTTCGGTCAATTGCGTGCGAAGTTCTGTTGTTTGTTCCTCATAGAACGTTCGTTGGGAATCCAATTGCGAAGTAAGCAGATACGAGTACTCGATCCCGATCGCTTCAATCTTTTCCGCACTCAAAGCGTCTGCGGCGCTTGGGCCTCCGCCGTCGCTTCGTCCGCTTGCGCCCATAGTCAAAGCTGAAGCTGCGGAAGGAAGTTCAACGAGTTTGCCGTCAGCTTTGTTCTGAATTAGCCGATGGACGTAGCCATCGCCTGCGTAATCCCAAACTCGTTGAGTTTCCAGCTCGAGAGCGTAGAGATGGGTCGTCCGTTGGTAGTGGGCCTGGGCATGTGCTCTGCCATATCGGCCGCAACCAATGTTACCGCATATAAGACATATCCAGAGGTTAGAGATCGAGGGTGAATCGGGTGGGCAATCGACACATTGCGACGAAGGTGGTGTTGAGAAAGGTATGGGCACTGATGATCGAGAATTCGCAGAAGACGGGTGTGAAGAAAGGAGGGTTTGGGAGTATCGACATACAGGACATCTGGTTATATGTAAGTCTCAGATAGGTGTAGAAAGGGATGTCGAATTGAACTCACCGGCTATCGCCCCATTTACTGAGACAAGTACAGTGAAAGGTATGTGAACATGGAACGGTGACAAGCCCCGTCAATGCAGAATCCATACGCTCCAGACATACTGGGCAAGTAGGCAATTCATAGGACGTCCCTGGTAGACCTAGCTGCGTGACGGATTGGCCGGCTGACTCGGCTTCATCGATGGTCACTGAAAGAATGCGCACGACATGGCATATCTCGGGCTGCAAGATCATTTGGATATTAGCGTCCGTTGGCCAAAGCGATTCGATAGTGTACTGACCTCCATGGAATTGAAGGCCTTTCCGTTATATGCCTCTGCGAATTCAGTGGCATCAGCTTCATTGCGAAAGTTGATAACAACAAGTGAGCGGTTCGGTGCAGAGTCACTGTAACGATAGACTCGTTGGGTAAGACATTGTGAGTACAGAGCAAGGACAAGGGACGTACCGAATCATTCGAAGATGAGCCATGCCCTCTGCTGCCGGCGCCACAAAGGTCAAAAAGTCCGACGGTGTCATCCAAGAGGGCACAGCGAGCACACCCATAAGAACACCGTCCGGCTCGGCAGATTCGGTCGACTTTCCAGGGATGGCTACGGGCGGAGGTAGAGGTGGCGAAGCTGATCCTGAAGCAGCCTTGGCATAGGTAGATGTTGGAGGTTCACGGTAGATATGTACAATGCCTTCTGGGAGGTTGGTAGAACCTGATTTGCTTCGAGAAGGTATGAAGCTGGCTGTGGCGGGTCCACCTGAAATGATAGGCAATGACAAAAAGTTGTTACCAGATGAGCAAGAGTGAGTATATGCGGTACAATACACACCTCTTGCTTTCCCCTCTCTTTCTTTGCCGACAGTGTTCTTCTTAGTCACCGGACTTTCCATCGGTAGAGGCTCTTCAAAGTCCACCCAATCTACTCGAAGTGGTCCAAGCCGGAAATCCAAGCGTTCTGGGGATTTACCGATGTCTCGACTGCTTTCAGGTCCTTGGTTAGGATGATGCACGGTATTTCGACGTGCGGTAGTTCTAGGAGGGTGAGAGGGAAGCGGCTCGAACAGTGAAGTTGGAACGAATTGGTCGCTTATAGATCCCGATCGTTGGTTATATGAAGTCGATGTCGATGCAGAAGTTGAAGCAGCTTGTTTCTCAAGAGATATGCGAATATGATAGCCACCTCGCATTGCTCCCTAGTCTGAAAGCATTCCCGACGTCGAAGGACGCGAATGAATATGCAGGATGTTGGTGGTCACGGTAAGAGCCTAGAGGCGCGATCGGCGACACATGCAGTGCGCGGAGCCAGACACAGGCTGGTCTCAATCAGTCAACGTCGACATTCGTCACCAACTACTACGACTGGGCTCGCTTCCAGCCTCTAGACACTCTCGAAAGGCAATCATTCCTTTATATATAGAACTACGACTGCTTTACAGACGTTCGCAGGATACCCCTAGATGTTGCGAAACCTCAGTACACTGTCACCGCGCCCATCACCGAAGCCCATATCATTGACAAGCCCATTTACGCGTTCTACGCTAAATTCGATCCAAACTACGCTGGAGGCCACATATTCTGAGGATGACATTCGGTACGACCCCTCCGAAACTCATGCTGCAGTGCTAGTGCCCCTGTGTAATGTGAACAACAAGCCTGGAATACTCTTGGAGGTAAGAGGAAAGCTTCGAACACATTCGGGTGAGGTAAGGTGCGCGCCGTATGTCTGGCAGATGTCAATGGCATGCTCACGCTGTAACCCTTGTTTAACCTAAGCTTTCCTGGGGGACGTGTTGACCAGGTGAGCATAGACGTACTACGAATAATGGGAACAAGATTGAAAAGCCAAAATGCTAATGTCCGGATCTCGAAAGACGGATGAGTCTGCTCTTGCTGCAGCCTTGCGAGAGACAGAGGAGGAAGTCGGCATTCGTCCCGAGCAAGTGGAGATACTTGGTCGCTTCGGTCCTCCAGAGAAGTCACTAGCTGGAATGAGAGTTTGGCCGTTTGTTGTCCGTTGTTTTATGTGGCCGTTTGTCTGCTGGACTAACGAGGGACCGGCAGGGCTTCATTCATCCTACTCCTCGGACAATCGGTACGAACGCAGACACTAGAACAGCCAACGAGACAGACGAACCCATGCCCTCTCTCGACCTGTCGACCCTCAAACTGTCACCAAAGGAAGTTGCAGATGCATTTCATCTCCCTTTGCCCGCGGTTGTTTCACCTCTCCGTTTGCATCATTACCTCTTCAGAGGGACACGCCCATATTTCGCGATTGACGTGTCAGACATCATCTCGTCAAAGTTTAAAGATCCCTCACGAACGGACGTCGTGAGCAGCGTGGAAAACGCCTCATGGGCGAGTAACCCGCGTGAACGAGATGAAATTGGAGGGGGCAGAGAAGGAAGGTTAGAGGCGTGGGGTTTGACAGGATGGTACCTCACGACATTGCTCAGAAGGTTGGGAGTGTATGATCACGAACAATAACGGTCCAACATTGCGGACTCTGTAATCGGCCGAGTTGCTCGCCGAAAGACCATCTATAGTATCCTGCGGATCCCCGTCGTCAGCGGGAAGTGATTATGGACCGCTTCGTAGAATAGAACAACATACTATAGAGCCCTGTTCCTGCCGATCGGACCTTTGGAGGCTCGTCCGAACTGTGTGTGACACAAAAAACGAGGCTGCAACGTTGTGATAGACTCTCAGAGCTGATCTATTCACTTGCCGCTCTTCCTGACTTTGAATGAGACGTCAAGTCTATAGTTTGGATGTGATGACAATGAACAGCATCGTTTATGAATAGCAGCATTACAGCATCGCGTTGCAAATCGTAAGGTTCGCGTGGAGTCCCTGTTCATTCATTTAGCGTCCCGTAACAGTGTATGGTAATTGTCTTGGATGATCAGGGCGCTCAATGGAACAGCTCCCTTTGGATTTCCTTACTACGGTTGCCTTGGACTGAACGATGGTATCCCGCCGCATCTCCGAATCTTGTCGGCTAACTCCACGGATTGTCGAACGACATGCAGAATTATGATAAGAACTCATCTGGGCTAAGAAGCATAACATGAGAAGAAATCAATTGTAAAGAGTTTTGAGACCTGCCTGATCCAGAACACGAACTGTCATGTCATGAGGTTTGGTGAGAATCATCGACGCTCGCCGGCGGCATGTTGCCTTGCTCCTTAACTCGTGGTCGAGAAGCAGAAGACTGAGGCACCCGTTCTCGTAATCCACGAGTTTCAGTATGAAGCTCTACGTTAAGCGAAGCATAGGAATCTTCCAATTCCACATCTGCAGTGTTTTTGAGTTTTTTTGCGCTAGATCTGGGTAGGTCGTCCCCATCTGCGGGATCTGGAGTCACTTTGTCGTTTGGGGAATAGCGTGGATGGTTTTTTCTCAGAGCTCGGCGGAGAGCCGAAGACTTCTTCGAGCGATGGGCATCCCATATCAGGTAGAGGACAATTTCTGAGATGGCCACCACCATAGCAACAAGCAAGGCCACGAGTACCCTCTAGAGCATAATTGGAATGGAAGTCAGCTTGAAACACATGGATCATATTTTTTGCGGAAAGTTGAGATCGCTAGCCAATGAGACGTATCACTTACCCACTCACTCTTCCACGAGAGTTGTTGTGCCGCCCACCACGTTGCAGCACCAGAGCCAAGAATACTGAGCAATGCATTGAGAATGGCAACAATGGCACGACGGTCACTTCTTTCCCGTTGTGGGTCATTATTCGAAGCAGATGAGATGACTGGAAATTTACGTTCAGGCGACGTTCTCGTGCCAGCTAGAAGTGCGACCATGGAGTAGCCATGAGGATCGAGCGGCGGGTTTTGCGAGGATAGCTGAGACAGTCCTGAAGGGGAGCGAGCCCATAACGACACGGCGGACAACAAAGAATGAGGAATGAGGGCAGGCACGTCTGGATTCTTCGCCAAATTCTGTGATGGGACATTGTCAGCGAGGACGGCTATCAGCTGCGAAGCAAGTTCCTCGGGCAGAAGGGACACCAAGGGCCGCAACGTCTCTGCGAGGTGAGGCTCGAGAGAGACGTTGAGCTCGCTGTTTGTTGTCTTCGTGCTCATCGTGCAGAACAGTGAGCAAGAAGGCGCTCATAGCCCGCGACGCAGCCGCTTTCGCTCGATCGATCTCTCGGCAAGAAGCGCAGACAAGCACCCACTCCCGAATTTCAGTGGATCAGCCAGACAAGCGGGAATCACTCATTGTTCTTTTCTTACCGTCGTCGTTGCCATCTACATCTGGCTCGTATTGTTCTCCTCCACAGATATCAATGATATGTCTGCCAGCAGACGTCTGAACAATGCATGGTCTGCACTGGACAACAATGCCTCCATGGTAGCGCCCCTGATAGATTCGCTTGATGACCTTTCAAAAAGACTGGCCAGAGACGAAGCCTTCAGGAAAGCCCCCATCTTTTCGACCATGATGTCCCTTTGCTGAGCATTTTACCATAGACTGGAACTTGGCAACTCGGAACCTCCGTTGTGGCCCACCTTACACCATCTTTGGTCCCTCACTTCATCCACCGTTCAGGACGACGGCGAAGACGCCCGGAGATTCAGGCTAAGCGTTGCAAGATTTACCCGCAATCTCGTCGCTGCAGTGCCGCAAAACCAACAACGCGCCTTGTCAGCAGAGGTTCATCTCCATACCTCTCAGCAGCATTACTGATTTGTATTCGATATATGCCATGTCCCCCAGCGAAAATGAATTGGCAATACGAAAGTTGATACGTCAATATACCTCTTTCTCGCACTCGCAAGATGAAAGCTGTGATTAGTCCGACCTTCTTTGTTCTCGGCTCCTTCATTAACGATGCAATGATATCGTAACCACAGCGCTTCCTGTGACCCGAATGCTCGTTCAGGCATTATCAAATATGGTTACTGCAAATGTGGAGCTCGCGCAGAAATTGTGGTCCATCTATATGGACCTTCCGATGGAGGACCTCATTCTCATGTACGAGGATTCCGTGTAGAGCTCGTCGGGACTTACGCGGCTGAAGTTGACCGCTTTCAGTCGATTATTGGGAGTTTCGGACATTGGGACTATGGCGTCGACCCTGGTTCTCATCCTGAATTGTATTCAGTCACACAGGACCCAAGTGTAGGTGTGCCTAGACTTCCATTCCCTATGCATAGAGCTGTAGTATTCGCTATTACTCGAGCTCCACCCTCCGGCTGCGCGGAGTCGTTCGGGAAAAGTCCGCTGAAAACTCACGCGGTTACTTCTACAGAGAACAATTTGCCAATAGCAGAAGCGGGCCACGCTTGTCAATATCCTTACTAGACCAAATAGCTGAACTTTTCAATGCGGAAGAGTCTACCGAAAGAGGGCGAGCGTTTGATATCGGGTGAGTACCTTGATCATGCATCCATTTTCAGCTTTAGGATTGCTATAGACGTTGATCTTCTGGATTTCCACATGGAACGTGCTGACGATGAAACAAACACAGATATGCCATTTTTAGCCGCATATTCGAGGAGGGGTTGACACCTCAGCTATATGCCAAGATATCGGTGTAAGTACAGCCTCAAATAACCCATTCATTCATTGTTGCCGAAGACGGCCGAGCTCCCTTCTTGAGGTCTCATCTCACAATTATCGTCCTGAAAGCTTTTATCTAATGCGCTCCTCTGACTGTGTAATATGTTCTTACTTAGTTATATGACAGGCCCGACGAAGTGGTCACGCCGCATCAGACCGTTCTATTGAAGCTCCTTGATTCGTATTTGCACGGCCCACGGATTCCCGAGCCCTTGACCCTTGAACAGCGGCGGGAACTCTGCAAAATGCTAGTGACAATATTCTTCTGTCTAACTTCCTATACGCAGCATGCGATTAGCCAAGCTCTGGGCCCAAAGCACACCAGAAGCACACCTGTGGACGTAGCCGCCGATCCACTCGTGAATCGACCGAGCTCGCCGACCAATTATGAGGAAAATATCGTAGATACCGATACGCCGCTGCCAATGGGGGAGCTCGATCTGCTTCTGCCGAAAGTCTGCGAGGCCCTCGTTCTTGTCACGCAGTGTCTTACTTCGTTGACCTTGCAATCGGAAGAAGTCAAAATTTCCGCCTCACAGGGACGCCTTGCTGCGGAGCCAGAGGATCTGAAGTTATATGTCAGTGATGCACGTTCTATCTCTGATGTCGGATTCGTGGAATCTTTGATAGGTGAATTATTGTTCTTTCCGTCCTTCCAAGCACACGCTGATCGTCCTGATTGATCTGAACGCCACACTCGCGGCGCGACTTTTCGAATTTCCTCCTTCAGATACTCTCCGTTTAATCGACCGATTCTTGCCCCGCATCACAATGGGGAAAGTTGCCCCTCCACCAGTGCACGTTGGCGATACACGCGGAAAAATAAATAACCTAAATGAGGGCAGGAATCAAAACACCGGCGCTGCTGCTAAAGCCCTCTCAGATGACCCTAAGGGGTTTGCGTACCTGAAACGGGACTTGGTACGATTGTTGGGGATCCTTGTCTATCGCTCCCGGGCGGTTCAGGACCGCGTTCGTCTGTGCGGTGGCATCCCCGTGGTGCTCAATCTATGCGTCATCGATGAAAGGAATCCATGTACGTGTTTCAGGATTTTTTTGCGAAGACCTATGTGGCGTGTCATTGCTGTTCGGATTCTAATTATCATTTCTGGCGTTTTGTTCGGCCATTTCCTCTCCCTTTTGACAAGTGTTCACACACATTTACTTCGCGTTGCTTCTCTTCCTCGACTTCTCCATTAATTGACATATATTTGTGCCTGACGATGGCCTTTTCTTATCCAGATCTCCGGGAGCATGCCATATTCGCCCTGCGCAATTTACTCGAAAACAACCCCGAAAACCAGGCACTAGTGAACGAGATTCAGCCTCTCCGGGAATGGGATGAACATGGGGTCCTTTCAGATAGACCAGAAGTATCGCATAGATAGCCAGCCATGCGGTAACATGTCAATTGTACAAATGAATTCAGTGTAACCTAGTATCAATACAGAGAAGACAGCGTGTTTGAAAGCAATGCATGAAGCACTAGGGTATTGGAGCCCTATTCTTCGTCTTCTTCCTCCACGTCTATCGCACGCTTCTTCCTAGGTCCAGCCACATTGCCGGCCCGACGAACAGCAAGGTCTTCCTCTTCTTCCTCACTTTCAACATCCATAGGTTCTGCGTCAGGCGCAGGAACCGCATCAGTAGAAGGTGCGCCCGCTCCTGCCTCAGGGCCAATTTCCTTGAGGCGTCGTTTCCGTTCCTCAGCCTCCTGTTGGTCAATTTTGGCATCCAATTTGTCAAGGTCGTCCTCATCCTCCACGCCGTCGTCTCGGTGTTTACGAGTTTTCCGTCGTCGACTAGTGCCCTCGTCGGATTCGTTGTGATCTCCGTCTTCGTCTGTATCTGAAACTAAAAAGTCATCTGTTTGGTATTCTCCAGGACCTTTTCTGGCATTTTCATCTACTGCGGGTCTCCTCCGTTTCCGCCTATCTTCGCCACCAAACTCGTCCTCGGAGCCGCCGGCTCCAAAGATTTCCTCTTCTTCGTCGTCTGACCACATATCATCACTTCTACGTTTTCGAGTATAACTTTGTCTGCGGCGTCGTGCACCGCCCAAACCGTCTTCATCACCTTTTGGCTTCCTTGACTTCTTGGACGCCATTTTGAGAAGTTCCATTTTCTCGCGTTCAGGGTCCATCATGGGATCTGGAGCCATACGCAATCGAGCAACTTTGTTGTGCTTCTGACCGACAGCCCGTACGAGCATGCGGTGGGTCTCCGATTGCATGCCTGTCGGACGAAGTGACATGTATCCGGTAATGAGGGCTTCACATTGTAGAATGCCGGCCCGCTTATGCTGCGCAACAAGATATGTGAGTCCTTGCCCTTGTCGAGTCTTCTGTGGCGTAGAAGGCGGAGGTTGTGTTTGACTTTGAGAAGATTGTGAAGAACCTCCGAGGGAAGACCGCTGAACTGCACCAGATGTGTCTATCGTTTGCGTAATATCAAACAGCTCCTTGCCTAGTTTCAGGCTCATAGTCCCATCTGACCAACGTATGACACGCGCGTTTGATTGTCTTCGCTGCGATATGAGGTTGTCATGGTGGCAAGGAGCACATAAAAATAGGGTTTAGTCAGTTAGGTCGGTCGGAGAAGATGCAGATATGGCTTACGTCTTGGGCGTGTTCGTCCTTTACCCACCGCCACCGAACTGTATTCTCCACTTTCAGCTTGATAGACATACTCTTTTCGCGTAATGATTCAGCGGTTAGCTCCTCATCTTCCTGCTCCGGTCCGACATAGGTGTCCGGATGGAAGGGCTTCGAATCGACCTTGACAAAATTCGGCATCCGTATGACCCAGTGCTAGCATGATTAAAAACGGAAAGGCGCAACAACCGATGGAGAACGCATTGAGAATAGTAAGAACTTTATCTATCACAATGTGCAAAGGGTGCGGACAATTACCTTGCCATCCGAGCTTCTCGGGACCGGTATGTTGGGTATGGCTGCATTTGCTTCGAGAACTTGTTCAACCACAGGCTCTGCCTCATCGTCTTCGGCGTATTCCATGGCTTCCCTGTGCCGCCTCTCCGTGTCGGAAAGGCCCTCCTCCCCATGGTCTGAGGGGGCCGGCGAGGGGGCAGAACTACAATATAATTAATAATATGCCCGGAAGGGGATGGTTCATTGGGACGTTAACGCACTCCTCGTGCTTCGTTTCCTCGGCCGCTGCATCCTCACCAAACAGATCCTGCATATCCTCGTCATGGGCTTGTGCAGATTCGGTGTCCTCTCCGGCATGGTCGGATTGAGGTTGCATGTTCACATCAGTGACTTCCCACCGTTCGTCTGGTTGAGAATCCTCAACTTTTGGTACATGGTTGGTTGGGGGAACGAGAGCATCAGCCAGCGACATATTCCAGAGAAAATAATACCAAGGAGTAGAGAAGTACAAGTAGTAGTTGTGAGCGTGGAGAACAACGAACACAATTGGCGCCTACTTTCCTAATCAGAACCCAATGCGTGATCGACGATGGTGTGGGCGGTGGCCACGACCTGAACTCCTGCCTTCATCCATCATTGCCTCTGTTCTCAACAGAATTCATTTTCATTCCAAGTGATCTCTGCCCCGTGAGCTGTACTATTCAAAGCCGTGGATAGCGGAGTCCACACCGGCACCATTCTGGTAACGCGTTTTGCGCGAGATCTAGACTCTCACGCCCCCAGGAGAGCATCTGCCCCCCTTCAGATAACCTATGTGAAGAACACACTACGGGGCTTTGGAATACAGCTACTATCACAATGAGGACGGCCACACGCGACCGACATCTCGCTGTAGGTGGTTCTGTTGCCAGCGAATTTGACTACCTTCAATATTTAGGTCCGGCGGCGCCTGTCTGATATCCATCTCATGTTTGCGGATAATCGTCTCGACTTATTTGTGCAAGCCATTCTTTTTCTGGAATTCACAGCCCACAGTAGTTTCTCTCGGAATTCATCCCACTGCCCCCGATGGCCACGGGTGCAGACACGGTTCCGGCGTCTCACTGCCTTCAAGGAACTCGAGTCAGTCCCTGCCGGCCGTTCTCCGTCTAACGGAATGGTACATACACGTTGCATCGCCGGCGCACAATAAACACACTGTTATTACTCGGTCTGCCACTGCTCTCAATTAGTGTCGGTGAGGAGCGGTCGTTGCGTTTCACGCTTCGGACGACTCTTCAATGCTTTGATGCAGATCGCCTTCGCTTAGGCGTGCAGCGTGAAGGGGTGACATCACGTTCCAATGGCAGATTCCGGTCAACAAACTGTCGGCGACTATGCTAAGAGTTCGCTCCGAAATTCCTCAGCGCAAGGTGATCCAGTGTACCCATCCGATTTAGAAGTCACAGCGTCTAGCATTACTGCCTCCCTCTTAAGGACTCTGTCTCTCTGTCTATCCCATTCTCCCTTCATCATGCACCCTCCTACTCATTCCCCAAACGTGACTCACTCTCCTCGGTATGCCACGTTGTTCACTTCACGCTTTGCAACCCATAACTGACCGCTTGGTAGTGCCCCAGATAGTTCGTCTCCTCGCCACACGACGATGGCGCGCAGCACATCCGCCGCTGGTAGTCCACAGTGGCCCAGTACCGACTCCATGCTGTCTTTCTACCAAGATCCTGTGGGTTACATTGGCGATATCATTGTAAGTCTGTTGGGTAGTTTTACTCGAGCTCATTGACGAGTCGTGATTAGGACCAACCCCCGATGCCACAAGACTATGACAGCATCGACAACTACTTGAACCCTGACATATCGTTTGGCAGTAACCAGTCGGATGCGTCGTCGTTTAACGCACCCTGGTACGAACCTCCTGCGAACTCGTTGCTGCTTGCTCCCAACGTTCCTCACGACGTCTCTTCCGGTGTTTACTATCCTTTCTCTGGCAATCTCGCCCCTCACAACAACACATCCAACCCTCGGCACCACACCATTCCCGGCATACGCGTCAATACCGCTCTCTCGCCACCATCAGCGCTTGAGCATCTCTCAACACCTTATAATGCGAACTCGACCCTCAGTGCGTCACCCCGTTCTGGACATTCCAACTCGCCTTACACTCCTGCTTCGCTCTCACCCATGCGCAACAACACCCTCGTCGTTGATTCAGCCCACCAATCCCCCCATTCACCCGCCTTGAACGGCATCCAACAGCTTCGCAGCCCTGCACCCTCTCTTACAGTCAAGAGTCCTTATTCGATGGCACCTTACTCCCCATCTGCTAGCTCCTCTATCAGTGGCTTCGAGGACATGTCCTTGGCTAGTGCTGTTGACCCCAACTTTCCCCCATTCACACAAGTTACCCAGCACGCATCTGTTTACGACATTGCTAGGCTGTACCCTGATTCCAACCGCCTCGTACCCCAGCGCACCTACCGCCCAAATACACAGAGTGACCGTCGTCGGTACGTGGAAGAAGTGCAATTGGAGGAACCCATCATGTTCTTCGTTTCGAATCCCGATGGGCTGGGAATCTCTTGCAGGGACGCTCTCAACAGTCGCTTCATTCGTTTACGAGGAAGAGACGATCAAATGTTCATCAACCGTGGACCCAGTGTCTCTATTCGTGTCATGGTGAATATCGATGTACTTCGCGGAGGGCATCTCATGATTCATTGACTTTCTCCCCTTTAGTGGCCGGGATACGCTGCTTGGAGTCGTCAAATCCCTACTCGTGACTTCCGCACTCCCCCCGGTCCTATTACCCGTGCCAAGCTCGCCAAAAACGTTGCCAAAACGGTCGACAGGTTCATTAACGTACGTCCTTCACTGTCATATATGCCACAGCCTTATACTAATACACTTGTGTACTGGTATTCAGGATATGAGCACGAAACCTATGGAAGATGAGGCTGACCCTCGTTGGCGTGTCGGTAACCACCACATCACCATTGACCAGTTGGAGCTTGTTGGTCTCCAACATGTATCCATGGGTAGTTGGCAGGTCCACCTTCGCTTGCGACAATAGATGTCGCAATGTCTTCACACAACCTTGCACTGTCGCGATATGTCATTGGCAACCGTCTCGGTCATCACCTCTCTTACGTCCTCTCATCCCTATGTATTGCCATGCCATGCCCATCACATGGGATCAATACCCGGCCACTCTTACAATTACATCCTGGGCCATACAACCCCTGATATGTAGAACTGGTCTTGGTCGCTTCGCCCCTCGCTTGACGACCTCTAAGGCCTCGCTAGGATACCCGCTTACCTGTCTGTGGGTTCGACACCGCGTCGACTCTTTCTTGATAGGTATCAGACATGTGTCTCAAGACCCATTTCTTGATACTAACTTGGTTTTCTCTACGAGACGACCGTTTAGATATAGAGCTCCTTTATTGCCGTACTCGATACTCACCGCTAGGTAGCATACGTTGGTTCTTCGGTTTACCTCTTTCTTTGTTTTTCAGCTTACCCTAAGCTGGAGGGATACCTCTTGGAACATTGCTGCTTGGTTTTATGCTAATCTTTGCTTATTTGTGCTTGGTTTGCTGCTCTTCTTTCTGTCGTTCTCAATTTACGATACCCTTGTGCCAGTTGTTTACAATTTCTCTCGCCACTCTTCTGCAATAATCTGTATCGGTATTTTTTTTGACATCGCAATATCATTCGTCATCTCACAGCTTCAGTCCTCATCGATCTTTATGGTGCAAAAACTCAGATGGGAAAAAAGCGCGCAAGCCTCATTTCGACATTGCCAACGTCAACTTGAACGCGAAGGCGCGGGATTCGCGGACAGCCTCAACATATTCTCTATTGTGAGGGACAGCCCTCACAAGCGTCCCCTGTCCAAGTATTACCAATGCAGGTGAATTCTTCCGTATCGATAACAGACATCTTGGCCGTCTCTGGGTCTTTAGGCAGGATGCTGCGCAACAACGTTCGAGGCCATGCTCTGTCACCTCTCGTAGGGCGTGGTGGAATTAAGAATGGAAGTAAGGATGTGAGAAAAACGCCAAAAGAGACATGCGGTCCCGGTTTCTGGCTCCTCGGAGTTCCAATATGAAGATGAAGGATTGGCCCATCAACGGATTGGATCGGGCCAACGCATACGCTGTGGGTGGCACAGCGTGGGGAGGTGAAATTCTACGCGAGAAATCATAGAAGGTATATCCATGAAGGTTCTGAATGTCCATTTCGCCAATCGGTGTCTCACCTACCTTCCGGAAGATTGATCGGAGTATAGAGATTCTTCATGCGGCTGCGAAAGACTGCGAGCTGAGGAAAACATGTCTTAGCAAAATCCATGCGGTATCCATGAGGTACTTCATGATAGCCACTGATCAGTGTACTTCTCTCCAAATATCATATGTTTCCATAAATTGAGGGACAGCGTGCAGTGGTGGAACAGCTATTTCGAGTTCGAGGTCGGACCTAATCTTTAATTCCCACTACATGCGGTTGAAATCCGAGATGAAGTGTGAGACGGATTGTGACAAATGTGTAGTTTTACAAATAGGAAGATTGTTTGACAACATGTCGCTTGAAGCAAGAGCGGCGGCGATAGAGCTGAAGAGGCTCATCCTACAGACTTACCCGTTTGGATGCGGCATTCTCCGATTGTTGACACCCTGTCCCTGAAGAGGAAGCCGGTCGCTTGACAGGTTCACACTGGTCTTTCCATCCAGGGACCACCGGAAATATGGAAGTAACTGCATAGGCTGCAAGCCGAGCAAATCTCTCAAAATGATCTACCCAAGATATCCACCTATGACCGAAGGGACTTGCGAGCTGTCTACTGCCCATGGCTTTCTCGGACACCATCAAGGCACCATGCTCACTCAGCGAGAATACAAGGTTCGACTTATATGTACTGCGTGATGCCGAGGGCTCATCGTGGGTTCTGCAGATAGTTAGCCTACACTTGTTTCCTCATTGAGGTCGCCACCGTTGGTATGCTTGTCGGCTGTTCGTCGCTTGGAGCATTTTGCAGGCATCTGTGGCGAGTGTCATGCGTTGGACCTTGTGACTTCATGATAGACGTAGTCGAACTAAATCCCTGTCTGTAGATAAAATAGTGCATTCAATGTTGGAGGACGGTTGTCTTGCTGTCGCTATGGTACAGCGCCAGGTTGTACTGGTACAAGGTGATGAAAGATGATTGTAATGCAGAGACATACTAGGTTACTCATCCTCTCATACTCAGCTGCGCGTTCTCATACACGACGGGATAGCCTTCTCGACGTACACATCTTCATCCCATTCGGACCACGGTCTTTCCTCATTTCACCCGTACCACAAGCTCGAATCTCGCCTAGAGATCTGCTCACAATTTTCGTCGCCCAGGACCTCATGGCAAAACCTACACAGGGTCTCGTGGAACTCTCTACCAAAGCCTATGCAGAATTCGTGGAGTTAAGTGGCATGATGCAGAGAAAATATGAGAAGATATTTTCACTTTGGTCAGCGGCTGCGGGTGGATCTGGTTCGCGGCATTAGCGTGATGTCTTCCGACCGAGAAGAGGGATGGAGCACATGTAGACCGTATGGCTCCAGTGAGATTTAGCACTCTGTTGTAACTCTATCATGTATCGCCATTTGCCTCCCCTTTACCCTATGTATTTTTACTTAGGTTTCATATTACACCTACAGATTGGTCCGACAGTACGATTTGCTCTTTGCCATGCGTGTATACTTGGTTACTAAGTTATTCTAAGAAGACCTTACGTCCCTTCCACCTGGATAACGAGGACAAGTGTCCACGGGCGGAACCAGCTTTTGTGCTGGTATTCTTTGTCTATCATATCATCTATTCGCTTACTGGTGGCCGCTTGCCAGAGATCGTGTTTACTAATCTCGGTTGAGGTTCCGTAACCGTCGGGTTTCCGGTGAAATCTTACGCGAAACATTCGGAAGGATGCCGAAGAATTCATGAGGACTAGTTCTGCTCATGAATTAGTGTAAGCTCAGCTTTAGGGGGCTCAGACAAAGACATATTACACAGGGTATGGAGAATATTATACAAAAGTACCTTATATCACAGAGACCAACCAATTGCTCTTAAGGACGTACACGTATCACCATGCCTCGTTATCGAATCGTTCCAACACGGCACTAGCATCCTCCACATCTTTTTGTGCCTTTTTCCGCATGTAGAAGATGGGACAATCTCTCGACGAGCACAGGACATCCTAAGTTCCTCGTCAGCCATACTGATCCCCACAAGATGTAAGCACCGCACTCACTTGATGAAGAGAGCCTTGACACCGTTGACATTGGGTCCATAGTCGTGAAAAGCGGACTTGAAGTTCGGAAGTGCTCATGACCTGCTTTTGATGTAATTCTCCGACTCTCGGACGACAATTATTGCACACAGCACCATCTGTCAAAGGCTCAGGCTGAGGTAATCAAATACAGAACACCGACACGTACTCTTGACACTGTTGGAGGGCCGCAAAGGCGTCTTACAGCCCAGACAAGTGACGGTCTTCACAGCAAACTTCATCAAGCCACCGACTGTTGGAGTTGCAATCTGGATAGTCCGTGTATGATCACCAGACACTGCATGCAAGCGAGTGAATAGATGAACAAACAAAGCAAAAAAAGTAAAAAACTCACATAATGACGACGCTTTCTCGCCCAGAATAGGTTCGAAGATACGCATCAAAGGATTGGACAACTGGTTTTCCAGGTAGTACTTCGTGTCAATGGGCATATTATTCTCAAGAACGAAGATAGGGTCCTCTGATCTTTCATACGCCGCCGCATCTATTTCAAATAAAGGTCAGACTGCAATTGATATGGTATTTTTGATTGTTTTTACCTTTCGCGCCTTTGATAATAACGTACGCAACACGGTCACCGAGAGCAGGTGCTGAGCCTATCGTCATCTCAGTTAGCCTCGGCCATGTCTTCGGTTGGTGGAGAAAGGCATACCTGCATCACGTTTCTTCATTCGTTCGGCCAGCTCGACGTGAGCTTGCTTTGCAGTGTAATCTATGCAAATTAATTCAGTTAAGATTCCGCAATCCAAGGATCACCCATAACGAACCTGACTTGGCCAAAGCTTTGGTAATAACTAATTGTGACATATCGACTTTATTCTGCAATAGATCGGAAATGACCTGCTTGGTATAGCTGCAGAGTGTTGATAGAGTTTCAATATGACGGTCTTCCCGCAACAGTGAAAATCGATCTAAGATTGTGGGAACTCACTCTTCAGCGCCCTTCACATCCCGATCTACCAGCAACTTATGCAAGCAAGTCGATATCACCGTGGACACCAAGCGGCAATTGTCCCTGCGGACAGTCTGGGAAAGCGAGATTACCGTTGACCATGTGATAGAGCTGATCGCGGAAGATGACTCACCTCAATACCTTTCGTATCCATCTTGTCATATTTGTCTGGCCTGGTCCAGTATAACCCAGCGTATCGTTTCTTACTGATGAGAAGATAAGGAAAGTACACCTTCTCGAACTCAAGTTTGATGGGCTTGATGAACTTCGCAGTCACAAACTCTGCTGCTTGACTGCCTACAACGTGCAAACATCAAAGCGCAGTCAGCGATCGCAGTTCGTAGTTCACAGATGTGACTGGACTGAATAGGCGCAGTCACTTACCTAGCTGCATGACTGTAGGCAAGTCTGTGGGTCCAAACTTAACCATGACGGAGTCGGTATCTCCATAGATGACTACGGCATCATGCGAATGGCCATTCGCAGTCGAGTATTCGGCCTCGACTTCTCGTTTGGTCTTTTCAATCATCTGTCGACCATATGCGGTAACGCTAGAAGATATCGGAAGACATGGAAGCTTTCCGATGGTGGCACCAGTGAATCCATAGACAGAGTTTGCGCTAATCTGCGAAGTGTTTCAGGGTCTGCACAGTGTGAAGCTAGAGAAAGCGTACACACCTTCAGAGCCAGCTGCCGTCCGTCAAGCACAGCACGCTTGAACGGGTCAGTTTCATTCTTCAGATCATTCTTCGCCCTCTTTCGCGCTGCGATCAGGTCTTCCAGGATTGTTGGCAGCAGTCCCTTCCGTTTCTTGGTAGTTACAAAGAAATCTGATCACGCACGGAATCAGTGAGTCAGTTCTGAATGATGAGAAGTCGGTAGAATTTACCATTGTTAGGCGTCTGAATGTAATCCACATCTTTGACTAGTCCTAGACGATCAATCATGGGTTTCTCTATCAACGTGGTGTAGCACAGATTATGCGCCATCATGATGGAGGGGTAGAGTGAGCTGAAATCCAGGGTTGCGATGGGCACGTCATAGTATCCCTTCATGGGTTCAATGACTGTTGCACCTTCATATTGTTCATCGGACCCTGCACAAAATTTATTAGAGTTTGTTCAACACAGACAGCGAGTCATGTATATGAACCTTCGCCTTTGAGCGCTGGAATAATGTATCCGTCGTCGTTCGCTTTGCGGAATAGTTGAGATAGGACCTTGATGGACTGTCCTCGTGACAGAAGGTAGTTGAATGGGACGCCAGTGACACGGGCCATCTCAATATAGTTGATGAAGCACATCAACTTATCCATGAGCCGTTGCGGGAGGTATGCATCCTATACAGATGCTCTTTCAGTTGCCTACCAGACGTCATAATTATGAGACACACCTTCAGACAGTATACAGCGAGACGCCTTCTGGATTCTGGGGTACCATTCTGCAGTTCCGTAATGACGGAATAATGCACATCCTCTTTCTGTTCGCCTAAGAATTGGGCACAAACGGAATTGAGGGTATACGACCGAAGCTTATATTCACGTTGCATGTACTGCAGAATATCAACCTGCAAACGCCCGTCCAGTGACGTCTCCTTCGAATCACGTTGACCAAAGGCTTTCGATGAGAAGTGAGTATCCTTCGTGACAGATTTCACATTCTCTAGTCTTCCGAGGTACGGAAAGTGGGTAGCTTTCAGTGCCCTGGCTCTATCCAAAAGATATGGCAGATCGAAGTTGGCGATATTGTATCCGATTACGACATCGGGATCGACTTTGTCCACAAAATCTCGCCAGGCTTGTAACATGGTGGCTTCATCTGTGAACGAGAGTACTTGCGAGCCCACAATATGTGCGCAGGTATTGAGGGTAAAGACGTTACGAATGAATGGTTTGCTCTCCCCTATGTGAACATGTCAGGGGAGTCTGTGATAACAAAGCAGGCCGAAGAAAGCCTACCTTGACGAGTGACCATATTCGCAATCTGAATAACAGGGTCTGTATGCGCTTCTGGAAAGATACCTTTTCGACCGGCACACTCGATATCAAAACTGAGAATGCGTAATGGCGCCATCCTTGACCATTGCTCCTCGGGCGTGTGTGAGATGAAATCGTCCCATCTGGACATCATGGTTAGACGTGCTTGCGGTTGAAGACGTGCAAGTGCAAGGACAAACCTGACACTCAGTTCAATCTGACATTGGGACCTCTTCTTCTTTCCAGTGACCAATTTGTATTTACCCGCGGGAACTTCAATCCAGTTCATTCCAACGACCTTGCGGCGTTAAATGTTAAGCTAGGTGAGAACAAATTGAAGATGTCCGCTCACTCTGGTATCGATCATGAAACGTAGGGTATAGGCGATGTTGCTCTCATACGTTGGAGTGGCATCAATAAAGAATTCCCCTTTGAAACGTACTTCGCCTCTCTCGAAAAGGCGTAATAACCACAAGGTAAGTGCGAGGTGCCAGAGATACTATACAACGTGGAAACTTATCTCGAATTTTAGGCAGACTTCGCTGATCGGCTAGCGTGATCTTAATGAAGAGGACCGCCGCGTCACCTCGATAATTCAGGAGACTCTTCTTCTGAACGAACTCGGCATTTCGCACAACGCCGCCACTTGCTTGATTCTAAGTAGAGAGCATAGAACTGTTGAATACTATTCGAAAACGAACAAAAGAATGAACTCACATTGAGGGTAAGCTCTAACATTTGGAGATCATCTGACAGAAGTCCTCGGGGACACGCTACGTAGAAGTAGGGTAAGAAGTCTGTAACGTGCGCAAGGACACTGTGTCCAGTCTGTGTAAAAGGTTGAGATTGTTGGGTCCGAAGAGAAGGGAAGCAGGCATACATCTGTAACGCCAAACATTCTAATGCCGAGTCCGCCGCCTGGAGAGTCTGCAGAGTCTTCAACATCAATCTGTTGGAAGACTGCAGAGGGATGAGTATGCTGAATTTTACGACACCGAGGTAGCCTCACTGATAGCATCCCGGTTTTCATTGATCGGAGGAAGGGTAGGCCTGGCCCATAAGTCAGCACCACCTTCCGCGTCTGCATCCGTGATTAGCATTGAGTCGCTTTGAACTTGCACACAAGATGTACCTTTCGATTCTCCAGCTTCGTCTTTCAGCCTTTGGAGGACCTCCGCAAAGGACGGTTCTGCTGAATTCTGCTGAGAAGTGGAAAATGAAGGACCAGATGGTCCAAGTTTTCGTCTTTTCGTGGCTGGTTGCGAGTCGGTATCCATAACATACGTATCTTGCGTGGAACTACGCGTTGTCTCCAGTCAGGACGCGTCAAGTCAACGAACGGTGTAACTCACGGCAAGGGCGTATTCTCTTTGGAGGAGTGTGAAGCCATCTTACAACAGGATGTAGACTACAACAAGTAGACTCTATTCAGATATCGCCTGCACAATCTAGAGGATGCAAAGCCTTGATGAATCGAAGAATGAGTGTTAGGAGGAGATTGATGGTCGAGGTCGAGTCTCGCGTCGACGCGGTCAGCGCCTATTTTATGAGCTTGCCACAGACGCGCTGCGATGTTTTGTCAGGAGGCACTTCCGCTTATGGGTCAACCTCCTGGATCGTACTCCCTTCTTCACTTCGTTGCATAGTCTCTCAAGGAACCCAGTTTGTTGCTTTCCTTTGCAATCATTTCTCCGTTGCTGATCTGTTCCATACCACCGTCAATAGCAAGTGCCAACCAGTTCGCGGCTTTGTCGTCGGAGTCACTCCTTCAATCATCATCAGTCATTCCGAACAAACTTCCAGCGGGCCCGCTGTGGAAGACACATATATTGTGAAGAAATCGAGCTGCTATTTCTCCCATAAATTTTTGGGCCAGCACTCATCGTTCTTTGGTAATTCCCGCACGCCCTAACTTCCAAAGCGAATCGATCGACCGTATTACTTGCAAAGCGGTCCCCCTCTCTCCCGGAACATTCTCTGCTAGACACTCTCACTCTCCAAACGATGGCCCCACATCAGCAGTATCATGTCTATGCACTTCCTCCTGAACTACTGGACACACTAGTACCAAGAGACGTTGTGAACCAGCCACCGCCATCACCCCCACGATCTGAATTGCCCCTTCCTGCAGCTGAACCAGCCGCAACTTCTGCACGAGCATGTAACATCTGTTTAGGTGCGAGTTTTGCAGACGTGGACCAACAGCGCGCACATTTCCGCTCCGATTGGCATCGTTACAATGTCAAGATACGTCTCAATGGAAGTGATCCCGTCACCGAGAACCAGTTTGCCAAGCTTGTGGATGGTGAGTAATTCGTTTGTCTCGAAGAATGCTTACGAATGTTATATGATCATACTCACCATCGCTTACAGAACTCGACGACTCCATTTCTGGCTCAGCTTCCTCAACGGATGACGAATCTGCCGACGATTCTGATGCAGTTCGCGCTCTAGTGGATAAAACGCACTGTCTCAGGGCACGTTCACCATCTCCTTCCTCAGCGCCAAGAGGTCCACAAACCCCCATCGTATGGTTCCATTCTCCGCCTTCAACACAATTGGGTGTCTATAAGGCTGTCCTTTCGCCATCGCTACCGTCATCGTCAGCATATTTGGATGAGCTCAAGGATATTCAGGTACCCAGAGAAGGTGGACGCACATGGGCACTGTTCATGACTGCAGGTGGTCACTTTGCTGGTGCCATCGTTAGGGTCAGCAAACCGGCAGCCGGAGATGAGAGTGAGGTTACAAAAAAAGGCAAGCAGAAGAAACCTGTACCTGATATCGAAGTCTTGAAGCACAAGACGTTTCATCGCTACACAAGTGAGTATTATTCCTGGTATGTTTTTGGCATCTCAACTTACATTACGAATCGATCAGCTCGTAAGAAACAGGGTGGCTCCCAGTCATTAAACGATAATGCAAAGAGCAAAGCGGTCAGTGCTGGTGCCATGCTTCGAAGGTATGGAGAACAGGCACTGCGTGACGTGAGTATTTCAATACTATACATATTCTGTTTTCATCAAGTACTAAACCTGAAATCTCCTAGGATATTCGTAACCTTTTGCAAGAGTGGGCTGAGGATATTCAAGATTGTGAGCGGATATGGATTCGAGCGAGTGTCTCCAATAGGCGAATATTCTTGGACTACGACGGTGCACTTATCGCGAAAGGTGAGCACTCTTGCGGCCTCAAGCGTATTCCCTTTTTGTTTGACCCAACGAAATTATCAGGCGATGACCGTCTTCGTACATTCCCTTTCCCCACCCGACGTCCAGTATGTAACATTGTCCTAACTCATTTTACGTGATCTCATACGTCCTCTGTCAGACTCAATCCGAGCTCTCTCGTTGCCTGCTGGAACTTACCAGAGTCAAAATCTCACATCTTACTGAGGAGGCGCTCCGAGAACAAGACGAAGCCTATCTCGCCTCCCTTCCGAAACCAAAGCCTGCGGCACCACTACCCCCAGAAGCTTCAACCAAACCCAAAGAAACCGTACCGAGGTTGTCTCCAGAGGAACAACAACTTCGGGATAAGTGGTCTCGTTTGCTAGAAATCATACACAAGGGACGGTTGGACCCGCTGAAGGGTTTCTGGGCGAAGGAGGGCGAAAACCTAGGTGGTGTGGATACCCCAGTTCCAGCATGGACAGGAGAGAAAGGTGCAACGTTGCTACAGATCGCAGCGCATGCTGGTCAAGAAGAGGTTACACGATGGCTACTTGAAGATCTGCATGCGAACCCCGCTATCGACGTTCCCACAGACACCGTTGTGGATGCAAGGGAGTTTGACGAAGAGGATCCGATGGTTCCTTCTAGCTCTGGGTCCAGAAGAACAGCGTATGACCTTGCACGTACCCGAGAGGTACGAAATGTCTTCAGACGATGTGCTGCTGCCCATCCGGATTGGTGGGACTGGTTGGGGACAGAGAAAGGCGGTGCGAGAGTTCCCAGTGTACTGACCAAGGAGATGGAGGAAGGCCGAGAGGAGAAAAAGAAGGTGAGGAGGAAAGGGTTGAAAGATCGTATCAAGGAGAGGCAGGAGAAGGAGACGAGCAGGGCGCCTAGTCCTACACCTGAGCCAGAACCGCCGCAACCACAGAGGATACAAAAGGAAGAGCCTAGTACTGGCCCTAGGAGGCTTGGAGGTAATTCTGGAGCAAGTGAAGGAGTGCTTGGTCTGACCCCAGAGATGCGAGCCAAGATTGAAAGGGAGCGGAGAGCGAGAGCTGCTGAAGCTCGTTTGCGAACTCTGGGCGGCCGACGATGATCGTTTGAACATTGCGTTATTGATACCCTTGTTGATTGACGTCTAATCTACAACACGAAGCACGCTGTATTGAAGTATGACCTATGTAGCCAATAGCTAGAGTGTATGTTATTTGTGAGAAAGATAGATGCCTAGGATACAACATACTTTAGTTTATAACCGCCGAAACACAAGAGCAAGAAGATGCAAAATGGAAGAAATAAAAAGTGTACGTATGAAGATAATAAACAACATAAAAAACCAAGAAACAAAACAGCACACCCTCCAGTGATATGCAGGTCAATCAATGCTATGCAGCCTGAGTTGCGGTCGGATCCCGGTACACCTACAACACACCTTCTCAGTAAAGTCACACAAGCACACGAGAAAGATGAATACCTTGAGATCCCAAATATTCCCAACTTTCTTCTCACTAGCAAGCTCGCTGCCGTCCTCCCCACCATCAGTCTCAATCTTGAGACCTTGTTCATTTGCAAGATGGAGCAGACAAATGAAACAAAAGCTCGTGCTAATTTCGTCCAACTTCTCCTTCGGATACGTTGTCTGCAAGCCTGAAATGACGGAGTTGAATACTCGAGGCTCTAATGGGTCCGTCCCTGGCTTCTCCTGTAGAAAAGAAATCAGCAATGCATCCCTTTAGGAAGGTGTAACTATGAACCATATCAATGTCCTCATCATCATCCTCGATCTTCTCTGGAATAATGATGTCAAGGCCCTTCCAGATGTTCTCTTTCAGTTTCCTGACATCAACTCTCTTCGCTCGCTTGGCATAGTTCACGTATTCCGGACGGACGCGCCTGGTTAGACCCTGTGTTGCAGCAAGAAGATCTTGTTCGCCTGGCTCGACGATTGCTGAAGGACCACCGTCGCCATCACCGTCATATACGTCGTCAAATCCGGGTGCATCGTCAAAGTCATCGTGGAAGAACTGAGTGTTGAAGGGAATTGCTCCACCGCCTTGCGCTATGAAAATTGTAAAAATCAGAACAGAATGTTTGGAGCAAGATCGGCGCGCGCACTCTCATCCGGTTCGTCTGAGTTTTGACCTGCCGCTTGCTCTGCAGCTGCTTGTGCCCAGAAGTTTTCGTCGATCTCACCGTCACCCCGGTCATCGAGACGCGCGCGTTGACCACGCATCCGCAACTGAATGTAAGGGAAAATGTGAGACAAATATGACCCTAGATATTTGTTGAACACGTACCGAGAATTGTGGCTTGAGGAAAAGTGTGACAAGCTGCCTACTGGAGAAGTGCATATCATCGGGAAGTGTTTGATCATATCGCTTCTCCTTTGCTTTCTCCTTGTCGGCACCCTTCCCTTTCCTTCCACGGGTGCCCTTCTTCGTTGTCTTTGCTGTTGAGGGACCAGGTAGTGTAATCCCTGCGCCACGAGTGACAGGTGCGAAGAGTTCTTTGGCAATATCTTTGGGGTCTTTCTGAGCAGGAGTGAGGAAGTCGATCTTGAATGGTTCCTTCCGTTCCTTCCGTGGCTTGGGAGCATTCTCCGTTGTTTCCGCTGATCGAGAAGCATAAGAATCCAGCATACAAGGAAATCTTGACGAGACTTACGCCGTCTAACAACTTTGCGGAGTTTCCAATGTTCCGGACCAGCCCAATTCTTCAGGAACGATTGGTCAAAGTAATCCATCATCATTCCCTCGCCATCCTTGTCTGCGTCCGTCATCGCCAAGACCAAATCCCGTTCATTTGGCACGCGTCGGGGGTCAAATGGTACAAACGCTCCTGGTTCAGCAGCATTCGCGCCTTCTAATGGACCGTTCTCATCATCACCATACTGCTCGGGGCTGCTAACGCCTGCGTCGTCTGGTACATAGTCATCGCCGACCGCCTGATCACCCACGAAGAAGTCTTCCACAGGTGCAGGTGCGTCATCGACATCCATGGGCGCGTCGTCACCGAATCCGCCAGCATCGTGGAATGGTTCATTCTCTTCCTCATCCTCGACATCCACAGAGGCAGCATTGTTATGAAAGAATGTTGTGTCGTCGACAGCAAATGGATCTTTAGAAAATGAGAAACCTTCTAGTGAATGGCAAATTGCCTTCTCTTCGATATCATCAAGGTTCGGCAGAAATTGCTCTGATGGATTTATGAGTATGTGCCACGAGAAAGAAAGTGACTGTACCTACGCCTCAAATAGCTGAGATCGACTTCATCCGGAGGCTCTTCAAGCACTTCGTCATCTTCACCTTTGCTAATAGAATCGCTGGCATCAAAAACTACGCGAAGGCCGCCATCGGGACTAACACCCAGACTCAAATGATTCATCAACAAGCCTTGCGCGCCACCTTCGTCAAAGTCTGCGCATGTCTTGCGGAACAAAGGGTCAACTTTGAACTCGAGGTCCAATTTCTTGTTCCGTAGTTGACTAGGATTCTTCGCTAGTGTGGACTCGGCCCTATGAGTCTTACGTTTCCGTTGCCCCTGACCAGCTTCACCGCCGTCTGGGTTGTCTGATGTCGCCTGCTCCTCGTCTTCGCGTCCCTCATTGGCGAGGTTGCTCAGAAGTTTCCCGGTCTCTGTGCCCACACTATCGACGCGACTTGTCCAGATCTTCACGCATCCGTCGAGCGTGCATGATGCGCGTTGGAAGTTGATCGAGTTATCGGTATCATTGCGCAGAAGGGACATATCATGGAAATAGTCGATCAGAGCGAAATTCCATGAATTCGCTGCATTTATTTTCTAGTGTATCGTACATTAGGGTTGCTGGTAAGAAAGTGGGGAAGAAACACACATTGTCCGTCGCCATTTTCATCCATTCCTCGAAATTGGAGTTCATAACATCAAGGGGGACATTAACTTCGGGTTGTTGAGCAATGGATAGAAGCTGTTGTTTCTGTCTCGCGTGGGCAGCAGCGCGAGAATCGTCACGTTCGAGCGCATTGCCTTCAGATGAAGGACCTGCTTCCGCATTTTCGTCGGTGACTGGTGGTTTCGCGCTCTTCCGTCTCCTTCGCTTCTCTGCCGCGTCATCGTTGATATTTACGGCTTTTGCAGCAGAGCGACCGTTATCGGATGTGAAACTCGCATCGTATGCGTCGCTAATGCGCTTTCTTGAGAGGGTCCGTTGAGGAGGTTTAGGTGTCTCGTCAGGTTCGGTATCGCCGCCAGAGTCGGAATCTACGATCCTAGCGTGCTTTGCAGCCCTAGGTCTTGAACCTGCCATCATGCAATGGATTAAAGATGAGAGTGTTGTGAGGGGCGAGGAGAAGATGGTGGTTGAGAGCACAACGCGACGCGTCCTGCACGTGCTCCAGCGCCAAACCGAAATTCATTGGGTTGCACCTGATCGCGCTCTTCTGCTCGACGTTCACCACGATGAGCACTTCTGAAGTCGACATCGCGTTCTCGTTGCTGCCAGTTTCCGTTAGAGATCGCATAGATCATGCGTTCGACTCTGCCCTCGAATCTACTCAAGCTACTCAGCCATGGAAGAGAAGGGAACCCGAATCGAACGATACTGCCGCCGGTGGTTTCATTTCTAACGACACCTCAAGTGCAGGCGGATTCATAATGGAGGAACCCACTCCCGGAGGATTCATTATCGATGAACCAGCCCCTGGCGGCTCTATTGTAGATTCTGAATCACCATCTGCAGGCGGATTTATTCGAGATGACCAAGATTCGGACGAAGAGACTTCAGATGAGGAACATAACAGAATTCCACTGTCACTGATACCTACTGCATTACAATTATTGGACCTACAACCGGACGACGAGGATGTTCTAGCCGTGTTTCGCAATGCGGCTTCAGGCTGGAGTGAACGCAGTAGGACCTCAGGAGGCGAGGACGAAGAGCAATTTGTCAGTCGAAAGGATTGGCGAGCTGTCTGCGCTGCTCTAATGGACACAGGTGATGGTCCCGGAGACGATGAAGACCGAGATGTTGAGATGCGAATGGACGACGACAACGAAGTGCTGTCTGAAGAAGAGTACAACCCATCCGATACTAGTTCTTCGGAGGCTGGAGAAGATGACGACGACGAGTATAATGAAGGCGGCTTTATTCCTACCAAAGCGAAGGGCAAACAGGCTGCATCGAAGTGGCAGTCTCGTTCTCGTGCCAAGTCTGATACTGATTCATTGCAAGATTCTGATTTCGATGATTTGCCCAATACGCCGAAACGCATCACACCCCGCCAGAGAGCGGACTGTCGGCGAACATTTGCTCTGTTCTTTCCTAACGTGGAAGACAAGGATCTTGACCGCATGAGAATCATGATTCGAGACGTTTCTAGGGTTGCAACTTTACTGAAGGAGAAGATCACTGCGGAGGAGGTGAGCACTTCTAAGCTGAAGGAGTGTGCAGAACTCATGAACAGTTGGAACAGATTGTTGAGATGCTGGAAGCCTTCTCGAGCTCTGCAGATAAGTCGATGAAGCTTGCCGACTTTGAAAAAATGATGATTGCAGCCAAATTAGCTTGAGCCGGCTATCTACACACTCGAACGTATAGAACAAGCCCGAATTGACTTCAGTCCTCATCTTGACGGGACTACTCAACATCACTTATTTCATGAGGGCGGCGCGTCGCAGTGGCGTTGGTTCATCCTAGGCCACTCTAAGTGAGAGCCTATTCGATGTCGACCAGGGTTGATCATCATCTCCCTGAAGTTCGCATGTATACCTATTTTCTTCACCCACGCGCGAGCTGCAGAAGGTACAATATCCCAAACTTCCCAATAGAAATCATGCCAGGTATTCTACGAATCAGCTATAAAACCTTGAGGATCAAGCCTCAGTCGTTCCTTTCATGATACTTTTTCAAAAGGCTCAAGCAGTACAGCGAAATCCCCGCCTCCCCCGCCTCCTCTCTATCGATCTGTATATTTGCGGGACCGTTACCGCCAAACGTGCGTGTCCTCGTGAGGGCAAGACTTCCAGTCCCAACCCTGTTCATCGTTCGCAAAGCTTCGACTTCCCTCTGTGTCCTTTCGTCTTTCGATGCTCTGTGACTGTCAAGGAGCTCCGGAAGGTTGAACTTTCGAACATGAGCCGCATTATGGATGTCATCGTAATTGCGAGGATGTTGGGTGCCACGCGCGAACATCGCGATCCTTGCTGCAACACTCCCACTGAAAGCAGGGGAGGGACCGTCGTCGACAGGGTTGTCGCTACGAAAGGCATAATTGGGCCCACAATCATATTTAGGATCCTGAACGATGTACCTGGTCTTCTCTGTACCCCCACATCTTGAAGCCGATGGCTTCGAGATCATGACCTGCGCTTTCTCCCCTGCAACGAAGTTGCTCAAAGGATACTTACAGGGAAGCGAAACAACGAAACCCACCTTTCTGAACTTTCTGCTTGTGGGGCTGTGGGAACATACAACATTGCTGGGCATCCTTCAGCTCATTTGTTATCACTGTTCCAAATGCTAGACTCGCTTGTGAAAAGATGCATTTCTGGGAACTTCAAGGGCGTACCTCGATCTCGCCAATCCATAGGTTGTGACAGGATGCCGAGGTCCTTGAGGACAATCTCTAATTCCGATGGGAAATAACTATGTTCGTCAGCTTTTGAGGCACTGCTCGAAACTCTATCCACTGCCTCCTTTGTGTTGGAAAACTGTTCAGACATGCTATCGTGAGTAACGATCCTTTGGCGTTCGTCTTGGTGTACAACGGGTGTCGGCAGGGATTCAGCTGCCTCAACTTCGTTGAACACATCGGCGAATAAAGCAACACGTGTGATGCCCGAGGGATCACGTCCATCCTCAACATGTACGGATGGTGTGGATGTCGAGGGCGTAACACTTCTCGACACAGAAACCTAATGTTCCGTAATCAATCGCTCCGTCTCATGCTGCTTGTGTGCCCTGCTCACCTCTTCTTCCTTGAAGTCACGAGTGCGGACAGGTGAAGAAGATTGTCCTTCTGACGTCAACGCAACATACATTTCTGTCACGTTTCGGATGTCTTCATTTTCCTCGTCGCTTGTCGCCTCGTCCTTTGAAACATTGTCTGGATGGCGGATATTCTGATTCGATTTGCCGATAAATAGAGTTTTTTTTAAATCAACTGCATGCTTACCTTGCTCACTCGAATGTCTGACATAGTGGTGTCATCAATAGGTACCACTTCAGCTGGTCTGCACGGAGAGGTGCTCCGTGCCACCGCCCCGGAAAGCAAAGGCAGTTCCTTACGCCTTTTTCCAAATAGTGGGAGTTTGCGGGAGTTTGTGTCGGAAGAGACTGGTGGACAGGCTATCCTTGGCCCACGATATCCAGTGGTGGTCAAGTGAGTCTTTGAGGGATGCTGGAAATCTGATTTGACATCACGGTTGCCAACCTAGAGGGTCACAGATGATAGGTCTATGACAGAGTGTGCTGCATCGTCACCAAACACACCTTGTTCGCCTTGCGGAACATCACCTCGGTATTAGTGGTAAGTGCTCTCACCTTATGTGTTCCGTTACCAGACCTTCATTGACGGCATTTTCGGTACAGAGAGCTCCTGGACGTGGATGCATGACTTACCTCCTGGCTTCAGCTTGTGTGGAACGCTTCGACCCGACAGTTCTCTCACTCCTACACTTATTCATTGTTTCGATTGATGGAGTACGCCGAGGAGACGGGAGGGGGCACTTAAAGGAGGTCCGGATTCGCGGCACTGGTGTCTTCGGCTTTCTCACCATCGACGGCCCTGGAGTGACTGAGGCTTGCGCATGTTTGACTTGTGCAGGCTTCGTGACAAATGTCTTTCTCTTGGAAGGAGGGGTTACGAGTTGATGGGTGGGTTTGCGAAACCTGCCGCTGCGTGCCCTGACTGAAGTGGACAGGGGATCGACATGTCCAACGTCCATCACTAAGATAGTCCGCGTAGCCGGCAAGAGATTTAACTCTTCCGGAGCCAGTCTCTTCATATCATCGCCTGTAGTCGCAGGATTGACCGGAGTGGAGTTGGAGACTTTCTCACATAACAAGAGTTTCTTCAAGAATCTATTACGCTGTACTCGAGGCAAATCAGAGAATGTCGTGGGCTCGTTTCTCGACGAAGTTGCACTGGGGCGACTAGACGATTTCTGTTCCGTCTTCTGAGGTGTTATGTCCGTCAGTGGTCGTTTAGAACGAGCCGCACGTATAGTGGATTTATTCCTTGAACGTAGATGGAACGAGTTGGGCGAAGGAACGAGGAAGATAGGTGGTTCCATGTTGATGTCGGTCTTGGGGCTATCGCAGGTGGGAAATGGGTCGAGGTATGATTCAGGCGGCCCAGCTATAAACCTAGCAGATGTCAGCCCACGAAGCTGACATGACAAGATGCATTGGTCGAGAATGGCCGTTCTCGATCTGAACTTCTCTGTCAGCCTCAATTTTAGTCTACCCGTTGTATTTCGAGTAGGTTGCTAGCATTGGAAAATCAAGCATCAGGGCATTCATACACGAGAAATGGGACTGTGTGATGAGAGTCAATGAAATAGTATTGTTATAACCAGAGTGAATCTTCAGATACTATTGCCAGTAATATATATCAATCGAGACTGCGATTCCTTTTAGCGACACAAATGCACAGAATTAACGGAGGCCTCCTCTTTTTCTTTCATACTGTGGTTCGACGGCACAACAAGCAGTGCGATGGGGAGGGCTGGCAATGGGTATGTTTGAATTCCGGTTGAGAAATCCCTTTGGTTCTAGTGCAGAGTTACAGTTGTTGGTTTCTAATCCATTCAGTGATTCTAAAAGTCCAATGACCCAATATGAAACGGAAAGCGTTGCTTAGACCTCGAAGAACAGCTCTTTGAGAAGTTGCATGGTATCTGCCGGACTTGAGACAGAATGTCCGATTGTACGAGAATCAGAGTAGATCTCATAGTCATTTCCTCCCTATAAGCACGAATAGGCTCAATGATGAGACAAACTGCAATGCAAATGTACCGACCTTGTGGGTCTTGTCACCAAAGAAGTGAATTTCCTCGAACTGCTCGTCCTCGACGTGTTGCAGACAGTATGTCTTGTCCCATCCGGTAGGGAAAATGTCGAATGATATTTGTCCGCCAATAGAAAACGTAAGACCATAGTCCGCGAACTTCTCTTGGAGGACCTTCACAAATGCTGCACGCACACCAGCTTTCTACAAGCAATAGTACAGCCGTGAAAGTACAAGAAGGACGGACGGGAATAACATACCTTGTCATAGGCTTCAAACTCGTGACGCTCAGCTGTACTGCAGGACGGCATGAGCCTGATAGCAGGTCGAATATGTAAACTACGCACGTCGCATTACGGCCTATTGGGCTAACGTTGACCATTCCATTCCTGAATTCAATGAAAGTTCCTCTGCAGAACCAACTAAATGAGGCATTGCAACTGTACTGAGGTGAGGTAGCATACCGTTTGATCGGAATGTCCAGATCGGCAAGATAGTGCAAGATGAAGTTGACAAGCACTTTATATTTGTCTTCTCCGAGGAACTTGATGAACGACTGCGATGGAAGTGTTTTGCCCAACTTGTACGCAGTCAGACCGTTCTCGGCGAATGTGTAGTCAAACTCCTCGACGGCTACATACTTAGAAAAGGTTAAAGTTGATTGAGTAGCTTCGACGCACCTGAGCTGCCTGCTACAAACAATTGTTCTGAGATCTTGACAAAATCTGAACCACCGACAACTCCGATGACTACTTTCTTGCGCAACGCCCGCAGTAACTCGATAATCTCTGGAGTTGCTGACTAGTTCGAGAGAGACGTCAGAGTGCAGTACATTGGATGGTGCGCAGTTATTACCTGCCGAGCAGGTGTGAGTGTGCCGTCAACATCGAAGAGCACGAGTTTCTTTTGAGGGCGATCGGCAAAGGCAGAGGAGGACATTACTAGAGGAAGGAACGCGTCGAATGAGTACTTGGCGGTGGTGGTCAAGTTTCAAGAGGTTTCAAGTTCTATTTTATATAGTCCTTCGCGTGTCTAGCGCCGCCTACTTGGAACACGTATGTTACAGTACCAACACATCTTCCTTACGGTGTCTCTTGTCCGTATTCTGTCGTGGTCCAGTCAATTGCGGAAACGTGTCGAACAAGCGTATTCGAATATTTCTGTGTTCTGGATGTCATGGTAGTCAGGCCGAACAACGTAACATGCTTTACGCGGTGCAGTCTATTGAATTTATTGAATTTCATCCATCGTACCATCATCCTCTCGCGTACCGTTTATTGACAACATGTGCTGTTAAGTACGTTGCTAGCATTCAACACATAGATACACCTCAGGACAGGAACAATTCTCAACTTTCTGGTTGACAGCATCGTGCTAGACTGTCATGTCTTGTTATACCCCCATCGACATACCCGCGTCTGGCGAGAAGACCTTCGTAGACTACTCTCGCTGGAAACTCACGTATACCGAGGACGGTGGTCACATCTGGAAATACCTCAAGACTGATGAGGAGATACAGTCGTTACCTCAGACAGTGTTAGACAAATACTGGCTTGGGCTTCCATTGGTACGTGTCTTCTCGTGTTCCTCTCATGACAACACTGAGAAGTCTGGTCATGTCTAGAACTTGCCTGCTTTACCTCCTGCAAAGGATGCTCTGTCTGCTGCGCGTAACGGTCTACACTTCCTCAAGCATCTCCAAGCCGAAGATGGTCATTGGCCAGGGTCCTATGCCGGCCCCATGTTTCTCTTACCTGGTCTTGTCATTGGTTCCTACGTGACTCGCATGACATTCCAAGAAGAGGAACGATTAGAGATCATACGGTACTTGCTTAACCGCGCTCATGCAGAAGACGGGGGATGGGGCATGTAGGTCAAATTGCATTGTGTAGTCCATGCGTTGGCACTGACAGGGAGTTAGTCATATTGAGGGTCCTTCCACCGCGTTTGGGACCGCTCTTAACTACGTTGTGCTGAGGATTCTTGGAGTATCTGCCGACCATCCTGCATTGGTCAAAGCTAGAGGCACGCTCCATCGCCTTGGTGGAGCCACGCATGTCCCTCAATGGGGCAGTTTCTGGTTGTCCATACTGAATGTATATGACTGGGAAGGCAACAATCCGATCCCTCCTGAGTTGTGGTAAGTGAAATGCTAACTCACTTTTCGTAAGGACGTTTTGCTAACTCGCACGTTATAGGGTACTTCCCGAGTGGCTCCCCTTCCATCCTTCTCGGTGGTGGACTCATTGTAGAATGGTATATATACCGATGTGCTACCTTTACGGAATTCGTTGGTCTATGCCAGAAAATGACCTAATTTTGGCTTTGCGAGAGGTGCAATTATCGTTGCATCTGTGTATCTCTTTCTGACTGACAGCATACGTTCCAGGAACTTTATACCCAGAACTACTATTCAATTGACTGGCCGGCACAACGGAACACGGTTGCCGAAATAGACCTGTATGTCCCTCATTCGACCCTCCTCAACGTAGCAAATCTCGCTTTAGGTGCCTACGAGAACTGCGTACACCCAGCTATTCGTCGCAAAGCTCTGGACATATGCTATAAACAAGTAATCTACGAGGACGAGAACACGGGATATCAAGACTTGGCTCCCGTCAACATGATGATGAATTGTATCGTCCGTTACGCCGAGGACGGGCCTGATTCCCAGGCGTATAAGAAGCACATGAAAGCGAGGGCTGACGCCATGTGGGTCTGTGAAGATGGTATGTTCATGGGTGGCACGAATGGATCGCAACTGTGGGATATCGTGTTTATTGCTCAAGCGTTGGTGGAATCTGGTCTCGGTGCGGAGGAGGAGAACCGAGAGTGTTTGTCGAAGGCCTTGCAGTGGCTTGATCAGTGTCAAATCAAAGAAAATCCGAAGTTTATGAAGGAGGGTCACAGGCATCCGACTAGGGGTGCATGGCCGTTCTCTACGAGGACTCAAGGATATACCGTTAGCGACTGTACAGGCGAGGGCCTGAAAGCTGTCATTTATATCCAGGAACACGTTCCGTGGGTCATTACTTTTCTCTGCCCCGATATCCAGCACTGACGCATCGTTTAGTGGTATGCCGAAGCTCGTATCTGAGCGCCGTCTCTGCGATGCAGTAGATATCATGCTGGGAATGCAGAACGCTGATGGTGGCTTTGCGAGTTACGAGGTCATTCGCGGTCCTGGCTGGCTTGAATTGCTGAATCCAGCCGAGGTATTCGGTAGGCCATATTTGTTGGATTGACTTGGTGGTCTGGTCTCTGAAGTTGAACTGTAGGAGATATTATGATCGAGCACAGCTATCCTGAATGCACGACGTCGGTCATTACAGCACTATCGATCTTTACCAAACATTATCCTCACTATCGCGTAGCTGACATCGAGTTTGTCCTTCTCACTGGTCTTACTTCAGTTATTTGCTGATTTTTATTCACTTTCTAGACACGTTACCAAGAGGGCGGTCGAGTTCCTCCACAATGCACAAAAACCTGAAGGCGGTTGGTATGGTTCATGGGGCATATGTTTCACTTATGCTACGCAATTCGCATTGGAAAGTCTCTCTTTGGTTGGAGAGATATACACGACTAGTAAGTCGGCCCGTAGAGCTTGCGATTTCCTCGTGAGCAAGCAACGTGCCGATGGTGGTTGGGGTGAGAGCTGGGAGGTGAGTAATCGTTCTAATCCTATTCAGCTAAGAATATTGCGATCTTGACGGTTTTTCTCTACAGTCCTGTGAGAAGATCGCTTGGGTAGAGCACAAGGATAGTCAAGTTGTCCAGACGGCTTGGGCGACCATGGCACTCATTTATGGTCGCTATCCCCATCCTGAGCCCATCGAACGTGCAGTCCGTCTGGTCATGTCTCGTCAAAACCCTGTAAGTACCCGGTCGTTAAGCTGGATGGTATGATATCTAACGTCACTTTAATCCCTCTTAGGATGGTTCTTGGCCTCAAGAAGCCCTTGAGGGTATTTTCAACAAGACTGTCACTATCGCTTACCCGCTCTTCAAATCGTCGTTCTCGATTTGGATGTTGGGCAAGGCACATCAGTACCTTGCCGAGCTGCAGGCTGAGAAGGCGAATGGGTATTGAGTGACCTATAGTGACGGATCCCTACTGGTTGATTTGGCTGGATATAAGGACTGCTCGTATACCTGATAATTGTTCGGAATTTATGGTTGTGAGTCTTGTGTAAGCAAGGAGACGTGAACTGTCAATCTCGCATTCGTGCCGGTACAAACCGCCTAAGGACGACCTCCCTTACAGAGTAATGTGCTAAACAAGCCGGTGAAGATAGAAGATCAGTCGACACCCTCGACCGTGCAGGTATTGTAACGTAGGCCAGGACGAGTGTCTGTAAACGCTTTCAGTAAAGTCTTGAGTGACGAAGAAGCAATGTCATGCGTACTTTTTGGACTTGAGAATTGACTCGGTTGATGGTACTCAGCCAACTCCAAGAGAAAGGTGTTGCACCTGAGAGTGAGAATGGCGAAGACTGTTGGTCTGCTGGATCTTCATAAACCGGAAGTACCACTACAGCGAACCTATGCATAGACCTGTGTTAGCTCATGATAGAAGTATAGTGTGTAACACTGACTCGGCATGATGAAAGACAGGGCCTCTCTTATATAACAAATAATCGACGCAGAACTTGATGCCACCTTTGACGACCCACCCTAGTGAGCGGAAGTAGTGGTATGCGACATAGTGAACGAGGAAAGGATTGTCGAAGCGCGCTCCATGTGTAGGATCAGGTGGTATCGTGTAGTGAACTTGTTGGAATGATGACCATATACTCTGAAGAGACATAGGCTCGTTCTGGTCATACATGTTGTCATAATTATAGTGTGAAAAAAATGGAACGACAGACAACATACCGTCGAGGGCTCTAAAATTGTAAGACAATCAAGTCCCCAGCTTAGGAAGAAAGCCTCTTGTATAGTTAGTTGCAAGTGTTCAACATCCTCGAGAGGTTCCACATCTTCGAGAACTGAGGCGTCTTGGTCTTCGGCTTCGTCCAGTGGAAGGGTTTCAGGAATGGCATCCGGTATAGAAGGTTGAGGTTTCCAAGTCGCGCCTGATGGGATAGCAGGCAATGCCGCTTCTCTTCCTTCACGGAAAGCTGCATCAGCTTCTGCAGCAGCATCCGCAAGTGCTTTTGCACGATCAAGTTTGAACTGTTTGCGCTCTTGACGTCGCTTTTCCCTGATTTCCTCAGAAGTCATCCCTTAATGAGACAATGAGTACGCGTTCAGGTATATATCCTTGTTCACGAAAAACATACGTTTCCCGGCCAACTTCCGAATATTCATCTGTCGCGCATGCCATGATGGTTCACTACGAGAGAGATCGCCTTTGCCAAAAAATCCTCTTCTCCAGAGAATCTGGATATCCCTCGAGTTTATGACCCAAATAGACCGCGTGGCGACATCAAAGGTGCCTTCACAGTGTGGATTCAGAACTTCTGCAGTGAGCCCCTTGAAGATTCCCAAGGCTTTGTATAAGGAGGACGGCCTTTCTTCAGGAGTGGGGATTATAAGTGGTAACGGATATGCGTATATCCGGTTGTTCTCGAAGCGACGTCCTCCGCCTTTCCCTTGGCCACCACCACGCCTTGACCTATTCGATGACATTTTTGTTGCTTGCTACGCTAAGGGAGGGTATGAGTTGTATGGCTTGAACAGCCGAGTCAGAGTTTTAAGTCAAGAGTGTGTTCCTACTTACCCGCAAAGGAAAAGAGGCACGGTTGTCAGCAGGAATTAGTCAACGTGTATAGCGCGATCGTTCCCTGCCCTTCATTGGAGTGTTTGAAGCTTGATTCTGCTTACACTCTTTCTGTGAATTCTGCTTGTCATTCGTTTCTTTCTTGTGACAATAAAGCCGGTACGGGATGTCTGAACGTAGGAGAGCAGAGATCGAGGCAAAGAAGGCGAAACTTGCAGAACTTCGCAAGGCCAGAGAGGAAAGGCAGAAACATGACAACGAGCGTAAAGCTCTAGAAGTGAGTATATCCATACAAACATTCAGTTCTCTTACATTCATGTTCTTTACTGACGCGAAGCTTTGAGAGATCTACTGGTCCCACTATAGTAGCACGTAAAGAAGTTGACGACCTCGTCGAGTCTCTCATCCGAGGACCGAGTAGCCTCAGTCGGAGGGGCATCGACAGTGCTCTCGATTCTCCCACCTCTATACCTGGTACTCCTGTTGTTCCTTCAGGCAATCTCCCTGGCCCATCGTCTCTCTCACTCTCTGGTTCTGGTCGACTTAGTAGACAGAGTGATGCCGCCTCCGATCGTGTTAGCATGGGTACTTCCGCGGTACAAGCGATGAATGGAGGATTTGATCAGGCTACGGATCGGTATGCTTCATTTCTTAGGTAGTCAGTGATTACCTGACTTGTGTGGAGACAGTATTATGACCCCTCGAATTGTTCCAGACTTGGTTGAAGTTGAGCAAGAGCTGTTCGAGTTGCCACAGAAGGTGTGCTTGCTTTATCTATCGTGCAGCAACGATTTCTCATATCATTATGTTCGCTATCGTAGGAACGCGTAACGTACAACAAGGAGGTGCAGACTATGACCTCTGAATCAGAAACAGAAACACCTTCTGAAGATGATATTCGAGAACGCATTCTTCGGGAGCGTGAGGTAGCTGAAGCAGAACGCTTAGAGAAAGAGAAACAACTCGAGGAAGAGAGTGCACGACTGGACAAGGAGATTGAACAAGAAATTCGAGGTGAGAACTTTCTGCTCTTGCTTTGTTAAGCTCTCAATTGACGGCAATGTTTTAGAAATGACCGAAGAGGAGAGAAATAGTATATTCTCTGCACCTGACTTTCTTGATTTCGTTGAGCAGTCGACGAAGATTGTGCAGCGTGCGCTGAACGACAACTACGATTATACAAGAGACTATACGATAGGTACGGAGACTGGAGGGTAAGTTCTGCTAATCTTCGAATGAGATGTGCGCTTCATGCTCACTATCTGACAATATCATCTAGGGATGATTCTGAAGGGCGAAGGGTGAAGCGAGTCTGTGCGTTCTGGGATGAGCATCATTGCAAGAACAGGTCGATCACGGACGTCGACTGGTCGCCGAAAGTAAGTCAATAACAAAAGCAAGATTGATCTGCAGTGAATTGACATTAAGCCAGTATCCCGAACTCAGCTGCGCGTCGTATAACAAGAACCCGGCAACGATCAACGAACCTGACGGTATAGTGGCTGTCTGGAATATGCACTTACTTGAACGACCCGAATTTATTTTCCATTCACAAGTCAGTCTTCCCTCCTTTAGACATTGTTATTGATCTCTAACACTATAAATAGTCTGATGTCCTCTCGGTGACGTTCTCACCATTTCACTCAAACCTTGTCTTTGGTGGTACCTATTCTGGGCAAATTCTGCTATGGGACACTCGATCAAAACATCTTCCTGTCCTTAAGACTCCTCTGTCGGCTTCTGGTCACACACATCCCGTCTATGCCATGCAGATGGTGGGAACACAGAATGCGCATAATTTGATCACGAGTAGTACGGATGGTATGGTTTGTAGTTGGTTGGTGGACATGCTCGCACAACCACAGGTGAGCGTCTTTGTGAGAAAAACTATCATAAAGTCTCATGTCCCCGGCCGTAGGAAACATTGGAACTCGTTCACGCAGGTCATAACAAAACAGGAGAAGTTGCTATCACATGTCTTGATTTCCCTGACAATGAGACCACGACATTCTGGGTTGGAACGGAAGAAGGCAATGTGTACCAAGCGAACAGATACGATCGTGCAGGTGCCAAGGCAGGGCTGAACCAGTACGACGTCTATAAAGGACATTCAGGTCCTGTCATGGGATTGGACTTCCATCCCCTCATTGGACCAGTTGACTTTTCGGATCTATTTTTGACTTGCTCCGTTGACTGGACAGTCAAACTTTGGAGAGCCAAGTCTTTGTCGAAACCTTCCACGACGGTGCACCATCTTCATCCGTTGTATTCATTCGAAGAGGCAGATGACTACGTGTATGATGTCAAATGGCACCCTACACAACCGGCGATATTTGGATCCGTCGATGGGTCAGGCAAGTTTGATGTATGGAATCTGAACATCGACACTGAGGTAAGCAGCTCCCCTTATTGTTCATTTATATTACCTGTTGACATGAGGATTGTAGGTACCAGTCGTGTCAACGACAGTCAGCTCGGGGCGCGCTATCAATAAGCTGCGGTGGGATCATAAGGAGGGACGGCGTGCCGCGCTTGGAGGAAGCGACGGGAAGCTATACATATACGATATCGGAGACATGGCACTTCCTCGAGAGTCGGAGTGGACGGATTTGCAGAGGTCGATCGCTGGAATTATGGGAGGCAATCAGTCAAACGGTACCCTGGACGGAGATTCGGCGCGTATTGTCGCTGGTCGGTGACTCTGACCGTCGTTATTGTGTGCATTTCGTGCAGAGTTCCTCAGGTTCTGGTTTTAGATACTTGTATACCCTTTCAATGGATAAATCCCTTGTCGTGGAAAGTAGTGGTGGTGGCAAATATTGTTGTGACTCCTATCAATTTTGAGTTTGCACTAGTCGGAAATCCGTGAGTCGGAACGCGAAACGAGGAATAAAGGATATAAAGAGCGCTGAGTGAAGAACGCTTTGAGGACGCTGGGTAAAACTGCGAACGGAGAATAGGCAACGAGCGACGGCTTAGGACGGGACTCCGGAATCTGTCAGGTGATCAATGGCTTTCTTTCGTCTTCATAACCAGCTTGTCCTCCTTTCATCCGCGCAACCCTCTCTGCCCGCTCGAATTCCTGTGTCCAAATATTCCTTAGCGTCCTCTCGCCCGCCAAGTCTGTCTGTGCATCGCAAAATGTCCACATTCAAGCAGGTAGATCCACCTTCAACCTAATCTCCGTTCCATTATTGATCGAGGTCACGATGGACGTATATAGGAACCTCACAAGTATGTTCCCCTATTCACATTCGTCGGAGCATGGCATTTACATATTATTGTTGAACCCCAGATTACTACTGTACGTATTCATTGCATGTTCTGGATTTTTCGTTGCTCATACTTCGGTTGAAGCATCCCGGGTCCTATAGAAGGTTCGTGATCTACGCTGAAGCCCCTCTTCTGATCACTCACGTATCGTCGTTGCTCCTCAGTGACCGATGAGGTTTGTTGGAGGTTCGACAGAGTAATTCCATATCATCTAAACATGACCACCATAGGTTCTCTACGCGAATGCATACCCACCAGTTGCACACACTTCAGCGGACTTTATTCCGATCTTCGGAGACAGCATAAGGTTGACGAGGTGAGATTCATATCCCATTTTTCACTCCGTTGGTCACTCAAGCTCTTTCCAGGGAACTGCTATATAGTTCTGATGCACAGATATTCTTGATTGCGGGGTCAGGGACGTTGGGTTGGGATCAGGTATGTGTTACATAAAATTTAACGTTGAAGGTGTATTTATTAACACGTTTTCAGGTATCCTCCAACCTTATAGAGCCTGGCGAAGAAGTCCTTGTACTCAATAGCGGGTATTTTGGTGATAGCTTTAGTGACTGGTAAGAGCGAATATTCGGGTTACATATTGTCGTCAGCTTGAATGTTTTCCCCTTAGCCTTAAGACATATGGCGCAAAAGTAGACGAGATCCGTGCAGATTTTGGGGCAGCGGTTTCCAAGTCTGACCTTGAAAAGGCCTTGCTGGCAAAGAAATACAAGGCCGTTGCCTTTACGCATGTAGACACATCAACAGGTGATGTATGCTCTTTTCTGCACTCAAGGGAATTTTCTAACCCCTATTTAGGCGTGCTTTCCGATGCAAAAATGGTCGGCGAGACAGTGAAGGCCATTTCGCCAGATTCATTGGTATGCCTGCAAATGGTTATGATATTTTTCTTGACTTATGTTTCGACAGGTCATCCTTGATGGTGTCTGCTCTGTCGCTAGTGAAGAGATTCGCATGGACGACTGGAGCATTGATGCGGTCATCAGCGCAAGTCAGAAAGGTCTCGGCGCGCCTCCTGGTCTCAGTATCGTTGCTGTCAGTCAAGCAGCGCTGAAGGTATATCTCGTCCAGCCTTCGTCGTCCGACTTTGTTGAACCTTACTTGCTACATAGGTCTCAGCAACTCGGAAGACTCCAGTCACTTCGTATTACGCAAGCTGGAAACGATGGCTACCCATCATGAATGCGTATGAGAGCGGTAAACCCATGTACTTTGCAACGCCTCCAGTCAACCTCATCCGCGCATACCACACCTCCCTCAAGCAAATTACACGAGCTGCGCCGTCCCTCGCGGATCGTTTCAAACTACATAAGGAAGCGAGCCAACGGGTCAAGGATGCTGTTGCTGAGCTTGGTCTCAAGCAGGTGCCTACAGATCCATATTACGCCGCTAATGGCATGTCTGCCGTAAGTCACAAGTTGCCTTCTGGTTTCTGAGGGTGAGGGTTGAGGATTTTTGCGATAGGTATACCTTCCTGATGGTCTCGGCGTTGCCGATTTGGTTCCTCGACTGGCGCAGCGAGACGTTGTGATCACTGGTGGTCTTCATAAGGACTACAAAGGTGAGTCTCTTCAATGCTGAAAATATTTCGACCATTCTTACGGTATCTTCATAGACAAATATTTCCGTATCGGGTACGTACCTAAGAACGAACGCCACTGGGAACCTCTTATTGATTGATCAACTTTACAGACACATGGGTGTGACCGCAGTGAACCCCGAACGCGGAGATCTGGACAAACTCATCGCTGCACTGAAGGACTCAGTTCGGGAAGCCATTGCGAGTAAGAAGTAAGGATTTTTTTTCAACCCCCACCCTATCTCCACCCCCGCTCTTGTTCCTTCTCCGCATAATACCCATGATAGAATGATGCCAATTCAAAGTTGAGAAGCTCATAAAACATTCCTTGCATTTTCGTTGTTGTAACACCACCATTCATTCATGATTCATGTTATCCAATTGCATTGTCTGCAAATGCCATTCGCATACATGAATTGATCAAAACCTGAATGAAATGGTGACCAATGAAATATTGTAGATTGCAATCGCGAACGGAAAACAAAAGGACTACGCAGGTCCGTCCGCGGCCTTATCTCCGCACAACTTCCGCAAGGCTTTGAACCAAACCAGGACGTCGACGTCCCAAAGACGGAAGACCTTGGCGGGGGTCCGCCTCACCTTCGGGGTTCCGATGGAGTTCGCTGGGTTGGTGGGCAGCGGGGTTAGAGTGGAGGCATTCTCCTTGAGGACTGATAGACTAGGGGCTGGTTGAGGTACGCTAGATGTGCTCAGGGGGCCTGGGATGCATATCACTCACGTATGGGACATTTGCATGCTTGAATACTACACCCATTGAGTCGTTTGTAATTATTACCTTTTGGGTTTACACATTTCTTCTCAACAATTTCGGCGAACACTTGCGGCACAACAAGACGTTGACTTGGAATCCGGATGAGGCGCGCATTAGAAACAAAGTAAGATGAAGTATGATACAGATGCGTTGAGCAATGTCAAGGTGTTATGCTGTAGCTTCCCGATGAATACCTTCCCCTCCTGCCCGATCCCACCATGCAGCACCTGAAGTCGTTGGTGCAATATATCCAGCACGGATGACGAAGTCACCGAAGTGTTCTCCGTCTAACCGTTCGAGAGCATAATGCTTGATCATGGGTTCCAGGATAGCCAAAATCTCCGGCTCCGAGACAGTGTCTGTGACCATAAAGTCAATAAACCTTTCATTTTTTTTTCAAACAGATTACACAAACCTCTGTATATTTTATTCAGCCTTTGGCCGTAGTAGCCTCCACCAAGAAGCATGGAATACGTTCCGAGGGCTTTACCGACGAATGCAACCTCAGCAATGTAGGGCCTGGCGCAGCCGTTGGGACAACCAGTCATACGCATGACGATGGAGTCGTTACGGAGCCCGTTCTTCTCACATATCTTCTCGACCTTGTCAATGAGGATTGGAAGGTACTGGATACATCTCGTAAGATGGCGTTGAACGAAGAATTACTGAAATCAACTTACACGTTCTGATTCAGCCATTGCGAGACCGCATGTCGGGAACGCAACGCATGCCGAAGACGACAAACGAAGCCCAGTTTGCGAAAGATTGTCCAACTTATACTCAACAAGCAGCTGCTTGATCTCCTCAAGGTTTTCCGTGGGAATATCGGTGATGACCAAATGTTGGTTCGTGGTCATTCGGAACGAGCCCTTGTGAATCTTCGCAATCTCTCGGAGACATGTTTTAAAATGTTTCCCGGACTCATCCTGGATACGGCCGTTCTCAATGAAGCAGGTGAAGTGATGTTTACCGTCTTCACCCGTTGTCCAGCCGAAGTCGTCCACGTTCCGGTCGAAAGTGAATGGTCGTGCTGGTTGCAACTTGTATCCCAGAAGCTTCTCAACTTCCGCTTTGAAGTTCTCCAGACCCATCCGGTCGATGGTGTACTTCAGTCTGGCATTCTTCCGGCTAAGAGAAATGATAGAGATTCAGAGCTACGACGTTATGTGAAGAAGCATGTCACTTACTCGGCACGGTTGCCGTTGTCTCTTTGAACCAACATAATCTTCTCGGCTATCATTTTACCCTGCTCAACTGTGCAGAAGCCGAGGACGTCACCCAATCGCGGGTACGTCTTTTTGTTACCATGGGTCACACCCATGCCACCACCTGCGGTTACATTGAATCCAGCAAGCTGACCCTTCTCGTCCACAATGGCGATGAAACCGAGATCATTCGCGAAGAGATCTACGTCGTTGTGTGGCGGTACCGCGACAGCGATTTTGAACTAACGAGACATGAGTATGGCGATGGTAGGGAAACAGAGACGAAGATACGTACTTTTCGGGGCAAATAAAACTCGCCATACAAGGGTTCGACGTCCTTCAGCGCTTCACCAGCGACTAGCTTCTTGTCTAGCCAAATTTCGTGGTATGCCGTAGTACGTGGCAGAAGATGGGTACTGACGTCGCCGGCAAACTTGTACACCTGCGCGTGCAGTTTCGAAAGCGAAGGGATCGCTGACACAGTAACATTGCTATATAAAAAGACCGTGAGTGAGAGAGTATAGAATTAGGACATTGCAACTCACCGGTTCACGTCACCACATGCAGCCAATGTATCCAACAATGCCCTGTTGATATCCTGAATAGCAGTCTTGAGATGACGCTTGATGACACCATGAAACTGGAACGTCTGTCGCGTAGTGATCTTGAACGTCCCACAACCATGCTCGTCCGCGATCTGATCCATCTGCAGCCACTGCTTCGGCGAGCACACCCCGCCAGGCATACGCACACGTATCATGAACGAAAAGGCAGGCTCAACACCCTGCGCCTGCCGTTCATCCCGAATATCACGATCATCCTGCTGGTAAATACCGTGGAACTTGGTCAATTGGGTGTCGCTAGGAGCCAATGCGCCAGTTGATTGATCCTCAAGTCCTTCAACAATTGTACCCCGGAGGTATTGTGAAGCAACCTTGATGTGTTCGTTCGTGATCGGCTCGGGTTCAGCTTCGTGTAACTCTACAGCGTCTACTCCGAGAACCTTCCAGAGCTGAGGTTCCCAAAGCTTGTAACCCGTCTCCGGACCATCAGCATCTTGGTCGTCGCCGAGGCCCAACTCAACCACACGCTGTGCGCCCAATTTTTCCAGACGGGCGTTGAGATCCTTCCCCGCCTTGTTGTAGTAGTGCGCATCCTCCGGGCGAGGCCAGTAGTGGCTATCACCCATCCCAAAGACGGAGAATCGAACGTAGTTGAGAGGGCGTTCACCGCGAGCTGCTGCGGCACTCAAAGCCTTCCACAATGTTCGTCCGTTTTGCGGGAACTCTCCTTGGCCAGCGACTGATGTGACGAAAGCAACAAATTCTTCCTTCTGGAGGTCGTCCAACGATATGGAATCCATGGACGAGACGTTGGTTGACAGACCTCTAAGTTTGCCTCTGGTCGCCAGACGCTTCGCAACCTTCTCCGCCTTGCCTCCATCAGATGCATACAAAACCAGTAAAGGTGGCGCGTCGATGGCGGTAAGAAGTTCAGCGTAAGACTGTTGAGCCTTCTGCTTCCTCGCCTGCTTGAGCGTGTCACCCAAGTTACTGACCAACTCTGTTGCCAGTTGAGGTTGCGAGCGAACGAGTTGTGACAAGTGGCTTTGACGGTCAAGGAACCGTTGAAGGTCGTTCTTGATTGCGTCGGAATCCAGAATGAACGGCTCCTTTCCCTCCTGCTCTTTACTCGGGTTCCACCGGTAAAGTGGCCAGTATCCAGCATCGACAGCCATTTTGGTCTCTTTCAATACGTCCAAAGCAGGTGCGTCCTCAGATTTGTACGGAAGATAGGCCACGACTACACTAGGACCGTTGAATTTGTCTGCTTCCGCTAAGGCTTGCAGAACTTGCGAATACGAAGAGTATACTGCAACGCTGGCGACGTAGACATCACCGTGATTCATAGCATACAGGCCAACATCTTGTTTGCGACGGTTGGGATCTGAGGCGTTGCGAGCAGTGTAAGGAGTTGTATCAAGGATGAGAATGTTCACGTTCAGTTTGGATGCGATAGCGTGGTGTAGACCTGATGCTCCCAAGTCGTAAGACCATGCGTCGGACCCGATGATCCATCGTGAACGTGCGGGAAGGTGAGAACGAAGTTGGTAAACTCGCTGACCAGCGGGACGTGCGCTTTCACCTCCTTCGAGCAACTGCACGATTTGGTCGCTGAGTTGTTGACTCTTGGCAGCGTCATCCTTGTCATGAACCCACTGTGTGAGAAGAGTGTGAAGTTCTGGCGAAACTTTCTCGTCTCGGAGCAAGTCTTGAACTGCGGACAGGAGTTGCGCACGAGCGTCTAGTTCACCGCGAATTCGACCTAGAGCAAACTCGGGGGACGTTGCCAGTTCACCTTGGGTCTGAACGAGGTCAGGTGAGTTGGCTATCTCGAGATGTTCGCCGAACAGTTGGTTGAGCAGTTTCAGATACGCGAATTCATGCTTCGGGACGTGTGCAGGCGAGGAGATGACGCCTGAAGCATCAGCATCGTACCCAAGGTGTAATCGGGTTGAAAGTGATGATGAAGCGGCCTGTTGGAGCAATTTCAAGATGTCGACCACTTGCACTGAATTGACGTCACCATAGACGCCACTTTGCACGATAGGCCGAACATCGCCTTCGCTGTTCTGAACGATACTCAGAACGTCCAGGTAAATGGGTGTCCACTTTGTTTGCCACCGTGAAAGTTGTTCAAGTACAATAACACGGGTCGCAGATGGGGGAATGGCGTTGAGGATTTGTTGAGGAACGATAGGGTTCAGAAGAGAGAGCTCGATGAAAGAAACGCCTTCAACTTCGAAGTCGAAATGCGCAGAGCCGACGGTCAATATAACGGTCGGGGTGTCGAATGGACCATACCGTGTGTATGTACGAATCGGGCGACGAAGGAAGGCTACGGTGGTGAGAGCCGCAGTTTCATAAGCCTTATATAGAGCGGACTGAGTGGAGGACTCAGTCTCAGCCGAGTCCCCGTTGACTCCAATCGCGCCATCGGTCTTGTTGACTCCATTCGCACCGTTTGTGTACCCGTTTTGAGACCTAGACTTCCTATCGGTTAGAAGAAAAGGCTGGACCTTATCTGCATCTACTTCTCGCAGTGCATCTTCTGAAGCGGCATTGAACAAGTGCAAGACAGCTTTCTTCTCGTCCCGAGCTAAGCGAGAGGCCAATAATGCATGGTCGTGAGCCTGTTCAGCCGTCCGTGAATAGAGAACGAACGGAAGTGTCGATCGTAGTGTGAATGCATCGGAAAGGTCATCTTCCACTGCGATGTGCAGAACTAATGGTAGGGCCGATAGCTCGGATAGGTGAGGGAGAAGTCGATTTAACACTTGTGAGTGAGCAGCGGTTGTGTAGGAGATGAGGGAAGCATTTCGGTGTCGGAGCAGAACAGATCCTGCGTCGGCGCCGGACGGAAGAGAGATCAGTGTGGGCTTATGTACATTATGCCATGATACAGCTTCAAAAGTGGTCGTAAATGTGGAAGACGAGGGGCGAGGTGGTTGTGAGTTGACTAGAACGTCAGAGGCGAGGTATGCAATCCGTGCCACGGCGGAAATGGATGACATATTGGTCGTCAAATATAGTTCCTAATAGGAAGACTAGAAGGTGAAATACAACTCGGGCATCAACGCACTACAACACTCACGTTATGTGTGTCCAGTGTTTGTCTTTTCTACTCCTGAAATTCAAATCTAGTCGATCGTGAACGCTAGTCAGTGAGAGTCGCTTGCCCAATAAGAAGCAGCGGATTGATGGAGGGCCGTGTCTCACGAAGGGGTCAGCCGGGACAGGGTAAGTAGGGTGGAATAAGTCTCATGTTCGCTCTCCAAGGCTCGCGAAAATATAGACCTTTGCAATTCGGAATTCATGCGATGAGCAATTCCGTGCCAAAAATGAGCACTCCGGGCGCTTGATGCCTCTTTTGGACGTCTCATCCACTCAAAGCGGTTTCTTTTCAAATCGCACACATCCTTCCTATGTGAACCTAACTCTTTGCAAAGATTATGTCTTCTTCGTTATTTTTACGTTGCGACATGAACGTGCGTGAGCACTGCTACCTCAACGTTACCTCTACAGGTTTCAGCTCAATCCTGGGAACGCTCTGCCCCATGACACCATTGCAAGAACATGTGCCTGTCTTCATTGTATAATCAGTTGGGACGTGTGCGCTCGGAAGACCGCCATTCTCACCAAGTTTACAAAGCTTTCTCGAGACGCCTCGGACAATTTTCCTTCAGCGTGACTGAAACCTGTCCGAGGTATTCAGTTCGATGCGTCTCTCTTCTTCAATGACTGAAGGATCCAAGGGTTGGTGAATGCACGCGAAGTCACTTCTTTAGTATCAAGGTACTTTGCGCCTTGAATAGTCCGTAAACAAGTCTAGTCCGTGCCCATTATGGTGAGTCGCATATATACTTGCAACAAAGAGGACTCACGGGTGCACCACAGTGACAGTCGAATGGCTGAACCATGTCCCATTCGGTGCAGGGGTAGAAGAAAGTAACTGTTTCATGCGCTCGTCAGAAGGGCATAAATGCTTGCCGACAACTATTGCTCACTGCTGTCACCAGCTTCGATCCGCTTCCTTGCGCGAACGTGCCAGTCAGCAGGCTTAGGCGAGGACAAATCCCAATCGGTGTTCGGCTCGCATGAGTGGTTGGCTTCGTGTGGAGGCGGTGGTCAGCGCATTGAATATGACTCTGGAAATCAGAACAGGCCTTACCATACCGTAAATCAGAGTTCAGCTCGAGGTGGTCTTTGGCAGACGGTCCGCATTGTACTGTGGTGTATGCGATCGGTACTCCAAGACTAATGCCTTCGAGTTTTGCGATGACTTCCCCAGCCTCAAAAGTCTGTTTTGCATTATCGTGAGTATTTGTAGTATTGTGGATGCCGTTGATAGTCACCTTGTTTGCCTTGAGAAACGCGCTAAAGTCGCCCTCGCCGAACACGACGGTGAACAACTCTGGGTGGGTTGGCTTGTAACCTGAAGACATGACAGTTCGTTTTGAAGGCTGAAGAAACCCAAAGGAACACTCGGAAATGGAGGGAAAAAAGACATGCCTGTGATTTACTTCATATTTTCGCCGGGTGTGCCGCCAAGCACTACTTACTACGGTTTCCGTTTCCGGTCGTCCGGCCAAATCCGGATGTTCAATAGGCGGAGATCCAACCTTGACTTTATGCTGCGATCCGCATCCTCATAACTTAGCTCACTTCCAGCCTAGTAGTATATGCACTCTCGGAAAACAATCGTCCCTTCGTATACAGAGGCTGGAACGTAAGTCACCGCTCCAGAGAGAGGATCCCCGTGGGGAAATGCGGGGTTTGACGTTGCCGTCGGCATGCGCAAGCTTGGCTCTATGCTCACCCAATTAGGAAGGCGCTTTGCTTTACAGCTTTACCGTACGGCTCCAGTCCCGAAACCAGACTCCGTACTTTCCTCAACATGGACGCTCTGATTGCAACTGAAGATGCCGAATGCACTTCGGACAATGACCTTGTGTTAGCCAAGTACGTCTTTCCACTTCTGTCATTTCTACTCGCTCCCGGGATGCTTCTTGTGCCGACGCGCATGTCCCACCCGGATGCACTCCAAGGGTCACTCGAACACTTGAACTCATAAAAACACGTTACCGATAGGACAGTCGTGTAGTGGCGGTAATCACAACTGGACCCAATTACCGTGCCACTGCACCACTGTTTTTTTTTCGTACATGGGCTATCGAACCCTCGTCTCATTCATCATCATAGGATTTATAAAATAGTGTGTCCCCTCACGGGGTCTCTCATCTACCCGCTCCACTTGGAGGTAAGCCTATAAGTACTGTCAGTTTAACTTACGGATCATACTAACTTGGTTGGTCCACCGAATAGCATCCATTTACGTAGTCATCTCGGAAACTCAGCCCTGAGGAAATTACCAAAGCTGCTGATCTTGTACGGTTCCAGTGGGACCACCCCCAAATTATTCTAGGGTTGAATCTCTGGCGCGTGAATTTGCTCGGCACGTATGCTACGTGCCAGTCGTAGCCTATCTCATTGGCGGGATGTATTTCGTCGATCAGAAATTGCCAGTCAGCTCCACGACATCGCGAATCGCGAAGGGGGTCGTTCATCTTACTTTTCTCAAGGATTTGCGGGCTCATGAGGCTCACGGATACGTCATCGCCTTCTGCAAGTTCTTCAAAAATATCACCTTCGTAATAGGCGTCCTGGACGGTATCTCCATTATAGTGGCCAGCGCTCGAAGGCCTCATTCAGTAGCTTTGTTGGCACAACGATGAGTCCCATACCTGTCTTCTTGTGCTCTTGTGCAGCGAAGAGTGGTGCGTGTATCATTGAATTCTTTCCCATACCAGGAGGCACAACAAAGGATGGGGTCTTTTCTGCTAATAAGGTCTGTTGGCACATGCTTCAGTTGGAAGTCGCGAATAGAAGGGACCTAGCACGTTCAACGGGGAAGTTGCTCGAGAGAAGCCTACTGCGTGATAAACACGTCGAATGGTGTAGATTCAATCACACATGAGTTAAAATTAGGAATGCAACAACCGTAGAAATTAGGATCGTGGCATTTTAATCCTCTACAAGACAAAAGGCGTATGCGACGCGCAGTATAGCTTCGGCAACGAACACGATTAGGGTTGAAGCAGTTGAATTCTCCAGTTCGCAAACCTCCCTACGAGGGTCTTCAGTGAAGGACTTGTGTTTTAGCTAACGTCCTCAGAGATTTACATCAAGCTCACTGCAGCAAACGTCCTCAGCCGTAGATGGACTAGTGTCAGGTTGAGCACTTGTGAGTGCCAAAAGGTGTAGGATATGAGGGATGCACTCCGACATCGGTGGACAGATCATGCATCGGCGCCAGATGGAAGAGAGAGTAGCATAGCTTTGTGCACAGGGTGCCAGAATACAGTCTCATAGGCCGCCGCAGATGTGGGAGGGACGATGCGATTGGGAGTTGAGTAGAACATCAGAATCCGCAATGGCTGTAATACATATCATCTTGGTCATAAGGACGTAGTTGCTGCAAAGAAAAGGGTGGAATAAGCATCGGATATCAAAGGTACGACGTTCAGTACTCACGGTACGGACATGGAAGCTTTTCTACTGGTCCGAAAATAAGTCGATCTTGAAGCTTGAATAGAGTGACAAATCACACGGCCATTAAGAAGGAACGGATTGCCGTGAGTCACGGAAAGGATTGGGGTCGTCGTTATGGCTCTGACAGGGCTTCGAAAGACGGCCTCAAAGAGTTTGCGTGGGTTGCAATATGTCGCAAGTTCGCAATCCAATGCTTGCGAAAATATAGACCTTTGCAATTTCGAATTCAGACGATGAGCAATACCGTAGGAACTATTAGCACCCCCAGCGCTTGTCCTCTTTCGGACACTCATCCACTCATGATCAATATTTTGAATGCTGTCTCTTTTCGAAAGCGAACAGAATTGATTCTTCGTCATTGCTTTCATGTGGCGGCATGGGTAATGGTTTCTCAATTCTCTTTTCTAGTACTTTTGCAGCTCCACGGGCGGAACGCTCTGTGGACACATGTGCATGGTGTCTCCGTCTGTTTGGATCGGATGCACGCTTCGGCAAAACGTCGTATTCTCACTAGTTGTACAGAAATATTCACAGGGACGGTTCTTACAGCCTTCTTCAGTATAACGCAAGCCCGTGGACCGAGGTCATCAGTTCAAAGCCTCTTTCTCCTTCAACAAGCGACGGATCCAGGGGTTTATGAATGCACGAGAGGTCACTTCTTTGACATCCAGGTACTTTGCGCCTTGAATGGTCCCCAAGCAGGTCTTATTACCGCCTGCGGTGAGTTATTTTTATTCATATTCTTTGCCAAAACGGACTTACGGGTGCACCACAGCTGCACTTGAATGGCTGGATCATGTCCCACTCGGTACATGGGTAAAAGAAGGTAACTGTTGATGGACTCATCAGAGTGACGTGAGACACGAGTGCTGCGAATCATCGCTCACTGCTGTCGCCGGCTTCGATACGCTTCCTAGCACGAACGTGCCAGTCAGCTGGGTTGGGCGACGACAAATCCCAGTCAGTGCTGGGTTCGCAAGAGTGGTTGGCTGCGGAGCAGGGCTGTAAGTGTACTGGCTGTAACGTAGAGAGCGTAAACAGGCTGTACCAAATCGCAGGTCAGAGTTCAGCTCAAGGTTGTCTTGGCTGTACTCTCCGCATTGTACTGAAGTGTATCGCTTGGGTGTTCCAATGGTGATGCCCTCTAGTTTGGCGATGACTTCCCCTGCTTCAAAGGTCTGCAGGCATTGTGATGAGTATCATTGACAACGGGTGAATGTGTTGAGAGCAACCTTGTTCGATTGAAGAAAAGCACTAAATTCACCGTCTCCAAACTGGACGGTGAAGAGCTCTGGGTGGGTAGGAGAGTAGCTTGGAGACATGGATGCTAGTGTTAAGGAATGAAAGGACACATCCTGACCTGCCTGTGGTTTATATACCGTTCTGTATTAGATCTTTCCCCCAGATTTGCGCCCAGTAAGTACCAACTATACACCTTCCGTTTCCGGTTACACGGAAACGACCGAGCGCCAAAGGGCGGAGAACAAACCTTAAGTTTGTGGTGTCCTCAGAGATTTGCGTTGAGCTCGCTGCAGCGAACGTCCTCAACCACCATCCGTCAAGACTCCCGCCCTCCCGACACACGACCATAATCATCAATGGCACCCACAAAGAAATCCAAGGCTGCCAAGTCCACAGAGTCCATCGCCTCGCGTTTGGCTCTCGTCGTGAAGTCGGGAAAGTACTCGCTCGGGTACAAGTCTGCGCTCAAGCAGATGCGTAATGGCAAGGGTGAGTCCCTTTCCTACAGGCTCTCTCCGGGGACTGGAGCGTGAGGCTGAGAAGGTCCCTTGCGCTGACGATTTTTTTGCTTTACCCCCGCTGCTCCTTGGTGCTCTGGATCTGTTTGGCATACTCGTTCTTCAGCTAAGCTTGTCTTGATCGCGGGTAACTGCCCCCCTCTGCGCAAGTCTGAGTTGGAGTACTACGCTATGCTCTCCAAAACTTCCGTCCACCACTTTGCCGGTACCAACGTCGCCCTAGGCACCGCTGCCGGAAAGCTTTTCCGTGTTGGGTACGCAGTATTTGTCCTTTCGTTCCTTCTTTCCCAGCTGATGTGCGGCCATTACAGTGTCATGACCATCAGCGATCCCGGTGACAGTGACCTGCTCGCCGTTGCTGAGGCCCAGGCTGCTTAAAATGCTCGTCTTCTGTATTATGCTTGGTAGCATTGATAAGATTGTATGAGACTACCCCATGACTTTCGCATGCCCCCTCAATTGATATGAGCCTGAGTAAAAAGATCAATGCGTGAACGGTGAACTAAGTGCATGAAAACATAGAGCTAGTAATAATTTAAAGCAAAGCCGGTGACATGTCTAGTATGACTTTTGGACCACTCTCAACATAGTCTGCTTTCGATACGAAATTCTTGCCCGACGAGTCGGTAAACACAAGCTTAATCATGCAACGTTGGTATCAAGCAGATAAGCAGTAGATGAGAAAGTGCTCACCTTTGCAACGATACTCAAGCCCAAGAATGACGCAAGCCCATCGCCCTTATCCCGATATTCGGCAAAATAGTCTGGGACTTTGATCACTCGGATACTTCGAGGTTGTACATCGTTCGCCTGGTCCGCCGCGCTCAAGATGAATGGCTGAAGACGAGCTTGAAGAGCGGTTCCGAGACCTGATATAACAACGTTAGAGGTTCACATTAAACACGCAAGAGATGCTGGAGCATACCCTTGATTTTATTTGTGATATCTCCAGTAACAAGGAGACCTTGCCACACATATTGTCGGTTGTCCACCTCCACCTTACTCACCGCATGTCCAACGGCAGATGCCAATGGCATCATCGTGTCTTTGTATGCCCCTGGTATATTAGTCAAGAGAGTTGGATCGAACAATGGTTCACAAAATCGGTGTCTTTCCTTGCCCAACGTAAGTGAAAGCCCTCGAAACTCGACGGTAACAAGATCCATCGCCTCGATCTCCCTCGCGCGAGCCTGCTCCGCCGCAGTAGCTTTCGCGTTCTGACGTTTCTTCATACCAGATTCAATGACAGCCTTTTCTTTGCCTGCGACGAGAACGGCTGCGATATCCGTAATACCTTCTTCTTCGATATCGGCCGCTTCGCCCTCTGCAAGGACTTTAACGAGACCTTCTTGCCAAATATGGTGAGCGAGCTCGACGAGAGTGGATTCTTGAGCTTCTGGGGTGATTGGTTCTCCACTTGGAGGGAACAATGCGTTCATGACGCCTGGGCTGGAACGGAGGAGGTAAGCGAGGTATCTTTCGCAGTGGCTGATACCATAGGGTAAAGATTCTCGGGCGCGTTGGACGATGAATCCGTCCAAGATGGGTGTAATATCTGTGTAGTCCTGGCCAATATCCACAACGACTCCACTGAGGTCGTTTCCAGCGATGGCAGCGTAAAATTGGGCCATGGGACGTTCGAGAATGGCGAATCCAGCCACATTGAACCGTTCGAAAAAGATTTGACATAAACGTTCGTGGGCGTCGCGTGAGAGACCAGCTTGGATGGAAAGTAACACTGGAGACTCCATCAGGACTCGACGTAGTTGTAATTGGGAAAAGAGGACATGTTTCCTGTGGGGGAACGGCTATGAGTTAGACTAGACACCTGATATCTCCTCTCAACTGGGGTGTTCCGTGTCCAAGAAAAAGGGCCAAATCTGACATACCAAAGTGCCTCTGCCTGTGTCCAGTCACTTATGTCCCCTTCAGCGAATGGCCAGAAGACCACAATATCCTGACCGGAAGCAAGAGCTTCATCCAACTGAGAGCCGACGAGGTAGTCGGTCACTTTAGCATTGATTGAGGGCGTTTTGGATGATGAGGCTTTTGGTTGAGTTGACTCCCCATTCTCATTTGACCCATTCGTTAGTTCGCTTGCTGCCTCCAACACCGCCCTTCGGAGACCAACGCGAGCAGGGATTTCCTACGGAAACAGTTAAATTATTGACTATGTTGGAATGAGCAGACTGTGATATGGTTTACATACGACAGAAGGGGTTTTCAGAAGGTCGTGTAAACCATGTCCCGCGCGTAAAGATGTCCGACTGGTGTCAATCATGACCACTGTAGAATCACGAAATGCGCTCATTTTATATCAAGACGCGAGGTTGCGTACGAAATTGCGGTCGGTGGTTCGGAGGATAGGATACCAGACTCGAGAGTAGAGCAGACGTAGATATAGTGGACCGTACGACGCGTTCGAGTGTGCTGGCAGGTCAGAAACTTTGATATTCAGAAATTAATACGCGTGAAACCGACGGCTAAAGGCACAATACCACGCGATCGAGGAGACGGTATCGAGGTCTGCCCGAACAAGGATGAGAGCGAAGGTCAAAGCGTTGACATACAAGCGCCCGGTCAAGCAGGTACCTCTAAGACTGCGAACTTGAAAGACAAACCACTCGAGGGAACAAAAAGACATAGATATTGTGATATAGAATTATACATTAATACACAATGATGGGGGAATCAAGAAGAAGACGTGGACGACAGTGGGGAGATAGGAGGCGAAAACCACAACAAACCTCACTGACGGGAGCACAAAACCACCACCACACCACCACACAGCACCAACACCATCAAGGACAGTAGACAACTCATACCGCACCCTTGATCTGCACCTTGCGATACTTCTCTTCAAAGACCTGTGTGAGGGGCGTCGTCATTTGTTTGCAATCCAAAGTCAACTGGGCATCAGGTGCGTTCGGGTTTGTAAAGAAAGCGGCGTTGTGGTCTGCAAGGAACTTGCGGGTTTCGGCGGCTGAGTCAAACGCGAGTTCGTTCTGGATGAATCTGAGAGGAAGAGCTCGGTATCTGTAGAGCACGATCGTGGATAACGTAAAGAGTAAGATGAAGATGCCAGTGATTAATAAGAATCCAAAAAGGTTGAAATGACTATTTTGCGTACGCTTTGGACATGACGATGAGAGCTCTACAACGTTCTCTATCAATGAAGTGATCCATGATGTACGCTCCCATATTCGGCGCATTCAGATACAAGTCAAACAGAGAATGGTAGTTGCCCATGGAAAGCGCCCTTTGGACGGCGAGGGCATGCTTGACAGAGGCATTAGATTTTAGTTCGGGTGTTAGTTGACCTACGTATAAGTTCAAATCTACAATCGATGCCGTTGCGAAAGATAGAATTTTCGTTAGAATGGAGTGTGAGGAAATCGAAGAAGTATATGACGCACCGCTTCGGTTGCGACCGTGCAAGAGCATGAGGATGCGGTATGCTGTGAACTCCGCCATCTTGCCTCTGATACCGAGATCATAGAGATTCCGCAGCATCGCTTGACATTGGTTGTACTCCACCATGTCACCCTAATCACCCACCTGTCAGTCCCTCCTCTCGCTGGTCACATTCGCAGCCTATGCACTCACAGTCTCGAGAGCCATACGTGCATGAATCTCATACACGTTCACCGTAAACTCGTTTTTTATGCGTTGCACCTACATACGCAGGCGGTAATGCTAACCTTGCCGGACAAAATGATGATAGAGAAAAGAACGACGCACGGTAAGGTCTTGTCGTAGACTCTTGAACTGACTGCATATCCAGTTATAGTTTGCTTTTTCTCGCCAACGTTTCTTGAGTTCTTCGAGTGTGCGTTGGAGGACTGGGTATGGCCGTATTTGTTCTGGTTTAGGTTCCTACGGGGAGGCGGAATGTTCAGGGTGCCCGGCAAGAAACTTAGTGCAGCAACATACTGAAGTCAAACGGAGGTAGTCTTTGAAGATCTCTTGAGAAGTTCCAACAATGGTATGTCGGTCCCAGTTGGGGACATTCTATTCCCAATCTTAGTAACGCTCACACTGTACACCGACCCCAACCAGCTCACCGGATCTGCTTCTGGCTCATCACCAAAGGATGGGGTATTGGCCCGAGATAAAGAGAGGTGAGCAAGCTGACGGCGTGTTTGAGCATAATTCGAAGGAGACCCGGTCTTTTGTCGTTCAATCTCGTGTTCACGTTGGAATCGCGCGGCTCGACGATGTAAGGCGGCTTCATCGGTTGGGTCTAGGGCATTGTAGCCTACGTTTTTCCCTATCGCAGTCTTCTTGGTCTTCTTACTTGCCACATTCGCGATGTTCTCGTTACTGAAGAAACGTAAAAGAAACGGCAGATGAGTCGGCAGAATGTTTGAAAGGAACAGGAAGCATACTGTTTCCGTTTGAGGTTATTCAGAGGGCTTCCGGTGTATCCAGGCTTCGGGAGTAGACTTTCACAATGGTGGTAAACATTACAATGGACGAGGAGGACAGCAGACAAGTACCTTTGGAGTTGCACGCCGGCCCAGTCGGTAGTCCAGAGAGTCTTATTAACAAACGAATCAGCTATTACCTGTCTGAGCTCAGCTTGTGCTTCCTCTCGATTGGCATCAGTCATCTGTCCTAAACAACGTGCCACCCATTCCCTGGAGAAAGAGCGGTGAATTCATGGCAGGGAAGGTTTCCGAGACCAAAGGTCATACTTTAACTGTGGAGGCCAACTTTCGGAGGACATGGCGTAAACTTGATGTGTTTATTTTCGTACAAGTTCAGTTCAGATGATTCTATGGTGAGAAGAGACAATAGCCCAGACTCAAGAGGTATAAGCAGAAGGAGAAGATGGTGTCTTGGAGGATGATGAGAGGGTGGCCAGGTTGCGGCAAACTCGGGGACCCCATATTCGGAAGATACTTCTCACGGCCCAATACCTTCATCTTTCAAGGACACGGCAAGGGATGGCCACGACAACCAGACGGTTATAACAAAGTATCCAGGGGAGCAATGCGGACAAATAATTCAGGCATTCATGCATGCGCAGCATTTCGAGGGATTTTACAAATTCACTGTGTTTTTTTCCAGGATGGCCGTGAGTGCCTGGAGATAAGTACTCAACAAGTACTACTCGAGGTGCTTGTGTGCCGATCCTCATGATTCTCTACAGCATTCTGGGTCGGCTTCTAGGTCGTATGCAGGTACGAAGGAAGCTCCAGAAGTTCTCTGCCATTGCGCAAGAATTAATATCGATAGTCGACGGTGTTGTCACTATCCCATCGCTCGTTCCACTTGTACCGAGTATGTATATGTCTCCTCGTGTCAATCAGCAATCTATCGGGCACGATGGCTGAAGAGAAAGAGGCGTGCGGTTCTGTGAATACGTACAGAGCCTCGTGGCGGTCCCATGACGAGCAATACTGTAATTGCATGCATCTTAAGCGAGAAGTAATTTGCGCGGGCACACGAGAAATATATGAGTAGTTTTAAGATGCTGGTTGTTGCGCAGACGAGCCAGAGAGAGTGTTGGACGGTGAACGACGAGAGTTTCTAAATGTGCAGAGTAGCGTGATCGTAGAAAAAAGGCGGTGGGTTGGGGTGCGATCAATTTAGGCGGACCCGACACGCGAGACTGGCTCAAGCCTCGCTCTCACACCTCCTTCGAGGCTTACTGCTCTCTTCCTCCTACCACTACTTATACTCCGCCAACCTGGATTATCTCTCCCTAAACAGATGTTTCATCTCCATACACAATGGCAAAAAAGAATCCTGTGTTCGGTACGTTTCCCTCGCTTCTCTCCTTCACCCGCTGCGCAACCACCATTCGTTCTCTTTTCTGCACTTCCTTGTCACCCTTTTCGCATTGTTTATAACCCTACGAGGCATCTTGTCGAGTTTGTTCTGTATTCTACTGTGCTTCATTCATGTCTTCTTGCAACACGAGGCTGAATCCCCATCCGGATTGCAGATCACCAGAAATCACCCATTACCTCAATGTCGCATGCTCAGCCCCGCATCGTAGACGTCGTCGAAAATACAAACAACACACTTTATCAGGACGACGACGACGACATTTGTCCGGTATGCGAAAGCGAGTGTACTTGCCGCAACAGAGCTACTACCAGTACTCTCCCGACTCCTTCTACTTCCAGTGTCACTCCACCTGTCATTCAAGATGTACATCCACTGAAAATCAAACTTACCCTTCCTCCTCACTTCAAATCTCGCCGCTTGCAAGCACCTGCCCAAATATCTACCGAGAACACTGGCGGCGTGCCGCACGTGCTTCCGGGTGCTTTACCACCCAGACGTCGCGGTCGTCCTTCGAAAGCTGCCATTGCTGCCCGCGATGCCGCTGTACGTGCTCAAACGGCCGTTAACGGTTACACAGAGCCACTGCCGGTATACAGACCCAAGACGAAGGCGACTCACGTGTCTAAACCTAGAAAACCCAGATTGGCGGGTACGTTTATTAGCAACCATGCCTCTTCCTCGAGGGTGGTTGTACCTCCTACTCCTGCCGATGACAGTGACTTTGATGACGTGCACTCCGAGACCTTCCCCACATTTGTTTCAGCTGCATCGTCTTCACACAGTAGCTCGTCTGAGTCCGACGAGTCTATCACATCTATCGACTCTGAGGGTGAAGTGGACTCTGAAGATGACGAGGCCCGTCCCCTTTCACGCTCTTTACGACACAAGATCAGAACCAAAAAGGACCTGCTGGTTGGCGATGAAGCGAGTAGGAAGCGTAAACATACGAATAACTGGGAGATCAAGTCCAGAATGCGTAGTGAAGGTCCAGAAGATGCTGTCATGGACGTCGACAGTGATGGTGCCAGTAGTATTGACGGTGCTGACGATGAAGATGAGGAAGAGGAAGAAGCGAACGAAGAAGACGTGGAAGCGGATGTGGAAAACGAAGGACTTGGTGAACCTGAACCTGACGACGAGGACGAGCCACCTTTGGACGGCAAGCTGGGAGTTAGCTTCGGGGGCGTCACTTCAGGATGGAGTGAAGATGAAGAATCCTCTTTCGACGCTGACCTATTTTTTGCTCACCTTGAAGATTCCTCCGACTCAGATTCATCACCCAATGTTCTACACGACCCTGAGTTCGCGTCAGATGCAGAGGAATCTGATGCAGACTTTTCTCGCCGCCTCTCTGCTGACGAACGTGATGCTCTACTGTTGACGGACGTGGACCCCTCTGCACACACTCGCAGAGGCAATGGGGAGCTTGAATTCGGTCTTTCCTTACACGGTCTGTCTTTCGGTTGGGATGGCCAATTATTACTTTCACGTCAAATGGACGCCGCTCATCTGGATGTCGATCTTGGCGTCACGACCGAAGACGATATCGACATGACCGCCGGCTCTGACAGCGAAACCACCGCGGACGAAACTACTCACGTCCTTCAAGACGCTGGTATCATATTGGAAGAAACTGACGGCGAAACTACTGAAGACGAACTGGTTGACGCGGATGGACTTCCTAATCCTCGCGCTATGATGCTTTTCCGTTGGCCTACAACCGTTTCAGCTATCAATCCACTCTCAACCATGAGCTCAAGTAATCATTTTACGCCTCCTGCAGATGCTTCTACAAGTGTTCGGATTGCACTTGCTTCATTTCCTGCCCAAAGGAGTTCGCCACCTCCAACTCCTGCTGATATCCTCGCTGGAAAAGTATCAAATGGTGATCTCGATGAGTTGGAGATGAAGCAGATGCAGAGCGAGTTTGTGGATAGGCCAAAGAGAGGTGGTGTGGTGATGGGCAGTTTCGTTATGGCGACTGAACATGCGGGTGCCTTTGCTGTTGTGGATGGGTCTGGTCAAGAGACTCCAGCAGCTTTCCCGAGGATACGTATCCTGCGTAAGCCTAAAACGGATAAGTCAAGGGAGGACTCGAAAGATCTTCGTTCGGAAATTGTAAGTTTGCAGAACTTGTCGCTAAAGGTGCTGACCTGTTGATGCCAACGTAGGAAACGAATGACAACGGGTCGCAAGATGTACCTCCGCCCAGCGACAGTGTTCCACCTTCATCTTCTGACGAAGTTACTCCTCAGTCTCAAACGCAAGAATCGGAAGACTGTCCTGATGCTTTCGACTTGGGTGATGTTTTGGAAACATCGTTCTTGGACCTGGAACCCGTTTCCCCGGAACGCAGTACCACAGACTCGTTCTGGTCACCTGGTGGATTCCAGAGCGATGCCACGCATTCAAACAATCTTAATAGATGGGACCGCATTCCTGTCGCCACCTTCCGACGGACACGCGAAACTGCCACTCTGGACTATCCTGGTTCAGACACAAGTGTTGGTGGTAACCTTGTTGGTACGCCCCTGGCCCAATCCATCCTCAAAAGTCGCGACAAGCAATCGAAAGGCGGGCAAGACAAGCGCAAAGGCAAACGTGCGCAGAAGCTCGTCATCTCGCCTGTTCTGCTTCCTTTGCGCGACGGCGATGGCGTCCTGGCTAGTTCGGAGCCCCCATTCTCCAATCAGGATCAATCGCATCACCATAAGAGTCGGAAGGAGCGCAAGGAAAATGCGAAAAAGAAAGCGATGGGCAAATATGCATCTCGTCGGTTCCAGCAGCACCAGCAACAGAATCACAATCATCACCATCATCATCACCATTATCCCAATATGAAATCCCGTGGATCGAGTTCGATGCAGCGCACGAACTTCTTTGCATCTTCCAGTTCCTCCGTCCCTCATCTCAGTATATAATGCCGGCCCTGCCAGTTCTGCCGTCTCTTTCGTCTGTTCTCTTGTCGCATCGATCCATCATTGTCATCTAATTCGTAATTTGACATCCCCGCATTCTCTGTCCTCCGTTCTTGCCAATTTCGCAGTCTCACTTTCTTTTTCTTCTGATTTCTCATCTTGGTGCTCGTGCAAAAAGAAAAGCACTTAGCCGTGCGCGATACGTTATTTTTTGTATCGCTTGTCTCGAATTCACCTCAAAGGCATTTCTCTCCTCTCTTCCCCCTCCTATCTGTGCTTGAATCCGGTCCATAATTTATTGACTCGTGTTGTCGACGTTTGTACTCACTTGCTCTCCTTCACGACCCAATAGCTACTGCTGACGAACGATGTGTATCTATCTGCAATCGAAACTTTTTCATGCATGTTTGTGTTGTGAAATGGATCACCTTCGTTGGTAAGGATGAACGAGTATTTGAAAACAACTACGAGCGGCTAGCTTAGCAGGGCGGGGAGAGCAATGACTAGAATAGGCAGCCGCAGCCATGCGCCCTCAGCTCGACGTTCATTCCAACGTCCTACTACCTTTACATTTGACTACTAACTATTTGGAGATTGCTTGGCCTTACCACCTCGCAAAGAGCGACTTCCCTGACTCCTGTCGTGGTAGCCACTTGCAACTAACGAACAACTTCCCGATACCCTCGACGATCGTGTCTACAAGACTCCGTTCTAATTGATACCTAATGGACCCTTACGAAACTGAGAACCCCTTCGAGGAGGACACAGACCGTGTCCAGTCAGAGGCCTCTTCTGCGTACAGAGTCAACCTCTCCGCACCCTCTTCGCCTCCTAGTCAATCATCTAGGATACCTTCGTCACCGTCATTAGGTTCTGCTTCAAGGCCTGCCTTCCCATCGTCGGGTTCACATCGACAGCCTCAAGCGTACAAGAGTGATTTTTGCTGTACGAGGGACCAGTGGCTTCATTCTGGTGAGGAGGTGGAGATTGTGGTGCGCCCATCCTGTATTCCTCGCGTTGAACCCCTTGTGCTCAGTTCTACTGTTATAGATTACTGATGCCCTCAAGACCTCAGTCAACTCATCATCCACGTACATTACCTACGTAATCAAATCAGGCGTGCGTCATTACATTGACTGCTTCTAACCCCGCAGTTGACTGAACCGGAATTTCAGACGGCTGAGGCGCAACACAGGTACTCAGAGTTCGAGTCGTTACGAACGAGTCTAGCCAGGCTGTATCCAACTTTGATAATCCCGCCTATACCCTCCAAGCAGACAATCGGTGATTATGCCGTCAAACAGGCAAAGGCAAAGGAGGATGCTGCTATGATCGCTAGGCGTAAACGGATGCTGCAAACTTTCTTGAACAGGATCGCACGACATCCAATATTGTCGAACGAACATGTCTTCCATCGGTTCCTTGACGGAGAAGTGTCTTGGGTGCGTTTGTTTCGTATGCTTTGCAACTCCAGACTAAATGAGGCGGCGCTTCACTTTGTAGACTGAGGTCCTACATTCACCCCCATTATCGCTTTTGCCAACTAACATTCTGAAGGCGCCGTCACACAACCCAACGGACCAGAATGCGTCACCCGGCTATACGGCACTGCCTAACCCTTCAGCGACCCATGCACTTCGGCGACCAGACCAGCGCTTCCTTGACTCGGAAGTCTTCACAAACAAGTTCGCCGCACACCTTAGTGGTCCTATGGAAAAGGTTACGCGACGGACCATGAAACGGTGGTCAGGTACTGGTATATTCACCACGTCTCTGCGGTTCTGTTGCTAACCCACCGTTTGAACCTAGACTCTTCGCACGATCATGCGGAGCTTGGTGCGGCTCTCAATGGATTCAGTCTGAATGAATCAGGGCAGCTTTCATCTGCAATCGAGAAGACCGGTCAAGCGGTTGACGCTACATACATGTCTACAACACTTTTGGCAAGCTCTTATTCAGGGTCACATACTTGTATCATCTCTGACATGTCCATTTTCCCAGCTGCAAGAGTTGGAGCAGAACTGGGCGGAACCACTTCACGAATACACCCAGTTTGCCACAATAATTAAGAAGCTCCTCGTGTATCGTCATCAGAAACACGTCCAGTATGAGATGACGCAGGAGAATTTGGAGGCTAAGCGTGAACAGCTCGAAGAACTCGAGAAGAGTGAACACGCTGCAAGGCGATTGGAGGAAGCTCTCGGTCGGGGACGCACAAGTGCCGACTCCCCTCGCACAGAGGATGGCACCCCATCAAGTGGAGACAATAGCAGAGCTGACACTGGGTACCTTCCTCCACACCCAGGTCCGAACCCCGTTCGGAGAAGAGCCCCTGGAATGGGATTTTTGAGTGCGTTGAGTTACACGCTTCATGGGATGATGGACGTGGATCCAGCAACAGCTCGGCGGAATGCGATCAGTAAAGCCCGAGAGCAGATCTCATTGGTGCGTACTTCATTTCCTTGTCAGGACATCCGATGAATGTATTTCTTCCATAGCTGGAAGACGCTTTGCATTTGTCTGCACAAGATCTCAAATACTCTAGCTCGACCATTCAGGCCGATTTGGATCGCTTTCAGAGACAGAAGGTTGCGGATATTCGCGAGATGGCAATTAGCATGGCGAAGAGCCATCGTGATTGGTGCAAGAAGGTTAGTCGAGAATATATTAGGTTTTACGTGGTACCGCTCATCGGCTCATGCCTAACTTTTCTGTCACAGAACCTTGAAGCATGGGAGGAAGCGAAGCGGGAAGTGGAGAAGATTCCTGATCACCCGAACCGTATGCTCGAGGAAATTGTAGAGGATTCCGGCGGCGTAGCTAATGGTTCACGGGAGTCGACTTCGACGATCGACGGACATTGAGCGGATACGCTGCATGGATGATTCTCCTCTGTTACGTATGGTTGTAAAGTATAATTGCAGGGTGATCTTGACGAGATTATTACGATTGCTACGGGAACGATACATTGACCCTGAGAGCATTCCAAGAGTAATGAGAGACTAGTAAGGTGTAAAGATACTCAGGAATCACAGAAGACCAGCGCCATTCCAATCAACCGTATCACGACAAGGACAAAATCGCGGGATGTACTCACAGCAGCATGTGAACGACTGACGCGTCTCGGAAGGCTCTGTGACGTGTAAAAAGGAGGGCCATGAAGTGAAAGAGGCCGAACGTCGAATATGACGCAGTGCATGACAGGCCCATTGGTTAGGATTGAAGTTTGCCTTCCTTTTCCGCAGCTGCAAGCTTCTGTCCGAGAATCTTTGCGCTAACCTAAGATTCATCAAGCATGTGTCAGTCAGCGGCGGGCAAGACAAAAGACGTGAGCAGCGAAGGTTCACATTGCGAATGTGCATTGCGGCACGGTCGACCCCGAAGTCCTTGCTGCGCTTGTACTGCACCAAAGCATCTTCTAAACGCCCACCTGGTGACCCGAATGAGCAAGCGGAAAACAATAAGGACGCTTGAGTAGGAAACACATACATGCTTCAAGAACGGCGGCTAGGTTGAACGCAATCTCCGGATCTTCGGGTGCCAATGAAGCCGCAATTCTGTGTGGTATGAGACCGATCAGCGAGGATTCCAGCGTTGGAATGGGAAGGGACGCACTGCAAATGATGTAACGCCAGGTCGGGACGACTGACAGGAGAAATAATGTACGCACTCGCTAAGTCTTCATGAACGGTCAATATAAGCGGACATCAATGTTCAGACAATTGTTACGGACTGGTATGAGCATCAGGGCTGGACGGCTGGAGCGCTATGGACTCTTTCCAAGCGTTTATTGCTTGGTCAAATTCCTCTGGGAAAAGTGTTGAGTTCACTGACAAAGCAGACGATGTCGGGCCTTACTGAGATGGTAATGAGTTACACCCAGGTTGAATAGTGAGCTGGCGGTTTTCTTGATGTCAACGCTGCGTTGATAGAGGGCCTACACATGTCGTGTCAAGGCAATGTCTTGCGGGGAAAGAACACGAGCAAGGGCTTACCTTGGCGGCTTGTACATCGCCTTCTTCTAATTTTAGTGTGCCCTGTTCCAGGCAGTCGAGGGCTTCGACCTCTCCAGGATCTGATGCGGTCGAGTGTGGGGTGGTAGAAGTAGCCCAACCTGATATCGAAAGACAATAAGAGGTGGTCATGGGCGACAAATTCTGGGACTCACGTTTGCATGATGTGGCGAACGCCGGCGGAATCTGTGATGTCCTTTGAGTTATATGTGGTCGGGTGCCTGCCCTGGCTGCCCGGCGAACGAATGAACTCAAACTGAATCGTAGGAGAGAGGACATTATAGTGAATACTGGCAGCCCAATGCAGCATGAGTTCTAACCTTCGCAGTCAATATAGACTTGTGGGAAACACCTTCCTTTCTGGGATGCGCATCATGTATTTTTTACCCGGATGCACTTCGTCAGCTCTTGCTCGCACTCTCAGAGTCTCAAAAGTCTTGTAGCACTCCTGCGTCTTGTAGCACTCCTGCGTCTTGTAGCACTCCTGCTCATTCAAATTCACCATGCAGGCTCAAGGCAGCTCCTCCTCACAGGATCCTACTACCGTTCTTCGGAATGCTACCTTCACACAGGCGCAATCGGGCGCGCCTTCATCAGACAGTCCCGTCACTGCTTCTGACCTGCTTATGGGGGACTACGATCCCGCCAAACTTCACCCCATGGCAGGCCTGGAGGATAAATTGGACTACCTTCTTCTAGAAGACGATAAGACAAGCGAGCTACCCGGCTCGGTTACCGCTATGCCTTCCAGAGGCTGGAGTGACGACCTGTGTTATGGTACCGGTACCATGTATCTTAGTGGTGCGTACCTACCTGGCTTCGTAATTTCATCTTCTTCACGTCACCCTTGGCTCTTTCTTGCTCAATCTGCTTCGTCCTTTTGTCTTTCTCCTTCTCGCCGCTCTCACACGTTATCTCGCTGATGTTCCTCTTATTGTGTTTGTATCATCACATGGCTTACTCTTTTTACAGGCCTCGCCCTTGGCGGGATATGGGGTTTTCGGGAGGGTGCACGACGGCCCTTAGCTGTGTCCAACGCAAGATTGCGGATCAACAGTATCCTCAATTCAGTAACTCGCAGAGGCACATTCATTGGTAACTCGGCGGGTGTGCTAGGTTAGTTCAATCATTTGCAAGTAATATTCCTTTGATTCTCATCATTCACCCCCTGCAAAAGCACTCGTCTATAACGGTATTAATTCTACAATCGATCACCTCCGCGGCCAACATGACACGGCGGGTAGTATGGCTGCGGGCTTCCTGACAGGAGCGCTGTACAAATCAACAGGTCAGTTTCTCTCTATACCGGTCGGTTGTACACCCACTTACCTGTCTATCAGCCGGCGTGCGACCCGCAATAGCGGCTGGTGCATTTGTCTCAGGGTTAGCTGGCTTATGGGGTTATGTCAAGCGCAACGTTTAGGGACCGATAGACCTCCTGTATTATACCTTATTTTACTATCCTAATTCTCGTGAGTTCTCTGACTTCCGATGTGATACCGCCATTACTCGTGATTCCATTAGAGTTCCAGGGATGATGGTCGGGGCTATAGCTTCCACCAACCTGGTTAGCTCGCCTCTCTAGTTCTGGTGGTAAACTCCCGTCAGTCCAAATTCAACGTCACCACGGCAAATCATATCTTCTATGCATGTCACTTCTCCCGTATATATTCTGTGAACTGGAATCCTTGTTGGACCTCCGTTCCTCTGGGGCCATTTAACTGACCGGCTGAGCGTTCTTCCAGTCCGTCCTACCCGTCGACTGAACGTTGCCCCACACTTACATGTCTTGTCGAGATGGCTCCTCATGGGATACATCCAGGGACATCGCTGGTGGCGCTATGGCGAGACGACGAAGTAATGATGCTCGTCGTCGTAGGTGCACCTCTCGCCAGACATCTGTTGCCCCCTCTCCTGTCTACCGTGTCCGCTACCATCGAGCAGTGCGTTTCATTGGGGCTGGATGGTTGTTCTTCTCCCTTAATAACCTTCGTTTAGTATCCCCAACAATGTCTGTTGACGACTTCACCGCTAATGGCTTCACACGAAGAAAGAAAGCCAGTCTTTATGGTACGATAACATGCGTTTTCGATGGTCCCCGTTTGCATGAATATTGCTCCATAGGAGACCTCCCGCTCACGCAGTCGCAGACGTTCAGCTCCTCGACCTTCTGTCCGACGGAGCAGTCGGGCACACAGTCCACCACCCGTTGAAGAAGAATCTACTGAATTCTCCGCGTCGCCTCGTTTTCGTCCAAAAGAAGACAAGTTGGTGTACTATGCCTCTCTCCCAATTAAGTTCTGACATATCCCTTGAGATCATACCGCCTTGAAATCGTTCAACATCCCATAAAATGCGCTGAGTTTGGGAACTCGACTTTGACACGTCTACCCCTAGCTCCTCCATTAATTGTTCAGCTGCACATTCGAGGCCAAGCCACAGTAGGTGAGATAGAGTGCGTGCTATCTCCATTCATATGTCTGCTTGCAACTCCCACAACATAATTGATTCTAGCGAAGTTGAACTTCCTTTCCTTGTCGCCCAACTCTCTCTTTATAGTGCCGATGGCGCCACTACCATGGACCAGCCTGAAGTTGGTAGTGGCCATTCACGTTCCGACCGCATGTTATATGGCAGTTTGGTCGCCTCACCGCAAATCTTACGCAATTACCAAGGCAGACAGGGTGTTTACTTTCTATTCCCAGACGTGAGCATCCGTTGGCGGGGGCAGTTCCGAATTGGTGTATCGCTTTTGCGACTCCCTGGGCAAGTGTGCGAATTTCCTCACTTGTTCTGCAGCGTGAATTCATAGGTTTGCGCAGGAGTATACCCGAGCCTCGACGTGACAACTCAGGAAACGTACTTGCCCGTGCACAAACTTACCCATTTGACGTCGTGCCGCGCAGCGAATACACTGCACCCGGTAAGACAAGGACGATCGCTGAGCTAGGATGCGCGCGCTCATGACATGGCAGCGCAGACGCCATTGACTCAGTACTTTGTACAACAGGGTGCCCGAATGTACGCTTTCGCCTCTTCTGTTCAGACTCACTATACGCCGAGCTGAGTATTGTAACCAAGGACCAGTTCTTCCCTTCGAGCCCCTGCGATTCGATATAGTTAGACTTTTCTTTTTTGTCGCCTTTCTTGGAGATCTTGATGGCTGTTTCACTTTGTTGTACTCGTATTTTACCTTCTTAGACCGGGTCTTGTAGTGTTAGGCATGGGCCTTGTGGTGCCGTATTTTCGTTCGATTGTGCTAGGTGCCGCGATTGATGGCAATGTCATGTCTTGTAATTTCGATCCGAACTATCTAGTAGCTATGTGATGCCATATGGAGCTCCCATTATTAGCTTTCTTAAGTGGATGTTGAACGTTAACGTTGACGACGACGTGAACGGTGTCTCTCAGGATGTTTTAAATTAGAATTATGGCCCTACACGTGGCGGGCCGGGGTGTTTGGAACAGCCGAGCTCATAAGGCATGTTCGAGCTGAGGTCGACTGCGCAAAGCGAGTACCGGAAGCTCTTTATAATAGTCACTCCCAATCCGTTGCAACCGCAATCACCGCTCGCTCATTCTCCCTTCCTTTCATACCACCACCATGTCCAACAAAGACTATTACGGAGGTGGTCAACCACAGTACTATCCCCCACAGGGTTGGTTTATTGGCGGCGATACGTGTACCTATCACTGACGTATCCTGTCTGTAGGTCCACCTCAAGGACAAGGCGGTTATTATCCCCAGGAACCACAACAGGCTTACCAGGGTCCCCCTCAAGGCTATGGACAGCCTTATGGTGGACCGCCCTACGGTGGCCAGTACCAACCTCAACCACCACCCCAAACAGTCTATGTGTAGGACCTCGTGTTTTCCGATATATCGGAAATAGCTCACACTTTCACAGTCAACAGCAGGACAAGGGTGGAGGAGGAGGGGGATGCCTGGCCTGTCTGGCTGGTGCCTGTTTATGTTGTTGCGCTGAGGGTATGCTTTGCCCCCGTTTTCGTGGAATTCTGATTAACTCGACCTTGCAGAAATCTGCTGCGATTGTCTCTTCTGAACTGGCTTCACCTTGTATGCACTCCTACTTTCTCTCGTTTTGACTGCTTCGTTCTCTCCATGCTATTCACGGACCATACCACAATCCTCAATGGGTTTCCTTGACACTGTAACGTACATCATAATGCCCATCTGGATATCCGATATCGTATTGTAATTCACGTTTGGTCCTATACTCAATTTACACTTGAGTTCCGCCATATGATGAGTTCATTTGTGAAGAGAGAGTGCTCGGTCGTTGTTATTGAAACGGAGGCCGCGATTGGCTGAGGGAGTCCGGGATCACCCGGTGTGACTGTGACAAGGGTGACGAGAGCTGGTCCTTTCGTCACGGGTGTAGAGCGAACACTGTCCAGCCATCGTCCGACTCTCCTCTCCCCATCTTCCATAAAATGCTCTTCAGACTCCCTGCGAGTTCTCTGAAGAGCGTACGTGCTCTCAAAGATGTTGCCGTACATCCGACGCGTATCGTAGCACGACAAACGGTGTGTATAACTCTTCCGGTCTTTGCATTTCAATCTGAACTCATGTATTGGTTAGACCGTTCGGTTTGCGTCCTCGAGCTCTGCGTCATCTTCTGCAAAGGTTCGTGTCAGCCTTTGAATATGCTATCTTGGAGTTCCTAAATTTCTATGCAGTCCGTGCTTGATTCCCGTGCAGCGCTGGCCTCTGCTGCTATTGCAACTGTTGGCTCTATCGCATGGTATACCCACCTTTACGGCAGCCTTCCTTTCATTGGTGAAGTGCACGCCAGCTCCCCTGCCGAAGAAGGCTTGCATCCTCAACACTACCCCTGGTCCCACTCAGGCTTGTTTGACTCTTTCGATCACGCCAGGTGCGTGTCATGTGTCCTCCGTGCAAGCCTTGCTCCTTGACCTCTAATATGTAAACAGCATCCGCCGTGGCTACCAGGTCTACCGTGAAGTTTGTGCTGCATGTCATTCCTTGGACCGCATCGCTTGGCGTAATCTTGTTGGTGTTTCCCATACCGCTGATGAAACCAAGGCTTTGGCTGAAGAAGTCGAGTACGAAGATGGTCCTAATGACCAGGGCGAGATGTTCCAGCGTCCGGGAAAGCTCTCTGACTACATGCCTGCACCTTATCCCAACGAAGAGGCTGCCCGTGCCAGCAACGCTGGTGCATTGCCCCCAGACCTGAGCTTGATTGTGAAGGCCCGACACGGTGGACCAGTATGTTGAACTATACATGGCTATTGTAGGTCGGAGATTAACGCGTCTTTCAATAGGATTACATTTTTGCTCTCCTTACAGGTTATCGGGAACCTCCTGCTGGATTTGAGATTCGTGATGGCATGAATTATAACCCTTACTTCCCCGGTAATGCTATCTCCATGGCTCGTGTCTTGTTCGATGGAATGGTCGAGTACGAAGATGGTACGTCACGAGTCACTCCATGCGCTTTAAATCCGCTTACCGATGTCGCGCTTTTTTAGGTACCCCTGCTACTACTTCCCAGATGGCGAAGGACGTTGTCACCTTCCTCAACTGGGCTGCCGAGCCTGAACACGATGAGCGCAAGAAGGCCGGTATCAAGGCCGTCATTCTTTTCTCCGCTTTGACTGTTATCAGTCTTTATGTGAAGCGTTTCAAGTGGTCTCTCATCAAAAGCAGGAAGATTTGTGAGTTCCGCGTACATTGCTTGGATGCGAGATATTGATTGGATTTACATATTTCAGTCTATAACCCACCATCGGACAAGGCTCACTAGAACCACTGAAGTACACTGTGATGTGACATAGTGCTAATGCTGCTGGCGGACTCTCACAGATGATTGCAGTGTAGAACCTGTAGATTATTACTTATGTCCTAATCTGAGGTGCACTTTTCTCTATTGCAGGGCATCTTGATCTCTGGTGATAATGAATTCAAATATATAGCCCTGTGTATTGGCTACTTTTGTTTGAATTTTTATCACATGATGAATCAGGCTTCTAAACCAGCCTCTCATATCTCAAGGGGGAACTTATTCACTTGAACATAAGAAAATGTCTATAGTATTCTGTATTAGCCTATATCATTTGCTCCTTTTATATCTATTTTAATGCCCTACCTTTTCCCCCCCTCTTGATAGAGAGGCTGGCAACAAGTTTTAACACTCACTGGTGGCATCCCGGCATTCCCACTTTTGAGCAATACTTTAATTTTTGAGTTTATTTATTTTGCTATAATTAGATGCTTATTTTGTATTCATCTTTTCTGGTTGATCTCCTTTGCTACTTTGACTTGCTGCAAATGGTCTTGGTCAGAATTTAAGTAAGAAGTTGAGATACTGAATTGCAACAGAGAACATTCTATATGCTGATCATGGCTAGTCCATTCATAGGTTTACAGCTTGCTGACATTAATCTTATCTCTACTTATATTTATCTCTTTATAATAACTCTCTAGGTTTGAGTCTAGTGTGTACTTCTATCACTCTCATCTCTATTATTATGCAATGAGCATAAAATATCCTAGACTTATATATATTCATGCTCACTTAGATTGTAACTCTCTATTACTCCAATATCATAAAAACTGGCAAGTTCTGAGCTTCTGAGTATTTCAGTGCTTATATTATAATTTTGGCCAGTGCATTATTATTATGCAGCACACTCAAATGGTTAGCAGATAGGCTGTAAATACTTATTCTATATAGATGATAGTGTATATTAGATATTTTGATCCTGTTGTGATATGCTGACTATAAAACATCTAGACAGATAAGCATTTCAGAGCTCAAAAGTATCAGAAACTTAATTTCTGATAGCTAAGACTCTGAGAGATCTGAGAGTGCTTCTGATGTTAGAGATATTCAACTTCTGTAATGTTTCACCTTCTTATTTCTCTTCTTTTATATCTTTCTGATATCTCCTTCACCTAAGCTATCTATATATACCATCTCTATCCTCTAACTCTTCCTATTCATCCTTCCACCTAATGCCACTTCTACTTTGTAGTTTCTACTTCACTTTGAACACTTTGCTTGTTTTCTTATAAGGAGCTATATTCTTATGACTCTACTTTTCTCTGAACTTCACTTTTTAGCATCTCTTTGCTGCTTATATTGAAGTATGCAACTTCTGTCAGCTATCAGATTAATCTATTTTCCAGTTTTAATGAGAATAATGCACTAGAAGGCATAGGATGATTCTATGGTCAAGTGGGATTACATACAGCTTAATATAGGTCCAATAAAGTCTTATCTAAATTTCTGAAAGGAATTGACCAATAACTCATATTTTTAGTCAGATCTGAAGGAGGTGCATTTTAGTAGAAATTTTGAAAAAGAATTCTGTAGGACAGGAATAGAGATGGTTTGGATAGAAAGAAAGTGGTAAACTATAGTTTCTCAATATCCTCTATCTACTCATAATATCTGTTTTATTATTGGAGAACATTGTTGTGACACTATTTCAGTACAGCCAGTTATCAGAAAAAGGTGCATTACTTCTAAGAGCTTCTGAGAGCTGTCTCAGAAGACTCAGAAGGGGGTCTCAGAGACTTCAGTAGCTCAGCCCTCAGTGAAGTTCAATTTTGGACTGGTGCATTCTCAGAAGTGATTTCATTTACCATGCTCCTTGAACATCTTCAATCTAAACTTCAAGTCTTTCTTGTATATACATTTCTATATCTCAAATGCATTTTTCAAGTCATAAATTAGGCCATTTACTCTTGAGACATATTCACTGTGAATTTTGCAAAGTTGACCATATTTGGACTCAGCCCTTAGAGCACCAGAATATATATAATTTTCTGATGCAGTATATGTCCATATCTGAGAAGAGAAAGTACAGAACCTTATCTGAAGACAACCTGCTTGCACATAGCCTTCATTTATTTTAGAGCTTTTATGTTTTTTACTATTTCTCATCTATTCCCACTGTCTCCTTCTTTATTGCTTCTCTCGCTGAATTTATATTCACTGCTAAAGTTTAAGCTTACTTCTCTTCTCAGCAGAACCTTCTGCACTATAAATCAGGCTGTGATTCTACCTCTTAGCTCTTTTATTCCAAGTTTTATAATTATGTTTTCTATTCTTGAACAATATCACTTAAAGATAGCATCAATTTTCTATTTCTGGCACTCTCCTCTTCTCCTTTTTCTCTGTATTCTTTATACAACTAGTGTTAGCATGGCTCAGTTGATAGCCCTGGCTAGATTATGAAGATGTGTGAATCTATATAGTAGCATGCCTCTTTCTGTAAGAATAATCTACTTTGACTACACTATTACTTTATATTCTTATCACAGATTATATGTAAGGCTTGATAGCTCAGTGATTAGAGCATCTAGTCTAGAGTACAGATGGTCATAAGTTTGATCTCCATCTATGCCAATAGTTTCTCAGTAGCTTTAAGCACTTTAATAACTAGACACCTTCTAAGAGAATTGTCTTATAACTTCAGAATATTGCATAGAACTCTATTAGCACTATGTCTATATGTATGCAAACTCACTAAGCCATAGGTACTTCTGGTCAGAAGCTATTGCATAGTCTCTCCTCTCCTCTCTCTTTCTACTACTAGATACATCAAGGGTATTTCATTTTTTCTCTTTTTAATTCTTATACAATTCTTATAGAGCTGCTATCATGATCTATGAGAACTATATGGACATGCTAGCAAAGCCATTAAGCCATAGGTTCAGTATTGCAGATATGAAAATTTACTTTTCTCTTTTTTCTCTTTTTACAGTGCTCTCAGGATATTTAATGTACCATGCTCTACAGGCTGAACCTATAATCTTGGAGGTTTGTACAGAGGTCAATATATACTATAAAAACCTATTTATCAAGTCTCTAAGTTATTTCTTTATCTAGTTAGGAGTGGTACCCCAATTACTGTCTATTAATGCAGACAGTAGTGAGAGTATTTTGAATACTGTTTCTCCAATTCTTAAGTTACACTTCTAAGACCTTGTATACAATATTATATGCATATTACTAATCTTTCTACATTTTTTATTTGATCAGAATTCTTCCAGAATTGCCCCAGAGATGGTCAATACAGCTGTAGGAGTCTCATTACTTTTTTATATCCAAATAAGGCAAAGGCTTCTGTCAGAATTCTGAGCATATTTTCTGCATTTCTGCTTATCCTCTGCCCTTCTTCTTTTGCTAAATCCATTTTTAGATCAATAGAAATATTATAAACAATATATATTATTTTATATACAGAAATAGAAAGAGAGATTGAAATGCTACTGACTGCACAATAAAACCTATTTTAAGCACCCAAAATATCATATTGGGTTGGTATACTATGCTTACTAATATATTCTAAAGCAGTCTATAATGCTAAAAATAGTTTGAGAATATAATTTCAATATATGAGCTAAAAAAATATAAAAAAGTGCTGAAAAATAACTATATACTCTATTAGAAGATATGTCAGACTGAGAAATAAGTTTTCAGGACTTTGGCTGCTCTGAACAGGATTTGCAAATCAGTTTAGGCCAAATGCTCAGAAATTTGCAAAACACTTTAGAGTAAAAGCCATTAGATATTGTAAATTCTTTATAGCACAAGCTGAACTATTATATATCAGTTCAAATAATTTTGAATAGAATGCAATGATCTGAGCAACTACAGTGTAGTAATATAAGTAATTATAGATATAATAATAGAGAAGAGATATGACTATGACCATGATCTTAGTTACTATATTATAGATATGAGTAATTATGGGCATAAGAATAAAGTGTGAGAATATCTATAATTACTAATACATACTGGTGAATGTAACTATAGGCATAGTGCTGTGGTATTGATAACTATTGGTCACTTTAGGCTGTGCCCAGTAATAACTAGTGAGAAGTTAAAATTGTTATAAGAGCTCTAGTCATTATAGCCCAGATATGTCAGTACCATAGTCACTCTATCATTTGACCAGTTGTAACTATAATCACTTGCACAAGCAAGGAAAGATGCATAGGGTCACTTTTTCTGCCTCATATAATAATTATGCAATGCGTAGTTTAGCAGACAAGATGACCATAGTTAGTATAGATCAAATATAATTATAACTATAATTATGTCAAAGTATGAAATGGAGTGACCTGGAACAAATATGTATCTATAAACAATGCCTATAAATACAGTTATTTTGTATACTACCAGAAAATTATAATATTGAAGCAGAGACAGAGAGAGTAGTTTTGATAATGTGAAACTATGTAGAGTGCTTGTGATTGATTATAATATATGATATTTGCAATATGGCAACTTATAATTTACAAATGGCATGATTCTATTGATAGCTATATATAGTGATATTAAATATAATATATATTATCTTTGTGAGCTAAGTTGTCTTTAGAGCTATAACTAGTTAAAATAGTATGCATATGCTATCTTTTCATAATAGTCAAATTATATGCTTTAGCAGAATCCATTCATATCCACTAAAGAAAGTAAACAGATAATTAAAATTGATATATCAAAATATAAGTAAGAGTACAATTAGTCTCTGACAAATAAGATACTTTACATCAGCATTTTATCTAGAAAATGCTTCATTAGAATAAATATCAATATATAGAAAGATGCATGCATACCAGTATCAAAAATAATTGAGATAAAAAGCTACTTAGCCAAATGATAGATAAAATGTGACAAGGCCCCTGATAATCCTGAATCTAGCATAATGCCCATAGGCAGAACAATTCAGATGCTCATAGAGTACCTGATTACTATCAGAGTGATAATAGAGAATACTGGTACCTATAGCTCAGAAGTGACCAGTACTAAATCTAGGCTATAAGTTATATCTCTCAATAGACATAAACAGGGCTAATAGCCTCTATTAGGAAGTTACATGAGATAACTCAGCTACACTAACAACCTTCTTATTAGCTGCCTCAGACCTCTTTTTCTTCTCAATTACTAATCTTTATAACTCCTTATACTTCAGAGTAGCTCTATTCAGATCACTAAGGATAGTTGCCAAAGGTTAGAAGCTTGATCTTGAATTAAGCAAAGTTCTTAGATATAGTAAAAGTAGTCAAAAGGGTAAGAATGCAATGTTGAAGAGGAAGTAGTAGATAAATCAAGATGAATATAGATAGATAG